TTAGGAAGCAGCCACTGCTACTCAAGACCCAACCCACTGCTGAGGACCCACCAGCTGGTGGAAATTCTGTCATGCCACCAAAATTACACCAGATGGATAACACTGGTGAAAAAGAGCTGTGAGTGGGTCACTGATGGGAGCAGCCCATCCATGCCAGATCTTATACCTCTGCAGTCCACAGCTACACCTCCATCAATGGAGCAGCTGCACACTAACCTGGTATCTGACCCAGGAAATTTTCCTCCCATTAACTTCAGTAGGAGAGGTAAAACGTGTTGGGAAACTGTGTACGTGCAGCTACTCACAGAGTCAATTAAGGTTTGGCAGCCAGCCAGAAGGCAATCTGAAGGAGTAAGTCTGCCTGGTGATAACAGAGGCTCCCTGATTGGTCAAGCTCTCTCAAGGGAGTGATAATTAATGGCCTAATAACTGGTACTTCAGAGTTTGGAGTTCAGTGGTTCAGCGTGTCAGTGAGTGTAGGAGTTGTGAGTCGTGTCAGAGAGAGCTAGCAAAAGATCCGTGTTCTGTTCCTGTAAATAGTCCACTGTATATAATAAACACCTAACTACAAGTTCCTGGTTCCTGCTTCGTCTATCCTGTCTGCAGCCAAGTTGCCAATTGCTTCCGTGGATTCTGCGTATACTCTGCTAGGTCTGGCTAAGGTCTTGCAACTAGTCAGAAAGTTGCGAAACACCAACAGGTTTTACCAATAAAAAGTTTTTAAATAGTTGCCCATATATTGATTTTGGAGAAAAGCCCCAATCTTTTGCCCTCCGTTTCAACCTGAGAGACACACTTCCTGATTTTTCTGAAACACGCAAGCAAAGGATAGGTTATATCTAGCAGGAAGACTGAAAAATCCTGGTGGCAATTTCAACCTGCAGAAATACACATTCCCCTGCCCCAGGAGGTGTCCACCATCTTTCCCAGCTTCCTGAAAGGTGTTTGCAGACTGCCTGGCAAGTGTGCCCAGACTAACTGCTAAAAGTGCCAGCAGTCACTCAGCCGAACCTAGGTAGGGAACCATTTAAAAACCTGGCAGGCCTTCTGGGGCCCCTTGCATCAGGTATGCTTGTGCTGCTTTGACTATGAGAAAAACTTGTAACAAGCAACAATTATATATTGTCTCCCTGCTTATTTAACTTATACGCAGAATTCATCATGCGAAAGGCTGGGCTGGATGAATTCCTAGCCGGAATTAAGATTGCCGGAAGAAATATCAACAACCTCAGATACGCAGATGACACAACCTTGATGGCAGAAAGTGAGGAGGAATTAAAGAACCTTTTAATGAGGGTGAAAGAGGAAAGCGCAAAATATGGGTTGAAGCTCAACATCAAAAAAATGAAGATCATGGCCACTGGTCCCATCACCTCCTGGCAAAAGGGGAAGAAATGGAGGCAGTGAGAGATTTTCCTTTCTTGGGCCCCATGATCACTGCAGATGTTGACAGCAGCCGCGAAATTAAAAGACGCCTGCTTCTTGGGAGAAAAGGAATGACAAACCTAGACGGCATCTTAAAAAGCAGAGACATCACCTTGCCAACAAGGGTCCGTATAGTTAAAGCTGTGGTTTTCCCAGTAGTGATGTATGGAAGTGAGAACTGGACCATAAAGAAGGCTGATCGCCGAAGAATTGATGCTTTTGAATTATGGCGCTGGAGGAGACTTTTTAGAGTCCCATGGACTGCAAGAAGATCAAACCTCTCCATTCTGAAGGAAATCAGCCCTGAGTGCTCACTGGAAGGACAGATCGTGAAGGTGAGGCTCCAGTACTTTGGCCACCACATGAGAAGAGAAGACTCCCTGGAAAAGACCCTGATGCTGGGAAAGATGGAGGGCACAAGGAGAAAGGGACGACAGAGGATGTGATGGTTGGACAGTGTTCTCGAAGCTACCAGCATGAGTTTGACCAAACTGCGGGAGGCAGTGGAAGACAGGAGTGCCTGGCGTGCTCTGGTCCATGGGGTCACGAAGAGTCGGACACAACTAAATGACTAAACAATAACAAGTTTATGATGTTATACATTGTTTGGTTTTTTGCTAGAATAGCAATTAAAACAACAACAACCCCTGCAACTGACCGTCTACACTGTGTTGCTCATGAGGAGTCCAGAAGCCTGTTTGTAAGTCACCAGCGTACTAGATATATTTGAACAAGCAGGTTGCATTTTATTTTCCATATTCTGCTTTGTCCATTTGCCCTGCTCACTTATTTTTTAAAAATATTAATAAAACTTCATATAATTTGGCTATTAAGAGTCTGAAGTGTATTTATGCCTTCTCAGGCTGAGAATACAATTAATACACCAGCCGATGTTGGATGATATGGAGTTATGAGACCAGCGCAGCTACAGCAACGATTCTCCAGTCCTGGTGTAATCCAAATATAGGATTTATCTGCCCATTCTATTTTTATAACAAGGAAGAAGAGGCAATGAAATTGGGGAAACAGGACCTGAGCATCTGTGGTGCTTCTAAATATGTGTCTGTAGGCTGCCAATATAGGTCCGTATAGTAAAAGCTATGGTTTTCCCAGTAGTGATGTATGGAAGTGAGAGCTGGACCATAAAGAAGGCTGATCGCTGAAGAATTGATGCTTTTGAATTATGGTACTGGAGGAGACTCTTGAGAGTCCCATGGACTGCAAGAAGATCAAACCTCTCCATTCTGAAGGAAATCAGCCCTGAGTGCTCACTGGAAGGACAGATCGTGAAGCTGAGGCTCCAATACTTTGGCCACCTCATGAGAACAGAAGACTCCCTGGAAAAGGCCCTGATGCTGGGAAAGATGGAGGGCACAAGGAGAAGGGGATGACAGAGGATGAGATGGTTGGACAGTGTTCTCGAAGGTACAAACATGAGTCTGACCAAACTGCGGGAGGCAGTGGAAGACAGGAGTGCCTGGTGTGCTGTGGTCCATGGGGTCACGAAGAGTCGGACACGACTAAACCACTAAACAACAACAAGGCTGCCAATGATGGAAGCAAGTTTGATGGGGTGGTGTTTGATGTTTGATTTAATATTTGTACAGTGGTACCTCTGCTTACATACAGTACTTAATTTGTTCTGGAGGTCCATTCCTAACCTGAAACTGTTCTTAACCTGAAGCACCACTTTAGCTAATGGGGCCTCCCACTGCCGCTGCTGCGCAATTTCTGTTCTCATCCTGAAGCAAAGTTCTGAACCCGAGGTACTATTTCTGGGTTAGCAGAGTCTGTAACCTGAAGCGTATGTAACCCGAGGTACCACTGTATTCTGCTTTTCCAACAAGTGTTGGCCTCAAAGAGGATCACAATACCATTAAAAAATCAACAAACATTGCAGTCACTATTAGATCATACACAATAGCATATAAATAATAACAACAAAATAAAATCAAAACAATAAAGTCATAGTAACTCATAGGATTGCCAGGATATTTCATTATAACATGGAAAATCACAAACACACAAAACCACAACAGATTAGCCATGGTTATCAAATTCATTGTTTTGCAGCACTGCAATAGATGAAAGCAGATGAAAGTTTCAGTCTACCTGAACTATAGACACTTACATGGAACTTGTTGCTGGCATCCATCTGTACATTTATAAACCATTGGGCAAGGTGGTTCATCAGTGGTGGCATGTCAGCTTCAGGTGCGATTGCAGACCCTCTAAGTGTCCCTAATTTCCAGGGACAGTCCCAGATTTACAGAAGCCACCCCAGTCTCCAATTTGATTCTGGAATGTCCTGCTTTTCCTTAGGACATCCCTATTTTCTCCAGTGTTGGAGGATATGGAGTTATGAGACCCCTGAGCCAAGAAGATAAGTAACTATTCAGCCTTTAGAAGACATCTGAAGGCAGCCCTGTATAGGGAGGTTTTTTAATGTTTAATGTTTGATTATGTTTTTATATGTGTTGGAAGCTGGGGCAACCCAGTCAGATGAGTGGGGCATTAATGATGATGATGATAGAATAGGATGTCTCTATTGTCATCGAAGAAATGTTGGAGGGTATGTGATTGAAGGAAAAGGATTGTCTGGACACATTTCTACCTGGCTTCAGGCCTAGATGCTGAACTTAAAAAGTCTTGGCATACTTCTCCCTGCCTTGCCCCACACTAGAACCCTGGAAGCCTTTGTAAGAGAGCTGCTCCAGAGGAACAACCAGGAGGGGAGAGACTTTCTGTTTCTCATCAGACAGTGGCGTTTCCAACTGCCTTGCCCCAACCCAGCCTTTCCCAGACTATGACTTTGAGAACAGCAGCTGCTGGGAAGAAGCAGCTGGGAAGAGAGGAGTTCAGGGATATTTATATTAAAAAAAAGTTTTATAAGTTGTGTGTCTTTGTTTCTCCATTTGATCCTTTTACAGTACATGGTTTTGTGGTATTTTATGCATTGTGATTTGCTGTTATTTTTATTGATTGTAGATTGGTAATTCTTTATTGTGGTTGATAAATGTGAACTGTTTAATTATTCTTTGTTGATGTTTACTTTTACTGTTTACCATTAGATTCTGATGGATTGTTGAATGTTGCTTTGTTTGATAGAAGTCGTTCATTTTAAAGTTATTGTGATTTTTATATTGGATCAGATTGTAACTATTAACGTTTGAGGTTTTGTTATGTTTTTATGTGTTGGAAGCCACCCAGAGTGGCTGGGGCAACCCAACCAGATGGGCAGGGTATAAAATAATAATAATAATAATAATAATAATAATAATAAGTAGTAGTAGTAGTAGTAGTAGTAGTAGTATTTATTTCAAGCAAAGGGGACAGAGAACTTCACTGAACACTCTGAAATACCAGGAAATAGAGGAAGTTTTTTGTTCCACCCCCACCAAAAAAAACACAACAACAACAGGGGACTTTTTCAATGATAATTTAAAAAACGTGATCGTGGAGTGTGTGGGTGGAGATTCTCAATTTGCCTTGCAAAGCAATTTAGGAGCCTTCTTCACCCGTCCCTTCCTCCTACTAGCTGCAGTCTCTGAAGACAAAGCGAGACTCTGCTGAGGATGGTTGACTCCCAAGTAATAGAAATGACAGGCATCTCCATTGATAACTTCATGGTGAGTTGTGGCTAGTTTGGCATAGGCTCAGCTTCCACAGTGGGGCAACGGAAGGGTGAGGGTTGGGATTTGAGACGTGTCATTTGGGAATCTTCCAAGTTGAAATATTACAAATGGAAGTTGTGGGCTGAAATCCTTCAGGGTGGGGGGCTTTGTGGATTTGTGGATCTTTGGGCTCTCTAGAGTATCTCCCCTCTCAAAGAGGTCTGTGCAAGTCTAAAGATGTAGTCTTAGCCCCGGAGAGGGAGTTCCATCCTAAGGCTAGGAAATGTTGCAGAGACGAATGGGCACATCAAGCTGTTTTAGCCAAAGCAACTTCTGGGGTGCTTCTGGATTGTAACTCTTTTCAGGTGGGTTTCATTCATATGTACTGTCAAGTTGAAGTTGTGCAATTATATTTGATGGGGAGGTTTTCCGCAGCAAAGACTCGGAAGCTGCTTGTGGTCCATTCTTGAGTCTGTAGATCGCTCCTTCCACGTATCACTAAGATGTCAGCATGGCCACACAGAGGCAACTGACACGCAGTTGTCTAATTTGGACTACCTCACTCTGTGCAAGTTGCGGCTGGGTGTGTGTAGAATAGCATGTGTGTGTAGGGGGGCTGGTGCTGAGTGAAGTCTAAAGAGGGTGCCATGGCAAAGGGGATATGAGTCCCAGTATGCAAATGGGTTTCAGAAGAAGACACCTTTGAGAAGCTGAGAGCAGGATCTGGGTGCTTTTCATCAACAGGAGGAAGTTGCCTGCAATGGTGGTTTGGCTGGTACTTCACAGATTGGTGAGATTTCCGCTGCAGGCAGGACAGCATAACCACTGAGTCCCATGGGAGAGAGATCAAGAAAGCTGCTCCCCTGATTCCCCCTAGAGAGAAAGATGAATTCTCATTTCTCCCTCCCTCTCTCCGGCTGGTGAGCTGACACTTAAAAACGCAGTGCGTGGGTGTGGAGGCACAAAAGTCATTCTTGCCCTGCTTCTCCATTCAGCTCTTGCAGGACTGTACCACACTGTGATGGCCTCCTGTCAATCTTTTCTTTAATGGCTCAAAGCACATTTAACCTAAGTAGCAAAGCTCTAAAGGGTCTTGGGTTCAGCCTTCCAAAGAATTGGAGGAGTTCAGGCTAATTGAACAGAAGACCATGCAAGTGTGTGTGTGTGTGTGTATTGGCTCCACCTTCTATTCAGCCTCCTTTGCTGCTGAGAATCTTGGAGAATATGCTTTTAAGCCTGTGTTTATTGTTGTATTGTTATGAGACGAATTGTCAGAGAATATTTCATATTGTTAGCTAATTTGAGAGCAACTGGCGATAGGGATGAGGGGGAATTTGATTCAGTTTGCATTTAAAGGCAAATTTATCAAACTAGCACTTCCCAAAACAATATGAAAACTAAAACGCCACCATCCTTTGATATTCACGCTTATCCGCATTTTGCAACAAAGTTCTCCAACTAAACAGTGCTTACAAAAATGCATATACTGCATATACGGTATTAGAGGAAAGTGTGCATGAATATAAATAAATTGGTGAAAATGATATACAAAATGCATTACGTTTGGGGTGATTGCTTAAAAAAAGGTGTACATTAGACAAAACTTTATACAGAAATGAGAGAAATTTGCACTGAAATGCCGATGAATTTTCATGAGCTTTTGTTATTGCAAATTTCTGCAGAAATGTGGAGAGATAAATTAATATTATAGAAAAATTAGAAAGTGAAAGAACCAAATCTGACAGACCGCTCAATCTCTACTTGGCAGAGAGGTAGGGTTATAGTCTGAGAACTTTCTAAAAATAATCAATCAGTTAACTGACCTTAACTGACCTTCAGATCCAGAGATCTTCTCTTATTCTTATGCCACAGTCGCTGCTAGGCTGAGCCAACATATGCTTGAACTGGGATAACTTATTCCTTGTAAAGGAATAAGTTACAAGGAATAAGTTACCCCAGTTCAGCTGGCTTTATGTCTATGGGAGCTCTGCAGTCTGCGCAGTTGCAACCACTTTGGCATATGAGGTTGATGTGGTTTTTGATCAGAGCTTCTAAATGACTCTGAACAAAAATTGCAGTGTTAAACAAAAGAATAGTTTCATTCAGACAAAACTAAAATAATCTGGAGTATGTTTTGGGGTCAGGAGGTGAGCTCCCTCCCGTTAACACTTATAGGGGTTGAATTCTGATTGCCTCTTTGTGTTTACGCTCCCTTTACTGTATATGTCAGGAATGCAGTAGTTCACCCTTTCAAGTACTTGAAACAATGTTGTTTTTAAATCACATTTCAGTCTTAAACTTGCCCCCCCAATGGTGGCATAATCTGATTAAACGTTTGTTCAGTACCTTTAAATGTGGAGGGTGAGGATTGCACACTTTAAAAAACTGTTCAAAGAGGAGAAAGAGATGGCTTTGCTGCTTGGGACAATCAATGCCATGAAAGCTGGACTTCTGCTGAGAATGGGATCCCCACAGGTCTGATCTCGCCCAGAAGGCTGCGTGTCTGTTTTGTACTTCCATGTGTAAACAAAACTGGACTGTTTAAGTCCAGATCTTGTAGGCTAAAGAACAGCGCACTAGCTGCTCTTGGTCATTCAAGTCTAATGAAGCTATAGAGCCATTGTTAGATAGGCGTAATTCCTCTCAGGTCCAGATAGCAAAACAAACAGCAAAGCAGCTTGTCAGCACCAGGAGACCAGAAAGTATCAACCAAGTTGCTTCTCTGCAGCTGAAAACCGCAACATCCTTTCTGAGAGAAAGTTTGTTCAAACCGAATGAGAAAACTGAAGAAATGGGTCATTGTGAGCAGCGAGGATGATTGCTATCTTGAGGGAGCAGCTTGGGCCTTATTTAGAAGTATTTGCATCAGATACGGGTCTAACAAAGGCATCAAATGAATCTGCAATCTGGCAGATTGAAAGCTGTGACTGGCAGTTCCTTTTTTTTTTTTCACGAATATATTTCTTTTATGCACACTTTTACCCGATACATACATTTATGTAAACACTACTGGGTTGGAGAATTGCGTTGCAAAATTCAGATAAGTATGAATTTCAAAAGGTGGCTACATTTCAGTTATCCTTTTTTTTTTTTAAATGATATTTATTAAAGTTTCAAAAAATACAAAAAATACAAAATACAGAAAGAAAAAGAATAAAGTTTTTAAAAATATAACCAAAAAAGTAAAAAATAAAAAGGTCCTGGTTCAAAGATGTCTCTTGAGTCTTTAGCAAATATGGGGTGGTGCTCAGCTAAATTTTTACTCAGAGCAGACCCACTGAAATTAATAAACCTGTCATATTCATGAATTCCAATAGGTCTACTCAGAGTAAAAATGTAGTTGAATACCACTTCCAGCTTTGGGGACTGAATCAGCTTGGGTTGCCCTATTGGATGATCTGGTATTGAATGAAGGACAGGGGAGGACAACCCTATTATTCGTTCTTGATCTCTCAGTGTTTTTCGGTACCATTGACCATGGTATCTTCCTAGACTGACCGTGTGGGGTGGGTACCAGAAGCTATGAGGTTCCAAAACAATGTGGCAACAAGAGGAAATTATGGACGCATCAAGGATGGAGTGCGGGAAGTCAATTTTGGTGGAAATTATATTAAATTTTAGAGCTTATATCCAATAAACTAAAAGTCCAATAGTTCTGGGGGCTATGTTTGTCACCTTTCCTGAGAATTGGGATGATAATACTCTGCTTCCAGTCCTCAGCGAAAGTGCCAGTAGTTTATATAAGAAAATAATTTTGCTAGGAGGGGAGACCACCACTCAGAATTATTCTTAAAGAACTCTGAAGAGATTATGTCCTCTCCAGTACTTTTGTCAGTCATTAAGGCACCTATAAGATCACTTCTTGTTCTGAAACTGAGGGCCATTCTGGTAACGTTAGCAGGTCCTAATTAGCAGTTGGTCCATTAGGACTGCTGTCACCATCACGTTCAAAGATTTTGTCTTTGGCAAATGTACCCCCAAGTGATGTTTTATTCTGTTGGGAGCCGCCCACAGTATTTGGGGATATATTTTCATGAGAAAAATTCCTGGAAACCACAGCTACAAAATATGACAGCAACAGTACAAAGTCAGCCTATGCTATACTGAAGTTTTTCTATTCTAAAGGCGGCAGGGTGGTAATCCCAGCCCTAAATATTTATCTTGGGAAAGTAGTAGCTCAGATGCAGTGCGGTATTGAGATTTGGGGTATGAATCATAATACCCTGAAAGACCTGGAAGTGTGCCAGAATAAGATCCTAAAGTATCTGCAGGCAATACCTCCAGGTACCCCAGCTGCCTTCCTTAGGACAGAGACAGGCGTGGTGTCTGTACAGTGGTACCTCGGGTTACATACGCTTCAGGTTACATACACGTCAGGTTACAGACTCTGCTAACCCAGAAATAGTACCTCGGGTTAAGAACTTTGCTTCAGGATGAGAACAGAAATTGTGCTCTGGCGGCGCGGCAGCAGCAGGAGGCCCCATTAGCTAAAGTGGTGCTTCAGGTTAAGAACAGTTTCAGGCTAAGATCGGACCTCCAGAACGAATTAAGTACTTAACCCGAGGTACCAATGTAAAAGCGGAGATGGCTACTTTTTAGTACTATAAAAGGGTCCTGGATATGACAGAGGACCTCTTGCCTAGACTCTGCCTGGAGGAAAAATGGAAGAAGGGTGTTAGTACAAGAAGTTAGTACAAGACCTGCTAGCCTCAAAAAACCAGACAACAGATATTTTTGTATTCCATGGAGTTAAAAGACTGCTTAGGGATTGGATTTACGGTATAAACAGGATAACAAGGAAGACTTAACTCTAATCCATATCTCAGAATTCTCCCATTGGTACTATTTGCTGAAATCTAACCACACCAGAGCTCAGTACTTGCAGTCAACTTACCTTGCCTCCCCAAGAACTGCATTTACAGCTCTCAGTTTTCAAACAATGCCTACATCAGTCTTAGATGGAAGTTATAGAAGTGCTCCAAGGCATTTAACTTTGTATTTGTGGCGTAGGTGAGGTAGAAGATCTCCCCTGTTATATACTCCATTGTCAGATCTATCAAAACCCCAGACAGAGATTTTTTTGGAGCAGATGCTGGCACTGCAACAGGGACAGACCCTTGAAGTGAAAATATGTTGACTGTTACCTGACTGTGATCCGCTTGTCACATACAAAACAGACCTATTTGCTAAAGCCGCTTAAAGTATTCGTGTTAGCTACAGTATATAAAAGACAATGCTGTAGGCTGTGCAGGCGATTCATTAATTTGACTTATTGTAAATGGATGTATATCTCTGGATTTCTTTTAACAGGTTTTAATTGACTTGCTGGATCTGTAACTGAATTTGTAATGGCTTTTAGTCAAACACAATACATGACTGATTGATTGTATTAAATTTGTTTTAGTTTGTGGTGGGTTTTATAAAATTTGGAAAATCAATAAAAACAATTTGGCAGAAACCAAGCAGCCTAATAATAAAAATAAAAATAATTTATTATTTATTATTTATATCCCGCCCATCTGACTGGGTTTCACCAGCCACTCTGGGCAGCTCCCAACAGAATATTAAAAGCATGATAAAACATTAAACATTAAAAACTTCCTTAAACAGGGTTGCCTTCAGATGTCTTCTAAAAGTCAGATAGTTGTTTATTTCCTTGACATCTGATGGGAGGGCGTTCCACAGGGCGGGTGCCACTACCGAGAAGGCCCTCTGCCTGGTTCCTTGTAACCTCACTTCTCACAGGGAGGGAACCGCCAGAAAGCCCTCGGTGTCTGGGCAGAACAATGGGGGTGGAGTCGTTCCTTAAGGTATACTGCGCTGAGGCCGTTTAGGGCTTTAAAGTTCAGTGCCAACACTTTGAATTGTGCTCGGAAATGTACTGTGAGCCACTGTAGGTCTTCCAGGACCGGTGTTATACGGTCTCGGTGGCTACTCCCAGTCACCAGTCCTGTTAGGATTCAACCTAAATCTGTTAGCCAGCATCCATCCTCCAACCACCTCCAGACCATAGCTGTCAACTTTTCCCTTTTCTTGCGAGGAATCCTATTCAGAATAAGGGAATTCCCCTTAAAAAATGGGAAACGTTGACACCTATGCCTCCAGACACTCACACAGTCTTTCCATGAATGTTTCTCTGTCTTCAAGCATTTTGGCATGGAGGCATCGCTGAATATCAGCGCAGCAGGGCCTGGGGAAATAACATTTCTATCCCTGCCACATCACCTGGTAATGACTTTGTCTTGCTTTCTGTTCCACAGTTAGATGATTACAATACGTCGGACTATGCGGAACAACTCTCCAATTACACCGACTACATGTGCCCCACGATGGATGAGAGCACCACCCAACAATTAAGGGCCTTCCTGGTCCCTTTTGTCTACATGCTGATCTTCTTGCTGGGGGGTGTCGGAAACCTGATGGTGATCGTGATCCTGTGGTGCTACCGACGCTCCCGCAGCTCCACCGAGCTCTTCCTCTTCCACCTGGCCTTGGCGAACCTTTTGCTCGTGTTCACCTTCCCCTTTGGGGTTGTCCAGAACATAGCCGGTTGGATCTTTGGACCTTTCCTCTGCAAGGTGCTCAGCGCCACCAACAGAATCAACTTCTACAGCAGCAGTCTGCTGCTGGGCTGCATCAGCGTGGAGCGCTACCTGGCCGTGGTGCATGCGCTGTGGGCCTTCCAGAAGCAGCGAGCCATCTCTGTCCACCTGACATGCCTGGGAGTTTGGGTCATCTCTCTGCTGCTGACATTGCCTGACCTGCTCTTCACAGAAGTCTGGCCGAGCAGGGACAACCAGCCCAGCATCTGCCACTTCAGAGAATACGGCAAACATGGAATCAACGCGTGGCTGGCCACACGCTTCCTGTATCACATCGTGGGCTTCTTCCTGCCCTCGCTGGTCATGTGCTTCTGCTACATAGCCATTGTCAGGGTCCTGTGCCGCTCCCAGCGGCTGAAGCGGCAGAAAGTGGTTCGAGTAGCCATTTTGGTCACCAGTGTCTTCTTGTTCTGCTGGACTCCATACCACGTGGTGATCTTCCTGGACACCCTCAACAAGCTAGCTACCGCCAACAACGGGTGTGCGGTTGAGCTGAACACGGCCATAATTCTGAGCGAGATGGTTGCCTTCAGTCACTGCTGCCTCAACCCCATCCTCTATGCTTTTGTGGGCATCCGGTTCCGTCACGACGCTTGCCGACTTCTGAACAGCCTGGGCTGCCTGAGCCAGAGCACCCTGCAGGACATCCTGGGCACCTGCAGGATGGATAGCAGCACCGCAGAGACCAACATATCGCTCGTCAACCGCCACCCTTCCTCTCCATCTTCCACAAATCCCCTAACCACATTCAAAGGCTCTCCTTCTTCTTCCTCTTGTCCCCAAGCCCCAGCTGACCAAAGGGCTCAGGGGGGAGAGTCTGGGGCTCAGCTTAGGCCAAGTCAGAAGCAAGTATCGACAGACCAAAGACTGGATGAGCAGAACCTCGCTTAGTAAGCCAGGCACCACCTTCCTGAAATCCTGTGTGTGATGAATGTGCACACTCCTTCCAGCTTCCTTGGAAGAGAGTCCCGTGATGTTGGCGAACATGCAATGCTTCCAGATACAGATCCTGCTTTTTGCTTCTCAGGTTCATATTCCCTTAGTGCTCCCCCCTGCCCCCCCCCGGGCCTCGAAGAATGTGTAACTGTCAGCTTCAATGCAAGCCCTGCCACTCCTTCTTTGTGTTGAAATACTCGCCTCTCCTGCTTATTCATCCCGAGCTCTGCTGTGCCCCAGCATTCAACCAAGACGACTCACAAGCATCTGCTCAAGTTGTGAGCACAAGGTTAGCCCAGGCATACAAAGGGGGAGCCCCACTATTAATCAACTATGGCCCACATGACTTCCTCTGGGGTTGCAGAGACTCCTATCCTGCTGCTTACCCCGTGCTCAGCATTCAGGGAGGGGGGTAATTGGGGGCTCTTAATGAAATCCACAAGCCCCAGACCCTCCCCCCAGGCTTTTGGGGTGTGTGTGTGTGAAATGTTTTTTTCTATTGCTAAAACATACACAATACTATAACAAGAAATTAAGTAAATTTGAAATAAAATGGCTGATTATAACAGAAGAAAGCAGCAAAGTATGTACCGTAATCTCACTTTCGAAAAGCACAATTTCAAGGGGGGTGGGGGAGAGACCTATGGTTGCCATAGTTCAAAAAATGAAAATCCAGACACAAAAGTTATTGAGCTTTTTTTGCCCAAAGTTGTTGATCTTTAGAAAATTGGCTTCCAGGTGGAAAAATCAAAATTAGAAACAGAACTGTTAGAACCCAAAACTAAAAATTTGTCAAGAATGTATAACTTGCTGTTGAAATGGAATACTCAGGATGAAACGGTGAAATCTGCGATGATTAAATGGGCACAAGATGTTGGACATAATATTATGTTTGCTGACTGGGAACAGTTATGGACCACAGGTATGAAGTTTATGGCATGTAATGCCTTAAGAGAGAATATTATGAAAATGATATACAGGTGGTACATGACCCCAGTCAAGCTTTCAAAAATCTATCATTTGCCCGATAATAAATGTTGGAAATGTAAAGAAACTGAAGGTACATTCTTTCACCTTTGGTGGACGTGCCCAAGGATTAAGGCTTTCTGGGAGATGATTTATAATGAAATAAAAAAGGTATTTAAATATACCTTTCTGAAGAAACCAGAGGCCTTCCTTCTGGGCATTGTCGGCCAATTGGTGCCAAAGAAGGACAGAACTTTTTTTATGTATGCTACAACAGCAGCAAGAATACTCATTGCAAAGTATTGGAAGACACAAGATCTACCCACTCTGGAAGAATGGCAGATGAAGGTGATTGACTACATGGAATTGGCGGAAATGACTGGCAGAATCCGAGACCAGAGAGAAGAGTCGGTGAAAGAAGACTGGAAGAAATTTAAAGACTATTTACAGAAATATTGTAAAATTAAGGAATCTTAGAAGGATGTTGGATAGAAACTAAGTGGTTTCCAGCTGTAATGCTTTAAGAGATACGAAAAAAAAAAGGCTTATAAATGGGTAAAAGCTTAATGGTAAGGATTTGCTGAACTAACAAATTGAACTGGAATACAAAAAAGGGAGGTACGAGGAGGTCCGGGGAAATAAGTGTAAGGAAGATAGGCTATGGAAAATTAACGTGTTTTTAACTGTTTTATTTTGTATGTTTCTTTTTATTTTTTACTTTTTTGTTATATCTTAAAAACTTTATTCTTTTTTCTGTATTCTGTATTTTCCTGTATTTTTTGAAACTTTAATAAATATCATTTTTTTAAAAAAACAAAGTTGTTGATCTTTTTTTAGTTTTGCCCAAATTGCTGAGCTTTTTGGGCAAAATCGCAAAAAGATGACGTTTTTGAGCTATTTTTAAGGTAAATTGGCAAAACATACGCTGCCATACGTCCAAATTTCCCCAGATATTTGATATTTTGCCAATTTCTGCCCGGACACTGCTTCCGGATGTATGGCAACCCTGGGAAACCCCATATATGTATGTGTACATACACACACAATGCATTACTTATTACCAAATTATTCATTAATACATGGTAAACTCATAACTCATATTTGGGAATGAACCATAATTAATAAATATCTTTCATTTTACCAAGTTTTTACGCCTCTCTTCCTTCTCGATAGCCTTAAAAGGTTGTGGAGTTAGCAATAGCTGCAAACAAGAGATTCAACAGACACCTTCTGTTCCCACTTTTAACCACCTGCTGGAAACGTATCTATTCCATGAGGCTTATGCAGGCAATTAAGAATACATCTTTCCGTAATAGCCGATTTCTGATTTTAACATTTTAATATCGTTTATATTGTATGGCTCTATGTACAACTGTTGTTAAACACTCTGTTTTTATGAATAGCAGTATATAATTTTTTTAAATAAATAAAGGGCAGTCACGTATTTTCTCCATCTATTCGTTAATATCAAGTGTTGGAAATAATCTCCATTATTTTGTGTACAGGATTCTATTCTCAAGAAGCCTATTAAAAAACAGTTTATATATACATTTTAATAAATAGTCATATATTTTATCCATCTATTCTTTAAGCGTTGGAAATCTCCAATATTTTGTGTACAGGATTCTATGCTCAACAAGCCTATAAAAACCAGTTCCTTATGTTCTGGCCTAACCAAATGTTCCACATGATTTTTATTTTAAAATGAAATGCTGGGTGAAAGGGGCTTTATAACCTAAAACCTTTGCAACTCGGAATTTTATTTTCCTCCAAAACTTCCTTCCCAACAGTTGTACCCAATCTTGCACCCTGCAGCCTTCTACAAAATTATTTAGGGAAAGGCAGAAAACCACCTTGAAAGGAAACAGGGTCAGGTCCCTCTCTCCATCACAGTTCCCCCTGGCCTATGCCCAGTAATGAGCATGTTCCAAACAGGAACTGGAAATACCTGTGGCTACTGCCCAGTTCTCCCGAAGATGTTTTGGACTCCCCAACTGGAGATCCATCCAGATATTCCCCAGAGTACCTTTAAGCAAGCAGGAAGAGGCAAAGCGAACCCAAAGAGAAGCTGCTGGTGTTGTCACAGACTCTGAAAGGGAAAAGAGCAGCGCCATGCTCAATGGACATGTTATGGCTGCCCGTTTAAATTCCTCTTGCTTGGACGAGAAAATCCCATGGTGCAAAGTGGCCTCTGTGCAACTTGGCAGCTGGGCTGTCTTGCCAGCGCTCAAGTAAGGATGTCTGCAGCCAGGGTACCCTGCCCAGGAAGTAAACAAAGGGCAGGCGTTTGCCTTCCTAGCTCAGTGGAAAGGCTGAAGCCAGCACCAACAGCGCAGGGTGAACTCTTTCAGTTGGCTTCCCTTCTACCACTAACTTCCTGGTAAACAAACGCAGTTCTCCCATCCCAGTTTTCCTTTGGACCAAATGGGTGAAATTCTCACCTTCCACATCCTCCACGGCCAGTGGGAAATGCAACCTGACAGGTTGCCTTACCCCGTGGAAAGCCGACTCTGCAGCCGCCCTCTTTCAGCAGGGAACTTCATTTGGACTTGCACCCTGGGATTGCATGCAGCTCCCCATTCAACAAGGTGAACATCTCCTGTCAGGGCAGCACCTGCTACCTGCGCAGGAGTCCTTGTTTGTTTGGGAGCTGGCAAGGTGTGTCTGTGTTGCTCATGCAGCTGGGGAGGGCTGTGTGTGGAGAGGGGGGGCATGAGAAGCTTGTGTGAAATGTTACTCAGCATACCTCTGCTGCTATTGCAAATAATATCAGAGGGTACATTAAATAAAGTGATTTTGTGCCCACTTTCCCCTCCTGCTCCTGCTGGCATCCGTTTGTGAAACAAAACAGGCTCAGGATGGCAAAGCAAAGGCCTGGAGAGGCTCTTGGGAAGGCTGAGACTTTGCGGTCTCCCTTAGAGCAATATTACAGTCGTACCTTGGTTGTCAAACGCCCTGAACTCGTACATTTCGGTTCCTGAATGATCAAAAACCAGAAGTGAGTATTCAGGTTTTCGAACAGTTCCGGAAGTTGAACGGACTCCCGGAACGCATTCTGTTCGAGAACCAAGGTACGACTGTAAATGGAATATCCTGAATCGAATCGGATACAACCAAGTCCAGAGCCACCTAGTGACTAACACATTACCCTTATCAGCAGAAAATGGGTCTTATCACGAGGGTGTGTGTGTACATGCACAGAATATTGTGGCCAGGGAAAGTCCAGATAAACCAACTCTGCAGAATCGGGGCCCCTCTCAATCATATATTAGACTAGCAAGCAGCCCTTTCCTGCCCACACTCAAAGACACCACAAAAGGCTCCTTCCAAGCGAGTTTTGAAATGTCTTTTTAATAAAAAGGCACCTATAAAACAGGTCAATCAATACGTTACAGGCAGCACAGATACCCAAAAACAAGCCTAGAAATCATTTCAAAATAAAAACCAATAAGATGTCTTCACATATTGTATTTATATATTTATATTTATATATATATATATTTATAGAATGGTACAAAATGCATGGGTGGCAGGGAGAGGGGCCTTCCCCCTCCCCACATGGGATGACAAGAGAGTGGGCCAGTCCCCATTACCTGGGCACAAACACATCTGTTGTGGGCATTTTGGATTGCTTGAAATTGCATCGCTTGGGTCAGGTGTGTGCGCATGTGTGTGTGTTGAGAACGGGAAATGGACAGGTTGTGGCAAGAGACAGAGGAGAACAGGGCAGACTTTCAGCAGACGCCGCTCAAGCTGGGGAGCTGAGCGAGAAAGCACAAGACACAAGACTGGACAACGTTCACAGCGCAAGGTGAGGCAGGGAGGGAGCAAAGGGCTGTGCGAATGACTGCGTGGCAAGGGGCCCAGGACCACCATATTGCTGATAAACCAGACGCAGCAGATTGGAAGGTGACACACCTGGCAGGTGTGGCTGCCACAGAGGATCAGGATCGCAGGCTTCGGCTGGAGCAACAGCCACAAGGGCAAATACGCAAACCAGGAACATTTCCATTTTGATTTTCAGGACAACTGACTCCCCGCTTCCCCTTCCCTCACTTCTGTACCCCTTTCACTGATCAGTTTTGAGTGCAGAACACCTTAAATGCCTCCCAGGTCATCTTTGCTGCCAGCGGGAGGGTGAAGACACCTCCACACTTCCGCAAGGAGTACCGCACACCTTTCAAAGGGCCAGATGGAATTTAAAATAGGGCAGGTAATTTTGGCTTTATTACGTGGCACACTCTAAGGGCTTGGGAATGTCGTCCTTGTGAGCAATCGCAAGCTTGCAGGTCCTGGTGCCATCTTGGTACCACCCAGCTGGTGATGGTGTTTGCCATAGAGGCTTGGTGGGGAACAAACAAGGCCTTTCTCAAGCAAAAACAGATCAATGCTACCGAGGTGTGTGCAGCACTGGAACAAGCGCAGAAGAGCATGGGCCGGGTGGGGAGATGTGGGGAGCACCCACTCCTTAATACTAGAGGCCTAGAATTTTGTCATATCACAGATCTGCATTATATTTGCTTTTAGTCATCAAGCTGCTCACTTTTTCTGTATGCAAATATTTCAATCCAGAACAGTCCAAAAGTGCAGACGGGGCTTTTCAAACGTTCCGATTCAGAGCTCTGGCAAAGCCAGCTTTTAGTCTCCATTCATTCAACTGGCTCGTTTCTACGATTCAAGCCAAATCAAGTAAAGGAGATCAATGAAACATTTGTTTGACATGGACTGAATCACAGCTACTATGACGTCTCCCCACTTTGCTCTCATTGTGTGACATATGTGTATAGAGGTGTGGGTTTTTTTGAGGGGGTGGGCAGGGGACAGGAAGAGATGCACCAGGGCAAAGGGTTGCTCGACCTGTGAGAGAACGTATGTGGCAACTGCAACAAGCCAAAATAAGATGGGAATGCTGGCCTTTCTGTTCTGCCATTTTACTGATGCAAATCATTAGCCTTGGAGGGGAAACTGTGGAAGAAGAGGGTGCTAAACGTGAGGTGGTTATGGGAGGAGGTGGCCAACATTTAAGTTACATTTCCCATTCTGGCTGTGTGTGTGTGTGTGTGTGTGTGTGTGTGTGTGTGTGTTTGCAGAAGAGGGACATTCATTTCCAAATGCTATGACTGCACACATGAGAGAGAAGAGAGGCAGACATCCAACCTGCTCCCAACCTGCTAGAGGACCAATGTCTTGGGCGGAGTTGGGGGGGGGAATATATGGTTGTGTGCCAAAGTAGTGACCCAGAGTAGAGCTGCTGGGCTGACAGCATGGCTAGGCTGGACCAAAACCATACAAGCCAAAGGACGTCCTTCCCTCACATAGGGAAAAGGGGAAAGGTGGGGAGGAGGCATTCTGCCAGACTACGCAGAGGGCCACTGCATCACCTGACTAGCTGGCACCTAGCTGAGAGAATCAGCTGGTGGAACCTGCATCTGGGCCCTCGAGCTCGGGATTTCCAGTCCACAATGAGTCGAACTTTGTCAATGGGTTGTATTTTCATTTGTTTCTTCCAAAAAACAGGTTTTGAGGCTTCTATTAAAACACAGAAATACAAACAATTCCAAGCCAGCAAAACTTTGCTGCTGCTGCTGCTGCTTCCCCCCAACCTATTTACAGCTGTTCCAAACCCTCTTGCACATTTTGGTTACTTAAAAAAAGAGAAAGAGAAAAAGAGAGAGAGAGAGAAACCAAGAGAGAAAGAAATTCACGCTCAGAGGAAAGATCCAAACCAAACTCTGTGCCAGGGCAGAGACAGGGGCTGGCATCAGCATGGCTGCACCAGGAGGCTCCCCGCTGCCAGCCTCAGAAGGGCAGGTTGGCCATGCCGCCCGCTCCTGGGCCGTAGCTCATCTGACCGTCCAGGGAGACGCTGCGCTGCCGCATGGGGTGTGAGACCATGAGGTTCTGCTGGGGTGGGGGGCCCATGAGCGAGCCTTGCGGGGAGATCATGTGACCCGGCTGCGCATACATCTCCCCCGAGACGGACATGCTGCGCTGCTTGGCCTGCATGAGCAGGAAGTTCTGCTGGGCGAGGAGGTTCTGCTGCTGGGGCAACATCATGCCCTGGTGCATGCTGTTGCTCATCATGGCTTGCTGGGGCGCCAGGCCTGTCCTGCCCAGCACGGGGGGCACCTGTCCCGGGTGGCACATGGCCATCCCACGCTGCATGCCCGGAGGGCCGGGCCGGGCCGGGGCCTGCTCTGCCATCATGTTCTGCAAGTTCATGAGGTGCAGGTTGGAGGGCGGCTGCGGCTTGGGCCCCGGCCCCTCGCCCTTGGGGAAGTACTGCAGCGTGCTGCTGGGCTTCTCGGACGGGATGATGCGCGACAAGTCGAATTCGGGGATGCCGGTGGGCGTGGGGCGGATCACGTCGCTCAGCTCCGGGTCGTTGAGCACCGAAGCCACACCAGGAAGCACCGATGGGTAGGGCTCCGGCGGCATCCTCCCGGCCATGCGCTGCTGCTGTTGCGGCGGCATTTGCCCCGGCTGTGGTGGGGGCAGCTCCTCCGGGGGCAGTCCCAAGCCTGGCGGATAGTGTTGCTGGACACCGGCCCCCCCAGGAGCCATGGGCATATTGCCCCCATTCGCAGGGGGCTGCTGGAGGCGCGGGGGGAAGATCAGCTGTCCGGAAGGGCCGCAGGGCTGGTTCAAGGAGTCCTGGGCATTGGGGGGCAGCATCATCGGGTTCTGGGGGGGCGCACCGCTGTGCATGGGAATGTTGGCGCCCAGGGGGCTTGGCGAGGACATTGAGGGCTCGTGCGAGAGTGGCTGCTGCCCCGGCAGGTTCATCCCCATGGGGCTCTGAGCAGGAGCTGGCCCCACGGAGTTCATGTGCATCTGGTTGGGCTGGTTCCCACCCATGCCTGGAGGAAGAAAGAGAGAGGGGGGCTGTTAGGTGGCAGGCAAGGCAACAGGAAGCAAAGAAGCCATGGGGACCAAGCACGCCCCCCCCCGCACCCCCAAAAGGCAGGACAGAAGCAGGGCTAGCGTGTGGAGGCAAGTGCTCAGCAACGGCAGACCCACCCCACCCCAATCTCTTTCCAGACAGAATTATTTATTAGGTGGGGGGAGGAAAGGCACATTCCCCACTTCTCTCCCCAGAAATGACTGAGGGAAGATGCCAGGGGCTCACCCTACTCTGGCTAGAGAAGCCCTTCCTAGCCAGCACAGTTGGCAGCAGAGATCACGAAGGAAGGCAAAGAGACCAGTTGCCACTGCGAGTGCCATTTAACCTGCATTTAGACAAAATGCCTATTGGGGTTCTCAGGATTGCGGTCTCTCTGGGAAGACCGGGGGAAGGAGCTAGAGACTCTCTCTGCCAGCCACAAAAAAGGCACTGCAGGCCCCATGGTTGAAGAGGTGGCAGCAGGCAGCCCCAATTCCTTCCCCTATCCAGCCGGATGCAGGCCCCACGATACCGATACCTACCAGACATGGCACCCGACGGAAGCATCGGCCGGTCGGGCATCATTTCATCGTCCGAGGTGGCGATGGTCTTGATGGCGTTGTGGTAGAGAGGGGTGGAGCTGGGCATGGCGTACTTGGACATCTGGGACATCATGAGTGACAAGGGGTTCTGGGACGGGGGTGGATCTGGAGAGGAAGGAAAAGGCAGGTTGGGGTTCAGGGGGCCAGAGGGGTTGCTAGGTGGGGCAGAGGAGCTGCTCCTAGGCCCAGGCGCCATCGGACCTGTAATGAGAGAGATAGCAAGCGGCTTAGGAACCAAGATTCAGAGCTGGCAGCAGCCTCCACAGCATCCCTGAACCAGGACAACACCCCTTGCTTGGACGCATGGAGAAATCTTTGTGTGGAAGGGCTGTGGTTCTGCGGCAGAGAACCACATTTCCCAGCAGAACTGGGAAAGAACACCTATGTCTGAAACCTTGAAGGGCCTACGGCTGCCAGTCAGTGTGGAATGATACTAGGCCACTGGACCAACAGGGTATTAGGAAGGTTCCTATGGAGGGGTGTAGAAATCTCTGAACATTTTCTGTGGCCAACTGCCCCAAGGGTATGGATCAGATCCATTGTTCCGCCTACTTTTTTGCCTCTGCCTCCAACCGCTACTTGTGAGCAGCTCTTGCGCACGAACAAATGCCCACCCCAACAACGCCAGCCAAAGACAGTGGCACATCTTGGCCCCAGAGTGAGGGTGGCATTTGTTGTCAAAGGGATACAATCTCCACTGCGTTTCACTCCCACCCTACCCACCGGTGTGGGAAAGGTCAAAGAGTTGATGAAAAACTATGTTCAGGTTATGTTTTTAAAAACCACCGTTTCCCAAATATACTTCAGGTATATTTTTGATTAAAAGTGGCTGCTAGTTGCAGGATGAAAACATGCACATGTATCATGCACATTCACAACCTAGTGCTCTCCAGATAGTCGAAACAAAATAAAAAAATTCCTTCCATGAGCACCTTAGAGACCAACTTAAGTTTGTTATTGGTATGAGCTTTCATGTGTATGCACACTTCTTCAGATACACTGAAACAGAAGTCACCAGATCCTTATATATAGTGAGAGGGTGGGGAGGGGTATTACTCAGAAGGATGGTGGGAATTGGGTGATTGGCTGATAGGTGTGGTAAACCTGTTGACGACTATTAATGACTGCAATTGGTCTTACAGGAAAAAGCAATGGGTGTGACGGCTAAAAATAGCTATATCACGTATAATGAGATAAGAATCCAATGTCTCCATTCAGACCAGGTCTCTCCATGGTTTTAAGTTTGGTAATAAGTTGCAATTCAGCAACTTCTCTTTCCAGTCTATTTCTGAAATTCTTTTGTAATAAGACAGCTACTTTGAGATCTTGTGTAGAATGTCCTGGGAGACTGAAGTATTCTCCTACTGGTTTCTCTGTCGTGTGATTCCCGATATCAGATTTATGTCCATTTATCCTTTGGCGTAGGGTTTGGCCTGTTTGTTCAATATAGAGAGCTGAAGGGCACTGTTGGCATTTGATGGCATACACAATGTTAGAAGATGAGCAATTAAATAGTCCTGAGATGGTATGTTTGATGTTGTTGGGGCCAGTAATGGTGTTGTCCGGATGTATGTGGCAGCACACGAAAGCTCATACCAATAACAAACTTAGCTGGTCTCTAAGGTGCTACTGGAAGGAATTTTTTTATTTTGTTTCGACTATGGCAGACCAACACAGCTACCTACCTGTAACTCTCCAGATAGGTTGGACTACAACTCCCAGTAACCCCAACCAGCAGAGGCTGCGACGGAGTTGCAGTTCAAATCATCTAGAGAGCACCAGGTTGGAGAAAGCTGGCATACATAGTATTTCTAGTTCAATAGGATTTCCATTTGGAGGTTCTCTCGGAATACAGAAACAGACCGCCTGCTTTCAGACCCATTGCCCATCTCTCTCCAGAAACAAGAAAGGGCTGGTCCTTCTTCCCAATAATGTGTGTTTTCCTATGAAACAGGAAGCAAATATTCATTGAAAGTTGGCAGAATGGCACATCAACCTGAGAACTGCAAGCACCGCATAAAGCAGTGCGACAGGAGCACATAGAAGGGCTCAGAGAATGGGCTTGGCGTGCAGGGCAGCAGGAGAGTGTCTGGACTCAGATGTTGCTGATAACTTGTTAGCAGCCGATCCTCAGCATCAAGCAAATAATAATACAACGGTTAATCTAGGTAAAGGTAAAGGGAACCCCTGACCATTAAGTTGCCGTGGCCGACTCTGGGGTTGCGGTGCTCATCTCGCTTTATTGGCCGAGGGAGCCAGCATACAGCTTCTGGGTCATGTGGCCAACATGACTAAGCCACTTCTGGTGAACCAGAGCAGTGCACAGAAATGCCGCTTACCTTCCCGCCGGAGCAGTACCTATTTATCTACTTGCACTTTGACGTGCTTTCGAACTGCTAGGTTGGCAGGAGCTGGGACCGAACAACAGGAGCTCACCCTGTCATGGGGATTCGAACTGCCGACCTTCTGATCGGTAAGTCCTAGGCTCTGTGGTTTAACCCACAGCGCCACCCGCGTCCCTAACGGTTAATCTACTGAGCCGTATTTGCAATGCTTGACATCTAAATGCAGACACTCCCCCCCCCGCCCTGTTTTATTTCCATTTTTAAAAAGATGCCTACTTCCTGTTTGATAAGAACAACTGATTTTAAGATAAATGTAGGCTTTACTCTTTTAATTTTTTAAAAAAAGAACAGGAGAGTCGCATTTCAATTTAAAACTGCAACGTGCTCCTTTTGCAGTCCCTGCCCTCAGGGTACAATCCAGGCCCATTACCTTGCTCGATGCTGCCCAGGGGTGCAGAGTTGCTCATTCCAAGGGCTGGCTTGTTCTGCCCAATGCCAGGGCTGGAAAGGGCGTTTTTCGGCGAGGGCGCCCACCCTGGAGAAGAGACGGCCATGGACGGGGACTTGAGGTGACCGGGGGAGCTGGTCGGGGATCGGACGTTGAGCACGGAGCTGAGAACCTGCGGGGACTTGAGTGGGGCGCTGGTGGCACTGGCGGCTGGCAGGTTGACCATGGCGGAGGGCGTCTGCGGGGACTTGAGGTTGGCGGAAGGGGAGGTGCCCAGCGGGGAATGAACTTGGCTGAGCGTTGGAGACTTGAGGCGGCCCACGTTGGGAGAGTTCATCTGCCCCATGTTGAGGGCCAGGTCGGAAGGGCGGCGGCCCAGGCCCCTCACGGGCGCCTGGTGCATGTTTGTGGACGGGGCGCTGGTGGTGGGGGGCAGGGGGATGTGGCTGAGCCGCGTGGTGCTGCCCATGCCCCCCTGCTCGGGGCCAAACATGTCTGTGGTGTTGCTCATCTCCTGTGGCACAGCAGGGTACGGGCCCTGCATGCCTGGGAAACCTTGTTGCTGCTGCTGAGGCGGTGGTGGTGGTGGCGGCTGCTGCTGCCCCTGACTGGGGAACGGTGAGCCCATCATCATTTTCGGGGGGCCCCCCATCATGGCTGCAGTGCCGTTGGGGGCACGCAGCCGAGCCATTTCCTCGGAGGGCATCATCTCGGGGCCGCGCATCTTCTGCGACATCAGCATCTGCTGCTGCTGAGGCGTCATCTGCACGTTCAAGTTCATGTTCATGTTCATGTTGACGTTCATGTTCATGTTGAGGTTGCCGGGGCCCAGTGCCGGCTCCATGTCCCGCAGCGGCGGGCTCATCATGGCCCGCGAGCCCCCAAACTCCATGCCCAGCCCCTCCCCAGCAAACATGGCCGGCTCCACCTGCCGGTGCGCCTGCATCATGCGCTCCATCTCCATGCCCAGAGGCCGCTGCATCGCCCCCTGCCGCTTCTCCAGGTGGTGCCGCAACATCTCCTCGCGAGCCCGCGGCGTCACGAAGCGCTCCGCCTCGCCTTGGCCCGGCAGGTAGGGCAGGTTCCCGGGGGCGAAGTTGCCAGGCCCGGCCATGGGCATGTCCTCGTTCCAGGCCATGCCGGGCCTCGGGGGGCGCTGCACGCTGCCCATGGGGCCCAGCGACTCGAGGGGCAGGTTCGGGATGCCCCCGAAGCCCCTCTGCATCTGGTTCCCGGGGAATCGCGGCCCCGCGAAGGACGGCCGCAGCTGCATCTGCTCGGGCATGTCCATGGGCACGCCCCGCAGCAGCCACTGCTCGCCGGGCTTGCTGTGGTAGGGTGGCGGAGGCCCCCGCAGCATCATGGTGCCCATGGGCTGGGGCAGCATCATGTCCTGCAGGGGCCGCCCACCGTGCATGCCCACCTGCTCCTCCTTGCGCCGCTTTTCCTCGTAGTACTCCTCCTGCAGCTTCCGCCAGGCCACCTGCTCGGGCGTCAGGCTGTCCTGGCCCAGCCGCTGCATCATCATGTTCATCTGCTGCCCCATGTCCACTCCGGAGGGAACAGGGCCCTCCTGCTCCAGGCTGGGGCCCCCCAGGCTCTGAGTCTGCGAGATCATGGACTGCAAGGGCTCCTCGTATTTCTTCAAGCCAGGGGCCCCAGGGGGTGGGGCCTGGGGGGCCTGCGGGGGAGGGGCCTGGGGAGGCATGACGCCCCCCTCGCCAGCCCCGGGGCTCCCTTTGAGGAAAGGCTCGGCCTCGCTGCTGCGCAAGAGCAGGCGCTCAATGTCCCGCAGGGTCTGCAGAGACCGCTCACGGTGCTCCAGCTGCTCCTTGGAGAGGCCCTCCGTGTTGAGGGCGTTGCGGGGCCCGTTCCCCGCCGAGGGGGGCCCGGCATTGGCCCCTTCCCCCATCAATCCATCAGCGGCCCCAGCAGGCAAGGAGCTGGGGGCAGTGGGCGTGTTAGGATGGGTGCTGCTGGGGGCGGTGCTGCTGCTGCTGCCGTTCCCCACGGAGTTGGGGGTCAGGTCCCGGCGGGCATCCTCGGGAGCCCCCTCTTGCGGGAGGGGGCCGGCCGTGGGCAGCGGTCCTTGGCCAAGACCCAGCGGTGGGGGTGCCGGAGGCTGGGGAGGTGGTGGTGCAGAAGCCGGAGGCTGCCCCTGGGCTTGGCTGCTCGGGGGCACGGCGGGCTGGGACTGCGGGGTGCTGGCAGGAGACGGGTTGATGGGCAGCGGCTCAGGAGTGGCTTGTATCTTTGGGATGGGCACCTGCAGGGAAGGAAGGAAGGAGGGTCAGTGGGGTGGGTGGGTGCCTTGTTCCAGGGTGCACACGTCCAACCTTCACCTTCAATGGTGTGGCCCGCACCAACCCAAACCCTCAGCCAGGGGTAGTCAACCATTTTATACCTACCGCCCACTAATGCATCTTTCTTGATGGTAAAAGTTCCTTACCACCCACCAGTGCTCGATGGAAGGAGGATTCAGCTTGTGCCTTAGAACCCCCTACCGCCCACCTAGAATCCTGAAACAGCCACTAGTGGGCGGTAGGGACCAGGTTGACAACCCCTTGTCTGGTGTGCGTGCAGGAGCCAGGCCCTGTGACCAATAGGACTCTGCAGGAGTGGGGCCTTCCTAGGTTTGTTCTGAAGAGGCAAGGCGCAGCTGAACAGGTGACTCACAGCACCTGGTGGCAAGAGCCGGGAAGGGATATAAGGTCAGCATTTCCCTTCGGCTCTTTGCCACAGCAACATGTTTCCTGCCTTGCTGTGTTTGGCTTCTTGCTTCCTGATCCTTGAACCCTAGCTTCTTGACTCCCTGCTTCTTGATCCCCCTGACTTCGTGATACCTTGCTTCCTGACCCTCGGCTTCTTGACTCCCGGCTCTCTGACCCTTGGACTCTTGGCTTCCTGACTCCTGGGCTTCTGGACCACCGTTCCTGCTCCCACCCTGCCATCTTGCCCCCGGTCCTGATGTCCCATGCCAGGATTTCGATCGCCTGCGAACAGGACCGTGACACCTCTGCCCTCAGCAGTTCCGAAGACCTGAGCCCCATCCTTTTCCTACCTGATCCAACTTGGCCCGGGGCACATGCTGCTGGTGGTAGCCCAGGATGGAGTCCGCTCGGCCTTGAAGGACAGCTTCTGCCGCCCTGCAAGCACAAACAAGGGAGGCTATCAAGCAGACGTCTTGCCGGCCCTGCCCACATGCATCCCGTTAAGAAACCTGGGCTCTCCCCTTGCTCTGCGTGTTGTTTCCCCACCGACGGTACCCGAGACTGGGGTCCCTGAATACAAAGGGAGGGATGCCTTGGCTGAGGAAGGGGGAGGGTCCCAGGGAATGCAATGCTTCCTCTGACTCCATGCTACCCCCGTGGGGCTGGAGGGCCTTTCAATTCCCGTTGGGGGGAAGCATGAGCCGCAAGGCCTCAGCCACAGGTGAGGGGAGCCGAGGGGAGAAGCCAAGAGGGGCACAGACTCTGGGCAGAAGTGGGTTTTTTCGGAAAGCCACCCACCAAGCCGTGCCCACAGGAGAAGCCACGGGTAGAGGAAGGCCCGGAACCCTACCCGCCACATGAAGGCTTACGTGTTAGCGAGGTGCGTCGTGAAGACATAAACAAACTGCAACGGCTGCTTTCCGCCGCTGTTCCTGGTGTCCGACCTAAGACCAGGGGTTGCTCCATGGGGTGTGCCGGATGCGTTGCTCTCACTCAAGGCTGGCAGCGGATTGGGTCCTGGGCCCAGCTGCGAGGCCGCGGTCATTGCCGACTCCGCTACATTACAATCTGCAGTGAAAGGGGAGAGGAGGAGTTAGAAAGCCAAGTGCAGGAGCTGCTGGTCAGCTGTTGGGTCCAGCAGGAGAACCTCAGAACAGGGAGCTGAGAAGCCTGGGCACAGCTAGAGGTCCAGGGAGTGAGTTCACACATGAACCAACGTAGAGGGAAGGCTCAACCTCCTTCCCAGTTTATTTCAATCCCCAACTAGTATGTGATGATATTTTCTGGTCATACCTGCAAAAAGAACACGGCAAGAGAAGGTTCCCATCCCTCCCTGTCCCCCATGCATTTGACATTGTGCTGGTTCCAGCTATCACAGATCACTCTTTGCTGGGGGAGATGAGGGTGTGGAGGCTTCTCACTAAGGGAATGGCCAAAGGAAAGGAGATGGGAAGTCATGGCTGTGCGTGTGTCTGTTTCAAGGGGTGTCTGTTATTTACTTTGCTGCTTTTAATGACCAGATTATTGTTATTGTGTTGTTGCTGTTGTTTTTAAAAACCTATGTAACAATTCGTATGTACAACAATCCAGTTAGTTGCTTTGCGCCTCTCCACCCAACCGGAAAAGTGAGACCAAAATTTTAGCATAAATAAAACAGCATATCGGTAATAAATGCGCTCCATAATAAGAAGAAACTGAACAGCCGCAAAAAACCCGAGGAGACGGATGCTGTGAAAAACCCTATATGTTTAAAGTCCATTTCCCCCACCCCACTCACAGTATCCTGCAAACTGCGGTTCACCCCTCACAGAGCTACAATTCCTGGCACTCTGACCAAACTACGACTCCCAATATTCTTGGGGCAGGGGTGTAGTTTAAATGTATGGTTTGCATGTGTGCTCTGGCGGGGCTGCTGCCCGCTGCGTTGAAGGGCTGTGGGCAAAGGTTCTGGAGTGTCAATTCACTGCAGTTTCAGGAAGCAAAACATGCAAATCCCAGAGTAAGCGATGCTCAAAATGCTGCAAGTCAAGCAGCCCTTTGGGCTCATTCTAAGCCACTAGGGGCCAGTATTTCCCCATGCACAGCTGGGCATGCAAGACACACATGGGGGGACGAGGACGACTCACTGTGGGCGCTGCTGAGAGGCTTCTCCTCTTCCTCCTCGCTGTCTGGTCCAGAGCACCACTCGTCCCCACTGTAGGGCTGCTTCCTTTCCAGCACACAGCGCCGCTTGCTCCGGGGGGCCACTTCGCCTACAAGGAAAGAATGCGCCGTGAGCCACTCGCTGCTCCTCTGGCCCAGAGGGGCAACTGCGCAGCGAGAGGGGAAAGCGGCAGGCAGGTAGGCAGGCAGGTGTTAGCGGCAGCAGTGGCACCCAGGGAATGGCCACGCCCCCTCTGCCGGTCCTGCCCCCACCCTCCGGCCTGGAAGAGAGGCAAGGCGGAGCCAAGTTGGGCAGAGGCAGGAGCCCTCAGCAGGGGGCAGCACTGCGGAGATGGCTCCAGCCTGCCGTTCTCCCTCCAGCCAACAGGCCCCTCACCTTTCAGCTCCTTGTCCAGTGAGGTAGTGGTGGCTTCCTGCCGCTGCTCTCCGGAGTCCACGGAGACACTCCGCTCTCGCTTCACTTTGCCCTTCAAGGCCCCAAAGACGGGCACAGGAGGCTGGCTGGTTTTCAGTCCAGAGTTGCCAGGAGTTTGCTGGCTGGCTTTGCCACCATGATTCCCTGCCCCCACGCCCTTCGTGCCCAGGTTGCAGGTGGGGCTTTGGCTCACATTATGGTGCTGGGGCTGGGCACTGCTGTTACCTGTCTTTCCATGATTGGTCAGTTTATTGTCAGGGTGCATTTGATTGGCTAAGGCTTCTGGCAGCGACACTGGAGGAAGCTCCAAGTCCCTGCTGCTTCTTCCTGTTGGGCAAAACACCTGTGCAAGGGGGCGGGGAAAAGAGAAAAGGAAGAAAAATGGCCGTCAGAGCTGGGGGTGGAGGAACGAGAGCAACCACTGCTAGCCTGTGTCCAGAAGCAGACCAGGCTGCCACCTAAGTGCCCAGTCCAATTACCACAACGGTTCCTTCATGACCGAGGTTATACGGTGCTGTGCTGCCACACAGTTAACACTCTCACAGTCACAACTCAGCCTGCAATAGCAGCCATCGCCAAACCATCTTCAAGGGCAGCCCTAAGTAGACTGCATTACAGTAGTCAAGTCTAGAGGTTACAAAGGCATGGGCCAGTCACCGTGGCCCAACTATCAGCTGGAGGTGGACATAGGCACTGCCAGTGATCCTTCAAGGAGTGTGTAAGCCCATCCAGAAGAGACAAACCCTCCAGTTCCCAGACATGGGAACCACCAATCCACAGTACAGTGGTACCTCGGGTTACATACGCTTCAGGTTACATACGCTTCAGGTTACAGACTCCGCTAACCCAGAAATAGTACCTCGGGTTAAGAACTTTGCTTCAGGATGAGAACAGAAATCGTGCTCCGGCGGCGCGGCAGCATCAGGAGGCCCCGTTAGCTAAAGTGGTGCTTCAGGTTAAGAACAGTTTCAGGTTAAGAACGGACCTCTGGAACGAATTAAATACTTAACCCGAGGTACCACTGTACCTCTGCTTTGTTGGCATCTAGTTTTAGCTCACTGACCGTCATGCAGCCCATTACTAACCCCAGGCACCGGCAAAGAAGCACTTGCATAGCTTCACCCAGTTCCAGAGGAACAGAGCTAGATCTCTATGGAAAACTATGTGGATGTTTTGTTTTCCTGTTGCTTCCAGGAGAGGCAGCAGGCTCCTTGGCCTACCATTTCTCTGTGATTCAGCAGCCGGTTGTTCCTCCCCTCCAATGTGCTGCCCTTGCCAGGGAGTCTGCCAGAGGCAGCCGTGGGAATGGAACTGCTCTCCCTCTCTCCAGGGTTGCCAACTCAGTGCCACCAGGCAGGCACACCAAGACCCGACAGAGGAATGGAAAAGCTTCTTTGGGACATACATGTATGGGCACCGTGCCAGGCCCACAGTTGAAGAACCCAGTGCACTCATTCCTACAGGTGAAGCAATGCCCGCTAGCTAGCTGAGGCCAGAGGGCACCCAGGCAGCCAACACTTCCATGCCTGTGAAAAGATTAATTTGGGGTTGAGGGCTGTGACAGCAGCATTGGCTGGCCAGCCCCTTCATTCCTCCCCTTGACCAGCGCCCATCTCTAACTCCCATCTGATGGTGGCAATCCCAGAGGCAGGGATGAAGATTAATTCTCTGCCTGCAATCCAGGAGGGAGGGAAGGAGGGGAGCCGCTGTCCCTTTAAGTGTCAGCCTGTCGCACTGGCTGGCTCAGTCTCTGGGGGCCTATTAATAGCAGCTGGAAAGATCACATCACTCCCGGGATATTTATACCCCTTTCGTTCCACACCAGGAGAGATTTATTTCCATGCTGCCTAACCCAAGCCTGCCCAGCACAAGAGCCTGCCTGGCGGGGGGTGGGGGGTGGGCAGACACATGCAGAGTAGGGGGAGGAGAGAGGAGCTTGCCTGCTGCGAAGTCCGTCTTGGTGGGGAACAGGATGTGGCCAAAGGCCTGAGATGCCCCCAGGCAACACATGGGCTCTCACCTGGGGCAGACGCAGATAACACACTCACCGCTGCAAGTTGTGGAGGAGCAGGAAGAGTAACCCAAGGTTATGCACACATGCCACAGGGCCCTATAGCAGGAGGGCAACAGGTGGCATTTGTGCCTGGAGGCTTCCAGTTGTGCCATGCACACACAGAATCATAGAATTGTAGAGTTGGAACGGACCCTGAGGTTCATCTATTCCCACACCCCCTGCAATGTAGGACTATGCAGCCATCCCACACAGGATCGAACCTGCAACCTTGGTGTTATGAGCACCATGTTCTAACCCAGCTTTCATGGCATATGCATGGTATGATCACCACCTCTTGGCCTGTCTTGGTTAAACAAGAAGGGTCACAGGAAGCCGCCAATCTGGCCCCTCCCCACCCAGTCTGTAAGGCTGCCCACAGGACAGCTCCCACATTTGTGACATCCAAGTTGCCAGGATTAACAGCCCGCCAGCGCAAACACTCCCCCTCTCCCACAGTTCAGCCTTCGGGTGGTAGGTCTTTCCATGGGGCAGTGCCCTTGCAGCCCTTCTTTTCAAAACCATCCCAGGTAACCCATCCCAGAAAAACCCAGCCGCGTACATTTGCTTCTGATTTCTCTGGGCTTCCATATTCCTCTTGTGCTACTCACATTTACTGCATTTTATATTCCACCTTCCCCCCGCCCACCCCAAGCCAAGGAGAGGAAGGTGGTGCACATGATTCTTTCGCTTCTTCATTTATCCAGTATATCGGATAACGTCTCCACCTGCATCATTCTACCCGGACACTGAGGTCCAGCGCCGAGGGCTTTCTGGCGGTTCCCTCACTGCAAGAAGCCAAGTTACAGGGAACCAGGCAGAGGGCCTTCTCGGTAGTGGCACCCACCCTGTGGAATGCCCTCCCACCAGATGTCAAAGAGAACAACGACTACCAGACTTTAGAAGACATCTGAAGGCAGCCCTGTTTAGGGAAGCTTTTAATGTTTGATGTATTACATTATTTTAATCTTTTGTTGGAAGCTGTCCAGAGTGGCTGAGGAAGCCCAGCCAGATGGGCGGGATATAAACAAACAAACAAACAAACAAACAAATATAATAATAATAATAATTAAACCCCACAACAACCCTTTGGAGGCAGCTGAAAGGCAGTGACTGGTCCAAAGTCAACCAGTGAGCTTCATGGCCAAGTGGGGATTTGAACCCTGGTCTCCCAAGTCCCAGTCTGACACTCTAACCACTACACCACACTGGCTCACCATTTCTTCCCAATCACTGGTATGTTATTCCTCCTATTTACTGTCACTGGACATCAATTGTTGGCTGGTTGTTGGCTGGGGAGGGAGCTAACTTTTAATGGCTTCTGTGGGGCAGTGAACTTTCCCAAGTTCTCCTCATGAACCTCAAAGGCAATGGCTCCACTCAGTCTCCCCAGAGGCAGATCTGCTAGCTTGGAATGGCTGGGACTGCTGCTTCTTAGATCTGAGCAGGTGGGGACAGGTTGAGGCTATGGGTGTCGGCAGGCACTCTGGACATGTTCAGAGGTACTTGAAAACACTATTGCACATATTTCAGGACTTCATGGTAGTATTGAAAATTGCTCAGAGGGCCGGTCCTGATATGTACTGGGGAAAATTAAGGCCTGGATTAAAGAACAGATTCCTCAACTACAAGGTAAACAATGGTCCTTGTTTCTCATTTTGACCCTTTTACATGGTTTTGTAGTATTTTATGCATTGCGACTTGCTGTTATTTTTTATTGATCATAGTTTAGTAATTCTTTATTGCAATTGTTAAGTGTAAACTGTTTATAATTATTATCTGCTGATATTTAATTTTACTGTTCACTGTTCTAATAGATTACTGAATATTGCTTTATTTGACACACATTAAGTTGTTTATCTTAAAGTTATGTTTTCATTATGGTTTTTTTTGTACTGGATCAGATTGTTATTAGGTGTTATTATCTTTGCTGCCTATGCTGTTGTTTCTTTAGCTTGCAAACCGCCTTGTAGTATAGTAAAACAAGAAAGGGGTATACAAATAAAAAGTGAAATGAAAAACGAAATGAAATTGCTTTTGCAAGCTCCTCCCCTCCCAATCTTTGCCTCAAGCTGAAGAACTTCAGTTGAAGATGCATCCCGAAGGAGGCATCTTGTTGGGCTGCTGGAAGACAAATGGGGGAGTGGGTGGGAGTGTACCCCTTGTGTAACTGGTGAACGGGGAAGGAGTAAACGATGCTCAAGCTGCAGCTCAGTAACATAGCTGAGCACCTGCCCAGACACGGATCATAAAAGCGTTTGCAGGACCCAGAAAGGAAAGGTGCATTGCATAAATAAATCAGGGTGGATTTGATTTAAATCACTAGTCAGTAAGATTTTATTTAAATCATTTTTTTTACAGGAAGACTCATTCTTGCTGGTATAACCTTTACAGTATTTACAACAAGATGAAGGTTTCATTTTTGGAATAATCAATTTTCAGAGTAGTTTTTACAGTTATATCAAAAATTATGCTTTTAGAAATACATAGACAGATAATTATGAAATTAGTGTGGGGTTTAATAAGTTAACTGTTTATATTTGGACAACTTTTCTGCTGTACTTTATTGGAAGGAGAAAAACAAATCATTTCCTTAATAACAATTTAAACAATTTATTTAAAACAATAACATTATGGCATATCTATCCATGTTTGTTAACTGATGTGGTTAAACATTTTTTTAAAAAAAAACACCTTAGACGGAGTTTTAGCACACATGACAAACTTAAAACAAATCCTTATCTCCTGATGAATAGCCTTTGGACTATAATGTAACTTAAATAGAAAACGATCTTTAGAAAGATTTCCCCCCAAAAGCATTTTATTTGAAAAATCCGATTTAAATAAAATAAAATCTGATTTAAATAAATAAAAAACTGGGTTTTTAATTTAAAAATCATTGATTTTTTATCCACCCTGAAATAAATACACCTTTACGTACTGGACATCAGCAGTTCGGCCCCACATGTATTGGAGCAATGGCAACCAGCTGCTCAGCCCCCAGACCTCTTGTGCAACTTCCAAGGCCATTCTGCTGATTCTCAACACCCTGCAACCAACCACACACTGAGCACTAGCCGGCCAAGCCAGCGTGCATGGCAGAGCCTGCTTCCGCGTGTGTCCACATGCCTGCATCCACCCCTGCCCACGCAGCAGTATTCAGCACTTGCCAGGGCGCTGTGAAAAGGATAAGGAGGAAACACACAGAGAGCGCTCCCCTGCCCAGGCACAACCACTCTGGGGGACTGGCTGAAAGCAGAGGAAGAAGCAAGCCCAGAACACTCCACAAAAGGGGAAACATGCAAATCTCAGCTTACTGAGGCAGACACTCCCTCCGTGCAAAGCCACATGTCCCAAAGACACGGCTACAGTCTACTACCCACAATGGCCTCCAGGGAGTGACACAGGATCCTGCCCTGACATGTTATAATATAAGCCAAGGAGTCTCAGCCTCCTGCAAAGGCACCTGGCTCCTTCCAGCAGCCATGCTTGCTCCAGCTATGGCACTCAGCATCCTGTTGCAGGGAGAGTAGGCCCACTGGGTAAAAAGGACCCCTGACCATTAGGTCCAGTCGTGGCCGACTCTGGGGTTGCGGCGCTCATCTTGCTTGACTGGCTGAGGGAGCCAGCGTACAGCTTCCGGGTCACGTGGCCAGCATGACTAAGCCACTTCTGGCGAACCAGAGCAGGACACAGAAACACCGTTTACCTTCCTGCCGGAGTGGTACCTATTTATCTACTTGCACTTTGACGTGCTTTCGAACTGCTAGGTTGGCAGGAGCAGGGACCGAGCAACGGGAGCTCACCCCGTCGCGGGGATTCAAACCGCCGACCTTCTGATCGGCAAGCCCTAGGCTCTGTGGTTTAACTGCCTCTGAACGGGGAGGTTTCACATAGTAATAGCCCCGGAAATACCTTTCTCCTCCTTCCTGAACATGTCTATTCCCCTTCTTAGACCACCTAGGCCAGAGACCATTTCCACGTGGCGATGCGTTTATTAACTGGGCGTGTCATGGAAAGAGGTTATTTCATTTGTCTATCCCAGATCTCCTGCTGGTCCCTTTTCACTGGATGACCCAGTATATCGCAACCTATGTGCTTTCCTTAACACCGCCAACAGCCCAATGTTTTAAAACCCTTGCTTCCTGTTCCAAGAAGAACACGGACACCTCTTTGCATTGCAAACTCTGAATCTGTTTCCCCAGGACTAAGAGTGGCCTCTGGGAGCCCCCCCCCCCCCCACTGCAGAATGCATCTCTTTTGTCAGAAGTCCACAGGATGTTCATTGCTTCCATATTGGTGCTCCACCAGATTTAGCCAGCTTGCCTCAACTCCACATATTTTGTGTCCTTCATAACAAGGTACTTAAAAATACCAAAACATTTTGAGACACCACAAGAAAGGTATTTCATTAAAAAGAGAAGAGGCAGTCTTTTAACACTGTGTTTAAATGGGATCTTTCCTCTTTTTTAAAAAAAGTATAGGCTGGATGATAAAGCTATCGACGGCTACTAGCCGAAATGGCAATGTTCTTCCTCCACAGTTTGGAGCATGAGTAGGCAAACTAAGGCCCGTGGGCTGGATCTGGCCCAATTGTCTTCTAAATCCAGCCTGTGGACCATCCGGGAATCAGAGTGTTTTTACATGAGTAGAATGTGTGCTTTTATTTAAAATGCATCTCTGGGTTATTTGTGGGGCCTGCCTGGTGTTTCTCCATGAGTAGAATGTGTGCTTTTATTTAAAATGCATCTCTGGGTTATTTGTGGGGCATAGGAATTTGTCCCCCCCCCAAAAAATATATATATATAGTCTGCCGTCCGTCCCCAAGGTCTGAGGCACAGTGGACCGGCCCCCTGCTGAAAAAGTTTGCTGATCCCTGGTTGGGAGGCAGCAATTGCTTCTGAATGCCAGTTGCTGGAAACCACAGGAGGGCGGGCATCTCTTGTGCTCAGGTCCTGCTTATGTACCTGGCCAGCTGCCGTGAGAATAAGATGCTAGACTAGATGGGCTTGTTTTAAATTCTTACGCAGATTTTGTTGTTTGCTTTCACCTGCTGTTTCAATGGATTGGCATTACTGGGTTTTGCTATCTTGTTCAAAAACTCTTCTCTCCTGACCTCATATCTACTGACTATAACAGTTAGTGTCTCACATTGAATATAAATAATTTGAAGAAAGGACTCTTAAGAATTGAAAACAGAGATGTTGTATGTACTTTTCTCACCCTTTAAAAATAAAAGAAAAAGAAAACTTTTTTTTAAAAATGGGGTATGTTTTTGCCACTAGCCACCCTGAAACTTTGATAAGGAAAAGCATAAACATAAAAAACATAAATCCTGTAAAAAGAGAGAAGCAAAAGGATTCCAACTGCCAGGGTATTTCCTCCCCAATATAGAATCACAGAATTGTAGAGTTCGAAGGGACCACACAGATCATCTAGTCCAACCACCAGCAATGCAGAAAACTTTTGCCCAAACTGGGGCACGAACCCACAACCCTGAGATGAAGAGTACCAGGCTCTGCTGACTCAGCTATCCTTGACATAATTCCTTGTTTACTTTAATGCCTGGATAGCTCAGTTGGTTAGAGCGTGGGTGTTGATAACGCCAAGGTTGCAGGTTCCATCCCCATAAGGGACAGCTGCATATTCCTGCATTGCAAAGGAGGGGGGTTGGACTGGATGATCCTCAGGGTCCCTTCCAACTCTACGATTCTATGAATACAGGTCCAATTTAAGTATATTAATTTTAGTGTGTCTGTTCTGCATAAAGCATCACTGGATACTACTCCTTGTTATCGTTTCCTTGTTATAACTTGCATTGCTTGTTCAAAGGACAGAACAGAGGGCAAGGCCAGTACAAGGACCTTATTGCAGAGGCCCGGGATGAAGCATCTGCGAGCCCCCCCCCCCTTGCACACCCACCCACCCTGGCTGCCCATTCCAGGATACTCCTTGGCAGCCTCTCTTTCCCACCAGGAAGGAAGGCCAGGCTGCAATCACACACAGGCAGCCCTTTCGTTTCTCAGCGCACATTTCTTCAGGTTAGTGGGCAGAGATTCTTTCCTGTTCAGCTCTGCAGAGGGACAACTTGAGCAGGTGAAGCTGATGGCCTGGCCATTGGAGCAGTACCCCCCCCCCCCCAAAAAAAGAAATGCTGGCTGTCTTTCTAACAAGAGCCTAGCAGATCAGCTTGCTCTGCTTGCCATCCCTCTCCGCACCACAAGTGGCCCGTGATGCCCAGACGGAAAGAGTCTCATCGCCTGCTTGCCTATTCCCCTGTGGGAGTTTATTTTCTTCTTTCTTTGGGGGCTAAATAAGAAGACCCCAATAAGGGCAGTATCACATCCCTTGTCTAAAAGGTAAAGGTAAAGGGACCCCTGACCATTAGGTCCAGTCACGGACGACTCTGGGGTTGCAGCGCTCATCTCGCTTTACTGGCCGAGGGAGCCGGCGTACAGCTTCCGGGTCATGTGGCCAGAGCAGCACACAAAAATGCTGTTTACCTTCCCGCCGGAGCAGTACCTATTTATCTACTTGCACTTTGACATGCTTTCGAACTGCTAGGTTGGCAGGAGCAGGGACTGAGCAACGGAAGCTCATGCCGTCACGAGGATTCGAATCGCCGACCTTTTGATTAGCAAGCCCTAGACTCTGTGGTTTAATCCACAGCGCCACCCGCGTCCCCCCCTTGTCTAAAGCAGAAGATAATTCCCTCCCTCCATTACCTTTCAGCAAAGGCAACCAACTTAAAGGAGGCAGGGTGCCTCTCCCCATTTTAGTTACTTCAAGTATTTATACGCTGCTTAATATTCATAATTCCTAAGTGGGGCACATAATTTGTTTTGACTGGTGTGATGAAGGGTAAGTTTGTGCTGTTCTTGATGCATGGTGGGAGAAACTCATGCCCTCTCCAGGCAACTGTCTGCCTCCCCTGGGAGTGAGGCTCCCCTCCCATTTGGGCAACCACAGCTCTGGAATTAACCATTCAAGGCCCAAAACTGCTCCTAAGCAAGATAGTCTGCACCCATTTCCACAAGTGGTGACTGACCTATACACTAGTGATCCTCAACCTTGGGTCCCCGTTGGACTACAAGTCCCATCAACTTTGACCACTGGGGCTAAGCTGGCTAGGAATGACAGGAGTTATAGTACAACACCTGCTGACCCAAACTGGAAGAACACTGGCACCTCCCTACATCTTTTGGCATGAGAACTTTTAGACGATGGTTGGTGTTTTGGTAAGGAAGAGAACATAAGAATCCTGTCTGGCTGCCCTACAGTCCTTGCACCTCCTAGTGATGGGCAAGGACCAGTGGCAATATTTGTTCTCCTTCCACTCAAACTGGTTCCAAATTCTGTGGCTTCCTCGGGTAGTGCCTGCAAGCAAGCTTTCACCTCCCCCCCTTATATTTAATAACATCGTTCAGATTTGCTTTATTTATTTCAAGGCCACGGGTAAGAACTGAGATGCTCAGAAGTCTTTGAACCCTCCCTATACAAGCAAACTGTTTACAGGTCAGCTGATGCAACAGCTTCTATGCCACTTCTTCCCTTGCAAGAGAAATATTTTGAAAACAGAGGAATTTACAAAAAAAGCAAACTTAGGCCACTGTACTTTGCAACAGCCTCCCCCCCTCCTTCCCTGAGGCTTCAAGATGTGCAAAGTAATAATATTTACTGCATTTGTATTCTGCCTTTCCTCTGCAGGGCTCTAAATGAGGTACGTGGTTCGGTTGTTGTTGTTCTCACAACAACCCTGTAAGGTAAGCAAGCCTAAAAGAGCATGTCTGCCCAAGATCAGCCTGTCAGCTTCATACCTGAATGAGCATTTGAACCTAAGGCTCTCCTTTTCTAGTCACAACACCCCACTGGCTTTGCAAGGGCCCAAACAGACAGACCCACAGAGTTTTCCCCTCACCTAAGAAAGCATTATTCTAAACCTGCCAGCGCAACCAGTGATGCACTGGGTCAATATGGCACCTGGTTCTGCTGCTCAGCAGCAAGCTACTGCCAAGCCTCAAACAAATGGCTGGCAGCAGGAGCCAGCAGGCATCAGGCAGGAGGTGCTGGAAAGTACTTTCTGACCAGTGTCTGCAACAGGCAGAGGGGTACTCTCATGCCCATTTCCAGTGCCAACATATGGCTGCAGAGAACATGCCTACCAGGGTGGATTTGATTTAAATCAATTTAAATCACTAGTCAGTAAGACTCGATTTAAATCATTTTTTTACTGAAAGACTGATTCTTGCTGGTATAATATTTACAACCAGATGAAGGTTTCATTTTTGGAAAAATCAATTTTCAGAGTAGTTTTTACAGCTATATCAGAAATTACTGATTTCGTTACGCTATTAGAAATACACAGACAGATAATTATGAAATTATTGTGTGGCTTAATAAGTTTATATTTGGACAACTTTTCTACTGTACTTTATTGGAAGGGGGAAAACAATCATTTCCTTAATAACAATTTAAACAATTTATTTAACTAAAACAATAACCTTACAGCACATGTATCCGTGTTTGTTAACTGATGTGGTTAAACAAAAAAGAAAACTTAGACTGAGTTTTAGCACACATGAAAAACTTAAAACAAATCCTTATAGCCTTTGGACTATAATGTAACTTAAATAGAAAACTATCTTTAGAAAGATTTCCCCACAAAATCATTTTATTTTTAAAATCTGGTTTAAATTTGAAAAATTCCGATTTAAATTTGAAAAATCCGATTTTTTTATTTAAAAAATCATTTTTATCCACCCCGATGCTTACTCCTGAGCTTGGCACCCAGGATGACCCAAATCCATCACAGGCTCTGGAAAGGCAGCACCATGCAGCTCCCCCCCCGCCCCCCCATCAGAATTATATTGAGCCAGAGGAGAGGAGATGCAGGTGGGAACTGCGAAATGGATAGATTTCGTTTTGGGGGGCCTCAACCCACCTGCAAGGGAGGCTTCTTACTTACTTGAAAGCTAAAGGTCAGAACTGCCTCTCTTTAGCTTTTGGGGGTTTTTTTCTGAGCAGAGGAAGGGGTGGGTGGGGGCTGCTTTGCTCTTCTGCCTTTGGGTATTTTCCCTGTTGAAATCGCATACCCCCACTGCAAGATGCTCGCACCCAGAAGGAGAAAGAGACACATTTCTATTTCAACCAGAATTTCCCAAAGCCAGTCACACTGGTCCTTACTGAGAAGAAGAGTGTTTCTACACAAAGTGGCTAGGAAACCCCTGTGCTTTTTAGTGGGTAAAAGGTAAAGGGACCCCTGACTGTTAGGTCCAGTCGTGGACGACTCTGGGGTTGTGGTGCTCATCTCGCTTTACAGGCCGAGGGAGCCGGTGTACAGCTTCCGGGTCATGTGGCCAGCATGACTAAGCCACTTCTGGAGAACCAGAGCAGCGCACGGAAATGCCATTTACCTTCCCACCACAGTGGTACCTATTTAACTACTTGCACTTTGACGTGCTTCTGAACTGCTAGGTTGGAAGGAGCTGGGATTGAGCAATGGGAGCTCACCCCGTCGCGGGGATTTGAACCGCCGACCTTCTGATCGGCAAGCCCTAGGCTCAGTGGTTTAACCCACAGCATTTGACAAGCGCTACAGAGATCAAGTAGCCAAGTATTCCAGGTTGGAGCACTTGATCCTGAAGTATCAGCAGCTATGCCTGGCAGACCCCAGGGGAACCAAGAGGGACCCGTCCCATATAGTAATCAAACGGTAACAGTACAAGACCTATGCTGGAGGATGCATGGAATAATTGGCCTCTGAGAGTCAGATGGTTTCCCTCCTTTATTTTATTATTTTAATGTGAGAAAGGAAAGGAAGGGGAAAGCAAAACAGCCGGACAGTCCATGCTGCATAGAGGGCCACGGGGTTTTTAAGCAGGTAAGGTAATGGCAGGTTTCAACATTCTGCATTAAATTTAGATTTCACCTTGAGCCTGTTTATTTTTAAAACCACCGCTATGACACAGTTGAAGCGTAAAGTTTTGTTTTTAATTTAATCATTTATTCCCACCACACAGACACAAGCACACACTTACCGGGGGTGGGGGGGGCAGTGAGTGAAGGAAAAGGTCTGGTAGGCAGCCTGGCACTTTGTTCCTGGGACCCTATTGGGGGAAGTTCCTTTTGTGCGGCCCCTCCAGAACAAACCCACCATCACACACACACACAGCCCAAGCAGCTCACACTTCAATTTCGGTCTGAATGGTCGTTATTGTCCGCTGCTCCAACAGAGAGATGGTAACACACTGCTGTAGCCGCTGCTGCGTTTTGGGAGTCTTTACACATGCTAATCAGGTGAAAACTCCGCCTGGAGAGAATTAATATTTAGCAAAGTTCCCGCAGTTTGCTCATACAAGGATCATATTGTTGATGCTTCCACATCACAGTCCAAGAGAATTCTCCCAAGTTTTAAGGAATGAGGCTGGTCTGCTTTAAGAAACACTCTCTGGTTCCTCGTGCAAACTTCCCTGAAGCCAGGGCCATAAAGGCTTCCAGAGTCCTGGGTGCCAGCATCCCACCCCCACCCCTCTGAGGAGTCGTCCGGGTGCCAAGGATTTTTTTCCTCACTCCTGCCAGCAACATTTCCTAACACACACTTCTCAACTGAAAGTCTTGTGCAATAAGGGGCAGGTCCTCCTTGTTTACTTGAGTGTGTGGAGCTGCTCTGGGCCAATAGCTTTTGAACCCATAACAAAAGGAGCTGGGGAGAGTTAAGAGCACCCCCGCAATTGCCCAGGCACTAGGCTATCAATAGACAACAGAACCCTTTGTAAGGTGCAGAAAAAATCGTGGAGTTCAGACCCAGAACAGCACAGAGCCAGTGAGAGAGGTGACCCACACTTGCTATTCTGCTCCAACAGACCCAGAGTGGTAGGGCTGGGGGATATATTGATATATCGTTCAAAACTGGTCTGAAGTCCATATCATGATATTGGTTTCATTTTTGACCTGGCAATATATCACAAGTTATTATGTGTGTGTGCACACTATGCAAAAATCACAATGCGGGAAAAACCACGAAGCCAGCCAATGCCTCTACATAGCTCCATCCTTATTTCAGACCTTATTTCATATTGGTATATTGCAACGTTTAGCGGGTGATATATCATGATGCTGAGAACCAGGTATCGCCCAGCCCTATTCTGTGGCACCTTAAAGCCCAACAGACATACTGTGACATAAGCTTTTTTGTGTCCACTTGATCATTGGATGAAGTGGGTTTTAATCTACAAAGGCCTGTGCCATAATAAATCTGTTAGGCTTTCAAGATGCTACAAGGCTTGGTGATGCTGTTTTTAAACAAAGAGGGAGCTCCCCCCCCCCCGGCAGTGCCTTGCCTAAGGAAGCAAGTGCCCGCTGGCACTACACAGGCATTGGCACTGAATGCAGAACAGCCAAGGAGCAGAGAGGTCTTCCTCGCTGGGGACCTAGCACCAGCCAGCAAGGGCTGGCCCAAGAGGTCCCTTCCTGCAAGACCCGCTGGGGGCTGGCAGGATGCTCAGGGCTTTCCGAGAGAGTGAAGTCCCTCTGGCTGGAGCTGGCTGCTCTTTCCACCCGGTGCCGAAATACCAAATGCTGCTGCTGCCACCCAGCTTGCTCTCTCCATGGAGGAATCCAACCAGCTCACACTTGTTCCAGCCCCAAGAGGGGAGCGGAGGCAGCAAGAGCTTTGTTGTGCATACACGAAACTGTCGCTAAGTGAAGAAAGAAAGAAAAAATCCAGGCGGGAGGGAAAAGGGGGAGAAACCACAGTTTGATTTCTGGTGGCCAGCCAGCTCACTGACTCAGCCAGCTTGGTTGCCTGCCATGCACAGTTAAAAACAAAACACTTTCTGCAGCCGGGAACCAGTGGGGGTAAGCAGTGGGGCTTGAGGGGGGGGGGCAGAGCAAGGAGCGGATCCTGCATCAGCCATGGGCAGGAGAACACTGCAGGGGGGCACTGAGTGCTAAACTGTGGCTTGCGGCATCCCTTCCCAGGGCCCTCCTAGTTTCCCTGAGCGCAAAAAGGAGACGATTTTCTATTAATGACACTAGGAAAGGTTCCCTGGCTCCAGAGGGCTTTACACAGGGCTGCTGCTGCTGCTGCTGGGGGCCAGGAGCTGCCTGCTTCATAGCAGGTACCCCCTGGTGGCACTGGCTTAATGGCAGAGCATCAACTCTGCATGCATAAGGGCCAGGTAGAACTGGGGAAAACTCCTGCCTGAAAATTAGGGGGAGCAGCTGCCAGTCAGTGCAGCGAAGACAATGCCAAGCTAGGTGGACCGAGAGCTGGGACAGGTTCTTGGGTTTCTCCAAAGCTTCCCCCACAGAGTTCTATCCGGGACAGGTTATTTCATTTGCGATGCACTAGCCCCTTAGAGCAAGAAATCCCGGTGATTAAGCAGTATATAAATAGCTCAAATAAAACAAACAAGCCCTCGGTTGCAGAATGTCAACCCAGGATAAAATATGTGGCTCTTGCAGAGCAGCTTCAGCCCTGCAATGGGGAAGGACTGGCTGTGTGCCATGCAAATGTAACCCTGAGCAGAGCAGGACACACCATGGGACAGCTCTCTACTAAGTGTAGTGGTGACTGCCTGCCTGCTCCACAGGACTGTTGTGGCACTGCCCAGTGCCACCTCACCCCTAGCCCGGAGCCCATGCTCGAGCCCAGCAGAGGAAGGAGGAGCCCGAGGCAAGGAAGCCCGCTCTGGAGCAAGAAAATGGCTGCTTTGTGGCAGGCGTCTCTTGCAGGCTGGAGCCTGAAGGTCTGGGAGCAATTTCTGCCTCCCACGTGCTGGGCTGAGTTTGTACTGAGGGTCTAAGGTCAGTGCTTTTCCAAAGCACTCTGGGAAAGACGCCAACTGGAGCAAACTGCTAACACCCCCTCCTACCGCACTGAGCAAGCTGTGGCTTTCTTAACCCATTGCAGGAAGCAGCCAACAAGCTCTGCTCAGTCCCAGCAGGGACAGTTGGCCTTCCAGGGTGGAGGGAGGGGGGAGAGGGAGAGAATCCTGAAGACATGCAACAGAAGCAGCAGATTGCAGAGATGGGCAGCAGGCTGCAGATTCACCCACCTGCAGACAGTCGCCTACCAAAAAGCAAGCAGCACTCAAAACCTGCACTTTGGGGCACATCAGACCGTATCTAAAGCTGACTCCTTATTGGCCCAGACTCAAGCCTGGGCACATGCGGGTTTTCCATGGGTAGGATGCTTCAGCCCCCAGCAGCAGAGGGAGAGAGGGAGGGAAGGAAGGAAGGAAGGAAGGAGGCAGCCCAATGAGAATAGAATATTGCTCCTTCCTCAGAAAATGTTGTATGCATGCACACAGCATGCTTCCAGGGTTACTGGTCCATCCCTGCACCTCTCCAACTTATATTCTCTTCCCTTCTCCACCCCCCAAAGTAGGATATCCCAGCTCTGACTGAAGCAGCGTGTAAGGTCACTCGAGGGCAGCAATGGAGGGATGTTATCACGGTGGACAGCTGTACCACTTACTGAACTGCAACCAGCAACACATTCTCAAGGCAATCCAGAGTTCCCCTGACGTTGCTGATTGCATCAGCCCCCCTTCCAGCGGAGACGGAAGCAGAGAAAAATGAGACTTCAGTGGCAGGCCCAATCCTTTACATGCTGAGCAGCATTAGAGGCAGGAAGACAAACACGGAAGCAGAAGCAGGCTGGTGTGGCAAAGGAGCCCCCCGTTCAACGCAGACAGGGCAAAAGAAATGCATGTGGGCTCCAGCAGAGGGCAAAGATAGCTCCCACAATATACGCAGGAAGTCTACCCTCCTGCACTTGTGATGATACTCTCTGTCCCCATCATCAGTGCCCCACACAGCTGCAAAGCAAGTGACAATTCCCCACCCCACATACCCAGGAGGTCCCCAGCCAAGTGCTCTCTAGTTCCCAGGGAACTCTAAGGCCCCAGGCTAAGGCAGCACACTGCCCACTACCGTCAGGAGCCGGAGTCAGGTGAAGGTCAGCAATAACAAAACACTGATGTCAGTGAAGTTAACTCTTTATTCGAAGAAACCAAAACAGTGCAGGCCTACTGATCCCAGCAACTCTTCCCGGCAGGCCTTGCCCCAGTGAGACAGTTGCAAGGACTGAAGGTCCCTGCCTTTCCACAGATGTCTAGGTCCCCTCCCCTCCAGGGTTTCCCCCAAACAACCAGAGACTGTGCCTGCACACAACCAGACTCTCCTCTGCTCTCTTCATCTCTCTGCATGTTCTGGGAGAGTGAGGAGAGCTCGTTGCAGCAGGAGAGGGAGATTCCCTGGATTCTCCAGCAGCCTACCTCATCTCTGTCTACTGGCCCCTGCCCTCCACTCCAGCCTCTGAATCAGGCCTGCTCCATGTCCCAGCCTCTTCCTGCTTACTGAATCCTGTTACCTCTTCAGCTTCCTCCTCCTTCCAGTCTTCTCCCTCTGACCACTCATTGTCTTCCCACCACCAATGCCCTGGGTCTGAGCCTTCTTCCCCTCAGGGATTACCCAGCTGGTGCTTGCCACTACTTCTCTGCATCCAGCCAGTCCATGACAACTACCTGCTCTACCTCCTGAAAATGCCACACTCCTTCCAGCCTGCCCCATATCCCACTAGGTAATGTTGGCCTGCTCCCCTTGCCCATCTCCCATGGCATGCAATCAGCTTCCTTCTATCCAGAAAGTCATGTAAAGGCTTGCATCCTGTCCAGCCATCCCATGAAACACAGTAATTTTCAGTGAGGAGATGCAGAGCACCAGGGGTGCCAGCAGGGTCAGGGCTCTCTGTTCAGAAGAATTAGCAGAAGGGTCCCCAAATGCAGTAGCAGGGCAGGCTAACCACATTGGCAGTTAAGTGAAGTAATACACGTCATCATCTAAAGCAGGGGAAGGGCAGTGTTCGAAATTAGCCAGGTGCATTTTGCACCTGGTTTTCAACCACTTACAGCCAAGTGAAGATGCCTGGGCACCAGGATGGCACCTTGAAATGAATACCTGGGGATCATTGGATCTAAACTGTTTTCACACACTAATACCCCATCCTGTAGAAGTCTATCAGTTATATTTTGTCTGCACCATCAGAATGAATTTCAGGAACCAAAATGCTTTTTCTGTACTGGGATGCAATCTCAAAAATGATAGAATGATCTTGATACGAATCCAAGGCAGACCTTTTAACATAACAGTAATCCAAGTTTATGCACCAACTACTGGTGCTGAAGAAACTGAAATTGACCAATTCTATGAAGACTTACAACACCTTATTGAAGTGACACCAAAGAAGGATGTTCTTCTCATTATAGGGGATTGGAATGCTAAAGTAGGGAATCAAGAGATAAAAGGAACAACTGGCAAGTTTGGCCTTGGAGAGCAAAACGAAGCAGGGCAAAGGCTAATAGAGTTCTGTCAAGAGAACAAGCTGGTCATCACAAACACACTTTTCCAACAACACAAGAGATGACTCTACACGTGGACATCACCAGATGGGCAGCATCGAAATCAGATTGATTATATTCTCTGCAGCCAAAGATGGAGAAGCTCTATACAGTCAGCAAAAACAAGACCTGGAGCTGACTGTGGCTCAGATCATCAGCTTCTTATAGCAAAATTCAAGCTTAAACTGAAGAAAGTAGGAAAAACCACTGGGCCGGTAAGATACAATCTAAATCAAATCCCTTATGAATACACAGTGGAAGTGAGGAACAGGTTTAAGGATTTAGATTTGCTGGACAGAGTGCCTGAAGAACTATGGATGGAGGCTCGCAACATTATACAGGAGGCAGCAACGAAAACCATCCCAATGAAAAGGAAATGCAAGAAAGCGAAGTGGCTGTCCAATGAGGCCTTACAAATAGTGGGGGAAAGAAGGCAAGCAAAATGCGAGGGAGATAGAGAAAGATACAGGAAATTGAATGCAGATTTCCAAAAAATAGCAAGGAGAGACAAGAAGGCCTTCTTAAATGAGCAATGCAAAGAAATAGAGGAAAACAACAGAATGGGAAGAACCAGAGATCTGTTCAAGAAAATTGGAGATATGAAAGGAACATTTCGTTCAAAGATTACCATAATAAAGGACAAAAGTGGTAAGGACCTAACAGAAGCAGAAGACATCAAGAAGAGGTGGCAAGAATACACAGAGGAATTATACCAGAAAGATATGGATGTCTCGTACACCCCAGGTAGTGTGGTTGCTGACCTTGAGCCAGACATCCTGGAGAGTGAAGTCAAATGGGCCTTAGAAAGCACTGCAAATAACAAGGCCAGTGGAAGTGATGGTATTCCAGCTGAACTATTTAAAATTTTAAAAGATGATGCTGTTAAGGTGCTACACTCAATATGCCAGCAAGTTTGGAAAACTCAGCAGTGGCCAGAGGACTGGAGAAGATCAGTCTACATCCCAATCCCAAAGAAGGGCAGTGCTAAAGAATGCTCCAACTACCGCACAATTGCACTCATTTCACATGCTAGCAGGGTTATGCTTAAAATTCTACAAGGAAGGCTTAAGCAGTATATGGACCGAGAACTCCCAGAAGTGCAAGCTGGATTTAGAAGAGGCAGAGGAACCAGAGACCAAATTGCTAACATGCGCTGGATTATGGAGAAAGCTAGAGAGTTCCAGAAAGACATCTACTTCTGCTTCATTGACTATGCAAAAGCCTTTGACTGTGTCGACCACAGCAAACTATGGCAAGTTCTTAAAGAAATGGGAGTGCCTGATCACCTCATCTGTCTCCTGAGAAATCTCTATGTGGGACAAGAAGCTACAGTTAGAACTGGATATGGAACAAATGATTGGTTCAAAATTGGGAAAGGAGTACGGCAAGGCTGTATATTGTCTCCCTGTTTATTTAACTTATATGCAGAATTCATCATGCGAAAGGCTGGGCTGGATGAATCCCTAGCCGGAATTAAGATTGCTGGAAGAAATATCAACAACCTCAGATATGCAGATGACACAACCTTGATGGCAGAAAGTGAGGAGGAATTAAAGAACCTTTTATTGAGGGTGAAAGAGAAGAGCGCAAAATATGGTCTGAAGCTCAACATCAAAAAAACGAAGATCATGGCCACTGGTCCCATCTCCTCCTGGAAAATAGAAGGGGAAGAAATGGAGGCAGTGAGAGATTTTACTTTCTTGGGCTCCATGATCACTGCAGATGGTGACAGCAGCCATGAAATTAAGAGACGCCTGCTTCTTGGGAGGAAAGCAATGACAAACCTAGACAGCATCTTAAAAAGCAGAGACATCACCTTGCCAACAAAGGTCCGTATAGTAAAAGCTATGGTTTTCCCAGTAGTGATGTATGGAAGTGAGAGCTGGACCATAAAGAAGGCTGATCGCCGAAGAATTGATGCTTTTGAATTATGGTGCTGGAGGAGACTCTTGAGAGTCCCATGGACTGCAAGAAGATCAAACCTATCCATTCTTAAGGAAATCAGCCCTGAGTGCTCACTGGAAGGACAGATCGTGAAGCTGAGGCTCCAATACTTTGGCCACCTCATGAGAAGAGAAGACTCCTGGAAAAGACCCTGATGTTGGGAAAGATGGAGGGCACAAGGAGAAGGGGACGACAGAGGACGAGATGGTTGGATAGTGTCTTCGAAGCTACAAACATGAGTCTGACCAAACTGCGGGAGGCAGTGGAAGACAGAAGTGCCTGGCGTGCTCTGGTCCATGGGGTCACGAAGAGTCGGACACGACTAAACGACTAAACAACAACAACAACAGTGCAGCTTGAGCAGGAGCAGTCAACACTGTAACAGGTCAGTTTTATGTTTGGGCTGCCCTTGGATCAAGCGACTTTTCTTCTTTAAGTTCTTAACTAGCTCAAATTGTCATCTGAACTAACCAAACGTTTAACTGAGAATCAAGCTGTCAGTCTATTGTTTGGAAAATAAGACATTAGAGCCGTCTTGCCCCAAAATTGCAACTAGGCATTCCATTTTGGCGATTGTAACCTTGGTTTAAGGAGTCACCTGGCACCTAGCTTATATATCTGAGTTTCTAACCCTGGAAGGGGGATGTCGCATAAGACTATCTAGTCTAGAGTTTAAAATGACTTAACAGCACCACTGCCTAAGATCATCTCTTCCCAGGCAGGCAAGAACACAAGAAGAGCAAAGGCTCATCAAGTCCAGCATCCTGTTCTCACAGTGGCTAACCAGAAACTGGTACAGTGGTACCTTGGTTCCCGAATGGCTTAGCTGTCAAACAAATCGGCTTCCGAACGCCAAAAACCTAGAAGTATGTTTTCCAGTTTGCCAACGTTTTTCGGAAGTCGAACGTCCGATGCGATTCCGCTTGAGTGCAGGAAGCTTCTGCAGCCAATCGGAAGCCACACCTTGGTTTTCGAATGGTTTCGGGAGTCTTAACGGACTCCTGGAATGGATTAAGTTCGAGAACCAAGGTACCACTGTATTCAGAAGCATGCCATCTCTGACAGTGGAGGCAAAACATATCCATCAGGGTTAGGAACTGCTGGTGAGCAGGGTTGAACCGCACTGCTGGCAAGGCTTTCTGACAGCACCTCCAGAGGGAGCACCCTGGGAAAGGCACAGATAACCTGCATTCAGGATGACCCAACCCAACCTGCTCTGCAGCCACAGAAAATTGGTAACAGCAGCAGGTGCAGGTGGCTCAGAGCTGACAGCTGATTTCCAAAGCAGAGCAGGAGCCAGGAAGGAAAGGTACTTGGTTCTCTTGCCCACTGTAGTCCACACAGCATGCCCCCTACCTGAAAGTAGGGTTCTTCCCGCTTCCCTCAACCAGGCAGCAGAAGCCTCAGGCCCCAGCCCTAGCTGAGCAGGAATGGCACATCACAAACTGCACTATGCAAGCCAGAGAATCACCTGGGACGGAATGGAGCATCCCAAGAGTCCTCTCTCTCTCTCTCTCTCTCTGTGTGTGTGTATGTGTGTGTGTGTTCCTTTAAAGGGAGGTGTTGAACCACCCTGAAGGCTGCAAAAATGGGGGGGGGGGAAACCTTGTGGGCAGACCCTGAGGAAATCCACACACACCCCCCAGCCACAGAGCTGCGATCCAGAGAGGAGGGCTTCCAGTGGTCAGCGGGTGGAGCTCCAGCACTCCCTATCCTGCCCCACTGGGAGCAGCAGCCGCCTGCACCGCTGCCGCTGGTCCAGTTCTGCAAAATGTGTGCTCACATTTGCAGCAGTAGCTGCCTGCTGCCCGCCCGCCCCCAACCCTGTCCCTCACTGCTGGGCTCGCCTCAGCTGCCAAATCAAATTGCCTTCCCAAGCTGCATTCCTGACAGAAGGAAAGAGGCGAGACCCGAGAGGGGGGACTGGCGCGAGGCCTCCCTCCACCCAGGGCAGCGCACTTCCTCTGCCTGACGCTCATCCACGACGACTGGGAGCAGCTGATGCCGGAGAGAACCGCAGCCTCTGCAGGCAGCCAGGCATCTGCCCCTGCGCCTGCAGAACACACAAAGGGCAGGAGGAGAGGCCCGGAAGGCAGCGGGGTGGAGGGGGGGCTTGGGAGCATTCCCACCCCTGGAAAGCAGAAGCGGCCAGACTGGCTTGGCCTGGCCAGTCCCACTTCCCTCCCCTCCGGCTTCTTTTCACAGAGGGAAAGCCTCTTGAGCTGACAGAACAACACCCCCCTATGCTCCATTTTATAGCACAGGAGATGTGGGAGGCAGTCACTGCCCACCCACCCCCTTCCCCGGCCAGGCAGAAAAACAAGCCGAGCTACAAAGAGATCAGCTCCAAAGGGCACTTTGGGTGGGCCAGACCAACCGGCCTCTGCCCAGCTGAAAGCCTTGGCACTTCAGACCCTGCCTCTCCCAACACTCTTGAGAGAGCAGAGTGTCTCTGCCAGTGCGTGGCATAACAGGACAGAGCCCGCCTAGTGGGTTCAGGGACGCACCCAACCCAAGGATAAAAAGTCACACACAGAGACACACCAGGTGGAACCCCAAAGGTTGCCCAAGCTGCGGCTCTCCAGGGCAAGTTCCTCATCATGGCACAATTCCGAGCACAATTCAAAGTGTTGGTGTTGACCTTTAAAGCCCTCAGCCCAGTATACCTGAAGGAGCGTCTCCACCCCCATCATTCTGCCCGGACGCTGAGGTCCAGAGCCAAGGGCCTTCTGGCAGTTCCCTCATTGCGAGAAACAAAGCTACAGGGAACCAGGCAGAGGGCCTTCTTGGTAGTGGCGCCCGCCCTGTGGAACGCCCTCCCATCAGATGTCAAAGAGATAAACAACTATCTGACATTCAGAAGACGTCTGAAGGCAGCCCTGTTCAGGGAAGTTTTTAATGTGTGACATTTTAGTGTATTTTTGGTCTTTGTTGGAAGCCGCCCAGAGTGGCTGGGGAAACCCAGCCAGATGGGCGGGGTACAAATAAATTATTATTATTATTATTATTTTATTTCTTCCTTCTGCAAGTATCTCACCTGTGGCTCCCAGGTTGCCGCTGCAAGCAGCACCAAGCAGCTGAGCAGAGCCACTGTGATTCACAAACACAACACATGCCAAATCCACCCTCTTCTCAATCTCCTCCATGCAGGTTGCAGTTTGGCTCATTCGCTCAAGTCCTCTGCATCCTTTTTGCCCAGCTGCCTGTTTCGTTCCCTGCTGTGTTCTGGCGTGAATGTTACTTTGAACTGCAGGAGGGGAGAAAGAGGTGGCGCATGGGTGGGCTTCTACAGCTATGTGCCAGAGCATTCAAGCAGCTGCCTCCCCCAGACCCCCTCGCCACAACGCCACCCGCCCGTAATCTGCCTCCTGACCCACACCCAGTGGAGGAGGATGGTACTCCCCTTCAGAAACTCTCCCCCTTGCAATCAGAAGACCTTGGCCCTAGGAGATACTACATATCAGTGAGCTGTGCAAATACACCTAAAGTCTCTCATCAAATCCTCAATCTCAGCCCATGCTAGGTACACCTCAGAAACTCTGTCTGTCTTACAGAGGCGCAACTTATGAAGAACGGGTGCCATACCAAAGGCATGCTGGAAGGAACGCGGGGAGAGAGGAGCCAGAGACCATAGAATCAGAATTGCAGAGTTGGAAGGGACCCTGAGGGTCATCTAGTCCAACCCCTGCAATGCAGGACCTCAACATAGAAAGACATCATAATGGCTAACGTAAATTTGTTAAGTACAACTCCTGCTGCTACACTAGCACTGGCAACATACTGGGTTGAACCCAGTGCTATACAGAGGAGGAATCCACAAAAAAGACATTAAGATCAATGTAGTCTCCACTCCCCATCCCAGCAAGAAATGCTAGGTTGTTCTTGCCATCAGTGGGCAGCCCGGTCACCTGTGCATTGTGTGACACAAAGAGGTGGCTAAGCAGAGGTCGGCTTTCAGTCAGTATCCCAACAAGGGAGAATTCACAAAGCAGGCATGACACGCAAGGCTTAGAAATGCAGCTGCCAGTTTTGATTGATCAAACTGCTTTGATTAACTGACGGAAGCCTCCGATTACCTGAATTGGCATGACTGGGGGGGAAAAAGATTCCTCAACTCTTGGAGGACTTTAAAGCACCACCCACATAGCCTTCTTCCACCTCATCAGAACAAGTCCTCCCCTCCCCAGGCTTGTTTCTTAGTTCAACAGAATGCTTGTCTCCCAACAAGGAGAGGAAGAGCCACATATAATTTCAATAGCTTTATAATGAGAAATAATTAACATTAGTGATACTATGAGAAAGAAAGACTTACTGAGTTCCTAAATCTCTCCTATCTCTAAGTTTAAGCCATGCAAGCTGGCCTTCATCTGCATTTGGAGCCTAGAGCTCTTGACAATAATCAACAGAGAAGATCAGGCCTAAATAGTTCAGCAGCCAATAGCCAATTGTTGACCAAGCCTTCCAGGGCATCTGCCTCAGAATGCAGGGGAACTGTGGACTCCAAGCAATCACCACAATTGCTGCATTGGTTTAAAAACAAAACCAAGAGCTATGCCTCAGTACCATCCCAACAGAGAGGCATCTATTGGAGGTTCCACATCAATCAGTCCTGGAGTGGAGGAGAGCCCTGGAGGAATGTCTACAGTATGTGCAAAGATGGGACGGATTCTGTTAACTATGTTTGGGATAAGCGCGTCTGCAATCAAAACAGCCTGAAACTGCAAAGCCAGACTAATAATAATAATAATAATAATAATAATAATAATATTACAATTTATTTATACTCCGCCCATCTGGCTGGGTTTCCCCAGCCACTGAGGGCGGCTCCCAATCGAATATTAAAAACACAATACAGCATTAAACATTAAAAACTTCCCTAAACAGGGCTGCCTTCAGGCTATTTGCTTATTTCCTTGACATCTGAGGGGAGGGCGTTCCACAGGGCAGGCGCTACTACTGAGAAGGCCCTCTGCCTGGTTCCCTGTAACCTCGCTTCTCGCAGTGAGGGAACCGCCAGAAGGCCCTCGGCGCTGGATCTCAGTGTCCGGGCTGAATGGTGGGGGTGGAGACGCTCCTTCAGGTATACTGGGCCGAAGCCGTTTAGGGCTTTAAAGGTCAGCACCAACACTTTGAATTGTGCTTGGAAACATACTGGGAGCCAATGTAGGTCTCTCAGGACCAGTGTTATATGGTCCCGGCGGCCACTCCCAGTCACCAGTCTAGCTGCTGCATTCTGGATTAATTGCAATTTCTGAGTCACCTTCAAAGATAGCCCCACATAGAGCACACTGCAGTAGTCCAAGTGGGAGGTAACTAGAGCATGCACCACTCTGGTGAGACAGTCTGCAGGCAGGTAGGGTCTCAGCCTGCGTACCAGATGGAGCTGGTAGACAGCTGCCCTGGACACAGAATTGACCTGTGCCTCCATGGACAGCTGTGAGTCCAAAATGACTCCCAGGCTGCGCACCTGGTCCTTCAGGGGCACAGTTACCCCATTCAGGACCAGGGAGTCCTCCACACCAGCCTGCTCCCTGTCCCCCAAGAATAGTACTTCTGTCTTGTCAGGATTCAACCTCAATTCATTAGCAGCCATCCAGAAGCTCAAGACAATTAAGGGTCAAGTCAACCTGCCCCTATTATTTATTTCATAAAATTTATATACCACTTGATTGTAAACAACAACAAAACCCTTAAAGGTCTTACAAAAAGGTGAAACAATAAAATCAAGGTGGGCCACAGGACACACCAAACTATCAAGCCCCTCCGTGTGATCCAACACAACACACACAACACACACCCCCTTGTGGTTATTTGCTGTCTGCAGAGAGGTGTTAGCAACTTAGATATACAGTGGTACCTCGGGTTAAGAACTTAATTCGTTCTGGAGGTCCGTTCTTAACCTGAAACTGTTCTTAACCTGAAGCACCACTTTAGCTAATGGGGCCTCCCGCTGCCACCGCGCCGCCACCACACGATCTCCGTTCTCATCCTGAAGCAAAGTTCTTAACCCGAGGTACTATTTCTGGGTTAGCGGAGTCTGTAGCCTGAAGCATCTGTAACCCGAGGTACCACTGTATAAGATAGGCACCAAATGGTTCCTTAAACCAGGGTTACAGTCACCAAAACGGAATGCCTAGCTGCCATTTTGGGGCCAGGCGGCTCCTAAGTCATATTTTTCAATACGACTTTTGGTTCCTGAAATTCATCCCGATTGTGCAGATAAAATATCAGATAGAATTCTACAGGATGTGCTGCTAGTGTGTGAAAACAGTTGAGATCCAAGGATCCCCAGGCATGCACGTCGAGATGATGGAGACATCCTGGCACCCAGGCATCTTCACTTGGTCGCAAGTGGCCAACAGCCACATTCAAAATGTGCCTGGCACCTGGCAAATTTCTAACCCTGCTGCAGAGGTTTGTGTGGCTGCTAGCCACCGTGTCTCCTTACAAATGCTGTACCTGCACATGCTCAAATACATCCATCTGTCAGCCAGGTAGCATGTTGGGGCAGCTGGGAGGGGCAGCCTGGCCTCTTCACAATGAAGGGGAGGAGAGCCACAACAAACTGAGATGACAGCCCCAAAGGCGGGTTCCGTTCTAGGCTGCCCAAGCCGGAGCAACCTCTTCAAAGCCCTGGAAGTTAGTGGCAGCTGCTTCATTTAAGCACCAGCTAAGGGGCTGGTACCACCATGCTGCACTGAGGGCACACCCCCCCGGAAGAGGCTGCTGAAGATTCAGAGGGGAGCATAACCAACTACCGTAACAGAGGTTAGAAGCAAGTCCGAGATGGGGAAGGAGGCTGGCGACTTGAAATGGATGTGAAGCTGATAAGAGTTAAAACTTATGAAAGATCCGGGAAGAGTTGTGTGACTCATCCAAACATGAGCCTCCAACCCCCTGTGAAGGGTCCAAAGAGCGTCCCTAAACTCTGTGTTAGAGCATCACATCCCTGCTCCATACTCCTTTAATCCAACATTGAATCATTGAATTGTAAAGTTGGAAGGGAACCCGTGGGTCATCCAGTCCAACCCCCTGCAATGCAAGAATATGAGACTGTCCCATAAGGGGATCAAACCTGCAACCTTGGTGTTATCAGCACCCACTCTAACCAACTGAGCTACTGGCAGGGGTCTCAGGTCGCTGGCTGACACCCAGAACGCTGCCCTCCCTTGGCGGACACCCACCCACGCACCAGTCTCCATCACTTCTGTGGCCAGGATCCTATCCATAAAACCAGTATAGCCTTGCTTCTCATTAGAAGCGGTTCTTGAGAACGGGGAGCGGCTGGGCTACATTAGCCCCCACCCTGGTCTCTCCCCTTTCAGCTGGGACCCCCTCATAAAAACAAGAGACAGCCGTTACTGGCATTTCCTCCCTTCAGAAAAAGGCTGTAAAATTTTCCAAGTGAAGCCAAAGATGGGGGGGGGGGGGTTAGAAGAGAGAAGACGAGGAGGCTCAGCTCATTAGCAGCTGCATGGGGAGCCCCTGGAGCAGGGCAGGAATAGGAGGGAGGGAGGCAGCCTTGTCCTCCTCCTCCTAATGCAAAACAGCTCAGTCCTGGGAGAGAAAATAAGAACCAGGCATAAAGCAAGAGGAGGAAGAAGAGGAGGGGGGTAGTCCTTGGCTTCTCATCAAGCCCCCCTCCCATTCCAGGAGCCCCCCTCCCTCCTCCCCCCCCACCCTGGCCCTGTCGCAGACACATTGGCCAGCCTGAGATGAGCTGGCACCCGGCAGAGGAAATTCCAGCTCTGTTGCTTCTGGCAGCCAAGCTGGGCTTTGGCCACAGTCGCTTGGAAAGCCTCGACTCAGCACTTTTCTTGCCATGCAAAGAGCCGATTCCAAGCTGCACATTCCCCCCCCCCCCAAGAAACACATACACATACTCTTCACGGCTCCCACCCCCAGCAGAGACCTCCACAAGCAACGCTGATTTGCTGGGCATTGCACCAGGCCCCAGAGACTTTAGGTGGCAGCTCCTGTTTGGGCTGGTGGGAGCTCGGCTTGCCTGCCTGGCCCAGTGGATTCCTTTGCCAGGGAGGAGTTCAAACCAGGCCACAGTCAAGCAGGCAGGCAGGACACAAGCTGCTTTCAGCCCATCAACCCACCGCTGCTGGCCACTGGTGCAGCCGTGGCAGTTCCAGCCAGGCTCAACTCGTCTTGCCCAACACCCAACAGCAACACCCTGAGGCCAAAGCCCAGCTGGCAAACGGTTCTTTCCCCCTCCTCCTCTTCCTCCTGGTTGTCTCAATAGGAGGCAGCCTGCTCTGGGTGAGGCCCAGCCACATTTGCGGGAGGAGCACTATCACAAGATGCCTGCAGAAATTTGGAATCCAGGTGCAACAGAGGTAGCAATGGAATTCCATCAGTCCCCATACTCAATGGCTGGGAGGGCACATACATCCTGTCTCGAAGGCTCAGTGGTACAGCATCTTAGTTTGTCCCATCCTAAAACTCTGGGGAACCCACTGCCAGCCACTACTGAGCTGGATGAACCAATGGGTCTGATTTAGTACAAGCCAGCTCTTTACATCCCTTCCTTCTCCACAAAGAGTTTTTACCCAGCCCTTTGGGCAAGGAGTATCCTGCTGGAAGTGAGGATATCACCCTAGTATCATTCAACAGCTGAACCACCCCAGCAGAGTAAGGAACCCCTTTGCAGCCATTCCCTGGATCAAATTCTACCTGCTCCCCTCTTGAAGATCAACACAAGAACAAACCTACCAATAAAGGTGGGGAGAAGGGAAAGAGGTGCACTAAAATTCTCCCCGAGACAGCAAAGACAGAAACCCAGGAATCCATGAAGTGTCAAGGCAGAAGGGTCAGGGCAATTTTGAGCTGAAAGCAAAGGAAACTGCTGCCTTCATTAGCTACTGCTGAAATCCAAAAATGCCAGCCAGGTTTTTAGCCCTCCAAGTCCCACTTAGGCTGCCTGCTTGGGCCTAAAGCAGAAGATCAAGAAGATGATCAGAAAAGGACAAAAAGCAACCACCTTTCAACCTCTCACTCCCATGCTCCTGGCCAGTTTCTGAGTTTTAACCAATATATACTGCAGGGACAAGTGTGTTGTGCCTAGCAGTTGGAGCAAGCTCACACACTTTGCTCAACAGTTCACATCTTCATTGTTTTAGCCTCAGCACCCCTTCCCCAAAGCCAAATGCTCATCTTCACACCACAGAGGCATGTGTGTGGCGGAGGCTGCAGTCTACAACCCCACAGCTAGAGGCAGAAAACAAGACCAGGAGAATCTCAGGAGTTCAGTGGCAGAGGGACTTGGTCCAGCCCATGACAGGAGGGGGCACAATGGAAAGACACTCAAAGCCTAAGCATGCAGCCGCTTCCAAGGAGAGGCAACCCAATACCAGGAGACACACAGTGTCTGCTACAAACAGTGCCAAGAAAGAGAACATGCAAAGGAATTGAGAGGGGGGGGGATGCTGTCCTCAGACATTCAGCAAACAGAGCCTGTGGCTCAGCAAACAGTGCACATGGCCACCCACAAGGCCTTACAGCTCAGTCCCGGATATGCTCCCTGCCAGGGCACCTTTAGAGTCCTGAAGATGGAACAGGCAGCACCCTCCTTAGTGCCAGGTGAGAGATCATTAGCATGAGTGATCCAGAGAATAGCAACAGTCCTATGAGTCCAGATGACTGGAAAGCACCAGCTGTAGCATGGACAGGTCTCTCTCACCACCAACAGCCACAGTGCCCATTTGGCTAAATGGAATTCTGCTCCCCTCGCCCCCCCCGCCACATCTACCAAAATAAAGAGGTAGATAATGAGGTAGGCTAACCCAGCCCATCCAACATCCCTGTCAAGGCTGGGCCAAGGCTTTTTGGTTATGCAAAGAGTGGGGCCACACAATCTGAGAGGTGCACCCCAGGACCCCACAGCGTCACATGCAATTCGTGGATGCATCTCTCAGGTGCATGTCTCTCTATCGCTGGCACTCCTGAACCTATGACCAGATGACTAGCTAGTGCCAATAAGCAGCCTTGTCTGCAGACCACCTCCCTGGTGGCAGAAGCAGCACCTTGACACCACAGGGTGTGGGGGAAGGGCAGAGAAACAGGCTAAAGATATGAGTGGAGGGAAGCCAGATGATTCCCAGGAAGTTGGAAGTTTTGTGCCGCTGCTAGCAGCCTGCAAGTGCCTGCCTGCCACCTAGGGCTGCAATCATCCTGTGCAGGCAAAGTGTGGGGAGAGGAAGACTCCCAGAACATTGTGGAACTTACTCTGGATCACCCTGCCCAAATCTGCCAGGAAGGAATCACACCCCAGTGTAAGCAGAGGCGAAAGCACAAATCAGGCAGCCCAGTTGCCCAAAGCAGACTTGCCAGTCACCTCCAGGTTGGTCACCTGCAGAAAGCAATAAGAGCCTTCAGGTAGCCTGGCAGGGGAAACCGATAACCTCTCTGCTTTTTCTTGACCCATACAACTAGCCCAGGTGTATGAAGGCAAGAACTCTGTGGCATTACAAGTCAGGCTGCCAAGACAGTTTTGGCAGCCTGGGACCGCAGTGGCCCCCAGGCCCAGCCTAGCAACCCAAGAGCTGGCCCGTTTCATGACTCCGAGTCAGCCTCCTCCATGCAGCAGCTACCTTCAACTGGGTCAATTCCTGAAACCACCTTGCTTGGGTCCAGAGACCATCCCCCTAACAGGTCACCTGCCCCAACTGCCAGGGAAAATGTTAAAACATTTCAAAGCCATCCCTCAGCTCCAGACTTGTGAGGTTTATGGTAGCGCACCAAGACACAGCTTGTTCTCACAGGCAGAAGATCACAATCCAAACCCGCCCCCGCCTACAGCCAGGAAATAAGTGCCAGGCGCCTCTCCATTCAGAGGTCAAAGAGGGCTCCTGGACAGAGACATCACCACTGCTCTGTTCAAGTCACACACAACCACGTGGCTTGTTCCAGGCCCAACATGGCAGTGGCACGCCAAGGAAGCTCACAAACAGACCTTGCCCAGGGCTGGTTCCTCTTGTTGGGAAGGCCAGCAGGAGAGAGATCCTCCGGGCAGAAGATGAAAAAACTACATGGGATTTGGTGGTAAAGGGCACTGCTGGACACCACAACCACATGGCTCTTATCACAGGAGGGCTTTAGTCCCACCTGGAAACACCCACCAGAAGCCAGGAGGAGTTTGAGTTCAACATCTGGGGAAGACAGGGCCAGGTTCTGGCACCCAAAGGCTTTCCTGATTTCTTCTCCCGAGCTCCACACGCAACCCCCTGCAAAACCTCCTGCCAAGATGCAGCTTCCCCTCCGAGGGTCTCAGCCAATGGCACCATTGCCATCGTTGCCCTAAGGAGCGCCAGGTGAGCTCCTCCACAGTGGCCGGTTGCTCGCACCGAAAGGCAGGGGAGCAGGCACGCTGCCCCCGTCCCGACCACGCCGGGAGCCAAGCAGCCACCCCTGCCGCTGCCAGCGGAGCCGCAGCAACAGGAGCTCTGTCCCGTCTTGCCTGCGAGAGGGACGAGTCACGTCCCCAAGGCAGCTCGCCCCGACGCGCAGGCCTCCTTCCTGCGAGCAGACGGTGCCCAGAGGCCACGCACGAAGGCCTCACCTTGCCCGCCGCCGTCTCGGGGGCAGCCCCCGGGCTCGGGCTGCTCGAGGCCCGCCGAGGCAGCCCAGGCGCGGCCCAAGCATGCAAGCAAGCAGCCTGCTCGGCGCTCGCCTGGCACCGCGGCTCCAAACAATGCCCCGCTCGGCCCAGGGCGCTCCGCCGCTGCTTACCTGCTCAGGAGAGGCCGCCGCGGGGCTCGCCCATGGCCGCCGCAGGAGCACCGCGGTTGCTGCTGCTCGGCAAGGCGGGGGCACAGGCGGGACGCGCGGCGGCGGCGGCCGGTCCTTCCCTTCTCCTCCTCTTCCTCCAGCGCCGCCGGGCCGCCTCTTTCGCTTTCACTTGCCGGGCCGCGCCGCGGAGGCGGCTCCCGCGTCGCCCCTTCGCGCTGCCGCTGCGCCTGGCCCGGCCTCGCCCTGCCCAGAAGACGCCGCCGGTGCCAACGGGCAGCGCCCGCCGCCGCGTCCGCCTGCCTCTGCCCGCCTCCGACTGCTCATTTGGGGGGAAGAGAAGCGCTCGCTCCGCTTCAGACGAGGAGCTACTCCAGGCAGGCGCCGACGCCGCCGTGTCAAAATAAGAGCCGCCTCCTCCTCCTCCTCCTGCTCCTGGTTCCGCTTCGACGAGGCCTCCCAGCGGCCTGTCGGCGACCAGCACCCGGCTGGCAGCGAGAAGGGCGGGCGGGCGAGCAACGAATTCGGCGCCCCCAGGACCGGCACAACTGCCCAGACAGAGGAGGCGCCGCCCCGTACTCCTGCTTGGTAGAAGGCGCTCCACCTGGGAGCCACCGGCGGCAAGCGAGCAGGCTGGCTTCCTCGACGGACTGCAAGCTGCAGCGCCCTTGGCCGCCACCAAGCACCGCCCGCTCTACGGAGCGCAGTAGCCCACGGCTGGCTGGAAGGGCCACCGAAGCGGTTGCTGTCACCATCCGCCTGCCTTGCGCAAAGCCGTCGCAGGCGGGAGGACAAGCTCAGCCCACCCGAGCGATTCCCGGCCGCTCTCCTCAGTGGGCGGCCCAAAGCGAGCTCGGCCGTCGGAAGGACCGCTTGGGGCTTCCCCCCATCGTCGTCGCACTTGGCTCGGACTGCTAGATGTCGAATGTCCGAAAATTTTGGGGACAAACGCAAAGGCTGGGTGTTCGACGGCCCTGTTTCATTGGCGCGCGCGGGCCCTGGAGGAGAGTGAGGGCACGTGCGCGCCCCGTCGTTAGAAGGCGCCTCCAAGGATCCAGCTTAAGGAAGCGATCAAAGTCTGCACGTGTTGTGAGGCAGGGCGAAGGAAAGCCTTTTCTCACGAGTGACGGCGTCACATCCTTGAACCAACCACGCAAGTGTGATTACAAGTGTGGTTCCAGGTCGTTTATAAGCCAGGCTTAGCGCGTGGACATGACTTGGTGGACACATGGGGTGCGCGGTGTGTTGAAAGAGAAAGGCAGCTTTAGAAAGTGACGGAACCCTTTAAATACCCAGAGATCCGGCTGCCCGTCGCTGTTTTGTGCCGAAGATAAACAGGGACGGCGGCGCACGTGGCGGGTGGGAAAAGGGAAGCGAGTGACTTAATCGGGGAACCCAGGAGTCCGGGCTGCCTGGCTGCTGCTTTCCTGCCCGGTCGCGGGAAAGAGACGGGGCGGGACCCCGAGTCCTCCCGAGTATTTGCGGGCTCGGCCGGCGCAGGAAATTTTGGCAGGCGCTCTTAGCTGGGACTCTTATCCTGACAGGACGCCCTCCTCCCAGGTCGGGCCCGGAGACGTCGGCAAAGCCGCGCCAGTAAAGCGGGCGGCGGGCGCCTGCAGCTGCGCTCTCCCTCCCTCCCTCCGTGCAAGAGCGGAGCCCGCTAGGGCGGCCGCGGGAGACCCGCAGGAAGAGCCTTCCTGTGACGCCTCCGGGCTCTCGGGATGCCGTGGTGCAGCCTCTGTTGAGGCGCGGCTCATTCCTTGGCGGCCAGGCCGGGCCCCCGCTCCCTCCAGCGGAGTCGAGCAGCACCCAACGGACTGAAGGGAGGCAGAGAGCGCGCCGCCTGGCGCCCAAGGCTCGGCTAGCCGCGGCTCCGCCGTCTGCCCCGCGCTGCTACCCCCAGGCGGGGAAGGGAGCGGCTTCCCCACCGGCAGCTGCTGGTGCGTCCCGTCGGAGCCAGAACACACACCCAGCGGAGCCTGCTGGCAATGCCAGGTCCCAGCCGGGCAACGGATGAAATAAATAAAGGTGCCTCTGAGCGGGTGCAGAGTGGTTTTCTGACCTCATTGAGCAGCCAGGCCCAGCGCACCTGAAAAGAAAAAGTGGCTTCCAGGTGTGATGTGGGCAGAAGGAAATCATGGCAGGTTCTGGCATCTTGTTCTTGCTGGGGTGGGGAGATGATCGGGGACTGAAGCAGAAGGTTTAGACATAACAAAATAAAAAAAAAATCATTCCAGTAGCACCTTAGAGACCAACTAAGTTTGTTATTGGTATGAGCTTTCGTGTGCAGTGTGCATGCACACGAAAGCTCATACCAATAACAAACTTAGTTGGTCTCTAAGGTGCTACTGGAAGGAATTTTTATTTATTTATTTTTTACTACGGCAGACCAACACAGCTACCTACCTGGTTTAGACATAGACGGACACTCCATTAAAAGTGCTTTGCTGTCATGGCAAGCTTACTGTTATTTCATATATCTGGGAGTTTTAAGGCTGTTTTTCCTTGCTGTGAGAACCAGGTCAATAAAGCATCTTGAAATTTGTGGGGAACTACCCCTCGGATTGAGGCCCCAAAGGCCTTTTTGGAGCTGGAACCCCAGTCTGGGTCCTTTGAAAGCCCACTCACTGCTGCCTCCCTCCGTGAGCTTCATTGCAAAGAGCAGCAAGGTGAGGCAAGCCTGCAGGTTTCAGATGTTCTGCTGGTGGAGGATGGAGGCCTCTCATTGCCTCTCCAGCCCCATGGGCTCCCCTTGGCCCCTGTTACCACCCACCCTTCTGCTGCCAGGTCTCAGGGGCCTCTACAACCTCTGCAGAAAGAAGACAAGGAAAGGGTGTCTTTAGGATGCTGGTGATATAGTGAGAATCCTGTTCCCATGGCAACAGGAGGATTCAGTGGAAGAAAAGGGGATGTAAATCGGATTATCAGGTGGGGGGGGGATGTGGAAGGCCTGACAGGGCCAGAGAACAGCCACCTGCAGCTTCTGCCGCTGCCGCCTCCTCTCAGTCCCTTGTCCCCATTCTGGGTCTCTGTGCCAGCATCTCCAGCCCTGAATGCCAATAGCCTCCCTTTTGCCAGTGGTCTCTAGGCTGCTGCAGAGATCCTGGGTCCGGTACCTCCCTGATAGCAGGTCCAGGGTCTGCTGAGGGTGGGAAAGGAACTGTGGGTTAAAGGCCCTGAGTCAGAGAAACACAAAACTGCTCTTTAGCTCCCTTCCCAAGAGACTCCTAGAATGTGGGTGGAGATCTCCCCGCTGTAATGTTATGGCTTTCACCTGTGACATGTAGATGTGTAACAGGAAGGGGATGCAGAGCATGTGCCCAGGTGAGCACTCTTGAGACCAGACAAGGGGCTCCAGGATGACATGTCAGCCTCACAATTGTTTTCTGGAGGGAGGATCGGCTCTGGAACATCTAAAAGTGACAGCAGAAGTGAGACTGCCTTTGAGGATGTGCAGAGTGCCCTCCCTTCATCTAGCCCCTACTTGCCTGGACTGGAGCAGAGCCCCCAAGCCAAAAGGTTTTGAGATTGTTGGTTGGACGTGTGGCTTCACAGCCATATTCTATTTCAAAGTTAGCTGCTCTGTGCCTGCAGCAAGAAAAACCAAGCAAAGGCCAAGCCAGGGTCCATCCAATGTCCAATTTGTGGGAAAAGCAAGAAGTACTAGGAGGCGGAGATCCAGCATCATCACGGCTGGTGTGTGTGTGTAAAAAAAAAAAAAGCATGCTGCTCCTTTAAATGTGCCTAAAGTGTTGTCAGTAGATCTGCCGAGGTGGAAGACTTAATCCCCCTGCTCCCTCCAAGACCCTCTCAGCCACTGTGATGGGATAATTAGATGCGAGGGCTCAGTGCAGACGATGCTCCAGTCGCCTAGCAACTAATGGTTCCCATGGAAATGGCAAACCACAGCCTCCGAAGCAGTAAGTGAGCAGTGCAGCAGCAGAGCAGGGCAGGGAGAGATGCCTTGACTCTTCGCTCTGATCCTCCGCTCCTCCTGCAGAGGCCTGGAGGTATTACGGGAAGAGGGGGAGTGGAGGGGGCGCTTCACAGTGTCCCTCTTTCCAACTGCAGGGAGAGGGAGGGGAGTGGCTGTGGATAGTCATGAGCTCTCCCTCTGCGCCCCCCCCCATCTCACACTTCAAGCACCCGTAGCAACAGAAGAGGGCTCCAGTGCCCCCTTGCACCCAGCTGCCAGTCTTCCTACCTTTTCACTTACAACCTGGTGCAGAAAAATGAATTTAATAGAAAGGAAGTAGGTGAAGCTTTTTCCCAGCACTTTTTCCTGTTCCTGGAAAAGCTTCCCCTGGTTTGTTTTCCCATGTCAGGCTGCTGTTGAAAGTGCAAGAGCAGGGAAGAGGCAACACAAGCAGATGTTGCCCTGTCCACATCTGCATGCAATGCAGTTGCGGCAACACAGGCTGCCATCAACCCCAGGCAACGCTCTGGGTCCTGCTGAAGGAGGATCTGGGCTTTGCAAGGGGGAAGGACAAGCACCTGTTCTGTTTTTTTTTTTATGATATTTATTAAAATTTCAAAAGAAAAAAATCACATTAATAAGAAAATTAACAATAAAAAGGAAAAATACAAAATACAAAATACAAAAAAGAAAAAGCAGTTAAAAACAATTCCATCTTTTCATTACTTCTTTTATATTTACTTGTTTCCCGGACCTCCTCATGCCTCCCTCTTTTGTATTCTATTTCAATTTGTTAGTCCAGCGATTCCTTTCCCTCCTTTTTAATCCTGATCTTTAATCTTGATATATTATAACATTAAATTTTTAGATATTAGAAACCAATTTTTCCATATTCTTTTATACCATTACCGCATGAAACCACTTAACTTCAATCCGTCATCATTCTAACCTTCATTAATTTTACAATATTTCTGTAAGTAATCTTTAAATTTCTTCCAATCTTCCAATCTTCTTCCACCGACTCTTCTCCCTAGTCTCGGAGCACCTGTTCTGCATGCAAGAAGGTCCCTGGTGTCTTCAGGTGGGGCTGGGGAAAAGAATCTCTGCTTTAAATCCTGATGGTGGCTGAGTGTGCTTTCAATGGTGTGCATGCTGCCCTCAGGTTTGGCTCTTCCTCCACTCTGCAGGCTGATTCCACCCCCCCCCCCCAATACACACACACAAAGAATGAGCCATTCATAGCAACAGTTTCTCTTGTCCCCACAAGCCCTTCCAGAGTGGCTCAGCAGGACATCCTCCCAAAGAGGCCGCCAAGGTGGTGTTGGGAGGGACAGCACACCTCCCCAGTCAAGTAGCTCTCCCCCACTCACCTCTCCAAGTTGCTGGAAGGTAAGGTGCTTTCCACCCATAAAACAGAATCAAAAACTGGCAATTAAAATAAGGCTGTAATCCTAAACGTGCTTACTTGAAAGTTGAGCCCCCCTACCAAAGTCAAGAAGTCAAATGTCAAGGGAAGTATTTTCATAGTCAAAGTGAAACGCATGTGAAATACATACTGCCGGTGTCAAGTATGTTTATTGATTTATATCCCACCCTTGCTCCCACAAGAGCCCAGGTCAGCAAACAACAAGTGATTAAACATCGTTTTTAAACAAACAAACAAACAAACAAACAAACAAACAAGTAACACAGATGCAGACTGGGAAAGATCTCAGCTTAGTAGGCACTGAAAAGAAAACAGAACGTGCCTGTCTAATACAGTATTCAAGAGGATGGAATTCCTCACGGCAGGTGCCACCACACTAAAGGCCCAGTTCCTACCTACTACATTGTGAAGAACAGACCTATGGATAAAATGGTATTTGCAGGAGGCTCCTGCCTGCAGACAGAGGCATACCTAGGCTCATTTGCACCTTGGCAAGGAGCTGTATTGGCATCTCTGAAGCCGGGAGAGACCATGGATAAGAAACTCAGAAAGTTTGCTTTTTGTTGCCTTTAGAGCTCCATCAGTCACTTCCTCCATGACCATCGAGTTCAAATCTGCTCTGCTCTGCCTTCCCCCTCCCTGCATCTTCCACTGGTCTGTCTGTCTGCCTTCCTGCCTTCCTCCCTCGGCTCATTGTCTTCCCTTCTTCCTCCTTTCTCCCTTCCTTCCTTTTCCCTCCTCCCGCAACTCTCCATCTTTCTTTCCTCTGAGCCCCGCTGAACACTCCACCTACACTTCTAATAGCAATGCCTGCCGACTGGGGAGAGGGCCCCCACAGGGTTGCTGCAAAGGCCCATGTCAGCCACCAGATTCCTCTGCCAAGGCACCCAGAGCAGCCTGCACACATCGCCCAACCACCCAGAGCAGCAGAGGAGTGGCCCAGGGAGCCCGCAAGGGGGCAAGAGGGCTTCTAGCCACTTGGAGCCAGAGTGGAGAGATGCCATGTTTTTTGCCCCCCTAGGCCTGCACCTTTGGTGCACCTAACTAGATACTGTATGTTCCTGCCTGCAGACCACGGTGATCAAGTGCTGACATGATCTTTCATGTATCCTGCTCCCAAGCTGTATAGGGTTTTATGCACCAAAACACCTTAAACAGCCCAGCAGCTAACTGGTAGCCAGTGCAATTATTTTAACAGTGGGACGGCTTGTTAGCAATATCCTACTCCAGTGAGCGGGGCGTGGGTGGCGCTGTGGGTTAAACCGCAGAGCCTAGGAGTTGCCGATCAGAAGGTCGGCGGTTTGAATCCCCGCGACGGGGTGAGCTCCCGTTGCTCAGTCCCAGCTCCTGCCAACCTAGCAGTTTGAAAGCACGTCAGATAAATAAGTACTGCTCCGGAGGGGGGAAACGGTGTTTCTGTGTGCTGCTCTGGTTTTGCCAGAAGCGGCTTAGTCATGCTGGTCACATGGCCCAGAAGCTGTATGCCAGCTCCCTTGGCCAATAAAGCGAGATGAGCGCTGTAACCCCAGAGTCGGCCACGACTGGACTTAATGGTCAGGGGTCCCTTTACCTTTACCTTGCTCCAGTGAGCAGTCAAGCAATTGTAGTTTGCAACAGCTGCAGCTTCCGGACCTACCTCGATGGCAGCCCTTTGTAGAGCCCAAATCAGTAATCCAGTTTGGAGGCTACCAGCACATTGACTACACTAGCAAGGCTATTCCGGTCCAGAAACATTTGTAGCTGTTTTACCAGCTGAAGCTGGCACAAGACCCCCTTAGCTGCTAAGGTCACCTGGGCCTCTAGCAGCAAAGACTGATCCAGGGGAGCAACCCCCAGTTTAGGAACCTGCTCTTTTCCCATATGCAAATGAATGCAGATTTACCAAGCAATACCATACAGAGGGAGATGCTGCTGTATCACTGGCACAGCACCCACAAACTCCTAGAATCATAGAATTGGAAGGTACCACGGGGGTCATCTAGTCCAACCCCCTGCAATGCGGAAATACTATCCCCAACACGGGGCTCAAACTCATGACCCCTGAGATTAACAGTCACATGATCTCCCGACTGAGCTATCCCATAGCTTACCTAAACGTGTCCAGCAACGGTGATGGCCACAGCCCCGGAATCCATGGAAGCTTCATTTGTGGCAACCAATCCCAGGCCAACTGCAGTGAAGATGCTCTCATCTTCCCTAGAGGCAAAGAGAACCAATGCATTAGCATCAGTGGTGATGCAACCCCATGATAGGATTCTGCCCCTAAACACCACAGTGTATCACCCCACGAGTTCCTGGGGCAAAGGCAGAAATTAACAGGACACTTGGAGTCTCCAGTTCGCAAGCACCAATTTTTAGGACAATGTGCAGAAGGAAGGAGAGGCCACACCGCACCCATGTGGCTCACTGGGCAGGAGGCCTACAGGTGAGACACACAACCCTTTCCCCAGGACAAGAGTTCGAGGCTGACAAGGAAGAAAAATACCTTTTCCAAGGTGAAGGGCTCTTTGCTTTTTGGCCCCTAGCCCGTCAGAGGCAGATGAGTATCCATTGCTGTTGGGCTACAGGTCAGGTTTTAGCTAAGGAAGACCCGCTTTTTGAGCAAGAGCTTGTTGACAAAGGAAAAGTCGCTCAATACATGCTCAGAAACACACTGCCGTTCTCCAAATATACTCCCCATGTTCCAAGGCAGAGAGACACCTGGCACAGATTACAATGAAGGCAAGGCCAGCTCTGGTTTCTCTGCATGAGCTTGGGTTGGGGGGGGGGTTGACTGATGGGAGCCGTCAAACTCCCTTCCCACCCGATTCTTAGCAACTTCCCTTCTGACAAAAGTCACTGATCCGTCCCCACCAGCTGAAGCAGATGTGAGAGTCTTCTCCTGAGCAGTCTTGACTTGCTCTGCTATTGTCACTCACCACACACATGGAAATCAAAGGGAAATGGAGCTCTTTGTTCTGCTGGGGAGAGAGCGGAAGGTGAGTGGCTGAGGCAGGTGTTTGAAAGCTCAGCCCTGAAAGGGTTTTGAAAATCTGGAAGGAGGGACCAAGATCTGAGGCCACCACTAGAGCCAGAAGTTCAGAACTTGACAGAACAGGGGGATTGCTGGCAGGAGGATGGGGGGAAATCCCTATCAACACTCCCCTAATCATTTTCAAAATATGAAATAATTGGGGTGTTCCAGAAGTTTACTCGAGCTACAAACAAAGTGTCAGCACATGGATTCCTTATCACATGTTGTGTTGTGTTGTGTGCATCAGTCTGCCTTGGAGACAATGGAAGAATGCAACTCCAGGGGTAAAGTGAGCAGAATAAATATATTTTGCTCACCTTCCATAAACAGAAACAGACCACATTGTCATATCATAGGCCACATCTGATTCAGCTGCTCCCAGGAGATCCCAGGTATGCTCAGGTGTCTCATCCACCAAGCAAGTCACTGTCCCTGCATGTAAGGTAAAGGTAAAGGGACCCCTGACCATTAGGTCCAGTCGTGACCGACTCTGGGGTTGCGCGCTCATCTTGCTCTATAGGCTAAAGGAGCCGGTGTTTGTCCGCAGACAGCTTCTGGGTCATGTGGCCAGCATGACTAAGCTGCTTCTGGCGAACCAGAGCAGCGCACAGAAACACCATTTACCTTCCCGCTGGAGTAGTACGTATTTATCTACTTGCACTTTGACGTGCTTTCGTACTGCTAGGTTGGCAGGAGCAGGGACCAAGCAACGGGAGCTCACCCTGTCATGGGGATTCGAACCGCTGACCTTCTGATTGGCAAGTCCTAGGCTCTGTGGTTTAACCCACAGCGCCACCCGCATCCCGTCCTTGCATGTAGGTGGCTACAAAATTCCTCCTATCCATACACATTCTCTCCAGGGCTTGGCTCCTTGGTCTTGGAGGGAACATAAGATTGCTTTGCAAGATCAGACCCAGGGTCTGACTAGTCCAGAGTCCTGAAAGATCACTCACAAGTGATTCATGAAGGTGATGGCTGCCCTCAGCTGTTTATCTCCAGAGTCTGAGGCTGTTAACAGCCATGGAGAGGCAGGGTTGGACCTAAGGCTCACGAGCCAAGGAGAAGCCCCTGACTTGCCAGCAGCCAGGCCCTGCCAGATCCCTGCTGAAGCAACTGCCAGAGGCAGCCACAGGCCTCTTAGGAAGGGTTCACCAGTGCATCTCCCTCCTTCCCTGGGAGGACACTTGCAAGGCCCTGGGCCCACAGCCATCTGCTTTCCACGTTCAGACATGGTGCTTAGAGGCTTCTGATGCAGCTGGCCTGTCTGCTAGTGCCATCACTGTGAGTCTTCAGGAAGAAGAATAGCTCCAACTGGCCTTGGAAAGAGCCCAGGTTTCAGGTGGTTCCTCCAGCCCCCTTTTCCAGAGGCCTTAGTCTCCCTGCATTTCCACTTGGGAGGGAATAGTGGGAACTTTTTATTTGTCCATAGGAACATAGGAAACTGCCTTACACTGACTTTTGGCCCATCTAGCTCAGGATGGTTTCTCTGCACCAGCTCATAGCATCTCCTCCATATTTCGGGTGGGGGATATTCCCAGCCCTATTGGGAGATGCAGAGGACTGAACCCGAGACCTTCGAAAGCAGGTGTTCTCCTGCTGAACTATGGTCTTCCCTCCAAGGGTGGGGGTCATTGGTGTACTCATAGCTCTTCATGCGAGTTCTTGCTCCTGCTGACGCACCTAAATTATTGCTCTCTCATACACTCCCTTATTTCGGATTTGGCATGTCATTTCACAAGTTCTGAGGCCACAGTATCCAGGGAGGGGGCACAGTGGACTGCTTTGCCGAACATCATTTATGAGAGGGGGCTGTATGTTGACTGGAGCTGGCTGGGCTGCGTTGGAATCTGAAGATGGGCAAAGATGGCTGCATTTGCTGCTCTGCATTTCCCCCTGAATGCAGACACTATGGTGAATCACTCCAGACAACTGTGTGGCAAAGATGGAATGTTGATTCTAACTGGTACAGGCTAGTTTCCTTCCAGCCAGCGCAGAAAATCCCCAGTGCAACCTGATCCCTTACTTACACATGGAGAAAGAAAAAGAAAGAGAGAGAGAGAGAGAAATCTATTTGCATTCCGGCTTCATAGAACAAAGGGAAGCACATACTAATCTGGACAGGGGGAGGTGGGGAGTGGAATCTCCAGGAGAAAACCCCCCACAAAACAGTCAGCATCCATCCGCATACTGGACTTAGCAAATACCTAAGACTGTGAATATACCTCTTTTCTGTATCAGTAATTCTTGCTTCCCTTTGTCCTGTGCTCACCTATTTCGTCTCCTCCTAAGATGATGAACGCCTCATGTTGATAGTTTTTAAAAGCCTGCTGTATGTTATAAAGGACAGTACAGTACTGAATAGAAGATGACAAGGCATGGCCCAAGAGGTGTCTTCATCATAGGAGGACGATTCAGGTACCTCAAGAAAGCAAGCCAAACCATGTGCTAGCTAAAGGGGGGAAAACAAAATCCTTCACAAGCCCAGATGGGTGGTATCTGCTGAATTCTAACATAAAGGGGGGAGGGAGGTGAACCTTCTGTTGAGGCTACCCTGAAACGAACATATCTGGGGTGCAAAACACCACACTCACTGTGCTTCCTCTGCTGGTAGTAATCAGCTCCAGGTATCTGGGCACCTGATCCATGCAGCCAAATGCTCACACCTGCTGCACCAGAATTAGGTTCCTGCCAGAGAGCACTATGGGAGAGAGCAGAGGTCAGAGTCAGACCAACTCACAAGGAGAGCCACCTCTTCCTTCAGACAATGGAGAATTGCACATGGGTCTGGGAGCCCTGGGTTCAAACTCTATCCCTGCCACAGATTCACCTATGTATGACATAAGAACCTAAATGACCATGGGCTCTTTGGTGCCACATATTACCGTATTCCTTATGTAAACAGCAGCCTTAGGACTGGGGAGGGATGTTTAACCCTTTATTTCCTTGCCAATGCAGGCAAAATATCGCTCCATCTGACTGCTCTTTGCATTTCATTTTAAGACTCTGTTGGTGTCCATAGGAACATAATTTGAAATGCAAATAGCAACTTTTGAGAAGAGGGAAGGGAGATTTTGTTGGGTCTCTGGCAGAGACAGAAAAAGTTGAGCTTCATAAAAAAAGTAAGTAAAAGTAAGTAAGTAAGTAAGTAAGTAAAACAACTTCCCCTCTGGACCTCCCACAGTCCTGAGGATGCCCAGACTTTCCCACAGGTGCTACACCCACAACTCTAGTGTTGGCGCTTCATTCCAGCTCACCATCTTTAAAATGGTCTTAATTTTGACCTGCCTTAGAGGGCTGGTCAAGTACAAGTTATAATCACCTGCACTAGGAGCTAAGTACTTCTGCCCTGCACATGTTCATACTTTCTGGAGTGGGGCAGGGACTAGTGTGAAAGACTGGAAGTCTTAGGCAGCCTATGGAGTGGAGGAAGAGAATGCTCTGGCTCTTGCCACCTGGAAGGGGTACACCTTCATCCCTAGAATTGCCAAGATGTGTGGTGGGGCACCTTGAGGAGGGGGCTGGTCAGACAAGTTTCACCAAGGCTGCTCCAGTTTGGTCAGCCTCTCCCCCACCTCCCCAGGGAAGCTGCACTGGGAAAGCAGAGGCATTCGCTCACACCAAGCAGTCTTGAGAGGCAATCAGCTTCCTCTTGCTACCCATTCTTTGACTGTGCTGGTTTGGACACCAAATAGAGCAGACCTGTTCTTTTCATTTCTTTTAGCTGGACCAACAGTGCAGGGGTGTGGAAACTTGTGTTTTGCCTTTAAGGCCTGGTACTGAGGGGTGGGACAAGGGGCTTTGATGCTCTGGGTTCTAGTCCTTTTTTGCAGGACAAGGGCTAGTGAGGAGCAGCAGAGTTGAATGGTTAGATCAGGGTGGGGCTAGAAGGGGTGGCAATTCTGCCCACAGCTCTGCTCACCTGTTGGGAGGGACCTACTTCCAAGGCAGTCTTCTCCAGCCCAGGTTGCCCAACCTCTCTGCATCCATCTTCACCTGCCATTCTGTCTCTATATCAGCTGGGATATCAGCTGCTTCCACCCTCTGGGAGCTCCCTTAATTTCCTGGAGCTTTTCCTGTAACTAGCACCAAAGCCATCTAAGCATCCCTGAGTTTGGAAGAGTTTCCTCTTGGAGGAAGAGGCTGGAGGGGTTGTTGCTTGTGCACACTTGGATAGAGTGCAGAGAACTGAAACTCAGTGATGAAGCTCCTCCCAGACATCAGGAAGGAAAGGCAAATCATTGACTGTTTCAATAGATGGGATGCTGGCTTGGAAAGGCAGCCTCTGCCACAGGCTCACTTGGGAAGTCTGTGGCAAGCCACACCCTCCCCCAGCTTCTCAAATCTGTAGGATGTCAATGGGCATGAAGGATTGTATGTGTAAGAGAGAGAAAGGTGTACTCAAACACAGCACAAGATCATGAAGCACTTTGCAAATCACATGTGCAACAAATCATTATTAACGAGGAGAGGCTGCAGTGCTTTTCAAGGGAGAAAACCTATCCCAAAAGTGCATCTCCATGAGGGGGGAGGAGTTAGGAAGGAAAGTGAGGGCTGTATTCTTTTACAGGTTTGGCAATGCGGCAAGCCCTATGACCAGTAGTAGGTGACCTGCTTCTGCACCACCTGCTTTCAGAATTGGGGAGCTGCACCCCACCTATTGCCATATCAGTGCCCATAATAGCTTGATCACCTCCCCTCTCCACACCCTTAACCAGTTAACTTATGATTGCTGTTAACTGCAACGCACCTGTTGTGAAATGCTTGTGGTTCTCCCAACCACTACTTAGCAAAAGGCTTTCTCCTAGGATTCCAGTCCTTGCAGAACTTAACAGGACCTACTGAGAGACAGCACTCCAGTAGAGCGAGTAAAGCAGTCATAAGCTCAGATATATTCCCAGAGAATATATTACCCAGATCCCTAATCGTGCACAGTCCCTTCCTTCTGACTTGTCATCATGAGGCTCTCGGTTTGGGGTGCTTGATCTCCATGGAAAAACCTGGAGACTCCAGGCATGAGAGCCCTGATTTTGTGACTCCAGGCGATGGAGTCGAGTCAAGGTGCTTATAGTCAAGTGTAAATGAAGTTGCAGCCTACTGTTTTTCAAATGGGGGTTTCCTATCGCGGCAGTGGGGGAAATGCAGGTGCCCCGAGGCCTCTGGGCAGCCACTGCTAGCGGCTTGGAGGCTCAGCCACACCTGCGACTGCTGGGTTAGGAGCGCAGAGGCCATGAAGCGCATGGGACAGACTTGGGGGTCTCCCTGCGAGCCTCGGTTGCAGAGCCCGCAGTCACGTGTCGAGGTAGATCAGCGACTCCGCCCTCCCTCCTTCCCGGCCCGGGTTCTAAAGGTGCGAAGCGCGCCCCTCCTGGCCCCGCCCCGAAAAGGTTTCTGCCCCGCGGAGTTTGCAGTGTGGTTCTTATGGCGTTGCGCTTGCAAAGGCCGGCTTTTTGGGCCAGCCTCCATCTGTGCAGTGGCCTTTGGGACTGGAACATGAGGCAGGAGATGGGCTTGAGCACTATCTGCGACGAGCTGCCCCAAGGTGAGGCCGGCCTGAAGTTCTTCCTGGCCACTGTGCCCCTTTCCCTTCCCTGGGGGCGAAGGCATTCTGGGGGTAGAAGGAGGCTTGCGTGATCTGGGGGCGGAGAGGAAGGGGGAGGAAGCCTCTTTGGGCATGTGCAGAGCGCCTCCCCCCAACACCGCGGGAAAGGAATAGGTGCCAACCCGGAGGCGCATCGCTGCCCAAGGAGAAAGTGCGCCGCGGGTCAGGCTTGCGCCCACCTGCCACACGGGCGAGTTTCCTGGGGTTTGTCCTCGGCCCACCTGAAAGTGTTTGGGGGGGCCTCCGCAGCAGGGCTCCGGGGATGTAGGGCAGGAGTGAGTGGGTCAAATGAAGAGCCCTCTCCCAGCCCTATACAGTACCAGCATCTCTTTGATGCTTTCTCGCGAGCGCCCGCCCCGTCGGGGAGCGCCACCATCGGGGGTTTGCAGAAGAAACTCGGCTACATGTGAGGAAGCGGGTGTCTGCGTGTGTGCGCAGCCGGCCCGCTTAATGTGTGCCCTCCTGCCGCCTAGCTCCCGCGGACATCACGAGCGCTCGTGGCCTGGTGTGGCCCTCGGAACAGCTGACGACTCGCAGCCTGACACGGGTCCTGCACCCTCCCGCCCCGGGTAAGCAAGAGGCCGCCGAGCTTCTGTTGAGGAGGGGCGGAATCGACCTTCCACCGGGAATTGCCTTCTCCAGCAACTAGCGGATTGGGATGCCCACCAGCTGTGAGTGGCAGGGAGAGGCTTAAAGGGCAAGGGAGATCTTAGCAGCTCGGTAGTGGAGCACTTGATTTGCGCGCAGAAAACCCCAGTCCCCTTTGGCCTCTCCAAGACAAGGCTGGGAAAGGAGACTCTTGCCTTAAATCCTGGGGAGTTATTGCTGCCGGTCGGTGTTGTAGGCAATGCTGAGCTAGATGGATCAGTGGTCTGACTGACTCTGCCACCTTCGCCGCATCAAGCAGTTGGTCCCTTACCTTTCCCACCCTGACCTGGCCACAGTGATCCATGCGACGGTCACCTGCAGGCTTGACTACTGTAATTCGCTCTACGTGGGTCTGCCCTTGAAGCTGTCCCAGAAACTCCAGCGGGTGCAGAATGCTGCAGCGAGGCTCCTCACGGGGTCTCTGCCATGGGAGCATATTCACCCAGTGCTTTTCCAGCTGCACTGGCTCCCGGTGGAGTACAGAGTCAGATTTAAGGTGCTGGTTTTGACCTTTAAAGCCCTTCATGGCCTAGGACCCTCGTACCTACGGGACCGCCTCTCCCGGTATGCCCCATGGAGAGCCTCAAGGTCCATAAATAGCAACACCCTAGTGGTCCCGGGCCCTAAGGAAGTTAGATTAGCTTCAACCAGAGCCAGGGCCTTTTCAACACTGGCTCCGGCCTGGTGGGACGCTCTGTCTCATGAGACCAGGGCCCTGCAGGATCTGATTTCTTTCCGCAGGGCCTGTAAGACAGAGTTGTTCCGCCTGGCCTTTGGCTTAGAGCCAATTTGATTCCCTCCCCCTTTTTCTTTTTCCTTTTTCCTTTCTCCTCCTGTGATGAGGCTGCATTTTAATATTTTAATGTTGTATTTTAATCTTGTTTTTAAGTTGTATTCATTCAACTTGTTTTTATTATTGCTTGTTAGCCGCCCTGAGCCCGGCCTTGGCTGGGGAGGGCAGGGTATAAATAAACATCATCATCATCATCATCATCATCATCATTATTATTATTATTCTACTTCTGATGTTCCTAGGCTTGTTGTGGAATGTGGGATTGCATGCGGCAGCAGGAACCCAGCTGAGGCCCTTTGTTTTCTCTCCCTGCAGAATCTGACCCACAGCCCCACCCGTGGATGTGGGTGAACCCAAACCTGGCCTGCAGCATCCCTGGGCATGCCTCAGTGGTGGCGCCACTGCCTTCATCTTGTCCTGCCACTAGAGAGGTCTGTGGAGACCGGGCCAGCAATTCAATGGCAAGAAGTTTACGTATCTTCTGGACTGTTTTGATATGAGCTATTGCATGGCTCTAATCTGGACTGGCCCTCCTGATTTCAGTGGGAGCCAGCAGCCTATGTGTCTGTTCTGTTTTTAATTAGTTAATTAAAATGTTTGAATCCCACCTTTCAGTTTGGTATCAAAAAATTGCTAGGAAACAATGCAAAATATTAAAAGTTTCCTAGGAAGGTGGAAATGGGTGGTCAGAGCCAATCCTCCTTTCTGCAGGGGTTCCCAAACTTGGGTCTCCAGTTGCTTTTGGACTACCACTCCCATCATTCCTAGCTAGCAGTACCAGTGGTCAGGGATGATGGGAATTGTAGTCCAAAAACAGCTGGTGACTTGAGTTTGGTAAACCCTTGTTTGGAGAGCCAGGCTACCCATATGGGGCTGGTGACTGTCATGTGTGGGGCAAGCCACCTATCTGGTGGTGCCATTTTTTTCTCTGGCCATGGCTCAATCTGCTGGCCAGCAAATAAAGGAGAAATATTACCAGGTGTCCCTGCTTCCTTCCCGCAATCTTATGGTTCCAGGTCCCCAAGGAAGAGGATACCTCCCAACTTTCTCAGAAGACGAGGGGCACTCGTCGGTCTACCTGGGCACCCTGGAAAGCAAAGGTCCTCCGATCCCATGCTAAGAAGCTGAAGAGGACCCTGGGAGACTGGCCCCGCCCACCTCTTAATTACTGCATCCTCATCAGCCTTGCCCTGAGCAGCAGTGTGAGCAGCAGTCTGACAGTGCAGGAGATCTACCAGTTCATAAGGTACCGGCCCCTGAGCACTGGGGTGGGCAGGTGGGGGCCAGGAGAGGCAGATGATGGGTGAAGATGAAGCTCAGTGATTAAAATGGGGACTTCTGACTTTGCCTTCCTTTCCTGGCTTGGCTTGGCTTTGATGCTGCTCTCAAGTTGGTGTTGAAAGCTGCATGTTCTGGCCGGAGTCTCCTATGATTGTGGGCAGCATAACTGGGTGCTAGAAAGCAGTCTGTAATTTCCTCTTTCGCCCGGGGCCCTCCCTACACAGTCCATGGGGTACAAGCATCCCTGGGGATGGAAAAGAACGTTACGCTGCAGTGCTATTGGTGGTTCATCTGCTGCCTCCGTGGGGCCGCCTGCCCTGCTCTAGCCACTCTGCTGACCTCCCTCCTTGCCAGGAAGCACTTCCCCTTCTTCCGCACAGCTCCAGAAGGCTGGAAAAACACCATCCGGCACAACCTGTGCTTCAGCAGCAGCTTTGAGAAGACGGCCGCCTTCGTGTGCCTTGATGGGAACCGCAAGTCCCGCATGTGGAAGTTGACCACAGAGGGATGGCGCAAGTTTCGGGCGGAAACGCAAGAGCTGCCAGAGGACTTGGTGAGGCTGATGCGTCAGAGCATGGACAAGCCAGGTAGGAGGAAGATGGTGTGCAACTGGAGAGGAGGGTGAGCATGGCCAGGAGGGAAGGAGATGGGACCCTGAACAGCTTGAAATAGAGGAGGGATCTGGCAAGCAGTTCCACTTTCAGCAAACCTAACTTTTCTCTGTTGGCTTCCTGAGCATGGAAGTCACCTTGATAAACCGATGGGGCCACCAGCCCTGACAGCTTGTATTTGCTTCCCTCTTTCCCCAGAACTGATGAGGTCTCTCTTTGGCCTCGGATCCTCACTAAACCTGGACGGCATGGAGGAAACCCCACTGCAGTCGACTGTGCATTCTCCAGTACGTATAAAAGACTCCGCTACTTGTTGAAAGGAACAGCTGTTCTAAGAGTGCCCGGCTTGTGGCTTCCTTCCTTCTGAAGATACTATTTGGGGTGGAAGAAACCCCAAATTTACAGGTGGAGAGGCAGCTTCCTATGAGAGTAGACCCCCTCAAAAAAAACAACAACAACAAAAAAACACCTGTACAGTGTTTTCCGCTTGCAGCAGGGGAGGTGCCGTGTTTTGTGATGGGAGTAGTCTCTTGAAAGGCACTGTGGAAGAGAATGCATAAACCTGAGTGCTTGAACTTACTTTATTTTATTTATTTATTCATTCGTTATTGAAAATGTGGAGAAAAAGTATGGTAATAAACAGTTAAAAGTGTGCACAAAATGGTCATTGTGTGTGTTCTATTTGCCTCTGTGCATAGGAGCCAACTTCTAGGGGCCGAGATCCCTTTGGCGCCCCCCCCCACCTAAAATATCTGCGCTCCCCCCCCAGTTGATGGGCATTGCCATTCAAATGGAGCGTGGGTACTGTGTCATGTAATCGATTATGCGGGGTGGGACTTACCTGCCCTGCAATATTTTTTTCAAGTTGGCACCCCTGCCTTTATGGAAAACGCTTGAAGTGGAAAATAGTTTCTGCTTGCCCTCTGTTTAGAATTGCCGGTAGCTCACTGCGGTGACAGGAAAATAGTGGTGAGAGGAATTCAATGCCTGGCTTTAGGCAGGGGCATCTGCACTGATTTATCCAGGGCGCAGGGCGACCAAGTATGCAAAACAAAATCCATAAACAGATCTGACTAGCTGCAGTGAATAAGCATGTCAGAAATGTGGGCCTGAGTGGTGGCCAAGTCTAGAACAACTTGGCCTCTGAGAAGCTTGCATTCCGGATCAGGTTCTCTGTTTGCTTCTCAATGGGTAAAGCTGCTCTCCACCTACAGGCAGAGCTGGTATTCAGACAACGTATTCTACCTGTTACTAAAAGACTCCTTTGTTTCCCTGGCACCCTTCACCTTGTTTTATTGCACGGTTGCTACATCCATCTTCACAGTCCACCCCAATCATTCTAATATGTCAGGCCAAGCCCACTAGGCCACTTCATGGACCCCATACAGTACTCCAACTTCCTCTACTCTTCAGAAAAATGTGTAAAGTGTTATGTTATTCAGCACACCTGATGTATCTCTGGCACAGCTCCAGCTCCTGCAAGACTGCTCTAATAATTGTGTGGACGATAATAATTGTGAACTATCTGCAAGTGCAAAGAAATTTTTAAAATAAAAGTTGGCACAATCACTATTCCACCGGATTAAACCGGAAGAAATGGCTTCAAAACAGATTTAAGAAATAAAACTCCTGTTCTGAGGACAAGCCAGGGCTGTCGCCTTCATTCAGGCCAAGAAGGGGGCTTGCTAAGCAACGAGATGGCAGGGGGATGTGCATCTCGCAGCTGTGACGGAATCATAGAACTGTGCAGAGTTGGAAGGGACCCAGGGGCCATCTAGTCCAACCCGCTGCAATGAAGGAACCCTGAACGTGACTTTGCCTCATTCAGCTCGCGCGGGATTCAGGGCGAGGAGCAGAAACTAGAGGGCATCTGAGCACGTGCTGGATGCTCCTCACGCCTGAGCAAGGCCAAGCAGCAGCGCGCACCTTCCCGGGGTATCTGCATCCCGCAACGTGCTGCGCGACGCCTTTTCCTCGCCGGCAGGGGATGAGCGCGCAGCAGCAGATTGCCGTGCGTGGGCGGGAATGACGTAATCCTGCAGTTCTGGGGACGGCCGCCAGATGTCGCCCTCGCCGCGAGACCCGCCTCCTTGGCCGGCCGCTTCCGGGATTTGCAAAATGGAGGACGGGGGCGGCGGCGTTGATGGCGATCGGGGCGAGGGGCCTGGCGCCGTTCCCATGGCGACGACGCTGTTCCGCTGCCCGCTCTGCCGGTGCAGCGCTTTCGCCGGTCGGCGCAGCCACCTCTACAGCGTGGGGCACCAGAGGCGGCTTCGCGGGGCGCTCGCCCGCCTGAAGGAGAAAGTACGGCCCCGGAGCCCCAGGGGTGGGCGCGGAGGGTCGGGTGAAGTGTCCGAAGGCAGCCGGGCCGAGTTTCGTGCAAGGCTGCACCCTTCGCATTTCTGCCTGCCTGGCTGCGGGTGGCTTGTCCAAGGAGGAACAAAGAGTGGGCGGGTGGGGGGCTGGTTCCGCAGCCGGTCCGAAAGGGCGTCAGCTGCTCTCTAGAGAGATTTCACAGGGTCATAGAGCTGGAAAGGAACACCAGGGTCATCTAGTCCAACCCCAAGGGGGGCACAAAAATAATTGAAAGTACTCAATTAATTGAGGTTCTGCCCCCCCCCCCCAGCAGATGCCTCAACTTTGGCTGATCTCCTAACAAAAGTTCAACAATTTTGGCTCCCCCACTTTAACAAAAATCCTGGCTACGCCCATGTCCAACCCCCTGCAATGCAGGAATGTTTTTGCCCAACATGGGGCTTGAACCGCCGATCCTGAGATTCAGAGGCTTATGCTCTTCCAACTGAGCTACCCTTCACGCAAGTTGCTATCCTTCACACAAGTATTTTTTATCTTCTTCTCACTTTTGCTTCTCTTTTACATTTTGCTCAGGTGGCTGCAGCGCGGAAGATGCTCAGGCGGGCCTCGGTGGTGCCTTTTGACCCTGGGGAGCACGAGCGGCAATTCTGGTGCATTTGCTGCAGGCAGGAGGTGAAGTTGCACCTGAGCCAGGGGTCCTTGGCTGTGTTGCATGGCGGCCTCCTCCAGCACATGGCCAGGTAAGCTTGGAGAAGAGTCTCCACTCAGGCAGGCCACCTCTTGCCTGGAGCATGAGGTGGGGGTGTCTGGAATATGAATAGCCTTGTTTGGCTTCCTTATGTACATTTTGCTTTTATTTGCTTTAGTAACACAGTTATTTTTGAAGGAGAAAGGTGCACAAGCAATTTTCATAGCCAATCAATTATATACTGGACTGTATCAGTAACCCAGTTTGCAGTCTGAAATGTGGGAATCATAGTAAGTTGGTGGCAGTTTTCAGCAGTGAAAGCAAAACTGGCTGTTTTCAGAGTCACCTTGTTTATACTATTTGCAAGTACATTCCAGTTTTCTTCCAATTAATGAAACAGTGGAGCATATTTTTCATAGTTGTCACACACATACCCCAAACAACTCCTCTGCTGGCCTCTTCTTTGGTAATTAGGCTCCTGGGAGTGAGTAAAAAACTGACATAGTTCTAAATGTGGATATGACTTTGAGTGGAATCAAGTTTGATTTTTCCATGCTTGTAATGAGGCCCCTTTTGTGAGTGTCCGTGCCTGCCCTTGGCTTCTGATACAGACATCTTTCACAGCACGCAGAATTGCTTAAGTTGTTTTCCTCTGAGATTATCCTCAGAACTGGATAAGAACTGTAGCCTGGGCAGTCCTGTTAAAAGTTTGTGCCTTTCTCACTCTTAAGGTGTTTTGGTCTTTTATTCCTTTTCAAGCGTTGAACATAAGAAAGCAGTCTATGCATTCTGGTGGGAGAACAAAGCAGACCCTAGCCTGAAGTCTCGCTTCTTGGTTTCCTCTGAGGATTATGAGCTGTGAGTAGACGCTTTGCCAGTTAGTTTATGTCGCATTTTGTTTGCTAGATTAGCTATTCCACCTCTTTGACACAGAAGGAAGCTGCTTTATGCCAAGTCAGACCATTCATCCATCTTGTTCCACGTGGGAATGATCATTAGTGGGCAATCTGCAGCCATAGAGACACCCTTGGCCTAATTTCAACAGCCTTCATCAAATACTAAGTCCATATCGCTGGCAGAAATCATCTCTGTCTCTTTGCTGATTAGCTTCTGGTCAGGTATCTCCACATGCCGCCAGCATATGGCCTCTGTCAGTTATCCCCAAGAGGGAATGTAGCCCCTTGGCCAAAGGAGAAGAATTTATTAGAGGGCCTGATGGTGGGACAGGGTTAGGTGTTGACCGTACCTGGCCATTTCAGGGCTTTGATACTGTTCCTCCTACACTGCTGGGGCTCCCAAAGTAATTACTCATTCAGGCTGGAATAATTTTTCTGTAAAATCGTTTTAGATTTTCTTGTTGTTGCACCACCTGTCTTCTGTGGTAGAAGCAGCAAAAGGCCACTGCCTCGGTTCATGTTGTTGCTCTACAAACTGATATAACTTTTGAATCTGTTTCAGCTTCAAGGAATCACTCTCCAAAGCTCTGGAAGCTTATGAGGAAAAAGAAGATGAGCTCATTCAAGAGGTGAGGACAATAATGTGTTTGCGTGTGTGATGTAGGAATTTGGGTTTCTCCTCTGCTTCAGGTTCTCATTGTGTCTTCTGCCTACCCCAATTCTAGGTGGCTGCTCGCATCAGGGAGGTGGAGCAGAGACGGCAAGAAGTAGTGCAGGCTGCCTTAGAGGTTTGTGTGCCCAGGATGCACATGGGCAGTATCCACCATTACGTTCACAACTGTTTCTGTGCCCCTTGCCTTTCTCTCTAGTTGTGCTGTTGCCCTGAAACATGTGATTTCTCTTTCAACCACTAGGGAAGGTGGTGAATGTCCCCAGCAGTGACTATACAAGCAGCACATCTCATCTCTCATGTCCAGTTTAGATTTCATTTGTATGGCCTTCCTTTCCTAACCCCCTTTGTTAGCACAGAGCAGAAACGCCTGGCTGTTGTTTGTGGTCTGGGGCACCCCCACCTCTTGAACGCCCTTTCTGTGACCCCCCCCCCCCCAAAAATGCAAAGTCCTTTACCGGCCACTATTTGCTCTATTGACAATAAAGCATTAAAATATTCCACCTAATTAGCTTCCTTTCCTTGAAATGTCCACACCTTAAGTGTTGGTTAGAGGGCATCTGTGGGCAAAGCTTATTTGCAGACCCCCATTTCCCTCCAATGCAAGAACATTTCTTTGCCATTATCTCTTGATGGGCATTGGTCCACCTTATTAGTAGTGATTTCATTCCAAGGTTGTCCTACAGAGCAGACTTTACTATGGTATCTTGAAACAAGTGTTTTTTCCTGAATCAAACTCAGCAACAGGCAGAGACAGAGCTGTGCAATGGAGCTGCCACCGCCAATGCTTTTACAGGAAGCCCAAGGTAAGAGTTGTTTAGTCATGGTTATCAGTGGTGTTTACTTTAGAGGCCTCCATACACCATGGCCCCTTTCTGCCCTTTGTAATATGGCCTTTTCAACCCCTGGGTACCAAAACGTGCTCATATACTTTCTGCTTCACTTGAGAAATTCTGTGTTGTAGTGACTCTGCTTTTGCCACGGAAGAAGAGCAGCAGCCTGGGCCAAGCAGAAATGTGGCATTTCTTGAAGGACACCCTGGATCTGCATACAGAAGTGTGCCAGAGTCAGAGTGGCAGGAAGCAGGACAGTCTTTAACTTTTATTGGCCATCAGGTAGGCAGATGGGAGCCCACTTCATCTCTTCACAATGACCCATTTGTCCTTGAAAGCCTTTTAGTTTGGGGTTCTGGATGAATATAGCTAACTAGAGTATGATTACGCTTTATTCTCATAGTGGTGCGGATTTTATTGTGTTAAAGGTTGGGTAATAATGAGATAGTTTTAAAAAAAATTATTGTAGTCTGCCTGGTTGAAGATTTTTTTTAGAAAGCAGAATATAAATCTCTTGAATAAAAAAAAATCCGCTGCAGGTGCCTTGTACTGCCATGAATGGCTTGACTTGAGTGGTAGAGCTCCTACACCAGTGGCAGACCAGCGAACAGTCTGGTGGTCCCTTACCTTTATTGTACATAATAGGATATGCCCCATTCCCAGCTTGATATAAGATTTGGCTGGCACCTTCATTTTACCTTTAGGCAACAGTCGAACATGTTCTTCAGTCAGACCTTTGGCTGATTATTATCCTATTCCCTTTTAAATGTGTTTGTGGGAGAGGGGTTTATTGGTTTGTTTTTATCTTGCATTTTGTGTTTTTATCTTGTATTTTTATGTTGTGAACCACCGAGATCTATGGATGTAGGGTGGTATACAAATTTAATAAATTTGTGAACATGGGGAATTGGAATCGGGAGTTACATTACTTTTAAAAGCTGCATTGTATAATTAAAGGCAACTCTTGCTCCTTCTTTGCAGCAATGGCAGCTGCCTCTTTACATACTTCCTCTTCTCTAAATCATTTCTACCTTGGTTTTCCCTTTGCTTTTTTGAACACAGGAACCAGCAGAGCGCGGCAACATTTACACAGGTATGCTAGCAAAGATTTGATTGCTCCACTTTCTAAAACATGATTTTGACCTGTCTTATGATGAGGTTTAATAAACTCTGGTCTTACATGAGAAAGATCCTAACTGTGGTTGCAAATAGAGAATGCCCAAAAACACAGATTCTTAAGAATAGCCACGTTAACAGAAACATAGGAAGCTGCCTTACACAGACCACTTGTCCATCTAGCCCAACATGGTTGACTCTGTGACTAACAGTGGCTCTCTGAGGTTCCAGAATCTTTCCCAGCCCTACCTGTAGACACCAGGGTTTGCACCTTGTACCTTTTGCATGTAAAGCATGTGCTCTGCCACGGAGGTTTTTAAAAAAAATATAATTTTATTAGTTTTTTTTAACATATCATTTTCAACAGTAATTAAACATACTTTTAAATCTTATTCAATTTTTTGACTTCCATCAATCTTGTCTGAAATTTTTCCCAATCTAATCTCTCAGTATGCATTTCTTATCTTCCCTATTACATTTCAAACTCATAACCAATATCTCTGTCTTTTTCTACTTTGTAACACTTCCTATATTTCTCCTTACAAAACTTCTTGTAGTCCTACTAGCGTAATTTGATTTCAGTTGCTCTTCAAATAATTCATATATTTCTTCTAATCTTCTGTAAATCTCTGGTCCCACAGGTTTCGAATCCTTCCTGTCATTTTGTCCAATTCTGCATAGTCCATTAATTTCGTCTGCCATTCTTCTTTCGTCAGAATTTCTTCTTGTTTCCATTTCTGGGCTAACTGGGCTCTTGCCGCAGTTGTTGCATATAAAAACTATTTAACATCTTGCCTATTAATGTCCTGACCTATAATACAAAGTAAAAATGCTTCTGGTTTTTTAAAAAATGTATATTTCAACATCTTTTTCATCTCATTATATATCATTTCCCAGAAGTTCTTTACTTTTTTTTTACATTCCCACCACATTCCCATGGAGGTTTCAACCCTTGTTCAGGAAGGTAAAAAATATTAAAGATACCTTATTGCATTCTCTGGAAAGATAATGGCCCCACAGATGGGGAGGCTGCCATTTGACACAGAGGTAAGAAGAATGGGGCTGCTCTAACTTGTCATCCTTCCATACTTTAGGGGCCAAACCCCCTTGGCTGATGGAGGAGGAAGGGGAAGGCACACCACAGATTGGACCTTCTTACGAAGAATTTCTCAAGGAAAGTGAGTATGCAGAAATTTGGCCCTGTAGTCGGGACTCTTTATTATGACACAGCTCACTTGCTGGAAATCAAAGTGAGACTAGGACTCCAATTGAGGCTTGAAAATGATTTCTTTCCCCACCCTCCTTTCTTTAAAGAGGAGAAACAGAAGCTGAAGAAGCTCCCACCTAATCGTGTTGGTGCCAACTTCGATCACACCTCTCAGACAGGAGAAGGGTGGCTCCCCTCCTTTGGGCGGGTTTGGAACCATGGCAGGAGGTGGCAGTCCAGGTAAGCCTCTGTGCACATTTGCTTCCTTTATAATGTATCTGTATTTAACGGTGGACAATACAGCAGCTTTTACATGGTAGGCTCTGTAGCTGGCTCTCTAGCACCTTGGGCTCTTACAAAGAAAACCAGATGTGGGGATCTTTGGTTGAATCCTACAAGGCACTTATTCCCAAACGTTTAGCACATAGTAGTTGAGTCTTTGACCCCAGCATTTTGAACATACACTGGCTTTGTAAAATGAACGCTTTCTGGTTGGCCACAGAAACTTTAGTTTCATCTTTAAGTAGAGTACTTGTTACTGAAGTTATCTGTCCTGGTATATTATTTCTTTTTTTTTTAACTGACCTGTGTCACTTCCCTCCACTTTCATTAATTGACAAAATGGCAAGAAGTGCCTTTTATTAGTTATGGCTGTTTCTAAATATAGTCTGCCCAGTGCTGCATGCTCAGATAACCGGGAGTCTTGATTACTATAATCTGTTTCCATAGAACTACCTTTGAATAATGGTCCAGAAAATTTAGCTTGTTTTTTTCTGGACCTATGCAGCAACACCTATTCTGCAAGATCTGCACAGGCTGCCAATACGTTACTGGGCCCAATTTAAGGTTTCATTATTGATACGTAGAGCCTTTAAGTCTCTGATGGTGTACATTTCTCTTTATCACCTGCCCTGAGATCAGGGTAGAGGACTTCTTGCTGAACAGTGATAGAGCCTTCCCTGTACTCTAGTAGAATTCCCCCCTTTGCAAATGTCAATTGCTTCTACTTTGTCTTTCACGGTCAGGTCAAAACACACCTGCTTATCCAGGCCTTTGGTGAATTTGATCTAACACTTTGAAAAATATATGGTATGGGAGTTTATTCTCCCCCTGCCCCCAATTAAAATGATAATTGGCAATACACTCATTTGTAAGGGAATGAACATGGTGGCTCTGCAACTGATGTGGTGGCTGGTTCATTCTTTTAAGCTTTTATTAACCATACTTTTTCTAGACATCAGTTCAAATCTGAAGCACAGAAACATCCTGGCCCTAAAAGGAAACGGCAAAAAACTGACTGAAGGGAAGAAAGGCCTGATTCAATTACAGAAGGTTGTGCAGCCTGAGAAGACGCCAGATGAAGACTTTTCTTTTTGAACATTCTGTATGTCAGCAAGTATCATGTGGTTATTCTGTAGTAAAGTATCATTAAATATAAAATGTGTTTTACAATTCCACTCATCTCAACTCATCTTTCTTAAACAGATAGCTCCTCTAAGGCAGTTATTGTAAAGGTTGGGAACATGTTCTTATACCTGGCTGTTCTAAGGGCTTACTTTTCTCCTGTATTTTTTAAATTTTTATTAAAAGGCACTAGCTCACTTTGTGCAACATGCCACATTTACCCCAAAGGGCTAAGCATTCCACATTCTGTTTGCACAGTATCCAGTAGGAATATGGTGTAATGCAGGCCTGCTCCAATGCCAGGTCTCCATTTCCTACAAGCAGAGGATTCATTTCAACAGCGCTCAACTCCTTGACACCTTGCTGGACTGAACACCCCCTACACTGCACAATGTCCTGGCTGTTTGAGTGGGTGGTTAAGCACGACCTCTTCATCAGAACCCTCCTGCATCAGGGCCTTTAAATCTGGACAGCTGGGAGTCCTTTATCCCTCCACTATGATCTAATAATCTATGCTGTTATAAGGAGACTAGAAGCCTGTTTATAAATAGCTCCCATGATAGCCTCATTGGCACAGTAAAAACAAAGACTGGGTGGTAGTATCTGCATGTTTTATGTCATGGCCCCGGGACATAATTTTTAAATTACATAGCCATGCACTTGCAGGCCAGCCTTGTATGAAAATGAGTAAAGGCTTTTCAATGACTGCTTGCCTATGGTCCCTGACTATTAGAAACAAAGCTGTACGTAACTTCACTGAGCAGAAAACCACACAAAACTTCAGGAGTTGAAATTATTTTATTTTAGTCATTTACAGAGTCTTAAAAAAACCTCCCAAGAACCTGCAAAACAAAGAGATAAATTAATTAGAACCATTTGCCTGCTAAATAACTGCCATGATAGAATTCCACCAAGCCATACTGCCAGAACTGAGAAGCAGCTCACCTTTTATGCGTCCTCCCCAGCAGCTGGTGCATCACCCCCCTTGGTGTTTCGGGTGTAGATGACCTGGGCTCTGTGCTTGGACACCAGTTTGATTAGGCCTGGCAAAAGGACAGGACAGTATAGTTCAGCTCAATATGAAGAACAGCAGAGCTTTTAAAAGCAACATACCAACCAACTTCCTATACATACAAAAATAAATCTGTGGAGCTGTAACTTGTTCATTACAGTGCTCACAATTAAGGTAGAGGCTTTTGTAATAAATACCAGTGTTGTACTCCTAGGGATATTCTGTATTCATGCATGCAGCACTGACAACAGTTGCCAGCTACCTACCAGTTTAGCGCCCTATTCTGCCATTGCCAATCAAATGAGAGACAGACTCCAACAAACATTCATGAGATAAGTAGGGCTGCTATCAAGTGACCCCCAAACACCTTAATTTAAGCTAAGGGTAGCCAATGATAAGGAATGATGGGAGCTGTAGTCTAATAAACATCCAGAGAACGCCAAGTTGGCTACCTTTGGTTTAAGTAGCCACAGATAGCCCTTTCCACTGAGGCACTGAATTTTGCTATGTTGTTACCTTTGCTGAGAAGCTCCTGGAGCGCGGCTCTAGCCAAGGAGCCTCGAATCTTCAGCCTTTCAGAGACCACAGCAGGTGTGATGAGTTTGTAGTTTGGTACCTCCTTGCACAGCTTGTCATAAGTAGCTTTGTCAAACAGAACAAGGTTGTTCAACTTGTCTCTTACTTTCCCTTTGGACCACTTCTGCTCAAGAAAGAAAGGGGGGAGCAGTTAAAGCTTTAAAAGCCCAGATGACACAGATTTACTCAAGAGTAAAGGTGCTGAGGACTTCACACTGGTAAGGTTTTAAGGATGTGCACCAGTCTGCCAACCTGGTGTCTTCCAGATGCTTTGGCCCTTCAACCCCAGCCAGCACTGCAATTAGCTGCAGCTTATAGGCACTGTGGTCCAAAATGCTGGAGAGCACCAAGTGTATTATATTTCTATATCCCATTCCCCCCCCCCAAAGGGGCTGAAGGTGTTGTACACGGTTCTTTCCCCTTCCCATTTTCCCACACATCAAGGTAGGAATTTGAATCCAAGTCCTAGTCACTCGTAACCACGTCACAAGAGTTCACCATCAAATCTTAAGGTAGGCAAACACTGCTATATACAATTCCACAGGTTCCTTTCCCATCTGCAAGTGCTCCTATCTGCCAACACAGAAACAGACTACCCTTTGGAAAGCGATACGGAAAAAAAATTCAGCACCATTTTGAACAAAGTTTATGTAGCTATCTCTATATGCCTATACAACATTGCTTCAGAGACGACTTCCACCACGTATAACTCCTTGCATTTGCATATACTGTACGTTGCAAGAGAAGACGATATACCACATGAGGCTGCAGGCTGGGGTGCTTGGCGATACCGACGGCTGTCCGGCACATTGGCCAGTAAGGAAAACCTCGTTATTTATTGAAAAAGCCCGCGAGACCATTCAAAAGCATGGCCCTTCGCCCGCCCCCCGAAGTGGTACAGACCACAACGCAAGGCGGGCCCGGCCCGGCCCTCCACGTGCCTTTTCGGAGCACGAGGCACGTTAGTGCCAAGAAGGGGGAGGGGGTTCCTCCGTGCACGCGCCTCTGGAGAAGAGCACGGCGGCTCCGCGCCGGTCCCGCTCCAACGACCCTCCCAGGCCCACCTTCTTCTTGGCTTTTCCGCCGGACTTGTTGACGGGGTCCTTGTCCTTCTTGGCCGACTTGCCCGCGTCCTTCTTCTTCTTATCGTCCTTTGGCGGCTGCGGGGAGAAAAAGGGAGAGGAAAGCGATGAGGAGAAGGACAACCGCAGTAAGGAGCGAGAGACAGAGAGAGCGAGCGAGTAGCGGCCTAGTCACTCCCGCCCCGCATTTCGGGGCCTACCATGGTGCAGTCGGAGCGGCTACGGTCGCTGCTTCACCCTCGGCGATTTCCGGCCAGAAAGGAAGGCGCCTGTGTGGGCAGGCCGGGAAACCCCGTAGCCGAGGGTCCCTTCCGGGGCGGCACCGGAAGAGATACTCAGACAGGGAGCTGGGCAGGAGCGGCGTGACGTCAGACGGAAGCCGCGATGGCCATCTTCAGCGTGTATGTGGTGAACAAGGCCGGAGGGCTCATCTACCAGCTGGACCACTACGCGCCGAGGGCCGAGACCGAGAAGACCTTCAGCTTCCCGCTCGAGCTGGTGCTGCGCCCGCACGACGAGCATGTCCTCGTCTCCTTCGGGCAGCGCGACGGCATCCGCGGTGAGGGGCGGGAAGCAGCCGGCAAAGGAGCGGCCCCGGGGGCTGGGCCCTTTCGACACAGGCGGCGCCCGAGGGGGACGAGCGGAGGCCCCCCCCATTTCGTTAACACGCGCTGTATCCCCCCCCCCATAAGTATACTTTCCCCGCTCTGCCTCCCCCCCCCCAACAATTTTTTATTTCTCTGTAGTGGCACCCGCCCTGTGGAACGCCCTCCCACCAGATGTCAAAGAGAAAAATAACTACCAAACTTTTAGAAGACATCTGAAGGCAGCCCTGTTTAGGGAAGCTTTGAATGTTTAATAGGTTATTGTATTTTAGTGTTTTGTTGGAAGCCGCCCGGAGTGGCTGGGGAAACCCAGCCAGATGGGCGGGGTATAAAAAATTATTATTATTATTATTTATTATTTTCTGGTGCCTCCGCTGCCTTTGTACATTGAAGGGGAGACGGAACTCATGACAGCTGCTCCTTGAGCTGAAAAACTTTGGTGGCAGTGCACACCTGAACCATGTCCACTTCATTAGGCTCCTCTGGCAAAGGGTGGCTCACAAGGGATCAGGGAATTGGGCTTTTTGCGGCAGGGAGAGGGAACAACTGGGTCCCACCAGTGACTCTCTCCGACCCCCTTACCATTAGGCAGGGTACGGTGGCTGCCTCCAGCAGCTGGTTTTGGTGGCCATTGATAATTTATTATCAATACAGTGGTACCTCGGGTTACATACGCTTCAGGTTACAGACTCCGCTAACCCAGAAATAGTACCTTGGGTTATGAACTTTGCTTCAGGATGAGAACGGAAATTGCACGGGGGTGGCGTGGCAGCAGCGGGAGGCCCCATTAGCTAAAGTGGTGCTTCAGGTTAAGAACAGTTTCAGGTTAAGAACGGACCTCCAGAGTGAATTAAATACGCAACCAGAGATACCACTGTACATTTATGCTTCTGAGGGTTTTTAGCCTCAGGTGTGACATTTATAGTAAAACGTTTTGACCAGCTCCCAAAGGTTTTATTTATTGTTTATTTAGCACACCACCTTAAATCCAAAGATCTCAGGGTGGCTCAGAGATGTTCACTGGCTAAGCTTTGCCTACCTAATATAGGGATCCCAAGCTGAACCTGGTCAGACCTAACACCCACCACCCATCTCAGGTTATGTCACTGGCAAATTCTGCTCCAGAAAATGACATTGTATACATTGTATACTGGAGCTGCTCTTGCTCCTTTACTCCACTGATTGGCAGAGCTCCCAAGGGTGAGGGAGACAGGGGAGGTACTGATGCAGGAAGGATTGCCAGTGCCGGGTGAGAGGGGGTATTGAATGGTGACTGCCTCTTCCCTTCTTTGCAGTGGGCCATGCTGTGCTTGCCATCAACGGCATTGATGTCAACGGAAGGTACACTGGTGACGGCAGGGATGTGCTGGAGTTCCTGGGCAACCCAGCCAACTACCCAGTGTCAATCCGCTTTGGTCGCCCCCGACTGTCATCCAATGAGAAGCTCATGCTGGCCTCCATGTTCCACTCGTGAGTCAGGGGTGGATGAGATGTTTGCCAGAACCCAGAAAGGGAGAGGGGTTGACTGGTTTTGATATAGGGAAGGCACTTCATCAATTGGTACAATTTGGGGCTCTGTTTTATGCGCAGGTTGTTTGCGATTGGGTCCCAACTGTCTCCCGAGCAGGGGAGCTCTGGAATTGAGATGCTAGAGACCGACACTTTCAAGCTACACTGTTTTCAGACTCTAACAGGTATTGCTTCTTTTATAATATCTGCATTTCTGGACCTTTAGTTAGTATGGACAGCAGACCCCACTTGAGCAAGTAAAGTTCTGCAGCGACATTCAGTGAGGATGTTCCTAGAAGTGCTACTCTTTGTGGAGAGGTGGTAAAAGACAAATGTTTAATAACTATTATGTGTACTTCATTATATAAAAATCACAAGTGGTTTACAAAAAAAAAAAAAAAGTTTCTACCGCTTAACCTAATAATCGCCTCTCCCCAGGGAGTTGTTTATTGTTGTTGTTGTTGTTGTTGTTGTTGTTATTAATCTTGTGTTCTTATAATTTCATTTTGTAATTTTATGTTGTGAACTGCTGTTCATTTTCAGGTGAAGAGCATTATACAAATGTAATTATTATTATTAATAATAAGTAGTAGTAGCAGCAGCAGCTTATAAAAAGCAACCAAAAAACTCCCAATCAGTTAAGTTACCTAAAAACAAAAGTATGTATCACAAAATAGAATTAAAAGTGTAAGAGTCAGGAGTCCAACGAAGCTTGGGTAAACAGATGTTTTAAGAGGCAGTTAAATATCATTACTGTCTCCATAAATTTCCCACGGTAAGGCATTGCAAAAGGTGGGAGCCATCACTGAGGCCTGTTTCCGCATTACCAAGTGGCAATCCAGTGATGGTGGAACGACTTGCAGGGTGTCCTTGGGAGCTTGCTAGCTATCCTGGTCCCTAGTTGTGTAGGGCTTTAAAACCAACAAAACCTTGGTAGCTAATAGTTAACTTTCTCTTCCTTTGCTGTTCCATCTGCCTGGTACCTGGCATTTGATATCTGCCTTTGCCTTGCAGTGTCTTTATTGAGGAAGAATGACAAGGAATGAACCTTTTTGTGCATTTTAAAATCACTCAAGCCAGTTGTATGTGTTGCTTTGGATGTGGCTTGCTCTAACTCTGTTTTTCATATCCTCAGGGATAAAATTTGTGGTGCTTGCTGATCCACGGCAGTCTGGGATAGATTCCCTTCTGCGCAAGATTTATGAGATTTATTCAGACTTTGCTCTGAAAAATCCTTTCTACTCCTTGGAGATGCCAATCAGGTAGAGATCAAATGCACATTCTCACAGTAAAACCCTCCCTTACTAAAATTGATTCCCCCCACCATGTGTTTAGAAATCAATGTACATGAGTATTACAAGAGAGAAAAGCCCTCCTGGCTCCTGAACCCCTGAGTTTATTCCCTGGGATGCTGGCAAATCCCATGAACAACTGTGGAATGTGATCACAATAGATAGGTAGTGTCACATTAGATAGTGTATGAGGCCTAGTAAGTCTGCATGCTTCCAGTTTCTTACATGCCCTCACACTGAGACATGTTATTGAACACTTCATGCCTGGGGGGCATTTTCCACAGTGCCAGTGTTGATTCAAGAAGTTAAGCTTATCAAGGAGAGCGAACAGAAGCATCTTCAACAGGGCCTGGAAGCCTTCCAGCTCCCATCATCCCTGACTACGGGTCATGTTTGCTGGGACTGATGGGAGTAGTCTAACAACGTCTAGAGGGTCCCCAAGGTTGATCTTCAGGCTGCATTGACATGGTATTTCATACCTTACTAATGCTGAATCACACAGTTGCACTTCGTTCAGACATTCATCCCAGACTGAGAATAAAATGGAAAATGGGTGACTTACTGTTCTAAACCTGCTCCAGTGTGGTTATGTTCTAGTTCTCTTGTGTTTGTTTCACCATTTCAGATGTGAGCTCTTTGATCAGAACTTGAAGCTTGCGCTGGAGGTAGCAGAGAAAGCAGGGCCTTTTGGACCAGGATTGTAGGACGGATTTATCCCACTTCAGTCACCCAGTGGACTAAACAACTAAAATATGAGTCAGACAGATGACCAACCATCTGTTCATAGCCACCTTGACTGCAATTCCAGAGCACCGAACAGGGAGTATTGCTGTTGAGTGGATGTGGTTGGTGCTGAATCCTGGCTGCTGCTGAAGGAAGCTGGCTGGCAGCTTGAAAGGAAACATGAGAGCTACACCATTCCTTCAAGAGTGGTGCATGTACATATATGTCTGCTGCAATGTATTCTTTTAATTTATAACTGAAGCACTGTATGTTTGCAAATGTAAATAAAGCATTCCTTAAAGGAAGAGAAGGGACTTGATTCTTGAGCTGGGAATGAATTATCAGCATCCAGGGAGGGTAAGAGCCTGAACTAAATTGCAAATCTCTGTGGGCTTCTGCCTACTGGAGTAATACTATTTAGGAAGAGGCCACTGCACAGGAACATAGGTTAATTCTACTTTATTGTCTTTATTGCTGTCAGTGTACACTCCATAACAATGAACAAGATCTGGAATCCAGTTTCACATAAAACTGTCCATTTTTAGTCTGCATTATCAGCTCCTCATGGGAATTATAGTTAGAGGCCCCTAAAATATCTGCAGAAGTGTCCAGGGAAGTTCTGATCAGTGCAAACTGCTAAATGCTACATTTCCTTACACTAAGGGGGGGGCACGGGTAATCATTTCCTCATTATCATGTATCTATTTACATCAGTCTGAGGGCTGCATTCCCTTGCTGGCAACATGCCAGTAGAAGACAGGGCCAGAGGCAAAAGCAGGAGGATAACTCATGTAAATTTTACCTCTGTACAGCAGACTAGTTTCTACGCACACACATCCCCTTCTCTCTTCCATCCATGTAAGGAAGAAGCATTACAAGAGTTCAAGAACACATTCTGGAAAATGAAAACAATGTAGGGATGGGATCTAGGGAATAACCCAGAGGACCAGATAAAAGAGGCTTGGATGGTCACATTTGGGCCCAGTTCTGAGGTTTGCATGTCTATATGCTTAGTAAGGTACACATGCCCATCCATCCTTGCCTAGCTACAGCCCCAAATACTAAGATTAAGGAATGAAGCCTCCCCTCTTGTGAATGTCTCCAATTCAATTACACCCCAATGAACCACAGACCGTTTGAGAAGAGAGTTCTCGGAGTTAACTGAATGTTGGAAGGTGAAGAAATCAAGGGAATAATTAAGCACAAATACACAAGAGAAGTGTTCTGTAGGTGATGGAGGTAGGAAAGTCACACCTCCCTCTCCAGGCAGTGAAAATGAGTCCTTACGCTGCTTGCTTACAACACATTTGTAAGAAGTGCAGGCTGCCAGTGAGATCATCAGGAGGCGAATACAGGTGGAGCTGCCAAATCTTGCCTTTGCCAGGGAGAAGCAGAATAGGGTTTGGTCCATCAGGTCCAAACTATTCTGGCCGTTCCCATTTCAAGGAACAAAAATAGGTGGCAGCAAAGTAATTTTTTTTAAAACAGAAAACTTTACCCTGGTCCAGGATACACTGTCAAAGCTTAGTTCTGCCTTGATCTAATAGTTGTTGGAGTACTTTTTAAAAACCCATGGTTGCAGTGGGAGGCTCCTCCAACAGCCAAGCTACTGTTCTGCTTTAGTCAGCCTTCTTTGGTACCCGGCCCATCTTGGTGCGGATGTTCCTCAAGAAGAAAAACACTACTGTGCTGACCGTGCAGGTAATTTCTGCTACCCAGAAGGCTGTTCCCCAGCTGTAGTGTTTGGCGATGGTACTGAAAGGTAGCCCAGCCAGGAACCCTCCAACTGAAAAAGAAAAGAAAAGGTCACTTGAGGGCAGGGGGAGAGAATGTGTTGCCATCCTCAATTTCTGGAAGGACTAAACTCACCATTTGCCATTAGTGCAACAATGGCGTGAGAAGTTCCACACAGGTTTGATGGCGCACTCTCATTTGCTATTACTCCAAACAATGCAATCGGCCCATAAGAGCAAAATCCAAAGATAGCTCCTAACAGCAGGATCCATAACTAACAAAACAAGGGCAAAAAGAAAGTCAGAATGTGGGGGTAGTAAAATTCCAGCTACCCTACAGATTGCTACCTGGATCTCTATCAACGAGGTAGTGTTTCAGACTACACTTAAGAAATACCTTATGCTTGTGAGAGCTTATAGTTCCATTTATCTGGAGTCAAGGGGAACTGTTTGTTAGCAATCTGGTTAATTAGATTAACAACGAACATGAGCAGCAGTTTCTATAGAAAGCAAAGGTTGTGCAAGAGCATTTGATGGGGTTAGATGTCGGTAAGTGCTTTAAAATCACTGTTTGCAGATGCACAAATTCCAACAGTACCCCAGAAACTGTCCTTAAAATATATATGACTGTAAAAATGAGAACCTTTAGCACACTGGTCTGATAACATGTTTAGGGCAACATTATCTATCAGTGCAATCAGAGGATTATATCATGTCTCCCTAAGCCAGGGGTCAGCAACCTTTTTCAGCCGTGGGCCGGTCCACTGTCCCTCAGACCATGTGGTGGGCCGGACTATATTTTGAAAAAATATATGAATGAATTTCTATGCCCCACAAATAACCCAGAGATGCATTTTAAATAAAAGCACACATTCTACTCATGTAAAAACACCAAGCAGGCCCCACAAATAACCCAGAGATGCATTTTAAATAAAAGGACACATTCTACTCATGTAAAAACATGCTGATTGTCCGTGGGCAGGATTGAGAAGGCGATTGTGTTGCATCTGGCCTCTGGGCCTTAGGTTGCCTACCCCTGCCCTAAGCATCCCAGAAGCTACTTTTACCCTTTTGCCATAGGCAGATGCTCCAAAGCTGCTACCTATGAAGTGCACGTGTTAGGAGACAGATGTGTGAAGCAGCTGACAGCATGAACAGACAATGCTTTGGTTTCTTTTAGATGTTTATTGCATTCCTTCAAGGTTCTAAACCCCACAGAATAACAGCAGAGAAGCAAGATATGGGAAGCTAAGGCAGGATAAAGATAAAGCAGAATATAGACCTCGTGTTCTGTTAAGCCCACAAGGTTAGAAAGAGGATGGAGGGCTAGAATCCAATAGTCGCTTTCCTGAGAGAGAAAGAATGAAAAAATGAGCAAGTTGGAAAGAGAAAAGAAGAAAAAGGCATTGCAATAACTGTAAAACCTGCCATTCAGAAACACCACCACCACCTTCAATGCTGTACATCAATGATCGGGGCCTGCGGCCATACACAGGTTGTTGGACTACAACTCCCATCATCCTTGGCCACTGCTCATGCTGGCTAAGGCTGATGGGAGTTAAAGGACCACAGGGTCCTACTTCTGCCATTAATGGCAATACCCCACATTGGCTCGTGTGATGCTCTACTTGGAACTGGGGAATTCCCTTGACTGCTTCTCTAAGGCAGAGCAAAGCTGGCGAAGCCGTGAAATTTATAGCTTCAATAGGTGGGACTGTGGATGTAAAAAGCCCAGAAAGGAAGGGTCCCAAGAAACTTTCACTCTAAGGGATCCAAAGCTGGAGAACATCACGTATGCCCCAGAACTCAAACTTCATTTCAATTGTGGAAATCCTTCTCCTGGGATGTGCTACTGTTTACTAAAAAGCATAAGGAGTCAAGAGAATTACATGTTCAATAAGTACTCCGAGCAGGTGATGCTGTGAGCCGATCAGCTCTTGCAATAAGGAAATAGTCCTTGCTTGTGCATGGGAACAGTTTTGTCCTTTCCTCTATCACATTGTGATGCTGTAAATCAGCTTTCTGTCTGAACTGTACCTGTCTCGCCTAACTTGAGCTGTGGCAACAAACTGCTTTTGTATGGCTTACCTTAGGAGAGCTGGCTGTGACTGTGACCCGGAAGAGGTACATAGAAGCCGACATGCCTGCCATCATAGTGAGAAGAAGTTTGTGTCGAGGGTTCCCATAATTTGACAGGCCCACCTGGAAGACATGAAGATGCCCTTGTGTTAAAACAGCCAACAACCTCAGCAGTACCTGTGCCTCGCCAAGCCCCTCCATTACCTATGTCCCTACTGCCATTCACCAACTGCCTTGGAAGGCTGCCTGAAACAGACATCCAGGAGTAGCTGTCCTTTCTACTACAAGAGACAGGGTGACTTACCCGTGCCACTGCTTGGTCTGAAAGATAGCCAGCTGCAATGCTGCCAACCAGGCCCCCAACTTCCAAGGCGCTCATGTAGGAACTTCCTACAGGGTATACAACAAATAGAAGCCAGCTTACACTAGAGGGAGAATCTGCACATGGGAATTCTGCTTCCTTGTAGAACATGGAAATGAGGGATTTGTCAGGCTAACAGTTTCTTGCCTGCTGCACTAACACTTCTCAGCTGAAAGCAGTTTCTCAGATATTTTTCCACCACAAAGTATTTCAGGAAACAAACAATATTTGGCATTGAGAATGGCCAGTAGCAGGGTAGACCATGGGGCACCAATCTTTTTGGGCCTGTGTGCATATTTGAAATTTTGCAAGGGGGGCGTGGGCTCAACCCTTTCTAGTTTCTTCTCTCACCTGTGTCACTATTTCTCCTCAGACAAATGAGGGAGGGGTACACTGGAAAAATAAGATCCAGTGCTTTCCAGTACCGGTACCTCAAAAACATTGATACAAGGAATGGATTCTCATTGATCTTTATTATTTTTACACAGAATGAAAAAAAACCAATCCAGAGGTGATCTATGATTTATGGTGGTTTTGAGAAGATCTTGTCAAAATAATGAGGATCCCCAAAGTTCCATGTCTTCGATCCATGTTTTTGCATCATGGCAGCAACGAAAAATATTGCATCTGTAGTTTTTACAATTCTGTCAATGGAGACAGATATGACCTGTGATTTGGTGGTGGTAGTGAGTCTCTGGAAAAAAAACCAAAACTTAAACCATTTCAAGAGAATTCATTTTCTAGATCAAACTCATATGTCTGCACCTGCTCTCTTTTCTCTGACCCCTGCACCTATCTCCCAGATCAGACCCCTTTCCCTCTAACCCTTCCCCCCTATTCTGTTTCTCTTTCTGTTTACCTGCTGATCTGAGTCTTGAAAACCACAATACAGCAGCAAAAGGAGAAGCACATAGAGTTGCAATTTTCTCTCACCTCTCTTTGCTTTTCAAGGTAGGGAAAAGGTACCATCTCTCACCTCCTCATGATAAAGGAGGCAGTGATAGGGCTCAGAGGCAGCCCTCAAGCGAATCATGTTGGTAACTCCCAACTGACATTGGCACACAATTAACTCTTTTACATTTTCAAGGGTAGGGTTAATTGCCTGCTACGAGGATTTGACTAGCTCTGGAAAACACAACATTAGACTGGGGCTGGTGTCTCATACCCACAAGTGCAGACTGTCCTCTTTCCTGGATGAGAAATAGCTGCCCCCAGTCTGTACAGCATGTCTTCACACCAAAGACAACCAGATAGCCGGTAGACAGGACCCAGAGGTATGGAGAAAGCAGCAGCTCAGCCAGTGTGCTGTCATTTGCCGAGGAGCCTGCAAAGAAGAAACCATTACTCACTTGAACTTGAGCTAAGCTCTCATAAAAGTTTAACTGTACTGGAGAATTTCATGGCTTCCCATTGATCCTCACTGGAGGCTTCCACGAGCTGACTCTTATAGTCCCCTGTCAGGGCTACCTGCCCTACCAGATTCTACACCTTCCACTTTGCAGCTTGGTCAAAAGTAGGTCATATCAGGCAGTTCTGCTGTTTTGTCCCACCTCAGCCAGTTCTCACCTCCCAGACACTCACCCTTTTTCCCTTTCTTGGGCCCAGGCTCAATGTTGGGCAGTCCCACGTCCGAGGGCTCATTCTTAATCAGGAGCAGGCACACAAAGGAGGCGACCACACACACAGAGCCGGAAAGGGCCAGAGTTGTGCGCCAGTCATAGCTCAGCGCCATCAGAGCAGCCACAATAGGGCCCAGCCCTCCTGCCAGGTTCATGCTGGTGGAGAGGATGGCCCACCAAGTCCCAAACTGGGAAGGTTCAAACCACTACACAGAAGGGAGAGAGAAAGGACATGAGTTGGGGAAGGTCCCCATTCCAGGGCCCGGCATGCATACGGAAGGCTCACGTGACTTTAGAACTCCGCTCCATAAGCCTCCAGGCTGGTCATGAACAACAATGGCCAAAATTTTGCTGGAGTCACCAATGGGACGCAAACCAGTCCCCCAATTTGCATCTCAAACTGCCCCTCTTGAAACACAGTTCCCAAAACCTTTCAGCTGAACGGCTCCCAAAGCAGTTTACAGTATAAAAGATACATCAGCAGAAAATGAAACAAGATACAATCAATTAAGTCTAAACAACTTCTCAAAAATAACAGGAGATAGATAAAAGGGGCATAACCAAGGGCAGCTCAAAAAAGCAGAGGGTCTTGCACAGCTAATAAGCAAAGGGCTCCTGGAATGGGAGAGGGTCAGAGGCTTCTGCACAGGCTGAAGGTGGGACAAAAGGAGCTGGAGTGGCCTCTTGGTCAAAAACACTTCGCAATAATCTTCCTTTATTTTACAGATTTGAATAAGGGGGTTTACTGCTCCCAGAAACACTTGCAGCCCCCAATCTTTCTGCAATGGGGGTTGTATGTTACTGCCAGGACCCCAGAGAGCTTCCCCTTCTCCTTCTGGATGTTGCACTATCAAAGGCTACTGGTTATGAGGCATATATGCTGCCATCTGAATCAGAGGCATCCTCTTCCTCTGTTTGCTGGAGAACAACAGCTATTGCCTTCCTGTCCAGCTTACTGTATGTCCCCAAGAGGTGGCTGGTTGCTTACTATAGGAAACCAGGTGCTGAACAAGGTGGGCCTTTGATTTGATTGACAGTGCTTTTCTTACTTCTTTATGCTGCTTGCACACCAGCTCTTCCTGGGTACAGAATGCCTAGCCCAACACAGAAAACACTTTCCACTGCAAGGCCCACTTGCTCAGCGTCATTTGATCATATTTTAGGCAGTCTGGGCAGGCTGCTGCTGCTGCTGGGGGCAACAGGGGTGCCAGCTGCCCAAGAATATCTCGAAGTGAAATATGATATGGCTTGTGATTGATAGTTCCCACCACCGCTGCCAAGTCAAAGCTCACCAGAAGGATGGCACCTATTGGGAGCAGACAGAAGTGGCAAGGCCTCTACCTCTGCAGCCTGGGACAGGAAAACAGCAAGTGAGGTTCTGGCATTAATGACCGGCAGCAACAGAAACAGTTGCTAAACAAAAGCTACCAGAACCGCTTGCTGCCACCTGCAGCTCTCAGCTTCCATTGCCCTGGAGAATGGATTTCGACTGACTGCTCTCTTGGCACAGGGCCCCCTGCTGGAAACTTGCTGCTAGGAACATCTCAGGAAGCAGCAGCATGCCCTACAAAAACACACACACAAACAACAACAACAACCAAACACACACACTTACCTTGCGCAGTACTTTTCCACATGGGGGCCACCCTAGGCCCTGGGCCAGCCCATTGAGGAACCACAACCCTGCGAAGACGGTGACGGTAGAGCTCCAAGAGAAGACCACATTGACTAAGCCCACCAACAGGAGGCCAGAGGAAAAAAGCCATCGGGCACTCATTTGGTCAGAAAGGACCCCACTAATGAACTTGCTAATGGCGTAAGCTGCGGACTGGCTGCTGGTGATGAGACCTGCATTGGATGAGAACCCAAAGATAGTTATGCCACGCTCATGTTATGCCAAAGGAACTTGGTCACAGATGAACTCTTCAGCCTCATTGACAGTAGTACTTAAACCAAGCAAAATGCTAGCCAGTATTAGAATTAGGTACAACACAGAGGCTCTATAGATTCTGATGCCCTTCTATCTATTACCTCAAGCTTAAGTCTACATTCAGGAAAGGCCATGTTTGTCCTTCTCGAGGCAAACTGGGAATATATTGCTCAGGCTTTAGACTGATCTATTGTAGCTGCTTCCAACTTGTGGGGAAACAATTGTCCACAGACCCTTTGTCTGGCATAATCCTTTAGTCACCATATCCTAGTGAAAATAACTCTAAGTACTCATACTGGAAATAAACATTATGTACTTTTATGCCTTTCCTGCCTCTGCCTCTGCTTCCTTTCCTTTGTTTGATTATTGATTGTAAGTGCCTTGGGACAGGAGTCTGCTCTCCTATTATTATTAATATAGTTTTAACTACAGTGCATTGCGCTTAACATAGCATAAGAACAAATAAGTACTAGCACTACTGTAACATCAGGTTAAGAAGTGATGCAATTCTTCACAGTGGACATTAAGGGGGCATATTAGAGGCAAAACAACAATGACAGCCTTTATCTGGAAATGAAAGAAAATGCAAGTACTCAGAGAAGCCCAACTAGCAGCCTTTCAACATCAGTCCCAGAACTGCAAATTGGCCTCCAAGTGACTGGCCTCCTTCCAAAGAGAACTTCCCTGGCAAAGCAACAGCTGAATTCTAATTGAATCCCTAAGCACAAAGAAAGGAAGTCCCCCAAAATCTCAAGAAAATATTTTCAGGATAAAGTTTTTTGAGCACCACAAACATGTTCTGCATGCACCATCTCCTTCCAAGAAGAAAGCTCTTACCCAAGTCATCTTTGTCGAGGCTTATCTCTTCCATGATTGAAGGCATCACAAACGAGAACGTTTTTCGGTTGAAATAGTACAGGGTGTAGCCAATGAACATGGCAGTGAATATCACCACCCGATAATAGCCGTAGCCCTTTCCTGCCATTGCGATTTCAGAGCTGTGCCTCTAAGGACGGAGAGAAGGTGCCTGTAGCAGTTCTGCCTTTAGATCCCAGTTTACAGTAAATGTGAGAAGAGGGTGGCGGCACCAATGTGCTAGAAAGAAGAGAGAGAGGCAGGGAACCAGCAGCTGTCAGAGCACTTGAGCGGCAGGCGCTTGCCAGGGTTTCTGCTGAGCCCGGAGGTTTGCTGGAGTTTGCTGTTGCTCTCTTTTCTGCTCACGGCCACCTTCTGGAGAATAATTAACTCTGGGAACATGGCTGGACACACTGTTCAGTATAAATCCATCCACCTACAGTGAAACAAACAAGAGACGCTAGCCTGGGATAAACAGAGCTGTCTTCCGAGTAGAAAGATTAACAAGGGTTTCCTCACTCCCACTACACTCTGACCCCTGAACTCAAATAGCACGATGGAGTAAAGGGGGGGGGGGGATCAATGCCTTCCTCAATCAGGTCTACAACATAATCTTTGATAGGAACTAAGTCCTGCTGCAGAAGCAAGCTGCCTATGGGCTGGGCAGTCTACCTAGCACCAGCTTTCCTAGGAAAAGAGTCTTGCTCCCAAAAGAAGGTGCAAAGCTGTAAAGACATTATCCTGCAGTCGCAGACACTGATGGATTGCTCTGTCAAAATCAGTAAGGCAAGAAGGCTGTCTCTTGTATCGGCAGGAACATAGGCAGCTGCCTTATAGAGTCAGATCATGGGTCCATCTAGCTCAGTATTGTCAACACGGACAGGCAGCAAGAATCTCTCTAGGTTTTGGCAGGGGGTATCTCCCAGCCCTACCTCAGGCTGCTGTGGGTTGAACCTGGGACTTTTTGAATGCAAGGCAGAGGCTCTACCACTGAGTGATGGCCCTGATACTGCAAGTGAATTAAAAACCAAACACTTCCCTCTACTGTATTTCCAGGGTGGACCACCAAGCTTATTAATTTGGAAGACTTTTATTCTGCCTTTCAGTTTATCAAAATTCCTAAGGAAGCTTCTAAATGTAGAGCAAAAATACTGTACAAACATCAAGGCGTATAAAAGCACAAAAATAAAGCATAAAATACAGAAAGGCAGCATAAAATTAAAATCCAAATCAATTTAAAGCACTAGATGAACTGCTTTTGCCCACACTGTTTGAAATCAAACCATGCAGGCAAAGGCACATCCAGAAAAGTACTAACACAGTCCCATAAACAGTGCTTCATAAGACCAGACAATCAGCTTACTCTTGGGATTTGAAAGCCCATATGCACAGGACTGATCAGCTGTGCTTGCAAACCCACTTTCGACTCAGCCCTGTTTTACCTGCCCCATATAGCTTGGCAGAAACACTGAAACATCTTTTTCTGTCTGTGTCCACCTTTGCCCTCCATCTCCCTTTAAGCTTTCTCCCCGTTTTTAATTATTTATAAAGCACTCACATTATAAAATATCAGGGTGGTGTACAAAAAACAAGGATAAGTATAAAATGTATGCCAAGAATAATAATAATAATAATAATAATAATAATATGATATGAATGACAACAGAAAAGTTCAGTCAGAAAAGGCTTGGGCAAATAGAAAGATCTTAAGCACACATCTGGAAGATTAGATTGTTGGGGCATGCCATATCTTAATACAGTGGTACCTCAGGTTACATATACTTCAGGTTACAGACTCCGCTAACGCAGAAATAGTACCTCGGGTTAAGAACTTTGCTGCAGGATGAGAACAGAAATAGTGCAGCAGCAGGAGGCCCTATTAGCTAAAGTGGTCTTCAGGTTAAGAACAGTTTCAGGTTAAGAACGGACCTCCGGAACGAATTAAGTACCGTATTTTTCGCTCTATAAGACGCACCAGACCACAAGACGCACCAAGTTTTTGGAGGAGGAAAACAAGAAAAAAAATATTCTGAATCTCAGAAGCCAGAACAGCAAGAGGGATCGCTGTGCAGTGAAAGCAGCAATCCCTCTTGCTGTTTTGGCTTCTGGGATAGCTGCACAGCCTGCATTCGCTCCGTAAGACGCACACACATTTCCCCTTACTTTTTAGGAGGGAAAAAGTGAGTCTTATAGAGCAAAAAATACGGTACTTAACCCGAGGTACCGCTGTATATCCCATGTTAAAGGGACTGCCCATAAGAGGAAAACCTTCCATAAGTTTGCTTGCCATTTGCCTTTTATCATAATTAATGCTTCCTTTTTCTGGAAAAGTTCAGGCTTTGTCTCTGTTATTTCCTCTCAGGTACCTTAGGGCATTCTGCTTGCCAGACTAAGGTTCCTAAAGTTATGCATACTGTGCTTCTGTGGATTTGATAAACATGCTAGTTTCTAGACCAGCTCTACTTGCTCAGCAGCCTGTCCTCTGCCACAACAGAACCAGGGCTGCAAAAAACAGGTACCCCAAGCACTAGAGTAATCTCACCCATCATTATTCCAAAACAGCTTATTCCATGAAAACAGAAAAGTAAGCTTTAGACAGACACGCAGACACAATTCCATGCAGTGCGTTCCAGTCAATAAATCTAGTTGTCATATTTTGCATCAGTTTATGCTTATGTGTAGTCTTCAAAGGCAGCTCCTAAAAGTGTTGCAGTAATCCAAGTTATATGTTACCATGTCACAGACAATGGTTACTAGGTGCACTAGATGCATCAGCCCAAGTTGCTGAAAGGCTTGTGCTAGATACCATCTGGGCTTCCAGCATAAGGCTGCATCTAACCAAGACATCCCCAAGATGCAAACTATTACAGTAGGAGGAATGGATGAGAAAACGAAACACCCACCATGCGGTTGATTAGATGAACTGGCCCTCTTCTTATTACTGTTAAGTTTATTAGCATTTGTCTGGTCCATGGCAGACCGCAATTCCCCTGCTCATAACATCATGTCTCACATGAATCTTGTATGAAAAGGATAGAGCTGAGTGTAAACAGCACATTAGAGACTGCTCTGCAAATTTCTTCTTAAACAACAGAAAGAATGAAACACTCTTGTAGCACTCCATAGCATATATGCCATGGGGCAAAGTAAAAGTCCCCCAAGACAGCGTGGGGAATCTGAGCTGAGGCCAAATGCAACCCTTCAAACCCTTCTACCCAGCCCTCATGCCACTCTCCTAACTGGTTCAGCTCTGTACCCTTCTCAAGTGCTTTTGTGTGGCTGGAATGTGTCCCTGAACTGTGATAATGCCTTTTGCTAGCATGGATGGAAGGATGGGTAACTTGTGGCTGGCTGCTGGAATGTAGCCTCTTGTACAGATGTAAGAGTTACAGCTGTTGTTCTACACACTTTTTTGCCTCCTGCTCTGGGCACCATTGATGTTCTCTCTGCAAAACAATTGTCCATGAGCTGAAAAATGTCTCCCCCCACTTTTAAAAAAGTTTCCTTGCTTCTTTTAAGGAGTTCCAAGAATAAATCTCATTCAGAAATTTAAAATCTGCTTTGACATGTGATAATTTCACTGCAGTGTTGCTAGACAGCACTACTGTAGTTTGCTGCCATTTTTGTGTCCTCTCACAGGGACTTTGGAACAAAAGGATAAATTGTCTGGAAAAGTGAGCTAGTAGAGAGCAAAGTAGAATGAAGTTGAAATGGACAAGGCAGTACTCAGACTCCCCGCACAGATGTCGGACCACCTAAAATTATAAATGGGTTACAGAGTCCTGCAATTTCAAGGGTCCTTAACAAGAAGTCCTTTAAATGTCACCACCTTTTAGCTAGGATCATCCCACTCTTTTTAGATTATAAATGATCTTAGATCCAAGATTCAGCTGAAAGTCCTATGAGGTCCCCCAGCTACTTGCTTTTTAGAAGGGTTTATTCCTGGGACACAGCGAAGCAGCTTGCAGACATTTGTCCTGAGCAAGTGTGATAAGAGTATGGTCACATTTATCCCAGTTTTTCACAGCCCTCTGAAGGAGATCCCATATCTTACTTAAACAGTATGACTTTCTAGAGCCTAAAAGGGCTTGGAAACCAGCAGGCAAAATCAATAAAGGAAAGTCCATCAAAATGGTTCTGATACAAGTCTGATGAAGTCAGCGGAGCTTTCCCTCTACTGAATTTAGGCCAAAGAATAATTAACAGAGATAACTTTACAATTGGGTAACTGCCGGCAATGGGCAGTCAGCCAAGCTGGAGGACTGGGCCAAGGACATTAAATGGTTGCAAATGCTATTATGTACATTTTTTCTGAGTAAACTTTTTATCTAGTCACTTGTTACACCACTATCTAAAACTAAGACTGTTACAGGATACTTTATATTACATTTTATAATGAAGACAACTATGTGTGAACAACTGCCTATTAGTGTCTCTTCCTAAGTAGAACAGGATCCCCAAGGATGTGCTTTAGGAGGAGCTTGCTTTCAGGCACTAGGTTGGCACTGGCAGACCAATTCTGCATTACAAAGATGTCTGCAAATGTGACATGAAGGCTGACATTAACCTCACCATATGGAAACCCTTGCAGACAACTGCAGTGCCTGGAGTGTCAGGTCATGAAACGCTGTGATGCATCTGCAGCAGCAAAACCAGATGCCTTCATTTACCCCACCTGCAATAAAACATGTCTCTCTCGTATTGGTTTCTACAGCCACAACAGGTGCTGTAACTCTCCAACTGTTTGATTTTACCTCTGATGGTGAACTCTTTCATTGTCTCTTGAGACAGATGGATGCCAACAAATAGGGGTTTGTGTTTTCCTAATACGCTGTGCTGTATGTAATATTAATGTAGTATATGATGTAATGTATTTCTGTATTTCTGTGTGCCATTGTCATACACACACATATATATTCCAACCTACATTCCTCAGAGACCATTTGGGTTACAAGTGACTAGTAAGTTTAATTTAATAATTAATAAGGGGAGGGAGGCAATAGTTTCGATGGAGTTAACAGTTCAACTTTAGCCTGAGATAATTCTGTATACTTTAAGCGAACATCTGAATTTAAAAAGTTTGGGATTGGAGAATGGCGCTATATATTAGGAGCTGCACTCCATTTATTCTTCATTTCGATATATAAGTTTGTATTTGTGAAAACAAACAATTCAAATATTATCCAATTTCTTACCCCCTTTTCATCATGTGAACGCAGAAAGTATGACAATTTTAAAAAGTACAATGCTGAAATCAGTATTAAAAGAAATACAAACATATATATTGAGGTGCCAAAGGCTATTTAGCTAAAACAATAACGAATTTTAATGCCGCGTAATATAAGACACCTTCCCGCGTGACGTGGTCTAGGCAGAGATGGGGCTAAATCGGGAAACGGCAGGATCTTGAGTCTCGGGTGTTTGTGGGGGTGCCTGGCACGTACCCCATAGGGAGCCAGACAGGAAAGGCAATCGAAGGTGCAGAGGCAGTCAAGAGACCGGACGGGTCCCCCGACCCCGGGCTGAGGCTAGTCGCATTCCACTCCTCCCGGCCGGGAACAGGTTCAGGGGAGCGCCGTGGCCCCATCCCTTCACCCTCCGAGAGGATAGCGGCGCGGCAGCGGTGGCCCTTTAGTACAGATCCACACAACAAGGGAAGCAAAGGTCGCGAGGACGCAGGAAGAAACTTTTATCACGCTCGCCGCAGCGGCTCCCTCCCGCTCCCAAAGGCCTCCGGGCGCCCATCAGCGTAGGCCCGGGCACCTTGGGCCCATACAATTCAAGGGCGCTTGCCCAAGCCGGATATGGACCATTCGCCGCCGCCAACCCACCAACCGGCCGCGGTGGGCTCCTCTGCACCAGCCGCAAGAAAAGTGGGATAACCTGATAGTGGCTCCTCAGCGACCCGCAGCTTGGAGCTCCGCCTTGCGGAAAGCATTCTCCTCGGCTATTGGGGAAGGGGCACGTCACTCTCCGGGCTCCTCCAATCCATATTGTCCGTGTCGACAGGTAGGAGCTTCCGGCCAATCCCTGCCTTTCGCGCGCAGTGTTTCCTATGGTAACGCTTCCCTTTCTAAGCAGGGTCGCCCTCCGTGTTTGGCCTCCTTTACCTGTTTTCCCGTCGGCCTCACGTCCCAAGCCAAGCTGCAGCGCACGCGCACTTCCTACTACTGAAAGACCGGCGGCCTTCAAAGTTTGAATCACTTTTCCCGCCAAAAAGTAACGACGAGAAGGGACTGCGCCTTTTGAGGCAGCCAAAGGCTGCGCTGACAGCATTCTAAGTAGGGAGCACCTTGAGGAGAAGCTGAAGGGGCCCATAAATAAAATAAAAACGAAACATAAAAATAAGAGTGCCGACTTTCTTCCCTTGGCCAGCGACTTCCAAAGAGGAACGGTCACCAAGGCAACAGCCTCCCTGTCCCTCCTGTCAAAAATGAAACCCCAACTGAAGGCAGCAAGCACCACACCAAACAAGGCCCTGCCTTCATGCTAGGAGTATTTAAAGTTTAGGAAAAAACATCCAACACACCCTTTTATATAGTGGGGGCTTAACATGAGACAGGATTCCAAACTAAAAAGAGGTTCAGGGATAAGAAAAAATCACACAAGGTAGCCAATATGGTGGTCATCAGATGTTGTTGGACTGCCTTTGGGCTTAAGCCATTCGGTCTTAAAAGAATAGGGGCCTAACACCTGGAGGGCACCAGACTTGACTACCCAAGCTCTAGAATGCATCCACCAATATGGAGGGGAAGAAAGCGAGAGGAAAGAAAAACTGCACTTAGGCAACATGGCCAATTCTCACTGCCTACACAGGAGGCCTGGATGGGTTAGGGATTACCAAACAGGCAGCCCCTCACCTTTTAGAAATCCATCACTGCAGCAGGTAGTAGGTGGCACTTTAGGATCCATCTGTTTGAGAGGGTAGCCAGTGTAGGTTCCACCAATTTTTATTCTTCCATTTAAAAAGAGTGATTTTTTTTTTTTAAGAAAAGCAAGTTATTTTATTGAAACCATTTTCAAAAGGAGCAAATACATTTCAACTGAATGACTTAAAATGTGATCACCACCCGCTTTCTCCTTTCCTCCCTCCAGAAAAAAAAGTTAACAGAACTGACCAACGAGCACCTGAACATTGATGTAAAACAAACAACCCCAGACTCCACAGCTAAGTAAGTGCCAATATGGCAGAGGGAACTTGCACAATTTCTGCAGAGCACACAAAGGTGGCAGCACAAGGTACTCTCTTGCCTACTGGCTTTCTGGATTAGGCTTAGTTGGGTTTTAGGCAGCAGCAGAGGAATGGAAGAGGGAACATTCCTCCTTCACTCCCAAATTACATTCCCATGACAGAGAAATTAAAACTTCTAAGCCTGCCCTGTTCAAAAGGGGGAATTTTTTAAGAAAAGACAGACACAGCACAAGACAAATTCAGGGAAATGTTTTTCAGGAAACCAAGATTTACATTCAAATTCCAATTACTTTATCAATGCTCACAGTAGAATGCACATTCTGCTCAAAACAGAGGTATGCAGAAACAGTTGCTTTGTTTTTAATAAGGTTTTAAACTCCATTTTCATCAAAATCCAAATATTCAATGCACATTTTAACAGAGGCAAAAACACCTGTGTGTGTGTGTGTGTGTGTGTGTGTGTGTGTGTGTATACACAACTGGGAAAGATGGCAAGCTTAACTTCCAAGCACAAGTAAAAAGCTTGTTGAAATGAAGAGGAAAGGGGGCATTACAATAGGCAGCACACAATTTAGTATTAATTTCTCACATTTGCCTTGTTCTAGGAGCCTGTAGCATTTGGCATACCACTTCTGCCTGAATACTAGAGAAATAATTCCTCAAAGCTGCAAGTTAAGACAAAGACGTCTTGAAATTAATTCAAGAGAAGAACACATTTCCAAATTGATTTTAGGGACTAGGAGGCAGTGCTTAGGAATGAGTTGCTGAGCAATGATGTTAAAGAAAACGGTCTCAGCATGGTCTACATATGATGTTCCTTTGAACAGTTTGGACGTTGTGTGTAGAGGGGAAAACTGAAGTAAAAAGGGCTGGATGAAGTTTTTCCTCTACTTTGTGACATCTTTACATATTCTAGTTTATGTGCAGTTGGACTGATTTGTACTTCTGAAAACTGAAGTATCACAATTATTTGTCCTATAGCCAAAGCTGTCCCTACTACACTACTAGGTGACCAAAGTGGAAAGTTCAGCTGCCAGTAGGGTGACTGAGCTAGTAAATAAAAGGTGCACACACACAAAATGTGCATTCACCACCCAAGACAGCAAGCTTTGTAAGCCAGCTTCCCAAATCACCATATAACATCAGCAGTATTAGGAAATGGCAAGACTAAGAACAGTGCCCAGTGTTGCTGGGAAGGCAATTATAAAGCAAATCTACAAACTTGAGGAGCAAATAAAATAGGTAAAGAAAACCTGTACCTTTCTGGGATAGATCAGACTTCCTGCTTTATTACAACAGCATAGTTTCATGGGCCTCTTAGAAAATGACTGGCATTAGGGAGTTTTGCTAAAGGCAGTAACTGATAATAAGAATCAGGGATGCGTGTCTCATCAGTGGCCATCCCTGCTATGCTACAGCTGTCTGATAAATACTTCTGAAAGCAGAGTCGTATAGTTATCTGTTTGAGCATTTTGGTTTTCCTTCCAAGCATTGTCAACTTCTTTTACTCTCCACTCCTGTTTCATCCATTTCAGTTGCACAGACACCCCCAAAAGAGAAAACTGTCCATCAACAGCCCAAGAGTAAGAATATAAAGGGACTTGCTCATTCAAACCTAGTTGATGAACCATAACATGATGAGGCTGAAGCAGAAGGTTCCAATTTGATATTTCCAGTTGCAGACAAATAATGTTTCCAGAAGGTGAAGCATAGCCCAAAAAACTGCTGATGCCAACTGTCATTTCCTAGAACAGTTTCAGGTAGATTAAATCTACTGGTTAGAAGTGCAATTCTGGGGACAGTGCTGTGGAAAACACAGCAAGAGTGCCCAGTGAGCTCAAAGTCATTTTTAAAGAAAGGAAGAGACAAGACAACACACCAAAATCAGCAACAAATAAATCCCCAACAGAAAGAAAAAAAATGTACAGCTCTATTGCATTTTGTTGTCAGTCTGTGCCATGTTCCACTAACCAGGTCCATCATAAAAACAATGGAGTTAACTGTAAATAAATAGGTGTTGGTGCAAGGGGGGGGGGGTTTAAGGAACTGTTATAATTCATCATTGGTTCTGGTGTCTTCCCTTGTTTCCGACCTCTTGTCAGTTTGTGGCCCTGAAAAGAGCAAGAGCAGAAAAACCGTAATGAATCAAAACTGTGCAGCATGGACAACAACTTTCCAAATCACGATAGTACCGGGGAAACATGTTCAGATACACAAAGAGTAAGAAAAATTCCTGCAACAGCAACAGGGTAGCAGGGTTAGAACGCAAGAGCAGGCAGATAAAGCCATGGTTTGAGACTCAAACATATTAGCGGATGGAAGAGCATTTGGAATCGAAAAGTAAAGGGTTGCTACCTCTACAAATCCCAACCCTAACCCTGGACGGTTCCAAAGGGATTTGGTTCTTCAAGGTTCCCAGTGCCAACTCTCGTGCAGTGCAGGGATGAGGTAAACAGGAAGTAAGAAAAGGTTAATTTGGGGGGGGGGGATACATTGCCATCCTTGAGATGCATACTGCATAAAAATTCAATCAGTTTTGTGGCAGTTTAAACCCACACATTTGTGCCACTTAAATTCCCTACACATGCTCTTGAGGCCCCTTCCTCCATCAGGACTGTTGAGATCACTTGGGGAGGAGCTTTTGCCAGGAGCACCCTTCCCCTGGGTTGGCAGGGCAAGGAGGAGAGAGCAAGCCTTGTCTGGGAATAGCTCATCCCTCTGTATTACTGTCTTTTCTCCTCCCTCCCTGAATGTTGGGAATGCTCTTGGTGCCCCTTGAGCAACACAGTGCCCAGTGTCTTTTCTGAAAGCAGCCACGTCTCCCCCTGTCTTGCAGCCAATTCCCAGGGTGGCATGGAGTTTCCCAGCATCAACTGTATGAATTGACTACGGCTATTAAAACAGTAATTTGGATAACTTGTTTCCTTACATTGTTTCACATTGTGAATTTGAGGCCCACAATAGCACCCACAATAGCATGGCTCCAGAATAAAAGGTTCCTGAATTCCCACTATGATGTGGAGAACCCAAGAAAAAGCAATCACATGGCCTAGGGAACTCCAATTCTCTCAGCCCAATATTTCCTTATCAGAGTTCTGCTCAGTGATCGAAATAAATTGATTCATTCCTTACCAGAGTCTGGTCCCAATTCATCATCCAGTGGTGCTTTTTCTTCTATGGGTGGTTCTTTGACTGGGCTAGCATCTTCTGGTTTATCTGGTTGGAAGGAGAAAAAAAGGTATCCATAGTTGCAGAGGTATGTGCAATGACCAAACTGGATGCACACCACATCACCCAAGAAAAATTTGAACCATTTACAATACATCTCATGGAGCAACCAACCAAAGGCTAGAAGAGGCAGCAAAGACTGAGGACCCTCTTTTACACCAAGCAGTCTTCCACAGGGCTAGTTTCAAACACCAGGGAATATGAACAGGGGAATTAGAAGACTACTGATGCTGCTGCGAGACCTTCTCACCTTTTTGATTCTCATCTTTGGGAGGTATGACCTTTTCACCCTCAGGAGGCACAGTGGTGTTCTTGCCCGCTTCTGTTTTTGTGGTGTTCTTCTTGGGGGGCCTGATCTTTGAAAACTTGGCTTTGTTGAGGAGGTATTGCACTTCCCTGTCCAGAGCTGCAATCTTCAGCTCAATGTCTTTGGAAAGCAGAATAGGCTTCTCGGCGGGCGACAGCTTGGTCTGTTCTGCCAGGGTCTCATTCTTCCACAACTAAAACAAACAAACCCAGGAAAACATATTATCCTTAGGCTCCACCTGATAAGACCAGCCTTGTTTGGTGCTGTTCATTACCAAGTGCCAATGGCCTTCTGACCTGACACAACTCCACTACTCAGTGCATAATCACTGCTTAAAAGCTCCATCTGGCCTCTGCTGAGCCCTATTTCTACAACCATCCATTCATTCGTTCATACCCCCCACTCCATAAAGTGAGCACAAGTTGTGGGCTTACTGTATTTTGGCAGGATTCTTAGGTTTACCTGTGAACTGAATCACAACATTCTAAGTAAAAAGACCAAAAGGGGTATCTTTTGGAGCCTAGAGCAGAAGGGACAAGACGTGCACATGCATGAATGCACATAGTTTGGATACTGAAAAGATTTTCTGCACTTCTTGTGACCCTTCTTACCGTTGTCTCGTTTATAACTTTTTCCAAGGTGCTTAGCTCCACCTCTGTGAATAACTGATCAGCCTCCGGGATCATGCGAGCGCCCCTGAAAAAAATGAATGAGAAATGTGTCTCCCTCTTGCCCTGAAGCAGTTTTCACACTATATTAAAGCTCTCTAGTTGGTGTAACTGGCTCCTGTGCAGCCAACAACAACTGCTAAAGACAACACCTTCAGCTTTACTATTCTAGGAAAAGTGACAACTGGGACACAGGATGCAGCACAGAAATATCTACGCTAGAACATTTCTAGCTAATTTCAACTGCTAAGTTTGACAACCATGTTAACAAGTGAGATGGACAACAGGTGAAACTTCGGGAGATGGTTACAAAGCGGGATTTTTTCCCCAGTGACCATGAGTGCCAATTTATTTTGCCTCAAACAATTTTCCTTTCTATTTGGTGACAAAGACATGGAATCAGCAACTCCGAAGTTCTACATAAAAATATATATTGCTCAAGGAAAGGAAAAAAACCCCAGTATGTATGACTACGGTAAAATACCAGCCCTCCGTAAGAAAAGCAAACTCCAACACACCCTTACAACAGCATGCACATGTGTCCTTGATATGCACCCTTACTTCCTTTCAAGGTAGCAGAGATTTGGAAAGCAACTCTCATGGGTAAGAGTTTAGCGTTCCATGCTAAGAAACTCAACTTCTCACAAATGGAGACCATTTTCATATATAACTTTTAGCAAGAGGACGCTACAGCACTGGAACCGGTTGCTATTCTTCCATGAGTTCCACTATCAGCTTGAGAACAAGGCTTATTAAAATAAAACTTTTGTGTGGTACAACCAAAAACGGTTTCACTGAAAGTGAACTGCTTCTTTGTCTCCTGGTTGCCTTGCTGAGATTTAAACAGCTGCATTGCACAGCTCCCCATGCACACCCTTTGGTTCCAGAGAGTGCTGATCTCAGCTGCTAGTGTAAGTGAGGCAATCCCCTCTGCCCCAACCCAAGTCCCCTCCTCTCCTACTAAAGACATCTTGGTTGCTCGTACTTGAGGAAAATATTGGAGTGATTGAGCAAGCTTTCTAGGGTAGCTAGACGGTCTGGCCACTTCCTTCTCTCCTCCACACGGAAGAAAAGGCTCCGACACAGCTTCTTCAGTTCAGAGAGCCTCTCTTTCAGCTCCTGTGAATTGGAATAGAAGTTAAAAAACTAAAATTCTGCCTTGGACACATATATCATCTTGCAAAGATTACTGATGGTTTGGAAATTCAGGAAGTAGGGGTTAAACATCCACAAACTGAGCCTGCCTGGAGACACACTAGAACTCCGCCCTGGAGTCTCCACAGTGACAGCTAAACTATTATTAGGGCATCCAGTTCCCAGGGAGTTCAAACCCCCGTCCCAAAGTTAAGAGGACACACAAGCCAAGTGTGACACTTGCAGGTTGGTCAGACATGCAGACCACGGGAATCCCGCACAATGTTTGCAGCTATGAATGACAAAGTATTTTGCCATTGCCCAGAAGGCAGTGCAGTCAAGGAAGTTTAAAGTTGTTCTCATCAACCATAGCAAGTCACCTTCTTCCGTTTCTGATTCTGACAAAACATACTGGCAAAAAATTCTAAAATGCTTTTGGCAAGGGAAAGACACTACTGTAGTCCAGATAACCCACATGAAACACACTCTGAGAATCTTTAGCCTAACAATACAGAGAAGTTTCCCCTGAAAAAGATATTATCAGTTCAAAGTGGTGCCCCAACCTTCGTTGTGGCTGTATAGCCTTCCTCTTCCATCCAGTTGGAAGCTTCGCTCAGCTTCTTGGAAATTTCCTCTCGCTCTTCTTCTGTTGAAACAAACTTATACTCCTCCTGTTGTAGCTTATCCTGGTAAAAAAGACACACACAAAATCAATCTCTCTGAAGTTCTTGTCACTTATGGGAACATTCACCAAACAGGAGTCTTAGGCTTTGTTCGCTTGTCCTCCTGACAGAAATTTAGCCAAAGGCGACACGGCAGCCTCCCTGACCTATTCCAAATTTTCTTACAGCTCAAATTGCAATAGTGCTGCAACTTTTATACGGCAGCAGAGAAATAATTTTATGGGGGTGGGATCATCGGCAACAAGATGAACCCGCTAAAGCCATCTATGCCCTCTGATCCTTTTCCCAGGACCTACCTGAGTCTCAAAGATGAAGGCCTCAAGGCCATTGGCTGACTTTTCCCTCTCATGCTTTGCTATGTCTCTTTCAGTCAATTCTTGCAACCTGATGTTAGAAAAAGGTGGGAAGAACAAGGTACCCAAGGTCACCTTCTCTGAATGGGAGAAGACAAAAAGCATCACCATGTACTGACTGCAAGCAGTCTCATCCCAGCCCACAGCTAGGGGGCAGAGGCAGCCCTGAAGATCCACCTACTTCTTAATGGAGTCCTGCAATTCTTCTGGCAGCAACTCTGGCACATCATTCACATCCAACTCAACTGCAATCTCTTCCACCAGCTTTTGTTTCTTTGGCGGCTTCAGCTTTTTCTCCTCCTCCTCGGCTGCTTTGGCACCATTGCCCTCGGGGCTCTTTGTAGGCTCTTCATCCTTCCCAGTATCTGTCTTCTCTTGGGCTTCCTAGATGGGAGCAATTCCAGGACTAACAGGGGGCTGTTTTCAGCCACCAGCTAGAGCCAACATTTGACAGGTTTGCTTTAATTTTAAATTTAAGCTGGGCCGGCCCTGCCATTAGGAAGAGAGGCAACTACCTCAAGTGCTAACTTCTGGTAACAGCTACCTACCAACCCCATTCCTTCCGAGTTCCCTGGCCATATCTTTCTGTTGTAAGATCTGTACCTGCATAACTACTGTTGCCCTCAGGGTTGGTGGAGGGCATTATTCCACTGGCAACAATGAAATAAAAAATTCAACTGCTGGTCCAGTCAGAGTTTGTATGTACAATTTGTTGTTGGTGGAAACCACCGTATTTGCTTCAGGTAGCAAAAGGTTTTGTAATGGCCCTGGATTCAGCCATGCTCAGAACCATGTAGATGCCAAGTTTTCAGGAGAATTCTCACACAACCCCATAGGCACCAGACCTTAAAAGGAAGTTTCCCACCCTCTCCAATAAGTAGACAACAGTGGTTCAGGGGATTTGAAACGTGAAAAAGTACTGTTCCCCACAATAATTTCACCCCTATGGACGCCTTCTCATTTGTCTCCTATTGGATAAAAGGGGGGGGGGAGGCTGTTCAGTGACCCTGCTCACTGCTTGCTCACCTGGGAGTCCGATTTCTCTCTTCCTTCCTCTTGTTGGTCCTCAGCTGAAGCATCTTCAGCAGCTTTTTCCTGAGATGGGGATGGCGTTGGCTGCCTTTCTTCCTCCTCACTAGCAGCCCCATTGTCATCCTTCTGGTCCTCCTTACCCGCTTCCGCTTGGCTCTCCTCTTCCTCCTGGGCAACAGAGGGGAAATTCCCAAGGATGTTATAAGAACCTTGCGCAGCTAGGCTTCTTCAGCCAAGACAGGCATGACTCTGAAGGGACCCAGCAGGTCCAGCTACAAGCTCTGCTGCGACAGACACTTGTCACGGAATCCTTCTGACTCTTAAGTATTATGGTTTTAGCCAAGAACAAAGTGCCATTGAACAGGTTCACAGAACTCTTGAGACTAATACCAGGATCCACCCCTGATCTTTTTTCATATTTGTACCCCTTTTCAAGTCCCTGCTGACATTTGTATTAGGCTCAAATCCTGCATCTTGCTGGCAGGTTCTCCACAGAACAGAGCTCACCTGAACAGTCTCAGTCAAGTTTTCAGGTGCTTCTGGCACAGGGCTCCCTCCTCCAAAGAGACTAGAGATGGTGTTCCCAAGCTCTGTTCGAAAGAAGAAACATACTTAAGAAAGGTTTGGGTTCTACACACAGAAAACCCAGCTTCTGTCTGCCACCTGACCATCCCCTCTGTGGTAAGGGACAGATCTTTGTGTCTGCTTAGTGAAAGCCTTCATAATCTATGTGGCAGCCTCTTGGGGTGGGTGTCGGCTGGCAAAATAGCATGGGTCACCTCTGCCCCTACAGCTGTAAAAACTACAACACCCTCAACGAATGTAAAACCTCCATGTCTCCGAGTGCCAAGTGTCCTGGTGTGTACACTGCCTTGTTTCTCCAGCATACCGGATTACAAAAGGTAGCCAAGAACAGAGAGGCCCCACCCCAAGGAACCAGTCCTTGCAACTGCAGCTTGCTTGGTTGGGAAAGCTGAGGGGCAAAGAGTTGGAAAGGTCTCATTTCCAACCACTCAAAATGATGCTGAAAACTGGGAAGGGGCAGATTAAGTCAAACTGCCTACATGGTACGAGAAGAGCTGTTGCCGCAACCCAACCAACTCACTTGTTAGCGTGGATTCCTCCTCTGGCTTGTCCTCCACCAGAGTCTCAAACACAGATTCTACCTGGGAGACAACACACGGAGCAGAATGAGATTGGAAGGTCCAGCAAGTGAGCCAGAGATGAAGGGCATTGAAGCGGTACTTACACGATCGAGGCTCAGCACACCACTCTCGTCCATGTTGAAATGAGCCTTGATGCCTTTGGACTCATAATCCAAATGTTTCTTGAAGCTCTCGCCCACTCCTTGCAGCTTCACCCTTGTGAGATTCAAGGACCCGAAAGCTCTGCAGGAACCACACGAGGACACACATTGGGATGGGTGAGCACAGTGGCTGGCCACCCCTCCTTTCTGTTCCCATTCTCTAGCTCTACCACAGAAATCACAAAACCTTGTAGAAACACTGAAGGGCAGTAATATAGATATTTTAATTCCTGGATACTCAGCTGCAAGGGCACAAGTTCAAACAGCCGAGAACAAATTTGAATTCCCAAAGCCGTAGCCACTGACATAAAGCTGAGTTCAGGCAGAATCATAAACTCTGAGAACGTGAGTCAAGTTAAGCCTTTTTTAAAAAAAGGGTTTTATTAGGACTTTTCAAAATACAATAGAAGACCAGACCAAAGCAGAAACAAAAGAAAAGAAAAGAAAAGGAATATTTAAGGAAATAATAACAGAATAGAAAGATAAACAAAAAGATAACAAAAATAAGTAAAAGGGACTTCCAGCTACCACATACAAGAGTTCCTCAAAACAATCAAATTTTCAATAAAGAGTAATATCCAGCTATTCCACCCTCTGACATGTTTTGCTTTTGTTCTTTAAGCAAACCCCGTCAATTCTTCCCTCCTTAGACCAAATTCCCGGGCAGCTGTAACTACCATAACAAAAGGGGAAAGGAAAGTAAGAACCAACATGTTCTGTTTTTGTGGCTGACCCACAACTGCACTCACTTCAAGTCACTGTCACCCAGAAAGCCCATATCTGCGTAGTTGACATGGAACTCAAAGTCATCTGTGTATCGGTTGAAGGTGATGACCTTCCGTTGGGGATATGGAGCCATGCGCTGGAACAGGATCCGCCGGTTGTGCTTAAGGCTCTTGGATTTATCCTCCTCTTCTACCTCACGGGTGAACTCAACCTAAGGTTAGGAGAGGATAAAGCACAGACTGTACCTCTTCCAGATTCTACCACACGGGAGAGCCAATTGCATGCCAACAGGCGTCTTGTCATTAAGGGACAAAGATCAGCACTTGAGACAGAATGCCGAGACAGGCTTTTTACCAACCCTCTCCCTGAAATCCACAGCACTCTGATACTTGGTAATGAACCACAGCTCACCTGGATGGGGAAAACAGCTGCATCACGGACAATGAAAGGCTTCACCTTAAAGGCTTTGCTCAAGGCAGCTGCTTGGTAGACAGCGCCCATTGCAGCTGCTTCATCTGCATTGATGTTCTTGCCCAGCTCATCCCTGTGTTGTCAACAGAAGAATGATTAGATGCTACCCTGCTCTGGACAGAGAATATTTTGAGGGGTGGGAGGCGGAAAGTACCACCAAAACTGGGCTGATGCTTACTTGCCAACTGCCTTTAGCAGAAATTCCTGCACTTTTGGGACACGAGTGGCACCACCAACAAGGATCACCTGGTCAATTTCATTCTGGGAATTGGGGAAAGATAACAAGGTCTGACTCTCTGAGCTTGAACTCTGTTACACTTTCTGAATCTAAGAGTTCTGCTTGCACAGATGTAGGTGGCCTGGAAGGAGCAGTAAGTGCTTCCCACCATGGCCTGCGCTGTGGAATTCACGTTGTTTGGTGAAAACGAGAGACCTTGTAACAAAACCATCCTCACTTACCAAACCAATCTCAGCACTGGTGACCGCCTGCTGCACAGGTCCTGCAACCCGCTGGAACAAATCTGAGCACAGCTCCTCCAATTCCTGCCGTGAAACTTTAGCCTTGAAGTCAATGTCATCCAGCAAGCCCTCGATCTAGGGAGAGAAACCAAGAGCATCTTATCTCACAGACACATGCACCACTTCCTCTCTGAAGCCACCAAACTGCTTCTACTGTGCCTTCAAAACAGGATAAGACCTTAATGAAATGTAGAAGCTTTTCATCTACATGTAAGCAGATAGCTGCTTACAATTGACTACAGCAGACTACGAAGGTTAGGCATTTTCCATGCACCTATGCCACACCAAATGATACACACACAACCTACCTGCGCCACATGGTCAGCATTGGCACTTAGTACTGTTTTCACGCGATTGGCTTCCTTTAGCAGCTTGGCCATGGCCCGGAGATTTTTCCGGACATCCTTTGATGGATTTTGCTGATTGAAGAGTTTGGCCAGATGGTCACGGAGGCGCAGCTCCATCTCCAGCCCTCCCAGTGTGCGATCAAATCTGAGGAGGAGGACGAGGTATGCAGTGGAAGCAGCTACTCAAGCCAGCAGCCCCTTTGCAAAGAAGCCCAGCAACTACCTCTCCAGCTACCACTCCTTTCAACAAGCTTGATATCTCTCTATTCCCTCCCACCCCAAAACCAGGATTTTGGTTTTCTAAACATCCTTCCACAAGAGCCCTGCAGCCAGATCAGACCACATGTCCATCCAAATCCAGCATCCCAATCTTACAGTGGCTTATGGGCAACCATCAAATAGGAAACAAATGCAATAGCACTCTCCACATTTGCCATTCCCAGGAAATCACTATAAAAAGAAGGGGGGGGGGAGAGGCATGTTGACTCCAGCTAGGACCTAGCCAACATGTTCCATTATGAATTTGTTTGATTCTGCTTTGTGCAATACGCCTCCCAGTTTGGACCTTTCTACTTCAGATATCCTGCTCTCTCCTGACTCTCTAGCAAATTTAATTCCAAGAATCAAGCTCTTACCCAACACCCCGAATCTGAAGCTGAGGCTGGGTTCCCGACTCCTTGGTTTTCACTGCTTGGTAAGTCACGATGGTACACACAGTGCTGCCTGCTCCCATGTCATAAAACATAATATTCTGGAAATCAAGAAAGAATCAATGCTAAAGACAGCAGGCAACAGCAGGCACAGAGGTATCACAGTCTGAAGGATGGTACATGAATGTCTGTGGGAAGTCAGATCAGCAGTCTCCAAGCTTAAAAATATATACAAGAGTATGAAGTTGTCAGAGTGGCTGGGGCAACCCAATTAGATGGGTGGGATATATAATAATAATAATAATAATAATAGTCAGACTGTTTGTTCATCTGGTCCAGAGGTGGGTCAGCCCTCCAGCCTGCAGGCCTAATTAGACCTAATATGGGTCCAAATTTGGCCCATGAGGCTGTTTTCTGCCAAGTATGCCCACCAGCCCCACACCAGATGTCATGTGTGATGTCAGGTGGGAGACAGGTAAAGATGCAGCTGACAAGATGCTATATTGGGAGTCCTGAAGAATGCTCCAGATTGTGCATTGGCAAGGGAGGCTTCCTGTCCACGTCAATCAACTGACAGACAAAGCAGGCATGTGGAACTCTAACAGGCCTCAAGTGTCCACCTGTGGCCTTGGTGACTCCAAGCCCAGTGGATTGGATGTGCAACCAAGTTCTCCAGAGGAAGCTCAAGTCACAGAGCCAATCTGTAGTCAAACCTGCAGAAAGCAGGTTTGGAGTCACTGCCTATTGGCCAGTAGGTACTAACTTGAAACTTGGCTTGGCTTTGGTAACACAGCTTGCCTTGCTACAAAGGATAAGTTGCTCACTAGATTTCATAGTAATATCAGATGACTGACAGGTGAGTGGGCCCTGCTCACTTGTGTATGTGGCTAGCTGGAATTAGGGGAATGCGGAACCGGTACATAAAAGTTTGGATTCACATAAAAGTTTGGATTCAAACAGGCAGCTCTGATTGACCAAGAAGACTGCCCTGCCCAAATTCCCTGTGTTTTCTAGGTAAGGTTACAGAGGCACAATGAGCTTGAGCCCTGGGTAAAAACCTCCCCCCTCCCGAGCCACACACACCCTCCAGTTACAAGCACCTGGGCTGTAGCGTTGATGTCCTTCCTTCGGAACACCCCATAGTTCAAAGCCACAGCTGTGTTATCATTGATGAGCTGCAAAACCTTGAGATCTGCCATTTTTGCTGCATGCAGGACCGCTCTCCTCTCCGCCTGGTTGAAGTAGGCAGGGACAGTGATCACAGCATCCTTGACAGGCTGTTCTGTAAGATAAGGAGAAGGTATGGTGTGAGCTCCTGGTTCAGGTGCCTCTTCATTTTTACTCATATGCTTGCTGACCAAAGAAGGAAAGACAACTCTTGTGCCTCAAACACTCAAGAGTCATTTCTAACCTGCAAATTCCTCTGCCAGTGCCCGAGAATAGTTGAGCACCATGCCCAGGATCTCTTCTGGAGTATACTGCAATTTGCTGCAAGGAAGAACAAGAATGATCAATTCTAAATTCCTGATCCCAGCTGTGAAATGCATCTTTTGAGCATGAGTGGACCTCATCACTTCCACATACCACTTGCCCCTTAACAGGGCACATATCAAATACGAGTTGACCATGGCATTTGGCCAACCAAATCTATGCCGCAGTAGTCCCAAAGTGGCTTACAGAAAGATGCCACAGCCTTTCTTGCTCAGCAGTGCCACGTGGCAAACCTCAAAGTGGAAACGTACTCTGACAGCTTGAAACTGACTGTCTCCCTCCTTGCATCTTTCACCAGCTCATGTTCTGGGAACCGTGACTGGTACATGGTCACTTGTGGGTTATCAATGCGCTTGCCCAGGAGATCCTGGAAATACCGGAAAGCCACTTTTGGGTTCTTGATGCCCTATTAAAAAAACAGGAAAAACACACAACCATGCTGATTCCTCCGGAATGTTCACCTATCCCCCATAAATTTCTTTTAAAAAGGCATACACGCCAGAAACCCTCAACAACTCAACTACTGAAAATACCCAAAGTGGCATTTCGGAGCCTCCGTTTCCAAAACCAAAAAAGTCACCGCATGCCAGCACTGGAAAAGTCCTTCTCTGGAACATGAGCTAACCTGCCAAAGAGGACTTGTAGTACTGTCTCTTCAACAAATCTCAGTGGGGAGGAACATGTTATTGAAGCTGAAAGGGTAAAGAGGAAGGTGCAGCAGAGACAGGACCCCAGAAGAACAAGCTGTGTATGCAAATAAATACTCTTGGTACAAAGTATAGAAAAGGCAGAGGGGATGTGTGAGTGGACATCTGAGGGACTTACCATTCCCACGGCATTGTCACCAAAGAGGCGCTCATTCTCCTTTAGAGTTACAGCCACCGGTGTTTTTCTCCGAGATTCCCTAGAACAACAAGAAAAGTTAAACTAGAACTGTTTCCTGGGGAGATAGGAAGTTGTCTAACAACCAGGCTAGGCTATTTATTCATCTAGCTGAAGCAATATTTCTGACTCAGGTCTGCAGTGGTTCTCCAGGGCCTCAGACAGAGGCACACTGTTCCAATCGTCTGGTACCTAATAAATTTAAGCAGATGCCTGGGACTGAATATGCGACCTCCTACAAGCAAAGCAGGTGCACTGCACAATGGCCCTGCCCCAGAGATTCCTGGGGTCTAACTTCTGGGTTTCTTGGAGAAATGTAGAACTGGTTTTCAACGCCAGGATTCAGCACTGGAACAAGGGAAGAGAAACACATCGGAGTCTCTTCTAAATAACCACATCTGAGATTAGGGAACAATAAGTAATGGCAAAAGGAAGTTACACCTATGGGAAGCTGCCCCGTATTTTCTGTATTGCACCACTAAGACATGGATTTATTCCTGCACTGTAAGCGGTTGGACCAGATGAACCTTGGAGCACCTTTACAATTCTATGATGTGTCAAGCCCTCCAAAACAGTTGTTGCCACAGTCACATTCATTGCAGCACATATTTAGCCCACTCACTTGTTTAAGACAATTTCCATTGGCACCCCAGGCTTCACAATGGCGATCTTCATAGATTCACTACCCATGTCCACTGACATCACAGCCAATGAATCTGTGGAACAAAAGTATTGTGTCAAATGTACTTTCTTCCAGGAAGAACCTCAGACAATACCCTCCAGCCCAGCCTCCTTCCAATTTCTAATGCTTAGCTGAATCAAAAAGCCAGTCTAAACACAGATGTGTTACAGCACACCCGGAGGACTCCACCAGAAGAAAGTTTCACAGTACTGTATCATCCAGAGCATCTCAATTGTAGCGAAACATCTCAAAACATCTCTTTATCTCTAAGTATTTTTTAAGCATCCTTCAACCATATTCCCAGGGAGGTTTATAGAAAGTAAATAGAAAAAACAAACACACAATCAAAATGCAAATAAAATTGTAAAGCTAAAAGCTACAAAGTAGTAAGAGCATAATAAAACAACCAGAAGAATTAAAACTATGTCTACATGGAAATTAGGAGGCATCTTTCCTGCTACTAAAAGAAAAATAAACTAGATTCCAGAGACCCACCCAGAAGGCCTTCTCTCTGGTAGCTACTTGCTTCACCATAGATATGGGGGCACCTACAGGAGACCCTCCAATGAATATATTAATTTATGGAATTAATGAGTACTAGGGAAGTACTCAGTCCTTTAAATAGTCCAGCCATAAGACATGAAGGGTTTTGAAGGTGAAAAACAGCACTTGAACTGGACCTGAAAATGGACTGCGAGCTACTGTGGTTGGCATCACAGAGACGCAATACAATAAATAATGCCCAGTCCAACATAGCTATCTAGCAGTATGAATGGGGGTTTCCAAACAGACTTCAAGGTAGTCAATATGTGCCTTATGGACGTGTGGCACTGACAGCATAGTCAAGGGAGGCCCTGAACTGGTTTTAAAGGGCACCTGGCCTCTAAGACACATTGGGCCCAAACCACTAAGATCCTCAAACACAGGCTCAAACGCCATCCAGGTTGAATTGTGAATCCTGCAATAGAAGGCTACCTGGAGGTGGAGCCAATGGCACACAAGTTGCTAACATGTTCCTGATAACTCAACAGCCTGCCCCATTCTGCACTAGCTGATACTTATGAAATCTCCAAGGATAGTGCTCCCCATGCCAAATACTTAGTAGCCTAGCCTAGAGGTTACAAATGGCAGATAAATATCTTGCGTCAAAATCCAAGAAAAAAGGGTTACAACATTATCAATTTTATTTTGAAAAATGGCTCTCTATTTACTTTAAAGTTAGTTTTGGTAAACACAAGTTATGGCATAGGTCTGAATAAAAAAACTGAACCTCTGCTGGATGCCTACAAAAACAAGGAGCTATTATTCTTGCCAATGGACCCCATATCAATACCAATAAATCTAATATCCAGGGGCCCCAAAAGCTCCCTGCAAATTATAGCAATGCCTGCCATAATCAACACCTCTCCTAATATGGTCTCTGAACCTAAAATGGGCTATCATTTACATCACTGAAAGTGCCTCTTTTCAAGAACTAAACTGGTAAAAAAAAGATATGCAAGAACGTACAGCTGGTTCCTCTTTCTTTATGCAACACATTTTGTAAGGCTTAAATGTTGACACACATTTTCTACAGGAGGTGGCAAATGAAACATGCCACCACCAAAATAAGTAAATGTAGTGCAGCACCAGCAGCATCCTTTAGAAAAGTTGTCTCCATCAGGTCCCACGGCCAGTTTCCGCATTCCAGTAGTTCATAATGAGTCCAACACCAGCTAAAATGGAAATGCTTTCACTCTCAGGGACATGACAGACTGTCACCTAAGGGCTACCTCAAGGTGTGCACAGAAACATCCAAGTAACACTCGGCCCTTCCTGCTGGTCAGTTTCGTCCCGCCCACCTACAGGATACACGTTAGCTTTTCAGACAGTCAGCTCAGTCGTTGTGGTTTCGAGCCCCATGCTGGGCAAGAGATTCCTGCATTGCAGGTGGTTGGGCTTTATCAGGGTTCCCCAAATTTGGGTCTCCAGGTGTCTTTGGACTACAGTTCCCACACCCCTGACCACTGGTCCTAAAGGATAGGGATGATGGGAGTTGGAAGTCCAATATCAGCTGGCGATCCAAGTTTGGGAAACCCTGGACTAGATGATCCTAGTGGTTCCTTCCAACTCCACCATTCTATGATTCTGAGGCGAGTCGGATGCAACCATGCGACCAAAGGGCTCGCTCCTGCCCAACTCCGCTTAGCAAGCCTGATTCTTCGGCAACTTGCAAAACCACCAAGATCTTTCCCAGGTCCTTCCACGGGGGCGGGAGAGGCACCTACCCAAGTGCGCAGGCAGGGAAGCCAGCAGGAGGAGGGGCAGCAGCAGCCACACGCGTGCTGGAGCCATCCTGACGATCGAGGGCCGCCCAACCCCGATGTGGAAACAAAGGCGAGGCAGGGAGGGCACTTTCCTCCGACAGACCCGGAACGGCGGCGAGGCCCGGCGCCAAGGTTCACCTGGAGACCCAGAGGTTCCCCCACCCCCACGCGGAAGAGGCCGACCCCCGGGCGCCTCTAAGGGGGACGCCGCTGTCTTCGGCCCGGCACGCCAACCGCTCGCTCGGGGGCTCCCTGCCCGCTCGCTCTCGGCTCGGACTCCGCGGCCTCTCTCCCTCCCGCTCCGGCTGCCCCTCTCTCTCTCTCTCTCTCCCCTCGGCCGGCCGGTCTCCCGGACTCCCTGGCTTGCGAAAGCTGCGCTCCGCCCTCCTTCCCTCCCCGGAGCCGGACGCGGCGCGAGCTCATTGGCCCGGCGGCTCCCCTCGCGCGCTCCCCATTGGGCCACGTCTCCGGCGCCCGGCGCAGCGGCCGCAATCATTGGCCGAGGGGCGGGGCTTCCTAGCGTGGCGGTGGCAGCGACGGGCCTGACCGGAGAGCTCCTGAGCACGTGCAGACTGCGCGCTCTCCTTTGGCCACCCCCAGCACCTCTCTGATCCGTGCCGGCCCGCCAGACAGTCACAGTCACCCGCCCTCGGCCTGCGGGCTCAGCGGGGATGCCTGCAATACCGCCGCGTGGAAACAAGGGGGCATCGGCGCAAGGGCTGCGGGTCTTCTCTGCGCTTGCGCACTAGGGCGGGGGGTTTAGAGACCCGGCGAACTACAAATCCCAGCAGCCCCAGCGCTAAGAGCAGCGGCAACGCGGAAGCGGCATGGTCACATGACTCTCCTCCGGAGTTGGGCCTACCTGTCAAGATGGCGGCCTACCTGCAGTGGCGCCGCTTCGCCTTCTTCGACCGCGATGTCCTGACGGAGCCTGATGGGAAGCCCGTGCTGTTGCCGCCAGGCATAACGGTCTGCGACTCGGGCCGGGGCAGTCTCGTTTTCGGGGATATCCTTGCTGTTAGTGGTGTCGCGGGGGGCGGGCAGGGTGCCTCTGAGCGTGTGTGGAGTGCTCTTTTTCCCTCAACCAGTTTGCCTGGGCAGGGCTTTTGTCTCGGTCAGCGGACATGAGTTTTGGGTAAGCTGGAGCCATGGCTCGCCTTCTGCCAAAGTCTGAAGGCATTCCTCCTCTCCGCCCCGTGGGTTTATTCATGTTAAGAACATAAGGCGATGCCTGATGAAAGCATTGGCCCTACATCGTGGTGACTGAGTTGTCACCCTTGCTGCTGACCATGGCCATTGCCCAAACTGACGGCAGTTAAAAGTCCAGCAACATCTGGGCAACCACAGGTTAGGTAGGCACTCTTGAGTCTACGATGACCAACAGACAGAAAGTAGAAGCCTTTACCTACTTGGAGGTTCTAGGGATTGAATCTAGAATCCTTTATATGCAAAGCAGGTGCTTCACCACCAACCTTTGACCCAGCTCAGATATGCAGGTCTTGTTCAGTGTCTGGGTGGGAGGCAGCTACGGAAACAATTTGAGTTCCATCATGGAAGAAAGATGGGATATAAACGTAATGCGATAAAAGATTTTAGAAGCGAACCACTGAGCCTTTTGTGCCTTCTGCTCTCTTATGGGGAGGACTCCTTAACTCAGACCTACATATGGAAGGGCAGATATGGTTCCTGCTGCGCAACCTTGAGCTCAGCAGCTTCCAAGCTTATAAGCTGAGAGTGACACATCTCTACCAGTTGAAGCAGCACAGCATCTTGGCTTCAGTTGGGGAGGATGAAGAAGGCATTAACCCTTTGGTAAGTTGGTTTGAGGGAAGCCAGACTTGGTTTTCTGTTTGATGGAAAGATTTTGCGAGATTAGTTGTAGGGAAGGAGGAGTCTTCTGTGATGACAAGGCTGAGATAAGTGTGGGCCACCAGTTCTTCAAAACATTGCTGCTGGAATCTAGAAATTTTAAATATTTATTTGTCATCTAAGCCTTTAACTCAGGTGTTCAGGAATTTTGGCTTTTTTATATTTTTCTGACGTGCATACAGTCATACCTCATGTTACGTCTGCTTCATGTTATTTCCTGCGGCGACCCGGAAGTACCGGAAAGGGTTACTTCCGGGTTTCGCCACTCGCGCATGCACAAAAGCGCAAAATGACGTCATGCGCAGAAGCGGCAAATTGCAACCTGCCGTGATCAGATGCACTGCTGCGGGTTACGCTCTTTTCATATTGCCAACGGACCTCGGGAACGGATTCCGTTCGCAGCCAGAGGTACCACTGTATTTGGCTTAAGCCTGATCAAAAGAAGGGTGTCTTGCTCCTTCTGCCTATTTGCCCTGCAGTGACTTTCTGCTAGGAGAGTAAATGTGGATCCTTTCTTTCCACAGCAACTATGTCTGCACTCCTGGTCCCAGAGTTTGACTGGAGAAAGGGGGAAATGTGCATCTTATATGCACAGTAGCACTTTTAGATAAAAAGGGAATCGGTCCAATTTGTGGTGGTTTTCCTCAACAAGCCCCCTATAATAACTTGTAGGTCAAAGTCTGGAATCTAGAGAAGCGTGACGGTGGGAATCCTCTGTGCACCAGGATTTTCCCTGCAATACCAGGCAACAAGCCTACAGTTGTGTCCTGCCTCACAGTCCATGAGAATCTCAACTTCATGGCCATTGGTAAGTGGAAATGAAATTGCTGCTGTGAGTTACAGACATAAAATCATAAAGGAGAAATTGATCTTGCAGAAATTGATCTACTTTGTTTTGGGGAGAGTACTCCTTCGTCGCTTCATATTAATCTAATTCAGCTTTCCATTTGGTGGACTTACCTGATGTCTTCCGATGGCAGAGAATGCCTGCTTTTTCCCATTCTCTTGGAATGCAGCATTCACCCTTTCCCATTTCTGCTGTAGGCTTTACAGATGGGAGTGTTGTGCTCACTAAAGGGGACATCACAAGAGATCGGCACAGCAAAAGTCAGATCCTTCATGAAGGCAGTTACCCAATTACAGGCCTTGCCTTCCGTCAGTCTGGCAAAACAACACATCTGTTTGTTGCCACCACAGAGAACATCCAGGTAAGATGTTTGGTTGACCACCAGGGGCGGATGTGTGTGTTATGCCCTGCTCCATCCCAGTTTCTGAGCTGTTCTTGTGGCTTTCCAAGCTTCATTGTGTCCTCCTCCTTGTGGACTTTGCAGTGTTACACGCTTTCAGTGAAGGACTATCCGAAGCTAGAATTGGACACACGGGGCTGTGGGCTGCGCTGCTCCACACTCAGCGATCCCTCCCAGGACCTCCAGTTCATTGTGGCAGGAGATGAATGTGTATATCTGTACCAGCCAGATGAGCGTGGGCCCTGCTTTGCCTTTGAAGGCCAGAAGCTGATAGCCCACTGGTATCGGGGCTACCTTGTCATTGTTTCCAAGGAACGGAAGCCTTCTCCAAAGTAAGACAGAACTGCAAGACAGAATAACTTGAATTGTTTTCCTTTGACCTCTTAAAAACTCAGGGTGTGGGATCTGGATAAAGGTGGTTGCTGTTAAATTATTTATTGCTTCTGGTTAGGTACTCTTCTGTAGGAGAGAGCAGTAGAAAGCTATTGTGTGTTGCATGGGATTTCTTTTTGACCTTCCAATCCCTATTTGAAGGCAGTGTTGAATCCAGCTTTCCTTTCCAGCTTCCTATCAGATCTTGGATTTTCTGACTATGCTGAGTGGGATATGTACAAGTAATCTTGAGAATGTGATGACTGTCATGAAAGGTCCAAATGGCTGAATGCGGGGGTTGGGGTTGGGTAGGGAAACCCTACTTTGCAGCAAGGCAATATGTTGTGCTATCCAAGGCTCAGAAACAGTTAGGATGACATACATATTGTGGGGGAGAAATAGGAGGCAGGTGCATCTTATGCACTGGAATGCAAAAGCTTGGTCATTAGTTTTTTAGATTCATCAGGTACTCACAGAGGGCTCTGCCAGCTGACTTTAACATTTGCCTGGAAATGTTAAGTAAGCAGTTTGAGACTCTCTGAGACTGGAGTGTGGACCATTCTTTCATCCAATGCATGAAAGGGAACTCCTGACCTGTGAGTGAAAGTTAAAAGACTGAGGCTGTCCCTCACTCTTTGCTCCTCTGTACTCTAGATCGGAATTTGCTGGGAGTGATCCACAAAACTCTGACAAGCAGATCCTGAATATTTATGACTTGGGCAACAAGTTCATTGCATACAGTTCTGTCTTTGACGACGTGGTGGATGTCCTGGCGGAGTGGGGGTGCCTCTATGTGCTGACCAGAGATGGGAAGCTCCATGCACTGCAGGAGAAGGACACGCAAACCAAGCTTGAGGCAAGGGACCTTGGTCACTTCTTCCTTTTCTGTGGTTAGTGGGGTTCTGAGGTGCAAAGCTTATTCACAGCTGCCTGCAGCTCAAAGCCCAGACGTTGCCCTACACCAGACCGTTTGGACTGCAAATACCATCAGTTCCAGCATCATACACCTGTGCTGCCTGGGGCTGATGGGGAGCTGTAGCCCCAACCATTTGGAGGGCTCCAGTTTATGGGAGGTTGGTGTGGTCTGCTGTTGCTCCGTAGGGAGCCTGAGTAAGGGGCTGGAAGTGACTCTGAACTAGCATCTGTGCCATGTGGCACAGAGGGGAGGGAGCAGCTGTGGCCTAGAGCCCCTTGTTTCTCTTACACTTATGAAAGCTGCAAATGCATGTTGTTATGCATTCACAAAACAATACATCAGTATGCATTCCATACTTGAGGACCCCAGTAATTAAGCAGCTCCCCATGGAACAATAGTTATGAATAGTCAAGATAACCCTTAAAACCCTGTTGATCCCATCAACGTTTGTAAGCAAGCAAGCACTTCTCTTCCAACAGATGCTCTTCAGGAAGAACCTCTTTGAAATGGCCATTCACCTGGCCAGGAGCCACCACCTGGATAGTGACGGGTTGTCTGAGATCTTTCGCCAGTATGGAGACCATCTGTATAACAAGGGAAACCACGATGGCGCCATTCAGCAATATATTCGGTAGGCAGGATAGGGGAGTTTTGGCCCTCCTTCCCTCCCTCCCTTTCCATTACAGCCATGTTGGGGTGAGAAGAAAAACCAGAGGCCTTGCTATCTAAGCATCTGGGTGCCACAAATCTGGATTTTTAATCTGACCAACCTGCCACCTTCTTATTCCTTTCTGAATTGCTTCACCAGGGAAATCATCATGAGATGGGAACTAAATCCATCCAAATGTGGTTTGCAAACACACAGAGCCCTGGTGAGCTCTGACACATCCAAATGAAGTTTGGCTCTCTGGATCTCAGTGGACTGGGATTTATTTACTGAGATAGTATATAGGGAATGCCTATCTATCTGTGGTTGCTCCTGGCTTTTCAGATTGTGAGGTGCTTATCAGCAGATTGCACTACCTTTGGCAATGTGAGGGGCAGACCAAGATAATTTTCCAGCCCCAAATTGTGAGAACTACAAGTTTTGATTTCCACCCACTTGATTTCCACTCTCCCCAATTAATTTGGCACTCCAAGCCACCTCCTCTCCCCGTGCCCTACTTGTGTTGGAAATTGTGGCTGCACCTTCTGATCTTCTGTAGAACCAGATGCGAGGTTGGGCTTACATGCACACTTTCTCATCTTCTCTCTTGGCTTTTGACTACCTGGAATAGGGTCCTCATGGGGTCCTCTTTCTCCCTAGTACCATTGGGAAACTAGAGCCATCCTACGTCATCCGCAAGTTCTTGGATGCTCAGAGGATACACAACCTGACTGCGTACTTGCAGACGCTCCACCTGCAGTCATTGGCCAACGCAGACCACACGACACTGCTGCTGAATTGCTACACCAAGCTGAAAGACATATCCAAGCTTGAGGAGTTCATTAAGGTACAACAGGGAAGGGTGTGGATGCCCTGGCGCGCTGGCTCCTCCTTCCGCATTATGCCTCAATGGGCTTGTGTGCTTGAGCAGCCATCCTCCAACTTTTGGTGCCTGCCTGCTCCACATTCCCAGTACAGAGATTGAGAGAGCCTTCCGGGTAATTGAAGGACCCTTCATGTGGCTGCTTGAGGTTGGGTGGGTGCTTTCCTCCAGTCCTGGAGTTGAGAAGGATCAGAAGTATTCCCTTTGCAGGAAGAGCAGCTTATTTCTTTTTAACCTCATAGGAGGGAAGAAGCAGAGGCCTTCTCTTTGTCTCAGGGGGCAACCTTTTGCTTCTGGCTCCAGCCATAATATGTTACAGTTTCATGGGAGACATACAGAGGCATTCCTCTTTCTCAGTAGACATGCCCCTTCTGAATGCCTTCTTTGCTTTGTCCTCCCCCACACAGACCAGTGAGAGCGAGGTGCACTTTGATGTGGAGACAGCCATCAAGGTTCTGCGTCAGGCAGGCTGCTACTCCCACGCCGTGTACCTAGCTGAGAAGCATGCGCACCACGAGTGGTACCTCAAGATCCAGCTGGAGGATATCAAGGTGAGACCAAACTGCCTGCCTGATGCTGAGCTTCACTTCCAGCTTTTAAAGCTGACTTCTTGCAGTGCATCTGGATGCTGTAGAAACCTGAGAGGCGCTTTGGCTCGGGAGGGGTGTGTGTGACGACCGTGTTTCTCTACGTTCTCCCTTTTTTGCAATGGGGATAGTAGTGTCCACAGTTTGGGACTGTGTACATCTGTTTTCCCACATGGCAGACAAAGAGGCGTTAGACTAGCGTAAGGGTGGGTAACTTGCTTGCTCCCGTGGGTCTTTCACTTGGCCTGTTACAAACACTTCCTTAGTTGTTAAAACGTTTTGGGGTCTCAAGGCTGCAGCAGCGAGTTTAAAAGGACTTGCTATGATTTTTACATTAAGTGGGGCAGCTGCTCCTGTGCTGCCTTTTGCAAGAGGATCTGTGTGACTTGTTGCCGTGGAGAAAAAAAGGCAGGACTGTCCGCTGCTTACTTCTTTTTCCTTATTATTATTATTTATTGATTTTTCACAAAAAACAGACAGACAGACAAAAACCTTTAACACAGACCGTAAATTATATTATCCATTGACTTCTCATCCTCCCCTTCCATGGCATCCACATTTACCCTTGAATGCTGCATATTTCACATATACTATCCAATACAGTCATACCTTGGAAGTCGAATGGAATCTATTCCTGAAGTCCGTTCGACTTCCAAAACGTTCAGAAACCAAAGTGTGGCTTCTGATTGGCTACAGGAAGTTCCTGCAGCCAGTTGGAAGCCACACCGGACGTTCGGCTTCTGAAAATTGTTCGGAAACCGGAACACTCACTTCTGGTTTTTGATCGTTTGGGAGCCGAAACGTACGAGTTCCAAGGCGTTTGGCAACCAAGGTACGACTGTACATCCATTTTAACCTATTTATCTTAATAATGAACGCTGTTGCTCATATTTCAAGTCCTGCTCGCGTTTTCATCTCACTATAGGTAGTTCTTTAAATACTTAGTTCTAACCCCAAGATACAGGGGAACTGGGGTCTGCTTCTGAAGTTTGCTCAGCCTGTCTTGCCCTGGGAGTATTATCCATGCTTGCGTCAGAAGCCCTCTTCAGGTGTCCTATCAGCATGTAGAATAATTACTGGGGGAGGGGGGTATGGGGATGGGAGTGCTAGTTCTGCCCCCCTCATTTTCATTCCCGTTGTCCTCCCCCAAGTTGGAGGCCAACTGTCTGAAGCTCTGAGCTTCTTGTACTTGTTGAGGCTCCCTGTGCACTTTTATTTATTTATTTATTTTAAATGATATTTATTAAAATTTCAAAAGAAAAAGATTACATTGATAAAAAAAATAACAGTAGAAAAAAGAAAAATACAAAAAAGAAAAAAGAAAAAACAGTTAAAAACAATTCCATCTTTTCATCACTTCTCTTACATTTACTTGTTTCCCGGACCTCCTCATACCTCCCTTTTTTGTATTCCAATTCAATTTGTTAGTCCAGCAATTCCTTTCCCTCCTTTTTAATCCTGATCTTTAATCTTAATATATTATAACATTAAGTTTTTACGTATTGAAAACCAATTTTTCCATATTCTTTTATACCATTATAGCTAGAAACCACTTAACTTCAATCCAACATCATTCTAACATTCATTAATTTTACAATATTTCTGTAAGTAGTCTTTAAATTTCTTCCAATCTTCTTCCACCGACTCTTCTCCCTGGTCTCGGATTCTACCAGTCATTTCCGCCAATTCCATGTAGTCCATCATTTTCATCTGCCATTCCTCCAGTGTGGGTAGATCTTGTGTCTTCCAATGCTTTGCAATAAGTATTCTTGCTGCTGTTGTAGCATACATAAAGAAAGTTCTGTCCTTCTTTAACACCGATTGGCCGACTCCCTGTGCACTTTTAAACGCAGAAGTCAGGGTTCTAAAATGCATTGGAGAGTTTCCTTGAGTGCAGGAGGCTCCCTGCTTTGCAAGGTCAGCATCCAGCATGCGGAGGACCCAGCATGCAGCATCCAGCATGTGGCATGCGGAGGACCCACAGGAACAGTGGTGAGAGGGGCAGAGCTGGCACACTTGTTTCACAAACTTTCCATGTGTGATGGTTCTGCAGCAGTTTTCCTCAAGTGGGTCCCCCCCCACCCGTGTGTGTTTTGGACTACAGTTCCCATCAGCCCCCATCATAACACAGCTGTTGTGCTGGCTAGGACTGAGGAGAGTTGTCCTGCAAAACATGCAGAGGGCACCCAGTTTGGGAAAGCTCTTCTGCGTGCAGGCAGAAGGCCAACGCGTTGGCTCCAAAGCAACCTCTCTCTTCTATCACCTGACCTTCTCTTGTGCAGAACTACCAGGAAGCCCTGCGTTACATTGGGAAGCTGCCCTTTGAGCAGGCCGAGAGCAACATGAAGCGGTACGGCAAGATCCTCATGCATCACGTCCCGAATGAGACCACTGAGCTCCTGAAGGTCCTGTGCACGAACTACCAGCCGGTGGGGGATCGTGAGGGTCCTGGAGCACTGGAAGGGAGGAAGGTATCGGCTGGATTCGGGGTGGTGTGTGTGTGTGTGTTGCTGCCCGTTGCTTGTGCAGCTGAGGGTGGTGCTCACCAAGGAGAGCAGGGGGATGAGGAGTAATAGGCATTAAGTGAACAAAATGCTAAGTGTAAAATATAGTCTGGGCAAGCAGGCTCAGTGGTGATAGCCTGCAGGGTATTGTGGGGGACAAACAGAGTCATAGAACTGTAGAGTTGGAAGGGATCATTAGGGTCATCTTGTCCAACCCCTGTTGCCCAAAGTGGGGTTCAAACCCACAACCCTGAGATTAAGAGCCTCATGCTCTACCGACTGAACTGGTTGGAAGGCAGGAATGTTGAACAACCTCTGGGAGGCAGCAAAGGGCTCAGACCAGTGTGGCTTGCAGAGTTTTTGCTTGTCTGGTTGCTGTTCAGATAAGCCATTCTTCCCCATACAAACACACACACACATACCTCATACCGGGTTTATTGCAATAGCACTTGCTGATACTTGCTGTGTCCTGAGCACCAGCCAGTCTTTGCTAGGCTCCTTGTAGGGCAGGTGTGGGGAGTCACTGACCCTCCAGGTGTTGCTGAACTACAGCTCCCATCATCTCTGGCCATTTGCTTGCTGGGGCTGGTGGGAGTTGTAGTTCAGCGACGTCTGGAGAGCCAAAGGTTCCCCCCATGTTTTGTGGGGGGAGCTCTGGGACATTTGGGGCTGCAGAAGGCTCTGCCAGGAGAACTGAGACACAGAATGTTCCATCTAGACTGGCTACTGCCTGCCTTTCCCCATTCTCTTCTCTCTTTGTAATATAGGCAAATCCTGATGAGTTCATTCCCATTTTTGCCAACAACTCCCGGGAGCTGAAGGCCTTCCTAGAGCACATGTCAGAAGTGCAGCCAGACTCTCCACAGGGCGTGTACGACACACTGCTGGAGCTCCGCCTCCAGAACTGGGCGCATGAGCAGGATCCACAGGTCAGTCCTCCATCCGCTTGGGGTCAAATTTCTAGTTGTGCCCAGGGGAGGTTGACTGGTGGAAGCCATTGGCAGCAAGGTCTTGGGTGACCTGCCTGGTGAAAATCTGGCTGGCAAGAGAGAAAAGCTCAATTCATGGGGCTCTGGTTCAAGGTGCCTGTGACACAGGTGGCTAACCCATCTTTTGGCCTGAGTGCCACATTGAACCTTGGTCAACCTTCACAGGGGGCAAGGAACTGCGTTCCAGGGGTGGGTGCTCACCAGATACTATCACATACTGTTGCCTGCACACACAAACACAGCTGATCTATGCAGAAAACTGCGAAGTGGAGATTATCTTTTCCTCTCTGTACACCAAATGACCAGTTGGATGACCAGGAACAGGACAGTTTGCACCCACAAAAACACCCAATTAGGGCCCACCCACCCCACAGCAGTATGTCTGTTTCATTATTATTTTCTGCCAAAGTTGGAGGGTTATTGGGGCAGTGCCAGAACAGTTGCTTGGAGGTGTGTGTCTGGATCAGACTCTTGAAATGAAGTGTAGCCACCCCTGTCCCTTGCCCATCTCTTAATTCTTGATCCTGGGGTTATCCGGCAAAGCTGAATAGTGGGAGATTCAGGGCAGAGAAACGGGAAGATGGAACACAAAATATGGAATCCACTCCCACATGATTTAGTGATGATCACCAACTTGAATGGCTTCAAAAAAGGATTAGACACATTCACGGAGGGCAATGCTATTATTCCTGATGGTTGCATGCTCTCTCCAGAATCGGTGGGCAAGAGCAGGAAAGTGCTTCTGTTGCATTTAGCTCTCCTTGCATTATGCCATCTGGTTGGCCACCGTAAGAACAGGATACTGGACTGGATGGGCCTCCTTTGGCCTGATCCGTTTGCTGCAGAGCTCTGCTTATTAACTTGATGTTTTCTTGGCTTTGGGCTCCGTGTAGGTCAAAGAGAGGCTGCACAACGAAGCCATTTCCTTGCTGAAGAGTGGGAAGTTTCGGAGTGTCTTCGATAAGGCTTTGGTCCTGTGCCAGATGCACAACTTCAAGGATGGTGTCCTGTACCTCTACGAACAGGGCAAGCTGTGAGTCTAGAGGCACCAGCAGCCTCCTACTCTTTGTGGGGGTTGGAAGAGGGTTTCTGGAGCTTCCCCAATGAGGAGGGTGCCGGATATTGTAGACCAGGCTTTGCGGCCTATGTGCAGGGTTTGGACCTGGTTGATCTGTGCCCAGGCTATGTAGCTAAGGAAGGTTTGGAGAGCAGCAGGTGGGCTCAAGGGCATTATATGTGGCCTCCTGGTGGAAAGAGCCCTCTTCTCCCTTCCTTCCCCAGTTTCCAGCAGATCATGCACTACCACATGCAGAACGAGCAGTACAAGAAGGTGGTGGAAGTCTGTGAGCTGTACGGAGACCAGGAGGCCTGCCTTTGGGAACAAGCTCTCGGCTACTTCGCCCACAAGGAGGAGGACTGCAAAGAGTACATCACAGCTGTGCTCAAGCACATTGAGACCAAGAATCTCATGCCGCCCCTGCTGGGTGAGGGAGGTTCCACTTCCAGGCCGGGTGGTGGCTGAGGCTGTCTCCTTGAGAGGCTTGACTTTGGGAAGCTTCTGGGGTGGATGGAGCTGGGAATTAAAACCAGTCTCTCAAGCAAAAGAGCTGCTAGTTAAATCCAGAGCTCCCTTCAGCCTCTCCCTTTATGAAAATGACCTGCCTTCCAAGACCCTATGGAGGCCAGATGCTGCTCTTACTCTTGACACCAGTGATGCTTTTGGCCGAAGGTTTGTTTTTCTGATCCACCCTTTATCAATGGTCCCTGGATGTTTCACCATCTATTGATCCCTGTGCCACCACTTTATTTCTCGCTGCCACCACGCAGGCCCTACCTGGGACAATACTGAGTCCAGTCAGGGTTAAATTGAAACATAAACTTTTGTTTATTTATTGCAGTTTAACAAGCGTGTGGTTTCATAAACAGTATCTGTCAATTACATTCATGGGGTGCCTATCTAGACCTATAACTTTCGCTACCTGCCCTCACACACTAAACCACCTCTCAGATATTTACTTGTCTGCCTAGCCCCTAACTATTCCTTACTCAGCCTATTTCGCTACACTAACCCAACCTACCCACAACTCTAGCCCAATTCACTCCCACTCCAACCAACCACCCAATGACTCCCCAAGGAACTCTCCCCTTTGCCCCTCCCAGAGCTGGTTTTATAGTCCCACTGACTCCACCCCCCTGGGTCCTGACTGGGCAACCTGTTTAACTATTTCACCTCCAGCACTCTCTCATATGTTAACGTCACAATGCTGCTCTTACTCTTGACGCCAGTGATGCTTATGGCTGAAGGTTTATTTGTTTTTCTGATCCACCCTTTATCAATGGATAACATTTAAATTGCCCTCTGCTGTCTGAATCTTGACCTTTAAAGGGTCTGAAGTGTTTTGGAATGGGACAGAGAATGCTGAAGGGCCCCTCCCCTGTGGTTTGAAGGGACAAGGTAGATTTGTGCTCACCCAGCTGTACTATAAATTGCCCCACTCCCTCTACTTCCCTGTGCTGATGGATTGCCCCCTCTGTCCAGTTGTGCAGACTCTGGCTCACAACTCCACAGCCACCCTGTCAGTCATCAAGGATTACCTGGTCAGCAAGCTGCAGAAGCAGAGCCGCCAGATCGAGCAGGACGAGCAGAGGATTCAGAAGTACCGGGAGGAGACTAAGCGGATCCGCAAGGAGATCGAGGAGCTCAAAAGCAGGTAGATGCAGTCCATGTTGCTGGGCCTGTCTGACCTCCATAAGACGCGGCCTCTAAAGGGAGCAAGACATCACCACATGCCACTTTCCTGCCTTCTGCCCATTGTGCTCTGTTTGGTGGTGCAGTGTGATGAACAAGTCCAGGTGGTTCCTTGGAAGGGATTGAGATGGATCGGGAAGGGACTCCAAAGGAGACTTCATTCATCTGCCAGTCTTCCAGAGTACAGCTGCTCTTTACTTACAGCTGCTGTAGCAATCCTGGAATCCAGGGCAGGGGAGAAGCTTGATGCCCAAATGCAATGTGGGCATCATAGGAATGTGTTGCTGTTGCTTCTGCGCATGTGTGTGTCCCTGAAAACCATCTCTCTTCCTTGCCCTTCCCTTGTGTGTTTCCTTTTCTCAGTCCCAAGATCTTCCAGAAGACCAAGTGCAGCATTTGCACCAGTGCCTTGGAGCTGCCCTCAGTTCACTTTCTGTGTGGCCACTCCTTCCACCAGCACTGCTTTGAGAGCTACTCGGAGAGTGGGTCGGAGTGTCCCACCTGCTTGCCAGAGAACCGCAAAGTCATGGACATGATCCGCGCTCAAGAGCAGAAGCGGGACTTGCACGACCAGTTCCAGCACCAGGTGGGTCTCCCTGGCTGCCTAGCTAGATTTCCAGTCTAGTTTATTATGACACTTTATATCCAACTGGTGGGGAGTGCCCGGCCCTGCCTGGGATTTTTTTTTTTGGGGGGGGGGGAGGAAATACTGTGTTTTAAATGCGTAGTGTAATTTGTGTTTGAACCCATAACTCTGGATGTTGGGTGAAGACATGCCAAAGTCATGTTTCGGTCCACCATCTTGGTTCAAAATGGCGTCTGTGCCCAAACAGCAACGAAGTCTATTGCCCCACCACTGGAACCATCGTGCTGAGTTTGACAGTGATATCTCAAGAGGTGGCCGAACATATAGAGGCAAACCATTTTCCAAAATGTATAGTAAATGATAGAATCTCCCACCCTAACTGCCCCCGAAAGTGAAGCTTTTATTTGTTCCATCTTACAGATGAAATGCTCCAATGACAGCTTTTCTGTGGTTGCGGATTATTTTGGCCGAGGCGTTTTCAACAAGCTCACCCTCATCACAGACCTTCCTCCAGGCAAATCTGCTGCAGTACTCGATGCGGGCCTGCAGCGTGAGCTGCTGATACACACAAAACGGAGCACTTAGATGGCAGTGGGTGGGTGTCCTTCAGTCCCCTGACCTTGGGTCTCCAAATGAGTGATGCAATCAGCCTCTCTTTCTAGTGCACTGTGACCCAAAAGAGGCTAGTATTTGACTGAAGACCAGGAGGGCTGTGTAGCTGGCTTAGAAAACAGAGAGAGACCAAGGGAACTCTGGCTTGTTTATTATTGTTATTATTTTGCCTGACTAAAGCCAGGCCTGCTTCTCCAAGTCTTACAGCCTGCTGGTTAAAGTCTCCTGGTAAAAAGTCTGGTGCTTCAGCATTAGCAGTGGTCTCCTGTAAGACTGTGTGGTGAAAATGAGCTCTCCGCTCCAACTTTCTCCTGGTGCCTCTTGTGTTCCAAGCTCTGTATGAGGAGGATCTCTAGTAAGCCTGTGTTGCCCTCATCAAAGATATACAGCGTGGAACTAAACTGACTGGATTCTGGAACTGGAACAGTTATTTTCCTGGGGAGGTGGATTGAAGATGTAAATAATGTTCAGCACTAACATCTCTGTAACCCTTCACTTAATAGCGGTTTACTTGCTTGAGCTATAAAGTGTGTGAATGTGGGTGAAGAGAACTATGGGTCTTGCTGTATATGTATGTATACTCTTGCTTCCTTTCTGAACAACTGCCTCTCTCTCCCTCCCGCCTTCCCAATTCTTTGGTATTTCTTTGAGAGCCAAGAGGAGCTGCCTCATAGAAAAGGCCCAGTTCTGTGGCTAATCTTGCTCAGGATTAGAATTCTGGTATAGTTGTGGGTGGTAGTAGAAGCTGGGCCTGCAGGCAGATGGCTGTTATCTGAGCTGGTTCCTCCCATCTCCTCTGCTGCAATTAGCTTCCTACCACCCCGTCACTTCACCTCCTTGGTTCTTGACTTTGCAAGAGCAATTATGCATTGGAACTGTGCTGCAAGCCACAGGGAGCTTGCTTCCTGCTCCTTCATCTTTCTTGGGGCACCTTCTTCTACCACAGAGGGAGGAATAATCTTTGAGGCTAGATGCAGGCTTGAGCTTCCTCCCACAGCTGCCTGCTCTTTTCTCTCTGGAGATAATGAGGAAAATGTAGTTCACCCTAAACTATGAATTGATGTATGTTGGGACAAAATACCTTAATTTTACATATACCTCGTGGTCTGTGAATCTGATGGTGAGTTGCCAGGAATGAGACCTTCAGGGTGGCAGTGGATAGCTCAATGAAGTTGTTGACATAGCATGTGGTAGCTGTGAAAAAGGACAACTTCCATGCTAGGGATCATTGGGAAAGAAACTGAAAAGAAAACTGTTGATATCATAATGCTGCAACACCAATCTATGGAAAAAATATTACATTGTTAGAAAAGGGTACCCAAAATGATGGATGGAATGACTGATTTAGAGAAAAGTTTAGTAAATGGAGTGAAGGAGTTGGTTGCTCTCACTTGGTTGGGCTGTTACTGGCATACAGGACTAGGTGGTGTGTGGGCTACAGCAGCAGAGCTGCTCTTACACTATTTATAGTTATGCTCTTTGGGAGCTGGGGTTCCTAATACGCATCGTTAAACCTCTTCACTTCCATCAGTCGGTCCAATCCCCTTTTAATAAAACACATGCCAATTTCCTTGCTGGATCCGATCAAGCACCACACTCGTCTACTATCCTGCCAGCTGCACTTGCTAATTAGACCACCTCCAATAAACTCATTTGCAGCACCATCAGGGATGAACACCAGTCAGTGGGTCCCATTTTCAGTATGCAGTGATATACTTCTTATGCACCTGGGGTCTCCATATTACAGGATGAGAAGCCTGAGAGACCTCTCCGTTCAAGGTAGTGTTCGTTGTCAGCTCATCTTGTAGCAGAGAGTTACACAGGAAGCAGCTATACACAAACCAGACCATTGGCCCTTCTGCCTCATTGGCTGGCTGGCTGGCAGCGGCTCTCCCAGGCCTTTCAAGCAGCGTTTCCTCAATTTTAGAATAAATCTCGTGACACTTTTGAAGGCAATTTGCAGGTAGTTTGCATAATACTATCTAGGCCAGCCCCTTTCAAAGCCTAACTGGCGTACTCGGGCAGGAGACGCTCCGCTGCCCGTAAAATATACGGCCGGAGCCACGTGCAGCGCCTCACTGCAAGGACCGGAGCGCGAAGCGACACAGCGGCGCCCCCGGCTTCACGTTTCCGAAAAGGGCGTGCGCCGCGTCGACGGCAATTACGGTATAAAGGGGCATCGTGAGCCACCTCCCATTCATGGAAAGCCGCCTGTGGGAGGAACAGGAAGCCGGAAGTGACGTCCGGGACGGGGAGGCGCATGCGTGGCTCCGCGGAGTGGCGATGGAACCGGCAGCGCCTAGTTGACCCAGAGCGGGACCCCCTCCAGCCCTCGCCCCGCCTGCCTGCCGGCCCCCTTCGCTGCTCGGCGCCACCAGCGGCATGACCAGCTCGCCGCCCGCCTCGGTGAGCCTCTCCGCCGCTGCCTTGACCGGCGCTTCGCTCGCTTTGGGGAGGGGGAGGGAGAGAGGGGGCGAATGGGCGGGGCTTCCAGGGGCTCAGCCAATGGCGGAGGACGTCGCGAGGTGACCTCTGTGCATGGTGGTGACCTCACGCGCGTCGCGGGGGTCTTTAATGAGATGCAAATGAGTTCAGCCCCCGTGGGTGGGCCTGGGGACGGGGGTTGTCTCCGACCATGGCTGCCTATCTGCTACTCTTCCCCACCCCCGACTCTCTCTTTTCCTACACTTGTGTGTCCTCCAGTGCTGCTTTTCTTAGGAAGGGGGAATATAGTTGTTAAATGGTAGTGCTAGTTTGATTTTTATGAAACTTGATTTATATACACGCACACACAATTTTGTTTATGATAGCAGCAGTAGCAAGAACAACAACAACAACAGGGCACTGGCCTCGTTCAAGTGCTCAAAGTGTTTCATGTTAGTATCCCTGTAATCCGCTTTATATCTGCAGAGAAACATTGGGAGAGGCTGGTGTTTCTGCCAGGGCTATTTTGCCCTTTGCCGGTCAAGGGAGGCAGGTTGCATTTCTAGAATGTGCTCCTGCCAAAATCAGATGCCTCTTGTTTCTTGCACAACCTTGTGCAACTTGAGCTCTGCCTCTGTGTGGCAAGGCACTCTTGCCTAATCCGAAGGGTGGCTTGGTAGGACACACCTTTGCCCTGTTAGGTAGTACACTGTACAGATACCTCCAGGCAGTTTCTACTAGCAGCCAAGGTGAGCCAGAGTGCGGTGGCGGCGAAGAGAAGTGTGGGTTTGCTGCTTTCAGGTGCCCTCTTGCATTCCCCTCTGCTATAGGGTGCTTCATCAAGCTGTTTTTCTAGTTTCTGCATGCACACTCACACTTTCACTTACCCTTTCAAAGTTCCGCTGGGAATACATCCCATAGCCTTCCCATGGCGAGACTGTTATATTAGCTTCCAAACCTGAGACTTTGCCTGGATTTGGGGCTGTTGGGCCTGAGCCTTTTGGGTGATACTGTATGGTGGACACCTACACAGCTTGCCTGTTTCTGTGTTTTCAGTCCCAGATTCAAACAAATTCTCTTCTCTCTTCACACTAAGCACCTCTTTCTGTCCCCCTTGGCTGCATAATTGCCCTACAAACACAGAAACTGCTGCTTTCAGCACCCTGATGGTATCTCTCTTTTTCTTCCCTAAAGCTAAGCAGCTAGTGCTCATGGCTATGTTTGATGAAGACTGAAGGGAACTGATGATTTGGGGTTGACTTCCAGAAGTCACACATGGGGCTTCTGTACCTTGTGACTACCAATCTCTCCTATGAACTATTGATATCTACTGCCCATTTTCAGCTCTACTGCCCACCTGTGCCCCATTCCTGTGTTTTGCCCTATCTCCCTGCATCCCATTTCTTGTCTATGTACTCCTTTCCATGGCCACTATCCTAAGAGGAGCCACATTCTCTTGGGAGATGTCCTAGAAAGTAAATACCAGCCCAGCTTGTGCACTTCCTTGCTGCAGAACTATGTGGATGGCACAGATAGCACTGGCCACCATGGGTGGAAGCAAGTTGGTTATCAGGATGATAGCTTCCTGCATTCTGATCCATTGAGATTATAGTTGTTTGCCATGCAGTTTGATTGTATCTCCCCTTCTGCGCCGCCACCCTCCCCCTGCTCTATATTGCAAATAAGTGGTTGAAATGTCCCTTGTTCACTTGTGCAAATGGCCCCTTTGTCAATTGCTTTGCTCTGGGAGATTGTCTTCTGCTGCCTGCCTTCCCCAGAACAATTTCTTTCTGTGCAAAACCTGGACAGTTCCTTGCAAGCAGCCCCTGCAGCTGCAGTTCCCTCCAGGCTCAGTTCCTTCCTTCTCCCCACCCCCCTTGAACGCCCTTTCCCCTTCTCTGCCTTATCTCTGCTGCCAGGTTGGGGCTAGTTTGCAAAAAGAGACTCCCTTGATTAGACGCTGACAGAGCAAGGCAGCAGGTCTTCCTCTCCCCTCTAGCAAAGACATCTTTCTCCTCCTCCTCTTCACTGGGTCCTGGGTTGCAAACCTCATTGAGATGGCAAAGGTGGTGCTGCAGGACAGTCAGGTAAGAGGCGTATGTCTCTCCAGGCCTCTTTGCGGGTCTGCGGAAATATTTCCAAATCTTAACAGCCATTTTGACAGGTCTGAAGGTTTTCTGGCCTTGGGTTATTGTCCAGGACTTCATATTTCTCTCCCTGTCTCTCTTACCCACACACATGCATACACAATCTCTCTTTTCAGCTGTGTGTGTTATGGCATATTTAGGGATGAAACTTTACTGCAAGAGACAGACCCTACTGAGGAATACTTCTATCTGCAATTAGGACTCGATAGGCCCTTAACTGATAATGTTTGTCTTAGTGCTATCTTGTCCTATGCCCTGTATGGCTCTGCAGGCACCTTTTCCTACAGGGCCCTTGCTAGTTCCATGTGCTGCTTACCTGCGTTGCACGACCTGGTCTTTGGGGGACTCTTGGGAAGCAGATGACTCTGCCCCTTGGGGCCAGTTGTGCTACTGAATAATCTTTCTTTCAGGTCTTTGACACATGTGTTCTTTGCCCTGAAGCCTGTCAAGGGTTGCTGGGCTAGGGCTGGTCAGGTCAGGCAATAAAAATGACATTAGTAATAGTTGTTTGTGGTTGTGCCAACAATGTTATGGTGCTTTACAGCACAACAAAGGGAAAGGCGGGCCCCTGCCCAGAGAAGCGTAGAATTTTAGATCTGACACAAGGGATGCAGGAAAGAGGGATGGGTATCTAATTGCACATTGCTCAGCTATCCGTTAGGGCTGTTCCTTTTAATGCAGCGAACATTGCAGAAGGCGTCTGCCCAGGTAAGTTCCAGTGTGGGGCTTCCTGGGATGCCTTCTGTGTCCACTTCCATGGCTGGACTGTACCACCCTGCTTGGCAGCCCCTTTGTGAGGAAAGGCTTAGCTGGTGCAAGCTTTCTCTTAATGTAGGGTTTTGCGGGGAGATTGTGGAAATACCACCATAATAACCCTCCCTCTTTGGAGTAATTGGATACATTTCTTCACAGGAGAAGAATGGCTTGAAGAAAGAGACTATCCGCGTGGGAACAAGGAAAAGCCAGGTGAGGTTCTTGTCATTAGCGTTCTCTTGCCTGCCTGCTGCTTTTCTCTCTCTGCTTTTCCTGGGTCTGCTTCTTGCAAAGTGTTCGTACAAACAGGACTGTGCATTGACCGGTGAATGGATTTGCATTGGGACAACAGTGCATTTTCTGTTCCTTTTCTAGTAACCAGGTTGGAACAGAGGAAGGCAGGGAAAGACGGCTGGTGCTGAAGAGAGCAAGTCCTGGAACGAAGTGTATTCTTGAAGAACTGGGTTATAGGGGTGGATAATAGCAATATATAAAAATGCCTTATGAAAAGGACAAAGAACTATTCTGGCCTTATGTCCCAGGAGGGGAGAGCTCAGATGAGCATTTGGAGAGGCTTCTTAAAGGCAAGAGCAGTTCTAACACTGAAACCATGGTGGACTCTCCCTTGGGAAGGTACAGAGCTCAGTGGTGGAGCTCTTGTGGTTCAGTCCCAGGCATCTCCAGGTAGGGCTGTGAAAGAAGACTCCCCGCCTGAAACCCTGGAACAATGGCTGCTAGCCAGTGCTCACTGAACTGAGCTAGAGGGAGCAATGGTTTTTCTTGGGATAAGGCAGTTTCCTGTATTGCCTCTCTGGGGTCTTTAGGCAGAGGCTGGACAGTCCTTTCTTAGAGATGTTGCTGGGTTTTCTGTACCAAGCAGAGCTTAGACTTAGAGTCCCCCACTGCTGCCGCAGCTCTTAATGGCTGCTGTGCAGGAACTCACATATTCTGGGAACTATCCTTGCCCTCCCCTTCAGTAATAGCAAATTCCAAATTTATATTAGGCTAAGTATGACAGGAGCTGTGTTCCCAAATGTGCATCTTTCTGAATTATATTTCACTCAGTGCTGCTCCTCAAGGCTTTGTCCCTTTGCTACTATTGCTGTAATTTGCTAGCAGCCACAGGGTTTCGTTTGTCAGGCTGTTACTTAAGTGTTTGTCAGCTGTGCTACTTCCCTGCTGCTCATTGATCTTAACGATCTTAAAAGTTTTCATTCGTATCCACCTGGCAATTAATCCGTACTTCTCCAGCTGAATTGCTTTGGTGGTGTTGAGCAACCATCTGTTCCCCTGACCTTTCTTTTGCCAGGAGGATGCAAAGATTTCCCCATGGGCCACCCTAGCAGGAGCAAAGAAGTACGCCCAAGAGCCAAGGCTGGGAGGGGCAGACTTGTAAAGAAAGATAATGCTCCACCCTTGTGGTGGAGAGCTAATCTCCCATCTGCCTCCTGTTGTTGAGGCTGGTGGCAGTTCAGGAATAAACCCAGAAAGCCTGTTTGTAACAGGGGCCTAGGATGGGGCGGCACCTCAGGGTGTGAAAGATCTCCTTTTCCCTAGAAACCCTGTCCTGGGGGCCAGAAGTGGGTCTCCACTCCTTCTCTCAGAACATAAGAATTGCCCTGCAGCCGGGTCACGTCCAAGACCCGTCTAGTCCAGCATCTGGTTCTCACAGTGGCCAGCCACATAATAATAATAATAATAATAATAATAATAATAACCATTCCTTCCTTCATTCCTTCCCTGCCCATCTGGCTGAGTTTCCCCAGCCACTCTTGGAGCCCACGAGAAGGACCTGAGTCCAGCAGCAATATTTTCACTATTGCAATTCTCAGCAACTGATATTCAAAGGCACACAGCCTCCAACGCTGGATGCAGAACGCAGCCATTGTAGCTAATATTCCATTGATAGCCTTTCATCCCTTTTTATAGCCCCTGAAATTGATGACCATCTCTATGTCTTGTGGGAGCAAACCCTGCAATTTAATTACGCTCTGTGTGAAGAAGTCCTTCCCTTTGCCTGTCTGGAATCCTGCAACACTTGGCTTCAGTGAATGGTATTTCTGCAGAGCTTCATTCTGGGATGTTTGCTGAGCACACATCAGCTGCGCTGCTGCCTCTGCTTCCTTTGTGGGCTCTGAGGTGCCTTTTCATTCTCTGACTGGCTCAAGCCAAGTTTGCTCTCTTCATGCCCGGCTTTTTTTCTGTGGCTCCCGAAGCTGGGGGGGGGGGGGGAGAGCAGATCACAGACATGAACCGGACCCAAAACCGATGAGCATGACGTGCATAGGAAGTGGGACTGGAAGTCTCATGTCTTTTGAGCTCTTGTGGGAGCAGCATACCGGAGCAAGAATCTGCGCACAAGTCTTCCTCTGACAGCAGGTGCATTGGGCACACTTGCCGTCTGCGCCTTTTGGGTCATAGGTAGGGCACACTGATTGACTTTGCCTTCCTTCTCTCTGAAATTGCAGCTCGCCCGGATCCAGACGGACAGTGTGGTTCAGATGCTGCAGGAGCGCCACCCTCACCTCTGCTTTGAGATTGGTGAGTGCGTGAGGCAGGAAGCCTGGGAATTAGGTATTGACCAGGTGCTGGGGGAGAGCAGCCTTAGGTGCACAGACAGAGTGCTGCGCTCTTCTGACCTGGTGCATGGAGAGGATGGGCTTGTGTGGCACCTAGCTTTGTATTATTATTAATAATAATAATAATAATAATAATAATATGACCATTCCTTCAAGACTCACAGGGTGGCTTACCATGTAAACCCCAAAATACATAATATTTATTTATTTATTTATTTAATACATTTATATGCCTTTTTTACCTTTTTTACCTTCCAATGAGCTCAAGGCAGTGTACATACAGTATTTTTCGCTCTATAACACGCACCCGACCATAACACGCACGTAGTTTTTAGAGGAGAAAAATCCGTAGGCATGCCACCCGTAGGCATTCCCTCCATAACACGCACAGACATTTCCCCTTACTTTCTAGGAGGAAAAAAGTAAGTGTTATGGTGCAAAAAATACGGTAGTTCTCCTCCCCATTTCATCCTCTCAACAGCCCTGTGAGGTAGGTTAGACTAAGAGTTACCCAGTGAGCTTCATGGCTGAGTGGGAATTCGAACCCTGGTCTCCCAGGTCCTACTCCCAACCCATTATCAGTTATGCCACATGTTCAGTAGTAGCAAACATAAACAATATCCCCCACCCACACAGTTTAAAAGACCATAGATTATTTAAGTAGCCAAAGGTCTGGGATAAGAGAGATGTTTTTGCCTGGTGCCAGTTTGTGTCCTACCCTACTAAAGCAGTGAGCAGCTAGGAAGTCCACACATCGCTCACCCTTGTTGTGGCTCATGTCCTACTGGTGTTTGTCATCTTTCCTGATCTCCCCTCTTCCTTCTTTCCTTCCTCTCTCTCTGAATAGTTGCCATGTCAACCACAGGTGACAAGATCCTGGACACAGCTCTGTCCAAGGTAAGCAGCCGTATGCTCCCTGGGCTCATGACACAACCAGAAACGGATAGAAAAAGCAGCCCAGGTTGTAACATGCTCTTTTCCCATTTAGATTGGTGAGAAAAGCCTATTTACGAAGGAACTGGAAAATGCACTGGAAAGAAATGAGTAAGTTCTCTTTGGCTGGGAGGTGCGGGAGAAAGCTCTCCTTGGCAGGCAATGCCTGGTGGTGCCCTTGGCACTGGTGCTTTTGATCTGAGCAGGAGTCCACGTCCTGGTAGGCAATGGATTCTTCCAGAGCCAGGAAGTCTTCTCTTGAGCGAAAGCGTTTCCTCTAACCCAGCGTTGCAGCTTGGGAGTCCAGCAACTGTGGGGAGGGGGAGCCCAGTCCTGGCGCATAACTGGGGAGAGAGAGCTCTGATGCTTCCTGTAAAAAAATGGGTGTTTTTCCTGCTCTTTCCTGAAACATAAGGGCCTGATGTTTAAAACTGTGTCAGCAATCCTGAGCAGTAGGCCACATTGAGACTGACATTCCCAGGCCCACCCAGCAAAGCTTCATAGCCAAGCAGGGATCTGCGCTGCGGTCTTACGCTTCATAATTGCTCTCTCTCTGCCCATCCTGGGCCCGTAAGGTTGGCACACCCTTGACCAGCTCATTTCTTCCCTTCCAGGGTTGACTTGGTGGTTCACTCCCTGAAGGACCTGCCCACATCCCTCCCACCTGGCTTCACCATCGGTGCAGTTTGCAAGTGAGTTTGGGCTCCTCTGCTTCCTTCTGCCTGACTGGTGCTCAGCGCACTGGCTCTTGGTCCATCAAAGTTTGCCCTGGCCAGGCATCCACCTTCCCTTTTCCATGTGTTGCAGGAATTTATGTATAGGTTGGGGCGGGGTGCCCCTCCAGCAGATATCATGCACATGCAGCCCACTACCAAAATCAGCACAATCACTTTTGTGACTTTTGTGATTTGTCCCCACAAAACACTTCATCACAGTTTCTTCCTATCTATTCAAAGGGCCTTTGCTGCACGATACCAAATGTAACAATTCACTGATAAATGTATCTATGTACTGGCTCACTGGGAAAACTTCAGAAATGCATATAGACATGTGAGCTCAGCTACTCACCAGCCCCTCTGCCTGAGTGATAATTCCTGGCATCCTGATCCCTGAGTGCCAGACAGGTAGCCATTCCAGAAATAACAAACCCAGATGAAGACAAACTGGTGTGATTAACTTGGCTGGGAAACAGGGAAATGTAAATATATCTTTTGTTACACTTGATGGGTGTTTGGTGGAGGGCAAGGAAAACCATGGGGCAGGGTCCAGGATGCTCAGATTACTGCCACCAGACCTCCCCTTTCATGATGTAACCATGATGTATTAGTGATGTAGTTTGGGTGGGTGTAACATGGGAATTAGCAGCTAATAAAAGTTGGGGGGCTCTTTTGTTCGGGGCTTCCATCTTGTTCCGCCTTGTGGCAGGTGGGAGTCCTGTCGCAACAGCCTTCAATAAAGACCAAGCCTACTGGCTGCTGTTTTGCTCTGGTATTCCTGGCTGGTGTCCTTGTTTTTTGTCCAAGGGAGCCCTGAGATTTCTCCGTTAACACATGTCAGCTGTTGGTCCCTGTGGAAGTGGGTATGCCCACCAAGCCACCTAACTTCCAGAGCATCAGATGGGTAACGCCTTCTTTAACCCATCTCAACTGGCCACTGCCTTAGGCCAAGTGGTGGCCTTTGCTGTGAACAGACAAAAGTCCGGGTCATGGAGCCTCCAGCTGTCTCTTTGCAAGAAACTTGGAGGCAGCTGCTGCTGCAGCCCAGCTGACCTGCTCCCTAAAAGGCAACTCCATCTGTCCCTTGCAGGAGAGAGAGTCCGTATGATGCGGTCGTCTTCCACCCTAAGCATGCAGGCAAGAGCCTCCACAGCCTCCCTGAGAAGAGGTGAGTTTCACTTGTTCCTTCCTTGGGTTCCATCTGGTGTGCAGGGAGGGCTGAAATTAGCATTTTGCCCCAGCTTCAACCCCTCTTGGGTAGCAGTGCTGAGAGGCGTCCCTGCCTGCCTGAGGTCTTGGCCAGAGTTGACACTTTGCTGCCAGGAAATAACAGCACATGGTCCCGTGTAGACAATGTTTGTGCAGAGGTGTCCGGGGGGACTGTTCCTAACTCTGCTCAGACGGGTGAGGCTGACCAGTCCAGACACTTCTTTGACGCCGTTTTCCTTTTGGCTCTCTGGCAGCGTGATCGGGACCAGCTCACTTCGCCGGGCAGCTCAGCTGAAGAGAAAGTTCCCTCACCTGAAATTCAGGGATATTGTATCCTTTGAAAATGACCCCTTGGCTTAGACTGGCCGTTGAAAAGCCTCTGCACTCAAATCAGCTTCTCTTGCCACCACGTTTGAAAAGGACACCTTGTGAGGGGTGAATTTCCTAGTGGGGAATGTGGCCCTTCCTTTGAATACGCAGCTTCTGTTATATCGAAGCAGGTCTCAATCGTTTGTTGGCCAGGTGGGAAAAACTGGCCTGCAATATGATAACTTTTTCAAGGCCACGCATCCCTGGCTTGGCTTTGAATCCAGGGCCCAGCAGCCACTGCTGAGATGAAGCCTGGAGGCCTGGCAGAGGAGCTAAGGTCTTGAGCCGCCTTCTCCCCTGCAGAGAGGGACTGTGGTGTTAGAACACCCTCCCTGGTGGCCAGCTCTGGAAGTGCAGGCCATGGGCCACCCAACCAGGGATCTCTGTGGTTTTCCCTTAATCCTTCTTGTAGAGGGGAAATTTGAACACTCGCTTGAAGAAGCTGGATGAGAAGGAGGATTTCAGCGCCATCGTCCTGGCAGCGGCTGGCCTCAGGCGGATGGGCTGGGACAGCCGCATTGGTCAAGTAAGTGGGGCAGAAGAGATTGGGATGAAGGTTGTTCCCCGCCCCTGCCCCTCCATCGTGCCCAGGGAGCTTCTCCTCCTTGTATCCTCAGTTTTTGAGATGCTCACTGATGTCTGCATTCCTTCGGGATATATAAACTGAATGAATTTGTGAAACGCCCTGAGATGTATAGGGCTGTATACAAATTTAAAATAAATAAAATATTTTGCTCCTCCTTTGTTCTGAGCATCACCAACCCTCATTCTGCTTTCCTCCAGGTCCTGAGCCCCGCAGACTGCTTGTACGCAGTTGGGCAGGTATGTGATGTGCTCTCCGTTCCGGCCCTGCTGTGTGCGCGAACAGCTGAGCCTCCCCAACACACCCCTGCTTCTTGAGGGTGCCTTTCGCTCTTTCTCCAACTGCTCCTCGCCCTCAAATGAGCATCCCAAAGTCAGGCTATGCGCACCTTCCAACGGATTCTCTCCAGAGAGCAAACTCTCATCTGGTGTGAATCCCAAAGCTGGAAGGTTAAATGGCCTTGGTGCTCCGAGGCTGCGCCCCTTGCCCTGGTGGGTACCAGCTTCTGCATCCTCCCATTTGTGCAGGGATGGCTAACCTGTAGCCCTCTAGAATTTGTTGGCCTACATCCCCCATCAATCCTGGCCCATGTACTGTAAACTGTAAAAGTGGGTTTCCCCAAATTTAAAAATCACTCAAAATGTTGCTAAGCTCTTTCACTGCATGCCTTGCTTGCCCCTTGTCCAAAAGTAGGTGAAATGTATGCATCGTGGGAATCCTTGAAGACATGTTATTTTGTCTCTTGGAAATCCCAGCAACAAAAATACCAAAATCCATCACAGGGCAATTCCTTTCTAAAGCCAACCAGAATGTCACAAAATATTGTGCCAGCTTTTGAGTCCCCCAGAACTTTTCATTGGGCTGGATCAGAGGTTTTCAACCTTTTTGAGTCCATGGCTGTTTTCTCCAAATACATTCTTTTTGCAGCACTCCTGTGGGGCTCAGGAGCCCATTTATGTCACCCCTTGCTAGCAGAGCTGATAGCCTCTCAACTTTATTCAAACACCCTCCTTTGTGGAGTGTTCCCTCAGCCTCCTCTCCTCTCCCCTCTCCTTGGGAGTCCTCCAGGCAGCTATTGCTGCTGCCCGTGGTTTCTGAGCTGCCCCCCCCCCGAGAGGTGCCCCCCAGAGGCACCATTCACCGCAGAGCTTATAGCCAGGGCTGCTGCAATAAGCAGTTGTGCAAACCTTTGGGAGGCAGAGCCACAAGAGGGCATCAGAGGAGGAAGGGAAAGAAAGAAAGAAAGGAGGCCAGAGGCCAGTGTTTCTTGCGGCACCCCTGACCATCATTCAAGGCACCCCAGGGTGCCACGGCACACTGGTTCAAAACCACTGGGCTAAATAGTAAAGAAAACACAGAAACTTAAAAGCTTGCACTATATTGTGACATTTTGGTTGACCTAATAAAGGCATTGGCATAATATGGATTTAGTAATTTTTCTTATGGGTCGGTATGGCTGGCTTCCCCTAAGCAGTTTTTAGCAGGGGCTTGTGGGAGAGGGGTATTGGATGCTTTGGTGGTCGTATGTCTCCATCTCAAGCTCATGCCTGCTTTACAGAGTAGAGACCCTGCTCCTGTTGTTCTCTGGCTGCTGACCCTGGTCATTGCAGAGCAGAGGCTTTGAACGCTGTGGGGGGTGCGTAGCCACTAGGCTGTTCTAGAAGCTGAGAAGGGCCTCTTTCCCTGCTCCTCTTCCTTTCTCCAGGGAGCCTTAGCAGTGGAGGTGAGAGCCAGGGACCAGGAGATTCTCGATATGGTGTCTGTCCTGCACGACGGTGAGACGGTGCTGCGCTGTATTGCAGAGAGGGCCTTCATGAAGCACTTGGTAGGTTTCAGGAAGTGCTTGATCGGAGGCCACAGCAGCCACCTGCTTATGTGGGGTGCTTCCTTCCCAGGGAGGAGTTCAGGGATTTAAAAAAAAAAATAGTTCTGAGTTGCATTTGTTTCTCAGTTTGATCCTTTCCCAGGGTATGCATTGTGACTCGCAGTTATTATTGATAGTTTATTGCAATTGTTAAGAGTGAATTTGTTTAGTCATTATTTGTTGATGTTTTGAGTTATTTTATTGTGTCCCATTACAGTCAAACAGATCATTGAATATTACTTTATTTGATATGTCATTCATTAAAGTTATGCCATGTTATGGCTTTTTTAATTGGATCAGGTTATTACAAGAGGTATGTTCTTTGTTGTATATTTTGTTGCTGTGAACCACCTTGTTTAGTAATATAGAAAAGCGGTATGCAAATTAAAAGTGAAATGAAGAGGGAGGCTTGGCAGTAGCAGCCGTGTCATTCACCTCCCCAACATTTTCCATTCCAGGAAGGCGGCTGCAGTGTCCCTGTGGCAGTGAACACTGTGCTGAAGGACTTCCAGGTAATGACAATTCAGAATACCATAGGCCTTGTTTTTTCCAGCCAGCAGCCAGGCTGGGTCTCTCTTAGCAATGGTTTGTGAGCCTCTCCCAGCATTGAAAGCAGTTGGTGGAGGGAGAAACCTGTGCTGAATGCAATAGCCCTGCTTGGTATGAAGGGAAGTGTTCCCTGGCTGAGATGGAGCAAAGAACCCTCGAAGCAGCAAGCTCACATTCATGACATGTGACCCACCTTCTTGGCCTTCCACCTGCAATACAAGGATAACAACACTGGCCTACTCTGTAGGGTCGTTGTAAGGACCACCAGAAGATAATGCATGTAAATTACTTGGAACATTGGGTCCAAATGCTTAATATCAACAGACTAGGTGTTTGCTGACCAGGGATGGAGAATCTGTGGTTCTCCAGATGTTTGATTCCAGTCCCCATCATCCTATTGGCTGTGGCTGATAGTAGTTATTAAAAAAAATAAATTATAAACCACTTTAAAAATGCTGAGTTGGCAGTCCCACCACTTCAGACATTCATTTCCCTCTTGACTGGATCAGTCTGAGCACTCATCCTGGAAGATTTGGTAGTTCACATAAAAGTTTTAAGTTGCTGCTTCCAGCCTGATAATTCCCTCCTGTCCTTCTAGGACCCTTCCTTTTTAAAAAGGTGACTTAATGCTGAATCCCGGACTCATGTAGAAGACGTCACACACTGCCTATGGCATCCCTTGGTTTTCCTGCACCTTCTCCAAAGGGAGAGCTGTGTGTGGTGGCTGTTGACATTTTCTCTTTTATTTTCCCTAGTTATATTTGACTGGAGCAGTCTACAGCCTTGATGGATCAGAGAGCCTACGTGAGACCATGCAAGCAAGCATGAATTATTTTCCACATGAGGTACCTGCTACTGTATTGCAAACAGCACATTTTCTAGGCTTCCACATAGGGGAAAACCAGGCCCTTGTTATTCTTTCTGCTTGGCTCCTCCCATGACATAAGAGAGAGAAAAAACCCAATAAAACTACATCTAAGCAAAGTGTGGGGAGCTTTTGGCTGTTTCTGAACTACAGTTCCCATCATTCCTGGCAATGGGTCCTGCTTGTTCAGACTGATGGAAATTGTAGTTCAGTAATATCTGGAGGGACAAAGCTTCCCCACGCCTGATTTAAGCTTTGTTTCATATTATATCCAAAGCAGAGACTGTGGCCTGTTGCTCCCAAACAAGCCACTGTATGTAAGGCAGCAACAGACCCTAATCCTGGATTTCAATGTTAACAGGAAGCAAAGCCTAAGTGCAACTTCCTGGTTTGCTTCACAGGAGTGAAGCAGGAACTATTGCAAAGTATGCAGTAGCATGCTGCTCATTCACACTAAACTATGGCTTATTGTAATGTGCTAACAAGCTCATAGATGTTTTGGCCAATAGTGACAGTCACACTTGTTCAGCCTCCTCCATTAAAAGACCAGCTGTACAATCCTAGCATCTTGTTTATATGGGTTGTTGTCCCCCCCCCCCCCAATCTTACTGCAGGATACAAAACCAATGTTAAATTTGAGGAGGCTCACTAAAAGGACCCCTGACAGTAAAGTCCAGTCGTGAATAACTGTGGGGTTGTGGCACTCATCTCGCTTTACTGGCTGAGAGAGCCAACGTTTGTCCACAGAGTTTTTCCTGGTCATGTGGCCAGCATGACTAAGCCGCTTCTGGCGAAACCAGAGCAGCGCACGAAAACTCTGTTTACCTTCCCGCTAGAGCGGTACCTATTTATCTCCTTGCACTTTGACATGCTTTTGAACTGCTAGGTTGGCAGGCGCAGGGACTGAGCGCAGGGAGCTCACCCCATCGCGGGGATTTGAACCACCGACCTTCCGATCAGCAAGGCCTAGGCTCAGTGGTTTAGACCACAGCGCCACCCGTGTCCCCCACTATCCTTCAAATAAATGTGAATCTTGAATCGCTGCCTCTAACCCTAAAATGGCCTATTGCTAGCTAAGGGATTTTGCATCTTACTTTTCAGAACGAAGATGGCCCCAACGATGACATCCAACATGTTGGCATCACTGCAAAAAATTTCTCTCAGTCTGCTCAAGTGGCTGCAGAGAAGTTAGGCATTCAGGTGGCTGAGCTCCTCCTGAGCAGAGGGGCAAAGCACATCCTCAACGTGGCCCGACAGCTCAACGATGCCTGATGGGGGCCTGCCTTGGATGTCAAGCTCCTCTAGCCGTTGTCCTTCATGGAAGCAATGAAGTCTGTCGCAAATCAACCACTGCCCTCTCGGTGAAGGGAATCTTAATTTATTATGGTAGCTACGCCACAGTTCACCTGTGCTGCTAAGGACTGGCTCATGCTGTAGCCTCCAATGGAAGATTCATGCTGGCGGGGATCACTCCCTTTAACACACAGCCTGAATTTTGAGAAAGAGAACCATTTAAAAGAAGTTGGTGCCTTCATTGATTGCTGTAAGGAATAATGTAACCTGGTACAGTTGCATAGAATGAAGTGTATATTTTTTTTAATTATTGCCAAATGGATTAAAGAGATTTAAACTGAAAGTAGTAGAATTCTTATTTGTTTAGCTATAGCTGAATCTACTGCAGCTTACTTGTGTATGCATACCAGCTCCTTTAAAGCACATGGCTTTCCCTCAAAGAACCCTGGGAACCACAGTTTGCCCCTGGGAGCTGCAATACCAGCACTCTTAATCAACCACAATTTCCAGAATTCTTTGAGTTTGTAAACAGACCTGTTTTCACCTGAGTATTGCAAAACAATCACCAAAGGGCTTTAGCAGGAAGGAGCAAACCTGCCTGGTCATAATAGAACCATCATGAAGTAAGGGTGGGTAAAAAGAAAACTTTGTAAATCTCAGATCTTCAGAACTCCATCCTCTTTCCAACAGTGGCTAACTAGCTGCTTCCAGGCACCCATACAATAAGCAGGACATGAAAGCAAGATGCAGGAAGCTCTAAGCTCCATAGAGCCACCAGTCACCTCCATTAATTTAATACCCTTTTGCCTAATGGCAGGAAAGTACATTAAGTTAGGAAAAATAGTCCCCTTTGGCTGTCTTCACCAAACAAATGTCAGCCCCAGTCAGCGTGGTCTAATTGGTGGGTGGGGGCAGGAGAGGGAAAGCCCACCTGTTTTCTATGCCAAGCCAACAATGACCTTTCTCCTGCCTGTTAGCCATTCTGCTTTGGGCTGCCATGAATCTTAATCCACACTAGTGGATACTCCTCTCTATGCTTTTCTATGAACTACCACAACTCTGCCACACCCTCAGCTTTTTATGGCAACAACCAAGAGGACACAGGAAGCCAGGCCTCTGGTTCATGCAGTTCAGTACAGTACTGTTTACAGTGACGGGCAAAGGCCCTGCAGATGCCTTCAGGCAAGGGGCAATCCCAGCCTTCCCCCGAATTTGAACCTGGCAAAGTGCAAGAACGTAATAACTTCATGATAAAGAGTTATCATACTTCCTACTGAGAGTGGTGCACTGAACGTAGCTCTTGGTCGCATTTCCAGTGCAAGTGCGAAACCTTGCAGCGCTCACCTGCCGCTTATTTTCTAACCGGCTTGCCCCGACCAATATAAACTTAAGAAAGCCCAGTTTAAACAGCGCAAATTTGTTTAATAAAACAAAAGCCAACACCGCGATCCCTGCAACGTAATTTCAACGGGATCCCCACCCAGTTCAGCAATCCGTTTGTGGGCCAGGCAACCAATGCGCTCAGTCCCGGCGCCTGACCCTCGTCCCAAACCAAACCCCAAAGAAAACGGGGCGGTTGCGTGACCCGTTCTCGTGTCCATCCTTCGCCGGCTGCTACCGGAGTCCCGTCCAGAGGCTGCTGCTCGCCCGCCAGCCTAGTATTCCTGGGAGGCCTGGGTTGATTTCTTCCTCGGCGCCGCGCCGCTCGCCGCTCCTCCTCCTCCAGCGCCGGCCTTGCGGGGCAGAAGGGCGGCGGGGATGTTGGGCAGGACGCCGCCCTGCGCGATGGTGACGCGGCCCAGGAGGCGGCTGAGCTCCTCGTCGTTGCGCACGGCCAGCTGCACGTGGCGAGGCACGATGCGCGTCTTGCGGTTGTCCCGCGCCGCGTTGCCCGCCAGCTCCAGGATCTCGGCAGTCAGGTACTCCAGCACCGCGGCGAGGTAGACGGGCGCCCCGGCCCCGACCCGCTCCGCGTAGTGGCCGCGCCGCAGCAGCCGGTGCACGCGCCCCACCGGGAACTGCAGCCCGGCCCGCGACGAGCGCGACTTCGCCTTGGCCCGAGCCTTGCCGCCCCCGGTTTTCCCGCGGCCCGACATGCTTCTCCGCTGGAAGATCTGGCGACAAAAGTGAACGAGCCACCGAAGAATGAATGGGGAAAGAAAGCCCGCGCTTTCCTACCCATTTATAGCCGCCGCTCTTTCTTCTCATTGGGCGCAGCCTTTTAGCATTCCCATTGGCCTTCGGCTGCGTCAGACGAACGCACGGATTGGCCGCATGGATCGCTATCTGCTCGCCCATTGGTTGGTTTGCGGAGCCAGTAGGAAAGAGGCGCGCCAAATTTAAATGTGGAGGAGGTATTCGGCACTCGATTTTAGCGCCACCTTAAACAGGAAAGGCAGCATGAGCAGAATCAGGATTTATTTTAAGGAGTGGCAGGCTTTATGTTGGGGGGGGGTGAGGGGAAGAACCAAATTATCTGGTCAGTTAGTTCACTATTTAGATTTATTTACTTGATTGGGGCGGGGGCAGCTGTCTCTGCACCTCCCTGGCTATGCTCATGGAAGGTAGCCAGCGGCTGCCACCCCTCCTTTACTGCTGCTTCGTATGTCTGCAGCAGGTAGAAAATCAGGGTCTGCCAAGACACACTCATCATGTACACATTAATGTGCACTTGTGTTATCTACCACTTTTCTAAACTGTTAACCCCTAAAGTACATGCTATTTTTAAAAGCCAGCACCCATAGTAGTAGAAAGAACAAGTAGATAATCAGCCCAGAACCTGGTAGAAAAAGTGCATCTTGTTCTCCATGTGAAGAGCTATCAGAGAAAGATGCAGCTCTCTAGCAAGATCCCACATTTGTGGGGCAATATAATCTAGTTTCCAACTTCATCGATCAAAGACAGTAGGAAGTATGGCAAGATGACTTACGATCCTCCCTCACCATTAGCCATGGGCGTAGCCAAGGGGGGACAGTTGCCCCCTCTAGATCAAGTAAATCAATAGAAATACTTAACTAAATGACCAATCACGTGGGTTCCCCCCCCAACAAAGCCCCACCCCCCAAAAAATCCTTGCTATGCCCATGCCATTGGCCCTGCTGCCGCAAATAGATGTTGGAGAATAGTGTGGATTAAGAGAAAGCAATGAAAGGGTAGGGGGAGTAACAGAGGGCCCAGCAGCTTGGGGAAGGGGGCTGCCCTGGCTCTGCTAGAAGGGGAAGTAGCCAGGGTGCACTTCATGGTAGATGTTTTAGAACAGGGATGTCTAACCGGTTGATCCCAGGATGATCCTGGTCGCTCGCAGGATCCGTTTTGATTGGCAGTAGTGATTAGCAATGGAGTGAAAGTCCCCGCCGCCGCTCTTTTCCTCCATTGTGTGAAATGGATATTTTGTCGACGAGTTAGAAAGCAAAAGTACTTGTCACAGCTGCATTGTTGTAGGTGAGCTATACATGCTTTGCTATTTCTCCCTTAAAAAAGCGGTATCTGAAGAAGTGTGCATGCACACAAAAGCTTATACCCAGAACATACTTAGTTGGTCTCTAAGGTGCTGCTGGATAATTTATTTATTTATTTCGACTGTGTCAGACCAACATGGCTACCTATCTGAAATTTAAAAAGTTTATCAACTTTAGCCCCCGCCCCTAGAAAAAGGTCATCAACTTTGACTTTGCCCCCCTAAAAAAAGGTCAAAAACCTTTGCTCTCCACCCCATGGGTAGATCACTTCCAGAATGTTTATACTGGGAGTAGATCACAGTCACTTGGGAGTTGGACATGCCTGTTCTAGAGGGATAGTTGGCTGAGAAAGCTTGAAAACTTTGTTGTGCACCTAAGATTGCTCAGATTGCTCTTCCTTCAGTCATTTGTCCTTCCCTCATGACTTAAAGCTAGGATGTCACCTGGGTGATGTATTATTTTCCATTCCCTCCTCCCTCTTTCCTCCATCCGCAAGATGTCACTTCCAGCTAATCCAAGCCTCCTCCTCCATTTCAACACTCAGGCCAGCTGCATTTAAGCAAAAGACAATGAAACCAAAAAGCACTGTACCAAATCATCTTCATTTGGGTTTGTGAGAGAGAGTTGGACAGTAGTATAGAAACGGTTTAGAAGAGCAGCCCTGAATAGACCGTCAACAGGATCTTAAGGAGGTTTGAATTGAAGTCAGTCCCACCAGGTTCAACTGGAATTCCTTCCCACTTTGATTGCGGGAGCTTCGGGGTCACTGTTTTGGCACTGCATTAGCCATGAGACCATAAAAATAAAGTCCTTCAGAACAAACACAGCACAAACAACTAGGAGGGAAACTGCATTTGCAAAGCCCACGCCCCCATCAGAGCTGTTTGGTGCTTTGATTCTATCAAGATTTTGACAGTGAAGCCTTGCTCAAGTAGTTACAGGTAGCCTGAAGGGGAAAGTTGCTTCCTTATGTTGTGGAGGGACACACACACTTACTCCTAGAGCATAAAGTAGCTCTCTCTCGCTCTCTCTCATAGCAGGAGACTTGAAGGACAAAAGATGCAGGGAAAATGGGGAGCATTGCAATAGGGAGAGCTGATTTCTGCTTACATGCATTTTTTTGCCTGTTTGCTTCTGTTTGTGTTTCAGGGTAGCAGCACAATGCTCCACTGCAGAAAGATATTCAAAAGCCAACCCTCTTGCCACCCCAAATTATGGCGTCTCCTCCCCTGTTAGTACACAGGAGAGAGGGAGAGAGTACTGACATACAAACAAAGTGCAGTTCCTATAATAGGAGTAGCAGCAGCAGCAGCAGCAGATGCTCTCCAAATGGATACAAAAGCCCACAAGACATCAGTGCATCCCCAAAGTCCCCCCAGAAGCCTTTCTCCCTCTTGAGAAGGAAGGCTGACTGCCCTGGGGCAAGTGCAGCTGTGGGCCATGTGGGAGGGAGCTGCGAGGCAGTCCACCAGCAAGCACCAACGGGGCAAGGGCAGCTCAGACGTCATAGAACAGCCGCACGAGCTGGTACCGGATAGAAAAGGCGATGATGCTCCCCACAACCTATAAAACAGAGGCAAAGGGCACTGTGAAATCCGAGAAGATGGGATATTACCCACATAGTTGTCAACACCATGAAATTGGATCTGGCAGATTAGAGGAAGGGCAAATCTCTCTTCTCTCTCTCCCCGCACCACCCCATCAATGTCTGATTAAAAATTATGTGGCAGTTGATATGGCTCAATGCCTACTGAATTTTAACTCGGAGAAGGGAGCTGGATTACCAACCCATCTGAGATACAGAGATACAGCATTATTCAAAACTGTTCACGCTGGCCTGCTCTTTCTCCCAGCGCCTCTTACCTGCATCAGCAACAGCAGAAGGGTCAGGGTTCGCTCAGGGGTTGGTCCTATAAGCTTTATCACAAAGTTAATGAGTGTCATGTTGTTGCATTCTGTGAATTCTCCATCTTTGTCCACTCCTTGATGCACATCCACTAGATTGAGTTTCTCAGATATCTGGGGAGAGAACCTTAGTTACTATTGCTGCTCTAGGATTAAGCTAGAGAAGCAGCAAGTGTTCCACCCAATCGTATTTCATTAACCCAAAGTAAACCTGGGTGCTCCCACCTCCGTTGCAACTTTTCTCTGTTACACAACCCCTCCCCATTATACTTTCCCCCTCTAACTGGTTCTCAAAGCCTTTTCTTTCCGCCAAGCTATCAAAGTGTATGGAAGGTGATATTATTCTGTCCTTACCTTGAGGATATTTGCTCCCAAGGGAGAGAGGTTCTTGGGCTTGAATCTGGAATAGCTCATCTCTAGATTTCCTGTGTCAGGATTGAATCTGCAGCGAGACAGGCTCCCGTCAGCAATGAAAAGGAACACAATGGGAGAAAAAATGCAGGATGAGGTTCTGCCAGGAATGGATGAAAGTACCCAATCTAGGAGACTCTCACCAATCCATTTCCTATGAAAACAGGCCGCTTTGAAGGGCATATTTACAATATCCAGGCCTCAGCAAAATATTATCGGAAACCGGCGTTTACAACTGCTTTCCAGCCTTTGATAGTGATTCCCTAACCCCTTGGGACGCGGGTAGCGCTGTGGGTTAAACCACGGAGCCTAGGACTTGCTGATCAGAAGGTAGGCGGTTCGAATCCCCACGACGGGGTGAGCTCCCATTGCTCGGTCCCTGCTCCTGCCAACCTAGCAGTTCGAAAGCACCTCAAAGTGCAAGTAGATAAATAGGTACCACTCCAGCGGGAAGGTAAACGGCGTTTCCGTGCACTGCTCTGGTTCACCAGAAGCGGCTTAGTCATGCTGGCCACATGACCTGGAAGCTGTACGCCGGCTCTCTCGGCCAATAAAGTGAGATGAGCGCCGCAACCCCAGAGTTGCCACGACTGGACCTAATGGTCAGGGGTCCCCTTACCCTTAACCCCTTTATCGAACTACAGTTCTCAACATCCCTTGGTTAGAAGCCAAGGACTACATTTGTGGTGCTCTGGTTGCACACAAAGCCCGGCAGCATCTAACAGGGAGCGGAGGGTTTCTGTCGTTGTTGTTACCTGGGCAGCCGATGGCGTGGGCAAGGAATGATGTGGAACAGCTGTGGCAATGAATAGAGGAAGTTGAGCACTTGTGGGATAAAGAAGAGCAGCATGGTTTTGCTGAAATGCCCAAGGATCCCCACCACAGCAAAGGTCATGCCGGCGAAGTAGCAGAAGGTGTCGCCCACAAACACACGGGACGGATACCTGCGCTCAGCCAGAGGAGAGACGGTCAGTCAGAACACAGGCAATGCATTGCAGAAGAAGACCCAGCAGGGGGTCACTCCTGGCACTCATTATGATGTCAAATGTAAATAACGTGTTTGTTTTTGTTGGCGGTGCATGAGGTTGGAGAGCCCAGAGCATGGTTGGTTGCATTCAGTTAACTGCAGTGAGTTTTGTTTGTGTGTGAGAGAGGGAAGAGCTTGCTGGGTTAAATTAGTTTCTCTCCCCCCACAACCTCACAATTCCTATGACAGCATCATCTCACACAGAATGTAATTGACCTGTAGAGGTCTTTATGGACTTTATGAATTGAAAACAATTCAAAAGCCTTGGTTGTTGAACGTAATCCATTCCAGAAGCCCATTTGGCTTCTGAAATGTTCGACAACTGAGACACGGCTTCCGATTGGCTGCAAGAGCTTCCTGCACTCAAACAGAAGTCGTGTTGGACGTTCGGCTTCTGAAAAACGTTCAAAAACTGGAGCATTTGCTTCCGGGTTTTCGGCATTTGGGAGCCAAGGTTTGACTGTGTGTGTGTTTGTGGTGTTGTTATTTTTGTTGTTAAATATGGAGCGGCGAAGGATGTAGGGAGAGGAAACAGCTTGTGGAACACTGGGCACAGCACGAGAGGAAAGAGTTATGTCCTGGAGTGCTTATTCCAGTTTCAGTGGTGTCAAAAAGCTGCACCTACAGTAGTGTTTGTTGGCATTTGGTAGGGTGGGGATCTTCCTCCTAGTTAGATTTCACATGTATGACCCACAAGCACATTTGTGTTTTTGTTTAAATATTCTAAATAGGAACATTTAATTTCATGGCACTTTGAAGCTCCTTCTAGAGAAGGCACTGCTCTGAAAATTTTATTTCTCATACTAGAAGTCCCAACAAGAACATTGACTGGAATTGTGCAACCCACGCAAACCCTCAAAATGGCAGCTGTATCAAGGCACCATAACCTGCCTTGCTATGAGTGAACTCAGAAGCCTGCAGCTTCCCCCAAACACACCCTTCCATTGGAAACAGGCTGGCTTTTTCAATTCCATGGAGTTTCTTACCAGTTGTGGTACAGCAGTCCCAATGTGGTAAAGAAAAAGGGAATCATGAAGTAGAGAGAGAAAACGTGGTCATCTCTGTAGTCTCCTGGGAGTAAAAAATAAACAAGTAGGAAGGTCAGCCAGTTGACACCAATTGCAGAGACTCCAGCTGCACATGTGCTAGCCCACACCAAGCCCACGGCTGCTACTACAATCCCAGCATGTATGCTGAGGGGCAGCCCCACATTTGTTCTGCATGTAGCCTGAAGACCTGCATATCATCCCACTCAAGAAACTCCATGTGACAGCTCTCTGACATTAGATCTTCCTCACCATTTAGCTCTACGATGTTGAAAGTTACAATTGAGGCAGCGATCACCAGTGACTGCCCAGCCTCCAGGCCATTAATGCCCGCAAGAATGTTGATGGCATTGGTGCAGAACACAGCCAGCATCCCCATGTACACATAGTACAGGATTCCTGCAAGAGAAAACCCACTTTTACTCAAATTCCTTGTGAGGACACCAAGCATGCAACATCAGGTCCGCAATAACCTCAAGGACCACCTCTTCCTATATGAACCTACCCAGTCCCTGAGATAACCTTCTGAGGCCCTCCCTTTGTGTGCCTCCTCCTTGAGAGGTCCGGAGGGTGGCAACATGAGAACGGGGCCTTCTCTGCAGTGGCTCCCTGTCTACGGAATGCTCTCCCCAGGGAAGTTTGTCTGGTGCCTTCATTCTACACCTTTAGGGGCCAGGCAAAAACATTCTTTTTTAACCCGACCTTTGGTTGATCTCATTGACACCCAACACTCTTTTAGAATGTGGCTTGGGGGGGTGTGCAGTTTATTGGATTACTGCTTTTGGTTTGATTTTATATGTTGTGGTCTTGTTGTGAAATGCCCCGAGACCTCTGGGTATAGGGTGGTGTATAAGTTGAATGAATGAATGAATAAATAAATAAATAAATAATTCTCCGTGGGGAAAGATGGGGTGAGAGGCTTGGCAGTGTCTCTAATGCTCAGCATGTTTCTCAGGCCAGACCTACTTGTGCAAGCCCTGGGGCACTTACCTAGGTCTAAGTGCATGCCCAGCAACATCCGGAAGGGCTTAGGCACCACAATGGTGGTGTTCCCAAAGTTGGTGAAGTAGACCATGAGCAGGGGCAAGGACGCCATGGTGGGCAGAAGCAGCTTGTGGCGCCAGCGCAGATTGAGAACGTCGTCCGCAAAGCCCAGGAAGATCATGCAGCAAATGGCGAGGAGGGAGCCAATGAGGGCCACAAACTGCAAGGTAGGGAGAAGCTGTAAGAGTCCTGCCCCTTGCACTTATCTAGTTGACTCAACTCTTAACACACACACACACCCATTCCCTTCCAGGCTCCACCCGATGCAGCCGCTCTCACCTCATGGTGTGGGAATGCCTTGCACTGCTCTTCCACAAAGCAGCTCAGAAAGGGCACTGGGATGAAGCAGAAGAGGATGATCAGGAACACTGCTCCACTTATGACACCTTGGGACTCCGGGCTGGGAAAAGACAACAAACAAGGTAATGGGTACCTCTGTAAAACCTTTTATTGGCATCACATACAACATCTAAAACAAATCAATACAGAATTACCACTTCCCCAGTGGCACAAACATTTGCTAAAAGAAAGGAGGCAGAGCAGTCTCTCGTCACATCTCTTGGTCTCCAGGGAGATCAGACATCTGCAGTGTATTTCGACGACAAAAACCAAATAGAGATATTTAGCCACTAACTTGGTGAGCTCCTGATCATCCCCCAGTAATAGAAAATGTATGACCTCTGACTCTGGTTTCCATTTGGGGATACAAAGTTGATCTACAAATTGCTGGCGGAGATCAGCATATAGTTTACAATTGAGAACCTTATGTGTAAGGGTTTCCACCAGGTGGTCTTCACATGGGCAAGTTCTTTATCCTTCCACCCTGCCTGAGAACCTTCCCCAAAGGAGGTTTGATGGATTTGAATTAAACCTGGCCAGCGAAAATGCCCTTTTTTCTTGAGGGTTAAGCAGAAATTCAAGGTAATTATGGTTAGTTTCATGTTTTCCCTGCTGCTACTCATCTCACCAGGACCTTGCTTATCCTGCTTACTGGGGTGCCGGGTTAAGGGTTAAGTCTTAGCTGAAAGAAAGCTGGAACGCCCAATGAGAAAAAGGGAATTCCCCTTATTGACTGCCGGCTGCCAGCTCTAGGAGTATGAGATCCAGCCCAGGATTATCAGTCTTTACACAGGGCCCCAGTATGCCTGCACCAGATCAGAGCCCCACACTTCCTCACAGGCCCCTAACTTGGCAGCCCTCCAAGTGCAGTCTGGATCAAAACTGAATACAGGAAAATCAAGAGCTACTCACATGGGTTGCTTGGAAGTTTTGTTCAAATCAATCCCAAAGAGCTTGGCAGCAATGAAGTGATCCTTGAAGGCTGGAATAAGTGTCAGTGTTGCTACAAAGCCCACAAGGGAGCCAAAGAAATTGATCAGCAGGGGGGTGGTTAGCAGCCTCCCCATCTCAGAGCTGGATCTGGATGCTCCCAAATGACAAAGCCAATAAGCCAAGGAAGTCTGTCTGTCGTCTGTGCACTTCTTCCAGTCGTAGCCTATCTGGGACAGCCACAGCAGACACCACTTGTCAGAAGTAACATAACAGAGAAGGGACCCTTAGGCCACAACCACTGGCAAAAGATTCCTGCTTCAGCAGCAACCATGGTGATGGATCTTCATAACTAAGAATAAAAAAATAGCTGGTAACCAACAATACTGAATGCAAAATTTACATCCTCAGCTGATGTGAATGCACACCTTAGCCACAAATGGGATCATCCTGCCCATGGAGGGGGGATCACCACAGGTGTGCATAAGATGACCACTGACAAAAAAGTGTATTGGGATCAAGCGCACTCGGGCCCATAAATTACTGCCCCACCCACTTTGCTGAAACGGCACACATGTGCCAATGAATAGGATATGGACCTAGATAGCTCAGTGGATTAGAGTGTGGCATTGTTAACGCCAAGGTTGCAGGTTCGAGTCCCATATGGGACAGCAGCATATTCCTGCACTGCAGGGGGGTAGGACGAGATGATCCTCAGGGTCCCTTCCAACTCTACTTTTTTACAATTCCATGAGCTCTCTGGTCTGTTCCTGGTGATGGGGTACAGTTGCCTCCTCCTAAACTAGGGGTGGCTAACTTAGGGTCCTCCAGGTGTTGCTAGACTGTAACTCCCATCATCCCTGACAACTGGCCACGCAGGGTGGAGTTGATGGGAGTCCAACACCACCTGGAAGACGGTAGACTAGCCAATCCCTACCGTGCACCTGCTAAAGAGCAGCCTTCGCAGGTGCTCTTGGATCCCTACTCCCATCAGTCCCAGCATCCTGAATGGCCAACCGTGAGGGATGGTGGGAGTTGGAGGCCAGCAATACCTGGAGGGTCAATGGGTAGTCACTCCGGAGCTGAAACTTTCGTGTTCTGTCTGCTGCCCGGCACTCACATTTCTACCCCCCAGCCTGGAGAAAGTGGCCAGACTCCTGCCTACCAGAGGCGCAGGATGCTCTCCTGGGTTCCTGCCCGTCGCCACCGAAACACCGGCTTGATCCAGCTGTCGTCGAGACTCCTCGGGAAGGGAGTCTCTCTGGCAAGGGCGCGGGGGATTTCCTTTTAACGTCCCTATAAGCTTGGCTGGAGTTTCCACCCGGACATTATATGACGTGACACCGCTAAATCCTAGCGCGACCCACTCAGTGCGAGCATATTACAAAACGCACTCCATGCCTTGTGAAGCCGCGGACGCCATCTTCGTTACTGGCTATTCGACGGTGTGGCATATCGGATCCTCAAAACCGGGCCCCATGTGGCGCGAAAGATCCGGTGACCCTAACTCTTTGACAGGTTTGGCGGAGGAAATACGACGGTCACAGAGTTGTAAGGGACGCCCACACCAAACATGGCGGCCCCCGAAGATCACGTGACAACTGCCCTTGGACGTTTCGTTAAACTACACGTCACCTGGCTGCTGATTGGCTCGGCGAGGCGCTTCCCGAGCCAAGCGGGGCCATTTAAAGGGACAGCAGCTTCTTAGTAAATCTCAGGAACCCAGCTGGAGGGGGAGCGCTTCCCTAAAATTCTATGTCCGGGAAGGGAAACCTGTGTTTTTTCAGATGTTCTTGGGACTCCTATTCCCGTCAGCCTCACCCAGCACAGCACATTTCAGGGATGGTGGGAGCTGTAATCCCAACAACACGTGTTGGTGGTGGCACTGGTGGGGCCCAGGTTAGCCACCCTAGTTTCAGATGATGCTATGACACACGACCAGCCTACCCCAACACGATGCCCTCCAGATGTTTTGGACTCCCAGCAGCCCCTGCCAGCATGGCCAGTAGTCAGGTATGATGGCCATTTGGCACCCCAGCAACATCTGGAGGGCCACGAGACACCACACCCCTATTCCAAACAGTGATAACCCCCTGCAAAAAAATAGGCAGGACATCTTCTGGAACCTTCAATATCTACTGTAGCAGAGCCCGCCAATCTCTTAAGGTGCCACACGACCAGCCGCCCCCAACATGATGCTCTCCAGATGTTTTCGACTACAACTCCCATCAGCCCTGTGAATCATGCTGTATGGTTGTGGGAGTTGGAGTCCAAAATTTCTGCAGAAGGCTCTTATTTCCGCATGTTCCCGCAACAGAATGGTGCCCGCGACCCACACTTCAGAACCACCCGTCGCGGGTGGTCAGTGCCACGGTACTTCCACTCAGATCTTTCGGTTACTACAGACCAACAGCCACCCTCATCCCAACGTCCCTGCCATATCCTGCTCGTTAAGAAAATCAGAAAGAGAAAAAGTCTACTAGTGGAGCCAAGGTCCTGGTTCCACCCTCACCCCCACCCCAGGTCCGCCCACCTCCCTAGACGCGTCCAGAGCGCCCAGAGTTCTCCCCGGGGACCTCAGCTCGGCTTCGTTCCCAGTAGATCCACACTTGGGAAGGAATCCTCAACACCCTTCCTGTCATAATGTTAGGCTCGAGCTGCAAAAGGAACGTCCCGGCTTCCGCAGGCATGATCGACGGTCGTCGACCTGCGGACGTTCCCCTTTCCTATGTCATCCTGGTCCCCAACGCAGGAGCCGCCTCTTTCTTTCTGCGCATCTTGGCTGGCGAGCCAGACCCGCTTCCAAGTAACCCCCGCCGGCTCCTCGCATACCCTCAGACGGTAGCCTTACCGGGTGGGCGGCTTGTTGAAGGATTCCCCTGGGCTGCTTCAGTCCTTTCCAGTAGCAGCTCCCCTCGGGGGTCTCCGAGCTCGAGGTCCGGTGCGCTCTTTTCTGCGCCTTTAAGAGGTCGGAGGGAGGGAGAGGAGAGCGGAAGGGAAGAGGCGGCGGCGGCAGCAGCAGCAGCGTTTGGCCCTGCCCAGCTAAGCCGCTACTGGCCGTCGAGGGCAGCTCGTCTCCAGCTCCAACGCGCTCCGCCCAGCACGGTCGGGAAGGAAGGCAAGAAGGAAGGAAGGAGAGCGCTGCGCGCCTCCCCCTGTAGCTGGAAGCCGGCGCGGAAGGAGGCAGGAAGCGGCTCTCTTTCCTCGACGCCCCTGCCCCGGAGAGCGCGCGATGTGCCGCGACGCCCCGTGAGCCACCGCCATGGAGCCGGAGCCGGAGCCGGAGCCGGGGCTGAGCTTGGGCTGGGCGGCGCTGGTGCTGCTCTTCGCTGCCTCGCTGCTCACGGTCTCGGCCTGGCTCTTGCAGTTCGCCCGCGGCTTGTGGCGAGGACGGCGCCGGCCGGAGAAGGAGGCGCCGTTGCCGTCGCGGGGCCGAACCGCGGCTGCGGCCGCCGGCCTCTGGGCATCCCTGCGGCGCCTGGGCTCGGCCCGGGAAGCGGCCGGCTCCGAGGGGGCGGCGGGGGCGGCGGGGGCCCGCGGCTTGCTGGCGTCGCTCTTCGCCTTCCGAGCCTTCCGCGAGAACTGGCAGCGAGCCTGGCTGAGAGCCCTCAACGAGCAGGCCCGCCGGCACGGGGTAAGCAAGGCCGGGGGGCGGGACGGGGCGGGGTGGGGACCGGGTCTCCTGGCAGCAGCACCCTCACCCCTCCCCAGGCTGCGGGGGCAGGCGCTTGGCTGCCTGGCCCCAGGGGGTCCCGGCGTGGAGGGGGGGCAAGCGGTGCGTCTGGGCAGCGCCCTCGGAGAGTGACACCGAGAGGGTGACAGGTGAGCCACCTGGGCTTCGAGCCAGCCTTCCTCGACTGCCTGCTCTTTCCCGGACCCCGCGGAGAAAGGGGCGTCCCAGGCTGAAGCCTGCGCGAGGTGGCACCCGATCCCAGAGGGAGACGCTCTGCTCGTGTTCAGAGTTCGGTCCCCAGTCCTGCCGGTGGTTCAGCCCGAGAGCCAAACGCAGCAGCAAAGACGAAAGCGGTGCGGGGTCCACTTTCTGCCCAAGGAGCTGCCCTGTCGCCGCCGCCGCCGCCGCCGCCGCCGCCGCCTTCGCCAAGAGCTCCCTTTCCGCCCCCGCATTTTGCCCTGTGCAAAGCAGCAGGTTCCTCGCTGGCGCTGTCCACCCACCCCGGCCAGGCCAATTTCCCGCAGAGGTTTGGGCAGCAGCAACGACCGGGGCAGGGTCGCTTTGCCTCTAGGTGGTATTGTCCTTCGGAGAGGGAGGGGAGGCGAAAGTTTTTATTTCTTGCTTGTATGTGCCTTTCCTTTCTCCTTTTGGGGACCCTAAAAGCCCCCAAAGCTGCTTCCCTTCCGATTGGTGTATAAAAGGTTTCGCGCATTCTCTCTCTCCTCTAATTTCGAAATGCTTTTTTTTAAATGTGGGGAGCGTTATTCCATTAAAAATGGCAATAAATGGAAAGTCAGCCCTGATTTTTCCTGGCGAGTAAACCAGTTTGACTCTGGCACCACTAAAGAAGTAGGGGAGGAAAGGGATGCTTGTGCCATCAGCTTGCATGAGGTTGCTTGGGGTGGGGGCGGCTCCAGGGATCTGCGCATCAAAGTTCCTGGGCTTCTCAGTCTTGCAGGTGCCGGGACTCCAGCTGGCAGGCTCCTGGAACCAAACCCTCTTCCTTGGTGTTTCTGTAAACAACATAATCAAGCTTTTCATTACATCAGCCAAAGGTCACTACAGTTCCTTCTGGGGTGGCAAAAGTTTGCAAACAAGGGCAAAATACAAAGAATTACACTAAAGAGCATTGCACTGATAACAGGGTGGAGTTGGGTTCATCTTCCTTTTTTGCGGGGGCGGGGCAGGGCGGGGAGCTGCTCTTTAAGAAGGCATATTAACACAATAGGAAGGCACCCCACTCTCCTGGCTGCCTGGGCAGTGGCATTTTGGTATGTACAAGAGGCCAGGCTGACTCCTCCCAGTGCAAACTGAAACCTTCACTTGCATCTTGTTTAAAGTAAATGATACCAAATCCAAAGGAAAACTGCAGTGGCAGCAGGCGTGCTCCTTCCCAGCTGTGTGTGGACAGAAAGCACCTTCCTTTGTGGCGGTATTGGGGTGAAGGTCCTGCATCTATAAGGGCTTCCTGCTTCAGTCTTCGCTTGGATCTTCCCCCTTCCCAACCAAAGGCTTTCTGTGTGAGTTTTCCCTCTCTTGCTGAGTCTCTTCTGCCCCAGCACCCATCACACGCAGCATCCTGTTAAAGGAAATGCAAGCTGTCCTCTGATACTGTTGCATTCCTGTCGCCCTATTTGGTGTGGCTACAAATATGTTGATGGTGAGAGTGAGTCTAAGCCGGCGCAGGGCAGCTTCATCATAAACTTGCATAGTGGATGTGGGCCAACCGGTACTTGTGATTCCCCATCTCTAAAACTGGGGTGATGGTGACCTCTGGGAGTTGGTGACTCTTCCTTGGGAGCCTTTTGTGTACCTAGAACTAGGGAGGGGCACCTTGCCCAGCACCACTCCTTCAATGCTGGAAATCTAGAGCTGCTGCTGCTGCTGTTGCACCCACCTCACTGGGTGGCCTCTGTTCAAGTACTGTACTTCCAGCAGGAGAGAGCCCAGCCACCCATCCAGGGTTGCTGGTTCTGTTTCCAAGCTGCTCTTACAATCCTCATTTTCAGCCCAAATCTCCCCTCCTGTAATGTAAGGTTATTCCGTCTAGCCCTGCCTTCTGGAGCTGCAGAGAAGGCCAGTCTTTGCCGCTTGCCTGCAAGAAGAGTACGTACTCCCATATTCCTCCCCCTCTTCAGTCTTCTCTTCTCCCAGCTAATCCTACCTCGTTCCTTCAAGCTTTCCTCAGGGGACAACTTGCTTTCCATTCCATCTTTTTTGGCGTCCTCTGAACCCATTCCAATTTGTTTGCTGTGCTCCATAGCACGTCACAGGCGCTTCTCTGTTTTGCTACCAGTACAGAGGCTGGGAGCCATAAATGCCTTTCTTGGACACACAGGATAGCTCAGTTGGTTAGAGCATGGTGCTGATAATGCCAAGGTTGCAGGTTCGATCCTTGTATGGGACAGCTGCATATTCCTGCATTGCGGGGGTTGGACTGGATGATCCTCAGCATCTTTTCCAACTCTACGGTTCTATGCTTCTGTAACCATATACAACAGAATATCAATATGTTATGATTTATATGCATGGTTTCCTGCACTAGACAGATTCCCAGGCAGAAAAATCCTCTTAGGTGAAGCCTATTGGAAGCCTGCTGGAAGAACTCAGGATATGCATTAGGTTCACACCCACCTACTTGAGAAATCTGCTCATAACTAGCCAGAGTGAGGAGATTGATAAGGGAGCAGGCATGACTAGCTCACGGGTGGGAGGCAACGTTAGAAGCAAAAGGAATAGAATAAAGATGGCAGCTCTAGCTGTTTCCGCAAGATCTGAATTTTAAACCGGAGCCAGATTGAAAGAGCAACCAGTAATGACCTTTGCAGCGGCAGGGCGGAAACCTAATCACGCTTGCAAGCTGTCAGCTGATCAGCGTGAGAAACCGGGCAGGAGCCTTTCCTGCCCTTTGTGAGGGGCTTCTGTGCTCTCAAAAACAAGCAGGTTTCATGTGACCAAACCTCATGTAGGTATTGGGGTCCTTTTTCATTACAGATATTATGTAAGGAAGCTGACACCAAAGCATCTCCCCTTTTTTTTATTTTGCTAAAGAGCATCCTAAGCCCAGTTCCTCTGTGGTCCCAAGAACCTGCCCTGCGTGTCTGCTTGGGCTCTCTTGGCATAGCTGGAATATTCCATGCCTGGCAACCAGTTTCCAGGATAGTGGTGCAACTCCTCCAGCTTTTCAGGATAGGCAGAAGCTTGGGGGTCTCCAGAAGGGACCGACCCTGTTTGTGGAGCTTCTTTTCAAAGAGGCAGCTGCTCTGCTCAAGGCCTCTTAGGATCCTGCTGGCGTTGCTTAAATTTCCCCACTGACAGGGCTGATGAATGATAGTGCGAGCTTAAATGGGAGCTCAGTGCTCTATACCTGAGAAACAGCTGCTGATGTTGCTGCTGCTGTTATCTCTGCTTATCTGAGAGTGTCTCCATCATTGGTGCCTTGGATCCAGATGGCAAGGGCACCACAGGGCACTCTCAACACCTGCAGAGCTCTGTTACTCTGGAGGCTGTCCAAAGTCTGATCCTGAGAGTTCTTCAATGCCAGCTTTTTTCATGGTTTTAAATTAGACTGGTTACTTTCCTTTGGTATTTGATCATATTGTGCTTGTTGGAGTTACCTCCTTTGTGTCCTCTGGATGATTTTAAACCATCAAAATAAGCTAAAACAAAAAAAGGACGTGTTTAGGAATAGGAATTGTACACTGTTGAGTAATCAGTTGTACTACCTGTCAAGCCCTCTCGTTTAACATAGGTGAAATTCAGTTTTAGCAGAGTACTGATGGGCTTTGGTGATTTGCCACTGAAAACATTCTGGCCTCTTAATAAGAAGCTTTTTCTCTCTAACCCCCCCCCCCCGCCTAATCCACAATGACTGCAGTGATGATGATGATCTTTCATCTGGGGAGCAAGGAGGGGCTTAAGGCCGGATCCTTCTCTGTGCAATCAGTGATGAAAACTTCTCTCTCTCCCTCTGAAAATCCAAGAGGAATCTGGGATAAATGTTCTTTTGGAGGCAACTGATCTCAGGTCCCCTCTGGATAGGATTATTTTTAGCTCCTTCTGATGTCACAGTTTTCCCCTCTTAGCAATTTGAATTGTAGAGAAGCCATACAGAAATCTATCTTATGGAAAAAACAAAAACCATGGGATGATTGGGATGGGGGGGGGGGGAGAGCTAATGAGAACTGGATGCTTGTTTAGTTTCATGAAAATGAAAATCCTTAAAAATGTGCTGGGTGGAAAAGATGTGTATGTATGTGGAACTCCTCTTCCTCTTTCCCCCCACCTCTCATTCCCTTTTTGCATTTCACAGTGCACTAGACTTAATACTGTATTCTACATCTTTTGCCTCAACCTTTCCCTCTAATTCTCCACCAGCATGTGCAGGAAGGAGACAGCAAGAGCCATTCCCGTTCTGTTTGAGGCCAAGCTCTGTTTGCATTTGGGAGTGTGAAGTTCCTCCTTTTGGGACTGAGGCATCGGGCTTCACATCTTCCAGTGATTTACCACAGACAGCTGACTCAACAAACTTCTGTCATCTTTCCTGCTCATATTTTAATGACTTAAAGCATTATTGCTGCCCAAGCAGATGGGAATCACATTCTTGGGACTCATGAAATAGCAGTCTTTGTTGTTCACAGTCATCCTGCTCAGATGACAATGCATCCCAGGATTTCTGGAAGGCATGCAGGGAACCTTACACAACCAGATTAGGGTTAATTTATGAAAGAAGAAACCTTACTTCTAGATATTGGGTCATACTCTGCAGGCTTTCTGTCCCTTCCTGAATATTCTGAGTATTCAAGCGTTCTAGATTTTGCTGGTTCTCTTGATATTGCTGTGCTTTCCAGGCACATCAATCCAATAGTAAAGGGTTTAGAATTCTCATAATTTTTCATGTTCCCAGTTTTAATTTTTATTGGCTTTAACAAAACCATACCAGAAACCAACTGTATATTTCCTAGGTTGCATTTTTATTTCATCCAGGGCTTTTTTTCAGCTGGAGCTTAGCTCTGGCACTTCTTAGGTGAGCACCATTGCCATTCTTACAGAACAAGGGGAAAGTTTGTGGTGAGCTCCAGCACCTCGTTTTCTAGAAAAATAGCCCTGATAGCATCTTACGGTTGTTTTCTCTTGTGTTAAATTCTCGCATTTCTTTTAGATGGAGGCTTCTGTTCCTTCTGCGTTGTTCTGTCTTGTTAGAGCAGTCCAGGGATCACCATTCCTGCCCTTCGGGGAAGGAGCATTGCTCAGTAGTAGCAGAGCACTTGCTTGGCCTTCACCAGGTGACCAGGTTCAGCTCTTGACATCTCCAGTGGCCTGTTGCCAGTCAAAAGAGACAGTACTGGGGCAGATGATGGACAGATTGGAAGCTGCCTAATATTTAGCCAGTTTACGTGAGATGAAATAGAGCTGGCAACATACATGGTGGCATGTCTCTGTTGCTGTGAGGACATGATAAGGATCATGGTAAGGTTGACAGTAGACCTCTACTGGCCACAATGAAAAGGGCTTGACTTAACTTCCATCTCCAAGCTTTAAAGTGTTTAATTGCCCTGGTCAGAATGTTGTTGAATTTTGCCAATTCGGAGAACTTGTGTGAGTCATTTGATGGTGCTCAGAGCTGACTGGAGCAGGGCAGGATTGGGCTGCTTTTTCCTCCATCCTAGGGGCTTTGTGGCTTAGAGACCCCAATAGCCCTGCATGCTTGCCATCCTCTGTAGCCTTTTCTTTACCCAGTTTCTGTTTCTGTGACTTTTCTTTTTCGGAACAAATCCAAACCTCCTACCTATCTCTAGGCCTTTTCTAGTTATGAGCTGGCACAAGAGGCACCGTTTGGAGAGAATGGAGGCTCACGATTGATCTTGTGTCCTCTGTGCCAGTTGAGCAGTGATGCCCTGGAGCTACTGCCCTAAGAAACGTGGAGGCTAGAGGTGGCTGCTGTCCAAGGTGCTTTCCTTCTAGAATGGATCTCTGGGTTTTATACCTGCCTGGCTTACGGAAGAGTCACAAGACCCCCTTCCCCCGCTCCACACAAAAAGTCATGGATTCACCAAGTTGGTCACAATGGGCTCCACTCCACAAGGCAAGCAAACAGCTGCTGAAGCCTCATGATACCCAATGTAGTCCATGCATTAGACTGGATTACTGCAATGTGTCTGGAAACTCCAGCTAGTGACTAGATTGCTGGTGAGGGCAGGTGGCTGACAGCATGTGACGCCTCTGCTAAAATATCTCTACTAGTTGCCCATGAGCTACCTGGGTAGGTTCAAGGCTCTTGTGTTGATGCACAAAGCCCTGAACAGCTTGGGTCCAGGATACCTTGAGGACCACCTGAGCTCCTGTATCACTGCTTGATCATCTGCAGGAGCACAGTTATAGTTGTCCCCCGTGGTATAAAGGCCCAACCGGTCTCAATCAGAAGTCAGGCATTTAGTTTCACTTGTCCCATGAGCTGGGAACATGCTTCCAGCAGAGATTCAGCAGGCATTCATGCTGCTAACTTCCACGCGCCTCTTGGCTTTATTATGCTGTGCAGTGTTCACATTTTTTTCTTTCTTTTTCTTTAACTAGCCAGTCACTTTCGTGATTATTTGTAGGGTTTTCCACCCTGATATTTAATGATTCAGTCATGCAGAAATACATTTGGAAATTAGAAATAAATACGTTATGCTGAAGAAGGTTGTCAAGGAATCAGGCGACCAGTGTGAGGCTGGTCTCTCCCAGAGAGTGTGGCATACTATAAATATAAATGGCTTTTTTTTTGTTGGTTGGGGGAAGATTAATCCCAGGGAAGCCAAAACCTTGTGAAAAAGAGATGCTTGCCTTATAGGCATCTCGGCCTTTGTAAACCAACAGAAGAACCGATGCACACATGCTGTTGGATGCTTCAGTCTGCATCCACACAACAACCTTGCACTGATTTTTTGGGGGTGGGGCATGTCTAAGCATCCTCTGAAGGTGTACCTGTGTCTCTCTAGGGAGACCTGCCCGGGTTGTTGGTTGTTATGCTCTCAGTGTTTGTGGTGCTTTGTGGAGTCTTTCTGGGCAGGGACCTGGGCAGGCTAAAGGTTGAAGACAAGGTGGAAGTGAAACTCATGGATAGGAGGTTGTGTCTCCAATTATATGACCTTGGTTTTCAGAAGGGGAGGAGAGGACTTGAGGGATGGTGCCAAAGGCCATATAGAACAAGTGGATTGTGATGAAGGATTAGAAGGAACATAGAGGTGCTCTGAGGGCCACCAGATGGGTAGAGTTGTTGGAAGCAGATGGCAGAATGAGCGGGAGGAGCTGGGCAGGGATGTCTTGGGAGATGCTTGCAGAAAGTTTGATGGGGAAGGGAGTACGGCCTGAAAGGCCCAAATAGCTCAGTGGTAGAGCACGGGGTTTTCATGCAGGTACTGTAGCATTTCCAGGTAAGGCTGGGAGGGAATCCCTGCCTGAAACCCGGGAGAGCTGCTGTCAGTCTGTGTAGGCAGCACTGAGCTAAATGGGCCAATGGTCTGATTCATTATAAGACAGCTTTGCTAAGGACCAAGAGTTTGTTCTGGATCCAGTAATTGTCCAGAAGGCCTTGGTGGAGATGTGGCTGGATTAACAAGAGAGCTGAATAACCCCAAGAGCTAAGGAAGAGCTGGCCTTCCTTGCTGTGTGCTTCAATGGGCCGGGAAGAGGGAAGGTTGCAGCAGCGTCTGTTTGGACTGGCAAGGATGGTCTGAGTGCCTCTGACTGGGGGCAGGGAGGCCTTCCCTCGCTCTCCCTGCAGGCCAATGGCACCTGACCAGCCAAACCTGTTTTGCTCCAGGTTGGGCTAAGCTGCTTTCTTGGGGCTGCCACAGTAAGCCCTCTTGCAGAGTGGAATTCACTGCCAGCAACCAATGTTTGCATTTCTCCTTGGAGATCAAGACTTGTTTGGGGAGAGTCGCAGCCACGAGAGCGGAGGCTTCCTTCTCCAAGTTGGTGGCAGCAGAGAAAGGCTGTGAGTGGATCTGCCTCAGTGGATCCCAGCGTCCAGAGAAAGGGGCACTTCAACAAACTGGAGGGCAGCAGCCAGCCAGCCAGCCAGCCAGCCTCTCCTCGCCTCTAGTTGCTCAGAGACTGTCCAACGTGACTGCCAGGGTCCTGCCGAGTGCGGAGGCAGCCTCTGTGCTGCCACTCGCTGGGCCAGCTTCCCCCCCACCCCCGGCTCCCATGGCAACTCTGCCTTTGCTTAACCTGCGTGCCTTGGCCAGCCTACGGATCTGAGATTTGAATGGAGGGGAGTGCTGCTTTCACAGCAGCTCCTTGGCTGCTGGGCACACAGTAAATAATACCTTGAGAGGAGGAACTGCAGCAAACTGAGAACTCTCCTTGCTGCTTGTGAAGCACAGAACTCTTTTTTTCCTGCCTTCGCTTTTGCCTTGTTGCCAGGAACTGCCTAGCAGGGCACAGCAATCTCTTCTCTTTCCAAACAGGCAACCACTGCAGGGCTGTTGTTAGAGGAGTTATTGATTCGGGGCTGCCTGATCTAGTGTTCTGCATGGTGCTTATCGGGTCAAAATCGCACAGACTGCTGATTGCTTACATCTGGGGGAAGCTTCACCTGCCAGATTTCCCCATTGTGTTTCTATTCAGCTGCGCGCAACCCCTGCCAGAAACTATGGTTGCAACCTGTGTGGTCCTCCCTCCCTCTGCCCCAGTACCACTTGAATCTGGAATTCTCCTGTTTCATTCTCACTTCTGCAGTGAAGTGAAGTTTTCTCCTTTCCCCCACTGAATTATGGGGGGAGAGCAGTGTTAGAAACTCAGATATATGTGAATAGCCAAATGGCATCTTAAACCTAGGTTATGGACCCCACAACGGAGTGTTTTTGTGGTGATATATTATTATTATTAGTCATTTAATTTCTAAACTGTTTTATATTTTAAAGGGGAAAAAATCTCAAAGCAGTTTACAACACATTAAAACATCAAATAAAACAATCTAGAATAAAACAAATGCATGCTTCAAGGAGAATATTTCAGACCCTTCTCTAAGTGACATTTTGCTTTCACCATATTTATTTACCTGCTTGATTTATAGAGCTGCCCCATAGGTGGTGTAGTGGTTAGAGTGTCGGACTAGGACCTGGGAGATCAGGGTTCAATTCCCCGCTCAGTCATGAAGCTCACTGGGTGACCTTGAGCCAATCACAGCCTCTTAACCTGCCTCAAGGGGTCATTGTAGGGGTTAACTAGGAAAGGGGGCATGGCATGAACCATGTACTCCTTGGTGGAAAAGGTAGGATGTACATGTAATAAGCAAGCTCTTCTGCTTAGCTGTTTAAGAAAGCTGGAAGGGTCAGCCAGATGGAAATGTCAGCTGTCAACCTGGCATCCAGAGTTCTCCAGGTGGTTGCAATTGGACTCATGCCAGTCGCAAAATGCACCTGGCTCCCGGGTGGGGGGACAATAATACAGATTTAACTTACAGGGTTGTTGTAAAGAGTCCAACTAGATAATGTATGTGAAGCACTTTGAACATTTTGAAGAGTTATACAGTACAAATGCAAAGCCTTATTATTAGATGCTTCCTTTGGGGGTTCTCTAAGGGACGCAGGTGGCGCTGTGGGTTAAACCACAGAGCCTAGGACTTGCTGATCAGAAGGTCGGCAGTTCGAATCCCCATGACGAGGTGAGCTCCCGTTGCTCGGTCCCTGCTCCTGCCAACCTAGCAGTTTGAAAGCACGTCAAAGTGCAAGTAAATAAATAGGTACCACTCCGGCGGGAAAGTAAACGGCATTTCTGTGCACTGCTCTGGTTCGCCAGAAGCGGCTTAGTCATGCTGGCCACATGACTTGGAAGCTGTACGCCGGCTCCCTTGGACAAGGGAGATGAGCGCCACAACCCCAGAGTCGGCCACGACTGGACCTAATGGTCAGGGGTCCCTTTTCCTTTACCTTGGGGGTTCTCAAGCTTCTTTGGACTATAACTCAGTGGGGAGGTCCAACTTACTAGGGTCTTCTCTATGGAGTGAGAATTGGAAATAATTGGCTTGAAAGTCAATTCTGAGTCCATAAGCCAGAGGTGGAGAAACTGTGGCCTTGCAGATGCTGCCAGACTCCTACAGTGCCATTGGCCACATTGCCTTGGACTGATGGGAGCTGGAGGACAGCAACATCTGGATGCTTGCAGGGGATTCCTCGGTGGTCCGTGAGCCTTGTGAAATGCCTCTGCCCATCCCCTGTGCCATGGCTGGTGTGGCAAGGCTTGCTTTGCCCTTGTAGATATGCACCCATTTTCAACTATTTGTGTTGGGGTTTCCCAGCCTGGGGAGTAACAAGTTTTTCTTCTTGACCCAGAGCTCAGTCCAGATTACGTTTGAGGAGAGTCCTCAGCAACTACCGGCTGTCAAGATTGACCACGTGACGTGCACGGACCAGTCGGATCGCAGTATGGTAGGCTGCTGCTGTCGCATTCTGATCCTTGTGCTGTTACTTTTCCCTGCCACCACCTTTAGAGGGGAGCACAATGTTAGATCGGGGGGGGGGGGGAGCAGCAAAAGCCATTGGGAATTTGCTAGCCGGTCTTCACCTTGGCCTTCAGTGCTCAGAACCAAACCACTGGAAAGCCGCCCTGATCCAGACAGCTGCACTGCCCTCTTCCTGCCATTCTTTGCCATGCTCAAGCTCTGTTTTTGGATTGCAGATTCCTGTGTTAATTTGCACTGCTGAAATTGTGGTCGCTTAAAGGGGCTTCTGCGCTGGGCTTGCCCAGCTTTGTTTAGTATGAGCAGGAAGATTTGGCAGCCTCAGGAGCCACACAGATCTCCTGACAGATGCTCTTGGCCATTTCAGTGTCAGATGAAAACATACCTGCTGAAAACTACCAGTCTAACATTCAACCAAGACCAGGGAGGGGAAACCTCAGACCCATGGGTAGAATGTGGCCCTTGCAGGCCTCTCTTTCCGGCCCTTGGGACTCTCCTAGGCCACACCCCTGACAGATCCTGCTCCATGTCCTCCTTGAGTATTGTTGCTTGCCTGTTGCTTGCCTGGGTGGACGTTAGAGGGGTATGTTTGAGTATGTGTGGAAGCAAGCCTACTGTATGGAAGTCAAAATAACATCTGTTGCTCCACCCACTTTTCTTCTGGCCCCACCCACCACTGGCATGTGGCCCTTAGTAGCTGCCTAGAAGGGAATGTGTGGCCCTCTGTCTGAAAAGGATTCCCCATAGACAGTGGGGCTGTGAGACAGAGAATCTGAAAGGGAACATTTTGGAGAAGGTCAAACACGATGACTCCCTCAAAGTATGGAGCCACAGAGCAAGAAGAATTACCGATGAAAGAAGAATGAAGGATGAAGTTGATGGACTATGCAGAATTAGATGAATTAACAGGAAGGATTTGAAACCTGCGGGATCAGAGATTCTTAGAGGACTGGAGTAAATATATGAACTATTTGAAAAGTAATTGTGATGAACAGATTACGCTAGTAGGACTGCAACAAGTTTTGTAAGGTGGATTATTTGAAATATTACAAGAAAGACTATGAAAAGAATTATTAGTTAACGATAATTAAATGCAATATAGAAATTAAGAAATGCAGAATAAGTGATAAAGAACGAAAAATCATCAGAGGTGTTGACGGAAGTCTAAAACGTTGTATAAGATGAGAAGATCTATTGTATGACTGTTGGAACTGATATGTTAAAAAATCAGTAAATATATATATATATATAAAACAAAGTATGGAGCCACAGAAAACCCCATAGTTTGAGGCATGTGGGCATGAGCTATGGGAGTGCACTCTGTATATGGCCAAATGAACTGCCTTCCCAACTTTCCTCCTGGCTTCACGCATTTCGCTGCGTGAAGGGCTGAGTTGTGGTTAGTGATGTTTAAGACCCCCACTCCCAGGGACCGGGAGGGAGGAAGGAGTCAGGAAAGGTCCAAAAGGAGAAGTTAGTAGTGATTAGAGAGAGATGGTGTGAAAGCGACAGGGAAGGAAAGATACCAAGGAGCATCACAAGAAACACGCGGAGGCCAACAGGTGATCAAAGAAGAGTTAGCTGTTCTGTGCAGGATCTAGGCAGTGGGTCTTGCATGAATGTTTAATTGCCACAGCAGCAGAGGCTGGAAGCTCCTGCCGTGACATGGGGAAGACCAGGGCAGAATCTGGGCAGGAAATCAGAAGAGAACCCATGATTGTCAGCGGGCATGAGGGGAAACACATTTGCTGTGGAGAGAATGAGTGTCCCCCACTTTGCACCATAAGCATGCAAGGGGGCATGGGGGGGGGAGAGGTGTTCCTTCCAAGGCCACATGCTTGAGTGCAGGGTTTATGTTTACGTATAAAATGAGAGTGATGTAGTTTGGAAAATCATTGTAATTATAATTATAATTTATTATTTATACCCCGCCCATCTGGCTGGGCTTCCCTAGCCACTCTGGGCAGCTTCCAACAAAATATTAAAATACAGTAATGCATCAAACATTAAAAGCTTCCCTAATAATAATAATAATAAAATTTATACCCGGCCCATCTGGCTGGGTTTCCCCAGCCACTCTGGGCGGCTTCCAGCACATATAAAAACATAAGGGAGGTTGAATCATTTCCCCCTACCAGCTGACCCTAGTTGTGCCCAAATGGAGGTGTCTGGGACTGGGCGTAGTGGTAACAACAGACCCCTGACTGCTCCCCTGAACCGTCTTCCCTGCCTGCTGCTCTTTGTCACCTGCCTTCTGGCTGGCCCTCCAGCTGGGCACAATGACCGTCTCTCCCTTCCCGTCTCTCCTTCCAGATGTTGTGTTGCCACCTTTCTGCCAGCACCCTGCAGTTCCCTGTCTCAGTCACTCAGCAGTCTCCAGCTGCCGTTTCCATGGACACCTATCACGTCACCTTGGCTGTGCTGCAGGCCCAGGTAACTGTGGGGCTGGGGTCTGGGGCTTTCTCTCCTTCCCACCCCTGCCCACTCCACCCCTCTGAGTTATTGTGGGCAGAGGCTGCTGCTAGCAGGATTTGTGCCTGGGTGGGTCTGCAGGTAGAGGCCCGTGCCTATTTTGCTTAAGTCTTGGGTTTTGCATAAAAGCTTGGGTTGCGATATTGTTTACTTGGGTGGTTTTAGATGAATATTGCCAGCCTACAGATTATACAAAATAGGTGGGTATAAATACCTTTGTGCAGTTGATGTTCCTGGTGGTGGTGGTGGTGATGATAAGACTTTTTTTTTTTTACCTGGGCCAGTTGGAGATCCACCTGGAGGAGATTCAAGATGAAGGGCTGCTGGTATCCTGGGCATTCAAAGACAGACCAGAGCTGAACCTGTCCGTCGTTCCAAGGCTCCAGCTACGTGAAGTGAGCAAACAGATGAGCATTGCTGGGTGGAAAGTCACACTTGCCTGTTCTGCAAGGGGGAGCCAGAGGACTCCACTGGTCCTGATTCCACACACATGGCTGCTTTTGAATTCTTCCCTCCTGCTAGAGAAAGCTCAGTGGCACACCCCTCATTTGGCTACCGTGTGTGCAAGGCTAGTGAGACTGCAGCAGAAACAGTAAAGCAACTTGGCAAAATCAACAAGTTCATTATGCCAAAATCTTTAAGGACCTAGAGCCCACTTCATGCAGTGCCTGGAGCCTTCTCCTAAAAACTGCAGTGATATATATACACATGGGGGAGTGGTGCCGGTGGTAATGGGGGGCTAGAATTGTAACCAGTGAGGTCAGAGGGAAGTTAAAAGTACAGATTATGCTGAAGCTGATTGGTGACCCATTGCAAAGCGGTATTGCTCTTAACACAAATATTCAGCAGTGATAAGCAGTGGATGTTTTTCCATCAGGGCAAATGGGGGGCTGCCTTCCCTATTTCAGTCTGCCTTCAGCCAGCTCCCACTTGCCTGCCTTCTTCCTTACAAATATCAGCATTGGCTATCAGCTTCCTCCTCCTTAGCCCCTTGTAGAGCTCAAAAGGGAGGAGGATGGGGACAAAACTAGAATTAGTTGGTTTCACCTACCAAGAGTTCCAGCCACTACTGCTGGTCAGCTAATGAAGACATGCAGCGTGCTGAAAATCTGTTACTCTGATTCAAGCCATCAGTAATAGAACCAAACTCACTACCGTGCTTGTCCTGGCTCAGCTCCATGCTCCAGCAGGGTGGACATATGTCCCTGTCTTTCAAGCAAACCTACGTGGGCTTGCTTGCCGAACGTGATGCTACATTCAGAGGGAGCAAAAATGGCTTTTCCATAACGTGAGACATCTTTGCATAGGAAAGTGCTGCCAGACTTGCCTTGCTTTTCAGCGGGGCCATTTCTGCAACCTGCTCAGGACGCCCCATGAATCTGAAAGGACCTGCGTTGCATGGGGTGCTCAAATGAAAGCTTTGTATTCTACAACTCCCGGCACCCGGCTGGTGCTGCAGGAACACTTGATAGGAGCTCCTTTCCCGGGGTCAGTGGAGGGCGCAGCTTGCAGATTTAACATATAGAATAAGAGAAGAACATACATTTAGAGAAGATTGAAAAACGTTTATTGAATATATGGGGGAAATGTGTACACTTGAAAATGTTGGCAGCATTAAGATAAATTCAACTGTGTAAATAAGTTTTGACGGATACAACAGTGGAATACTAAATGGTTTTGTTTTAGTAAAATATGCAAGGATTAAGATATGCAAAATGAACCATGGAAAGAGAGGAAGGGGAGTCAATGATATTTTAAGGATGTTTAAATGAGTATTTTAAATTGTAAAGCAGAAAATTTAGTAAAAAAAAATTATACACACAGAGAGAGAGATATATGTGTGTGTGTGTGTGTGTGTGTGTGTATGGGACACTTGATAGAAACTCCTTTCCTGGGGTCAGTGGAACTCTTGAGGGTGACGCCTCGCTTTGGCTGCAGGTGCTTTTTAACCTTCCTGTAAAGGGGGGACATTCTCTGCAAGAAATGCAATCTTTCCCACCTTCTGGGCTTGTTTTCTGAGCTTATTTTTGTGATCCAGGAGAATGACGGGAAAGTGGACCTGTCCACCATAAAGGACCTGATTGAGGACTCCGTCGTCAGCACTCAGCCTGCCATGATGGTGAATCTGAAGGCCTGTGTAGCTGGCAGCAATGCGGTAAAGATCTTTCCCACATTGGTGTGTTGCTGTTGAGTGAGGGGATTCTTCCTTCTAGCCCAGTATGAGTGGGGGACTTTGGAATCGGCCTCAGCCCAGTATACCTGAAGGAGTGTCTCCACCCCCATCATCCAGCCCGGACACTGAGGTCCAGCTCCAAGGGCCTTCTGGCGGTTCCCTCCCTGCAAGAAGTGAGGTTACAGGGAACCAGGCAGAGGGCCTTCTCGGTAGTGGTGCCCGCCCTGTGGAACGCCCTCCCATCAGATGTCAAGGAAATAAACAACTATCTGACTTTCAGAAGACATCTGAAGGCAGCCCTGTTTAGGGAAGTTTTTAATGACTGGTGTTTTATTGTGCTTTTAATATTCTGTTGGGAGCTGCCCAGAGTGTCTTAGGAAACCCAGCCAGATGGGCGGGGTATAAATAATAAATTATTATTATTATTTATTATCCACACCCCTGGATGTAGCTGGCATTTATTGTCAGCCATTTGGTTTTACAGCAAGGATGGGGAGTTTTGGAACTCCAGCTCCCATCAAGCCTAGCCAGGATAGCCAATGATCGAGAGTGATGTGAATTGTGGTCCAACCGCCTCTGCAGGTCCCCATTCATGTTTTGAGAGAGTTGGGACTGTATGTGTCAGTGGTTCCCTGCTCATGTGCTTTCCTTCCTTGTTTATCTCAGGTGTCCTGCAATAAACTTTCCCAGGGGTCCCCATCCAGCACAGCTGCTCCAGTGGCGCCCAAGCTGCTTCTCCAGCATCTGCGAGCTCTGCACTTGGGCTCTGAGGAGACGCGAGGTATGATGCAGGAGCAGGAGATGTTTCAGGCCTTTGGCTGCTCTGCGGGGTGAGAGTGAACACCTGTGTTTGAAGGCATGGCATGGAGCATCCTGGCCAACTTTGGGCTAGGTGTGAAGACCCAACGTTGGCTGCATCCTCTCACCTGCAGAACCAAGCAGGCCTCTTGCCAAGGGGTTAAGGCGATTCTGTAAGCAGTACAGTGGTGCCCCGCAAGACGAATGCCTCGCAAGACGAATAACTCGCTAGACGAAAGGGTTTTGCGTTTTTTGAGTCGTTCCGCAAGACGAATTTCCCTATGGGCTTGCTTCGCAAGACGAAACCTCTTGCGAGTTCTTGCGAGTTTGTTTCCTTTTTCTTAAAGCCGCTAAGCCGTTAATAGCCGCTAAGCTGCTAAGCCGTTAATAGCCGATAAGCCGCTAATAGCCGTGCTTCGCAAGACGAAAAAACCGCAAGACGAAGAGACTTGCGGAACGGATTAATTTCGTCTTGCGAGGCACCACTGTATCACTACATAGCCACCTGCTTAGAGCTTTTCAAAGGGTTAAGACTCTGAAGGGAGAGCCAGATTTCAGGGGATGGGTGACTTTAGGAGTGGGGGTTTCCTTTCCAGTCCGCCGTGCATGTGCTGAAGATGTGCAAAGATGTGGGTGGGAATCCAGGTGAGTTGCTCTGGGCAGACAAATCCCTACTCAGCATGGTGATGCTCAGCGAGTGGCCCCTATTGCTTCTTGTTTTGGGGCAGTCCTCCCAGGGCTTATCAGGTGTCTGCATGGCCTCACCTCAATGTTGCTCTGTGCCCCTTTTAGGAAGTGGGCAGCTGTGCTGCGTGGCAGAGCTGGACAGCCCTCGGCAGCTGAAGAGGACGAAGCTGGTGCCAGCCAGTAGCTCCAGCCCTGCAGCCGAAGTCGAGTGGGCGGACAAGCTCGTTCTGTAAGGAGCAGTGCTTTTTAGTTCTTTTGCGTATTTGGGGAAGGGTGTGTTGGCTGGCCAGAACCCAGGGGCTGTCTGGAATAGGAAGCACCATCTCTGGTTTGCAGCCAGCTTCCTTGGATCGGGTGTCCTGCTGCACCACTTCAATGCTTTCCCTTCAGCACCTCCACCCAGAGGGGACAGAGCAAGCCTTCATCTTTGTCCCCAAATGGTGCTCTTCCATTTCCCCTCTTACTCTGGAGAGCACTACTCATGGACCTCAAATGTGAGGATGGGAAAGGGAGCCCATGTTTTGCAGAGGGGGAATGTTCTAAACCTCTGAATGCCTGTTTCCTCTTCTTGTGCCTGGACAGGGAGCTTGGACCGAGGAGCAGAGAGCTGAAGCTGAGTGTGCTTGGGAGCAGCAGTTCTGGAGAAGGTAAGTATTTTCTGAGACCAGCCATGGAGCTGAGGATTGCTGTGACCTGTGGGTGGCCAAGGCTGCTGGGCCTGGTGGCGGCTCTCAAATGAGGTGTCAGGGACTGGCTGGACACTGAGAAGTGGTGGCTGGATATTGATGAGTGGGCAGTGGGAGCAGCTAGGTTGGAGACTGACTTGGAAGAAGGGATCAGTGATTGGGGGGTTGGACTAGATGACCGCTGGGGATCCCTTTGATCTCTACAATGCTCTGTTTCTATGATTTAAGTTGGCATAGCATGGGCTGCTGCCAGCACCTGGAACCAAGGAGAATCTCCACTTGTATTCCCTCTTCGTTGCTACTCTCTTGCAGATGTGCTCTTGGGATTTGCCACTATCCCGCTGGACTCTCCCTCCAAAGAGCCACGGGGACAGCAGCAGTACACACTGACCCCCGGAGCTGTCAGGAAGCTGCCTGCAGGAGCAGCCGTTGCACTGGAGGTGAAGTGTGAAGTGACAGGCAGAAGGGGCAAGAACTCCATGCAGGAATCTCTGGATTAGAATAACCAGTGGCCTCTGCAGGGCTTTTCCTCTTTCAGTTTGAGATTCTGTATGCAGATGTTGGGGAGGGAGAAGCAAGGGACTGAGACCAAAGTGGTCCAGCTGCAACTTACTGGAAGGTCCCCTGCCCACACCCACCCCTGCTTCAGAGTCATTAAGCACAGGCGCCAGCCTCTTTCCTTGATGTTGCCACAGTCCCTTGAGGGGCACGGACCCTTGTCTCCCAACTAAACCAATTGGAAGCTGCCTCATCTTGAGTCAGACCCTTGTGTCCATCTCGCTCATATTGCCTACACTAACTGGCAGCGCATCTCCAGAGTTTTGGGCCAGGGAGTCTCTCTCAGCTCTGCCTGGAGAGGCTGCAGGTGAAACCTGAGTATTTAATGTTTGATGTTTCATTGTGTTTTTAGTATTCTGTTGGCAGCCGCCCACCAGTTTGGTGGCATATAAATATAAACTTATGTGAACCGCCTTGAGACCTCTGGGTATAGGGCGGTATATAAATTCAATAAATAATAATAAATGATAAAAATGTTGTTGTTGTTATTGTTCTGCATGCAAATCCCTCTCCCAAGGCTGGGCCAGCTTTATGTCAGGCAATTTGGCTGCAGAAAGAGCAAAGCAGGCAGGTTCTGGGGTGCTGGTCTCTTCCTGTTCTGGGGGCAAGAAGATCACCCGCTGTTGGAGGGAAGCTGGTTCTGCTGATGGGGAGCTGCTGAACTGAGTGCTACCCCCGGTGTGTGTCTATGTGACCCCACCTGTCTGTCTGAAGCATTTGCATCTGGCTCTCTTGGCAGCTGCTCTATCAGGAACTGCCAGAGCTTCAGCTGGCCTCTTCGCTGCGAACCAGCATCACCCCCACCAAAAAGATTGAGATGGACCGCACCATCATGCCTGATGGGACCATCGTCACCACAGTCACCACCATCCAGTCCAGGCCCAAAATGGACTGCAAGATTGGTAAGGGGACCCTGTTTTCAGGGTGTCCACAGCGCTCTCTCTCTCTCTCTCTCTTTCGCTCTCTGTGTGTGTGTGTTTTAATGCATTCACAAGTGCAGTGGTGTTGCTTTGTCTGCTCCTCTGGAATGGCAAAGGCAGCCAAGAGGGACCTGCAGTTGCTGGAGAGGCACCAGCAATTTATTGTGAACCCAGCCTGTTTGCCAAATGGGCCATAGTGATGGGAGTAACACCTTCCTGGAAACAGAGCATCTTATCCAGGATCTGGAAAGATGCAGCAAGTAGCTGGTGACCGATTTGTAAAGGAGATGCACTTGGCAGCAAGTGCTGTGAGAGGCAGAAGGACTTCCTCACTGCTTTTACTTGTCCCTGGTGTGGATATCTATTTCTGGGGCTGAGCTCTTGTGAGCCTTGGCTTAAAGTTCATCCAGCGCTTTCAGGCAAAACATACTTGGTGGGTAGGGAAGGATTTCTCCCAATGGAAATGGCCAGCTTCCTTCAGGGCTGTTGGGTTATATAGCAACCCCTCCGCTTTGAAGTCCCTGCCTTCCCCTTGGATATTGGGCCCTGTGCAGCAGTACCACTCTGGCATATAACAGCACGTCTGCTTTGAGGATACTGGATACTGAGTTCTATCAAGGCAGGGAGTCTTCCACCTCCCCAGCAAGTGAACCGCATGCCTATTGTCAGAAAACCTGGAAAGGGTGTGTGTGTGTGTGTGTGTGTGTGTGTGTGTGTATGTGTGTGTGTGAAGCATCTGTTGGGTCCTGTGACCTTGTTTGCTGATTTTGCACCCCTTTTCTTCTGGAGCCCAGATTCACCCTCAAGGTCTCCATCGAAGGTGGAAGTGACAGAGAAAGTGACCACGATGCTTCCAGAAAATGGCTGCCCCAGCTCTTCCCCTTGCAGTAGTAGTAAGTCATCAGGGAGCCAATTTTTTTGTCCTCGACCACACTGCAAAGAGCTGCAAGGATTAGGCCATGGGTAGGCAAACTAAGGCCCGGGGGCCGGATCCGGCCCAATCGCCTTCTAAATCCGGCCCACAGATGGTCTGGGAATCAGCATGTTTTTACATGAGTAGAATGTGCCCTTTTATTTAAAATGCATCTCTGGGTTATTTGTGGGGCGTAGGAATTCGTTCATTCCCCCCCCCCAATATAGTCTGGCCCCCCACAAGGTCTGAGGGACAGTGGACTGGCCCCCTGCTGAAAAAGTTTGCTGACCCCTGGATTAGGCCATGTGGCATCCCTTTCCCTGCCCCACCTCGTGCCAGGAGAATGCTTGAAGAGGCCTTTGGGCCCAGCTGGAGACAAACCCATGGAAAGCTTGTCCTCCTCCTCAACTATTTTCTTGCTGGCTTGCTTTGTTCCTGTCTGGGAGGAGACCAGGAAGAGGCACTGAGAAGCCTGTGTAGCGTAATTGTAAGAGTGTTGCACTTGGGAGTCCAGGGTTCAAATCCCCCACAGCCATGCAGCTCACTGAGTGACCTTGGGCCAGTCACCGTCTCCTCTTCCTAACCTACTTAGATTGCTCAGATGATAAAATTGAGGTGGGAAAAAGGGAGGGAGCAAGAGCCACATACACCACCCTGAATTCCTTTGGAGGAAAGATGGGGTGAAGACAGAGTGCAGAAACTGGCTCACCTTGTATATTAAAAGCAGGCTGCACTTCAACATCTGTTCCGGTCAGTTTGGACCTCCAATCCAGCGTTTCCCAAACTTGGGTCTCCAGCTGCTCGTAGACTACAATTCCCACCATCCCTGACCACTGATCCTGCTAGTTAGGAATGATGGGACTTGTAGTCCAACAACAGCTGGAGGACCCAAGTTTGGGAGCCCCTGCTCTAGACAGTAGGAGTGACAAAGAAGGAAGGTCTTACACACCTTTTTCACTTGCCCCATAAATCAGTACAATAAATCTTCTATATCCATGCATATCTGTGTGTTTGTGTCTCCTCCAGGAAGCAGCCATGTGTCCAATGGCTTGGACCCAGTGGCCGAGACGGCAATCAGGCAGCTGACAGATTTGACCAATAAACCTGCCAAAAAGACCCCGACAAAGCGAAGTACGCTGATCATCTCAGGAGTTTCCAAGGTAACTGCTTATCTACTTGCTTGGAGTCAGCCATCCTTTCTTAGGAAGCTCCGAATGATGAAGTGGGTGGAAGAGGTGGTTCTGATCAGTGGGTAGGGGCAGGGAGACAGTGACTACTTTTGGCTTCTGTTGGATCGTTCTTCTCACTCACCAACCCAACCTGATCCCAGGTACCAATTGCTGAAGACGAGATGGCTCTCTCCCTTGGTTACGCTGCTTCGCTGGAGGCCACTCTCCAGGATGACTCCATTGCGACTGGCATATCTGAATATGGGCACAGCATCACTGATGCCACTCAGCAGCTGGAAGCCTCATACTCTGCCCAAAGGGAGCTGGATGAGACGACGCGCTCGGACATCTCCGAAAGGCCCTCGTTGGAGGATGTGGAATCCGAAACAGGCTCGACAGGTGCTCTGGAGACCAGGAGCTTGAAAGATCACAAAGGTGAGGCTGAGTGTGTGCCCAGGGGGTGCCCAGAACCTCAGGAGAGCTTCAACCTATTGCTCTGGCGTCGGAGAAGCTAGGGTGGTGGCATGGGATGTGGCAGAGTTCCTTGGATGTTCACGTGTTTCTCTCTCCCGCTGCAGTGAACTTCCTTCGGAGCGGCACCAAACTCATCTTCCGGAGGAAGAACAAGCAGAAGGAAGCCGGCCTCAGCCAGTCTCATGATGACTTGCCCAATGCCGGTGCTAGCTCCTCTGGCAGAAAAAAATCTGGCAGCTTCTCTCGGCGCCTCATCAAGCGCTTTTCCTTCAAGTCTAAGCCTAAACCCAAGGCCAACGGGAGTACATTGGCCATGGACAAGCACTGAGACGTCAGTGGTCAAACAGTGTTCTCCAGGAGCCCCCTTTTGTCGAAGCTTTCCCCACTCCGTATCTACATCACAGCCCAGTTCCTCTCTCCTCCAGAGCCTACCTGGATGGTTGGTGTTTGATGTTTGGAGCTTTTGCCACGTAGCTACTGTGAATGCCGCTGCCTCCCGGAGGAACAAATGGCACACAATGGCCCTGTTTGTAGCTGATCTGTGTGCTCTGTCTTGGCGTGGCGGGGGATGCAGACCCCCACGCTACCTTCAGCCTGAATTTGAAATCCTGGGAGTGCGTGAAGGAGAAGACTTTGGTAACGGTTGGCTTAACAAGAACCCCTCTCTCTGTGCTGGGCCTGTGTTAAGACATGGTTACAGGGGATGAGGTAGCAATTGATGCCAGCTTATCTGGCTAAGCTGCTGGTCTTTGCCCGATTTGTGTGGACATGTCAAACTGGATGAGCCTCCTTGAGCAATCCAGTGGCTTCTTTCCTCTTCCATGGGGGCAACGGAGGTCTCCATAGTAGGAACTCCCAGTTGTGGTCCTCTGATACAGAGGCATCTGCTGCCACCGGCTCCTACCTGGCCCGTGTCTTATGAAGATGAGAAGGGGACCCTGCACAGTGTTTGGGCAGGGGGAGGCCTCTGCCTTCTATAGAAAGAAGTGGCCCTTTCTGTGTTTTGAACCTTCTCTCTGACAAACTGGGATTAGCTTACGTGGAAGGACCGTTGCTGATCTGCCCTGCGTCAGGGCATGGAAGAGAACTCGGTGCTACAGGAAACGGCTTCCCAACTCCCTTTGAGCCCGAAGAAAGGTCACTCCAGCAGAAACTTGTGCTTGACTCTGAGTAGGGCAGAGGGCTGAAGCAGCTCTCCCGAAATGAGGCCTTGTGTGTACCCGAGTGAAGTTGAGCAGCACCTTTTGTAAAATCCTGCCGGATGCGACCAGAGATCCTGACAGGCAGTGTGTGTGATGGGAGGGAGGGAGGGAGAAAGGGAGGGAGGGAGAAAGGGAGGGAGGGATCTGCTTAGGCTGGGCTGGTCCCTCCCTGCAGCTTACTGAAAATAGATGAGGGGTAGGGGTGGGGGCGGGGGGCTAAGGAAACGAACTCTTGGGTCATCCAAAAAGTCAGTACTCAGGTTTTGCAACAATTGCGGAAGACACTTGCCCGAGACAAAATGTATTTTTCTTGGAAGCAGAGACTGCAGGGCATTTTAGTCCAAGGAAGATGCGGCAGAAGCCCAGCCATAGTGGGGTTAATGAATCCAAGCAATCCTGTCTGAGTTCTGCAGAGGTAAGGCTTGGCCAGCAATGACTGGGCCGCTGGCAGCCTCTGGCTTCATGGTGTCCACTCCCTCCATTTTTCATTTTCCCTCTGATTAGTGTCTTCAAGCGAAGTTGCCATCGTCTTCCCCTACATGAGGCCAGCTGCAGCCTTTTGGCAAACCATGGCTTGTTCTGCAGTGCAAAGCATACCTAGGCAACCCCTTGCTGTGCTGCAGTTGTGGTTTCCTTGTCCCCTCTGGAGCCCCCCTCTGTCACCATTGTAGGCTGGAGGTAGCCCTCCACCCCTCTTAGTTTTGGGGTCTCTGTCTCCATCGTGGTCCAAAGTGACAGAGGCTGAAGAGGCTGGATTCTGTGTTGGGGTTGGAAGAAACTATGGGGAGAAATCCTCTTGGAGGGTGTGCTGTGGAGTGCAGTGCAGAGCAAGGGCAGCTCAACAGGACAGTGAATCTGCCAGCCTCTAGTAGTTGCTGTACTGCAGCTCACAGAAGCCAGCTGAGTCATGGGTGGTGGGCTCCCCAGCCCTGGTATTGAAGGAACACAGTGGGAAGGGAGATCCTGAGCTGCTGCCCATCCCTAGAGACTTCCTTCCTCCTAAAGCACTAGTGGGGAATCTGTTGTTGCACTACAACTCCCACCAGGCCCAGCCAGCATGGCAAATGATCCAGGAGGGCAGGAGTTGGAGTCCAGCAACACCTGGGGGGCTGCAACAACTTGACGGTTCTGTGACAGTGCTCACATGTGGAACGAGTTAGCCATCTCAATCTGCCTGCACAGTGACTGTCTCAGCCTTGGACCAGGGACTCCACCGCATTTTAACGTATTATTTGAATTGGTCTTTATTGGACAAAAAATAATAATGGGGAGGGGTGGCGGTTCTTATCCAGGGGATGTCCACCTCGCATCTTCCTGTAAGGCTATTTCAGCAACGGAGAAGGCAGATACTTGTGGAAGCCATTTGTGCACCGGGAAAACTGATAGCTGCACTTGCCCAAGTTGACCGAGGGAGGGTGGTGGCGGCAGTGCAAGTTGAAGCCACCCCCCCAGTCCATTTGAACTTTGAAGATGTGCTGTGTGCATTGCTCCCCCCCACCTAATCCCCCCCCATTCACCTACCTACCTACCTACCTACCTCCTGGGCGAAACCCCTTCACTTGAATTACCGTAAGCCAGTTTACACACTGCAACTTTGTCCGTGTTCCCTAATTTGTCAGTTCACTAATCATGGATTCCTTAGAGGGGTTCAGGGGCTTCTTCCACTCTCTGCACTTCTGGCCATTTTTCCATTTCTGAGTGGGGTATAGATCGGGATCACAGTCTTAAAAAAAATTATGGGATCACAGTCGTAACCCCCCCCAAAAAAAACCCTCCTACTTACTCTTCCACTCTGGTTTTCATAAGGCTTGCTTCTTGGGGCTGCATAAATTTGCAACAATTGTGGTATGCTTGAACCGGACGACTGGCAGGGGTTGCCTGCACCTAGGCATTGTTCTTGGCCAAAAAATAAAAAATGCAAGGGTTTCACTATAGACTTGATGGGCATGCAGACAGATTTAATTTTTGCACTTAAAAATTGATGTCAGGGATCCTGACAGAGGAAGCCTTCTGCTTGCAGATGTGTATGGGTCTCTCTGGGTTCATCTCCTCTTAAGAGGCTTTTAAATGGTTTTTCCCCCCTGTTCTTGAGATAGGCAGCTGAAGGTTCCTGGCTCCACCTTATGCTAGGAGTTGAGGCTTCATCGCCATGGCACCTTAGCCCAGGTCTTTTTCACTTTTAAAAGGCTGCTGATGGTTCAGGATGGTCAGTGTATATATAGCTTGATGAGGAAATTAAACATAGAGATCCCTGGATACAGGTAATGAAGGAATCTCCAAGCCAGTGACCATCAGAGAATTAAAAAGCCCAGGCTGAGTACAGCGCAGTATGGATGTGTATCTTGAGTAGCTCAGACTTGCACCCGCTATGCTGCCAACAGCTTGTATGGGGGTGGGGGTGGGGTTAGGGAGAACCTTTCCACTGCTCAGGGTTTATCAAGCTGAGAAATGGGCATGAGGGTCTCCCCTTGGGAACGGCATTATGTGATAAAAAATTCCAATGGAATGAAATGTGACAGACTCAGATGAATGTCTTGGGGGGGGGGAGCTAAATAGTAATTTAAGGTTCTGGCATCTTCCCCTTTCAGTCTTTCCCTGTGGAAAAAAGGACTTTCCCTTAGCGCTTGCTTTTGTCAACTTTTGAATGCAACAATTTGTGGCCTTGTCTTTTATCACCTTCCTTGCCCCACCCCAACCTCCAAGTCCAATTTCCACCTGGAGTTAGGAAAACCAAACCTGGCTGGTGGCATAGGGAAGAGGGAGAGGAAGTGTTAATGTCTCACTGCCAGGCACCAGCAGGAAGGTGAGGGCGGAACACCCTGAACATTACTTAGGTTAGAACAAGCTGGGTCCCTTCGCCTTCTCTGCTCACCCCTTGTCCATCTGCATTCAGTTTCCTTTCTCCCTGGGCACCAGGAGTTTCTCATTTCATCCTTGCCATTTTACTAGGAAGGAGAGCAGGCTGTGAACTCACGGGCAGGTAATGGCTGCCCACCTGAGGCAGGAAGGGGCAGTAACTAGGCAGGGGGTGGAGAAATCTCTGAATGCTTTTTCAGTCATGTTTTGGGGTGGCAGTGAGGAGCTCCACGAGGTGGGTTTTGATGGGAAGCTGAGCTGCTTTGTCTCCCCACCCTGACCCCAGCCGACCACCATTCTTTACTGCTTAGCAGTCACTGCCCTCTAGGCTGTGAAACCTTTGTTCACCTTTGTGCAGGTGCTGGACCAAACCCTCCAAAATGGAGCCCAAGCTCACATGCCCCTGCTCCCCCAACACATGGGCTCCTCTGTACCTGAGGCCTTCTCTGTGGGTGGATTGTTGTAACCCCCAGATTGTTTAGATTAAAAGAAATAGGAACTGTGTAGATATTTAAAGGACTAGAAAAAAAAATATTTAAGGATGATTGTGAAATTCTGCACCTTTGTATATGTTGGAAAGTTCCACTGCTGTGTGATGGGCTGGACTTTTAACTTATTAAATGGAATTGGAACCACAAGCAGTCTCCACCTTACCTGTTTCTCATAGCTGCTGGTTTGTTGGGTTTCTTTCCAGGTGGGTCTCAAATACAAATCTCCCTTCGACTTGCTTGTAAAAACAGAGGCATACCTTTTTTTTTAAAGTGCGGGTGGAAATATGATGTCTGTGCTTTAACTCAGTTGGAGGAATCTTTCTAGTGGCAACTGTTCCTCACCATGACCTCCCTTGGCTCTTCTCCCAATCGAGTTGTCTAAGTTGCTTTCTTTTACCCTCGCATTTCTGACAGCTGCAGCAAACTCTGGGAGGAAAGGTTTCCTTCTGCATGATCTGTATGTAGGTGGGAAACACACAAAAACACCAACCCTCTGGAAAGTGCTGAGTTAGTGATACACTGACCCCCCTGCTCTTCCTTCCCCCTGCTCCATCAATCTCTCTTCACCCTCTCATCACACTATTTCCGCCCTACCCCCCTCCCACCGCAACCGCTTCTCTCTATCGAGTCCTCCTAGCGCTCTCCAACGTGCTGTAACCAGGCAGCCCTTGCAGATTTTGGCCACTGGGCGGCAGCACGGGCGAGAAAACCCCGCAAAGTTTTGCAGCACCCGAAAAACGAGCAAGATGGCTAAATCGGTGGATCTAAGTGACCGCCGGCGTAGACTCTTTTTTTTTGCACAAAATACGAGGGCTCGCTCTCGGGCACTCGTAAGCAAGGCTGAATTCAGCCTCTGCGTCCCGAGAGCAGCTCATTCCACCGTCTCCCCTGTTTACAGCTTCCATACCAGTTGCAACAACTTGTCTAAGAAAACAAGGCGAATCAGGGGCAGACTCTGGTTAAAGGTGTAGCCTGCAAACAGCCTGTAACACGGACGGGGGCATCCAATGAAGCTGAATGTTAGGTTCAAAGCAGACAAAAGAACGGGCTTCTTTCCACCGTACAGAACCGTAAGATTGTCTCCCCACCCCTTTCCTTGTTTTATCCCTGCCAGCGTTGCTGCACTGTGGTGAGGGATACTAGAGACTTTGTTTTTCACACAAGCCATTCTCCCCAGTTATGATTCCCAGGAACTGGCATTCAGAGCCATGGGTAACGGTAAAGGGACCCCTGACCATTAGGTCCAGTCGTGACCGACTCTGGGGTTGAGGCGCTCATCTCGCTTTACTGGCCAAGGGAGCCGGCGTACAGCTTCCGGGTCATGTGGCCAGCGTAACTAAGCCACGTCTGGCGAACCAGAGCAGCGCACGGAAACGCCGTTTACCTTCCCACCGGAGTGGTACCTATTTTTCTACTTGCACTTTGATGTGCTTTCGAACTGCTAGGTTGGCAGGAGCTGGGACCGAGCAATGGGAGCTCACCCCATCGCAGGGATTCGAACCACCAACCTTCTGATCGGCAAGTCCTAGGTTCTGTGGTTTAACCCACGGTGTCACCCGCGTCCTATTCAGAGCCATACCACCTCCAAAAGTGGAGGTGGAACCATGGGCATAGCCAGAATTTGTTGGGTTGGAGGGGCAGGAGACCCACCTGTCACCATCCTCTGTCTGGCTCTGTGTAGCAGATGCAGAATGAAATGTCTCAACAGCTGTTCTTTTAAAATACTTTCCTTTGACCCCAAGTGCTCAGAAAAATCTGTAATTTCTACTTTTAGTTAAGTATTTTTATTTATTGGCTTGATTTGCGGAAGGCGGACTATGTTCTTAACCCACATCCATTCCTGAAAATGACATCACCTGGGATTGGGTGATGGGAATGAGAGGAGCAGCAGCTGTGTGTCAGCTGCATAGGAGGCCCATGCCCAAGCCCTTTCAATTGCCTCAACCAGCAGTTAGTTTCATGTAGATATTAAAAAGCACAGATGAGGATCTGTGGTACCACAAAGGTCATAGCAGTAACTTCAACCTCCAGGCACCATATTCTGGGCTTGGGCTTCTAGATTAGAACAACCAGAAAGGTTAAGGGGACAGAGCAGATGCAAGTTACACTAGAATTCATGGACATCTAATGATGCTGAATGTTGGAAGATGCAGAACAGACAAAAGGAAGTCCTTCGTGCACCAGTATGGAACTCGTTCCCACAGTGATGGGAACCAACTTGGGATAGCTTGGAAAAAAGGGAGAATACTAATGGAGGATAAAGTTATCAATGGCTACTAATCCTGAAGGTGATGTTCTACCTCACCTGGACTAGATGGCCCGTGGGCCTGATCCAGCAGGCTCTTCTTATGTTCTTAGATGACCTACTGAAAGGTGGCATCATGTATACCCATCCTAGCCAGATCCAGGACTAATGGTACCAACTCTGCTAAGAGAGCCAGGAAAACCACCTGGCATGGGACACCTATCTGGGTGACCAAGACAGTTTCCATTCCAAAAATCAGGCCTAACGCCTGAATGGAATGGATCTAAGTGCTCAACTTCACTCAGAAACCTGGAGTGAAGATGCAACCCAAGGCAGAGACACCCTACCTATGGTAATAGTTATTCATACCACAAGTGCGGAGGGCAGATTTCTTTAGTAAGGCTCTCTCCATACAGAGCATCCTTCAGAATGGTGGGAACCACCCGCACTATAGGGAAGGAACCTACTAGGGCAGACACCTAGTTAGATATGACAGACTCTGCCCCATTGACCAGCCAGGATGGGCAAAGGTCTGGTCTCACTTCTCCAAGGAAGGTGTCCAACCATCGAGGCCAGCAGCGTGAAACCTTGACCAGCCCAAAACTTGGTGGGGACTCCAGTGGATGGTCAGGAGCCCTGCCTGCCCTTGTCTGGCCCCTCCCCCGACAACCCCACTGTCTGCTTCTCTGTAGCCAGGCATTCCCACTGTGGCTCTCTTGCAGGGACTTCCTTGACCTCTCAGGTCTGCCACACAATATAGGCAACGGGGGCCACCCAAGAGGTCTGAAGAGGCAGTCCCTAGGAGCTGCTGAGGCTTGCCAAGAAAGGGCGGTCGTTCGCCTCCCCCCTTTGCCTCTGGTGCAAAAAAACCCACACACTTGGTCTGCCTTGGTTCGTGCCAGGGGTGCCAACTTGAATACAAAATTGAGGGGGCCCAGGTAAGCCCCACCCCACATAATTGACCACAAGACACCTGCACACCACTTGAAGGGGCAATTGCTAGGGGCCAAGGGGTCTTTGGCTCTCCCATAAAATATTTGAGGGGGCTGCCTCCCTAAGTTGATGGGCATTGTCATTCAAATGGTGTGCGTGCACGTGATTGATTATGCAGGACGGGGTTTACCTGCCTCCCAATATTTTGTTCAATCTGGCACCCCGATGCCCATCAACTTTTTTGGGGGGGGGGGTCTGTCCGGCGCCGTCTAATATTTTATGGAGGGGCAAAGGGACTTCGGCTCCTCTAGCTCGCGCTGTGCGCCGCGGGCTCCGGTCTCCCTCCGGCCAGGAGGCGTCCTCAGGAGAGCCAGGCCGAGAGAAGATGCTCCTTGCCCGGACCAACGCGCAGAGGAGGAGGCGGCGCTACGAAGCTCCCGGCAGGCGCGCCTTCCGAGCGAGCCGCCGCTGCCGCGTGCGCAGAAGGAGCCGCTGCCTCTCTGCGGCTCGGCCCGCCCGTGGACTACAACTCCCAGCGAGCTCCGGCAGAAGGAAAAGCCTTTGCCTCGGACAGCCGCCGCCGCCGCCCAGGCTCGAGCGCGGAGCCTTCCCAGCTGCTGCGCTGGAGCCGGCCCGCGGCGCCGAGCAACAGGAGCCTCTGCATCTCGCCTAGGCCGGCGGCGCCCCATGCAGCTGCAGCTCCCGCCGCGGCCTGGAGGTGCCTCCCGAGGCCGCCGCCGGGCCGCTGGGAAGTAGCCTGGTCCGCCTAGCCGCTGCCCGCTCCTCGCCTTCCTCCTCCTCCCCGCGCGGCCTTCGAGCAGGAGCCGGCGGAGCTGAGCATGGCTCGGGCGCTGCTGGGGCTGCTGCTGTGCTTGGGCTCCGGGGTGGCGCGAGGCCCCGTCCAGGCGCCCGTCGGGCTCCGGCTGCCCTTGCGGAGCGCGCCCACCCAGTCGCGGGAGCCGCGCTCGGCCGACGAGCAGGACGAGCCTCGCCCCGGTAGCGGCGGCGGCGGCGGCGTCTTCGCCGACATGCTGGACAACCTGCGAGGCAAGTCCGGGCAGGGCTACTACGTGGAGATGACGGTGGGGAGCCCCCCGCAGAAGGTGAGCCGCCGTCGGGCCACGAGCTTGGCGCCCACTGACCCCCGTGTGCTGGCGGGCGGGCGGGCAGCGAGGGGTATCCGGCCAGGCCAGCGCCCTTCCCCATGCTGGGGTGGGGTGGGGTCCCTAAGGAGACGGCATGGCTCTAGATCAGGGTTTCCAAAACTTGGGTCTCCAGCTGTTTTTGGACTACAACTCCCATCATCCCTAGCTAGCCGGACCAGTGGTAGTCCAAAAACAGCTGGAGACCCAAGTTCGGGAATCCGTGCTCTGGATGCTTTCAGAATGCTTCCTATCCAAGGCCAGTGATCCCCCCTCTGAAGAAAGTCCGTGGGTTGCAGGTGGAGATGGGGCTGTGTGGGGGAGACAGTAAGTGTGTGTGATGCTTGGGTGGGGCGGGGGCTCCCCAAGGCCATCTGGTTAATGCAGGGCAGAGAGATCAACCTTGCAGCCTGTACTTTTTAGCTCACAGCTCTGACTCTTAGCTCCCAGCCTAGGATTTTCAGCGGGGCTTCTGGTGGGGCACTTTGCAGATGATTTCCAGGAGCTGGACCTTCAGAAGATCCAAAGTACCTGGGGGAGGGGAGACTGAAGGGGCCGCTGCAAGGATGAAAGGGGAAAGTTGGGTGTTGTGTGCTGCCTGCAGAGAGAGAGACAGATCACTTGCCTCCTTGTTCGCCCTTCATGGCCGGGAGGGCAAGATGGCAAGAGGGATGTCTTCTCTGAGTCCTATCTGAATCCTTTGAAAACACTTTTTTAAAAGGAGGAGTTGGATGAAAGGTATTCAGACGTGGTCTGTCACTGAAATCGGGTCTCACTATGTCTAACCAGACCACACAACTAGTGACCATCCCTGTGCTCTCGTGCGGCCAGCCCCATTGTGTCCTTAACTGACATCCAGCAGCCTTTCCAGTGCAAAGCAAAGCAGTCCTTGTCGGTGGAGCTGTTTTTGCTGGCTCCTCAGCAGCTTTATTTGGGGTCCCCCCAGGGAACAGACTGGGGGAAGGGCTTTCGGAAGAGGTGCAGCCATTGATAAAAGTGAGCAGAGCGTGGAAATAATTTGTTTCCTCTGGGATACAGGAGCATTTCTTCTCCACTGGTGAAAAGAGGCTGTGCTAATCTGGAGCTGCTTCTCTTTAGCAGCTTTGAAAATGAGAAGCTGCCGTAGAGAGCGACTGGTTGGGTGGGTGAGGAAGAGACCTGGCTTAGAACGTGTGTGTGGATCCGAGGGGAGAAGTGGCATTTTTGTCATGTACGAAGACACAAAATTTCACAGGGATCCCTCTGTGCTGCTGGATTGCCTGCTTCTACGCAAGCAGCCGGATGTACCTGGGCATTTGTTGAGGCTTAAGCCGCAGCTTAGCCGTGGGATTTATTTTTAGCGCTGGGGCTTGGCCTGAAATATTGCGGGTGATAGCCTCTGAGGATGTGCAGAACGCATTTCCAGCACCTTTGCTTCTTTCCAAACTGACCCATGGTGTGCTCCACATCTTGGGTGAGGGGGCTCTCTGTGCCCTTCCACTGCCGAGCTGACTTTTCACCGCTGGGGAAAAGGCCATGAAACCCCTCATCCCTTTACTTCGCCTTGCCAAGCAGGTTTGCTCAGAGCTGCCTGATTCCAGGAAGGCTCCCGCAGCTCCCCAAGCCTCCTCTGACGGCTGCCTCTTCAGCTCTCTGGCCGTGGGCCAAGTAAGCAAGAGATGCCAGCAACATATGGTGCTTTCAGTGGAATTAAAGGTTCCTTATATAAAGCTTGCATGTGTGTGAAAGCAAGTGGGAAAAGTACAAGCCTATATGTGTGCGTGAGTAAGTGGTACCAGGTGTGCATATTATGAGCACATTTGTTTTCTTAGGCCCACAGTGGCAAAATTCAGGCTAGCGAATTAAACCTCTCTGCAAAGCTGAGCCTCCAAAGCCAGAGCAAACACTGGCATTGCTTCCCCAAAGTGCTTGTATTCGGACTTTGAAGAGGCTCTAGAGTGACAATACGGTGCCACAAGCTACAGGGGACAAACTCTAACAGACATTACAAACTCAAACTCATAAAGATATGTATAACACAACAATTCGTTACAGAATTAGAGATAAGTGTTTATGAGTAGAGATAAGTTCATGTTAGTGCACAGTCAGATTTGACGTGGAGGTCTTAGTTTCAATCACTGAGCAGAAGTCAGAAGTCAATTATGGATCAGAAACCAGTACAGGGCCCTGTTTCGATGTATTCACCTTCATCAGCTAATTTTTAAAGGGTCGGGTAAGTTTGAAGACTTTCGGATAAATATATCCTGTTATTTTCTACGTTTCTCAGAGATAACAACTACATGTGGATAGATCAACGTGTATCTTGAGCTTTTCTGTGCATTTACATGTTGATCTACCCACACATAATTATTGTGTTATACATATCTTTATGAGTTTGAGTTTGTAATCTCTGTTAGAGTTTGTAATCTCTATTTGAGTTTGTAATCCTTGTCAGAATACATACTTTTGAATGGATTAGTTTTTGTTACAACTGACTATTGATTTGCAAGTAGGGACTACTCCCACTATTGAAACTAACATTGGCCTGAGTTCTTGGTGTGCTTTTTTCTTGGTATATTTAATAACAAGAACTCCAACTTATTTAACAAGCTACAGGGTGTCATATCTGTGTGGATGAGGGGAAATGTGAGTTTGCAAGGGGTTTGGTGGGCAGCCTTTGTCTGACTGCAAGTGAGTGTAGCTTGTGAAAGCTGAAAAGTGCCAGGATTTGCGGGGTGTGGGTGTGGCTTGAGCAGAGCATCCTCAGTGGTGACCCCAGGTGTGGGTGGGTGTGCAAACTGTTGGCCTTTTTGGGTGCCAGCTGCAAAGTGAGATTGGCAGGGCTGGTGGGGCATTGGGTTGGGGAGCTGACCTTGCTGTCATCTGGAACAACAAAGGCTGTTGTCGTCTCCCTCTGGGACCCATTGCCAGGCCGTAGAGCCCTGTCAAGGTGGTGCTTGAGTGTTTGAGCCACTGGGTGGAAAAACAAACTCTGTTTGGGGTGTGTGTGGGGAAGAGTCACATTGACTCCCTTGGATTTGCTTTCTCTAGTCTAAAAGGGTGTGGTGCCACCCAGGGTCATTGCAGGCTCATTTTGTTGTAACCTCCATTCTATTCAATTGGACTTATCCTGTGCAGGGTGTATTGGTCTTGCACCCTTAAATGCCTTATGCTGAACTCTTCACATTCAGGCAAAGAGATGGTAGCAGCAGAAGCAGAGAGCAGACTCTGTTTCCCCCGAAGATTGCTTTGAGTGCACAAGCCAGTTCATTGACATCTGTTAATTTAGTTAAACTTACGGGGTTGGAGCCAATGATGAGTAGACCCAACTAAACCCAACTGGCCGTAAATTAGCCATGGCCATTAACTTTGATGGGCCTACTCTGTGTAGGGCTGGCATTGGTGACAACCCTACGGAAGCTTGACTTTGTCTGTTGCCTGGATGGTGAGTATTCAAAGGAGGCAGGTGACAGCCTTCAGAAAATTATCGGAGGGAGCAAGAGATTGTGCTTTGTGTACACATGTGCACTGTGGTTTGCTGATTAGTGCAAAAGCAGTAAGTCCTTTCCTGGCACACTCTCAGTGGGGGATTAGGAGAAGATGGAGCTCTTGTGAGGTCAGGATTAAGGCTGCCCAGCAGCAAGACCTGGCAAGGCTCTCTATTGCCCCCTCTCTGTTTAGGCCCCACCCGGCTGCTCACTGAGAGATTTTGCAGCAGGACCCAAGAGGAGGTTGGTATGGCCGCTCTGATACACTTCCGCCATTGGTGTGTGTGTTTATTGCCCAGGTTTGCAGCTGAACAGAGGGAGTTCAATTACTGCCAGCAAACCCAGTGGCGGCTTGCGGCTATGTCCTCTGGGACGCACGGAAGAGGCTGTTCTGGTGCAGTGCATAACTGCTTCTGCTGTCCTGGGCAAAAACAACGGGTAGGCTTCTGTTCTCCACACTCTCAGCTACTAACAAGAAGTGCCTGGGTTTTCACATGCAACCGCATGTAGAGAAAGTGAGATGGCAGGTCCCCAAAGGCAGGGAAAGGATGAAGGAGACCTCTTGGCACAGAATTGGGCTTTTATTGAGCCCAACTTTTCCCCAAATTGAATCCTTCTTCCAGGGCTCTCTTAGGCACAACCATTTTCAGTCTCAAGTTTACAGAGTAATTTTGCAATGCATTCTGAAAATCGGGGACTGAAATTTGCTGCCCCTAAGAACACCATTGAAATATTCTTGGCTCCCACCTTTCCTTATAAAATAAGTTAACATGATAAGAACAAAATAGGAGCACAAAACTCTTTTTGGGGGGGGTGTGGATCTTCCTGAACCGCTTTGCTAATGATCCAATCATTTTGTTGTTTTCCTTTTCAGTTTAGTTCTCTCTGTTGATGTGCAACCCATGTGGACTTAGGCCGGTGCACACCTGGCTGCAGTGACTTTACCACTTGCAGATAGGCCAGTTACAGCAAATCACTGCATTAGTGGTAACATAAGGACATAAGATGTTGCTGGATTAGGCCAATGGCCCTTCAAGTGCAACGTCCTGTTCTCATAATGGCCAGCCAGAAGCTATGGGAAGGCTGCAAGCAGAACAAGAGCCCTCTCTCTCTGGTGGTTTTCTGCAACTGCTATCAGAAGCATTACTGCCTCTGACCATAACCCAATAGCTCTGTCTGAACCAATGGTCTGCTTAGGAGGTTCTTGTTTGTTTTTGGTTTGGTTTTTTTTTTTTGTCTTGGCCTCTAAGGTCCAACAGTGGGGAACTACAAATCCCATCATCCACGACCATGCTTGCTGCGCTGATGGGAATTGTAGTTCAGCAACATCTGGTGGGCCAGAGGTTCTCCACTCCTGCTGACGTGCTGCTGCTGCTGCACACTTGGTGCTAAAGGTCATTGCTTGTCATTTGGGGTTGTCTTGAGTTCTAGATCAGCCCTGCGAGTTGCTGACCTATCAAAGCATCTTCTTACTCCGCCAGGTAGTCACCGACATTTAAGAGTCTTGCCTATAAGAAACCAGTAGGAGTGGTCAGGAGGCAGAGGTGAATATATAAGGGGAATCCCTCTGTCAAGTGCTGGTAATAAAATGCAGGAGGTGCCAAGCCAAGTGCTCTGTGCTGTATAAATGTTTAAGGATGCTTTGAGCATTCTGCATCTTTGTGAAGCTGAGCCACAGGATGCTCATAGCCTAGAGAAGACTGATGCTGTGTACTAATGGCTGCTGATGGACCTTTTAAGTGAGCCATATGGAACGGAAGGATGATGAATTTTGGTGAAAAGCTGTATAAATATAGAAGAATCCTATGTGAACGATCCAGGAGAGGGAGCCAACAAGTATCTGGCATCCTGCTTGTGATCTCATTGTGATTAGGCACACATGACTTTCTTCCCAGAAATCTGGAGATAGCAGAAGCTACAAATGCCTTTGCCTGGTCTGACATTTGCAGGAAGTGACTTGAGGTCTTGCAGCCTGCCTCTGTGCTGACCTCTTGCCTCCATGGCGAGGTTTCTTCCTTGCTCCATTTGGGGCTGCTTAAGACAAGCAAGGCTAGGGGGGGACTGTTGCTTTTTCGATGGCCTTTAACTGGAGAGAAATTCCTCCCCAAGCTGCTGGGCTCAAGCCTGCGTGGACACTATGCTCTCCCATCTATGGCCTGTCTTGCTGCATGGCTATCCAGGCAGGAGAGTTGGGGCTTTTCTTTCCAAAGATGTGCTTACTAAGTTTTCAAAAACAGCAACAAACAAACAAACAAGACAGACAATTAATAATAATAATAATAATAATAATTTTTTATTTATACCCCACCCTTCCCGGTTCAGAAAACCAGGCTCAGGGCGGCTAACAACAAATTTAAAACACTTAATTGATGCAACAAAAAACAGCATAAAATACAGTATAAAATGTGCATAACAATAAATTCAGAATTCAAAATCAATTTAGGGGGGAAATCCATCCAATAAACATTAGATGATCACCAGGGCTAGCTGGCTAAATTAGTCCTATTTGGGCCAGCGAGGAGGCCAGGGGAGAATTAGCTGTGGGATCCCAGAGCGGGAAATCTTCATAAAAAGGGGAGAGGGAGGGAAGGAAGGGGAATAAAAGATCAGGCTAAGTTTAAATTGAAAGCCAGGCGGAATATCTCTGTCTTACAGGCCCTGCGGAAGGACGTTAAATCCTGCAGGGCCCTGGTCTCATGGAACAGAGCATTCCACCAGGTCGGAGCCATCACTGAGAAGGCCCTGGCCCTTGTGGAGGTTTAGAGGCTCAGGACCTCTAAACTACGATTATTCATGGACCTTAAGGTCCCCTGCAGGGCATACCATTAAGAAACAAAAACATTATTGCAGTCGGGATAAAATTTTGCAGGCATCCTAATGAAATAGATTCTGCAAAGCAATGTTTTGGAGGAGTCACATATCAATACCATAGCCTTTCCACATGGAGGCATGTGCCGTTGGGGGTCTATTCAGCACACTATTCTTATTTATAAAGCATATGAACAGTGAGCATACAACAGTGAAGTAGTCTTGTTTCATAACCCCTCTTTGAATTCTCCTATGAGTGGCCCAGACCCTCTCAAAGCACCCATCCCTGGAGAGTATTTGTGCCTTAGTGCATGGGGGTGTCCCCTCCTTTCTTGGAGCGTAAAAAGCAGATGTGGGAAACATCTGTGCTCTCCCCCAGCTGTTGCTGCGCTGCACCTCCCATCAGCCCTAGTGTTGTGCAAGTCTAACAGCATCTAGGCAGCTTCTTCACTCCTAGTGTAAAGGACAGTGTTCCTGTGCTGTTTCAGACAGCAGCGCTTCAAATTGTTCCGCGTTTGACCCCACAAGGTTAGCAAGCTATCTGTCTTTCTGCTGCACCCCTTGTGCAAAGGGTTAGGCCGCGTAGCGATTGGGGGAGGCAGGCTCCTTCCAGCCTCAGCGCCACCACCTTGGGGTCTGGCAGCCCTGACCTTCCCCAGCTGACATGGAAACTGATACACCTGCAGCTTGCTGCTGATGCTGACGCTTCTTCCAAGACTGGCTAAACCACACAGAGGAGCTGCTGCTGCTGCTGCTGTCGCTGCAGACCAAGGGCAGGGGGTGAACCAGTGACGTTGTGCTCTGAGCCGGCTTCTCCCTTTGGCTTCAAGATATGTGCACAGAGACGTTTTCCTTGGGGGAACTTGCCTTCCACTCCTGGAACTTGGAACAGGCCGCTGCCCAAAACGACAGAACATTTGCATCTTGATGCCAAGCTTGGCCTCTCTGTGCCCAATTTAGATCCTTTCTCCCTGAGGTAGAGACCTCTGTGCTTCAGAAGGCTGCATATGCCCAATGCTAACAGAAGCCAGCCTCGTTTAAAAGACGTGGTGCTGCATTATGCACCCTGGAGCTATTATATTCTGGGCTGTGGGTGGGTCAGGCACAAGCTCATTGTCCTGGACAGGATGTTGCCGTGCACATTTGGGCTGCTCTGCATGAAACGCACTGACCTTTCTCCCTTTCTCTTCCCCCAGCTGAATATCTTGGTGGACACAGGGAGCAGTAACTTTGCTGTGGGTGCAGCACCTCACCCTTTCCTCAGGCGGTACTACCGGCGCCAGCTGTGAGTATGCAGGGAAGCTGATGTGGGGCTGGGCAGGAGAGGGCAGCTCTGAGCTTGCGAGGAAACTGCTCCTCTCCCCTCTTCTGTCCCGCCAGCCTCTTTCGCCAGGGAGGTGTTTAGCCCCTAATTTGCTTGAGGGGCTTTCGCCTTTGCAAGCGCCAGCCATAATCCCTATGCCCCTTTACCCCATCTGTCTCTGGTCTTCTGAAAACACTTTTTCTTTTCAAATTTTTTTTATTGGTTTTCACAACATTATAAACAAACAAACACATAAGACAAACAAACATGAAGCATAGCCTTATTGAAAATTACACTTGTTAACATTGTTAAGTGACTTCCTTGCTTCCCCTTGGTTGAATTTCATTGCATGTCCTTTTAACGGTTTTCCAAATCACAGTTCTTATAAAATTTAACTTAAACATTAACATCCTTAAATCTTCACATTATGAAATTAAACATATTAATTCGACACTTAACATAAATAAAATCCTGAGCCAATTAAGTATCTGCAAGCTGTTTTCATTTAATTTAACTTAATATATTTAACTAAGTAATCATTAAATTTAATCCACTCTTCCTGATACTCCTCCTCCTTCTGGTCGCGGACGCTTCCAGTTAGGCCAGCTAGCTCCGAAAAATCCATCATCTTCATCTGCCATTCTTCGATCGTTGGTAAGGTCTTCTGAAAACACTTGACCATCTGGCCACGGGCTGGCAGTGCCAGGGTGACACCAGCACACAGATCAGGGCTAAATGGCTTCTTTCTGTGCCGTGGGGGAAGAAATGCTGAGCTACTGTCTAGCCCTCGAGCTGCTGTTGGAGGGCACAATGGACAATGGCAGGCTGATTCCCTTCCGCCTCGGTCTGCTCACTGCCTCCTCGCCTTGTGTGGCCGAGTGGGGAGAGCCAGCCAGCCTCCGTTCAGAGCCAAGGCGCTGATGGGGGAGTCAGCCCAAAGCCGGCCGGGAATGGACTGGGTGCTATGGACATGCCTCAGGGCGATCTGCTCCTCTTGCTACTGAGACGTGAGCAGAGAAGATGGGCAGGTGCACACCATTGATGTGATGTCCCCCCCCCCACACCAAGGCACCACATCTGCCAAGAGCACTCTCAGAATTACAGTGGTACCTCAGGTTAAGGACTTAATCCGTTCTGGAGGTCCGTTCTTTTCTTTTCTTTTTAAAATAGTTTTTATTAAGAATTTCAACATAACAAATTATCAAAAACATATCATCTTCATTTCCCCCCCCATTTCCCCCCCTCCCCAAGAAAAACCCTTCCTCCCCTCCCCCCACAAGACTTCCCTCAGCTCCTCTCTCTGGTTTTTCAACACATATTATTCTCTGCATGTTACAAAATTGTAAAAATCCTATCTATCTATTATGTTAACAATAATAAATTTGTGTATGTTTATTCAAAACCTGCCAAGGAGTCCAATTCATTTTGTTGTTTTTTAACATAATTTGTAAAAAGTTCCCATGGCTCTCCAAATCAACACAGACTGTGGAAACTTCACACTGGACTTCAAGCATCTGGCATTGTGTGCCTCCCCATTCTTCCTCCAGACTCTGGGTCCTTGGTTTCCAAATGAGATGCAAAAGCTGCTCTCATCAGAAAAGAGATTTGGGGAGCCATGTCATCAGCTGGTGTTGGTCCACTGTGCTTCAATACAGTCCAGGGTCAACACAGCCATCTCCCAGGAGATTTTGGAGCACTTCATGCTTCCTTCCGCAGATGAGCTTTATGGGGATGCTGATTTCATTTTCCAGCAGGACCTTGTCACCTGCCCACACTGCCAAAAGTACCAAAACCTGGTTCAATGCCCACGGGATTACTGTGCTTGATTGGCCAGCAAACTTGCCTGACCTGAACCCCATAGAGAATCTATGGGGCATTGCCAAGAGACAGATGAGAGACATGAGACTGAGCAATGGAGAAGAGCTGGAAGCTGCTATTGAAGCATCCTGGTCTTCCATAACACCTCAGCAGTGCCACGGGCTGATAGCATCCATTGCACACCGCATTGAGGCAGTAATTGATGCAAAAGGGGCCCAACCCAAGTACTGAGTACATATGCATGCTTCTACTTCTCAGGGGTCCAATATTGCTCTATTTGCAGTCCTTGTTTTGCTGATTTTTTTTTAATATTCAAATTTTCTGAGATTGTTAATTTGGGGTTTTCATCAGCTGTACGCCATAATCATCACAATTATAACAAATAAAAGCTTGACATATCTTGCTTTGCATGTCCCGAGTCTATCTCATATATTAGTTTCACCTTTTAAGTTGAATTACTGAAATAAATGAACTTTTCCACGATATTCTAGTTTTCCGAGTTTCACCTGTAGTCCAGCAGTTTGGCTTGCCATTCTTCCCTAGTTGGGACTGTTGGTTCTTTGCATCTTTGGGTTAGTAGCATCCTTGCAGCTGTTGTCGCATATATAAACAGTCTTTCTTGGTCTTTCCTTGAGTTTTTGAGGCTGCCTCATGCAGGTAGTTCCCTCAACATGCCACCTACCTGTGTTCTCACTGCCTCATAACCTCCCCCTGTGTGTCTCTTGCAGCTCTGGTACGTACCGGGACTTGCGGAAAGGAGTCTACGTGCCGTACACGCAGGGCAAGTGGGAAGGGGAGCTTGGCACTGACCTGGTGACCATCCCCCACGGCCCAAACGTCACCGTCCGCGCCAACATTGCTGCCATCACCGAGTCGGACAAGTTTTTCATCAACGGGTCCAACTGGGAAGGGATCCTGGGCCTGGCATATGCAGAGATTGCCCGGGTGAGCCTGGCATCAGTGTGGGCACCTCTTTTTTTTTTTTGGAAGTGTGGGCACCTCTGAAGAAATGTACCCCAGCGCAAATCACAACTACAGAGTAAAAACAACAACAACATCTCACAATGGAAATGTGTTGGGCAGTTAAAATTTATTAAAATTCCCTACAGTTTTCCAGTTTAGAAGCTTACCTGTTTTTGTTTGTTTGTTTGTTTGTTTGTTTGTTTGTTTGTTTTACCCTTGGAAGCTATAATGCAGCCACAGAAGCAGCATAGGATAACCCTCCTTTAACCCCATTGCCCTGGTTCCTGGAACGCCCAAAGGGGCTTAGGGAGCCAGTCCTGCTGTCCTTAAAACTGAGCTCCCCTTAAAGGGCATTGCCATCTTGAATGCCACCTGCAGAACAGTCTCCTTGCATTTGTCCTCTGGCAGGTCTCTGTGAGACCTTAAGCACTTTACATAATATAATATAATAATTATTATTTATACCCCGTCCATCTGGCTGGGCTTCCCCAGCCAGTCTGGGCGGCTTTCAACAAAATATTAAAATACAGTAATGGATCAAACGTTAAGAGCTTCCCTAAACAGGGCAGCCTTCAGATGTCTTCTAAAAGTCTGGTGGTTGTTTTCCTCTTTGACATCTGGTGGGAGGGTGTTCCACAGGGCTGGCGCCACTACCAAGAAGGCCCTCTGCCTGGTTCCCTGTAACTTGGATTCTCGCAGTGAGGGAATCACCAGAAGGCCCTTGGCACTGGACCTCAGTGTCTGGGTAGAACAATGGAGGTGGAGACACTCCTTCGGGTATACAGGATCAAGGCTGTTTAGGGGTTTAAAGGTCAGCACCAACACTTTGAATTGTGCCCAGAAACGTACTGGGAGCCAATGTAGGTCTTTCAAGACCGGTATTATGTGGTCTCAACGGCCGCTCCCAGTCACCAGTCTACCTGCCGCATTTTGGATTAGTTGTAGTTTCCGGGTCACCTTCAAAGGTAGCCCCACGTAGAGCGCATTCTAGTAGTCCAAGTGAGAGATTTTGCTAAACCTGACCAGCTAACCACCCTGGATCTCCGGTCCCTGGAGCACAGGCCTTTGCACCTTTCCCAGGGAGCAACACAGAAGCTGCCCAGAAATACGCAGTCTCGTCCCGAGTTTGGCGAGCTTGTTGCTCTTCTGGAGTCATCCGACTCCTTTCATCAGCCCTGACCATTGGTCATGCTAGCTGGGGCCAGTGGTAGTTTGGGTTGGTAGGCCCTAGATGTTCCTCATTCCCACGGAGCATAGCTCAGTTGGTAGAGCAGGAGACTCTCAATCTCAGGGCTGTGGATTCGAACTCCACGTTGGGCAAAAACTCCACATTGTTGCAGTCCATCCCCCTCTCCTTGATATTCTAGCATCCAAGCCTCCAAAGCCCAGCAGGGCCTACCTGTGAGCCTGAAGCCCAGGGCTAGCTCACAGCCTACTTGCTTCCTCCCTGCTCACTGATGCTGAGTCCCTCCTCCCTCGTCTCCTTTTCTGCAGCCTGATGACACCTTGGAGCCTTTCTTTGACTCGCTGGTGAAGCAAACCCAGGTCCCCAACCTCTTCTCCCTGCAGCTGTGTGGCGCCGGCTTCCCACCCAACGTCTCGGATGCCCTGGCTTCTGTGGGGGGCAGCATGGTGAGTGAGGGGCGCTGGGGTAAGAAGGGTCTCTTTTTCCTCCTTTTAGTTGGATCCCCAGACCTGTTCCCAGTCTTGAAACAGCTACATAATAAAGAGGTTGAGAGCACCTCTGGGCATCTACAGAGTGCCTTCCCCTCACCATTAAGCAATCACAGCCCAGCTATGTTGAGGTTCAGGCAGGAGGGCTCTCCTGTTTGGGGGGTGAGTATGTGGAAGGCAAGGGACGTGGGTGGCGCTGTGGGTTAAACCACAGAGCCTAGGACTTGCTGATCAGAAGGTCGGTGGTTCGAATCCCCGTGACGGGGTGAGCTCCCATTGCTCGGTCCCTGCTCCTGCCAACCTAGCAGTTTGAAACACAAACTGGAAGTAGATAAATAGGTACCGCTCTGACGGGAAGGTAAACGGCGTTTCCATGCGCTGCTCTGGTTCACCAGAAGCGGCTTAGTCATGCTGGCCACATGACCCAGAAGCTGTACGCCGGCTCCCTCGGCCAATAAAGCGAGATGAGCGCCACAACCCCAGAGTCGGCCACGACTGGACCTAATGGTCAGGGGTCCCTTTACCTTTATGTGGAAGGCCAGCGTTCTAATTTTATTTTATTTATACCCTGCCCTCCCCTGCCAAGACCGGGCTCATGGCGGCTAACATCAGGTATAAAAACAATTTATTAAAATACAACTTAAAAACAAGATTAAAATACTACTTAAAATGCTGTCTCATTTCAGTGGAAGCCCAGATCAAAAACTGTTTGGGGGTGAAAATGTCAAATCTTCACCAAGGCCAACTATCCAGACTGGTCCTACGTGGGCCAGAAAAGCCAGGGAAGTCCCCAAATAGGGGTTCCATCACAGAAGGAAAAGGAAAGAGTGGGAGGGGATCAGGCTGGTTCCAAGCCAAAGGCCAGGTGGAACAACTCTGTCTTACAGGCCCTGCGGAAAGAAATCAGATCCCGCAGGGCCCTGGTCTCATGAGACAGAGCGTTCCACCAGGCCGGAGCCAGTGTTGAAAAGGCCCTGGCCCTGGTTGAGGCTAATCTGACTTCCTTAGGGCCCGGGACCTCTAGAGTGTTGCTATTTATGGACCTTAAGGTCCTCCATGGGGCATACCAGGAGAGGCGGTCCCGTAGGTACGAGGGTCCTGAGGAGAAGAATGTGTCAAAGCACACACAGAGTGTCCTCTCCTCTCCATTGCCTGCTTTGTCCCATTTGCACTTGGCCTGGACTGGAGATTCTAGGCAGCTCTGAGCCTCCAGCAGCCCAGGCAGAAATTTTGCTGGTGCTTTGAGGAGCGGTGGGGAGGGGAGGGGAGGGGAACGGGGCACCCACCACCCTCCTCTCGGCCCCTTCCTCTTAATGCCATTTCCTGCCACACCCCTGTCCCTGCAGATCATTGGAGGCATTGACCCGTCCCTCTACGTGGGCAGCATCTGGTACACCCCGATTCGGAAGGAGTGGTACTACGAGGTCATCATTGTCAGGATAGAGATCAACGGGCAGGACCTGCAGATGGACTGCAAGGAGGTGAGAGGGGGCCAGGGATGCTCAGGTGCAGGGTGGATAAAAATCAAAGTTTTTTTTTAAAAAAAACAGATTTTTTTAAAATTTGAATTGCATTATTAAAATAAAATGACTTTGCAGGAAAAATCTTTCTAAAGATAGTTTTCCTTTTTTTCGTTTAAATTTTATTAACATATAAAACACATACATATACATTTACACAATACACATACACAACACACTACCTTATTTTCATAATATAAAACATATCTATACTACTCTATATAATACAGTGGTACCTCAGGCTACATACGCTTCAGGTTACAGACTCTGCTAACCCAGAAACAGTGCTTCAGGTTAAGAACTTTGCTTCAGGATGAGAACAGAAATTATGCTCCGGCGGCAGCAGGAGGCCCCATTAGCTAAAGTGGTGCTTCAGGTTAAGAACAGTTTCAGGTTAAGAACAGACCTCCAGAACGAATTAAGTACTTAACCCGAGGTACCATTGTACCTACATATACTGTACATATCAACATACCTACACACCTACCCCACACGGACATCCACCAAGTGACTAAGATAGTTTTCTATTTAAGTTACATTATAGTCCATTCATCAGGAAATAAGGATTTGTTTAAGTTTTTCATGTGTGCTAAAATTCAGTTTTAAGTTGCTGGTTTTTAAAAAATTGTTTAACCACATCAGTTAGCAAACATTGATATATGTGCTATAATGTTATTGTTTTAGTTAAATAAATTGTTTTAATTGTTATTAAGGAAATGATTGTTTTTCTTCTTCCAATAAAGTACAGCAGAAAAGTTGTCCAAATATAAACAGTTAACTTGTTAAACCTCACAATAATTTCATAATTATCAGTCTATGTATTTCTAATAGTATAACCAAATTTTTGATGTAACAGTAAAAACTGCTCTGAAAATTTATTCTTCCAAAAATGAAACTTTCATCTGGTTGTAAATATTAAGATTATACCAGCAAGAATGAGTCGTTTCTGTAAAAAAAAGAGAGAGAGAGAGAGAGATTTAAATCAAGTCTTACTGACTAATGATTTAAATCAATTTGATATAAAATCAAATCCACCCTACTGTGGTGTGTGCAGAGGAGCCACCTCTGAGCAGTGCCCACCAATGAGATGCCTTGGTTTGGAGGTGGAGGCGGGGCCTAGGAACACCTTTTGGTACTGAGGACTGGACCCTGCCCTTGCTCCTCTGCCCAGGCGCTTGCCACAGACCAACACCGCTCGCCTCCCGCTCCTCAGATTTGGGATCAGGTTGTGCTCAGCCTGGCCATAGTAGGGGAACTCCAGTTCAGAAACCCCCCACCCAACCCATGCAGGTTCCAGTATGAGTCAGCTTCTGTCTCCCACTGCCAGGGCTGTTTTGGAGTTGGTGTGCATGAGCTTGGGAAAGCGAGGAAAGAGGGGAATTGGTGTTTTTGGAGCCTGAGCCCCTTTGCCTTTCCCCGCAGTACAACTATGACAAGAGCATCGTTGACAGCGGCACCACCAACCTACGCCTCCCCAAGAAAGTCTTTGAGGCAGCAGTGAAGTCCATAAAGACAGCTTCCTCGGTGAGATATGCACTGGGGGTGGGATCAGCAAAGGGAAAAGAGCACCTCCTAGTCTGCCTATCTGCAGGACCTGTGGAGAGTGAGGTGTGCTCAGCTCTGTGTTCGAATCCTGAACCAAGGGCTCTGGGACCAGAACATTCAGATCCTGCAATGGGGCATACCGTATTTTTCGCTCTATAAGACGCACTTTCCCCCTCCTAAAAAGGAAGGGGAAATGTGTGTGCATCTTATGGAGCGAATGCAGGCGGGAGGCTCTGCTCAGTGCTCCCTTTAAAGAGCATGCATGGAGCTCTTGGGGAAAAGCCCCCAAGAGCCACACACATACTCTGTGCGCTCTTTAAAGGGAGTGCGGCTCTTGGGGGAGCCCGCTGGCTGTCCTGGCTTCTGGCTTAGCCGCTCAGCCTCTCCCGGGCAGGGGATGAAGGCTCCCCTTGCCCAGGAGAGGCTGTCCTGGCTTTTGGGATTCAGAATTTTTTTCTTCTTCTTTTCCTCTTCCAAAAACTAGGTGTGTCTTATGGTCTGGTGCATCTTATAGAGCGAAAAATACGGTATATTGTGAAAAATGAATTGGCTAGCGTAACTGGGCCTCCTCTGGGGGTGTGTTGCAATGCATGGACATGGTAAAACCTATTCCGGGTACCGTTTCTCCACCCCACCTCTGAAAAGTGAGCCAGCATCTCTATGCTAGATGTTCTAGCGCAAAGCATCATTATTCCCTGGGGTGGAGGTGGAGATCTGCTTCATCTTTGTTGACCTGAGGAATGGAAGAAAAGCAAATAATTAAAAAAAAGCAGCAGCCTCCCCACCCTGATTCTCCTCCCCCAAAATCTGGTGTGGCTTGCCCTGGTGCCAAGAAGACCCCCTTCCCTCCCTCTTCAACAGACAGAGAAGTTCCCCGATGGCTTCTGGCTGGGGGAGCAGCTGGTTTGCTGGCAAGTGGGCACCACCCCCTGGCACATCTTCCCGGTCATCTCTCTCTACCTGATGGGCGAGACCACCAACCAATCTTTCCGGATCAGCATCCTGCCACAGGTAGGTGCCGCGACTGCATGTGTGCTTTGGGCTAAGGCATTGCATCTGGCTTTCAAGAGAAGTTCTTGCAGCTTGGAGGGGCCAGGAGTTCTCTCCCCCCCCCCATTTTTAATAGAATTGTTGTAAAGATTTTTAACATATTAAGCCATGAAATCCAAACTCTCTTTATAGAAAGAGAATAAAAGTCAATGCACCAAAAGAAAAGAATAATATAGAAAAAGGAAAATATAAAATACAGTAGTTATGAGCCTCATCAAACACAATTGTATATATCTATGTATAGCTATCTATCACTATGTTATCTCAATCTTCCATCCACGTAGTGGAACCTTGGTTCTCAAGCTTAATCCGTTCTGGGAGACTGTTCAACTCCCAAAACCAAGGCGTGGCTTCTGATTGGCTGCAGGAGCTTCCTGCTCCTAAGCAGAAGCCATGTCAGATGTTCAGCTTCCAAAAAACATTCAAAAACCGGAACACTTACTTCTGAGTTTTCGGCGTTTGGGAGCCAAAACGTACGAGTACCAAGGTACGACTGCACTGAGAGTTGAATTCCCCAATCTCCCCACCTGGGAGGTCTTGAGGGGCCCGGAGTTTTCTAGGGAGTAAAGAGGAAGATGGACTGTAGAGAAAGATCTCAGATTAACACCAGCCTTTTGGATTTGGGCACTTGCTTGGCAGCATCTGGGTTAGAGCTAAACCAAAATGCTAACGGATTCAGCTGTGGGCTGGAATTTGGGTGTTGGGAGAGGAGGATCTGTTAAAATGTCCACTCACCTTGCTGGGAATTGGGGGTCTTCTTCAACTATCAAAATTCATCCTTTCCCATTCTTCTTAAAGGCACTTTAAAACAATAGCAGCAGCATAGTCTAAAAACACTCGCTGGTGTGGGCTGAAACAGTTTAAAAACTATTCCAGCCCTCCATAAAGTGGCGCCAAAATTACCTTTTTCTTTAAAGGGGAGCCTGCCAGAGCTACTAGGTGCTGCAATTTTGTTTTGTTTTTAATGCAAAGACTAAGTTGGCATTTCCCAAACTTGGGACTCCAACTGTTGTTGGACTACAACTCCCATCATTCCTAGTTAGCAGGACCCAGTGGTTAGGGATGATGGGATTTGTAGTCCAAAAACAACTGGAGGCCCATGTTTGGGAAACCCTGGACTACATCAACACGTTGCTGACATCGCAGGGGGCAGTGGTTTTAAATGTGGTGCTAAAAACGCTGGATGCAAAGACAGCTGTGCAGAAGACCAAGGCAGTCTGGAAAACGCAGCTGAGCTTTCAGGAGGGTGATTTGGCTGAAACTCGCATCACAAATTCAAAATTTTGAAGCAAAAATAGCAGAGCAATTATGCAACTTAGCTCAGGCTAGTGTTTCCTGATGAGCAGGGAGGAAACAAACTGCGCCCAGCTTGATAGCAAATGGCAGCTGGCCTTAGTCCTAGCCCTTGTGAGAAAACAAGAGTGCCTTTGAGCATGGGCAGAGTGCTTTCCTCATCTCGGGCAACCCTGACGCCTCTGAGCCTACATGACAGGATATTCTCATTTGGGGAAGGAAGGTAGTATTTCTGCGCCCTGGCTTACCAAAAGCCTCTCCCTCCCTCAGCAATACCTGCGGCCTGTCGAGGACGTGGCCACGTCTCAGGATGAATGCTACAAGTTTGCCATCTCCCAGTCGTCCACGGGCACCGTCATGGGCGCTGTCATCATGGAGGGCTTCTACGTGGTCTTTGACCGGGCGCGCAAGCGCATTGGCTTTGCAGTCAGTGCCTGCCATGGTAAGTGTAAGGTGTCAGGAGGGGCTGACTGCTGAAGGGGCAGACAGACGGGCAGCCTCTTCCAGTGGGCAGAGCTGGGTGCCACTCACCTGCGCAGCTGCCTCAGGCACACCATTGCCTATGCATCTCATAGAACCATGGAACTGTAGCGTTGGAAGGGACCCTGAGGGTCATCTAGTCCAACCCCCTGCAATGCAGGAATCTCAACTAAAGCAGCCATGACATGCCTAAAGATCACGCCCACTTGCCGCAGCCAATCATCAGCAGGCCTGGCCGCAGCAACCAATCACACACCCAGTCGCTGCTGCAAATCTCCTGCTGGCTGCTGCCGCAAATCGCTATCCCCTCGGCTATCCGTGTATAAGACGACCCACAGTTTTTGCCGATTATTTCTAAGGAAATAATATCATCTTATACACAGAAAATAAGGTACTTACTTGGGATCGAACCTGGGGCCTTCTGCACGTGAATTGTCTTGTCTTACCACTGCTGTCCTGTGTTCATTATCCTCTGTTTCCTCTGCTCCCCTGGCTTCAGTGCACGACGAGTTCCGCACGGCCGCTGTGGACGGCCCTTTCCTTCACTCCAACATGGAGGACTGTGGCTACAACATCCCCCAGACGGACGAGTCCACGCTGATGACCATCGCCTACGTCATGGCGGCCATCTGCGCCCTCTTCATGCTCCCTCTCTGCCTCATGGTGTCCCAGTGGCGCTGCCTGCGCTGCCTGCGCCGGGGCCATGACGACTTTGCCGACGACATCTCCTTGCTCAAGTGAGCGCTCTTGCCTCCCCACCCTCAGGCCCGTGCCGGCAGCCAGGGGGCACAGCTGCCGGGAGCCACAAACTCCTCCCACCCCCTTCCACCTCTGCCGTGTGCGGGTCTGCAGCTGCCTCAGGGCCACCTGCGAGCGGGGGACTGGCCGGCTGCACCGAAAGCGGCAGAAGACGCGCAACCTTTTCCTCCCTCCTGCCGTGGTTTGTGGGATGGCAGCTTACAGAGGCCCTACTCTTCCTCTCGCTGCCCGCCTGGTGGGCGAGAGAGGCCTACTGTCACCGTGCAAGGAAGAGAAGCAGGAACCCTGGTGGGGCCTGGTTGCTCAGCTCAGGAGGGGCCCAGAGCTATTTCCCACCTCAGGGCTTCATGGCTGTTTCCCCCGTTTTGCTCGTGTTGTGACGATGGGACTACTCGCGAGGTCTCACGACCAGGAAGGGATTGCCGGAAAGGGCAGTGGGGATGGACAGACCCCAAAGTGTTGCTTCTGTGTAGCGCTGATGAGAGTGGCTGTCATTTCTTAAAGGGTTTGTGTGCGTGTCTCTCTACAAAATATATATATATAGAAATATATATAAATATATGTAACTTATACAATGGTAAACTGAAGGAGGGGGAATCTGTCCCCACCCCACTCAGGGAGCATTTGGGCTCCTTCTCGGCCCTTCACTGGCCAGACTTCTTTCAAGGAACTCCCCCCCCATAGGGTCTGGGGGCAAGGCCAGCTGCGAGACACAGGTGTCCATCTCAAGGTGAGGGTTCTATCCATGCAAAGTGGAGGGAGGATTCCTGCCTCTGGCAGTGGATGGGCCTTGATGGTCCCTTTTTAATCCCAGGCATCCAAAAAGCTTTCAGGAGTCGAAAAGAGTTTTGTAGCCATTGATGAGAAGGAGCAGCTGCCTTTTTCCTCTTCAAGGCTGTCTAGCTGCCTTTCCTAGCTGCTTCCCTGGAGAAGCGCTTTCTCTTCAAGGAGCCTCTCTTGATGGGCATCTCACTCCTCCCTGTTCCTTGCCTCCTTCATGAGCAGGACTCTGGGGTGGCAGAACTCAGTGGAGTTCTGCCCATCGTGGGGAGTCAGCCCTCTTTGTGTACCAGGGCTGATGGGAATAGTTGTCCACCTGGAGGGCACCAATCTGGGGAGGATGGTTTTATGCAGACATCCATCACACCTGGAGCCATGTGTGACTCACTTGGGTTTAGCAAGCCTCCAGGGGACTCATCACCCCCACATCCACCCTGCCTCCCTTTTTTCCAGTTCCATCCTTCAGTGTTTTCCTTGTGGCTTCTTCTTCACTGTTACGTCCTGCTGGTTGGGCAATGGTAGCTGTGGAGGTGCAGTGAGCCAGATCTGTGGCCAGCTGGATGGTGCTGGCTCCCCTCTCTTGGGGGTTCCAAACTCTTATTCTGCAAGGAAACAGGACCCCCCCTTCCCTGTTACAGTCTGAACATGATCCAGGAGTCTGGGCTGCCTGTTGCCACAGATATTTAGAGCTCATGTCATCATTGCCTGCTGAGCATCCTTGGGCAACTGCTGATAGCCAGGTGCTGCTTCTGCAGCCGCCCTTGTCACCTGAGCATCACTGAACCTAGGAAGCTGCCTTCTGCCAAGGGAGGCTACCGGTCCATCTAGCCCTGTATCGTCCAACATGAGCCTCCCCCAAGGTGGTGCCCTTGGACGACAACTCCCATTAGCCCCAGCTGTGTGATGCTGGGAGCACAGCTGCGCTTGGCTGGGAAGGATGGAGGTTGTAGTCAAAAACACCAGGCAGGTGCCGGCCTCGAGAGAGGCTGCTCTGCCCCTGGCTGGCAGCAGTTCAGGCAGGGGTCTCTCCTTGCCTTACCTGGAGAGGTTGAAGATTGAACTTTGGACCAGTGGCCTGGAGGCAGCTGCTCAGGTGCCTGGCTTGCCTGCCTCGCAATTGGATGGATGCAGCAGGCAGCCTGGCTATGACTTGCTTCCCAGAAAGAGCAGGCAGGAGGCCAGGCTTTCCTTCAGGAAATCTGGCCCTGTATCATGTCACCATAGGAATTACCCTTCCCCCGCTCTCACACCATTTGCTTGGTGGTAGATGTTCCACCAGGAGAGATGCCTCTGCCTAGGACAAATGGCTGTGCCATGCCCTCGTTGCTGGCTGGGTAGAGCAGAAGCTTTTGGGGAGGGTGGCACAGAGCAGCCTGGAGTCACAGCAGCTGACCTCCTAACTCTGCCCTGCCTGGGCTCTCAAGGGTATGAAGGAGTTGGGGCACATTCCTCCTGCAAGGATGTCCAGCAGGGCTTATTGGAGCCTCTGTTGGGACGGGTTGGTGCTGCTGCTTACTCTTTCTGGGGGTGTGCATTCAGGGGTCCACGCCTTTGCCTGCCACACTGGCAAGAGGCAGCTAGCAAGGAATTGCCCCAGCTCCAGGAAAGACAGGGGACCAAGAAGCACTTGGCAGTCAGCTGCTGCTCAGCCACCAAAGCCATAGATGGGGAGGCTGCCTCTGCCTGGCACTGCTCGCAAGAGACAAACTTCTGCCACTGAAGTGTGTGTGTTGCTCAGTTGATCCGAAGGTTGCAAGAGGCTGTGGCTTTATCCTCTCCCGTTCCAACATGTCCATTGTTTTCAAGTACATGTATGTGTGTGTGTGTATATATATATATATGTTGGCTGTTCTTGAAATTGTTATTTTCCAAAAAACCTTTTTGCATAGTTGCAGGGCTATTTCCGCAGTGTGGACGGAGGTAGTTGCCTTCTGCTTGCTAGAATGCCAGATGCCATCTGCTTGTATAATATTCTGTAAATATTTGTAATACTGGCTCCCAAATCCTCCCAGTTTTATCTCAAATGGAAGTGGAGGAGAAAGGAGCTAAGTGACCCTTTTTATTTTTGTAAATGTCTGGTTCCTTTTAAACACTTGTTTGCTAAGGCTTAATGGACAGGTGGTGGGAGGCCGGGTGGATGGGGGGGAAATAGCTCTGGGGTGGATAAATGCACTTTATGGACTGTACCAAGCTTCACGTGGTGCTGAGGGGGGTTCTTTCTCTCTCTCTCTCTCCTCCCATTCCCTGGGATGGCCTGGCTTGTGGGAGTGAAGCACTTGTTGGCCATCAGCACCACTGAAGCAGTTTGCAAAGCTCGCTTTTGAATAATAACCTCAGTGGTGTGATGGCAGAAGGCCCTCTCTCCTGTCCTGCCCCCACCCTCCAAGCACAGCAATGGCCCCAGCCAAGCACCTTACACCCACACCCACCCACACACCCAGAACTCAATACCATTTTATAAGCATCAGGACAGATCAGGACATTTTCAAACACAGGCAAGTTGGGAAAGAAGAGCAAGGCAGATGCCACTCAAAGCTTTTTGCTGAAGGCTTGGGGAGGGGAGGGTCCACCTTTTTGTGCACATCTGGTCTGGTCCTTATGGCCCACAAGCACTTTGACCCACAGCTTTCAAACTCTGGGGGAGCACACACACACACACACACACACACACACACACACACACACACACAGAGAGAGTGATGGAGAAGTCATGTGGCCCTCCAAGTGATAGAACCCCAGCTTCCACCATGGCCAATAGGTTCACCATTCCCCCACCCTATGGCATTTTTTGCCCTTGCAGCAGAATTAAAGCACCACTGCCCCTCCCCAGGCTACCAAAGCAGATCTGAAGTGGCAAAGAAGCATGGCCCAAGGGGTGGGTTCTGCGTCCTTCCTGAGCTGGCTTTGGAAGGTGAGCAAAAGACTTTGTCATGGCCACAGTAGAGGAGAGTCCCATTCTACACATCCCAGAAACGGGGGGCAGAGTAAGTTAAGGTGGTGGCATCCCCTTTGGAAGTTTGAGAAACACTGCCTTAAACAAACTTTGCTCTTTGACCTTCATGCTCAGCCATGCATTGTTGAACCCACTTAATTTTTTACTTTCTCTTTGTATGGCGCGGGACAGTTGTGGTAACCTGCCCTGGATGAGGTGATGGCAAGAGTACTAGATTCTGACATAGCTGATTCTAAGATCATGGTAGGGAAGCATCAGCCACTGTAATCCAACCCCTAGGGGACAGGGGCCACCAACTCCCAGCCCATGACTTGAGCCTCTTGCATGGTGACAACCCCTCTCGATTTGGTAAACAGCACGAGAGGCTCCCAGCCACATAGGACTCTGGGGGCTCCCTAGCAAACACTGCCTTAATCAGCTGCTACAGGGACTTCAAGGCAGCTTGAAAAGGGGAAGGAAGCACTGTGAAGTGGAGAGGCCCAATGACTGCCAGTTTGCAAATGATGCTGCTCGTTGCAGCCAAGGCCAGAGAGGGGCAGCAGGGTCCTTGGCCTCACTCCCACTCCCCAAAGCTTTCCCGAAGAGCGACACAACCAGGATCCTGGCGGCAGAACCAGAAAAGCAGGAGGTGCTGCAGGAAAGAGAGTGTAAAATGAAGGGTTTGGGATAGGCACCACCTGAGATTCCAGCACTGTAACTCCCCCCGACCCATGTCTCTGTCAGAAACATGAATGTTTAACATGGTAAATTATTGCATTAAAGAGAGAAGAAAAAAAAGCCTTTTCTTTTTCCCCCTCTTGCTTCAAGCCCCATTATTTCTGGTGTGGCAGAGAGGCAGCAAAGGAAGACAGGAGGTGGGGAAAGGGCAGGAAGCCGCAGTGGAGGGGACCCAGACAGCAGCGACGGCACCACACACACTCTGCATAATATACACACTTTATTATGAACTGGTATGTATACAGACTTTCTATACACACATTCCCTATAGAATAAAAATGTACATGTGTATACATGGCCATATAAATATAGAGCTGTAGAAATTCTGGGGGTGCCTGGCATCTTGCTGGAGCTCTCGTCCCACCCAGGCTGAGTACCGCTGTTGTCCTCTTTGCACCGGTGGTCATTTCGGACTGGGACAGAAGGGGCAAGCGTCGTTGGTGTTGGTCTGAGCCCAGAACTTGATGCACTGGAGGAAGAGGACAAAGCCTGCCATTTCACAACCGCCTCCCACTGGGGCAAGGGGCAGGGACTAGAAGCGGCGTTTGCACAGGGGGCAAAACCGCACAGGGTCTTTTCCCACTTCCAGCAGCAGCTATAGAAAATGCCAGCTTATGCTACTACCTACTAATCCAAAGATAGTTGAATTCTCAGTGTTTAGCCCTCCACCGCAAACCAGGTTAAGGATCCTGTGTCCTTGAAACCAGCGCTTCTTGAGAGCTGGAAGGCGGAACAGACTCTGATCTTGACATTTCCTACCCCACCTACTAAGACCCTAGGAAGCTGCCTCCCCTAGGACGGAGAGGGCCTTCCCTCCATTTGGCTTATGGTGGGGAAACTCCTGAGTAACAGCAGAAGCAGCAACTCTTTATAGCAACTAGAGCAGGGGTCCCCAAACTAAGGCCTGCAGGCCAGATAAGACCCGAGGGACTCGTTTATCTGGCCCACGGCGACCCCCACAGCCGCCACCCACTCTTACTGGCGCTGCGCTGCGCGGCGCGGCTGCCTGCTTCGGGGTTGGAGGAGCACCGGAAATAGCTTGTGCACATGGGCAAGCATTATTTGTGCATGCACAAGCGTTATTTCTGGTGCTCCTCCGACCCGGAAGTGTGCCGGAAATAGCGTGTGCGCAAGCGTATGGGCACGCGCTCCCCTGCCCTGCCACGTGATTGGCACTGGAGACACTGGCCCGAGGCATGGTAACTTTGCTGATCTCTAGATTAGAGCTAGAATGTGTGATGGCCTTACAATTTGCTCCGCCACAGCCAGGTGACGGAACCCCATGGTTGAGTCCTTCCCTGGAAGGATGCCGCGCTGGGCGTGCCCCACAGGCTGCCTGTCTCTAGGGCACTTCTGAGCACCCACCTCCTTGTGCAGCACATGGGAACAAGCCATGGGGTGGAGCTCGCTAGGCTGGACCAGTTTCTGGCACATCAGACACAGTTTGCAGGCCGCAGGAACCTGGCGGACACAGAGAAAAGGGAGAGTGGCAACGAGGTTGTGGGGTGGTAAGTTAACGGGGGTGGCTTTGACCACCGGGCAGGGAGGGTTTCCTCTAGAACCTCCCTCTTTCCCTGCATCCTTTTCCCAGGCCCAGTTCAGAAAGGCCAGGGAGGTGAGGAGATGTTGATGTCTTACCTGGGGTGGTGTCCCACTGTAGGAGACCTGAGCCGAGGGCAAGAACATGGGGTTGCTCATCTGCGGCAGAGGAGCAGGGAACATCGGGGAATGGATCCGGCCAAGAGGCTGCAGTAGCAGAGAAAGCCGGGAAGGGTGGTGGTGGTTTACCATCAGGCGACCCCTTGGCCCAAGCCATTCTCCCCACCTCAAGGATCCCAGCCCCTGCTTTCCACCTTGCTTACCTGTGTCCCAACAGCTGCCACCCGCTCCTGCTCAACTAGCTTGGCGGCCACCAGCTGGTTCAACTCCTCCATGGTCAGCCCAGCCAGAGTCCTTCGTGCGGCTTTGATCTGCTGCAGGATGTTGGTCAGCTGAGCCCTGGGGAGGGAGAGGGAGGGAGAGAGCGAGAGAGCATGCACTGGGTCAGTTGTCACAATAGGGGGTGGATGCTGCCCGCTAGAGGTGGGGTTATCAATATGTTCTCTCATACAATCTGATAAGAGAGGGAGGGGATCCCCTAAAGCAAGCCTGATCTTGGGGAGCAGCCCCTCCACCCCACGTTCAGGCACCAAATCTCAGCCTCAAACCAAGCAGCAGCAGCAGCAGCAGCAGCAGCAATCCAACAACCCCTTTTTCACAGAACAACGAACAGGGCACAGCAAAGTCTGCTCTCTGCAATTCCCCTTGCAGCTGAGGGTTTGGGGTCGACTGTGGCCTCTTGCCCCACATGCTCTTTATATGAAGGCTAAGAAACCATCGAGAACCTTTCGGCTCCCCCAGGCAGCCCCTCTTCCAGGGGTCAGGCAGTCTAAGCTGGCAGCAGAGCTTCTCCAGAAGGCATCTCTCTCACCACTGGATAGCTCAGATAGTTAAGAGAATGGTGCGGATAATAAAATTCTAATTCATGGTATTATTACGGTCACAGACCAGTTCCGGGTCACTTATAATATCAGGAAAATCATAAAACACAACAGGAATACATTGAATTGCAATTGGGTATAACAGAGACATTTCAGATACAGCAGCAGTTAAAAAAATATATTAAATTTTGATCACTAAAATATAACCTAAAATTATCATTTAAAGCCTTAATTATTTTGGTAGTACAGCTTGTTCCCTAAGTTTTATAGCAGTCGCACAGGTGACAATACCACGGTCGCAGGTTCAATCCCCATATGGGACAGTTGCAGATTTCTGCATCACGGGGAGTTGTAACAGATGATCCTCAGGCTCCCTTTCCAACTCTACAATGCCCCTACCCTACCCTCACTCCCCCAGGCTACTGCTTGCAAGCTCAGCTCTACAGCACCCTCCCAGGCTGCCATTGCCACCTGCCCCAGGGCCGCGAAGAAAACCCTCTGCGTTTTGCAGCACCCTAGACAGGGTGAGCAATGGAAGGTGAGCCAAGCAAGGTGAATCCCCAGCAGTTCCTGTTTCTCAAGACGGCTCTGACAAGTCAAGGAGCTCAACTCACTTGTTACACTGGGGAAATCGTGTCAGCAGTTTTTCCAGGAACTTCTCAAGCTTGTCCACGGGGGGCGGAGGGGGTCTCTGGAATTCCGGCGCCGCTTTGACTCCGCCCAGACCCGGCGGCGGAGGGAGCGAGGCGGCGGTGGCAGGCGTCACGCGAGGACCCGCCAGGGAACTGAGGACGGGGCTGTTCCTGCCCTGGGAAGCCGTGGGCAGAGGGGGCGAGGGCTGGCTGGGCCTGGAGATGGTTGGGTTGAGGAGCGGGAAGGAGAGCACCCGGGGGTCAGCGCTGGGCATGACCATGGGCATGGGGACTGTCCCAATGGGGAAGGGCAACCGCGGGGCAAGGGAGGAGTTGGGCTGGAAGGCTGGTAGGAGGAAGTCTGTCTGAGAGGAAGAAAAAGAAAGAGGGAGGGTGCCCGTTAGCTCAGAGTGACCACTTGCCAGCCCCCTCTTTTGAAGGTTTTCCTCCCCAGGTCACAGGGACTCCCCAGCACAGCTTCGGCGCTGCAGCTGGGCCAGGCAGAATGAAGAGCTGATCTGCAACATCATTCCCTTCCCGTCTTCAGGTTCAGTTGTGCAGGCCTGCCTCCACCCGCAACAAGACTGTGCCTGGACTTGGAGGGGAGGGGAAGTGCTCACCTCCAGGGGTGGTGGGGGCAGGGGAGGCGTGGGGATCTGTGGGAGGCTGCTCAGTTTGGCCCCGTTCCGCACCAGCTGGATGTGATCGTTGTACTGGTCCTAAGAGATGAAACGCACATATTCAAAACAAAATTTTAAAAGAAGTGTCCAAGTTGTTATTATCATAATTAATTTGCCTTCTAAACTACCGGCTCAAGGTGAACTATAGCCCTCTCTTGTGAAGTTTTTTTATGTTTGATGTTTTATCACTTTTTAATTATTATTATTAATATTCTGTTGGGAGCCGCCCAGATAGGCAGGGTATAAATAATAAAATTATTATTATTATTATTATTATTTCATTTAAAACAGCTATAACAGAAACAGAACAAATACACTTAAACAATATTAAAACCTTAAGGGGGAACCTGAAAAGGCAGAGCCTGAAAATTATCAGGGATAAAAACAAAAAAACAAAATACAAGTTGCAAAGAAGAATGGAAGATTTGAATTATTATAACCTCACTTATTGTTATTTGAAATAATTTTGTTTTATCTATATGCAGGTGTTGTTAAAGGGACAGCTGAAGGACAAGGAATTTGCTAAGAAAAGAGATAAAGCTGTAAAATTAGCAGCATGTTAAATGGGATAAATTGGAATATACCTGAGAGTGGGAAAGCAGGGTTTGTTTTTTCTAAAAAAAACTTATTAAATTAATTTTAATTCAGTGTTGATGAGTTATAAATTTGAAAATAAATAAAAACTAATTGGCAAAAAAAAAAAAAAAAAAAGAGTAGAGGCCCATTTATCCAACTGGGAAAGTCTGTTGGAACAAAAAATGTCTTCAGCTGTTTCCGGAAAGTGCAGATAATGGGATCCTGCTGTATCTCAAAGACTCCCTTTCGGAATCCGAGAAGAGGGAGCCTTTTGCACTTACACGGACGCTCTCCTTGGTCATTCGTATCCTGTTCAGCCTTGTCTCCCACTCCTGCTTTGGCCGGATGGTCTCCAGCGTTGGGGGGGCTGACCTACCCGGACAGAAGAGCAACAAAAGAGCTTCAGCAAGGAAGAGACCTGGCCGAAGGGACGAGAAGCACACACAGCTCCCTCTCTGCCCCCCTCCACTGAGCCTCTGAGCCAGGGAAGCCTCTTCTAACCCCGAGATTCTGTGTGAGGTGCTGCATACATTCAGGTCACAGACGGGCATGTGTGATGTCACAGGACAGGTAGCAGCCTCCAGCACTGCAGAGGTACAACCTGGCTCCTACTCGAAGGGAAAGAACTATGGAGGAAAACTCCTCAGCATCCGAGCTGCTCCCACTCCCAGGACCGGTGCCAAGTGCCCACTGAAAGAGAACCTGCAGTGAGGTTTCCTGAAAAGGATTCCAGGGCAGAGGCAGGTGTTGTCCTCACCAGAGGAGCAGCCCCTGGGCACCCCCTTGTGGTTTTTCATAGGGGAGAGTAGCAAAGGAGAGCTGGAGGGCCTCCTCGCTTGGGTCCTGCTAGAAAAAGATGGTCAGGTACCAGAATGGAGAGTGCAAGCACCCCAATTTCCTCACCCCACCAGGTCAACCTACGAACCTCCACTGTGTTGCCTCTCTCTCTCCCTCTGCTAAGTCCCGGCCATGTACTCACTTGAGGTAGGTGAGGTGGAGCTCAGCTTCTTTCTCTGCCTCTTCCAGCTTCAGCACCAGCAGCTCCTTTCGGCTCTCCAGGGACAGGATCTATGCAAGAACAGAGGGTCAGGCCTGCTCGTGCTGACCTACTAGGCTCAGAGAGGAGAAGCACTCAGCCACTTGGATCACGGCTCTCTGGGACTCCCCAACCACAGGGCAGCAGTCCTGGAAGAAGCCCCTTCTCAGCCAGAAGCTGCTGCTCAGCTCTCCTTCAGGCCTTGTGGCTCACATGGAATATGCTGTTTTCATTGCAGGCTGCCAGAGGGTGCTCAGCCTCAAAGAGGGCTGCAGGGTGCCTGCCTACCTCTGCTTTCCAAGCCCGCTCCGTGTCCTCCAGAATCGACCGGCTGAACTCATCCTGCTGGTTCTTCAGCTTGTCCAGCTCCATCTCCCACACCTCCCTGGGGAGCAAAGAAAGAGCTCCGATTTAGGGTCCAGGAAGTGGAACTGCTCACAAAAGGCTGCCCCCTTACTCCAGGATATTCCTGTTTCACTAAACAGAACCCTTATTGGTGAGCCTCCGATCTGGCTGTGCACACATCCCAGCGGACAACGCAGATTCGTTAACCCTCCTAGCATCATCTTTTGGACATCCATTTGTAGCCAGAAACAAGGGTCGCCCCCCCTCAACCCTTGCAAACCATGCTTGGGGGCAGAAACTATAACCCAGGTTGACAACAATTCCATATTGTCTGAACATGGAGTACATGAGAAGCTAAGAGCCTGGCTCCACAATTCACGATGGGGTGGAAGGTTCACAGGCTACGAAGGACTTGTCCACAAATTTATTGACAGCTGCACAAATTATTATAGCTAGGAAGTGGAAGGGGCAAGCAGAATATAAAATGGAAGAATGGTATAAAGAGGTGTGGGATATAGCTATGAATGATAAATGAACATGTGCCATTAAGGTAAGATGGAGAATATGCAGGAGAAATGATTTTGAGGAAATGATTTTGAGGTTGTTTGTAGAATTTGTACGGAAAGGGGTTGAACCATCACAAGAGTTGTTGAAATTTTGGGACGTTGGATAGTTACAATGGAATGGTCTCGGTGGTGGGCTGCACATTTTTGTTCTTATTTATTTATGATTATTACTGTTTTATCGTGTTTTTAATATTCTGTTGGGAGCTGTCCAGAGTGGCTGGGGATACCCAGGCAGATAGGCGTGATGTAAATAATAAATAAATAAATAAATAAATAAATAAATAAATAAATATTATTATGATGACTACTACTATTTTATATAAAAATTTTTTTTTTAAAGGAGCCTGGCTCCTGGATCAGACTAAAAAGGGGGTGTATCTAGTCTAACATCCTGTTCTTAAACCTCTTTTAAAGCCATCTGACTTAGTGGCCATCTTGCAAGAGCTACTTCCATTGTTTTAATTATGTGCTGGGCAAAGGATCTCCCAGCATTCCGCTTTATTAGATGGCTCCTCTGACTTGTGGCATTCTGTGAGAGGGACAAACCGTTTCTCCCCATCCCTTTTCTCCACACCCGTGTATCATTTTACGCAATAGTTTGATGCCGACATCAAACTGGCACAAGAGAGGGGAATTGAAAAGTCCTCCCCACAAGTGGGGACAGAAGCTCTCATGGGAACCACAGTCTCCTAGTAAGACCACTGAGAGAGAGAGATAGGAAGGAGGGCAAAGCACAAGCAAAAACATTCTTAAGAAAAGGAAGAGGCCTACTTCTCCTCAGACTGCTCAGCAATGAGGGAAACGATCTTGTTCTCCTTCTCCTCTTGCTCTTTCAGCAGCCTGTACGGAAAGAGAAATGGGACACGCCGAGTTAATTCCTTGCACCGAGAAGGGATGGGGACCTCTGGATGTGGCTGGACTGCAACTCCCATCGCCCCTGAGCATTGGCCATCTGGGCTGGAGCAGATGGAAGGTGAAGTCTGACAGGGTCTCCACGCCTGGACCATAGGGAGCTGCATTTACATCCACAGAGACCAAGGCTGGGTGGAGGAACCAAGTCAAGACTCAGCCACACTCACATCCAGCAAGGCAATCTCTATTATCATTGTTGTCGTTGTTGCTATTATTTCCACGTTCATCCCAAAACGTTCTACCAAAAATAATAAAAGCAGCTAAAAACATTTAGGAAAACAACAAAAGCTGATTTTCGAAAACGATACAAGATGGCAGAGACTTCTGTAGCCAGGCTGGGAAAGCTTGAGAGAACAGAAACGTCACTATGCAACTGTGCTTCCAGTTCTAACTGGAGAACAGTTGGGCCAATGGGATCTCCCGGAAACAATGACTGAGCCCCAAGCAGCCTGCAGGGTGCGTGGGGTCAGCTGAAGTTGCTGGGCAAAAGCAGACTTGGTGAGAAGATGCAGATCAAAAGGACCCTTCCCCACAAACCTGGCCAACCTGACATAGACTTCCTCCTGTTTTGGATTCCGAGCCAACCTTCAGAGCGGGCTAAGCATTGCTGTCTTTAACTCTCAGAAATACCTCCTGCCTTTCTCATAGAGCTTCTCAATTTCTGCCTTCAGATCCTGCTCCTTCTGCAAATACTCCTTTTTTTCCTTCTCCATCTTCTTCTTGGTCTCTTCCCGCTTAACAGTCACGTCCTGAATGGCCTTCAGGATCTCCTAGAGGAGTGGGGAGAATACCTCAGGCATTTATATTGGGTTTCCAGAGCTCAAAGGTCTTCACGTTGACACACACACACACACACACACACACACACATCAACACCTTCAGCATCACTGTGTTACCAGGGTGGCTAACAAATTCAGATAAAATAAAAACGTGGTGTTGAAAATATTCAAAATAAAACACATAAACCCAGCTACAGCAGCAGCAATCCAATGAAAAAGAAATGCAAAACTGCTACAAGTTCTTTAAAGACTCCTGTGAGTATCACTGTCTTCATATTCCAGAAGAGGCTGGGCAGTGTTTTGCCTAGGACCACCTAGCAAGTTCATAATCGAGATCTGAACTCGTGACATCCTGAATTACAGCACACTCTCTTAGCTGGTGTGCTGCACCACGGCACCACCCAGAATGTTCAAAAATTATCTTTACAAATCTAGGAACGTAGAAAGTTGCTTTATCCCAAGAAAAACCATTGCTCCATCTATCCCAGTATCGTTGATGCTGATTGCTGTAGTGGTTCTCCAGAATTTCAGATGCCCTTCTAAAGACAATCTAATCTGCATGCGAAATACACGTTTTGAAGTCAGGAAAGCTGCAGAGTGCTATCCAAGGTACAAGAAAGTTTTGGACCAGAAAATATTGGGGTCGGATTCATAGCAACTTCCAGCACATTCCTAGAGTTTCACCCCCTGCTTCTGTTCACATGGTTGGCATGGTCAACCACAAGAGGCCTAATCAATATATTTTCCTAAAGCCAATTGCCCTCCTCATGGCTTGGCTTGAGTCTCTAAGAACACACAGAGACACCCTTGGCTGTTTCTCCCAATTGATCAACAGTGTCTAGAGTGGGAAGGAACAGAGAGCTCTCCAAAACAGTCCACTCACTGCGCGAGAATTCACATCCCATTGCACAAGTGGACCTTCGCCCTGCTCACCCAACCATGGTTTTATCACTTGTCATTTGCTGCCTGGGCTCCTTCGGGAGGAAGGGTGGGACTGAAATTTAATAAGCAAACTCCACCGAGGTTTTCTTTCCACTCCATTTTGAACCCACCAAGCTAAGCAAGTCCGCTACCTATAACTCTCCCATGCAAGGGCATATCCTCATACTGCCCACTGTTACCACCACTCGCATAGCAGGAAGTGCCCCTACTGCACACAGAAGGTCCCGACTCAGTCTTTGCTACCTCCTCTGTGACGGCAGAGGCAGCAGTAGCTGCCGCCAGAAGCTAGAGGCAGGACTTTGCTCTGCCTGAGTTGAAGGAGAGCCACTGTCAGTCAGAGCAGGAAGCCCTACTGGGCCAAGGGGGATCAACAGCCTGACCTGGTACAAGGCAGCAGCTACCTGCCTTCTGTGATTCTGCCCAGCACTTGAGACAGGCAGCCTCCCCTTGGCTTAGTTGCCATGGAAAAAGGGAAGGAAGAAGCTGCTCTGGTTACCTGGTGGTTCTTCATTTCTTCCTCCCTTCGCTGCTGGAGCTGCTTCAGCTGCACTTGGAGCTGATTCTCCACCTGCCTCTGCTTATCTAGCACTTCCTGGTAACGCTCCTTCAGCAAAGCCCTCTCGGACATCATTTTATCCTGCCAGGGTGCAAAGAAGAAGGAAGTGAAAAGAGGGACCCCTTTCTCCATCTTCACAATTACACCACCCATTGGAGTAGCTCGTTCTCCCTGTACCCTAGACAGATAATGAAGAGGTGGTAATCTGGAAAGGGGGGGAGAAGTGAGGGAAGGAGTCTGTCCTGTTCTGAACCAGCAAAATTTCCATTTCCATGATTAACACAACGCCAGGCCAACTTCCGCCAGGCCAAACATCATCTTCTTTGGTGATTACTCATAGCCGAGTAAGACTGTCTTCCATGAAATGGTCTTGAGTCCGTAAGTGACTGTGGAGGCCAATTCTGGATCCACACGTCTTTCCACAGTGGGGACATAGGTTTCTGGGCAGGAGTTGATCATGGTGGGGGTTTGCCAAGCGTGCCTTCCTCTTAGCACGTTTCTCCCTTTCGTCCTGTGTTTGAGTGTCTTCAAAGTCCATGACACCTTTGGAAAAGGCTGTTCTCCCATTGGGGCGCTCACAGGCCAGTGTTTCCCAGTTGTTGGTGTTTATACTACATTTTTTAAAAGATTTGCCTTGAGAGAGTCTTTAAACTTCATTTGTTGACTACCAGCATCATACTTTCCATTTTTAAGTTCAGAATAGAGTAGTTGCTTTGGAAGCTGATAATCAGGCATCTGAACAACATGACCAGTCCAACGAAGTTGATGTTGAAGAATCGTTGCTTCAACATGTGATCTTTGCTTCTTCCAGTACACTGGCATTAGTTTGTCTGTCTTCCCAAGTGATGTGTAATTTTTTTTGAAGACACTGTTGATGGAATCTTTTGAGGAGTTGGAGATGGTGTTTATAAGTGATCCATGTTTCACAAGCATACAGTAAGGTTGGTGGTACAATAGCTTTGGAAACAAGCATTTTGGTTTCCCTGCAAATGTCCCAGTCCTCAAACACTCCACTCTTCAATTGGGAGAAAGCTGCAGTCGCAGAGGACCTCAGCAGCTAAGGGGAAGTTGCGGTTAAGCAGATGCTGGTAATGTTCTTTCTAGTGCAGTGCAATAGCTTCTTTATCTTTTAGAAGTGTGGCACCATCTGTTGAGCATAGGGGGCATATGCCATTATTTATTGGCCAATAGATGGTCTTTGTGGCTTTAAGGAAACTCTGTGCATCTGAGTGTCGGCTAAGTGCTGGATCTCTTGAGCTTTTTTATCCACCAAGTATTCTTTAGTTCTCTGGTTCTTCTTTTAACCTCAGCCTTGGTGTTGGCATAGTTTTTTTCTTAGTGGCACAGTTTCTAGCTTGCCAACATGAGGTGGGTCACCATGCCTCAGTTGGGCAAAGATTCAAGGAAAACATCTAGAGCAAACATGCCCCTTGTGTCTATGCTTCCAAATTACCCAAGCCCAGAGCTGAGGCTGTCCTGATCTATCCTTGGGACTACTGGGCTAGAGGAGCAGCTCTTTTAGCAGGGCAGTCAGGGAAGCAACCTGAACTATGAAAGAGAGAAAACTCTTCAAGAGAAAGAACAGATCCACATGCAAAAAATATCTGAACGAGGAGAGGTGACCCCCTTGTCCCTCAGCACCTGGTCATCTTCCCCCCTTGAAGTGCAGGGAATCCCAAAAAGGAGATTAATCCTTTTGTGTCTGACGGAGCTTTATTTCAAAGTAAATAGGTACATTAAGGCAAAGGGACCCCTGACTGTTAAGTCCAGTCGTGGACGACTCTGGGGTTGTGGCACTCATCTCACTTTACTGGCCGAGGGAGCCGGCGTTTGTCCGCGGACAGCTTCCAGGTCATGTGGCCAGCATGACTAAGCCACTTCTGGCGAACCAGAGCAGAGCACAGAAACACCGTTTACCTTCCCGCCAGAGTGGTACCTATTTATCTACTTGCACTTTTTAACGCTTTCGAGCTGCTAGGTTGGCAGGAACAGGGACCGAGCAACAGGCGCTCACCCCGTCGCAAGGATTCGAACCACCGACCTTCTGATCGGCAAGCCCTAGGTTCTGTGGTTTAGACCACAGAGCCACCTGCATCCCAAAATAGGCACATACATAATTTTATTTGTATGCTGTCTTTCCGGTATTCAAACTGTGCTCAAGGCAGCTTACAACACAGACAAAAATTCACAAGTACAACATAACAAAAGTAGCCGTTTATAATAAATAAAACATAAAAAATACACGACCAAATTAATGATTCCCACATAAATCACAAGAAAATCTATAATAAATAAATGAACTCTGCTAGATGAGGGCTGCATTTCTCTTTTTAGGCTAGCTTCAGCAGAGACATTCACAGACCCCCACCCCCTCTATGCTCCATCCAGGCACACAGGAGTCATTACCAGTATTCAAGGACACATTCCAGCCAGGGAGAAAACATTTGTGGGTGGTGCAATTGGGGGAGGATGTGTGGCTTGAGGAGCATTTCAAAGGTCAGCTAGAGAGTCCTGGAGGGCCACATAGGGCTCAGCCCGGCACTGGGCTCTCCTTACACAGAAGTGTCTGACCATCCACTATGAAGGCAGAAGACATCAGGGATTGAGGCAGGAGCCGCCGCCCCCCCGCTGCTCTGAAGGATCTGAGGCTGCCTTCCTGCACACTTTCTTACTGGAGGAAAGGGGGAACTACTCATGCAGAAGACAGCGCAGCTTACCAGGCTCTTTTCAATATCCTGATCAGTGTTCACTTCCAAGTCAGCTGTTCTGAAGTCGGTCTGCAAAGGGAGGAAAAAGTTCTGCCTGTCAAAAATGTCATGCGATGCATTTTGTGATGCTCTTTTGGATGTTACAGTGACAAGAAGCTCTGGTGAAGTCGCTTTGTGGGGCTGTTAGTCGACAGGGCCCAGGCCATGACTCCCCTTTCGCTTGATTACCAAAGCTAATCTAAACAGAAACGCTGGTTGAGAGGTCGGAGGGGTTACGCACAGGTTCAGGTACAGGCTCAGCACTAAGTGGGTCCTCTTTCTGCTTAACCCCGCTGCGAGGGCTAGAAACCTGCAAAGCCCTTTGCCTCCATTTGCAAGACTACTTTGCTTTGGTAAGAAGCATTTTGGTCAGTGATAGGAGCAAAACATGGCGGTCCCCCATAACCTGAGCGAAGAGTCCAAAAAACGCCGTTATAAGAACACAAGAAGAGCCCTAAAGCTGGGTCAGGCCAGTGTTGGCCCATCCAGTCCAACATCCTATTCTCTGAGCAGCCAACCAGATGCTCCATGGGAAGCCTGCAAGCAGGACCTGAGTGCAACAGCAGCAGCACTCCACCCACTTGTGACCCCCCAGCAACTGGAATTCAGAGGCATGCTGCCTACAGCAGTGGAGGCAGAACAGAGCCATCCTGGCTAATCCTCTTTTCAAGCCATCCAAGTTGATGGCCATCATCACTACATCTTGTGGGAGCAAATTCCAGAGTTTACACTATGCACTATATCGGTGTCTCCCAAACTTGGGTCTCCAGCTGTTGTTGGACTACAACTCCCATCATCCCTAGGGAGCAGGACCAGTGGTCAGGGATGATGGGAAATGTAGTCCCAAAACAGCTGGAGACCCAAGTTTGAGAAACACTGTTATTTTCTGTCTGTCTTCAGTTTTCCATCATTCAGCTGCACTGGATACCCTCTGGGTTCTTGTAAGTCACCCTACTCCTTTTCTTGCATCATCATGTGTAATTTTATGCACCTCTATTATACTCTCCCCCCCCGCCCATACTGTGTATATATGACTAAGCCCGAAATGTTTGGTTGCCATTTTCTAAGCACTCTCAGCTGTGTTGATCCAGATGTAACCCCCAAAAGCAATGGATGTACAGCGTAACACCCTATTAGGATCAGCTGCCAGTCAAAGAAGGGATGTTTATAGAATAAATTGCAAAGCTTATTAAGCTTGAACTAAAGCTCGTCAGCCAGCAGAAATGCAACCTTTAGCCTTTTAAATAGAATTGCCAAGAAGTATTGCCATTTAAACTGCCACCATGAAGAACCCTACCATAGAAAATGAAAAAGTATACCTAGCTGCTTCTTGGTCATTTCCCCCATTCTCCAACTTCCTCTATGCTAATCGATCAAAAACAATAAGAAAACCTGAAGGTATCCATATCATCTCATTCACTTGCCAAAGCAAGGAAGGCCTACCAATGACCTTGGTGAAAAAAAGTCCCATGCACCCTCCCCACTATGCCAATTTCAGTGTATGGTAAGGAAGACTCTCCATCAGACAGAAGTCTCTCCAAAGCACCCCACCTCCCGCAGCCTCCCTAAATGAGTACTTGACCTGCACTGCAATGTTCTGGGAGGGCTTTTGGAATGCGCCTTCTTGGTCTTGGTCTTCCCCACTTGGAGATACCGCCAAGGGCGTGTCTTCCAGATCTGGGCACCCATTCTGCCGCCTGCCGTGCTGCAAGATCAAAGACCCCAGCTCATCCTTGGAGCAGTTCAGGACATCGCTGGTCTGGTCCATGGGGCAATCTGCCTGTGCAAGGGGTGAAGCCACTGGTAGACTTTCCCCAGACAGAGAAGGTCTCTTTTCTCCAACGGCATTGTCCAAGTCGGGCAAAGGGAGCTCCTCGCTTGAGGGGCACGATGAGGGCAGCGAGGCAGCCTCAGTAAGGGGGCCAGACAAAAGCTCTTCTGAGGTCTCTTGGTCCTGGGGAACTGGCAAGGGCGAGTCATTCTCCGGTTTCCCAGAATCCTTTTCTGCATCTTCCGAGTGATCACCTTCCCAGCTCTCGCTAGCTTTCGGATGGGTGTGATTGGTGGTGGCAGCCAGTGGCAGGCAATCGTCTTCGTGAATGGAAAGGTCACTTATGCTGTCCCAGAGAACAAAAAGAGAGAACAATCAATGCCCACTGCAAATTTCACCCAAGTATGCAACAAAGAGTGCTCAGTTACTCCACCTGACACACACAGGAAAGGGGAAGAACTTGCAAGCTACCTGCTCAGGTGCCCTTGACAAAGAGCCGAATGGCTCAGGACTTTTGTGGAGAAAGTCTTCAAAATGTGACAAAGGAATGCCCAGAAAGCAATTAATAAAAACCATACAAACAGATAAGAGAAGAGTGGAAGTGTTTTGGAGAATATCTTAAGGGGGTACAACATTGAATTTAACCTACAAATAGGAGTTAACATATGAGCAGCAGATAAAACATCAAATAAAGGAAGATTTGAGATGGAAATGGGTGGAGTATCAGGATATTTAGCCGACCAAGGTTTGTTGAGAATGCTACGGAGAGATGGACTGGGAAGTCCTAAGAAAAGGGATAAATGATGGATATGGTATGATACGGTATGTGTATAAAACTTGTTTAAAAATGCATTAAAAAAGAGAGATGCCTTCAAAAGCTAATACTGTACAGATGAAGCGGTAACGCCGGTGCCACAATTGTATTATTATTTTTTTATGTTTAAAAAAAGAAAGGAAAAAACACACCATACATGTCACTTATAAGTGACTCCATAATTGTTCACTCCTGACTTCACAGCTTCGGTTAAATACTGACAACAACTTTTGAGTGTTCCAAGTGTTTCACATACATTATCTGAGCTGTGCATTTAAGCACTTGCCTGGTGGCTGCAAGAGACAATGAGTGCAGGAGGGGCTGAGATTAACTATTAACATCACCTCTCTTGAGGAGTGATCAGTGATCTTGGAGAGATCTAAGGCATCATGCTTAAATGCCAGGTAGGGCTGGGGAAGAGGCCTCCCTGAGAGCACTGGGGAACCACTGCCAGTCAGAGAACACGATACTAAGAAATAAACCAAAATCTTCTGCAACTTGGGAGGGTGTGGCTGGTTTGTCTATCTTGCACGGTGCTTTGGAGGCACATGGAAGCAAACACCAGAAATTATTGCTCCTTCTGAATGCCTCCCAGAACAGCATGGTACACAATTAATAGCCACATGGAAAGGACAGCCATCCGTTAGCTCGCTGTATACCCCAAAATCCTAGCAAAGGAGTTCCTGGAGCCACATCTCGCTTTGCCATTGTAGCATGCCCAGCCTCTTAACCAAATCCCTAGATCAGAGGCAGAAAGGAAAGAGAACAGGTGTGGAAAAGCCAAGCCACCGCCAGAAAGAGACTGATCACACCTTAACAACAAAGAAGGATGCTCAGCACCGGACAGACAGCAACAGAGGATCAAAGCCACTGAAAAAGGTCTATGACACTCCCTCAAATCAAACAGCTAGGCTTTAGCATCACTTCTCTCTGGACACAGCAGGTACCCAAATGAGAGGGAACTCATATCCTGCTTCCTTGAATACCACCACCCTGTGATCTGCTTGGAATAAGCTCCATTATTGGTGGAGTCATTTGGGCTCTGTTCTGAAGGCCATGGCTGTTCTTCCAGAGGATTCTGAACTCCCACTTGCCAACATTTAGTGTGTCCAGCTTACCTGAGAGGCAAACTGGCAAATCCTTTGGGAAGCTCAGAGTCACATGGGGCAGGCTGGCTGGCAGGAACACTTTCGCTCTCCTCCACCTCTTCCTCCTCCTCCTCCTCTTCATCATCTTTGGTTTGCTCAGAGGCCATCGCTCTCTCTGCAAGCAAAGAATCCAACAGTCACAGCTGCACTTGGGACCTCGACTCGCTCTGGGGTGGTTCTCCTATGGCCAGTTAGCAGCAGGTTCCTATTGCAGAGATACGAGGCCAGTGCAGGTGTTACAGAGTGTGGCTAGAGGCAGCAGCAAGAGAAAAGCATCTACCACTACCACAAGAACAACCGACAAAACAGCACCCAACAACTTTGGGGTACAGCAGTGCAGGAGGCTGATCCTACTGCAGAACCTCTGGATTGCCCGAGAGATCCGGGTGTCAAACTCACAACACACATTACAGGATTTACAGGTGACTAGTTGCCTGTGTGAGAGCTGGACCATAAAGAAGGCTGAGCGCCAAATAATGGATGCTTTTGAATTATGGTGCTGGAGGAGACTCTTGAGAGTCCCATGGACTGCAAGAAGATCAAACCTCTCCATTCTGAAGGAAATCAGCCCTGAGTGCTCACTGGAAGGACAGATCCTGAAGCTGAGGCTCCAATACTTTGGCCACCTCATGAGAAGAGAAGACTCCCTGGAAAAGACCCTGATGTTGGGAAAGATGGAGGGCACAAGGAGAAGGGGACGACAGAGGACGAGATGGTTGGACAGTGTTCTCAAAGCCACCAGCATGAGTTTGACCAAACTGCGGGAGGCAGTGGAAGACAGGAGGGCCTGGCGTGCTCTGGTCCATGGCGTCACGAAGAGTCGGACACAACTAAACAACAACAGTTGCCTGTGTGGGCTCCCTGCTCCTAAACCAGGTTCCATCACACACAAAAAGAACAGGTCCTGGACCTGTTCCTTGCATAGCAGAGGGATGTGCTTGCAAAACCCTTTCCTTGGCAACTGGGTGCAGGGACTTTGCTGCTGCTTCTGGCTCTATTTTTACCCAAACTGTCAGCCCAACAGCCACCAGTAAAGGCCACTTGGGCCTCCAAATCCCAAAGGGTTTGGGTGCATCTAAGTGCAGGATTTGGCAAGCAGCGGTCCAGAGGATCAGGAGACATCCCCCAAGTCTAATCAGATTTAAGCCCCGAGGGGAGCGCAGCGAGAGCTTCCTTTGCAGGCCAGGTTGAGAAGCCAGCTTCAGGGGGAGAGGGGGGAACTGTATCAATTAAGCCTGCTCTCCCGACACAAGATCCGGATGCAAAATACGAGGGAGAGGAGGAAAGAGAAAAGCTGACTCCCTTTCAGAATATCACTTTCCTGGGGATGCGGGAGGGTAGGGGGAGACCTAAACCCACCCACCCCAATAGGTGCCAACTCCCTGGGGCCCTGAGTGCCCGAACACTTTAAAAATATCTAGTGAAAGGGCCGGGCACTGGCACATTTCGGTGCCAGGGCCATCCACGCTGCATGGCACCACGGCCCCGGGCACCCACGGTCGCGGGGCCAAGTTGGCACTCCTGCACCCCCCTTTGCAAAAATGCTCCATGTATGTGGGGAGACGAGGCGGCCAGTTGCCAGGGGTTATGGGGACCTTTTCCGAGACTTGCCAGGTTCCGCGCTGCCTCCGGTGTCCGCCGCGACTCGGGCCTCGCCTGGGACGCTCAACTGGCTCGCTCGGGGGGAGCCGGATGCGGCGGCGGCCCGGGACGAAGCGCGGCCTGGTGGCGGCAGGGCTCTCCTTCCCCTTCCCTCCCTCCTTCCGCCCCGCCGAGGAAGCGCAACCAAGAGCGAGGCCCGGCCGCCGCCTCTGCGCACAGCTCCCCCTGCCGCCCCGGAGGGAAGGAGGGAGCCCCCGAACCACTCGGAGCGCTGGAAGGTGGGGGTGGGATAGGCAGGAAAAGCAAGCCCCCCCCCCCCGCGCCCGCAATGCACCCCCACCCCAGGGACAAGAGCACTCCTGCAGAGCCAGCCACCAAACGCACCACCACCCAAAAATAACTTCACCTGCGGGGCACCTGCCCGCCACCATCGCACGCTTTCCCCCATCCCCGCTGAGCCCCGGAACCTGTTTGCCCGGTGTTAGAAGCAAAGGTGAGGAAACCGAGCATGTGCAGAGCGCCGACTTCTCCCCGCTGCCGCCGCGCTCAGTAAAAGCAACCGGGGAGAGGTGGAGACGGGGACCCTCTCTCCGCACAGATCTTGCAGGTGGCCCTGGAGAAAAAGCGCCGCTCGGTCCCGGGAAGGGCCGCCGGAGACGCTGCCCGACGGCCGCGCTTCGTTCGGTGCCATTTGGGGGCGTCTGCCCGACTCTTGCATCTCCAACCACTCGCACTTACCGCGGCGCCAGCAAATTCCCTCTGCGCCCTCGAGAAAGCGGCGGCCCTCGGTGGGTGGCTGGGTCGCTGCCCGGGACGCGACCCCTCTCTCGCGCGCCCTGGAGAGGCTTGGGGCGCAGCCCCTGCAGCCCACCGACCCGCCCTCCGGCTTCGGGGACGGGCGCAGCCAGGAGGGAGGGCCGAAGGGGCGGGCTCCGGACGTGACGCGCCCGGCCGTGGCGCCGCCTTGGCCGCCCCCGCCGGATCCGACCTCGCTCGCTGCCGCTGCCTTTGCGCGGAACCGGGCAAGTAGCAGCAGCAGGAGCCGGGCTGGCAGCTGTGTCCAGGAGAGCGAGGCCGCCGCCTGCGCCCGGACCCATGCGCCCCGCTCCGCCTCCGCCGAGGTAGGTGCAGCAGCTGCTCGGGATCGCGGCTTGCTTGTCTCCGCGCCCGGTGCTCGCTTGAGCCGATCCTAGCGGGCCCAGCACGATACCCGCGCCGCAGCTCCGGTCGGGGACTGTCCGACTCCCGGGACGCGTCCAGGCCGTCGGCTAGCAGCCCCGGGGAGAGACCGGGGTGCCGCCGATGATGCTGGGTGGGCCACACCCCCAGCACTTGCCTTCCGGGGGCGCTGCGCTTTGTGGCCGATGCTTGTAAGGCTCCCTCCGCCCGCCACCTCGAGGGGGCCGGCTAAGTACGTAGTAGAAATAGGGCTGCATCCAGAAATTCCCGGCTTGACAGCCAGCCTTGCCCCCGCCACTACATACAAGATTCACCCCCGCTGCCTCCGCTGCCCTTCCCGGTTTCCTCCTGCTCCTTTCCCTCTGGGACCGGCTGACCGGCTTCCCCATTGTTAGTGCCTGTTTGTGAAAGGAAGCCAACCCAGTGCCAAAGGAGCAGGCCCGTCCCAGGACTTCCTTATTGGGCTGCCACTTCCACCTTTGGTTCTTCTTTCAGGGCTGGCACAAGTCACTGGCAATCTTGGTGGGCAGGTGCAGCTCCAGGTGCCAAGGTCCAGGTGAGGGCAAAAGGTGGAGAGGAAAAGCACAACTTGCCAGTGTTTGGAGCTATATCAAAATCCAGAAGTTGGCATTTGGTTTTGATGCCTCGAGTCTTTTGAATGAACTTTGACTAGACTCTGGCCAGGACAAAACCCTTGGGCTCGTTGAGGTGACCAGTTTCTGGGTAAAGGGACCCCTGACCATTAGGTCCAGTCATGGACGACTCTGGGGTTGCGGCGCTTCTCTCGCTTTACTGGCCGAGGGAGCCTGCGTACAGCTTCTGGGTCATGTGGCCAGCATGACGAAGCCGCTTCTGGCGAACCAGAGCAGCGCATGGAAACGCCGTTTACCTTCCCGCCGGAGCGGTACCTATTTATCTACTTGCACTTTGACGTGCTTTCGAACTGCTAGGTTGGCAGGAGCAGGGACCGAGCAACGGGAGCTCACCCCGTTGCGGGGATTCGAACTGTCGACCTTCTGACTGGCAAGTCCTAGGCTCTGTGGTTTAACCCACAGCGCCACCCGCATCCCTAGTTTCTGGGTACCCCTCTCCAAATGGATAACGGATTCCTAGGAACCAAATGCAACAGACTATGAGTTGCCATCTTCAGGCTGTAATTACGCAAATTAAAGTGCTTTCGACTTTGGAAACATTTGAACTTTGGTATAGACTGCTGACCTCATCTGTGGTAATGCTTGCAAGTTTCATACAAAGATAAGGTATATAAAATACAGCCTCTGTGGTCTTGTTTTGCTGCAAGGAGCCTTCAAATTAAGTGATAGAAATCTGAAAGGTATCTATTGGGAGCAGGGCACTCTCTTGGCAAGATTGCCTGTCTCATATTAGTCGAGTTAATAGTTGTTGCTCCAGTTAATCCTTTCTTCACAGCAGCATGTAAGACAGCATCCCAAAAGCTGAGTCCACTTTCAAACCAGGGCGCCTGCCAGATGAACCAGCAGCCATGACTTATTTTCCTTCTTGGGTAAATAAAAGCCAGCAGACTCATCATAGGTCTTTCTGGAGTTGTAGCAGCAGCAGCCTCCTGGGCATAACATCCACTCAGGCGCATTTTCTCCCAGGCAGGAAGGAGTTAAGAAACAGTATTGCAGAAGCTGAAGTCAGACAGTGTGTGTGAGAAAGAAGATCAGCTGATGAAACATTAACTCCCCTGACCTCCTTTGCAGCCCAGGAGTCAGAAATGCTCTCATTTAGTAACCACTCTGTCTGTGGAAAGGTGAGATTCCCTAAGCTTGCCTGCTGTCTCTGCCCCCATTCCCCACCCCCCACTACTACAGTAATACCAAACAGGAAATCCTTTTCAGTTTCACTTTCTACAGGGAGCACGAAAGAGGGTGTTTCTGCTTTCTGCACTCACAGTACAGTGGTACCTCTGGTTAAGTACTTAATTTGTTCCAGAGGTCCATTCTTAACCTGAAACTGTTCTTAACCTGAAGCACCACTTTAGCTAATGGGGCCTCCTGCTGCTGCCGCGCCTCCGGAGCACGATTTCTGTTCTCATCCTGAAGCAAAGTTCTTAACCTGAGGTACTATTTCTGGGTTAGCAGAGTCTGTAACCTGAAGCATATGTAACCTGAAGTGTATGTAACCCGAGGTACCACTGTAAATGGGTTTCAGCAGGGGTTTGGGGCAAAATGAGCCCCTCTATTCTTCCTGGGGCTGGACGCAAGCCAGGCATAGGGGAAAGCAGGGGGTCTGTTCTGACGTTGCCCTTGCCCTTGCAGTTCGCCTGTCGGATGCCGCCCTGGAGGGGGACGGAGCCATCATGGAGAGCGATGATGGAGGCCGCACTGCATGTCCACATGTGCCTTTGGCTGATCCCGGCCTGGATCCCTTTGCTGTTGCCAAATGGATTTGCCTGTGGAGCAAAAGTGCCGCGTGGGGCCGAGCCCTGCCGGGCAGCCCAGTGCCGCGGGGAGCTGACATGGGCGGTGCATTTGACAGTGCCAGAGGGGTCCCCTTCCTCTGAGGAGGAGCTGGACTGGCGGGCGGAAGAACTGGCCAAGGAGGCCGGCCTCGTGAACATTGGCCGGATCGGGGAGCTCAGAGGCCACTACCTCTTTGGCTACCAGCTGGCAAGCCCACCGGGCCTCAGCCTGGAGGCCATCCAGCGGTCAGCGGAGGCGGTCTTTGCACAGCACGACAGCGTGAGGTGGCACGCCGAGCAGCGGTTTCTGAAACGCTCCAAGCGCAGCTTGCACTTTAACGACCCCAAGTTCCCGCAGCAGTGGCACTTGGTGAGTGGGTCCCCTGGCTTTGTGGGAGGGGCAAAAAGACAGCTTCCGGGGGCAAGTCCAGCTGATGCCCAGGAACTCTGGGTGAGGCAGAGGAGTCAGGTGTTGCTGCCCACTTCCAAGGGCACTTTTCCCTTTTCTTGCGAGGAATCCTATTCGGAATAAGGGAATTTCCCTTAAAAAAAGGGAAACGTTGACAGCTATGCTCCTTCCCCTGTAACCCTCTAGGCCAGGGGTCAGCAAACTTTTCCAGCAGGGGGCCGGTCCACTGTCCCTCAGACCTTGTGGGGGGCCATACTATATTTTTTTTGGGGGGGAATGAACAAATTCCTATGCCCCACAAATAACCCAGAGATGCATTTTAAATAAAAGCACACATTCCACTCATGTAAAAACACCAGGCAGGCCCCACAAATAAACCAGAGATGTATTTTAAATAAAAGCACACATTCCACTCATGTAAAAACACGCTGATTCCCAGACTGTCCGCTGGCCGGATTGAGAAGGCGATTGGGCCAGATCTGGCCCCTGGGCCTTAGTTTGCCTACCCATGGAATAGTGGCTCCCTTCCTTATCCACCATCTTCCTGAGGCTGCCACAGAGTGCAAGAAGCCATGGTGCACTCCATATCAGGAAGATGAGATACCTTTACCTCAAGGTCTAAGTGAGGGAAGCACATAAGAAAATACCCATGCTCTAGGCCAAGCTTCCTCAACCTCGGCCCTCCGGATGTTTTGAGACTACAATTCCCATCATCTTTGACCACTGGTCCTGCTAGTTACGGATCATGGGAGTTGTAGGCCAAAAACATCTGGAGGGCCAAGGCTGAGGAAGCCTGCTCTAGGCAATGTCAGACTACATCTCCCATCAGCCCCTGGACAATGTACAAGGTTGATGGGGGTTGTGGTCCAGCAGCATCTGGAGGTCCCCTTCAGGTTCTCCACCCATCCCATTGCAGGGCAGCGGTGCCAGCTTGCCCCCGCAAGCACGGGTGCCTGGGGCCATGTGGCGTTGTGTGCCGGGGCCATGTGTGCTATGTTGTCACAACCCCGGCGTGCTGATGTCACTTGAGCATGTGTCATGGCACGGTGATGTAGTGCATACACGTTGGGGACATGGTGATGTAGCAAGCATGCACCCTACGGCATGCATTTGCGGCTGCACCACACTTTATGAGTGCCTGCCCCCGCCATTTTAAATGTTATGGGAGCCAGGGCACCCCCAGCTTCGGGGACTCGGCACCTGTGTTTCAGGGTACATATAATGAGCCCTGGTACTTGAGTGAAATCAGGAGTTGGCCTTTGAGCTATTTCCTTGCTGTCTACTCACAGGAGTGGGCAGCAGAAAATAATACAAAGTGAGTTGTAGTTAACTCTTTATTAGCAGAAACATGATTGGAACAGCATAGCTGTCAACTTTTCCCTTTTCTTGCGAGGAATCCTATTTGGAATAAGGGAATTTCCCTTTAAAAAAGGGAAACGTTGGCAGCTATGTTGGAACAGCAGTGTCAGACCTAATGAGCACAGCAACCCATCCCTGGTAGGTTCCCCCCCCCCCCCCCGTGAAACAGTTGCCAAGACTGAAGGTCCCTGCCTCTCCACACCTGCCTGTCCCCTCCTCTCCAGGGTTTTTTCCAAGGAATCAGAGGCTGCACCTGTGTGCCTGCCTTTCCTCCTCCCGTTTCATGCCTCTTCTGGTCCTGGGAGACCAGCGGGGAGGGGAGTTTGTTGCAACAGGAGGGGAGGAGACTTCTTCACCAGCCTGACTCATCTGTGCCTCTCGGCCTCCCTCATCCCACTCTCCTGCTTCCACTTCTGCCTCTGATTCTGGACTTCTCTCCGCCACAGACTCTCCCTGCTCACTAAGCCCTGTAACTCTTCCACTGCCAACACCTCCTCTTCCCAGTCTTCTCCCTCTGACCACTCATCGTCATCCCACCACCATTTCCTGGACTCTGAGCCTTCTCCCCTTGGGGGCTACCCAGCCGGTTCCTCCCACTTTTCCTCTGCATCCAACCGGTCCATGACATCTGCAGCAAACCCAGGATCTGCTCCTGTGTGTTCATGTTGGCTTGCCTCCTCGCCCTCTGAACGTTGTGCCTCCCTTCTGTCTCCTGGCCTAGAACAACCGCAAGAGCCCCGGGATGGACATCAATGTGACGGGCGTCTGGGAGAGGAATGTCACTGGCCAGGGCGTGACGGTGGTTGTGGTGGATGACGGGGTGGAGCACACCATCAAAGACATCCAGCCCAACTACGTGAGTAGCTGATGCCACCACCATCCCTTTTGGGGCACCGCAGCTGCCGGGGCTAGGCTTGGAGAGTTAGGGCCCAGCTGGAGCCTTAGAGTAGGGCTGGGTGACATATTGATATATCGTCCCAACCTGGTTTGAAGTCCATATTGTGATGTCTGTTTCATACCTGGCAATGTATTGCGAATCATAGTGTGTGTGTGCTTATGCAAAAATCGCATTGTGGGGAAAAGCGTGAAGCCAGCCAATGCTTCTATAAAGCTCCATCCTTATTTCAGACATTGGACTCAGCAACATTAATTTTTTAAAAAATGTTTTAACTGCATTATAACACTGTGACAGCAGATGGCGCTGTACAGTTCGAATCTTCGGCAATGTGGTTTTGCATTATGAGCTTCACAACATTTTTTTTTTTTAATGTGTCTAGATCCAGGGACGCGGGTGGCGCTGTGGGTAAAACCTCAGCGCCTAGGACTTGCCGATCGCATGGTCGGCGGTTCGAATCCCCGCGGCGGGGTGAGCTCCCGTCGTTCGGTCCCAGCTCCTGCCCACCTAGCAGTTCGAAAGCACCCTCAAGTGCAAGTAGATTAATAGGTACCGCTTTATAGCGGGAAGGTAAACGGCGTTCCGTGTGCTGCTCTGGTGCCGGTTCGCCAGAGCAGCTTCGTCACGCTGGCCACGTGACCCGGAAGTGTCTGCGGAGAGCGCTGGCTCCCGGCCTCTAGAGTGAGCGCACAACCCTAGAGTCTGTCAAGACTGGCCCGTACGGGCAGGGGTACCTTTACCTTTACCTAGATCCAGCCATTGGGATATAACGGTATATTGCGATGTTTAGCTGGTGATATATCATAATGTTAAAAACCAGATATCGCGCAGCCCTACCTTAGAGGTGCGAGAGGCTTGCCTCTGAGACTTGGCTGGGCTGCAGAAGAGGACACATGACCTTTTAAGACTCAACCACCTGGATCCAGCAGGGAGCAACCTGCCTGGCTCTTGGGTCAGGTGGCTGGGGCTTAATTGGCAACTGGCCGGTCAGCTGAGTCCAGGCGGATGGAAGCAAAGGAGGGTAGGGCCTAGACCTGGCTTGGCTCAGGATAGCTTATATACATGCCACTCCCAAGCAGCTGGGCCGGATGCTGCCCCAATGGGGAATTGTTGGGCAGGATCCCATCACCCAGGCCCTCCTCTCTCCAGGCGTTGTGGAGCCGCGTTCAGGTTCTGTTGCTACCCAGCAGCAGGAAAGAATCTGCCACAATCTGTGCTATGTTGGTAAATATGGTAGAGTTCCAGGCAGTTGCCAAAACCACCCTTGAAGGTCTTTGAAAACGGACCCAGTCTTGATGTTGTGCAAGTGCTTCTGCATTTCTCTCACCTGAGGCAGCAAGAAAGGGGGCACTGGAGATGGGGTCGACATGATCAGGGCTTTTTTCCAGCCGGACCTCACCAGAACTGAGTTCCGGCACCTCTTGGGTAGGCTCCAGTGCTAGTACAGTGGTACCTCTGGATATCAATGGGATCCGTTCCAGAGCCCCGTTCGCATCCAGAAGTGAACGCAACCCATGTCTGTGCGTGCACGGGTCGCGATTCGCCAGTTCCGCGCATGCGCGTGAAGTCATTTTGACTGTCTGCGCATGCGTGAGTGGCAAAACCAGGAAGTAATGCGTTCCGTTACTTCCGGGTCGCCGCGGAGGGCGACCCGAGAGTGCTCAACCTGAAGCACATTTAACCCAAGGTATGACTGGACATGGGTGACGCGGTTGGCACTGTGGGTTAAACCACAGAGCCTAGGACTTGCCGATCAGAAGGTTGGCGGTTCGAATCCCCATGATGGGGTGAGCTCCCGTTGCTCGGTCCCTGCTCCTGCCAACCTAGCAGTTCGAAAGCACGTCAAAGTGCAAGTAGATAAATAGGTGGGAAGGTAAACGGCGTTTCTGTGCGCTGCTCTGGTTCACCAGAAGCGGCTTAGTCCTGCTGGCCACATGACCTGGAAGCTGTACGCCGGCTCCCTCGGCCAATAAAGCGAGATGAGCGCTGCAACCCCAGAGTGGGCCACGACTGGACCTAATGTTCAGGGGTCCCTTTACCTTTACCTATGACTATATAAAAGAACAAGGAAGGCATTCATGATGTATTCCGGCACATCTTTTTCTAGAAAAATAGCACTGGTCACAACCCACATTTCCTGCCCTGTCCTGTTCAGCTTCCTCTTTGAAATGGAAGGGGGCAGGGATTGTGACTGACTCAAAGCTCAATGGTGGCTGACGACGGTTTCCTGGGTGTGCCACAGATTACCGAAATGCTTGTTCCCATCTTATCCTGAGCCCAGAAGCAGCACCTGCTGCCTTAGATCAGGGTCTTGGCATGAGGTGGAAGCTGATTACTTAATATTCTACAGCCTTTTAAATGTCTGTTATTTTTGTTTTAATTTATTTATTTGTGTTTTTATCTTGTATTTTATTCCGTGAACCGGCCTGAGATCTTGTGATGAGGGACAATGCATAAATTTAATAAATTAAATAAATAAACATGATTTCCCCCTCAGGATTTTATATATATATATATATATATATATATATATACACACACACATATATATAATTTTTTTTAACATATCAGTTCCAACAGTCATACAGCATAACTTCTCATCTTATACAATATTTTGGACTTCCGTCAACTCCTCTGATGATTTTCCGTCCCCCCCTCAGGAAATTATGCGGTTCAGCCGTTTTTTATTTAATTAAAAGATTAGCCCTTCTGGGAACAAGAGCCTACAAGGATTAAAAGCGAGTGCAATTATTGTAGGCAACAAAATCACAATAAAGCAGGAAAGAAGGGGCAGGATAGAGTTGGGGGCAGGGGGGAAGGGGGACTGATGTTTGTTGAGTCCTGAGTGCTTTGTTCCCCAGCTGCAGTTACCCTCGCACTCCCAGGAAAAAGGACTCTCAACTCTGGGTCTTGGTCTCTTTCAGAGCCCTGAAGGCAGCTATGACTTGAATTCCAACGACCCAGACCCCATGCCCCACCCGGACGAGGAAAACGGCAACCATCATGGGACCCGTTGTGCTGGGGAGATCGCAGCCGTCTCCAACAACAGCTTCTGTGCTGTGGGAGTTGCCTATGGCAGCCGGATCGCAGGTACTGGCACCCGGTGGCAGGGGAGAGCTGCTGCTGCTCAGTGCCAGAGCATTTCCCAGTTTGAATCTGCAGGGAGAGAATCTCTTGCCTGACATTCTAGAGAGCCTCTGCCAGCCAGTGTAGACCGCACTGAACTAGATGGGCTGGCAATCTGACTCGGAAGAAGAGTCATCTTCTGGTGTTCCTCTGTTTGGGTTGGACTCTGCCCAGTTGCTGCAAGGAAAGTGGGTGGGATTCAGCTGGCTTGCATTTCTGCAGGCGAAGCAGTGTCCCGAAGGCATGCTAAGCTACAGGTGAGAGCTGAATGCAGGGTAGGAACCAGACGAACTACCCCCAAAGAAGCAACATGTCCCCCACCAGAAGAACTACCCCTCTCCAACACCCCATACAGCCCTGTATGCCCTGTAGTAATGTCATTATTATGCCCATATGTGTGTATGTGTAAACATGCAGGGGTCTGTGGGTGTTAAGGGAACAACAGCTTGCCTAAGGTCACCTCGTGAGTTCACGGCAGAGGTAACCATGAGGGGAAATGGGGACCGCTTCCCGAAGGCTGGCTTCAGCACAGTATTTGCCACATCTGGGCGTGGGGGCTGTGGAATGTGAGGGAGGGTGTCAACAAACCTGAAAGTCATAGGCTGCCATTCTCCGCTATGGACAGCAGGTGGCATCTTCTCCCTATCCCAAGATAATCTTGTGGGGAGGACAGGACCCCCCCCCCCTTGTTCAGAGCATAGGTTGCTTTGCTTCACAGGCTTTCGAGGGTGTGGGGTGCATGCGTTCCTTTTCAGTGCAAACTGGAACTGCACAAACGGTGATTTCCAGGTGCTCTCAGAGCAGACTGGCAAATGCAGTGCGAGAAGGGAGCCTTGCTGAGCCTCGGGGGCTTGTCTGTGACCCCCCCCCCTCCAAGTTGATCTGGTGAGGCAGTAACCGCTGTGCTCACAGCTCCCCAAACCGCAGAGAATGAAGGAGGGTGGGATGTTTGTTCTGCCGCTGAGCCGGGCAGGCAGCTCCCATCTGGAGCGATGTTTGCTCACTGCCGGTCTAGACTTCCCGTGCAAATTGGCTCAATTAGCAGCTCTCTGGTTCATTGGGAACGTGGTTGCGGATCAAGTGTGTCTGTTTCTCTCCCTGCGGGAGGTTTGCGGCTTGAAAAAAACCAAATGTAGCTGCAGACGTTCACGGTTTGACAGTATGAAATTGGTGCATTACACGGGGTGTCTGATGTCCGAAAAGAGCCCTTGGCGTTTTGCAAGTGGTTTAGATGGAAGTGGAGTTGGGTGGCAGCTGAACACATCCCACCTTGATGGTGGAAACAGGAATTCCAGGGGGGTGGAGGTAAGCAGGGCAGATCCCAGCCCAGCTCTTCTTGCTGCTCCTCTGACCTCCTGACTCCATCCCTTCCCTTTTTTCTTGTAAGAGACACACACACAGTCTGGGATCAGCTCAGCAGGTGAGAATAAGTTCTCCCAACTTCCTTTTATGGTTTAGCAGGTGTGGCTTCCACCAGCTCCACTTTCACTCCGAAGATACATCATTGCTAGCCACTGCTTAAATAGCCCAGGGGTGGGGAACCTTCAACCTGCGGGCCAAATGCAGCCCCGCATCCCGCTCTCTCTGGGCCTCCGGACTGTGCAGGCCATGCACCTTCCTCAAGCCACACCCCTCACTGGCTCCTTTACTGGCCATCCTCTAGTGATGTTACCTGGCTGGAGCATCCGTTGCAACTGCAGGGACACCTCTTGCTTGCCTGCCTGAGAGTAATAATAAGAATAATAATAATAATAATAATAATAATAATTTTATTATTTGTACCCTGTCCATCTGACTGGGTTTCTCCAGCCACTCTGGGCAGCTTCCAGTATATACAGAAACATAATAAAACATCAGACAATAAAAACTTCCTCATACAGGGCTGCTTTCAGATGTCTTCTAAAAGTTGCATAATTGTATAGTTACTTATCTCCTTGGCATCTGATGGGAGGGTGTTCCACAGGGTGGGGTGCCACTACTGAGAAGGCCCTGTAGCTTCGCTTCTTGCACTGAGGGAGCCACCAGAAGGCCCTAGGAGCTGGACCTCAGTGTCCAGACTGAACAATGGGGGTGGAGACGCTCCTTCAGGTATACAGGGCTGAGGCTGTTAGGGCTTTAAATGTTGGCATTATTCCTTTGAACTGTGCTCTGAAACATACTGGGAGCCAATGTAGGTCTTTTGGGACCCTTGTTATATGATGTTGGGGGCTGCTGCCAGTCACCAGTCTAGCTGCCCCATTCTGCGTTAGTTGCAGTTTCCGAGTCACCTTCAAAGGTTACTTTTATTCCCATTTTACAGCTGGAGGGGCTGAGAGGGAGAAAGCCACTTTCCCGCAGCAGCCAGTGTCCTGGGCTGAAGCAAGACTTGAACACAGGCCTCCTTGCTCTTGGATGGCACTGGAAGCCTCTGGCGGTGTGTGCGTCTGAACTGCTTGCCAGGTCTCTCCTGCCCCTGCCTTACCTGTCTTTGTCTGTGCAGGGATCCGAGTGCTGGACGGGCCTCTCACTGACAGCATGGAGGCTGTGGCTTTCAACAAACACTATCAAATCAACGACATCTACAGCTGCAGGTCAGTGCTGGAAGAACAGCAAATAAATACGAAGCTTTGGGGGGGAGGGCTTTGATCACAGGGATGTGAACCGAGTCCCCTTTGTGGGCAAAGTCCGTGCCGTGGGCTCTGGTCTCAATTGCAGAAGGGCTGGTTTGCTAGATGCTTGGTGGCGTCCCCGGAAATTGCATCACCCAGAGCACCAGCAGGCACTTCCTTTTTCCTACAGTCTCCCTTGCAGGCTGGAGCTGTTGGGTCAGTTGTGATGGAGAGAATGGGGAATCCTGTTCACTCACTGCAGAGCCTGTGTGACCCCATGGAAGTGGGAAAGGGGGTTCTGTTGCTCTGGCCTGCCACTTCCAGGAATGCCTGGTATCCTAAGTTGTTGTTGTTTTAGTTTTAAACATCTTTATTGAAAGTTCAAAAAGTACAAAATACTAAATATTGTGAGACGTAAATAAAAGAGGGAACAAGAAGAAGAGAAACAGAACCTGTGTAGAAGGGAAAATATGTGGGGAGGGGAAAAACCCCAAAACTGTATACTTTACAAGGTTGTTATTGTACTTTACCAGATCTTAACCTATTACAGTATTTGTAAGAATGGATTCCAAATGTCATTGAATTTGTCATATGCAAGTTGTTCATATGTTGCGAGTTTGTATAAGTCTTCAATCCAATCGTAGAAGGGAGCTGCATTTTTATTTTTCCAATTTATCAGTATCAGTCTTTTTTGCTGTGTGGTAAGGGCACGGAGAGTCCGCTCGTATTGTCCTTTTGTAAGGTTCCATGTGCTGGATATATAATGCAAGAGAACATTTTCCTCTGTAAATGTAAGATTGTTCCATACAGTTCTGTTGATAGTTACAGGTAGGTAGCCGTGTTGGTCTGCCGTAGTCGACAGATGTGTAACTGAAGAAGTCTGCATGCACACGAAAGCTCATACCAATAACAAACTTAGTTGGTCTCTAAGGTGCTACTGGAAGGAATTTTTTTATTTCGTTCTGTTGATAGTTTCAGTTAGCATCTACCAAAAATCTTTTGATATAGGACAATGGAAAACATACATTTTAGAGAAGCGTTATCCCTATTGCATCTCCAACAGTTAGATCTACCTTAGATACCCCAGGTTGTTGTGACCCTCAGATTTGTCCCTAAGTTCTGTTTCCCGGCATTTCCCTTCGCAGCTGGGGCCCCGATGACGACGGCAAAACCGTGGATGGTCCTCACCAGCTTGGGAAGGTACGGAGTTCGAGTTCTGCCATCTCCTTCTCTGCCAGCCCGAGAGACTTGGAGAACACTGGGCCTCACAGGGTGGCTCTGGAGGCGGGAAGCAGCAGTGCTGCGTGCGATTGGCTGTGAGCCACCAGATCGCATGCACAGGTTTTGAGGGAGCTGAAAGGTCTAGGACCCTTGTCCTGTGGGTTTTCTAGGGCTTTCCCTGTCACAGACCCATTGTCCTTGCTGGACGTTCTTCAGCAAGGGGGCTGGGGGGATGCCCTGCACTGTGAGGGGGGTGGGGCAAGGTCACCCCTGCTCACTCAGCTAACGCACCCCTTTACTTTTCAGGCCGCTTTGCAGCATGGGGTGATGGCCGGCCGCCAGGGCTTTGGCAGTATCTTTGTGGTGGCCAGTGGGAACGGAGGGCAGCACAATGACAATTGCAACTATGATGGCTACGCCAACTCCATCTACACCGTCACCATCGGTAATAGGATGGGCAGAGGCCTGTTTTTTAATACAGTCATACCTCGGGATGAATATGCTTCAGGTTAAGCATTTTTGGCTTGCGCTCTGCGGCGACCCGGAAGTAACGGAACACGTTACTTCGGGGTTTCACCGCTCGCGCATGCGCAGATGTTCAAAATGACGTCATGCGCATCCGCGGAAGTGGCAAAACACAACCCGCAGTCGTGCAGTCGCATGTTACGTTCGCTTCAGGATGCGAACAGGGCTCTGGAATGGATCCCGTTCGTATCCAGGGTACCACTGTATTAATATTTTTACTGGAAGAATTTCAATTATAAAGAAATAAAGTGATGCAAAGGGGGGAATCGAGGGAAGTGCGGGGGGGGGATCAAAGATGTGTATAAGAAAGAATATATACAGTCGTACCTCCGTTTACGTAACCCTCTGGTTACGTAAACTTTGGGATGAGCGTGCGGCAAACCTGGAAGTATTTTACCGAGTTTCACCGTGCGCGCATGCGCAGAAGCAGTTCTCAGGTTGCGGAAACTTCGGGATCCAAGCGGACCTCCGGAATGGATCCTGTCCGCAACCAGAGGTACCACTATATATACAGAACCCCTAAACCCTAGAGATTAATAAATACCAGGGTTTGATGAATTGGGGAATGGATTAAAACGTAAACCGCTATTCATGTATGCTACTACAGTGGCAAGAATGTGATTTGCCCCAAAATGGAAAGAAGCAGCAAAAGAAGAATGGATACAAAAACTTACGGAATATGTAGAAATGGCGAAACTTAGTACCAGAAGAATAAGAATCAAGATAACATTTTTTTTAAAAATAAAAGAATGGAAATGGTTTATTGGAATATTTACAGAAAAATTGTAAACAGATAAAAATATTGGCAGGATTATTGTAATAACCTGCAGTTTCATAAGAGTATATATTTAAAGAAGATGAATAAATGAGCAAATTAAGTTAATTTGGATGTGCAGAAGATATTAAAAATAAATTTAAGGAACTGCAGAAAGAGAGGGAAGGAAGTCAAGTTTTGAAATGTCAAAATGATTGTAAATTAGCGAAATGTATAAACCTGAGAAGTATAAATTTAAAAAAAACCAAAACATAAACGGCAGGGCTGTGCCAGACAGGGAATTCCCCGGCTGCCTTATACAAACCAGCCTAGCTGGCTGGCTGAGGGAAGACGGAACTTGTTAAGGGTCATCAAGAAGACAACAGACCTTCTTGCCCCAGGTGTGACCAGAGACTGCAGATTAGGAAGGTTGCCAGGGTAACGGCTCTGGAGGAAGTTAAGGTGCTTCTGGGAAGAAGAAAGGGGAAGAAAGGTTGAGATCCATCTTGGCAAGGGAGAAGGAAGGAGGACTGTCTGCAATGCTTTGAGCCACACTGTAAGATCTGGACCCTCTCCATGCAGACTGAAGGTGTAAATATGTGGGAGAAAAACCCATATTTCTTAAAGCAAGACAGTCTCTGCAGTGCCTTCTACTCTCCAAAGGGACACAGACCCGGGGTGTGTGCCAGTGGCCCCATGCGTTCCTGCCCCTGCTTGGCAGAGAGAGGTGTAGGCACTGGGCTTTTGTAACAATATATACCCCCAAAAACGAAGAGCAATGTACTATACTCCCATTCTTACATAAATTTGATATAGTGTTATTATCCTAAAACATATAGATGGTAATAGCCTACTTCATTCTGCATAAACTCAATCCAAATATTGTCATATGTATCTAAACAAAGTTGACATCTGTATGCAGGCCATTCGTATGATGCAAGTGTTGACAATGGACTGTTGTCAATGGACCGACAATATGACAACATGGGCAGGCGGGAACTTTGTACAGAAGGTTTGTGTCTGTGAGAAAGACAGACAGACAGATGCATTGGGCTCCAAGCTCTTTCTGAAATCCATGTTCTCTCAAGCAGCCCTTCGGAGCTTGCATATGTTTTCCTAACGCAGGAACTTGAGTTGGGCACAGCTGGGGTCCCAAGGAAAAGCATTTCTCTGCAGCCACCACTGAGATTTTCTCCCCTCTCCCCTCCCCTTGCCCATTAGCCCTGAGCTTCCTGCTTCAGTCATCAGGCTGTGCGGGATGAATAAGCCTACACTTGTGGGTTTTGGGAAGCTGCCCACGAGGCAGGAGCCAAATCAAAGCATGCAGGGGGCACAGCAGGGGGAGAGGTTATTTTTCATGACTTTGTTTCATGTGTCCCACTGCAAATGCCCAGATCTTGTCCCTGCTCCCCCAGAGCTGTCCTGCTAGTGGCTTAGCTCTGTTTATCCCACTGAAACCATTTTCAGGATATTACTAAATAGTAAATTGTGTGTATGTGTATGTGTGTGTCTATGCCACTTTCTTCAACCCTTTTTCTTGCCTCTTCTTTCCCTCCAGGTGCAGTGGATGAGATGGGGTACATGCCCTTTTACGCTGAGGAGTGTGCCTCCATGCTGGCTGTGACTTTCAGCGGGGGGGACAAGATGATGAGGAGCATTGTAAGTCCAGCAGGTTCCAAATGCTGCTGTTGCGCAGCATTGGGCAACCCAGTGGGTTTAAAAGTGCCTTGTTGTGCCCCCCAGAGCCTGCCATGGGGGCCTCACCCATGCCAGCAAAGGTCTTTCCTGCAGGCACTGATAGGGAAATCCAACCAGATGGGCGGGGTATTAATAATAATAATAATAATAATAATTAATAAGGCTGCATGCAAGGAGCCCGGTATGCTCTGCTCTGCGGGGCTTTTGCAAACTCCAGAGTTAGCGCTTCTTCCCGTCACCACAAGGGGCTTTTAGCATGATGTTCTACTGTGTCCTTAATGGGAAGAATTTAACCCAGTTTCTTGGCTCCTGTTGATGCTTCCTGGCCAAGCTAGTGCATGTTTGAAAACGTGCATCTCGTGTCCAAGTGCAAATAACAGCTGTCAGCAGCCGACAGAATGGTTCCACGCTCAACCGAAAAGTCAGCGGCGGGAGGGAGGGGAGGACTGTGCTTGGCAAGGCAGAAGGAGGCAGCCAGACCTTTCCACAGTTAGAACAGAGCTGTGATCTTTTTAAACAGCAAGAATCCGTAAACACTGCCTTGCTCGATCACGGAGCAAGAGTCCACTTAGGCCAGCTTCCCGTTGCTTGGATGGCTGGCCAGGTGTGTCTAGGACCTTGTAGGCAAGGCATGACAGGAGCAACCTTCCCCCCCCCCAAAAAAAACACCCCTCACTCTTCTTAGGCCTGCCTTTCATTTATTTGCAATATAACTAAGAGCCAAAACAGCCTGTTGCACACGGAGAGCTGAGAGAGATTGCCCAGCTTCCTTTAAATGCAAGCAAATGGGCTGCTAGTTAAATCAAGGAAGCAGTGGGGGCACTGGAGCCAATTAACCTCTTCCCCCTCCCCAAATACAGATGTCCTGATCTTAATCAGTCCCTGAGACATGCAGATACCATACAAGTACCTACATCTTGTGTTTGAATTGTTGTAACCTGCCCTGGGAATTTAGGGTGAAAGGCAGATGGTGAGGATGATAGTTAATCCATGCAACTGGCTGGGCCTCTCAATATAGCAGGTTGTGGGGGATGGCGGGGTTTGACCATCCCATCTTAGTTTTGGCTTTTAGTTATCAGTAGCTTTTTAGAAGCGTGTGGGCTGTTTTTAATGCATTTTGGTTTTCCCGTTGGTTTTAATATATCTATGTGGGGCTTTTTGTTTGTTTGTGTGTAAGTCTCTTTGGGTTGCCTTGGGCAAGATTAAAACAAAATTCAGAAATATTATTAATAATAATACAATTGTACCTTGGTTTTCAAACAGCTTAGTTCTCACACGTTTTGACTCCCCAACACCGCAAACCTGGAAGTGACTGTTCCGGTTTGTGAACTATTTTTGGAAGCTGAACGTCCGATGGGGCTTCCGATTGGCTGCGGGAGCTTCCTGCAGCCAATCAGAAGCTGTGCTGTGGTTTCTGAACATTTTGGAAGTCGAACGGACTTCCGGAAAGGATTCTGTTCGACTTCCGAGATACAACTGTAATAATAATAATAGTAATAATAATAATAATAATAATAATGCCCCCAATCCAAATCTCCCTCCCCTTGCAGCTTGCTACTAATCCTTTAAAAACAGTGCCACAAGTGTAGGACATTTTGTTCTCCCAAGTGTCTGGTCTGGTTTTGTGCTATGCATTCCTTCACTGCCCCCCTTAAGGTGCACCATTCTGTTTTCCTTTGTATTTCCTTTTATGTCTGCTTAAATGGCCTCCTCCCTTCTGCGGCATTGTCTTTGCAAGCAAGGATATCTCCCTCCCCTGCTTCTATGACTTCCCAAGGAGCTCAAGGCTCTCCTGGGCTGGTTGGAGTGGAAGCAGCCGGGTAGCTCCCTTGTCCCCAAACCCAAATGGATGATGCTGGAAGTGGTGGAAAAATGGACCCAGCCCCCTTTGAGCCACAGCAGCAGGTGGGGTGGGGAAAGGAGGAAGGAACAAAGGCAGAAACCCAGTAGCTGCCAATCCCTTGTGCTAGTTTACTGCCTTTGCTTCCATCTCCCCCTCTTTCAACAAAGGGGATTCTCCACCTGGTTTATTGCACAGAGCTGCCACATAGCGTTCAAGTCTCTGCAGTGGGAAACCCCAATATGTCTCCCCAACCCACCCACCCAGAGTTGCATGTGCAAATCAGGCACTGGGTATTACAAAGGGGTGGACTGAACCACTAAGGTGGAAGGAAGGCACATGAAATGCTATCCTTGCAGCTTCAGAGCCAGACCAGGGGCTCCAAGTCACCCAAAACAGACAGGCACAAAGTGCATTTCTTCCATGGGCTGCCAGAAACAAGGATTGATTCGGTCCGTATTCTGCACCCATCCCAACTTGCAGAAACCTGACCTCAGAGAGGAAGGAGATAAGTTTGTAGTGCAATGATGGTGGGGGGAGCCAGGGTCAGACCAGTTGCCCAGGGCTTCATTATTTGCAGCCCCCCCCATGCTTAGAGTATTATTACTCTTATTATGTAATTCCATTTTGAGAAGCAATGCCAAGTTTATATTCACACCAACTGAACCTTTGACATGGTTAATCCCCCAGAACTCTTCTTAGGCAGCCGTGTGAGAGTGAGACAGACAGACAGACAGACAGACAAGCTTTGCTAGTGCATCCCAAGGAAAAGTGGTCCAGAGCTGTTTTGAGCTGGGCTCCTTCCAGAGTGACCTTCCCTCCCACCATCCTCCCTAAGCTCAGTGTCAGAGCAGCCTGCCTGGTACCAGGAAGAGAAAATAAATAAAGGCTTTACGGAGCACACAAGGCAGTCCTGGTGACTGGGCTTACTCATGTTTACAGCGGCAGAAGGAGGACCTTTCAAGGGTTGAAGCGAAAGATGCAAGATGGGTGTTGCGTGACGTATGCAGGCAGGTGTTTGCTGGATCCTACCTTGGAAATTGGGTTGAGTTGCAGCCACCTTCTCTGAACTGGTGCCCTCCAATTGTTTGGGGCTGGACCTCCCAGAAGCCCCAGCCAATGCATGACACCTCCAGATTAGCTAGCCCTCCCTCTGGCCCCAGAATTATTCCATTCGAACCAGTGACCTCCAACTTCCTGCTCTTCTCTTTCCAGGCAACCACAGACTGGGATTTGCAGAGGGGCACCGGGTGCACGGAGGGGCACACCGGCACCTCTGCTGCAGCCCCCCTGGCTGCTGGCATGATCGCCCTGATGCTGCAGGTGCGCCCCTGTCTCACCTGGCGGGACATCCAGCACATCATCGTCTTCACAGCCACCAAGGTGAGACCAGGGCACCTTTGTAGTACCCCCCCAATCTCTCTTCCCCTGTGGGCAACCTTCACAGTGCCAGCTGTGCCCAGATAGGGAGGGGGGCAGCAGGCAGGAGATTGGTTCCGGGCTAAAAAAGCCCAAGCCCAGCTTCAGGATGGAAACGCAAGGAAGGAAGTAGACTGAGCTGAAAGAGACGATGCGGTCCATGGCAAAATCCTGGCACCTCCTTCCCACAGGGCTTTGCTAAACTGTGGAACTCCCTCCCACGGGAGGAACCGATGGCTACCAACCTAAAAAGATGGTTCGAGATATTCACGGAGAAGAGAGAGCTATCAGTTGCTACTAGCCATAATGGCTGTGCTTTGTTTCCACAGTTGCGGGCAGCCATGCCACGTGCTGAAAACCACAGCAAGGAGAGGACTCTTGTGGTCGGATCCTGCTTGTGGTTTTCCCTCTGGTTGGCCAACATGAGAACAAGTTGCTGGACTAGATGGGCCTTTAGCCTGATCCCGCAAGCTATTTTTATGACCTCTGCTCTCCATCGCTCCTTTGATGATGAATTGAGCCACCAGGGTTAGGTCTTGGGGGTGGGATTCAGAACCCCGAAGGAGTATGGTAGTGTGGGCCTCTGCATGGTCCCATAGAGGTACCCCTGCCTCCCACAATTCCATGCCTGAATCAGTGGGGTGGAGAGCAACCCTGAACCCACAAAGACCCCCCCCCAGCCACAGTAATCTCTGCAAGCCCTCCTCCTCCTCCCCCTCATTTCTTGGGGGTCTGGGTGGCTGGACTTGAGAACTCTGCATGAATGTTTCAGTGGGTTTGGATATGATGCTTAACTGAATCAGTGCTGGTGCTGAGCCAACCACTCCCATCCCAGAGACCTGGAAAAGGAGGAGTGGGGTGTGGCTCTGCTCTCCCCTCCTCCCACAACCCCTGCCAATTCAAAGGCGTATCAATGAAGCGGCATGCTTGGGCAGGGGGACTGCCAGCCGGACCGTTTCAGATCCGGAACTGCATTCTTCCCTGCTCCTTTCGGCCCTGCTGATTCAGCGTTTCAGATCCAGCCTTGCATCCTACTCTCTGCAGTGGCTCCCAGGCTACCTGGGTCACAGCAGCATCAAAGCCTCCTCCATCCTCTGAAGCCGCGGTCTCTCCCGCCTTCCCTGTCTGAGGCCCAAGCTCTTGCCCCAGCTAATCAGCTCCCTGCCTCCCTTTGCAGTATGAAGACAACCGGGCCAGCTGGGATGTCAACCAGGCTGGCCTCAGCCACAGTCACCAGCACGGGTTTGGCTTGCTGAACGCTTGGAGGCTGGTCAACGCGGCCAAGGTAGTCGGAAGAGGACCAAGGACCAGGGCTGCTTGTCAGAATGTGGGGGGAAGGCAGCTGTCTGCTCCATGGTTCTCATTTGGGTCCTGTTCCCCCATTCCCAGAGAAAGGGAGAAAGGATTGATGCATCTAGGGGGCTGCCCTCCACCTGGGCATTGTAGTCTTCAGCCAGAAGCATGGGGCAGGGGCCAGAGAGTATTGGGATGGACTTGCTGCCCCCTACAAGACCCCCACACCCCTCACTGCAGGCTGAAAGGGCTGGGGCGATGTCTGCAAGCTGACAGGCTTGCAAAGTTGTTTTTCCACAATTAAGGCCAGGAGATGAACTGGTGGTATAAGAGCCATCTTCAGATATCTGAAGGGCTTTCACATGCAAGGTGAAGCATGCTTGTTTTCTGGTGGGACCAGAATCAGTGAATTCAAATTGCAAGAAATACTCATTTCGAACAAAACCTTAGAATAATAGAATTGTAGAGTTGGAAGGAATACACCAAGGGTCATCCAGTCCAACCCCCTGCAATGCAGGGATCTCAACATGTGGTCCCCCATCCAATTTGAAACCAGACCGGACCCTGCTTAGCTTTGCAAATGTGCCAGCGGTTTTATTGCTTTCTCACAGTAAGAGCTGTTCAGCGGTGGAACGGATTCCCTCTGAAGGCAGTGGACTCTCCATTCGAGAGATTGAGTGGTCACCCATCAGGGATGCTTTTGTTGAGATTTCAGGGGGTTGGACTAGATATCCCTCGGTGTCCCTTCCAACTCTGCAATTCTAGGATTCTGCGTGAAATGACTTTGGGCTGAGTGCCCCCTGCTCCCTCCTTTTCTGGACGGTGGGGCATAGCGTCATGTATAGGGCACTGCATGCAGGGGCCTGCAGAAGAAAGCTCTGTGTGGTGCTCAGCGCTCCCCTTCTCCTCTCTTTCTTCTCCCCTACTGGCAGATCTGGGAGTCGGTCCCTTACCTGGCCTCCTACGTCAGTCCCATCTTGAAGGAGAGCAAAACCATCCCCATGGCGCCACAGCAGCTGGAGGTCACCTGGAATGGTTCGTGGAGCTTGGAGGGGAGGGGGGGAGGGGAGGGGCATGAACTAATAAATCTCAGCTGGTTTAACTGCCCTGACGTCCCCTGTGAACCCAGGAAGGGGCAGGCCTGTGAAAGCCTGTTGCCCTCCAAAGGAATTCCCTGTTCCCTTGCAAAACTACAGATCCCACAACTCCTTGGGAGTGGGGGAGCCATGCTAGATCTAAAAAACAAGTTTCAACCTGTGGAACTCCCTGGGGCAGGAACCACTTGGAAGCTCTTCTTCCTTTGAAATGAGGGAGCTTTGAGAGGAGAACCTCCTGTTGGTTTGGGATCCCTGTCAATTAGCAGGATGGAGAGTGATGCTCCTTGCAATTTCCATTATTCCGACCAAAATGGTCAGTCCGAGTTTGATGGGGAGAGTGTGGAATCGGGGAGCGTTTGTGCGAACTCTCACGCTGCGGCCAGGAGGAGGGAGGGAGCTGGAACTGCTGTGCTGCCCCCTCCTCTTTACCCCAACCAACGCCAGGCCGCCTCAGCAGGATGTGTGTGCATGGATGTCTGCCCAAGCTAGAGGCTCCCTCTGCCCATTTTAGGCAATGCGGCAGCTCCTGTCTTGGCCAGCTTCCGTCCACACAAACAAGACACACACACACACATTGCGAGACCTCTCTTCCCCAGCTACTGATGCCTCCCAGAGGTGGTTTCATCCCATCCCTCTGTTTTCCTTGAGAAGCCTCGAGGCCTCCTAATTCGTGTTCTTCCTTCGTGCAACTGGGGAGATTTCTTGCAGGGCGTGCGGCTCACGTTGTCCACCGGTGAGAGAGGCCCACTGACCTAGAGGTGCCTCTCCAGCACCACATTTGGCCACCGGTGAGAGAGGCCCACTGACCTAGCAGTGCCTCTCCAGCACCACATTTGGGCAGGACTTGAGCAGGGAGATTCTGACTCTCCCCACCATGGGGCTGCTGAACGCTTTGCCTTGTCAGGGTGCAGAGGGCCAGCCCTGCCTGAGAAACATGAGTGCCATAATAGTAATAGTAGTAGTAGTAATAATAATAATAATAATAATAATAATATATTTATACCCCACCCTCTCCAGCCAGGGCCGGGCTCAGGGCGGCTAACACCAGTAAGATTACAATAAAAACATAATAGGGGAGGGAGGAAAACAATTTAAAATGCAGCCTCATTTTAATAATAGCCCATACAGTGGTACCTCAGGTTACATACGCTTCAGGTTACAGACTCCGCTAACCCAGAAATATTACCTCAGGTTAAGAACTTTGCTTCAGGATGAGAACAGAAATCGTGCGGTGGCGGCGCAGTGGCAGCAGGAGGCCCCATTAGCTAAAGTGGTGCTTCAGGTTAAGAACAGTTTCAGGTTAAGAACAGACCTCTGGAACAAATTAAGTACATAACCGGAGGTACCACTGTAATAGTCCATAGATCAAAACCATAAGGGGAGGGAAACATAAGGGTCAGACTGAGTCCAAACCAAAGGCCAGGCGGAACAGCTCTGTCTTGCAGGCCCTGCGGAAAGATGTCAAGTCCCACAGGGCCCTAGTCTCTTGTGACAGAGCGTTCCACCAAGTCAGGGCCAGTACTGAAAACTGATTAGGATGGGGAGGCATGGGGGGGCTGTCTTGGGCCCTCCCCCACCCTGCTACCCCATCAATACTAGAAAAAAAACCTGTCTCTAGTCAACATGCCCTGGGGAGGCCCTTGGGGAGCTCTAGGAAGATGCAACATGATCTTAAGGTTAGGGGGGAGAGATCCCCCCCGTGGGCTTCTGCTTGTTCCCAGCCTTCCCCAGAGCCTTGGAGTCCTTGGAAGGGAGTCCAGGGCTGCTCCGCGCCTGTTTCCCGTAAAAGGAATTCTCTCCGGCGAAATGTGAAACAACAAACAGAAGGGTAGGAAATGCCAGAAAGCGGCTGAACCCCAGAGAGGAATGCAAGAGTCAGGCTCTGAGGGTGGAGGGAACTGCAGCCTTGAAAGGGAGATCGTGGGGTCTTGCTTGTGGGCTTCCCTTTGCAGCAGTGTTTCCCCAAACTTGGGCCTCCAGCTGTTTTTTTGGGACTACAGTTCCCATCACCCCTGACCACTAGTCCTGCTAGCTAGGGATGATGGGAGTTGTAGTCCAACAAAACAGTCCAACAAACAAGTTTGGGAAACACTGCTTTGGGGCAACAGGGTGGCTATCGTGAGACCAGGATGCTGAGCTAGGTGGGCCCCCTTGGGCCTGATCCAGCATCCAGGCTCCTCTTTGGTAGCTTCCTGTGAGGAAGGTACTTTTTTGATGGAGAAGCTTAGGAAGAGCCTTCCATGAAGGTGGCCAAAAGTTGGAGGAGCTTTTAAGGCAGGAAGCTAGGAGGAGCAGATCTGAGCCTGGTCAGCGCCTCTGCTTCTTGCTTCCCACCTGCTGCTCCCAGGGTGGCACCCTGGTCCCGAGCCCCACGTGCGCGAGTAATGCCGCGAGTGGTTGGCGTGCGCACAGATGGCACAAGTCGTGCTCACCGGAGGTCAAGCGAGATGTTTGCTGCAACCGATTAGGCCCAGCTGTGGTTTGTGGACCATGGGCATCGTCCCACTTGCATCCATGCCAGGATGATGCCCACCCACCTCCTCTGCCCATGCACAGCCTTCCCAAAGCCTTGCAGGAGGAGGAGCACTTAGGGTTCAGGGCAAGCGGCCATTGTTCAGTTGCTTCTCTCCCTTCTCAGTCACAGAAGCTGACCTGGAGCTCTCGGGGATGAGGACCCTGGAGCACGTGGCTGTGACCGTCACCATCACCCACCCCCGGCGTGGCAACCTGGACATCCGCCTCCTCTGTCCCAGCGGCATGAAGTCTTGGATCGGGACACCGCGGAGCATGGACTCGTGAGTAGGGCGGCCCCTGGAAGGAAGCAGGTGGGGGGATCGCCAAGCGCAACACCAGCCCCTCAGATAAACCTCTTTCCGTTTAATAATAATAAATAATAAAATTTTATTTATATCCCGCCCTCCCCAGCCGAAGCCTGGTTTCAGAGCGGCTAATGACAATAAAAGTAACACAGTATTCTAAAATCAGTTCATTTTAAAATCAATTCAAAATCAAATGAATGGCAACCATTGGGCTAGAGTTCTGTGAGGATTACCAAAGGAAGGGGTCAGACTGTGCTTTGGCCAAAGGCCTGGTGGAACAGCTCTGTCTTGCAGGCCCTTGCAGGGATTCCAAGCTCTGCGGACGCTGCACAGATTCCATGTCCTCCGTCTCTCCTGTAGGGATCCCAGTGGCTTTGCGGACTGGACCTTCTCCACCGTGCGCTGCTGGGGTGAGGAGGCGCAGGGCACCTACCGCCTCTTGATCCGGGATGTTGGTGAGTCCTGCAGCTTCACTCCCTCTTTCCCCAGAGGGAGGACTCTTGCCCCCTCCTTTCACCCCATGTGGTTCTTGCTGTGAAATCTCCTCAGAGCCTTGCATGGCTTCCTGCACATGTGCCACTCACCTGCTCCTTGACAGCACTGTGACTGCCTAGAATCGAGACCCTTGCCTTTTCCAGAGGGATTCTGGAATCAGGGCAGCTGTCTACCAGCTGCATCTGGCACGCAGGCTGAGACTCTACTTGCCCGCAGACTGTCTCGCCAGAGTGGTGCATGCTCTAGTTATCTCCCGCTTGGACTACTGCAATGCGCTCTACATGGGGCTACCTTTGAAGGTGACCCGGAAACTACAACTACAGTGGTGCCTCGCAAGACGAAAAGAATCCGTTCCACGAGTCTCTTCGTCTTGCAGGTTTTTTCGTCTTGCGAAGCAAGCCCATTAGCGGTTTAGCGGATTAGTGCTACAGTATTAGCGGCTTAGCGGGCTTAGTGGATCAGCTGATAAGCGGCTTAACGATAAGCTGATAAGCGGCTTAACGATAAGCTGATAAGCGGCTTAGCCATCAGCTGATAAGCGGTTTAGCGGCTTGGGAAAAAGGGGGGGGAAAGGAAAAAAACCCCGCAGGAACTCGCAAGACATTTTCGTCTTGCGAAGCAAGCACATAGGAAATTCGTTTTGCGAAGCACCTCCAAAACGGAAAACCCTTTCGTCTAGCGGGTTTTCCGTCTTGCGAGGCATTCGTCTTGCGGGGCACCACTGTAATCCAGAATGGGGCAGCAGCTAGACTGGTGACTGGGAGCGGCCGCTGAGACCATATAACACCAGTCCTGAAAGACCTACATTGGCTCCTAGTACATTTCTGAGCACAATTCAAAGTGTTGATGCTAACTGTTAAAGCCCTAAACGGCCTTGGCCCAGTATACCTGAAGGAGTGCCTCCACCCCTATCATTCTGCCCGGACGCTGATGTCCAGCGCCAAGGGCCTCCTGGCGGTTCCCTCACTGCGAGAAGCAAAGCTACAGGGAACCAGGCAGAGGGCCTTCTCGGTAGTGGCTCCTGCCCTGTGGAACACCCACCCATCGGATGTCAAAGAGCGAAACAACTCCTGACATTTAGAAGACATCTGAAGGCAACCCTGTTTAGGGAAGTTTGTAATGTGTGACATTTTAATGTATTTTTAATCTTTGTTGGAAGCCGCCCAGAGTGGCTGGGGAGACCCAGCCAGATGGGCAGGGTATAACTTAATAAATTATTATTGTTGTTGTTCTTCTTCTTCTTCTTCTTATTATTATTATTCTGGGAGGTGGCAAGCTCCCCTCTTGCCCCTTGTCTGTGTGATCCCACAAGCCTCTCCCTCACTAGTCTCTCCTGCCAATGCCTCTCCTTTGCAGGGGACGAGACCCTGGGGGCTGGTGTGCTGAAGCGCTGGCAGCTGACTCTGTACGGATCCTCGTGGGCCCTTGCCGAGATCAAGGAGCGACAGAGGTAAGGATGGTGAGATTTGGGGCAGAGGCACGAGCGTCAGAGAGGCTGGGAGGTGGCCAGGCCTGACAATTCGACTCCATTTCTCTGTCTCAGTTAAGGCTGGGTGATACCTGGTTTTCAACGTTGCAATATAAATCACCAGCAAAACATCACAATATCACAATATTGTCACGATGTCTGAAATAAGGATGGAGCTATGTAGAGGCATTGGCTGGCTTCACGGTTTCCCCCACATTGTGATTTTTGCATAGTCACAAACATCATGATTCATAGTATATTGCCAGGTTACAAATTACGAAACGACTATCGTGATACGGACTTCAAACCGGTTTTGGGTGATACATCAATATATCGCCCAACCCTAGTGTCAGTCAGGAGCAAGAGGATGCCCAGTTAAAATGCTCTTGTAGCTCCCCAGCCCCCACTGGAAAGGATTCCCCCTGATCAATTTCATGTGTTCAGTGACTCCACTAAAAAACAAACTCAAGGGGGCTTACAAAGCAGATAAATACTTCTGTTCTGGGCCTGGCCTGGTCACCCTAATTGGGAGGGGGAAGTAATTTTTCTTAGGTCAGACTAGCAATGACCCAAAGGGTGTTTTTTGGCTTTCACATTTATTTTTGTTTTCCCTTGTGATATGTGGCTTGGCTAGCTAGCATGAGCCACCTTGGATGATTTTGTCTGGTGGCTTTTGCACTACCTCCATGTTCGGAGGCCAATTGCTGGGAATCACAAGTGTGGACGGGAGCACTGCCATTTCACTCAGATCGTGCTTAAGGACTTCTGGTTGGGCCCTGTCAGAACATGATCCTGGAAAAAATGGCGGGGGGCGGGGGAAGGCTTTGGCCAGAGAGAGTAGACCACAGGAACCTGCCTTAAAAATCTGGCTGAAGGGAAGAAAGGAAAAATTGCCCCCCTGCCTGTTGGGTGTAATTCAGAAAAGGCTGTTTCTCCTGCAGGCTGGTTGAAGAGGCCATGAGTGGGCGATACCTGGACAGCGATTTTTCCTTGCCCTGCCCACCAGGCCTGCAGATCCCTGAGCAGGAGCCTTACACCATCACCACCAACACCCTCAAGGTAATGGACACCTGCCTGTCACAGGATCCTCAACAGGCAGTGGAGGGAGAAAGAATAATAGAATTGTTGAATTGGAAGCAGTCACGAGGGTCACCCAGTCCAAACCCCCTGCAATGCAGGATTTTTTCACCCAATGTGGAGAATCAAACCCACAACCCTAGGATTAAGAGTCTCAAGCCCTACCTACTGAGCTAGTGAGGGGCAGGGGCTTGGGCGGTGGCGTGACGATAAGTCAGCGCAACAGGGCACTGTGAGTTTGGTCAGTGGAATAATGGGGTCCCTTTTTGATTGGTTTAGAGCAGACAAGCCCTGGAACATGTGTGTTCAGTGAGGTTTATTGCAGCCTTGTGGGTCATCGGAGGCTGTGGGTAATCTTGGCTAATTGGTGGGGAGGGGTGGCTAGACTAGGGTGGTGGAAGTGGCAAATTTTGACATGCAGGGCCTCATCATGTCAGCTCCCCCTAGCCATGGACCTCAGCTTAGTTAGGCTCCGCCGACAGCCTCAGAATAATTGCAGGCTGGCAAAGGGTGGTCTGCCAGAGGTTGGCGTGTTGGACTTCAGCTGGCAAGACCACATTCACCCACTGCCTCCCTGGCCAGCCGCGAAGTTCACTGGGTGATACTGGGCCAGCCATAGACCGAGTCTCCAAAGCTACTGAATGCCAGGATTGTGGCCCAAGCCAAGCCAGACGTGACTTCCACTCCCTTCCTGGCAAAGCTTATTCTGCTGGTAGATTCTGTGCCACTTGGGTGAAAAATCACCCAAGCACACACCCCCCCGCAATGTTTTCCACAGCTCACAAGACCATAGGAACTTTGAACTCTTGTTTGAGCCAGGATGCGCTCCCCTCCCTGGTTTCCCTCTTTCCTGCTCTGTTGTTTTTTGCAAAGGTTTTTTTACCTCCATGCCAGTTCTGACCTCCCCTCTCTCTCCTCTCCCCTTCTCACCTCCCAGACCCTGATGCTGCTGGGCTGCTTTGCTGTCTTCTGGACCTTCTATTACATGCTGGAGGTGTTCCTGATGCGCCACAGCGTGACCTTTGACCTGGCCGCCTGCGGCAACGCCATGGCCTGCCCTTGGTCCTCGGAAGGCAGGACAGCCAAGAGCCTGGAGGATGGGCTAGAGATGGAGGAGACCGTCCCCCTGTATGGAGGGAAGGAGCTGGAGCCCGAGCAGCAGCCATCCTGCCTGGGGGTGGAGGAGGAGGCAAGAGTGGCAGGCGGAGCTGCGGGCACCCCGAGACCATCGGCAGGGAGAGGCTTGCTGAACCTCCCAGAGCAAGAGCAGGCTACCTCACCCGGGGTTTACTGACTGCTGGCAGAGAGCCCTGGACACGCAAAATGAACCAGCGCTTGCCCTGGGTTTGGCACACAGGGAGGAAGTCCGACCGACGGAAGCATCTCTTTGCGGGTAGCCCAGCTTGCCCCTAACCCTGGCCCCTTCTTGCATTTGGGGGCCACCGCCTGTGCCGTGGGATTGCCAGGGTGCCTGTGGCTGGCACAGAGGCTGAGCCTTGCCCGGGGGTGGGCAGCCTTATTCAGTGTCTGTGGTGGGGCTGAGATCTGGGGGTGTGCCAAGGGGGTGGGGTGCAGAGGAAGCCTGCCCCTGCAGTGCCCCACAAACTTTGCGGACAGGAGCCTGTGGGCTCTCACCAACTCGCTGCCTTATCCTGCTGCCACGTGGCGCAGCAGACCCTGGGCTGGCCGGTGCCCCCTGCCTGCCAGCCTTCTCACACTGTCCCAGTGCCCCCCCTGCATCGCCTGCCTTGCTGCTGACGAATGGCAAAGAGGAGCAGCTTTCGGGGGCCTTCCTCCACCACTGGAACCCAAAAGGGTATCATTCAATGCACTTCCTTTCTGTACGTATATCCTGACACAGCCGGGATCAGGAGCAGAGCATGGGCAGCTTTCCATGGAGTTGAGGGCTGGGTGGAGGCCCTTGCTTGGGACCACGTCACGAACGAAACAGTCTTCGGTGGCAGCTGCATGAGCCGTTCTCCTGCTGGGGCGGCGGCTTCTGCTTCTGCTATGACCCCCATCCCATTGGGAAGAAATGACATGTATGTCTTCTGTAGGCAGAAGAAGTGAGGCCTTTGTGCCACTCCCAAAGTCATTCAGCTTTGCAGGGATGGGTGGGTAATTATTATTATTTTCTAAATCAGTTGGGCGTGTTTTTTTTAATTAACAGCAAAAAGCTTTTCTTTGCAGCTTTCCAATAAACCCATTAAAATATGCCTTCTCCTTTTCTGTTTTATTTTCAAGCGGCACGTCCGAAATACACATACAAGCTTCACTTCTTATTAAAAATACAGGAAAAGGTGGGGGGGATATTAGCAATTTTTGAACTCTGGGTTTTAGAGCAAGAGAAAGGAATATAAATATATTGTATAAGATGAATCCGTCAAGTTTTAGGGCAGGGGTTGCCAACTGCTTTCAGTACGCTGGCAAATTTTGGATTTATGAGGGGGTGCCGGCCCCTCTGGTCATGTCTCCCCCCTGCCTGCCAAGAGACAGGTAGAAATAAGAGTACGTGCAGCACCCACACTTGTGTTTCCATGGGATCTTGAGAAAAGATCCAGTTGGCCTGAGCCTTGGCAAAGCCCATAGAGCTGAGAAAGGAAATGGGAAAGAGCAGCACTCTTCCCAACTTCCTGCTTCTGCTTGGTGTACTTTTCAAGGGAGGGAAACTGAGCCACTCTTCATGTTATGATAGCTGTGGCCGTGGGGGCACAGGGGCTCCGAGGCTTCATGGGTGCCGGGGGGGGGGGGGAGACCTCAAGGTTTAGGGCAGTAAAATAACTTCCCTAGTTTTCTTGGAAGCTGCTTAATTTGCATGGCCCAGGGCAGTGAGCTGGGGTAGCTTTCCCTGTGCATCTTGGAGGAGGGGAGTTTGGAGAGGCACCGCCAAGCAGAAAATGCAGGGAGGGAGTAACCCTGGCCATTTTGAAGATCCTTGCAGCTATTGAGGGAAACCAGCACACCAGACTCTCATGTTCAAGGCTAGGGTGTCTCAGCCTAGGGGTTTTTAAAGTGTGCATATTTTCCTTGTTGCTGTGTTTTCCCCTCTCAACACTGAAAGGGAAGTTCCCAAGAGGACTGCCCCCCTTTGGCCACTTTTCTCTGCCCTTCGTAGAATTGTAGAGTTGGAAGAAACGCTAAGGATCATCGGCCCCCCCTGCAATGCAGGAATATGCAGCCGTCCCACACGGGAATCAAACCTGCGACCTTGGTGTTATCACCACCACACTCTAGCCAACCAAGCAATGAAGCAAATAGCTTCTCTGGGTGCTTTGGCAACGGCTCAGCCTGCCTTCCTAAAGGGCTCGGCCTGCATCTGCTGGCTTTAGCACTTTGCCCAGAAGCAGGGAAGCCCCAGTGGCCAGACTGAGGCAGTTGCTAAAACGCGGATGAAATGGAGGCAAAGGGGATTCTTTAGGGAGTTTGCCCTTCTACTCCCGGCATCATAACTGCAGCAACAGAAAGGAGCAGCTCCAGATACACAGCCAAGAAAACAGCCTAAAAAAAAGAGTCATTGTTTTTAATGGATGAACAACAACAAAGTACAAAATGGGTGAGAGGCACACTCCCCTCCGCCACTTACGTAGAGGTCTTACTTATGTGCAAGTTTCAGCCACGTTCAAATATGCACCAGGGACAAGGTTTTCCATCGCCACGGCAGGTGTCAAGGCTGCAATATCCCCTCTCCCCTCCTGCCCTTGGCTTTGTGAATGGCCACTTCCTCAGCTTTGCAAGGGTCAAAAGCAGCAAAGCAACGAGCATGCAAGGGACTGGCATTTGGCGTGGAGATGAAGCAAGCAGAATGCTTGGGGTGGGGGGGCCTGTTGCCATGTAGCAACCTTGTAAGAATCCTCCTGCTCCCAGGTAGTAACTTCTGGGGCAGAGTTAAGGTGATTTTGAAAGGTTCTCCCAAAAAATTCCCAGTTGGCGGCCGTTGCTGCCCCTGCGGCATGATTCGTCGGGGTGGCATTGGGGCTCTTTGTGCAGGAGCTGCAGGGCCAGTTCTGCTAGGGGGTGGGGGTGGGGAGGGTTGCATCCTGCTTAGCTGATGATCTGTCGGGGTCGGCCATAGCCTGTCATGCCTGCCTGCGAGGCACCCTGGTTGGAGCCCATTTGTAGACCGATCACGTTCTTGCCCTCTTTCAGCTGACTGTCTGAGAAGTCCCGCCGGTTCTCCTGGGCTTTCCTACGGTTAAAAAAAGAGAGGAAAACAGGGTCAGCAATCTCACTTTTTGCAGTACTCGCCACTAAGGCTGGGCGATATATCGGCCCAAACTGGTTTGAAGTCCATATCGTGATACCGGTTTCTCATATATATAATTATGCATGCGTGTGCAATGCAAAAATCACAGTGTGGGGGATAGCGTGAAGCCAGTCAATGCTTCTCTCAATTCCTGCAGCCTCTGTTAACTCTGACAAATGCTGGAGATGTGGGAGTAAAAATGCGAACTTAGTACATATGATGATTAACTGCTCATTGATAAGATCATTTTGGTGCGAGGTGAGGATATATATAGCAAGAGTAATAAAAAAAATTGTTATTTCGGGGAATTGAATTTAATTCTAAATTATATACTGGAAATGTGGGAGATTACAAGGGGTCAAAAAAATGGATGTACTGTGCCATATTTGAAGCAAAAAAACTTGTTTTGATGAATTGGAAGAGCCGCAAAAAGATTCCATTGAGCACATGGATTGACAATATGGACAGACTAGCCACATACGAACGAATTGCATGTTGACGCAAATTAAGAATGGATAAATATGAAGAAATCTGGAATGAATACTTAAGCGATAAGGCGGACAGTGGTGGGAAGTAGGGGGAGGAGAGGTGGGGAAAATATTGTTAAAATGGTGTAGTTATAGGTATATCAGTACTCAAATCTGAATTGCTAAATTGTGTTATTAGTCTTATTGTGGTTTTTGTTGTATGTGTTTTTTGGTGGTTTGTATTGAAAAAACGATTAAATAATTTTTTTAAAAAACCTCTGCAGGAGGCAGCAAATCACAAGAGCAGGCACCGGCAAAAATCACGATGCGGGGAAAACCGTGAAGCCAGCCAGTGCCTCTACATAGCTCCATCCTTATTTCAGACATCACAATACATTGGTATATCATCATGTTTAGCTGGTGATGTATCACGATGTTGAAAACCAGATATTGCCCAGCCCTACTCACCCCGCCCCCCAAATCACTATCCTGCCCCCTGGTGCAAGGCTGGGCTTTTTATTTCTTTGTTTGTTGGAACATTAACACAATTTCTGCATCTAAATTGAAGTCTATTGCTCAGGAATCCCTTTTTGTGCAGAAATCTGGCTGCCAAAGGATGAATTTCCGCATTATAGCACTGGGGATTTGGAAATGGAAGCATTCGCTAGGTGAATGCTATAGTCATGGCAAGCTGAACTGAATTTGAGTTCCACGACCCTTGTGAGAATTCTGTCCAAGTCTAAATGGGCAAAATGCCTCTTAATACCCTCTCCTAGAAATAACGATTGGGGTTCAGGCAGCTGTTACGCTCAGATCCTGCTTGTGGCCTCCAACTGGGACACGAGAACAAGATCCCTTTGGGCCCGATCCACTTGCTGCTCTTCTTGGCTCCACTCCCCAGAGAGGCTCAGATGCCACTTACTTCATGAACCAGGAAGGGTCTCCACGATACTGTCCATCGTTCTTAGTCACAGCAAGGCTGCCCAAAGCCATCAGCGTCCTCTGAACTGCGGCCATGTCCTTCGCTAGGATGAGAGAGAAGGCGATTATTCTTAGGTTGGGCTGAGTCAAGGCACCATTGGCGTTCTCAAGAGCCACAACTCACTAGCACATTGTCTCTGTTATTAGGGATGGGAAAGCTTCAAACCCTGGATAGTCATAGTAGCCCAAACTGAGCTGGACGGGCCAAGGATCTGGTTCTGTGCCAGGCAGCTTCCTATGCTCAGGAAGTAAACCAGGCGTGCAGAGCCCTTGGTCCTCCAAATGTTGCTGAACTACAACTCCCACCACCTTGTGGCCATGGGTTATGCCTGCGGTGGCTGATGGGAGTTCATCAACATCTGGCAGGTCAAGCAGCAAATCCCAAAATCTGTTCCAAACCAGGATAGGCGCTGCCAGATGACCCAGGCATGTCTTATAGGCTTCAGCCCCATGGCCAAGGATGAGGAACTACACTTGCTCCCTCCCCAGACCACCCTTGCTGCTCTCTCATCCTACTTCAAATGCTAAGTGTCTTTTGCCTGGCTTGAAATGTGTCCTTGAACTCGGATCGTGCCTGTGGCTTGTCTGGGTGGAAGACAGAGAGGGGTGCGTGGGAGTTTGCATAGAAGCTAGCCTACTGTACCAGCTTCACGTCCATTGCTCCACCCACGTTTGCCTCTGGCCCCGCTCACTACTGGCATGTACCCCTCTCCCTAAAGGTTGTCCAGAAGGGAACTGGAAATGGCTCCCCATCTCTTGAGGTCCAGGCAGCTTCTACCTAGACAGAGCTTGAACCTAGAAAGCCAATATTCCTCCAGCAAATGTTCAGCCAGGTGGAATATTCTAAAGGCAAACGTCATGCCACTTTTACAGGGGAGAGGCCAAGAGGCATTTTCACACTCATTCCCTTCCACTTTTTGTGAACTCTCTGTTGCCTGCTCATTGCCACCTGCCTCAGAAGGCCTTCCTTATCCTCCCACCTTCAAACAGATCGACCGTCTGGAAAATGTCCGTCTTCACCACGCCGTAGTCCTCTGCCGCCTTCAGGAACTGGGCTATCTGCTCCATCTGCTTGAAGACCATGCTAGGAGGAGTATCGGGGATCTTCACAGGCTTGGAAGCACAAAGACTGTTGATCAACTTGCCTAGGATCTGCCAGAGGAAGCGAAGGGAGCCACAGTCACTCAAGGGCTTAGAGCATCACATGTCACTGGAAACCCCAGGGCTGGCCCTAGCATTAGACAGAATGAGGCAGCCACCTCAGGTGGCAGGTGCCGGAAGGGAGGCAGAAGTGGATTCCCCCCACCTCTTCTTTGTGACCCCCCACCAGCTATTCCCCTCTGTTGGAGGACAGAGCTGTGCATACCACACAGTTTATCCTGGGTCCCCTAAACCAGCCTGATAGCTCTGGAAGAGTCAGCTGCCAATCCAGTTGGCTTCTAGATGAGGAGTGTGTGAGTGTGTATGATCTCTTGTCCTCGATAGCTCATTTGGTTAGAGCGTGGTGCTGATAATGCCAAGGTTACAGGTTCGATCCCCATACGGGGCAGCTGCATGTTCCTGCATTGCAGGGAGTTGGACTAGGTGATCCTCAAGGTCCCTTCCAACTCTATCGTTCTATGATCTTAGGCGGCAAAATGTATTGGGAAACCCCATAAGAGAGACCTGGGTCTCCCCTATTCCAGAGAGTGACAATGCCAAGGAGCAAGCTTTGTAAGACCTCACACATAATCCTGGTTGAGGGCATGTGTGGTTGGTTGGTTCGATTAGACAGGCTGGTTTCCTCCTGGCTCAAGGAAGCATTTGCGTTTGCAACCCCTGGAGCAGGTCAAAAGTCTAGCTTCCAAAGTGGCTCAATAAAACGGGCCCTGGGATATGGCCTGAAGGCCCAGGAAGCCACCCTCTTACTGCAGCTAAGCAGGCCTGGGTCTGATCAGGGCTTTGGTAGGCAAGTGCCTGCCTTCAGAGATGGATTTAGGGGAGCGCGCCTGGTTTGGTCACCCTGGGAGAGGAGCCTCAAGGGTGCTGCTAGAGATGCCACAACTATGATTTCGAACCGAGTGTGAGGGGGCCATTTGAGACCCCAAAGTCTACCACTGCTGCCTTGGGCTCCGTGATGGGAAAAATGTGGGCTGCAATTGTAAGAAACCGATGGACTGATGGAGGCCGCCTGCATACGAGGGCTTTCACGGGGCTGGAGTCTTTGTTCCCCCCATTTAACCTGGGAACCCCGCGATCAAATAGTGGTGGGTGAGGGGCTCACAGGATTAGTTGGGCAGTTTAAGAGAATACTCTTCATGCCCCGAGTCACTGTTTCTTTTGCCATTACACCACGCAGTCCACAGCTGAGCCCCGAGGTTAGGGAGACAAAGGGACAAGAAGAGAGGGTGTTCAGTGCTTACAATGCCATTCTTCAGCCAGACCTGGAAGCCCAGCCTGCCACGTTCGGGGCGCCCCACATCTGCCCCACACTGGAGCACAACCCACTCCACCAGTCGCTCTTCCAATTCATCATCGTATTTCTTCTCAATCTTGGCCTGGACGTCTCTGCTCAGGCCAAAGGAAGGTCCTTTGTTTGCCATGCTTGTTGGAGGAGGAGGAGGAAAACCTGGGAAGACAGAAAGAGAGGTGGGCAGGGAGGTGAGGTTGGCTCAGAGAAGCTGAGAAGTGGGTTCTGGCAGAATGGCAGATGCTGGGAGAATCCTGCCCCCCTGTCCCTGCCCCACAGAGCAAAACACAAAGAGCAGCTGGGGTCAGGAGCATGGGAATGTGACCAGCAAGCTAGGCAGCACCCTCTGCATCCTAGAGGGATCTGAATTAAGAACCATTCCCATTTCCCCATCTTTGTACATTTGTGGGTGATGGGTAAAAAGGTAAAGGGACCCCTGACCATTAGGTCCAGTTGTAGCCGACTCTGGGGTTGCGGCACTCATCTCGCTTTATTGGCCGAGGGAGCCGGCGTACAGCTTCTGGGTCATGTGGCCAGCATGACTAAGCCACTTCTGGCGAACCAGAGCAGCGAATGGAAACGCCATTTACCTTCCCACCAGAGCGGTACCTATTTATCTACTTGCGCTTTGACATGCTTTCAAACTGCTAGGTTGGCAGGGGCAGGGACCGAGCAATGGGAACTCACCCCGTCGCAGGGATTCGAACCGCCGACCTTCTGATCGACAAGTCCTAGGCTCTATGGTTTAACCCACAGCGCCACCCGTGTCCCGGGTGATGGGTAGAGATGCATAAACTTTATTTCTGACTGCAGAGAAAAGCCCAGAGAACAGATAAGTTGGCTTGGGCTGGCAGTGGCCGTAGAATGCAGAGGGACCTGAGCCCAAGCCACGTGCAACCCCCCCCCAAATAAAACTAACCGCCCCCAAAAACCCTGGACATTTGCATGTTGCCCCCCAAAAAAGATTACATGTCTGGGATTTCCCATATGTATTGCAACTCTAGATAAGGCATTTGCTCAGCATTTCTGTCCTTTCCACACACACACTAAAAAAACCCAGCTGCATCTGGGAAACTGACAACACTGTGTTTAGCAACCTTTGTTAGAAAGAGGATGCTGCAACAAGGCCACTGTCTGTAGAAGGCAGAGGCCCAAAGTCCTTGTTTGCAGACCAGCATGACCCAGAGGCTGTTGCCTTTTGCTCTTCATCTGCCCCGCCCCTCTCTTGCTCTCCAGCATCTGATGGGAGGACAAAGGTATGCTAATGGTTTATTCCGAAGTAAAGAAGAGAATCCTTGTGGAATTGTCCCGTCAGAAAGCAACTTCCATGCGCGCTGGCGCATCATGCCCACCAAGACCGGCTGAACGGCTCACACCAAATGCAGAAGTTGCACGTTGTCACGTGCAGATGTCACCAAATGTACAAGTTCCACAGCAGGTCTTTTCTTCCCAGTATTGAAATGTTCAGGTCCCAAGTAAGTCTGGTCTTGACTGTAAGCCTTGGCTGGTGAGGCTGATGCCTCAGAGCCCCACATTAAGCGATAAATGGAAGCTAGGCCTGGTGGCAAGGCAGTGAGCCTGGGATCTTTTGCTCTGTCTGGCAAGGCGCTGGTGTTCCTGGGCTTGATAATCCTGGGACTCACTGACACTGGAAGTAGGGGTGAAAGAAGGGTGTGCTGGCTCCCAGCTGAGGCTGCGAGCTCTCGTTTGCCAGCCAAAATGAGTGTCTATGGTGGGGAACCTGTGGCATTATGTTTGGAGTGTTTGACTAGGACCTGGGAGACCAGGGTACAAATCCCCACCTTTTAGGTGTGGCCTTGAAACAGTCAGCCTAACTTACCTCACAGGGTTGTGATGATAAAATGTGGAAGGAACCATACATGCCATCTTGATCGTGTTGCAGGAAAGGTGTGAGTGTAATGCAGACATAACGCTAAAATCTGCAGCGTGTTTCATGCTGCAGGGCCTTCTTGGTGGTAGCACCCTCCCTGTGGACGTCCCATCGGATGTCAAGGAGATAAAGAACTACCCAATTTGTAGAAGACATCTGAAAGCAGCTCTGTATCAGGAAGTTTTTTATGTTTTTAGAAGTTTTTAATGTTTCAACATTTTATTATGTTTTTGTAGCTTGCTGGAAGCCGTCCAGAGTGCCTAGGGAAACCCAGCCAGATGGGCAGGGTACTACTACTACTACTACTACTAATAATAATAATTACTATATACAGCATGGAAGCCTGGGGTCATCCCGCCTTCAGTGCCCCTTGCTGTGGTTCTAGGAATTCCACTAGCACAGGCATCTTGTTGGGAAGACCCTCAAATCAAGAGGCACTGCAGGTTTTGGCCTGGAAGGATGGGCAGTATCTCAACTTTCCCAGTGGGGCTGTCAGCCACAGACCTAGGAGAGGGGAGGTCAGAAAGTGGGGATGGCAAAGATTCCCTGTGCTTCGACACACTTGAGTAACAGCTTCAACCAGCCTTCCTTGTGCCCTGCCCCACCCCTGCAGATCCCAAACCTGTCGAGGTAGGTTGATCCCTACTTTAGTGTTCCCTTCACTTTCTTGAAGTCAAAGCTCCTTGGAGATTAATTCCCTGGGGCAGAGAGATGCTTTTGCAAGTCTTTATTTCCCTGCCTGTTGCCCAGGCTCTGTTTCGCAGCCTCCGTGAAAGCCAAGTTCCACATGGCACACTTCTCTGATGGAGCACAAAATGAACTGCTTGGGAACTGGGGCACACAAGCATATCCCAAAGGCTTTCCTCACAATGACCCATGGAAGGCCAGGCTGCACTGGATGGAAAGAGCCACTCCAGAATATCCGAGGTTGATCTGTTAGAAACAGCCAGAGAAACAGCCGGAGAAGCTAGCCACCCACCCTTGGCCAGCATTGGCCCCCTGGTTGCCCCCCATATATATCACTCTGCTGGTGGTCACATTCTTGGTGCAAAATAGTTTTGAACAAACAAAACACGCTGGGTATGTTTAGTCTAGAAAAGAGGAGACTGAGGGGAGAGATGATAGACATCTTCAAAGATCTCAAGGGCTGTCACATGGAAGATGGAACAAGCTTGTTTTCTCTTGCTCTGGAGGGTTGGACACAGACCAATGGCTTCGAGTGTCAAGAAAGGAGATCCCAACTAAACATCAGGGGCGGGGACAGAAAGCTGTTCAGCAGCACAACAGACTCCCTTGGGAGGTTGTGGGCTCTCCTTCCTTGGAAGCTCTTAAGCAGAGATTGGATGGCCACCTGTCATGGACGCTTTAGTTAAGATTCCTGCATTGTGGGGGGGTTGGACTGGATTAACCTTGAGGTCCCTCTATGATTCTATGTATAGGAAATTGTACAGGCAGCATCAGTGGCAAATAGTGACTGCTGCAGAGGTTCATTCAGAGGGTACCAAAGAGGCAACGTTTCTTTTTATGCAACTGACCAGCTTGAAAAATAGCACCAGTCTGTTATCAGATTTGCCTGTGCAAAACAGTGCTTGTTCTACAAGCTGCAGCAAGTTCCCCCAACCAGACCCTTCTGGCTACTTTCCTGCACAAAGTTCAAGAGAACTCAGAGAAGGTGCCCGATCCAGCTGCCCCTCCTTGCTCTGACTCAAGTTCACCCACCCAGCCTGGGCCACAGCCAAGGCAGCGCATACAGAAGCTGTGGATCCCACCTGGCCAAAGATTGCCTCTTTCTAGTTGGAGATGGTGATATGCAACAGAATAGCCCTGCCAGACAGACCACAGCAAGGATCCCTCAGGCTCAGGAGAGTTGCTTTCTTACAGCAGCCGGTCAGATGCCTTCAGGAAGCTCATAAGAAAAGCACCATCCGTCCTCAAAGTTTGCCCATTAGCATACCCTCCAACATTTCTCCAATGAAAATAGGGATGTCCTAGTCCATAAGATTAATAATTTTGTTATTTATACCCCTCCCATCTTACTGGGTTGCCCCAGCCACTCTGGGTGACTTCCAACATGTACAGAAACACAACAAAACATTAAACATTAGAAAACTTCCCCGTACAGGGCTGCCTGTATAGTTGTACAGTGGTACCTCTGGTTACGTATTTAATTCGTTCCGGAGGTCTGTACTTAACCTGAAACTGTTCTTAATCTGAAGCACCACTTTAGCTAATGGGGCCTCCCGCTGCTGCTGTGCTGCCGCCGCACGATTTCTGTTCTCATCCTGAAGCAAAGTTCTTAACCCGAGGTACTATTTCTGGGTTAGCAGAGTCTGTAACCTGAAGTGTCTGTAACCCGAGGTACCACTGTATAGTTGCTCATCTCCTTGGCTTGGGGGTCACTTAGTTACAAGCTTTCTCCAATGGAAATAGGGACATCCTAAGGAAAAGCGGCACATTCCGGGATTAAATCAGAAACAGGGATGGCTTCTGTAAATCCGGGACTGTCCCTGGGAACAGGGACACTTGGAGGGTCTCTATTAGCTGCTGCAGATGGAGGACCCATTTAGCCATGGATTGTCTGTGGAGTAGAGTTTGGAATGTATCCATCCCATCGCCTGTTTGCCTTTCTTCCAAGAGCATGCCTGGCTCGCTACAGGTGAAGAAAAAACCAGACGCTCCTGGGACGTTCAACTTCTCCATTGCCTGCTTAAGTCATTTGAAATGTGCTGCACTGCCATCAGTATAACCAGCCCAGCAGCTCCATCGTCCCTCTGCCCAGCACCCCCTACACATGTTTCCCAGGAACACCTAAAAAGAGGCACTTACTAGGAGTTGCTCTGCGTTGCTCTCCTCCGATGATGCTCTGCAGCCAGCGGAGGCTGGGACTGGGGCTAAAAGGCTCTTCCAGCTCCTTGACCAGTGACATCATCGCCGGCCCTTCCCCACCAAGCCACCCCCACACCACTCTGCTCTCCAGACACCATATTTGGGGAAAGACTCCAAAAGACAGTGACGAAGGAGCCTTCCAGAGACATTCCCCACATGCCTGAGTCAGAGACGGTGGTTTCGTGCCTGGGCCTGACCAGAGGGAGTCGGTCCTTTTTTAGGCAGGACTTTGTTCCAGGCTTTGCTTAGAGGATGCTGAGGGAGGGGGGGGAAGGGAGGTGGGGGGCTCTGCTCTGACCTCATCACTGCTTTCCCTGTGAGGTCAGAATACAAAGAATTTGCTAGGGTTGAGGGGCAGGAGGAATAAGGTACCAATGAGAGCTAACCTTGTTTGAATAATAACTCTTGATTTTGCAACACCTGCTGAGTTACAGCCTAACGCCCCTCAAGATGTCGGGTGCAAGATTTTGCAACCATCTAGTCCCTCCCTGCTGAGTACAGTGGTACCTCGGGTTACAGACGCTTCAGGTTACAGACTCCGCTAACCCAGAAATAGTACCTCAGGTTAAGAACTTTGCTTCAGGATGAGAACAGAAATCGTGCTCCAGCAGCGCGGCAGCAGCAGGAGGCCCCATTAGCTAAAGTGGGTTAAGAACAGCTTCAGGTTAAGAACGGACTTCCGGAATGAATTAAGTACTTAAGCCGAGGTACCACTATAAAGATCTCCTTAAGATAGTAATGGATTAATATCTTTCCCCCACATGGATCTAAACATCTGCCTAATAAAGATGCCCTGAAATTCTTCCACATCAGATTAACAGGTATTGTAACATTCGCCAACTTTGAATCTCCAAGATGATGGGAGTTCTTGCTGCACAACCAGAGCCCTCCCTGGCTCCTCCTCCCCCTGTGTTTTCGACTCGAGTTCTTGGCCTCGCCAGAACTGACCGCAGCTGCATATCACAAGGTGCTTTACAAGATTTACAGTGAATAATTCTGTAAGGCAGGACACCTACTTATTTCTAATTGACATTTGGGGAACCAAGGCTGATGTGAGGGAGTGAACTGTTCCACTAAGTCCATAGAGCTGAGTTAAGATTCGAATCCAGGAACTCAGCTACATTAGCGAAGAACAAAAACACTTTATATGCGTTGTTTATGTATTCTAACACTGTGACACCAGATGGCGCTGTGGAGTTCCGTTTTTGCTAACCTGATTTCTCATACAAAGTTTGCAACACATTTAACTGAAACGCTTCTCTGATGCGTCTAGATCCAGCCCAGTTTCCAAGTCTGATGTGGGTTTTTAATTTTTAGTTTACATAATTAATCACTGAATGGTAAGTGGTAAGTGCTACACAAATGACTGAGAAACGTGCTATTTGCAGCTTCGTATCTTCATCTGAAGCTCTGGTTGATGCATCCTTCAGAAGTAATCTTGCAGCTGGAAAAGGTGCAGGGGACACAGGTTACAAGAACCACCAGAATAATGTAAATAAAGCCTTTCTGGAGAGTAAAAATGAGGAAAGAAAGAAGTGGGCTCAGGATAGTAGTCAAGCTTAAGGCAGAACTCACTGGTTCAAATCCATATCTGGAAACAAATGCACTAGCTGCCTTAAACAAGTCAATCTTCTCTCAGCCTCAGCCCCCACTTTAGCAACAGGGGAGCAACACTGTCCTACTTTGCAGGGCTGTTGTAATTGTGTGTGTGTGTGTGTGTGTGTGTGTGTGTGAGAGAGAGAGAGAGAGAGAGAGAGATGCTTTTTACGCTTGAAATGCACTGTACAAATAAAGGCTAATAATAATAATAATAATAATAATAATAATAATAATAATAATAATTTATTACTTATACCCAGCCCATCTGGCCGGGCCTCCCCAGCCACTCTGGGTGGCTTCCAACAGGATGTAAAAACACAAGAAAACATCAAACATTAAAAACTTCCCTAAACAGGACTGCCTTCAGATGTCTTCTAAAAGTCAGATAATTGTTTATCTCCTTGACATCTAGTGGTGTAGCACCCTGCTTGTGGTTAACGCTTAGCTGGAATGAAATATTCAACGCAGCAATAGAGAAATTAAAATAATAATTTATTTGTCAGACAAATAAATGAGAGACACAGTGGTATATGGATACCAAAGCTCTGCCCTTCCAGCCCTGATGGCCAGCACTTACCGTATTTTTTGTACCATAACACTCACTTTTTTCCTCCAAGAAAATAAGGGGAAATGTCTGTGCGTGTTATGGAGGGAATGCCTACGGGTGGCATGCCTACGGATTTTCCTCCTCTAAAAACTATGTGCGTGTTATGGTCGGGTGCGTGTTATGTTGTTGTTGTTTAGTCGTTTAGTCGTGTCCGACTCTTCGTGACCCCATGGACCAGAGCACGCCAGGCACTTCTGTCCTCCACTGCCTCCCGCAGTTTGATCAAACTCATGCTGGTAGCTTCAAGAACACCATCCAACCATCTCATTCTCCGTCGTCCCCTTCTCCTTGTGCCCTCCATCTTTCCCAACATCAGGGTCTTTTCCAGGGAGTCTTCTCTTCTCATGAGGTGGCCAAAGTATTGGAGCCTCAGCTTCAGGATCTGTCCTTCCAGTGAGCACTCAGGGCTGATTTCCTTCAGAATGGAGAGGTTTGATCTTCTTGCAGTCCATGGGACTCTCAAGAGTCTCCTCCAGCACCATAATTCAAAAGCATCAATTCTTCGGCGATCAGCCTTCTTTATGGTCCAGCTCTCACTTCCATACATCACTACTGGGAAAACCATGGCTTTTACTATACGGACCTTTGTTGGCAAGGTGATGTGTCTGCTTTTAAGATGTTGTCTAGGTTTGCCATCGCCTTTCTCCCAAGGAGCAGGCGTCTTTTAATTTCGTGACTGCTGTCACCATCTGCAGTGATCATGGAGCCCAAGAAAGTAAAATCTCTCACTGCCTCCATTTCTTCCCCTTCTATTTGCCAGGAGGTGATGGGCCCAGTGGCCATGATCTTTGTTTTTTGATGTTGAGCTTCAGACCATATTTTGCGCTCTCCTCTTTCACCCTCATTAAAAGGTTCTTTAATTCCTCTTCACTTTCTGCCATCAAGGTTGTGTCATCTGCATATCTGAGGTTGTTGATATTTCTTCCGGCAATCTTAATTCCGGCTTGGGATTCATCCAGCCCAGCCTTTCACATGATGAATTCGGCATATAAGTTAAATAAGCACTAAATAAACTCTCCAGTATGACCTGTTCATCTTGGGTGGTGCGTGTTATAGAGCGAAAAATACGGTATATTTCCTCAGCCCAGCCCCCTTGCTCCTCCTTTGGCTGCCTCTGTCCAATCAGCCTGGTTGAAATTCCTATTGGCTGTTTGCTAGAACCAATCATAAAAGATACACCCATTTCCTATTACCTTTTATGGGAGACAAAGAGCTATATTTCCTTCTATCCATAAATGGCAGACAAGTAGCCATATATCTTACATTTGCCTCGACCAGGCACCTTAATTATCAGATCATCTTTGCCCTATTGCCCTATTACCCTATTCACTCCAGAACAGATGGCTAATGGTTCTAATTTTATCTTAAACAGAGATCTTGGGTTCACCTTCCCACACACCATCAGTGAAATAAGAATCTAACATAAGAATCTAACATTTCTTACTTTCTAAATCCTTTGCATTACATTTAAGCCAATATATTTCATACATAACATAGATAGATTTTTAGAAGGAAAGGCCTTTTCAAAGTAAAGAGGAAACACTTTCAAAAGCAACCTCTTAGATCTACACCACCCTTTCAAGCCAGCTGCTGTTTCTATTAGCTCTTGCCCTTTAACCTTAGGAAAATATGGCTCAAGTCTTAATGGGAGGCACATGGTATATTATCTGTTAAACAATAAATTTCACTATTTACCAACTCTTAATTGTGTCTTTGCAGCTTGATTGTATTCTGTAATTTGTATGGTCAGTGTGACCTTTTGCTCCTAGCCTGTAATTTCCTTTTACAACCCTGAGGCACTCGTCTCCTGCTAATGCTAATACAAATCAGAGGGGCCCTGTTTAGGAAGATAAACATCTGCCAAAGCACCCAGCTGGTTTCTGCCTGGCATGAGAGATACAAACATTTACAAATATATTTTTTAAGCTCATTTTAAAATGCAGGTCTTCATCAGATGCCTCAGTGGGAGGGCATTCCACAGGGCAGGCGCCACCACCAAGAAGGCCCTTTGCCTGGTTCCCTGTAACCTCACTTATCACAGTGAGGGAACCGCCAGGAGGCCCTTGGAGCTGGACTTAAGTGTCTGGGCTGAACAATGGGGGTGGAGACGCTCCTTCAGGTATACTGGGCCGAGCCCATTTACCGGTAGGGCTTTAAAGGTCAGCATCAACACTTTGATTTGTGCTTGGAAATGTACTGGGAGCCAATGTAAGTCTTTCAGGACCAGTGTTATATGGTCTCAGCGGTCACTCCCAGTCACCAGTCTAGCTGCCGCATTCTGGATAAGTTGTAGTTTCCGGGTCACCTTCGAAGGTAGCCCCACGTAGAGTGCACTGCAGTAGTCCAAGCAGGAGATAACTGGAGCATGCACCACTCTGGCGAGACAGTCTGCAGGCAGGTAGGGTCTCAGCCTGCGTACCAGATGGAGCTGGTAGACAGCTGCCCTGGACACAGAATTGACCTGTGTCTCCATGGACAGCTGTGAGTCCAAAATGCCTCCTAGGCTGCGCACCTAGTCCTTCAGAGGCACAGTTACCCCATTCAGGACCAGCCGCCCACTCCCTGTCCCCCCAAAACAGTACTTCTGTCTAGTCAGGATTCAACCTCAAACTGTTAGCCGCCATCCGTCCTCCAACCGCCTCCAGACACTCATACAGGACCTTCACCTCCTTCACTGGTTCTGATTTAAAGGAGAGGTAGAGCTGGGTATCATCCGCACGCTGATGAACACCCAGCCCAAACCCTCTGATGATCTCTCCCAGCGGGTTCAAATAGATGTTAAAAAGCAAGGGGGATAGAACCCTGAGGCACCCCACAAGTAAGAGCCCAGGGGTCTGAACACTTATCCCCCACCACTTTCTGGACACGACCCAGGAGGAAGAAGCAGAACCACTGTATAACAGTGCCCCGGGTTTCCAGCTCCTACACAGTCCAGAAGGATGTCATGGTTGATGGTATCACAAGTATGGTATTAAAAGGAAACAGCATACTGAATAAGAAAGAGCTAGCATACTGGCTCTGTTTGCAGACAACAGGGCCTGACACTATGTCCATTCCTACCAGACCCACCCACCCCTGGCAGAATCTTTCACTGAATGGCTTAGGCTTCTTCACCCCAAACATGCAATGGGACTAGGTCCAAAATCCATATTCAGGAGAGGCAGAGAAAGGACCTATGGAGTAATTTGAAAAGCATAAATCTGTATTGACTTCTGGAAAGCCCACAATCACTGGGTGGAATAATGTTTTAAAGCATAATTGCTTTGATATGTTTTTAATTGTAATTGCCTTTAATGGTTTTATACTTTGTTTTTGCTTTCAAACTGTGCATCTGTTTGCTTCCCTGCGCTCCTTGGGGAGGAAGGAAAGGATAGAAATTCTGAAATTAATAATAAAATTTTAAAAACAACCATAAAGAGCCAGTCACACACACTCTCCTTTCAAGGCAACAATACTTCCATCCCTGGCTCGCCCTGTCCCACCTGCTGATGGAGTAGCAGCAACATCTAATGGCTGTCCTGAACTTTTACAAGGCAGAAAATTTGGTGCTGTGGCCAGTTCTATGTTCAGATTTAACCATCAGCTCTCACAAATAAAAATATGCTAATTTATGAGCTGCCTTTGGACCTTGTTTTAATTCAGAATGGTATCGTAAAAAGGAGCCCCTGCTCGTTTGTAAGGGCCAATGCACCAAGGAGTAAAAGGCTGGGTTTAACTATGCTGGCATCATAAGCCAAATCGCAGTGGAAAATTAAAAATCTCCACCTACTGGCTGTTTGAGGTTCCAGGTAGAAAGCACTCCTGTGTGATTTGGAACATGTGAAACATAGAGGGGCCTCTGAACATGCACAGTGTGGCTTCCCTCACCATTGCAGAACTGGATTTCTCAGAAAGCACTAGCTCTGTATACCTCTCATAAGAAATCAACCCCTTGATGCTTCCGTCTCTGTCCTGCCGCTCCTCCAGTGGCTCCCAGGCTTGGGGTTTCCCCTCCTTCCTTAATGAGTCTCCAGCTTGCTGAGTTAGCAAATAGCCAGTGTTTGATTCCTCTGTTCAAGGCTGCTTGTTTGTCACAGACTCTGCACAGAGGGCAACAGCTCAGCTGCTTTCCCAGGGCCTGCACCACAGCTGAAAAGGTGGGTGCCAGGACTTCACAGCCCTTAAAGGACCCAAGCAGGGGCTGTGGAAATTGAGGGGGGGGGGAAATAGCCAATCTCCAGCCTTCAGCATGGAGGAGGAAGAGGGACTGGATCTCTCCCTGTGACCCAGTGACGACTTTGGGGAGAAGGGCCTGAGAAAAATGGGAGAGAGTCCAAGAGAAGGAAGGCTGTCACTGAGCCCTAGGGCTGGGAAGAGGGAGGGCCTGGCTGGCTGGCTGCTACAGGCATGGAGTGATCTAGCAAATAGAGTCAAAGTCTACCTGCAAGTGTCGGGTGAAGGTCCATGTGTATCTCTGTGGGTGAATGAAGTGGCGGCTGAGGCAAATGTACCGGTAAGTATCATTTTAGTGCACCCATTGCTCAGAAGGCCAACTGAGACTAAAAGGAAGACCGAGCAAGAGCCTAATGCCACACAATGGGTCTCTCTCTGGCCCTGGTGGCATTTGAACCCAGGACTTACACCTGCACCCACTAACTACACTGCTTGTAGCAGCAGCAGAAGAGAAGGATGTCTCTCTTGGTGCTGCAGAAATCTACTGAAGGAGCAGATGGGCAGGGAAACAATCCCTGACAGCACCTGCCTCAAAGTCTTCCTGGCCTTGCTGGAGTGGATCTACACATGGGGAAAAGCACGCTATAAATATGTCAGAAATTAAATTGTTATAACAAAAGAAAAGAAAACGCTATGTAAAATCGCATAGAAAAGTTTTCTGCTCTACAGCGCCGTCTGGTGTTGCATGTTTATAATGCATTCAAAACTCTGTTCTTTTCCTGACTAATGTAGCTGAGTCCCAGATGCAACCAGGATGCTGCAATCTTCTGTTTAACCAGACCCTTTCCGAGCCTCTGCCCTTCAGAAGAAGAGCAGCTTGCAGAGACCTGCAGGACTTGGCTCTGAGGTGCCACAGGAGGATTAGCAGGAGAGAAGTGCCACAAGCAGTGATTGTCCCTTGGTGGAATTGCCCAGTGTGGAATTCTCATGCCAAGAGCAGCTGGGGCTAAAGCAGGACCTGAAATCAGGACATATGGATGGAGGTGGACTGTGGTCACTTTGCTTGGAGGGAAAGACCCTCTGTCCTTGCTCAGACACACTCTTGTATTAATATCTCATAGGATCTAGGTTCAATGCCTGGAATTGGCTTTGTTAAATCTTTTTAAAATGCAAATGTGCACGTTAAGCCACTGGTTGTGTATCTATTAGTTGCAGCAAGACTTATTGTAACTAGGTATAGGAAATATATGGAAGGAGTATAGGTATATATTGCTATACAGTGGTACTTCGGGTTACAGACACTTCAGGTTACAGACTCCGCTAACCCAGAAGTAGTACTTCGGGTTAAGAACTTTACCTCAGGATAAGAACAAAAATCGCGCAGCGGCAGCAGGAGGCCCCATCAGCTAAAGTGGTACCTCAGGTTAAGAACGGTTTCAGGTTAAGAACGGACCTCCAGAACAAATTAAGATCTTAACCAGAGGTACCATGGTATAATGGCAAATTGGTATAATATGGTCTGGAAACTGGCACTTGAGAAACTTACCAATAAACTTCGAGCGGCACAAAGTCTAAGGCAAAAGGACTTATTCACAGTAGAATGGCACAGCTTCAACATGCATAGTGTGAAAAATGACTTTAATGAACTGCATGTAAACATCTTTGGCTGACGTCCTCCTTTGAGGACCTTTGCAAGCTGGATATATGATGTGGACTTGAATACACTTCAGATACGGATGCAGACATCATCTCTTGCGGAGGGTGGAGGGACGGCTGGATTTTGGATTTACGTTTTTTTGTATCGTTTTGTAATATAACAACCCAATAAAAGTGATCCTAACAAAAATCTAGGAACTCTCCCCCCCCCCCCGTTTTTGCCTACAGCTCTGCCAACATGGCACCATCGTTTCTGTCGCGCCAAGGTCTGCCCCGCCTGGCCTACCACCGCCTACCAGGCTGCAGCCCCGGTGTCGTCTTTTTGCTGGGCTTCTGCAGCACCAGAGCCAACCCCAAGTGTCAGAGGATGGAGCAGTTCTGCCGAGAGACAGGACGGGCATTCGTCAGGTGGGAAGCAAGAAGCTGTTTGGACTCTCCAGAGGTCCTGGGGTGGGCTTAGGGCCCTTTTGCGGCCTGAGGCAAAGATGGCCTCCCATGCGTCGAAGATGGTGGCTGAATTTCACTTCCACGCTGGTGACAGGACAGTGTCCTCTCCTGGGCCAAAGGATGGCAGACACACAGAGAGGTGTCCTTCACAAAGCCACCACTTGCTGCCTCCACTCTGCCTAATGGGAGGGGCAGCCCTAGGTGTGTGCCCCTTTGGGGGAAGGGTCTTCAAAATGTCTCCTCTCACCCCAGCTTTGACTACCGGGGATGTGGGGAGTCAGATGGCTGCTTTGAAGAGAGCCGCCTGGGGGACTGGAAGGAAGACACCTTGAGTGTGTTCGACGAGCTCACCAGCGGCCCCCAGGTAAGCATCCCTGTGATTCACTAAACCATCCATGGCTGGCACAGGCAACCCACCTCTCTGCCCTTAGTGCCAGCGATATGGATGACCAAACCCCGCACCCATTGCCCCATACGGTCGCTCCAGCTCATCTGGCCTTTCTGCTCTTCAGGGGCCTGCTGAGCTGTGGATCGGGGGCCTGCCTTTAGGGCAGGAAGTCCGACCAGATGGGCTCTTGGAACCTCCTGGCTGATGCCCAGACAGCTCACAGATGGGCACAAACACCAGCTGCTTTTGAAGGACAGCACAGAGTTGCCCAGAGAAGGTGCTGGTTGCCATCCCAGATAGCGGCAGAGGGCAAACACCTCTTCCTCTTCTTCCAGATCCTGGTGGGGGCCAGCATGGGGGGCTGGCTGATGCTGTTGGTGGCCCTGGAGCGCCCAGGTAGGGTTGCTGGGCTAGTTGCCACAGGGGTTGGCGTTGATGCCTTCATCGCCCATGCCAGGGGGCTCCCTGCAGAGGTGAGCAGCAGCTCTTGGCCAAAGAGAGGGCCACCCTGGGATTATTTGGGAGGAAGGGAGGGATAGACCTTTGGTCGATACTGTATTGATGCCAATCTAATGCGCCATCGAATCTAATGCGCACCTCAATTTCCAAAACATCAGAACCAAAAAAGCATTGGATGGTGCCATCAAATCTAATGTGCACCCTTAATTTTCAGTGTGGTTTGGCAAAAAAAGGTGTGCTCTACATTCAAGTAAATATGGTAAATAAACAGCAAGGGGGTGGGAACTGGGGTGCCTGGTATCTGCCCCCCCCAAAGGGCATGCTTCTCATGGAAGGACCACGTGGCAAATTTGGGGCTCTGCTGCCATCCAGACTGGGGCTAGGTTCAGCCCTGGGGTGGGTGAGGCCACGGTGGCCGCTGCTCCACCCTGTTTTGACTGTGCCCTTTCTGCCCTCTTGCCCAGGTGAGGAGCCAAGCCCAGCAGAATGGCTTCCACGTCTTCCCTAGGGCTGGCAAGGAGCCCCTGCTCATGCAATGGGGCTTCTTTGAGGAGGCAGAGCAGCACGGCCTGCTGGAGCGCCCATCCATCGGCGTGTCCTGCCCTGTCCGGCTGCTGCACGGCTTGGGGGACAAGACCGTGCCCTGGCAGCGAGCGCTGGAGGTGGCGGAGCGGCTGCAGAGTGCCAATGTCCACATCACGCTGTTCAAAGGAGGGGAGCATGGTCTGGACAAAGAGGAAGAGCTCAGTGAACTGGTGGGGGCAGTCAGGGGCCTCCTGGCATTGGTGCCACAGGAAGGCTGAAGCACATGGGGGGCAGAGGCTCAAGGAAGCCCCCAGGGATCCAGTTGGTGCAGCCTAGATTGACTGCCCAGAGGGGTTCCTGTCTACTACACACAGCACTTTCCCCTGGTCTTTGCAGCGGGGGGTGGGGGCACACTTTAAAAGGGGCAGAAGGCCTAGGGGGAAGGGGGAAGCAAGGGAGGAAGGCTGCAGGCAGAGAAGCTGCCTATAACTTTTCTTAATGCCATGCATGAAAAATTCTCAAGACAAGAGACATTTTGATGCCCACCTAATAAAGCAAACTTGCATCTTTCTGGAGTTTCCTTTCACTTTCCCCACTTTTGCCCCCAGGATTGAATGAGGTGGTGGTAAGCAGGCAATCCTGGTTAGACGTTTCCAGTTGTGAACAAATGTCCCACTTGGCTGTGCCCCCTCTTTGGGAGGGGGGGTCAGGGGTCTGCACCTGGAGCAGGAAAGGGGAACGCTCAGTCGAGGCCAACACAAGGAAGGCCATTCAACAGGCCTTTGTATTTAATGTGCAATTTTTTAAAAAATGCAAATCGCGTGCGTGGCACCAATGAACGCATTCATCTGTACACAGATTGGCTCTTATTTTGCTTCATATTAAAAGCTGCCCAGAGGCACCCTCTTGATGCAAATTCCAGTGCACCTTAGTCCAATTGAAAGCCCTGTGAAAGGAAATCAAAGAATGGCCCCCAATTCACATTGTTTTAGTGAGGCTACGTGGCACCAGCGTTTTTTTGTGCCCAATTGCTCAAATGCCTTCATTTTCCGCCCTGTTTTCCACCCAAGAGGATCACATCTCCTGCTTTCCCAACCTCCGGAGTGATTGTCACAAGCACCTATGAGCTTGGCTGAAAGAGTGTACGGTGCCCTAAATCCCTGAAGGAAAGGATTCCCTGCTCTGTGAAGAGGAGAACCTTTCCCCCTGAAGAGGGGTGTTAGGTGGGGGGCCAGGGAGAGCCTGGGAACTGCGCGGCCTCACTTGTTGCCACTAAGAGATTAGCCAAAAGGGATTTTTGATGGGGAGGGTGAAGAGGAGAGGCAGTACCCACACCCCTCTAAAGGCAGGCACCATTGCCCGTCCCCAGAGGAGGAAGAACTACACAAAAGGGCAAAGCAAGGCTTTTGTTTATTTCTTTGCATTTGGCAGCAGAATCCGTAAGAAATGAAAACGGTCGTTTTGTTCTGCAACGTCTTACACGAATAATGGTTAAGAAACAAACAAACTCACAATCAATAACCAGGAATGGACGAATATAGGAGGCCCTTCTCACTGTTATTTTTTTTGTGGGGGGGAAAGGCTCTTCCCCCAGTAGTGCAGTGGGTGGGGACCTCCCCCCAGCCACTGAAGGAGCCCTTTGGCTTGCAGCCCGGAGCGGCCACCCATAACTGTTACTCGTACGGCCACTTTGGGCAGCTCATATGGAACAATGAGAGGAGAGAGGCCTCCTGGATCGGATTCTAGGTCTGAGCAGAAAACAAGAGTAAAAAGGAGCAAACATCTTCAGGCAGTGCAGTGTAAACCGTCGGGGGCGACGCAGCTGCCAAGGCCCACCCAGTGGCAGGCGGAAGGGGAGACAAGGAGACAGAGCCCAACCTGCCGCCCCAATTTTAGTTAGGCACTGAAGGGAGCCCCCTCCCCAATGCCGTGTGTGCTTTAAGAACAGAGAGAAAACGGCGCCCCCTTCCTCCTGGGCATGGCAGTGGCCCAGAGCAAGGGCAGTGGCATCTAGTTGGCAAGAGGGGCCCCAATGAGCACCACCCGCCCCTCAGAAAGGCCACGCTTGGAAGGAAGATCACACCGGTTGTGGCAGCGTCATGGAGGTCACAAGTCTTTGTCCAGAGATAGGAGGCAACGTGGCCTCAGCTGCAGAGGGCGAAGATGTGCTTAACTCAGGGTTGGCAGAAATGTGCGTGAGGCAATGGGCGGATGCAGAGCTTCCAGGGCAAGGGCCCCCAGGGCAGGCTCCTGCCAGCCCCCTTACCTAGGAGCTGCTGCCAGGCCCTCTCCTGAGCCCCATGCTGGAAGTGCAAGACCCCAGTTTGGCCCTTAACAACAAGCCCCCACCCCTTTAAGGAGGAGGAGGAGGCAGCAGCGGCAGGGGGGGAACTTATCATTTCCCTATTGACCCAGGCCATGCCCAGGGGAGTCGGTGGGCACATAGGCCAACCCTCAGAGGCTGGCAGCCAACGAGGTGCCGATTCTCTTGAAAACCTGGCGCAGCAGCAGGACCAAGTGACCCGGCTGGAGCCTGCCTAGCATCCAGAGCTCTTGGAAATGCAAGACAGGCAACATTCAAAGCTGCCCAAAGTTGCCCGGGGCATCCAGCACCGTGAAGCCTCAAATACTGAAAGAGGGTGTGCCCCCCACCGTCAGCCTAGGTTGCTCCCGCAGGCTCTGCCAAAGGTGACATCTTCACGATGCATTTGAACGGGCAGGGAGGCCTGTTGCAAATCCTGGCTCCAGCCAGACGCCTCTGCAAGGCCTGTCCCAAGCCATCAGGCAGGAAAGACCTCGTTCCCCCCTTGCTGGGGAATCCTGGCCTCTAGAAGACATAGATCTTGTCACGCTGGACACAATCGAGGTCATCATCCAGAGTCAGTAATACCTACAACAAGAGGAAGGGAGGGAGGGTCAGGTTGGGGAGGTGGGCGGTGGTTTAAAAGCCCACCCTCTCCTTCCCCAGAAATGAAGGTAGCTTTGTGCTGTCGTGCAAGGGGGAGTACGTGGGTCAGGGTGCTGCTTTCGCCCCGGCCTGCACCGCCTTGGCGAACCTCCCTCCAGATTCTTCCCTGCTCGCCAGTATTTGCTGGCCCTTTCGGCGCAGCTGGCGTTGGGGACCACCGTTTGGGTGCTGCTATTTCCCGCCCCTTGCCAGGCCCAGCTGGGCTCACGCCACCTACCAGGAAGGAGCCAAACATGGCAATGGACGAGAGGAAGTGCCAGACGTCATGGTCGTCAAAGAAGTCGAGCAGGATGCAGTCCCGGTTATGCTCGCGGGACTCGGCCGGCGTTTTCTGCGGAGGGTCAGCGACAAGGAAGTCTGTGATGCTTGGCAGGAGGCAGGCGGTCTGCGCAGCCTGCGCTGGATTCAGCTGCCCCCACCCAACAAGCTCTAACCCAGTCTGCCCCTAACTGGCGCCCTCCAGAGGTCTGGGGATGCAACTGCCAGGCCACTGCCTGGGGCTGATGGGAGTCGTAGTCCCAAAAGGTACGGAGGGAGCCCTAACCAAACAGCAATGCAGGGCATGAGAGCTTTTCTAAAGCCTTTTACAGTGGTACCTCGGGTTAAGTACTTAATTCGTTCCAGAGGTCCGTTCTTAACCTGAAACTGTTCTTAACCTGAAGCACTACTTTAGCTAATGGGGCCTCCCGCTGCTGCCATGCTGCCGGAGCACGATTTCTGTTCTCATCCTGAAGCAAAGTCCTTAACCCGAGGTACTATTTCTGGGTTAGCGGAGTCTGTAACCTGAAGCGTCTGTAACCCGAGGTACCACTGTATAAGTGCAGCTCCTTCAACTTGTTACTCAGAGGTCTGCTCTGACGTGGGTGGTTCTGGACAAGCCTGTGGGGGAACTGAGGATATGGAGGGTAGGGAAATGGCTCACCTGCCAGGTGCTCAGCCCCTGGAAGAAGAAGTAGAGGGCAAAGCCCCAGACGACGGAAGTGCAAACGATGCAGAGCAGGGGGATCAGCTTGAGGCGTTCCCCACTCCGGAGCTGCAGGGCAAAGAAAACTGATCAGAAACAAAGTGGAGGGAGGGAGGGAGGTGGAAATCCCAACTTTCTTGGTTGCTATTGCAGGTGCACTGAATTCACAGACAAAAGGAGCACAGAGGGGCTCCAATCTAGCAGGAAGCTACCCCACCATAATAAATGGGAGCAGGGGCGCCAACTCATGAAGGTCAAATCCTTTTGGCTCACATACAATAATTTTTGGGGGACCCCCCCAAAGTCCAAAAAAAAATCAGGGGGCAAAGGAGTTTGAGCGTGGCACAGTTTCAGTGGCCGGCGGCTCTTCCTCCTGCCACAGAGGGGAAGGAAGGTGGAAGCAGCCCCATGCTGGGGACTGATACTGGGTACGTCCTGACATCCTTTCATCATGCACACAACTCCACCCACAATTGCCCTCGCGAACTGGCGCCTCTGAATGGGAACCCCCACCCCCTCGATATTATTATTTATGCAATTTATATTCCGCCCAGAGAGAAGCTGGCCCCGGCCGCCCCCAAGAGCCAAGTCGGGTTACGTGCAGCACCTTCATGATAATGTAAAAGGCGAAGTAGAGGAGGAGGTTGCAGATGCCAATGGCCAGAAGGTAGGAGGCAAAGTCGTTGGGCCGCATGATGAGGCCATAAGCAGCCCTGTGGGGAAAAGGAGGCTGTCAAGCGGGAGGGTGACTCCTCAAGGACCACAACTGGGGGCCCTTCAAGGCCATGGGGGGGGGGGGAGGCCTCTGCCAGCCTGAGAGGACCACTCCTGCCACTGTTGTTATGATAATGTGTCACTCTTGTTGCTGTTCTGCCTTTCTGTCCCACCACGTGTAAGTGCAAATTCAATTTAAAACACACACGCACAATAAAAACAGCAGACCTAAAACCTGAATAAGGCAGGAGCTGTTCTCACGAAACATTCTGAGACTAGGAGCAGCCCGAAGAAAGGAAAACACAAATCCCATAACGGCAGCAGGCCACGTGTTAAAAGCGAGCTGAATCTTTTTCTTAAAAAAAAAAAGATATTTGCTAACCTCCCTTTAGAAAGGGCAGAGGGAGCCCATCTCCCACAGCATCACCAGAGAGAAGGCCCTGTGTCTCTTGCCTAATCTGATATAAATACACCCCCCCTCCTGCCCCTTGACTGGCTGGTAATCCTCTCTGCCCAGTTGGATCCTGCCCTGCCCACCAACCCTGACTTACAGAGACCAGTTGATGACATTGCCCATCACCAGCAGCACCATTCGATCCTGTGGAGGAAAAGAGAGGGAGGCAATGGGGATTAGCATCTGCAACAGAGGCCAGCAAAGCACCCACGGGGGCCCTAGCCCAGCGAGAGGGAGGTCGAGTTTTCATACAGCCCCTGCAATCCTTCCAGGAGAGAGCCAGCCACACTTAGAGGACTTAGCTACACGCGTCAGTTGTATTTTTACAACTGCACTACAAACATGTGACACCAGGTGGTGCTGTAGAGCAGTGATCTGTCGCCAATGGAATTTTGCAACGAGAGATTTTATAGCGTTGTTTTTTTATCAGTATAGATCCAGCCTTACTCACCACATACATAGGCCCGCTGCACTGGCGGATGCAGTCCGTGTAAAGCACGTGCAAGATCCTGCGTGGGATCCCAGAGTCTGTGGAGAGAGAGAGAGACATGTTAAAGCTACGTGGACCCAGGAATGCACCCTGCCCTGTGGGCTGACATGGTGGGGGCAGGAGGCCACTCCTGGGAAGCAAGCAGAGGACATGTTTACATAACCAGCCATGAGATTTCTCTCACGCGCCCTCCTCCCCCAAAAAACAGAGTCCTTTTTTCTGGGGATAACCCAGAATGAAATTCCCAGGTGTCAGAAAAGGTTATTTATGTATGCCCGTTTTTGTTTTTGTTTTTAAGTTTTTATTTATACTTTTCAAGTTTATACATTTCATTACTTTTACAATCTTTTTAACATTTCAAAGTTTGACTTCCTTCCCTCTCTTTCTGCAGTTCCTTAAATTTAGTTTTTAAAATTTCTTCTGCATATCCAAATTCATTTAATTTACTCATTTAATTATCTACTTTAAATATACAGGTATATTCTTATGTAACTGCAGGTTATTACAATAATCCTGCCAATGTTTTTACCTGTTTGCAATTTATCTGTAAATATTCAATAAACCATTTCCATTCTTTTATAAAAAGTTTGCTGTCTTGATTTCTTATTCTTTTTTATGCCCGTTGTTTTGTTAGCCCCAAAATGGAAAGTGAGCGAGGTCCCAACTCAAGAGGCTTGGCAACTTAAGTTGACAGAATACACACAACTTGCAGATTTAACATATTGAATAAGAGACAAGAACATGTGTTTAAATAAGATTGGAAAACATTTATTGAGTACACCCGAGGTTCCACTGTATATGGAAAGTAAGTGCCTACAGCTGAAAACGCTGGCAGCATTAAGATAAGTTAAATAGAGTCAGTAAAGAATTCTTTGATGGATGTAAAAGTGGAAAATTGATTTGAATGGTTATACTAAAATATGCAGGGATATAGGATACGTAAAATGAACCACGGAAAGAGAAGAATGGAAGCCAGTGGATATTTTTTAAGTTTGTAAAATATTCATTTGAAATTGTGCAACAGAAAATTCAATAAAAATATATTATTATTAAAAAAGAAGGGCTGGCAGAACTCACCCAGTTTCCAGCGGCCCATGTAGTAGAGCTGGGTGCTCAGCAGCAGAGTGGAGAGGATGTGGATGACGGAGAAGACGATCCAGAAAGCCGTGTTGCCCTTGCCGAAGACCTGGGAGAGCAGGGAGAAAGGGGCGCATCATGCCGTTTGAAGGCCATGATACTGAATTCAAGGCTGGGGGAGGGAGTGGGGTGAGAAGGCAAGACAGGAAGTCTCCTTTCTGCCTCCTCCCTCCTTTCAATGGAAGCCAGGGTTTCCCCACTATTTTAAGAGGAAATTGGGGTGGAAGAGGAGCAGAAAGCGGTTTCTGCAACGTCCTTTCCTGAAGGGTAAGGTAAAGGTAAAGGGACCCCTGACCATTAGGTCCAGTCGTGGCCGACTCTGGGGTTGCAGCGCTCATCTCGCTTTATTGGCCGAGGGAGCCGGCGTACAGCTTCCGGGTCATGTGGCCAGCATGACTAAGCCGCTTCTGGAGAACCAGAGCAGCGCACGGAAACGCCGTTTACCTTCCCGCCAGAGCGGCACCTATTTATCTACTTGCACTTTGAGGTGCTTTCAAACTGCTAGGTTGGCAGGAGCAGGGACCGAGCAATGGGAGCTCACCCCGTCACGGGGATTCGAACCGCCGACCTTCTGTGGTTTAACCCGCAGCGCCAAATCCCCTGATTTGTTCTCCTGAAGCGTAATAATCGTGGGAAAGGCTTTCCTTTCCTGGTTCACTGCTGTGATTTTGTTTTTAAAACAAATCTGAAACGTTTTGCCAATACATAAAGGCCACCGAGGAATTTGAGGGACACCGGAGAGGGACAACGCAGTTTGCAAAAACCCACGAAAAGGAAGAATGAAAAGACCCACGCGGGCCAACAGGACACCAGCCCCCGGGGGTTGGGAAGGCCACTGTCCCAGCTCAGGCCTGCCTCCCTCCCTCCTTCCCGCATGGAGCTCCGGAGGCTTCCCATCGCCACTCACCACCCCAACGACCGAGAAGAAGATGACAATGGCCAGGCAGGCATAGGCGCTGTAAGCGCTGGCATTGATATCTGGGTGGCGCTTCTGGTACAGCTTCAGCATGCAGAGGCCGGCGATCATGTACATGAAAGAGGTGTCTGCAAACAAGAGACCACCAGCAGGTGGCTATTCATTATTTTTTCCCAAATTTTTAAATTCATTTTCACAACTTTTAAACACACATTTATTACAGATATTCATAAATCAGTTACCAAATTAGAAACGAATCATAAGACAGTAATGCCCAGAAGACAAATGATACAAAAGATAAATAAACTAAAATAAAAGGATTTCAGTTTAGAAAGCAATTCAGTCATCACATATTTTCATTTGAGCTTACTTCCAGGACCAAATGCCTCGCGCCTTCCTGCGGGTCTGTATTCCAGTTCACACCATTATTTCAGCAAATCCGCTCGCCTCTTATCAGCTGATCCGTTTGCCGCTAATTCAGCTGATCATTGCTGCTCATCACGCTGATCCGCTAATCCATCTTACAGCTGATCCGTATATATACATATATATATATATATATATATACAAGCAGAACCGCTAAAGTTTAGTCAGCTTGAATCCGTTAACTTTTACCAGCTGATCCGTTAAGCCACTAAGCATTCTTATCAGCTGATTCGCTTAGACATTCTTATAAGCGGCCAAATAATGCTCATCTCTAATACTGTTACTGGACTTGCTTCACAAGACTGAAAACACACATACATACAAACATAGACTCATTGACCGTTATTAAAACTAATCTTAATAACACTGCGAGAGTGACTTCCTCGTATCCCCCTAGTTGAATTTCAGTGCATATCATTTTAACGGTTTTTCAAATCAAAATTCTTATATAATTAACCTAGTCGCTTAACATATTTCTGTCTTATCCATTCAGCATTAAACATATTACCGTATTTTTCGCTCTATAGGACGCACTGGACCATAGGACACACCTTGTTTTAGAGGGGGAGAACAAGGAAAAAAAAATCTCCCCCTCTCTGCTCAGCACCCCTTCAGCGAAGCGGTAGGAGAAACGGAGCCCCTTCCATTTCCCCTCTCGCTTGGCTGAAGGGGCGCTGCGCAGCTCTCCCTCTCTGCTGAAGCCAGGAGAGTCTTGCTCTCCTGGCTTCAGCAAAAGGAACCTGAACCCTGCGGAGTGCAGCGGGAACTTGCGCTGTGCTCTGAAGGCTTCAGGTGGCTATCCCTGAAACCTGGAGAGCGAGAGGGGTTGGTGCGCACCGACCCCTCTCGCTCTCCAGGCTTCAGCGAAAGCAACACGAAGCCTCCGGAGCATAGAAGGAGCGCTCCCTCTGCACTTCGGAGGCTTCGCGTTGCTATCGCTGAAGCCAAGGAGCCTGCATTCGCTCCATAGGACGCACACACATTTCCCCTTAATTTTTGGAGGGGGAAAAGTACATCCTATAGAGCGAAAAATACAGTAATTCTTCACATTACATGTTTTAATCCTCAGCCTATCTGGTAATTGCAAGCTTTTTCCAATTAATTTAACTTAACGTATTTAACTAAATCATCATAAAATTTCATGCAGCAGGTGGCTATTCAGGGGCAAGCAAAGTGCACTTGGCACATGGGCAGAGGGGCTGCCCCTAATATCATTATTTGCACACGTTTTCCCAAGACGTACAAGGCAGGGCACCTGCTGCACGTTCTTCTGCAGGGCTCCTCTGGCAAGTTCTCCATGGCCCCTGGATTGTGAAGCCCAGCCTTTCCCAACCTGGTGCCCTCCAGCTGCCGTGGCCATGCTGGCTGGGCCTGCTATGAGTTGCAGTTGGAAGCAGGATGGAGAGCACCAGGTTGGGGGTGCCTGGTCTGCTGGGTGCAGGCAGCCCCTCCCCTCCGGTCCTGCCTCACTTCCCAGGCGACACTCACCAAACTGGAAGTTCGTGTAGTTGGGGCAGACGTGGTAGCAGGCGCTGAGCAGCCCCTCCATCATGAGGGCAGTGCCCATGGCATAGAAGAGACCAAAGTGCTTAGGGATGCCACACTCCTAGGAAAAGAGAAGGGAGAAGAGGGTGTTCCTGTTTCAGAGAGAAGCTGGGCAGTGGCTTCACCTGCAAGCTGGCATTCAGCTGCAGCCCTTTCTGCTCCCATGGTCTCCCTGGGTCACGGTCAACTGTGCCCCCGTCTACCGGAGAGAAAAAGGGGCTGGGAAGAGGTGGCGAGTAGAGCAGAACTCTCTGCACAACTACAGCAAGCCAGGGAGAAAGGAAGAGAACATACTTCCCCCATGTTTTTTGCATATTTGTGTGCCTGTAGAGATGGAGAGAGTCTACCAGCCTTCACCAACCTGTTCCAGATGCTGTTGGACTACAACTCCCATCAGCCCCAGTATCATATGACCATGCTGTCTGGGGTTGATGGGAGCTGTAGTCCCAACATTGGTTGGTCTAGGCTAAAGTTCTTAAAGCACACCTTTCTGGTACGGCTAGCTATGATTCATTGATCTGATGTAGGTTTACTGCTGCTGTGACCCTCAATTTTTTAATTTATTTTTTTTATAATAATTTTTATTAGTTTTCAATCACAATCTAGTAACAGCCTCATTATAATACAATTACTAATGCCAATCATGCAGATGCCAAACTATATAATTTAGGTGGCTCCCCGCATGCTAGAATTGATGGTTTGAATATTTACTTTATTTCTGTGTACCAAAATATTAATAATTTCAATTACACTCAGGTCAAAATAACAATCCCTTATACAACAACTGCAACATTAACAACTTCCATTCGTATTGACACATAAAATGGTTTATAAAACAGGTGAGGTTATGAAATGATAGACATAATATTTTGCTGTGTCTACACTGTTTATTTTTCTATAGGATTTTAAATTGGTGGGGAAATGCTGGATTTCGAACACGAGCCGATACATTTATTATCTCCCTATATTACATTTGCACTTGTCCATCAGCAAGCTGGTGACTGAATATGCATGCACAGCCAAGGATGGTTGACAACACGATTGGGGGCTGAGGAAGGTAAGCAATGTGGGCTGGGATGACAGCCCCTAGCAAATAAATAAAATGCTGCTGTGAATGTTGTTTCTGCCGGTTTCACCCTTTGCCTTTGTTCTTAACTCTGCACTGAACATAAAAAGGTAAAGGGACCCCTGACCATTAGGTCCAGTCGTGGCCGACTCTCGGGTTGCGGCGCTCAACTCGCTTTACTGGCCGAGGGAGCTGGTGTACAGCTTCTGGGTCATGTGGCCAGCATGACTAAGCCACTTCTGGCAAACCAAAGCAGCGCACGGAAACGCCTTTTACCTTCCCACCGGAGCGGTACCTATTTATCTACTTGCACTTTGACGTGCTTTCGAACTGCTGGGTTGGCAGGAGCAGGGACTGAGCAACGGGAGTTCACCGCATCGCGGGGATTCGGACCACCAACCTTCTGATCGGCAAGTCCTAGGCTCTGTGGTTTAACCCACAGCACTACCCGCCTCTTGAATATGCCTCTAAGACTTGGGATCTGGGATAGGAAGAAAAAGGCGTCCCAGGGTAGGAGAGGCAAATGAGGGTGCAGCGCCTGGTTTCGAGGCTCCGGGGGACTGAAACCACCCTTTAGATCCTCCCACCGCGACTCACCACAGCTTGCAGGTCGTTACGCATCAGTGCCCGGTTATAGTTGATCTCGCGCTGGAGGATGATGAGCAGGAAGAGCAGCCCCAGCAGGATGTAGCCCATGTTGCTGAGGATGTTGTTGAAGGCGCTGGGGAGAGGAAAGCAAAGAAGGTCTGAATCAAGGCACAGTGGGCAAAAGCTCTGCTGGAGTCCCTGACCCAGGGAAGAGGACGCTAATAAATAAATAACAAACAAACAAACAAACAAATAAATAAAAAAATAAAATAAAATAAAATAAAATAAAATAAAATAAAATAATAATAATAATTTTATTATTTATTATTTATACCCTGCTCATCTGGCTGGGTTTCCCCAGCCACTCTGAGCAGCTTCCAACAGAACACCAAAATACAATAACCTATTAAACATTAAAAGCTGCCTTAATCAGGGCTGCCTTCAGATGTCTTCTAAAAGTCTGGTAGTTGTTGTTCTCTTTTGACATCTGGAGGGAGGGCGTTCCACAGGGCGGGTGCCACCACCGAGAAGGCCCTCCGCCTGGTTCCCTGAAACTTGGCTTCTCACAGCGAGGGAACCGCCAGAAGGCCCTCGGCACTGGATCTCAGTGTCCGGGCAGAACGATGGACGCTGCATAACCCTTGCTCCTACCTGAGATTGCCCAGTGGGTGGGCGCACAGGAAGTTATAGTAGCAAATGTCTTGGTTCCCGGTGACGTTCACCACCTGCCAACGAGAAAGGGGAGGTAAGCACTGCAGAGGACCCAACTGTGAAGGCTGGCTTGGCAGTCCACCGCCCCCTTTAGCAGAGCCCAGATCTGGGGAAACCAGCTCACACTGACACAGAGAAGGCACTAGGTGCTCAGAGCTGGGCTGGGGCAAAAGCCAACCTCTCCAGCCCAGAGGAGGGGAAATGGGTAGACCAGGCTTTCGGGGACAACATAGCACCTAGGTGGCCGGGTGACTATCAATAGCACATGGAAAGAAGCCCAGGAAAGAAACCCACTTACGGTCTGATAGGTGATGACCAGCTGGATGACGGGCAGAGCGTAGAAGACTGCAATGGTGGCTATATTCCTGCAGGAGACACCAGAGGTAAGGGGGCATATGTGCATCCCACACCCCTAATTTATTTCCACCATGAAGCAATAGGTGGGCTCTCTGTTGACCCACTGGGGGCCATGCAGGTCCACTCAGCCACCACGCCAGGCTGCCCCTTTTACCCAGAACGGATGGATAGAAGGGAGAGCTAGCCCCCAGTACAGGTGGGGCACAGCCACCCTCCCCGCCCCACATCCTTCTCCTCTCTCACCAGAAGTAAATCTGGTATTTCTTCCGCAGCACCCGCTTGTCCTTGCGGGCCAGATCCGCCACATACAGGTATTGCTGCAATGAGAAGACACAAGGAGCGGGGTGAACTGTGGGTCTCCTTGGGAGCGGCCGATTCCTCCCCTCATGGAAAGATAACCTGTGAGGCTACAAGGAAGGTCGGCATTTCCAGACCCTGAGACTGCTTTGACCCCCGCTCATCTTGTCTGATCCCTTTCCCCCCAGTCCAACCCAACTTGCAGGTAAAGCCCAAGAGAGCCTTAGAAATCAAGAGCCACCTGCAGATCGTTCTGGGTGTCTCAAGCAAGCCAGCCAGGCCACGTGCTGCTCACTCAGTCCCACTTCCTCCTGTGTCTCCTCCCTCCCTCGCCACAGCCTGTGGCTCTCTGGCTTGTTCTAAATGGCAAGCGAGGGAAGCATCACTTCCAGCCCTCAACACACAGGGCAGGTGAACAGCACTGGCAGGCGATGGCAGAGGGAGACTCTGGGCTCCCATGCCTTCCTGCTCCCCAGCGCAAGGCACCTTGGTGCGGATGACGTTCTTGTCCGAGTCGATGTCGGCCAGCGTGTCGTAGTCGTCTTCCTCCACGGAGCTGAGCGAGTCAAGCCGTGGCCGCCCCGCCATGTTCTCAAGGGAGCGATCTGTGGGCAGAGAAGGGGCAGCATGACTGACAAGGCACAGACAGGCATGGCCAGCTGGTCTGCCAGGCGCACACGCACACCCCGACCCCAGGTGTGTGTGTGTAGGAGGGGGAATTCAGCCCAACACAATTTAGTTTCGGGGAAGCGTCTGGCAGCCTTCACGGCCAAAAGGCAACAGGTCAGATCAGCCCCGGGCCATTGAATTAGCGATGTAATGGACCTCCTGGCTGCCTCATTTTCTGCAGAGCAGACAGCTCAGTGTAGGGGGTCTTCAGACACCTGGGCAGCTACGGGGCCAAGAAGCCGCCTTGCCCAATGTAGGCCAAGGAGTGTCAGGAAAGACCCTCAACATGCTGTGCTCTGCCACCTGCTTCTCCCGCCCCCATGGCGAGCTCGGCCCCTTCTCCCTCCCCAGGAGCAGCAATCACCTGTCCTGGACGCACCTGATTCATGCAATTGCCTGGTGTGGGAGTTGGAATCATGCAGATTAACCCACCCCTCCGCTGTGAGCTTTCTGAGAGTAAGTGGCCTCATCCTTACAATCCAAATCAGCCCACAAGGCTTGAAGGGAAACCACAGGAATCCCTGTTGCTGGATGGCGGTGGTGGAAGGAGAAGCATGACCCCTCTCTCCCGCTACTGCAGCCCCTCAGAAAGCCACAGGGAGCTCAAGAGGGAGAACTGGGGAGGGGGCTGGGGTTTGTGCCTTTGCATCACATTCCTGGTTCCAGGGAGCATCTTTGCCAGCCGACTGCATCTTCCGTGCTTCATTTTTGTAAGTATATTTTTGTATCTCCAAGCTGCTGGAGGAGAAGCTGCAAAGCAACCCGAATCCTGCATGTGAGTCTGCCTGCGCCTCTGCTCCCCAGGGAGGCCAGAGGAGAGCAAAGCTCAACCCCTCTTGAGCTCCCTCCTGGCTGCCCAGCAGGACTCAGCCTGGACTGTGTTCCTTGCACCACCAAGCAGCCACTGCTAGGATTTGTATTGTCGGGGGTAGTAGCTTAGGCAGCATGTAGCCCCATCACTTTGTATCCATGTTTTAAATTGAGCTCCATGTTTGCGATTTCACCAGCCACATTTCTCTCACCAGCTGTCAGGGGCGAGAAATTGATTTTGAAATAACACGGAAAGAGCACAGAACGCAGCAGAGGTGCCTGGCCAAAATGCCCTCTCCCTTTCCTGGTCGAGGAAGTGGGTCGAGGAAGCCTGGTGCCAGGAACGCCATGCCTGATTGTGAAATGATTGGCAATTTCTCTCTCTGCCAGCATCTACCCATTGCAATGGCCCAGTGTCTCTGGCGGTGCTGACAGGTATCCTGCCCTTGAAAGGAAAGGAAAGAGTTACACAGAGGAGTTAGCTCTCAGGACCTGCCACAGAAATGCCAACAACAACCGACAAGCCAGGAACTTTCCCCCGAAGCGGTTCGCAAGGCCCAAAGATCCACGAGGCCCAGCAGCCCAGCTCACCCTGTTTGCCCACTTTCTTGGGGTACCCAGCTGCCTCCCACCATGCAAGCATGCAAAACCCAGGCACTTGAGAGAAGGAATCTGGTCTCTGCATCCCCCAGACTCCCACCCGTCCAGGTAAGCAGCTCACCTGTGTAACTGTAGGATGCTTCTGTGGACAGCAGGCTATCGGTGACATTTTCTGTGCTGGCCGTAGAACCGTTGTCTGCAACAGCAATTGGGAGGGCAGGGAGGGGGCAAAACAGAGTGAGTGGCGCAGCAAGGCTCAGACCTCTCAGGTGATCACAAGAGAGGTGATGGCGGCAATTCCCTCCCCCCACGCCACCCCCTTGAAGTGTCTTGCTCATTTGCACCACCAGGTTTCCTGGACAAACAGGCACAGCAGTTCCCAAAGGCTAGGCCTGGTATCTATACCTGCAGCACAGGTGGGCTGAGGGGCTTCAGGGGGGAGGCACCATCTGCACCTGGGACTCACCAAAGGAACCATAACTGTAGCCGTTGTAAGGCTGGCGCCCCAGGAAGGAGTCTGGGGTGATGTGGGGATGCCCTGCAACAAACCATCAGCAGACAGTGACCGCGGGGAACGGGGGTGGGCAGCAGCAGAGCAGGTGCAGTGGGCAGGCGAAGGTGCCAACTCCTCCTTGGCTGAGTCTTGAATCAGGGAAAGGTTTGGGGAAGAGGAGGCAGAGCAAACAGGTCGCCCATTTTTTATTTCACCGCCCAATCATGGAGGTCTCTTCAAAGAGGTATAAACCAGAAGCAGCTTCGGAGGTTCCTGTCTAGGGTAGAACCTCAGAACCCACCTGGACCTGACACCCCCCTCAAGGCAAAGGAAACAAAAAGGCTGAGGGAGAATCCTTTGCTTGGAAGTTAAGAGAAAGAAGGAGGTGTTTGGTGCTTACCAAGGAGAGAAGCTGAGCATGAGGTGCCCCAGAAAAAGGAGGAAGGGAAGCAAGAGAGAAAAAGGGAAAAAGAGACAGCGTTACTGATGCAAACACCCAAACTTTAATTGCCAAAGGGGGACGTGGGTAGCGCTGTGGGTTAAACCACAGAGCCTAGGGCTTGCAGATCAGAAGGTCGGTGGTTCGAATCCCTGCAATGGAGTGAGCTCCTGTTGCTCAGTCCCTGCTCCTGCCAACCTAGCAGTTCGAAAGCACGTCCAAGTGCAAGTAGATAAATAGGTACCGCTCCAGTGGAAAGGTAAACGGCGTTTCCGTGTGCTGCTCTGGTTCGCCAGAAGTGGCTTAGTCATGCTGGCCACTAAGCGAGAAGTGGCTTAGTCATGCTGGCCACTAAGCGAGATGAGCGCTGCAACCCCAGAGTCTGTCACGACTGGACCTAACAGTCAGGGGTCCCTTTACCTTTAATTGCCAAGGGGTGTTACACCACAACTGCCCCCCCAAGCCACAGCAGGTGCCCCCGGAAAGCCTGAGCTGACTCTGGCAAGGGGAGGGGGGACAAAGCAGCTGGCCAGTGCAGATCCCCCATGCTGTGAAAGAGCTGGAAGCGGCAAGCAACAAGAAGGGCTCCCATCCAAGTGTTGAAGCAGTCCACGGCCATTCAGTCTGGCCTTCTTCAGCCCTGGGTTGCCAGATGTTGCTGGACTACAACTCCCATCATCCATGGCAACTGGATGAGCCGATTTAGGAGTTGCAGTGCACCAACACCTGGGGACCCAAGGTTGAAGATTTAGACAACTGAAATTGCACAAATGTGGAATGCTGAGTGGGAACTTGAGTCTTGTGACAAGCTTGGACTTCCATAGCAACTCAGTTCTCTCTCCCCCCCCCCACTTCTTTTTTTAGGGAAAAATGGGTACTACATCTCATTGATTTTGCAGGCAGTTTTGGAACCAGAGGTTTTGCCCATGGCTCCAGTGTCCTCCCCTTGTGCTTCTGAAATCCCCCTTCCCAAAACATCCCACTCGCCACCACCGTTGCCTGTCCCCTGGTTCAAAGATCTCTTGATCCATCAAGAGACCCAGAAAAACCAGAAGCCCCTTCCTCAGTAGCTCAGAGCAGGGCTTTTGGTGTGGCTGCCCCTGTTAAGTCAAATTCCTGTTGAGATATGACAGGCACCCACTAACAGAACTTTCCATAAACAACTGAAGACCTTAATTGTTCTGATAGGCTTTCCCAGCTAGATAAAGAGGTCTCTGGCATGAGTGTCTACTTTACTTTGTTTTTAAAATTATCTGCTGCCATTTTTGGGGGGTGTTTTTAGTTGTTTTTATTGTATGTTGTACGTTGCCATGAGGCATGAGCATGTGGAAGGCTATTAATTAACAGAGATGGTATTACATGTTGACGCTGGGTGAAAGTACAGTGGTACCTTGGGTTAAGAACTTAATTCGTTCTGCAGGTCCGTTCTTAATTTGAAACTTTTCTTAACCTGAGGTACAACTTTAGCTAATGGGGACTCCTGCTGCCACCCCAGGATGTTCTCATCCTGAAGCAAAATTCTTAACCCAAGGTACTATTACTAGGTTAGCGGAGTCTGTAACCTGAAGTGTCTGTAACCCGAGGTGCCACTGTACACCCGCAGGCAATTGCAAAGGCGGAAACAAATGGTGTCACATGCAGAAATTGTAGCATTACGGCATGGAGCAAGAACCACCCTGGCTCCTAGCCCACAAGACACACAGACCTCACCTACCAGTTTCAGTACTGGGTGTTTCTATGGCAGCCAACAGTCCCAGTTGCTTCTTCTTCTTCTGTTGCCTATAAAGTAATGAAGAGTGCCTCAGACAGCTGCCTCATCCACAGAGAAAAAGACTCTCCACTCCACCAAAAAACCCATGGAAGGGAGTAGGGGGAGGCTCTGGTAGAAGTGGGCTGGGTGGTTCCTTTGTCCCTCTGGAGGAGGGGCTTCACAGGGCTATTGTGGAGAGTTCTGCCCCAAAGGAGGTGATTTCAGGAGGTACAAAGGATGGAGTCACTGGAAACCTGTACCGTTTGGGATGAGAGGGCTATTTCAGCTCACAACACCACTGCAAAGCAGGAGTGCCCTGCCACATGTCAATCCAGACACCAAACAGAAAGCAGGGAAATTTATTCTTCCAGATGGCTCTCGCAAGCCAGCCAAGCCGCACGCTGAATTCTGGGACACCTTAGGAAGGCAGATGGTAATAAGGACCCATATCCTGGGCTGATGGACAGTCGTGATGGTGACCACCTGCGTGGCAGGAGCACCGGCCTCTCTGCAAAGGAAGGAAAGAGCCACACCACCTATGGGTGTAAAGGTAGGACTCACCTCCAGTTCTCCCAGCAGGCGATGAGGACCGTCAGGACGTAGAAGGAGAGGAAAACCCCAAGGCAGAACAACATCCCGCTCACATAGGCCTGTGCTGCAGGGAAGGGGGAAAGAGGAAGACCTTGTAGATGTGCAACAGTTTCTGCTGGAGCTGACAACTTAAAAGTCCTGTTTCCAAGCACAGGTGGGATGCCTGCTTAGGTCCACCTAGGCTCTCTTCCTTTCTTTGCCGCTTACCTCCATCTTATGGAAAATAGCCCAGTGAAAATGTCTGGTGCAGGAATTAAGTCACTCTCATGCAAAATTCCTGCCCCTTCAGTACACAATCGGGGGCTACACAGAATCGCAGAGCTGGAGCAGACCTCAAAGGGCATCCAGCTCAACCCTATGTTGCTGATGCGGAAAACCCACTGCCGACAGCATCCATGAGAGGAGGAGGAGGAGGAGGAGGAGGAGGAGGAGGAGGAGGAAGTGGCCACCCAGACTCTGCTCAAGAGTCTACCACCTTCTGAGGCATCAGGAAATTCTTCCTAACGTTTAGACTAAATCGTTTTGTGGGTGATCTGAAGCCACCAGTCGGGGGTCCTAACCAGTGGATCAACAGAAAACAGATACGCTCCATGCTCTTTGCAGCAACCCTTCAAAGCTGAGTGGCAGCAGTTCAAAACCCTAGTCAGGGTAAGGAGGTGGAACCTGGTGTCTCCAATCAGGGCTGTTCCCTGTGCTCCCTCGCCCATTCAAATGGGTGCAGCTGACACCCAGGGCTACTTACAAGTGACTGCTGGCGATACCACCACGTCCAGGGTCTTCTGGCGGTTGCCTTGGTCAACAGGTTCGTCTGAATGCACAAAAAGACCAGGGTTAGCCAAGCAAGAAAGCAGCACAGTCCACAGTCATTTTTCTGCAGGCAGGATGCAATACTTTCTCTTGGTCGCTTTCTACAACCAGACACTACCTACTATTTTACCCTTCGAAGTCAGCATGGGACTCCCTTTCCTCTGACTGTACTGCACTGTGATTCACGGTCTACATAGCGGTTGGCAATGTAAGAGGTTTATTAAAAGAGGGTTATATACAGATCCCTGAAAGGGCTCTTCAAACAGTCCTGCAGCAGGATGCCTCCTAGTCCAAGGGAAGGGGGAAGAGGCTTGAGTTTGTGTTTAAGGAGGGACAGGGGTCAATGCACAGATAATTTGCTGCATATGTACAACATAAGATCTCTATTCCTCCCTCTCAAAAATAAAAATAAATCTCCAGTAGTTTTCAAAGGATCTATTGCTAGCTCACATTAGAACTTTCTTCCGAATCGCTTCATGGCACTGTTTAACTGTATTCGCATGCAAGGTGTTTATTTGGAAACAAAAGTCTCCCAGAGCAAATTATAACAAAAAGTGATATAGAAACATGCCAGACTCACAGAGCACCCCACCACCCAGTCGCTGTCTCTTTGGGATTCTGCCATGGCAAGGCAAAAAACCCAAAACATAGGCATCATCTCTGTTGAAGCCCCCACCCCATCCCCGAACTCCCACCTCTGTACCTTTGGTAAAGGGGTAGTAATGCAGTGGCCCACCACAAGCTTGGTCTTCTGTCTTCACCACAACCACCACATAGAAACTGTGGCTGGGGAAATCCTTCTTCTGGAAGTTAACAAGAGGGTGGAAGAGCAACATCAGGAACCGTCTTCCCTGGGCTGCAGAAATTCCATGACAACGTGCCAGCTAGCAAGCACTTAAAGGACTCCCATGTGGGGCACCTGGGCTCTTCTGAGAGCATATACATATACCTATATACACACATACACCGCCCTAAGATGTTCCTAGTGAGTGGCAGACCAACTGATGGCAGGATTTGAGGCCAGACCAGGGCTGTGAACCCCTGTTATTTGCCAGCCACTGAGGCAGAGGCATCGTGCCTGCCACACAAAGCACCCAAAGAATCAGTTTTCTCTTCAACAAGCATCGCTTCCTTGGGAGCACCAAGGGCATGGATAATATTCCCCGGCGCAAGCAACACCACTGCAACCATCTGCTAATTGATGCTACCAGACACCAGAAGCAATGGGGAAGCCAGCCTGGCCGCTTCTGCGGGGCTCAGATTGCACTTGGCGCAGCTCCTAGCCTGAGTCCGGTACCTGCACAGTGATGGCTGCCTTCTTGGTCATGGTCTGGTACATGCCGATGAAGGCCACATTGTTGTCCAGGTCGTAGACAGGGCACTGAGGGAAGGAAGGAAGACGGAAGTAGGGTCAGCCACTCCACTGCTCCAAAAAAGGCAGGATCCTTCATGAAAAAAATATGCCCTCCCGGTCTAACCACCCATCTCACTTACCAAGATGTCTTGGATGGAAATGACAGAACAGGGGAAGGCCATGGCAGAGGTCACCTTCACTATCACGAAGTCTACACCCTCCGGGAACTCATACTTGAAATACTGCCCAGGAGAAGAGGGAGGCGTTAAGAAGCCACATGCAGCCCCTGGAAGGCGTAAAGCCCACCCCAACACCCTTTTACCTTCCTTTAGTGTGCCCCCTCCCCCAAAATAGCACAATCAGCTGCAGCTCAGAAATTCGAATCATAGGGTTGTAGAGTTGGGACACCAAGAGTCATCTAGTCCAACCCCCTGCAATGCAGCAATCTTTTGCCCAACGTGAGGCTTGAACCCATGCCCCTGAGATTAAGAGTCTCTTGCTCTACCAACTGGGCTATCTCTGCTCCTGGGATATTAATGACCACGTTCTTAAAAATAACTTTCTCTCTGCCTCCAGGGAGACAATCCTGAGCTTGCTGGGCAAGAGATTCCTGCATTCCCACAACAACAACAATGCCAGAGCCACTGTTTCTGAGGTATTACAAAGCAGAGCAAGCTCTTCCCACGTCACAACCAGATGCAGAGCCACCCACAAGGCCATGATTCATAAACGAAACCTCGGTCCAACAGGCCTTCCTTCTGGCAATTACCATCTGGGGCCCTCTCTATTCTTCACCCTAACAGAGAGAACTCACCTGTGGCTGGGCTGCCGTGGCATTGAAGGTGAAGTGCTCATTGGTCCTGTGTTAGGGAATAAGAAAAGGAAAGACTTAAATTGTTTCATAAAAGACGCGGGTGGTGCTGTGGGTTAAACAACAGAGTCTGGGACTTGCCGATCAGAAGGTCGGCACTTTGAATCCCCGCGACGGCGTGAGCTCCCGTTGTTTGGTCCCAGCTCCTGCCTACCTAGCAGTTCGAAAGCACGTCAAAGTGCAAGTAGATAAATAGGTACCGCTCCGGCGGGAAGGTAAACGGTGTTTCCGTGTGCTGCTCTGGTTCGCCAGAAGCGGCTTAGTCATGCTGGCCACATGACCCGGAAGCTGTACGGCGCCGCCCTCGGCCTATAGAGCGAGATTAGCGCTGCAACCCCAGAGTTGTCCTCGACTGGACCTAACAGTCAGGGGTACCTTTACCTTTAAAAGTTACATACCTCTTGTAGAGAAAAACCACAAAGCAGTGTGTGCAATATGTGTGTTTATTGGTGGGAGGAACACACTTATAGCGGCTGGAGGAGCCAAGATTGTGTTGGCCTGAAAGCTGCACCCTCTAAGTGAGTCCCCTAACTTTCCCTAAGGGTTTGGGAGGGGGCAGAATGTTGCACACGCTCAGAGGAACTTTGTGATCCCCTTCACACCTTCAGTGTCTGGGCCTGTGTTCCCTTCTTTCCCCGCTACCCTGCATTCTTCTGTATCTTATTTCCCATTCCGCACCCAGCAAAGAGCACCGTTGCTGCTCCCACCACAACCTCACCTACTCCTGGGCCTGGTCTTCAGCCGAAGAGGACCTGCCAGGACAAGCAGCCGGCTCCTCGGCTGCTTCAAGCCCCAGAGGTCAGAGGCTGCTCACCTGAGCACAAAGTTATCCACACGAGTGACCTGCAGCTGGTAGGAGGCGTTGCTCACAGAGAGCGTAGAAACATCCACGTAGAAGAACTGCATCTCCACCTCACTCTTGGTCTGAGGCTGGCACAGTGTGCGGCTGACATCTTGGTAGAGGTACTTCCGCTGGTACCTGGAGGCCCGAGGCAGAAGGAAGGGGGTTGGCGAACACCAACCAGGGGCACCCAAGCACAGTCCGATTCAAATACCCAACAGCCCCGTCTGAGCGAGACCTTTGTGGCTCAGAAGGAGCAGAACTGCCACCTGGCATCAGCATCCTTCTACCCAGCTGGTCTCAGGCCCACAGTCACCTTGTCCTTGGCTAAGGGTAGCCACCAGGTAAGAAGAGCCAGACCATGGGGCCCCCAATGGGAATGGATAGCTGGGACGGAGGATGCTTCGCTGCTGCATCCTTCCAGCCAGGAAGAGGCCACCCCCATGAGTCTGCCAAGAAAACTCGGGCAAAGAAGAGCCTGTCCATCACACAGAGATACTTACAGTCCCCTGAGGATTAACGGCACCTGGAACGACACCACGGCCTCCTTCTGCCTGACCACAAAGAGCACCGGTGTCTCCTTCAGCTCTGAGAGCACATTCACCGACACCCGGACTCCCTCCGTCTGCAGGAGTGAGAACAAGAGGAGATCTTGGGTTTGGGGCAGGAGGCAGAGCCAAGCATGTCTCATCCTCAGACCTTTTGCCTGCTCTCTCTTTCTCCTTCCACCCACCAAAGGCACCCATGAGGCCACTAGTTGCAAAGGACAGCAGACAGCTAATGATGCTAATGAGTCTGGCTGGCAGGTGCCCAAGAAAGCACTCTGCAGCCAGCCGCCTGGGTCAACTCCCCTAAAGGTCTGCGCAAGAGCTCAGACCTGGCCTGTGCTCCCATCTGTCAAAAAGAAAAGAAGGCTTGGGTTGCTCAATAAACACATCTTCTACTCTGCCCCCCTGCAAAGGTCCTAGGATGTGCAGAGGCCACTAGTCATTGTTACTCTGCAGTGAGGTACGGATTCTACACCTTTCCTGGCACAGGGAGGACTGAGCAGAACAAGGGGGGACGGTTTCAGGAGCAGAAAGTGTTGGGCTCTGCCGCACCCCAGGAAAGGCTGCCCTGGCATCTCAGACACACTGACCGAGTAGACGTGACCCTAAGCCAAGGAGGAGTCAGTGGGGAGCTGCTCCTGGACTGGCCTCTGAGTCCCAGACAAGCCCTCTTCTCAACAATCCAGACCCAGGAAGAAAAAGAGGCCTTGCATTCTTGCTGGCATGGAGTCTAGAGACCCCTTACTAGGCACTCCCAGCAGCTAGGAAGCTGTCTAATATGGAGTCAAGACCACTGGGTCCTTCTAGCTCAGTGTTCTCTACTCTGACCGACAGTGTCTCTTTCAGACAGGAATATTTCCCAGCCCTACCTGGAAGTGCCCTTGGGGACTGAACCCGGGACCTTCTGCATGCAAAGCGGATGCTCTGCCACTGAGCTATGACGCTGCACCTTGTTGCAGAAGGAGGCTGGCTTTTGCCTATGGGATCCCCATAACTTGTAGGGAGCAGGGTAGGGAAGGCAATAATATAACAGCTGACTGAAAGCCAAGAAAACTGTACTGGAAGGAGTGAGATGCCTGTGTGTGTGAAATAATAACCTTGGGCACCTGCCTGTGCTAGTACTGAATGATTTGTACTGGTGCCAAGGGAGCAGAATAACATTTTCAGTTTGGCACAGGACTGCCACCCCCCTCCCTTTTTTCACTTTATATTTGTTTTGTTAAATTTATATCCCAGTCTCTTCCTCCCAAAGGAACCCAGTGGCATGCCTAGGAATTTAAATAAGTATTATTTCCTGGGCTGCCATGTTTAAGTGTAGAAAAACTTCTCTAACTTTAGCATCAGGAGCAGGAACTCAACTTAGTGCTGATGACACAGACCTTTAAGCCACACCCCTCACAGTGGCTACTTTAAGGAGGGACATGATCCTTCTGTACACTTGCATTAGGTGACGAGACAGGAATGACGTTGCAGGTGGATTTTCACCTGGAAAACAACAGCTGGCAGATGGGGTTGTAGGCTCTATGCGTCCTCCAGACTTGGGAGCTGCTGCTGGTGAATAACCACCTTTGCCCTCTACCTTCTTGGCTGCTAATTTGGGAGGCCGTGGATACAAAGGCCAACTGCCCAGAACAAACAGGTTGAAGTGTCACAACCCAGCAAAGTATCACACCAGACAAAAAGCACAGAGTGAGAATTCCCTGATGCCACCTGGAGGCCAAAGGTCTGCCAAGAAGATCTTACAGCTCATCTCACCTTTGACACATCTTTGGGGACAAAGGGAGTTTAAGCTGTAGAGGCGCAGCTCTGGAGAGGGACAGCTCTGCTGAGCAGAGAAGCCTTTTCTTGAGATCTAGGAACTTGAGGCCAGTCGAGTTACATGAAAGGAGATTCCGACTAAACATCAGGAAAACCACTTTCTGACAGTATGAGCTGTTGGAGGTTGTGGTCTCTCCTTCCTTGGAAGTTTTGAAGCAGAGGTTGGATGACCATCTACCATGGATGCTTTAGCTGAGATTCCTGCATTGCAGGGGGTTGGGCTAGATGACCCTTGGGGTCCCTCCCAACTCTACGAGTTCCACAAGTGCGGAAGAAGGGCAGGAATCGCTGCTGGCTGGACACCCAAACAGCCTTATGACTGACTGTAAACAAATAAGGATAAGGTGGGGCGGAAGAGGACGTGGCTCTCTCGCAGACCTCTCTGCCTGGACAAGCAAGGGCTTTTCTGGGTCCCTTCCAAAAGCGCTTGCACTTCGCAAGTGGGCGGGCGGGTTTGCGAAAGGGGACTGTCTTGCGCAAGAGAGCCAAAGCATCCTTATTTATACTTGCCTAACCCCGGTACCTTCGCAATGCCCAGCAACCCCCTTTCTCCCGCACGGGGACAACGGCGGGTAGGGGGGCTCCGTCCCTTCCCAAGCGGGGTACGAGACTGGGCGGCCCAGCCAGATCCCCCTTCCGGGTGGGGCCCCAGACTGCCCTGCAAGGGCGCCCTCTGCACACGCCCAGAGGCTGCTCACCGCGTTCCTGGTGACGGTGTGGTTGAAGGCGTAGATGTTGAGCAGCTCGCCGTTGACGGCGTCCGTGTAGGGCTTGTCGAAGTCGGCCTCCTTCTGCACTACGGTCTTCTTGCCGGCCGCCGCCTCCGACCCGGGCAAGAGCAGGAGCAGCAGGAGCAGCGGCGGCGGCAGGAGAAGACGGGGCGCCCCCTGCGGGCCTAGCATGGCCCCAGCCCGGCAGGCGGGCGGCGGCTGACGGGGACGGAGGAGGAAGAGCAGCAGGTGGTGGCGGCAGCGGCTGGAGCCAGCATGCCCGTCGCTAAGCGTCGGGGCTCCCGCAGCAGGCCCGAGGACGGGCCTCCCCACGGGGCGAGAGGCAAGTGCGGCCCCTTTAAGGCTCCTCTCGCTACTTCGCCGCGCTCGCGACTGGCTCGAGGCCGCGCGGTAAACACTCGGGCCGGTCGGCTCGTGACGTCACCTCTGAGGACGCTCCCCCTTAAAGGGGCAGGAGCCGGACGGCCGCAGCTGCCCTGCCTATGGCACAGCCCGGGTAGGATGCCGGCCGCAGACTAGCAACCTCGAGCCGGAGGCCTCTTTCGTAATTAGGACTTTTTTGGGGGGGGGGCACACACACACACACACACACACACACACACACACACCTCTCTCGCGGCAGAGGAAATGGTACACGGGGCGCGGAGAAATGTGCCTTTTTTGTGATAAGCATCCCCTGCATCTCCCGTGCGCGGACGATCCAGGCGTAGGTTCTTGGGAGATGCTGAAAAGTTTTCAGCAGAAAGGCAATGCACAGGAAGAGAAATGCACTAGAGGACGCGCCAGCTCTCCGGAAGGCGCCTGGCAAAGAGAGGAGGCGGCAGGTGCGCCTACCTGCCTATATATGGGAAGGTGTTTCTGCCTCCAGCATTGCTGACTTTCAGGAGAAATGTACACACATTTCTGCTTTCGCAGGCACTTGGCGGCTGAAGGATACCGGTCAGGGTAACCTTGCCCTTAGCAGGAATGAGGGTATGCTATTGCTTTAAAAAGTTCTAAATGCATGGGGTTTTTTTTACTTGTTTCTAGTTGATTTTGAAGCGTTTAAAACGTCTTTTAAAATTGTATTAACTTTTGGATGTTTGCTACCTGGGGCTCCTTTGAGAGGAAGGATGGAAATCTAAGAAATAAAATCTAAAAAGAGCTCATCCCTGGAGTCAGTAATTTAGGACAGGACGAGCTGCAACGTGCTTAACTATTCAGTGCAGAATTACAACATACAAATGTTTACTAAAGGAGAACTTTGCAGTTGCTTGTTGCAGCAGCAAGAGCTTTTGATGGTATTGCCAGCAACATGCTCAGTTCTCACTGCCACCAGTGTTGCTGTGTTGTTGGCGCCTTAATGTTCACCCTGAACGTTAGGAGTAACTGGAATACTTGTTTAGTCTCTTCTGACATTTATTTGTTGGCCCTCTTTAGCCATGGTTCTCAGAAATGCTTACCAAAAAATCCCCAAAACCAAAAAAAGGGCACCTAAATCCAACAGTTGGAGTTGGCCTGCATAAAGGTCTTCTTAAAGAGTTCAGATCCCATCCGTCCCCCGGCTTAAAATAGCTACCTGCAATTTTTATGTCTTTTAAAAAGGGTTTCCAAACCCTGCTGAAATGGAATCACCTAGTTTTGATGTAACGTTCTACTTTCAACCCTAGGTGTACCAGTACAGTACTTCCTTACCAGGAAACAAGGTTGCCACCTATTATTTGTCCAGCACCAAGGCAGCTGTTTCTACAATGGGGCAGACTACAGACGACATTTCTGCCTACTATGCAGGCCCAAATGGTGGATGGAAGGGCATTTCTAGCAGAATCCTAGTCTAGAACTTATCAACTGCACTCATCTGAAAAAAAGGGAAGTTTATACAATTTGTTGCCCGGATACAGAGCTTAGCCATTCCCCACCTCCATGCAGATGGCTGGTAGGCAGCAACTTGCCATGCTGTAACCAGGAGGAGAACATTGGCCATGCTCCTGGAAAACACCAACAATCTCTTGTTAGGAGGCACATTATTATAGCCTCTTGGCTGCCCACAAAGAAGGGGAATTTCAGGAACATCCTTGCTTGGAGGAAGAGCTTACAAACAAGAAATGAAGACCAAATATGAACAAGCACAGAACTGAACAAGATTTTAGAATGATTTTTTGTTGAAAATTACTCCCCCCCCCCACATTTGTGGTGATAATAAAAATATACACCCCTCCATAATCTGAGAGTTTTAATTACAGCTCCCTGTGCTCCAGTATAACCTTGTAGATATACACGTCCCCTTCCCCCATAGTTTTTTTTTTAAAAAAAACACAGAAAACTAGTACATTTCTGATGCACACATGGTTCTTAATGCAGTTTGGGGCTAGACCTCATGAGTCCAAGCAGCACACCCACCCACCCTACCAGAAATGAGAGACACTCACAAGAACTAATTGGTGAAACATATACATTTATATTGAAATATGCACTAAACAGTGAGCTCTACCAGTCATCAATGCCATTTTGCCAAAGCAATTATCATCACTTTTTTTGGTGGTGTGGGTGGAAAGTTCAGTTGGCTACCAGTAAAAAAAAAAAAAAAAAAAGAGGGGAGAAAGCACCCTCCCAAACTCCCAGCAGCAAAAGGTCAGGCTCCAAGGAGTTTCCACACTCTTGAGCCAGCATGCTGCCAGAACCACAATTCTCTCCTATGGGCACAGGGTCCCTTTGTTACAGCCACACACACACACACACACACACACGACGAGAGAAAGACAACATTCCTTAACCTTCTTTCACACTTTTTCTTTGCTGCAATAAATATAAAACTAGCAATGTTCATATACCACTGCACAGACGAGATTCTGGGCGGCAGCATACAACTGTAAACAGCAATGAGATTAGAGGGAAAAGCCATGTAAAAGCTCAAGGCAGGGCAGTATATGATGCACAAGATGTATTCCTGGGTTACCAGGAGCACTGGGCAGCCAAGCACATCCCAATATTAGGATCTTGTTTGGGAATACGGAGAAGCAGGATACATGTCAGCACTTGCAGATGAAACAGGGTTCAAATAAGGGGTGGGGCGGGACCTACAACATTCTCCAGTCTTGTTAATGAGAAGCTTCTCTTTGTGACAGGACAGACAGGAAGATACTGACCTGCCTTTAGGTCGGATCCAGGGCAGCAGGCAGGGGAAATGGCAAAAAGCAATTGAGACAGACCCCAGAGAAGCAGCTAGTTCAGGGCCAGGGTCTGTGAAGGGGAGGAGCATCTTCCAAAAGGAGCATTTGGACCACAAGCAGCTGTTTCACTAGCATGGAAGGAACACCAGAGAGGTATTTCAGGAAGAGTTAGGCCAGTGCTACCTTTTCCACAAAAGGGTAAGCAGCAAAGCCCCAGCAGTGTATGGCCAGCTCAACCACGGCCATCCCCAGTTCAGGATTCCAGCACACGCTGTTCCCCCACCATTCTTTTGTGGAGTAGGGGCTCTGTGCTTTTTGCATTTTCCCACCTGTGCTGGAGGAAGTCTACAGGAGCAAGGTAATAGGGTGAGGGGAGGGAGGATAAATGCTAGGATAAAGGCCTACTTGGAAGACATCAAGTGAGCGTGTTCAGAAAGTGAACTTGCTCCCAAGAACCTTCTGATATGAAAAAGCATTTCCACGACAAAAAGAGCCACTAAAGTCTCATGCACAAGACTTTGGGGGAGGGCAGAAGAACATGTTAGAACTGCACAACTGGCTAAGTTTAAATAGCTGATGTTTCTGAACTAGCTCAGGTAAAAGCAGACCATAGATGGAAGCGTATTTGTTTTTTTATAAAAAAAACTTGCTTTTTTCAGATTCCTAAAACCAGAAATCTGAAAGAGGTTTTCCCTTCATGGGAAAATCTCTCCCATCCATGTAGACATGAATTAAGGCTTTATATTCCTGGTAATCTCTATACAGGAATCCCCAGAAACATGCTTTCCACACTAGACCCTTTCCTACTCAAGAGAGGTAACGGCTATAGCTCAATTATGTCCCTCGCTGTCAGAGGCCTCATCTGGTTGAATAAAATGCTTGTACAAGACAGACCCAACCAAGAAACACAACCTTGGGCCTTGTAAAGCTTCAGCCTGCTGCAGGCCTTGAGAGAAGGGAAATGAGCAAGGATTATGACGTTAAGAGGGTAGGAGAAGTAACAGTCACTTCCTTTTTGCTCTTTCTTTTAAAAATGAACACAAGCAGCTCTGCAAAGCATTCTGAAGCACAATATGGAACAGCGGGAAGAAATGTCAGTTTATATTGGTGGGTACGTCAGGCTCCAAGGCCACTGGGCCTTTTAAGAGATGGGAATGTTGAATCAAAGCACACAAAAGGGGGAAGGGGAGAGAGAAGAGAGAACAAATGGTTCTACCAGGATGCAGAAATTGGGCAGTCCCCTCTTCCCCAGCAACAGAATGACATCCATCAAGCAAGAAATGAAAACAGGCTGAGTTAAATGAGTTCACTCACTTGACAATTAATTTTTCACACGTCTGAAGTTGCCTGATGTAGCTTTATCCTGCTTTCTGTTGTTGCCAAAGCCAGAAAAGCAGCTAAGATCACTTAAAACAAAAAACCCAACCCCAGTTTAGTATAAAAACTCTCCAAACAATTCCAACTTTTAAAGAAGCAGGCTACTTTCAGTTCAGGAAGTGGAATGTGAGTGCAGCTAATGAGCTCAGACATTTAGGGGCTATTGGAATAATAAGCCTGGCAGGACACTAAGGCGAGGAAACTGGCAGAGTGACAGCAGAACATGAGCAACGAACAGGTGACAGGAACGTTCACACTGTAAACAAGAAATGACTTTAAAGTATCATCCTTCTTCGGTCAGTTTAAACCACCCTCTGCAGGTGGCTCTGACTGACTGAGCTGACCCATGTGCTGCCATCCCAGCCACCGCCCCAGTCCCCTTTCCTTTCCAATGCTAAACACAACACCCAGTAACATTCAACAATGGAAAGCACTTTGAGTAAGGAGGATTCTGTAGTGCCAGGATAAAAAGAACTGCGCTGATGGAGCTGGGGTGCCACGGACATGGCTGGGATCAGGCCAAAGTCGCCTGCTTCTCTTCGGGGGTCTCCTCCAGCAGCTGCATGATCAGTTCATGGAGGGGTTTGCAGATCTTGGCGTAGCCGGCACCCGATAGGTGCAGAAAATCAAACATGTCGTGGCAGGAGATGGTGCCATCTGAGTGCACAAAGCCGGCATCCACGTCCAGCAGCTGGACATTGGAGAGTTTGGGCAGTGAGGTCTTCAGGAGCTGGTTCACCTTGTTGTTCTTCTGCCGCAGCAGGTTTGGCTTCTCACCACGAGGGAGCAGGCCCTTAAGAATGAAACAGGACAGAAGCATGTGAGAAGGTGCTCAGTATTGTAAGAAGCATGCTCCCGAAATCTCACCCAGGCATCTCCCTGTGCACTGACTCTACCCATGGTTTAGGCATCCACATCATCCTCTCTCTGGACCCTGGCAAATGATGCTGCATAAACCATCTGTCTCCTTCTCACCCACTAGGAACCTTGTCCCTACCTCATCATTAAGAAGCACGTGACAACTTATACTTTCCACCTGCATGCAACTGAGTTTTACTCAAAGTAGACCCACTGAAATGAATGGCCATTAATTTCAATAGGTCTATTCACAGGGCAGTTCTAAGTAAAACCTAGGGTTTGTACCTTCCTCTCCCATTTTAAAAGAAATGATTTATACATGGACTGTTCTAATGCCTTATTATTTATCAATTTTGTATACTGCCCTTCATCCAAAGATCACAGGACAGTTCACAACATAAAAATACAAAATTAGAGCACAAAACAGATAATAAAAACAAAGGCAAAAGCAAACCAATACCCCCCAACTGTGCAACTGATACAAAGTTCTCAGCGCCCTTATCATAATTTAAAGTGAACAGAAAAGAAACATGATTAACTAATACTCCATTTTCTAAAATAATGAATTAACAGTTCAATTGCAGCTTATGTGTGTTTTAACACGTGTGATTTCAACTTTATGTGGCTGAAGGCCAGCCGGTTGAAATCACACAAATTAAATGAATGGAATGTGGAGAGCTTAAAGGTTATTTTTGCACAGGGTTTTCCTGGCAAGGAAAGAGCTTTTGACCATTTCCCCTTGCTTGAGGGGTCAAGGCCTACTCAGCGCACAGCTCCAGAAAGGGTAAGGATGTTTGCCTGGGGGTGGTTTGAGTATAAGTGTGTATGTCTATAAGTGCCAACCCTGAACACAGCCCCTGTGCGATTGTACTGTATTCAGATGGCTATTCAATTTGTAAAATAAAACAGATAAAAACCACAATAAGCTTTACAGTAAAAATAATGAAAATTGATGTTAAAAGGATCAGAGAAACTGACACAGTAAAACTCACCACTCCGTTTGGGAGAACACTGACAATCTTAAGCCTCACATCAAAATTGGAAAAGTCTTCCCACTCAAGGGAAAGCGTTCCACAAAAGACCTACTTCCTTTTAAATTCTGCACATCCAGGGAATCATCCTCAGCTATTATAAGGGATTTAGCTGATCTGTTATGACAGCAACTTCCACTCTGAAGAACAACAAGAAACCTTTCCCTAAATAAATAATGGCTCAAGGCATTACACCTAGTGCTCCTTCCTTCCTCTGCCTTGGCCAAGAGAAGGCTTCAGAGACCTACTATTCCCAGAAGCATCCCTGCAAGAAGGAGTGGCACTGCCCTTCTCTTCTCATACTGCTACTACCATTCCTCCTGGTCAAAGAGGAGCTTGCAGAAAGTGCACACATTCCCAAAGTTGCTACTTGTTCCTTGACCACAGCAATGCATACCAGCACGATTATCTTGGCCTGAGGCTGCCGCGTATTGATGAGCCTTACAATGGCCTCTATTCCACCAGCTACTTCCTCTGCTGTGTTTTCATGGTTATTTGTTCCAACCCAAACAACAATGACCTGTGGATGAAGAGAAGGGAGAAGAAAAAGAACCCACACAACCTCAAATGAAAGAATATTGTATTATGCATTTAATATTTATTTGCCATATTCATACCACACCTATAGACCAAAGTTCTGCAGACATAAAATACTGTATATTTAAAATAGAATTAACAGACAATAGTTACAGGATACCCCCCTAGAAATTCTCAGGTGTTCCAACTGCTCCTGAATCTTCTGGCCTGGAAATAGTTGCCAAAGCAGCCTGCTGTTAAATCCCTCAGCAGGTTACTGGTGATGCCTCCCTCAGACTTTGGTATTTTTGACAATATCACTCACAGCCTAGGCCTCTGCTTCCTTGTTAGTTATAAATTACAAATATATACAACAAACACATTGGCATGGAATCATTATGTGCTTATCAGCGCAGAACTGTTTTGGTGGGACCAACAGCCAGCAAACTGTTCATTTGAAAAGGGAGCCTTCACATACACACAGTCATTATCCCCAGCTTACCTTGGGTTTAATATTCTCCAGTTCACCATTCTTCAGTCTCCACAAAACCTGCCCCGTTGTGTCCCCTCCAATCCCAAAATTCAGTGCGTGTAAAGGTGAAAAGAGTTCTCGCCATATCTATAACCAGAAACCAATTCAATCTTTTAGATCACCCTTGAACAAAAGCAGAATATTTGACCATACAGTCTAACGCACCGGAAAGGTATCTGTTGTTGGGTTGTTGTTTTTTAAAAAGGGTAGTATCTACACAGAACCTGGATTGAAGAACCTTCAAAGCTCTTTTCCGATGTTGCTGTCTATGTGTAGCATCAAGCACGTGGCTGGAGTGCGAGACTGTGCCTCTTGGCCCTGCCTAATGTTGTGCACAGTCGCAGGCCCACCCATACATCTATGTGGACATCTTCAGAAGAGAAACCTTTGCATATAGCTGTACACACGAAGGTCTCCCGGGGTCATAAGGATGGAAGGAACCTCAAAGTTCTTCTAGGTCAATGCCCTCCCAATGGAAAAATCCACCATGCTACCCCTTCACAGATATCATGCTCAACAGATGGATGCCTAGGAAGTTGGGCCAAAGATATATGTGATGTCAAGCACAGGGTCAAAGGCTCCCTTTCCCTTCCATGGGCTGAGCCCTATGCATGGTTTTCAAAAGAAGGCTCTGTCCATTGTTGGTGGACTGTCAACATTATTCTAGATTCAGGTAGGTAGCCGTTTTTACATTATGTAATTGATGGAAAGCGAGTGTGTTCATATAACAAGCCCCGCAGCCTCACCACTCAGTACCTCATATTGCTGTAGCAGCTGAACCATGGAATCCCCCACAAACAGCACATCAGGTTCCTTGTCCTTGCAGTCCAACACAAAACGGTTATGCTGTATAAAAATAAAGCAAGAGCATTATGACAACCAAGCAGCTTTCTTGCACCCGGAGTCAATTATCTTTTGACTTACAATCCTGACTGCCTCTCAACTCTGCCATTTTGCTGCTGTCATTTCCTTATTGCAGATGCCCACTACTATGGTGAGGACAGTAGTGAACACACATACACATGGCCTCTGCCACTAGCAAAAGGAATGAGAACTAACAGGTAGTTGTAACCAATTTTTCTCCAAGCAAGTGTCCTAACAAGGGGAGATCAGCCTGGCCAAAACTGGATACTAATGCCCATTTACAACTTGTCACTTCATTCTTGCATTGCCAAACTGATCCTCCTCTATTCTTTGTCTTGTCTTTTTTGTTTGTAAGGCTGAGAGCAGGAGCCATCTCCTTTTAACTAATGTAAGCCACTTTGTGATACAATCTATGTATGAAAAGCAGAATAATTGTATAATACGTTGAACTGTGGGAAGTCTACCCAGTCTTGAGCATATGGAGCTTGCTTAAGGCATATTGCAAAAGAGAACAGTCATGCAAAGCAGTGCACTGTCTTCAACTCTCAGTAATTTGACGTGTAAACTGAAGTAATTTGCAATTTGGGATTATGTTAAGAATAGGTCTACTAGTATACCCTATAGGCAAGTCAGCCAGACAGTCTTCACAGAGACTGTGCCTTTCGCAAAAGAGCTATAGTGGCAGCAGTGATCGCTATCCCTACAGGTGTCGTACAAGACAGAAAAACCCACTCAATCCTGCTACAGCATACCATGGTTTTTTTACCTGTGACATCCACCTGTCATCTCCCTGAACATCTTCAGCTGCATGTGGAATTGCTGCTGGGTTTGAGTCACCCTGGCTCATCCTATCCCTGAGAAGACAACAGTTTCAGTATGCCATATTCTGTAACAGTGAGATCTATCGTATGAACGAGTTATACAAAAACACATATATTAGCACAATTATTCCACTTGGGGGACATTTCAGATGTCACAAGGCACCAAACATGTTAGAAATTATGTTTGCATTTACCACATGGGAAAAACTGCAAAGCACCTTGCCTGTACATGTAAACAAATAAACATGTGAAGCCGTACTTTTATATCTCCGACCGTACTGCGAAGAAACACATGGGTCAACAACATAACGGAGCAGAAGAATTTGCAGGGCAGTCAGTCAGAGGAAGGAACAGGTGCTGGGATGGAACAACAGATGAGGAAGGACACAGATACTCGCACCCGCCTCCCCACGCCTAATATTTTAAGATTTCGACCACGACCCCGAGCCTCCACCTCTGCCCCGGCAAGCCAAAACAAATGAGAAAGGTGGAAACCAGGTGAAGGGTTCCCGGCTCAGCCACGAGGGAGACCCCTGGCCATCAGCCTCAGGCGACCCTTGGTGCCTTTCGGCCAGGCGCCAGCAGGGGCGCAGAACGAAGGCCTCCCGCCAAGCCTCGTTGCCATGGGAACCCCGGTGCAGCGGGGAGGGGGGCCCGGGAGGGGGTCCTGGGCCCCACCCTCCTGCCCGCCCTTGCTTGCCCCCCTCCAGCCCGAGTGCATCCTCGGATGAGGGCTCCGCCGAGCGCGGCTCCCTCCTCTCCTCCCCGCACCGGGCCTTCCGTGCGGGCGGCGGGCGTGCTGGGGGAGGGGCGGCTAACGGAGGCCCGCCCTGCGGCCCAGGGGAAAGACCGGCCCGACCGCCCCTACTCACGCCGGCGGCGACTGCGGCTCGCCCCGCTCCTCCATGGCGCTCGAGTCTCTTCGCCTCACGACCCTCCTCCTTCTCCCCGATGCTCTGGCGGGCGCGCCCCTCCCCCCAGCTCCGTCTCCGACCACCCCTGGACTGCGCCTGCGCAAAGATCTGCTTCCGCCCTGCGCCCTTTTCGCTAGCGAATCAGTTTCGCCCCCGGGGAGGAAATCCCGCCCATTTAGAACTCCCGTTCCGCTATTCCCAACCTGTTCCTCTAGAGGGCGCACCTCGGCCTAATACGGCGCGCCGGAGGGTTCATGCGACCTACGCTACTTCAGCGCCTTTTCTTTTCTTTTCTTTTTTTGCGGAGTCTCACCCGGCGCCATATTGAGAGGAGGAGGAACTCTAGGCTTGCGGGAGGAACCAGTGGGCGTGTGGCGGTGACGTCACTGCTCAGGCCCATGACGTCACGATGAAACGAGTGGCGTTCTGGATGATGCCATAGGTTTGCTGTCCTGTAGTGTGAGTTTAAGATTTTTTTCGCAGCAGGTAAAACCAATGGGTTCTGTCCAATTATGTTCTTACTCAGAGAAGGCCAGTTAAAAATAATGGGCATGACTAACTTAGCCTATGAATGTCACTTGGTCTTCTACTCTTATAGGATATAGCCCAATATATTACTGTTGTCATTAAGGACTAAGTTCTTTAAAATGTAGTTTAAAAAAAATATATGGTGGAAAATAATAAATTGCAATTTGTCTGTAAGCTGCTTCCCTTCTGGATCTGAACAAAAATTCCCACTGAGACATTTCCATTTGACATGAAGTTATACGACTGTTCTGATATGTCCAACTCTTAGTGTGATTGTTGTTCCAGTATGGGCCACAGTATGGTCCTGAAAATGGTAATGAGTGTCATTGTCTCTCCACCCTCCACCTTTTCCCTAAAACTGTCTGCAGCTCATGGTCCTCCGTCATAGCAAAATATAGTTTCCAGTTCTAGGAAAGGGAGGGTGAGGAAGAGACATATAGGAAACCACACCCTGCAGTCAAGGACAAAAAACATGTAGAGAAACCCAGCCACAAAGATTTGGATGCTGCCTGGCGAGTCATATTTTGTGTGGCCAGTCTACACCACCTGTCACAACTCCATGCTAACCATCATCCATGGATGTATAAATTTTCAAGATAGCACTTCATGCATCTGATGAAGGAGACTACTCAAAAAACACTTGTTCCATAATAAATTTGCAAGTAAGGATGGGTGACTCTTGTCACTTTCAGTTTCTCTCAGTTTCTCTCTTCTTCCAAGCTTGTTTAGTTATCCAGGAACAAAGACAGATTCTTCGAAGCCATACCTGGAGATGCCAAGGACTGAACCTGGAGGCTTCTGCACACTATGGTCCTTCCCTTTCTCTAGCGTGAGGAGATATAACTTATCAAATGCATGCATAAACATCTAAAATAATGCAGCAATAGAACCTAATGAGAACGGGTATAACTCAAGGCAAAATAGCATTATGATGTGTCTTAATAATTACTTCAGCCACATCATCTACGGAAAGATTCTGGGAGCAGTGGGAAAGTAGACAATGGAATGATTCCCATTAAGTTTTCAGGAATGTTTTCCTCTACTTCATGGGAATTGATAGTCATCTCTCTAATTGCTTCCTGCGCTCATAGTTATTTTCACATTGTATCCTCACGAGCACTGTATTTACATGTTTCTGCAATTGTTTCAATTCCTCCATCACCTTCCCTATAAAATTGAGAAAGTTTTAAACTTCCTTTTAGCAACTGGAGAGCCGAAGGAAGATAATCATCACATGCATTAGACTTCCACACCCCTTAAAGGAAAGTGACTCAAAGTCAGATATAGAGTGGGAACAGGAGAGAGAAGATCAAAACAATGTTTTAATTATTATTAATTATTAAGCTGCTTAAATTTGGGTGATGTGATACAAGCAAAGGCAGTGCTCATGCACTGGCCCTTTAACAGTAGAATAGGACCCATTGCACAGAAGGTCTCAGTCTCATTATGAAACCCACACCACTCAGCACAATTTCTCTGTAATGCCTGAATCAGAAGAGGCCGTGAATGATGCAAACCAGTGCCTGGGAACAGTTAAGGGCTAACTGTCAGGGGGCAGCCTCCAGCCTCTGCCACCTGAGGCAATTAGTGTCACATTTGGCCAAATAGGGCTGGCCCTGGAGAGAATGGTAGCCAAGCGTGTTTGTTTGTTTTTATAATAAAAAGCACCATAAGAGTTGCAGTAACTGAAAGGATAGAGAGCGCTTAGGGGTACTTTTGGATAAAAACAGGACACTTGCAACAACAGCCTTTGATGGAAGATTGTCACTTTCCACCCTTGACCTAAGATGCTGTACACACAAGCTTATAACATAGTGCATGATTTTAGACATGAACTGCATCATAGCCCACCCCTTACCTACCATTTGAAGTTTTTAAAAAAATATTTCAAACACAAATTGATGAAATAGTTCATATGGATATGTTAAGCATCACATGATATAATATGGAGCTGTGAACAGAATAATGATAGTGTTTAATTTCAACCTGTTCCATTTGGCACAGATTTCATCTACTGAAATCTCAGGGGTCCCATCTTGGTTTGGCAAGTTATCCGTGGCTGCTGCTTTTTAAAATGTTTTTAATTGGTTTTTCCAAATAAACATGAGAACATAAATCCCCTTATTAAACAGTTCCCCTTACCTACCCCCTCCTCCAAGCCACAAAGTCCTATGGGGAAGTGTTATTCCAAAGTTTCAAATGCAAGTCTGGTGAATGCCACTGTAATTGATGTTCTGTCAGGTATGTGACGAAAGGGTACCATGTCTCTATAAAATTGTTCTCATTTTTCTTTTCATCTAAGGCTTTAACTTCTTTGGTCAATTTTTCTGAGAGTGCTATAGTCCATACTTCTTGCTTCCATTGTGAGATTTGTAAACATTGCAAAGATTTCTAGTTTGGGGCAACAAGTTGTAGGGCTGCTACTAAAAGAAAATTAATCAAGTATTTATATCTGAGATTGACATTTTCATTTTTAAAGATACTTAACAATACTAAAGTTGGGGTACAGATAACATTCTGTTTTGTGATCTTACTTATTTCACCAACATTTTTCCAACGTGGCTGTAATCTGTCATACACCCACCAGTGTTCCCATATCTTTACTCCCTCTTTAGCAAAGAGGAGAAATAACTTCATTAATATGACTACTGTAGGCTACACCTCAAAGGTGTAAAATGCTGTCTGTGTAGTAGCTTATTTTCTTTTATATGCATGGACACTGACTTTAAGGGCCTCTTCGCTCACGGGCTCTGCCAATCTATTTATCTACTGTATTTATTTACCAATTCCTGCCTCAAGATCTGATTCCCAAGTGTGTTTTATCAAATTTGTTTGGCTTAACTGTATGTCACTAACTATTTTATATATTATTGTTATATCCATAGCTACTTGATGGCATAGAACCAGCTGCTCATTAAAGCATAAACTCCACCTCCTGAAAGGGAAGCTTGGTCTCCCCTGTTGACCATCGTTTACCTTTATCACCAGTAGCAAAGGCCATTTCTGATAAAATTAGTTTTGCTTCATTGTTTTAAACAAATATTCCCCTGCACAGCACACAGAAATTAAGATACACACACAGAGAGAACGTCTTTTAATTTCAGGACTTGTTCTGGGTCTCCATAAGCTGATTAATGCATTTATTTGAAGTATTTCTATACAGATTTTCAGACAGACCTGACATAGCAATTTACCAAAGATCAAAAGTGTTGATTTTTAAAAGTGCATTAGAATAAAATGAAAAGACAACTGTTTAGAAGGAGCTGCAATTGCTGCTTCTCTGCTACTTTCAGAATACAGTACATTGGTCCTTCAGAAGCAGCTGGGGGGGCAGTTGGGTGAGGGAGGGGCTACCACTAGGAGCTGGGGGGGTGGCAGCTCCTCAAGCTGCTTCTCTTTCTTTTTCCTGCGGCTTGAGAAAGGCTTGTGGCTGGGAGAATCATCTCAATCTCTCCCACCATAAACATGGCTTCTTCCTTTTCCTGAGACTACCATCCTGGCTTCATTATAAGGCAACCTTGGACAAACCACTTCTTATGCCTATCCATGAACTCTCCCACGTACAGATTGTGGAAACTAGTTCAAACGACAACTGGTCAGCAAAATACAGATGCTTGGCTGTCCACCATCACTATTTTCCCAGTTCCTAGCAGCCAATCCTCCCCACCCCTCCTATCTCACGGAGAAAATCCTCATCTGTACTAATTCACTTCCTTCAACGTGGCAGCGACTTTAAGAGATTTACGTTGTTAAGCCTGGGGCTCATATGGTTTATCTCTTAACAAGGGACTGAGATCCTATATCCTTCTTGAAGCTTTTAAGGATTGCATCTTACTTTAATGTTGTCTTTGCATGCTTCTGGCCAAAGGCTCAAGGCCCTTTCTCCTTTGGCCATAACAAGCTCTCTCTCTCGCCCCCCTCCCTGAAGTCAACTTGCTGTTGTCATCACCCAGAGCTCCCTGCAGAGCACACTTTACAGGAGAAAAGTGAGGGAAGAAGATAGTTCGGTGAGAAAGTGGGAGCATGAAGGAAAAAGAGAAGACTGGCTGTGATGGTTTCCGAAAGGCTTTTTAAAGCTGTAATTACATGTGCATCAGTGCAGAGACCTCAGCTGCACCATGAAAAGTTAAGTCAGGCAAATGACCTGTCCCTTACAATACACACATGATATCTCCTTTCCTCTACATATGAGAGCAGCTGGCTGAAGATGAATATTAAACAAAGGCTGTGTCAATTTAATTCCCTTTTCAGGAGGCAACTGAAACTCACCTGTCCCTTATTTTCAGGGGAGCTGAAGCTCCAGTGTTGCCATGGGCAACAGTTGGGCCACTTGAAGCTAACTCAGTCATTTTCCTTGGCAACCATGACAACAAAGTTCTCTAAAACAGCCTTAATTTATGAAAGATGCAGGTAGATGGCATCTAATTGGAACAAAACCCATTAATGAACGGCAAGGTCAGGCAGCTTGGCTCATGTTGGCTGACCCATGAGGGCACAGCAGGTTGTGGGGTGGTGTTTTTTGGGGTTTTTTTTGGTCTCTGGGGTTTTGCTGTGCAGATTCCACTTTTGCCGATGTCTGCAGTGTTCACAGCTGTTGCCCTAGTTTCCTCTCTCCAGCTCCCACTCACTCTCCTGTGCAACGGCTGCCTACCACCTGCAATGCATATGAAATTTATTCCTTCCAAATCCATGAGCTTCCCCTCTCCTTGAAATAACAGTGCCAATAAATCACCAGTGATCTTTTGGAATATCTACCCCTTCCCCACAAAATCCAGCCAGCAGTAAGTTGCCACCCAAGCCAATAATTTATTGCTAGCTGCATCACCATCACCATTTATTAAACTTATTAGTTGCATTTTTACTTGCCATTGCAACTAAGAGCGACTTACCAACCCCCGCCATACATTAAAACTAAGGGGGGATGCTTTTTAAACATCCCACATACCCTAACAGGCCATAGATAGTTAAAAGTAAAAGGCCTAGTTAGAAAGGAATGCTTTTGCCTGACATTTGAAGGTACATAATAAACTGCTGGCATGAATAGGGGCACAAGGGAGATGGCTCAATGGCAGAACATGGGCTTTGCATGCAGAAAGTCCCTGATTCAATCTCTGATGTCTCCAGTAGTAGCAGACAGTACGGTGGTGCTCACCTGACTCCTGGTTGGTCATGTTGCTGCTGCTTACAGGGGTATAAAGGGTGAACGGTGGCAAGGTCAGTGCAGTGCGAAAGCACCAGCAGGAGTGCTGCTCTGGCATTGTCAGCATGTTTGTGCCCCCTTTCCCAGAAATCAGTAGCAATGGTCAGCTGAGTGCCACAGCTCCACCACACCAACTGCTACGTATGCTCAGACAGGGCTGGGAGAAGACTTATACCTGTCAGGATGCTGTCAGCGGCTCCCGGCTAGTTGCCCAGGAAAGTATAAAGGCAAGGAAAAGTTTCTGACAGTTCTTTTTTATTTCAGTCTATATTTCAAGCTATAGAACCCAGCCTCTTGGATAATGGTGTTGTCCACCCACCCTGCCTCTCCCACTTCCTCATTTGTCATTATCATCACCTCCTCTAAGTGCCCTCTGTCTTTGAGCTCTTTGCTCTCCTACTTTTAAGGCTCGCTGGGTTCTGGAAGATGGAGGGCCTGGAATGCTTTCTAATGACGTGTCAGCTGGGTGTTGTTCTGGCTCTCCCACGATTCCCCAGCTTTCCCCCTCATCTGCCTCGGAGCTGCAACCTCCCTCAAACTCCTGTTGTAAATCTATACTGTGTTCCTCCTCCCCCTTCCTGGAAGGGTCAGGATGGGGAGGCGGTCTCCACCATTCCTCCTCTGCCCAGTCCCTGACAATACTTGGCATTTTGGAGAGCCACTGCCACAGTCGTCATCATCAACAACAACCAAGTTGGTAGCCATTGTCTCATCTTATGGTAGTACAGTGGTACCACGGGTTAAGTACTTAATTAGTTCCGGAGGTCCGTTCTTAACCTGAAACTGTTCTTAACCTGTTCTTTAGCTAATGGGGCCTTCCACTGCCGCCGCGCCTCCGGAGCATGATTTCTGTTCTCATCCTGAAGCAAAGTTCTTAACCCGAGGTACTATTTCTCGGTTAGCGGAGTCTGTAACCTGAAGCATCTGTAACCTGAAGTGTATGTAACCTGAGGTACCACTGTAAGTTCCCTTGATTAACTGTGAACAACATGAGGAAGCCTTCCTTTTTGTCTGTCCTGAACCCTTCCAACTTCACTGGACCCCTTTTTGAGTCCATGGCTCCCTTGACCAACTACATTCTTTCTGTGGCACCCCTGTGGGGGCTCAGGAGCCCAGTCATGTCACCTCTTGTCTGCAGAGCTGGCAGCCTCTCACCCTTTTTCAAACACCCTTCCTTGTGCAGTGTTCCCTCAGCCTCCTCTCCTCTCCCCGAGAGTCCTCTGGGCAGCTACTGATGCAACAAACAGCTGTGCAAGCCTTTGGGAGGAAGAGACGCAAGAGGGCATCAGAGGAGGGAGGGAAGGAAAGAGGAACAGAGGCCAGTATTGCCTACGGCACCCCTGACCATCATTCAAGGCACCCAAGGGTGCCATGGCACACTGGTTGAAAACCACTGGGTTCAGGTGTTATGGAAGAAGGGTAACAAAAAGCTATCTTTCTCCACTCCGTGAATAATTCAATACAGCTTTGTAACATCCCAACACGCTAAAATGAGACTGCCAGATGGGAGGAAGAAAAATGGACATAGCTGCGATCCAGCAGTTAGGTTGGGAAATAGGTCCATGTTCCTGTACCATTAAGTTTTATAGAAGAGGGAATATTAGCAGGCGTTTGCTTCACCTACGCTCCTATTTAAAATACATACACAAATAAGATGGGTTTAGCCTAATCTCTGGGCATGAGGATGAATTAGGCTGTTTAGTAAGCAGGCTACAAAGATGAGCAAAATGGCGTGGGGGTCTGAGGATTTGCCTTAACAGGCTTTAAAAGGCTTGCTTTTGTTTGAAGACTGGTATTTTTCATGTATTCCCTAGTTCTTGAGAAGACTGGATGTAGCAGGACTGGGCTGGGTTCCTTTGGATATGAAAGGGAAAACTAGAGGCTTACAGTGGCTTAGCAACATTTATTTTACTTCAGTACAAACATATAAGCAAAGTACAGTGGAAACAAATCAGCTTCTACAACAGGGAACAAAACTGCTAGTCTTGCAACAAATTCAAAAGAGCTGCTTTTTCAACAATACAGAGCTGTGCCCTAGACTTGGCTAATAAGGGAGAATGAGGATAAGTATTTTATGTTTTCATCTGAGGAAGGGGAGCCTCATTATTCCCCATTGAGAGTTGCACGTCTCCCTGCAGTGCCCTCCTTTCATTGTTTTTTTTTTTTGAGGGGTTGTGTGAATTATAAGAGTTCTGATGTGACATCACTTGTTTGTTTTGTCCTAGAAAAGAGGTATTATGCTGATGTTGTTGTTTTGCATTTTTATTCTAGAGGATAAATGTCTGCATTTCTTTTTGCCGGTGGAGCGAGACTATTCAGACTTCTCATCTTAAAATGATTGTGAGGCTGGAGACAAGGAGCCCGAGGAGTTAGCTTTGTGGGTCTTTGCAAAGGGTGTGTGACCCAGGCAGTTCTGCTGGCCTAGGCCCCTTCCTTGGTGCTGCTTAAACCTGTGATATTGCTTGACCCTACTAGGCTTTTTCTTCATGATGTGCTTCCTGCCACTGAGGATTCCAAAGCCAATGTTTCTCTTTATGTAGAATGTACTTAAATGTAGTACTTTTGCTCAGTTGCAAAGTATATGCTGTATATAAGGGAAGGTTCCAGGTCTAATCAGTATTATTCAGCGTTAAAAACAAAACATCTGAGCAATGAGGAATGGAGAATCTTGACATCCTGAAAATCTGCTGTCAGTTAATAGTAGACAATACAGGGCTGGATGGAAAACTAGTCCAAAACAGCACCTCATGTCCCCAACAATCTTAGATCATATTCAATAAGTTGGAGAGGCATAACTTACGCTGGTGAACTCATTCTTTTTACTAGATTCTATACCATATTTTGCTATTCTTTCGAGATTGCACTTTGCTGCTTGTTAATAGTTGTAAATGTTAGTGTACCGATGTTCTGATTTGGTGTAAGGCAGCTTCCCCTGGTCCTAATTTGTCTCATGGAGGTAGCACTGATTAAAAAGTGGAGCGTTCTCTGGTTTATTCATTGGTTTCCAAACTGTATTACGAGCAGCTATGGAACAGCCAGAGCCATCAATGAGCAATTTTGCCCACAGACATCTGGTATGGTTCCCTTGGCGACTGCGCAGTCCTCCTCAGCAAAAATAAACAATGGCTATCCTACTAATGTGGATGGGGGCTGCTTTTGACCGGTTTGTGTGCTGTTAAAATGGTAATTTGCTTTGCACACGGCAATGGTGGAGTACAGAAGGCAAGTACCACAGCTCAGCTTCTTGTGCAAATTGAACCAGATTTTCAGGACAGCTAATCTATAATTATTCTAGAGCAAGTCTAGTCTCTCTCCTTAAGTTGTGGAGTCAAACATTTCAAGGCCCATTTCCATATGGTATGCCCAATGTGCTGGTGGCAGTTGTTTGGTAAGTCAATTTTACATATTATCTGTGTATGACCAGCAGGGGGCCCCTTTGCGTCTGAATGATCAATTCTTTGGCAAGAGGAAAGAATCTTGTTTAAAATGTACGGTGCTGTATCCAATTGATGGTTATTCCGAGTAGACCCACTGAATTAATGGAACATTTTGGCCATATCTGTTTATTTCATAAAATTTATATACCGCTTGATTGTAGGAAAAAACCCTCAAAGCAGTTTGCAAAAAAGATTAAAACAAGAAAATTATGACTTAAAGAATTGCAACCATCTTAAAACCACAATAAAATACATTAAACAAATTAAAACTCGTAGAACTTTCTACACATCTGGGTAGACTTGTCTAAATAAGAATGCCTTCAGCAGGCACCGAAAAGAATACAGTGAATAATTTCAGAATACAGAATAATTTCAGTGGGACTACACAGAGTATGTCTGTTGCTGGATACAACCCCGAAGGGCAAAAATGAACTGCAAGCATGCAACTGCTGGCCTAGGGTGCAGAGGTAAGCAAATTGTATAGCTTGACCGAATTGTTTTGATGGCTCAGGCTATGTATGAACACTGAATTGGGTGTGAGGAGTGTATTTTAGGAAGTTAAGGCTTGTTTACTTTCATGTATGTGACCTTTTTATGGCAAGAACTACAATGTGGTTTGCTTGCCCGCCCCCAGCACAGCTGTGAGATGTGTACACAGCCCACGGCAACAGCAGGTGCAATACCTTTTGTGACGCGGTGATGCCTAGTAGCAAAGGCTGCTCAGGCAGAGCTTGTTAAAAATAGCACTATTATGCACCCAGGTACCAGCGGCGTTGCACGACCGTCGGTGGTACAAAGTGCGCCTTGCCTGGTGGATGGTTAATGGAGAGAGAACTATGCAGGTGCAGCGGTGATCTGGTGCTTAACGCTCAAACTGGATTGCATCAACCGTTTCAAGCCAATAGCCAATATCAGCGAAAAGTTTAAGGTCAATACCCTCTAGCAGAATATATAGCTGAGCAGAAGCAGAATCATCCACAGGCAAAGCTGTCTCTGCTTCTAAAGCAACAACAGGAATGTTCACAGACACTGGATCAGGCTCCTGTGGCACTTGCTGCTAGTTAGCCTGGTGTGCTTTTTGCAGTGATCACAAGAAACCTGTCATTTTTTGTTTGGCATCCTGGCTGACATGGCATGTCTAGATGTGTAGTATTCTGTGAAAAATTGAAAACCTAACAACAACAACAACAACAACAACAACTTATTCATCCCCCGCCCATCTGGCTGGGTTTCCCCAACCACTCTGGGGGGCTTCCAACAAATTAAAACATGACATCAAACATTAAAACTTCCCTGAACAGGGCTGCCTTCAGATGTCTCCTAAAAGTTAGATATTTTTATTCACTTTTATGCCTTGCTCAGTTTTTATTTTTTAACCACTCAGCCCCTTCATTGTATAACAATTTCTTTACTTTGGTAAATGTTTAAACCATTAAAAATGGAATATATCTACATTTCTCTCTCTCTCTTACATTATATACTTGAAACAAAAGAATAAGAAATTACTGCGTCAGCAAAAAACTAAAAACTAACCTAAATGGTTATAGTAAAATATGCAGGAATGAGAGTTAAGTAAAATGAACCTTGGAAGGAGGGAATATTATGTAAAATGTTTACTGTGAGATGTAAAATTGAAAATGTTATATATATATATATATATATGTATAACCTGTTGACATGCCAGAACAACACAATTCACCAAATGATCGAACTCAGCACACGTGCACACTGGCAATAGCATCATGTTTTAACTCTGTGTTGGAACACTCAGTTGGCATTACTTGGTGGAAGTATTTTGATATTTCGACACATCTTAATTTAGCGATCAGATTGTTGCCACATGCACAACTAATGGAGGTCACAGCATGTTTCATAAATACAAAGTGTAACACGAGTTTCTGCAAATATTTGTAAGGTGAAAGAATGTCATTCCGAGTAGAAAATCTTCTGTACACATATGCATTTTAAGAATTACTTTAGACATGAGATGGATTTTTTTAATTGTGCAACACAACTATCAGTATCACACACATCACAGAGACGGGACCGGTAGGGGAGAAAAAGTAAGGCTTTCTAGGTGCCCATTGCAACTTGGTGATAAATTATGAGTTTTATAATTATGATTTTTAAATATGTTACGGAACATTACAATACGGTATCTTCAAATGGGAAATAATACTATTACCAGGCATTATGTAATTCACCGATAAGAATTACATGAGGGCAGTATGGCTGCAATTAGCCAGGAAAATAATGTAAAATGTTATGTCACAAAGTTTATTGGCCCCTTCTTGTTGAAAAACTGTGTAGAAAGCTCAAAAATGGGGGAATTCTCTGTGTGAGGGGGAGAGGACACTATTACTATTTTATTACGACTATTTTGTCTCTTTTGAAATTTTGCACATGGGCAACTGCCTCTGTGGCCCTGCTCATGCTATGCCACCGCAAGGGGCTGCAGCTGTCTGGCAGGGCTGGCCAGTGCTTGAAGGGAAATGGCCCAGTGCTTTCTTCAACCCCCGTCAGTTGCTTTTCGCTCCCACATCATGGAGCTGAAGGCATAAATGGAGCATTGCTCACACCATGTTCTCTGCTTAGTTTGCCTCAACAGCTCCTTTCTGCTTTACGGAGCCCACTCCAGCCAGCCACCCACAACCCGCCCAGCAGAAAACCCACCCAAGTTTTTATATATAACTTTTTATTGATTTTCCAATTTTTAAAAATACTTCAGTACATAATAAAATTGTCTTTTCCCGACTTCCAGACCCATTTTCCATGGTGTTTTAATTTCTCCCCCTCTACTGCACAATACCTTCTATTTCTTATACCAACACATCAGTACTGTATTCTCTAGTTCCTTTTGTTGCTCATATTTAAAATCCTCCTTGCGAGTTCATCAAACGAAGATTTCCTTAAGTAGTCCAAAAAGGGCTTCCCTTCTTCCACAAAACAATCATCGTTAGATTCTCTTATTTTGGCTATTAACTTTGCCAATTCTGCATAGTCCATCACATGGGTGTAGTCAAGGGTGGGGGCGCAGGTACCCCCCCTAGATCCTCAAGCACTGTTAAAAAGCATAGAAAGTACTCAATTTTCCGAGGTTCTGCCCCCCTAGCAAGAAGCCTGCCCCCCGCAGTGTCTTCTTGTCCTCTATTTACGGTGTATTTTTTACCCGTGATTTCCCAAGAAAGGCTCAACAACTTTGACTTCCTTAAAAAAAAAGCAAAAAAAAGCTGAACAACTTTGGCGGCCCTTAAAAAATATCCTGGCTACGCCCATGGTCCATCTGACCTTACTTCTCCATTCTTCTTTCGTGGGGAATTCTTCCACCCATTTTTGTGCATGCATAAATCTTTTTCTTTTCTTTTAAACTGTCCCTATAATCCCCAAGATTATTTTTAAGACAGTATCTTAGAAAGCAGAGACATCACCTTGCCAACAAAGGTCCGTATAGTTAAAGCTATGGTTTTCCCAGTAGTGATGTATGGAAGTGAGAGCTGGACCATAAAGTAGGCTGATTGCCAAAGAATTGATGCTTTTGAATTATGGGGCTGGAGGAGACTCTTGAGAGTCCCATGGACTGCAAGAAGAGCAAACCTCTCCATTCTTAAGGAAATTAGCCCTGAGTGCTCACTGGAAGGACAGATTATGAAGCTGAGGCTCCAGTACTTTGGCCACCTCATGAGAAGAGAAGACTCCCTGGAAAAGACCCTGATGTTGGGAAAGATGGAGGGCACAAGGAGAAGGGGACGACAGAGGACGAGATGGTTGGACAGTGTTCTCGAAGCTACCAGCATGAGTTTGACCAAACTGCGGGAGGCAGTGGAAGACAGGAGTGTCTGGTGTGCTCTGGTCCAGGGGGTCACGAAGAGTCGGACACGACTAAACGACTAAACAACAACAATAATCCCCAAGAGAAAGGCTAACCCACCCAAGTTTCTGATGCCAAGAGACCCCGGCTGGCTTGGAGGGCTTCAGCCTTGGGCCACAGCCTCCCAGCCTCCCTCGGCAGCCGGCGCTCCTCTTCCTCATGTGGCGGTGCAGCCGCCCGGCTCTGCAGACGAACCGCGGCTCCTGGTCGGGCCCTGCTCTGGAGCTCGCGGGGGACGAGACCACTTCCTTGGTGGTCTCCCGCACGGCTTGACCTGCAGCAGCAGCAGCAGCTGCCGCCGGAATGGCAACGAACGGGCAGTTTTGTCCCTTCGCGCTCCCCGTAGCCGTCGCGCGCGCCGGCCGCCTGCCGTGCGCGCTGACGTCCCTCACGCGTCAGAAGCCGCCGCGGCTGGGCCCGCGCGCTGCTCCTCCTCCTCCACCACCTCCTCCTCCGCCGGTTGCCATGGCGGCGGCTGGGGCCCCGCCCCCGTGCGGATGAGCTCACGCGGTGCCGCAGCCCCGGGAGGAGGGGGGAGGGGCGGCTGCTCCCTCACAACAAGATGGCGGCGGCGGCTGCAGCGTCCGGTGGCGGCGGCGGCGGTGGAAGCGCCGGGGGCCCCCCGCTCCCGGCGCCCGGGACCCGCCTGCCTCCCCGGCCCCGCCGCCCTCCGCGGCCCGCCCGCCGGGCCCCGCGCGCATCGGCTACTACGAAATCGAGCGCACCATCGGCAAGGGCAACTTCGCCGTCGTCAAGCTGGCCACGCACCTCGTCACTCGCGTCAAGGTGAGGCGGGCGCGACTCTGAGGGGCCTCGGACCCGCTGCTCCGCCGCCCGGTCGCCTGACAGCTCCGCTCCCCGAGGCTGGAGCGCGCCGCCCCCGCGGCCTTGTGGTGGGGGGTCGCGTCTGCTTCGTGCCCGGCAGCGACAAAGCGAAAGGGGAGACCAGACCAGACCGCAACCCCGGCACCGGCCACCCAGGCTCCTCTCCTCTTCCCTCCTCTTTTCCTGGGAATGCCGGCGGGAGCCTTCCAAGCCCCGCCACGCCGGGAATGTGCGTGGCGCGGCTCTGGGCATCCCCGGAGGCGTTGCAACGGGCTCCTTGGGCTCGCAGGAGACTGGCTTGGGACGGTGGTCTTGCCCCTTTCCTCCTCGCTGTGAGGGATGCTGTTGCCGCCTCCCCGTCCAGTACTTGGTCCCCACAACCAGGCTGCCCTGCTTGTGCTCCCGCTTTCCGTGCTCCCGGAGAGGGGAGGCTTCTCCCGAGAGTGCCACTTTTCCCTGCCAGAGCAAACCTGGTCCTTTCCTTTGCCTGCTGGCTCCTTGAAGTGCCTGTGGTCCAGGCAGGCGCTGCTGCTGGGTTGCTGTGGACCAGCCACATGTGGCTAGGGATGCAGGCACCCTGGGTGCCTCCATGCAAAGTAGCCACAGTGGTAACTTTGAGAGCACCTTGCTTACCGGCACTGATAAGGTTCATCAAAAAGCTGGGCACGGTCTTGCTGTCAGTTTGCACTGGGCCTCTGTTGATCTCCGACTAATAAAGAAAATTCCCCTCCTTTCTTTCTCTCTCTCTCTCTCTCTCTCTCTCTCTGTGTGTGTGTGTGTGTGTGCCTGTCTGTGGAAAGGAGGTCTTTAGGAGATGGTTCAGAAACTTCATTTAGATTTTTGTTTAATTTAAATTTTGCTTAAACAGCAGAACCTTTTAAGGCTTCTTATGACCAGTTTTTATTCAGTGAAGGAGGATTGGAATGCTTCTGTGCTGTTGAAAAGAGCAAGGGCAATGAGCGTTGCCTTTTGTCAGGCCTGGCACCTGTTAGCAGAGCTTAGTGCCTTTTTCTTTAGTCAGTTTCTTTCATATGCTTTTGGTGCATTAGCTGGCAATGCGTACCTGTACTAGCTGCTTACGTTTGCCATGTTGGATGATGGCTTCATAGTGGCAGGGTCCCTTTCCATCAATTGGGATCTGATTTGGCATTTTTTCTGTCCAAGGTGTGATATTCTGAAACTGACCAGATTATTTCATTCATCATTTGACAAGAATCTAAACCAAAGCTGGTCACTTTCCAAGGATACTTCTGCTTGGGGCAGGACAGAATTTCCTGCCTGATCTGGTGGCAGCAGCCTTGGAATCTTACACCTTCTCTTAAAGCATGAAGCCTGACTACTGGCAGCAGTAATCTCAAGATTTTTGCCCTGTAAGCATCTTCTGAGATGGCAATTATCATTCTGCATGTGGAAAGGAGTGGTCTGGCTTGTGATGGTTGACTGATGGGAGGAGGGTGTCACCAGCTGGTCTGATAGTACTTTTGAATTCTGGGTCTGAGAGCAGAAAGCAACTTGATGAGATCAATAGTGGGAGAAAAGGGGTTTTGGGTTGTTGGGGTTTTTTGTTTTGTTTCTTGCCATGTAATCTATTCCTTAATCACCAGTTACTGCTGCTAAGAGTGGTCCTTGTGATTTTTTTTTTTTTTGCACATATGTAACTTCTAATTGAATTGTTAAATGGCATTGAAACTCAAGGACTACAATCTTTTCCTTTCCCATATATATATATATATATATATATCTGCCAACTGAGGACTACAGTTTATTCATTTGATAAAGTGGACTCTTGTCCATGAAACTTGCCATAACAAATTAGTTGGTCTTCAAGATGCTACATTGAACCAAACACAGGTACTACTTGTATCCTCTGATCATGAAGCTGAATTTCGGGTTGTCCTCTTAGCTGCTGGGCCTTTTAGATTGATGATGTGCTAAGCAGCTGTTTGTTCATCAAATGTTGCTGAATGCAGCTTGACAGCAAGTCTGACTAACCAACATATACAGTGGTACCTCGGGATAAGAACTTAATTCGTTCTGGAGGTCCGTTCTTAACCTGAAATGGTTCTTAACCTGAGGTACCAGGCCTCCCGCTGCTGCCGCGACACCATTTCTGTTCTCATCCTGAAGCAAAGTTCTTAACCCGAGGTACTATTTCTGGGTTATCGGAGTCTGTAACTTGAAGCGTCTGTAACTCGAGGTACCACTGTACATTATGAGAAATTCTCCTATTGTTGGAATAAGTCAGGTGAGAACAAGTCACTGCTCCTGCTTTTTACCTGCTCCCATCTACTGTTAATCTGGTGCCAGGGGGCAGCAATGCAGAAATCTGCAGAAGTCTGGAATAAAATCTTCATCTCTGTCTGCAGGCTAGTCCAGCAGAGCTTCTAGGTCAGCTCTGTTACTTGTGCTGATATTTTGTTTCTGCATAGTGTAGAAAGCAGACAGGAAGCAGTGGTCCTATGATGGTGAGTTTCTGATCTATGTAAGAAGCCCTTGGGTCCATCTATGGCTGTGGTGTGCAACATCTGAGGTGGCACAGTGCTGCTGGTGCTATCGTTCAGTTTGTTGCAGAGCTTAATTGCTGCTTTCTCCCTACCTGTGGCTCTCCAGTTATTGTTGGACTACAACTCCCATCACCCCCTGACCATGGCTCATGCTGGCTGGGATGATGGGAGTGAAGTCCAACAACAGCATATGGGTGCATGTACTCCAGGTAGTTTCCCAGATAGAGCTATCCTCCACTGTTAAATTCATATTTAAAAAGCCTAACTCAACCAGGATTACTGACAGTGGTTGATGTTAAAGTCTATGAAAATATCAGGGTAAAAGCTGTGTTAATGAATAACAGAGGCTTAGTATGGGAACTGAAGTTTGAAGAACCTGCTTCTTTGAGAGTTTTCTCTGCATATCTTATGATCTGGAGCCCATTCTGAATACAAAAACTTATTGACTGAGGAGCTCCTGGATTGCTAACGAAGGGCACCTTCCACTTGCAGAAGGTACCAGCACCCAGAAGAGGCTTCTTGCTAGAAAGTGGGTGAGGCAGGAGGAAGTAACTTCTATTTCCCCAAGCCCCCAGAATCATTTCCCATGCTGTTCTGGAATCCCCAGGAGCAGCTTTTTAGGGGACTGTAATAGAAAGGAGGAATTGATGAAAATTGCCACTCCAACCCCTTATAATGTGAGCACCGAGTAGAGCTCTCTGTTCATTATGAGAATGGATTCAGCTCATTGCATCTGACACAAGAAATCTCAATTTAAAATAAATCTTACTTTCCTTGTTTTGTTTAGAGTGGGTCTTAGTTGCACAAAGACTTTTTCGTAGCTTCTTGGATCAAGAGACTGGCTAGCATGTATCTGAAATGCTTCTTGAACCTGTTGATTCACTTCTGCCAGTGGGTGGAGAAGAACTGCTGTTCCTTGGAAGTCGAGTCTCTGATCAGTTTGAGCAACTTGCATTCTGAGAATATTTAGCCTGACCCGAGTTTGTAATTCAGTCAAGAGTTCAAAGTGAATTCTTGAAGGCCAAATATCTGACCTGTACTCTCAAAACATGTGTGGGTGGGTGGGGGCAGGTGAGAGAAGAAATGCAGACTTTGAAGAAGGGGCAGAGGATCCTTGTGCCTCTCAAAACCTTTTCATCTAAAGGTTCCTCAAGTTCATTTTGTTGTCTCCAGCAAGCAGAGTACATGACCAGCAGATGTCTGCTTATGCGGGGTTTCTCCAGTCCTTGTGTTTTTCTGTGGTCTCAATTGGAGGCAGTCACCGTAGTGATTCAGAGATGGCTGGCTGCAAACAGGCTTAGAAACAAATAGGTGATTGTTTACAAAGTCCACCAGAAAGCCTGAAGTGTTGAGCAAGGCACTAATACTGAAGTGGGAAAGTGTTGTGGGGAAATCCCCCCCATGCCCACCCCACCCGCCTGCATTCAAAAGCAGGCCAGTGTTTCTCAGTTAACAGGAATTCTGTCTGGGGCTTGACTTAAGTAGACTTTGGTAGGGACAGACAGATCCATGGAAAACTGGAGCCCTGGGGCAATATCCAAAGGTTTCACTGAGTTTTTGTGATAGTAATTGAAACATTGGGGGGTGGGGTGGGAGGTGGATCTGACTGCAGGAGAGGTTACCCATCTATTTTCCCCCTGTCTGCTTATGGTGAAGCTGCAGAATCCAAGAGTCCTGTTTGTTAAGAGCTCTTGGAGAATGGAACTCCCAGTAAAATTGGCAAAGCCACAAGCATTGAAAAATATGGAACATGCTTCTGTTTTACAACTCTGAGGATCATTTTGGAAGGGCACATAGGTGAGAGGAGCTGTTGTATTAGACCAATAACATTTCATGGTTCACAGAACTTGTCATTGTTTTTTAGATTCTGGGAGACTCAGTGTGGCTTGCTTCATACAAGTCTTAGGTTCTTGCTTGTTACAATTGCCTACTTGCCTTTCTTTATGGAACATCCCTTGCTTCTCAGTAGAGCTTTCCCAGTAGCCTTTCTCCAGTCTCCTTGTCTGTCAGAAATTCTTTTGAGCTTAGCGCTGGCAAGATTCCTTCTAAGCACAAGGCCACAAACACTGTTGAAATGGACCCTTTCACTTAAAAGCGCAGATGGTCCATTTATTTACTGCGTTCTTGCTAACCTTGAAAATATGTTTGCTGAAATTCACAGTGATGGAACATTGTGGTAAGAGAGCATTGTTCACTTGAAAAATGCAGGCTAGTTGGTTTCAGAGACAATGTTTAGATGCTGCTATCTGGGAAATAAACTTTGATGCATGCATGCGAAGCTAGGTTTAGAGGAGCTGATTTTAAATCCTGTTAACTTTTAGTGTATGGCAAGGATGCTGCTGTCAGCTAGACAGGAACCGACTTGCTTCTCTGGGGGTATTAACAGGACACCTGCAGGATATCTTACTGTGTTCCTCCCTCTCTGTTTCCTGTGTCCTTTCACCTCATTTCTCTTGCATTCTGATGTTGCACAAGGAGGAGGGAAAATGCTCTATGACCTCTCTACCAGGCTGTTGTGTACAAATCCTTCTAGTGGCCTTGTTGAATTACAGAGTAGAATTTGCGGCACTGTCAACCCAGTGGTGTCATTACAGGCAGAGGGAGTTTGAAATTGCCCCATTACTGGGCAGTGCCATGTGTGTGGTGTCTGTTACGCAACTGTGGTGAGGCTTGGGCCCTTATCCGTTAATTTATTCTGGCTGTAGTTTTGTTGGTGATCTTCTGATTCTCTCTCACAACATTATGCTGTGTACCTGTATTTGCATACAAGATAGTATTTTGTACAGAAACCTGATGTGCATCAATAGCGCATTGCATTTGGCAAATATGCAAGTGCTCGCTCAGTAATGCTGTAATCCCTCCATCTTGTGTCCTCAGGAGGGCCAGGTAGGCTTTGTCTGAGATGCATACTCACAGTCTCCATAGTTAGTTCTTGGTTTCCTGCCTTTTCCTTCTGGAAGCTCAACTTGCAAGGGCTGATTACCTTGTCATATGCTGGGGACAATCCTGACAAGTCTAAGGTGAAGGTGTTACTGATAGTGTAGCCTTTTCCTCACACATCACTCATGCCTGAGAACATGGGTAGGCAAACTAAGGCCCCAGGGGCCAGATCTGGCTCAATCACCTTCTAAATCTGGCCCGCGGATGGTCCAGGAATCAGCATGTTTTTACATGAGTAAAATGTGTCCTTTTATTTAAAACGCATCTCTGGGTTGTTTGTGGGGCCTGCCTGGTGTTTTTACATAAGTAGAATGTGTGCTTTTATTTAAAATGCATCTCTGGGTTATTTGTGGGGCATAGGAATTTGTTCATCCCCCCAATATAGTCCGGCCCCCAAGGTATGAGGGACAGTGGACCGGCCCCCTGCTGAAAAGGTTTGCTGACCCCTGCCTGAGGAGTTGATTGTTTGTTGTCTAACTCCCCAGTCAATTTTAATTTAAGCTGCGCTGTACAGTGGTGCCTCGCAAGACGAAATTAATCCGTTCCGCGAGTCTCTTCGTCTTGCGGTTTTTTCGTCTTGCGAAGCACGGCTATTAGTGGCTTAGCGGCTATTAGCGGCTTAACGGCTATTAACGGCTTAGCGGCTTTAAGAAAAAGGAAACAAACTCGCAAGAACTCGCAAGACGTTTCGTCTTGCGAAGCAAGCCCATAGGGAAATTCGTCTTGCGGAACGACTCAAAAAACGCAAAACCCTTTCGTCTAGCGAGTTTTTCGTCTTGCGAGGCATTCGTCTTGCGGGGCACCACTGTAATCTGAAAGCAACTTAACTTGCCAAGTTGCCAGAGTTACCATCCATAGGCCTCAATATTGGTATCTGCACTTGATTTCCCAGGCTGCTCTAGTTTACCTCACAGTTTACCAATATTTTAACTAGGAAAGTGAAACTGCTTTTTTTGCTGACATTTCACATTTGGTGGCTTCTGGCAAATGTGGCTTCCTGGTTGACCTAACTTCTGAGTCTGAGGTGTAGGATGTTGAACAGCAACCACGATTCTGTTTCTTGAAATCCTCTGTAATCAGATCGGCAGAATGCATCATTATCATCATCATCAAACGAAGCCCTACTACTTGATGAGGTGGGGGAAAGCTTCTGTTCTTTGGGGAATTTGCAGGACTTCTTATATGGCATGTTTGGAAGGGCTAGTTGTTGGGAGCATTTGTGATTTGTTACTTGCCTGAATACTGTTCCTCATGCACATACCTCCCTCTGCCACACAAGGCAATGTATACTAGGAGACTGCTGCCTCCTGATCATAGCATAGTGCTAGTTTGATGTGGGCTTCTTTTCTGGTTCAGATCTTTACTCACAGTGCACAGGGACTATGACTCCCCCTCCCCTCTATCAATTGAATCTTGTGAAATATGTCTGATGTCTATTGGAAAGACACCTTTTCTAGCAGTACTCCTGGGGCTTGTGGTTTCTCAAAGAATCCTGATATGTTTGCTGTTGAATGAAGAAGGATGTGGAAAAGAGGCAGAGAACTGTTGCCAGCGTATTCACTCTGTGATTCCCTCGACACTCCTTAGAGGCAGAAGAATGCATTAATCGCCAAAATGTATTTAACTGTGCTATCTGACTCTAAACAACTCTTAACTTCTAAAAGTATTTTAGTGTAGTCAGCAAAAGGACCACTATAAAATGTTCATCATCTCCAGCTCAGTTCTGTTGACAGGTGACATTTGTGTGTCTCAAAACACCTCCTTTTGTGAGGGCCGTAAAAACTGGAAAGTGTGTCGGGGGAGGGGGGATTAAGGTCTAGCTCTTGCCTAACCCTCCCCAAAGAAAAGAGCTCCACATGATCAAATCTGAGGAAACAAGACCAGAACTTTGGTGTTCTCTCAAGCTCTTACCGGGTGGTGCTGGAGAGCTGTCTGCAATATTGAGATTTAAGGTAGATCAAAATCTTGTTCAGCATTTCTTTCCATGGTTAGATAATGGCAAAAACGCGTTACGAAGATTTCACTTGTTTGCTTCGTAAACAAACAGCACTTGCTCATCCCTCCCTCTCTTGATGGTTGTACTGCAGCTTGTTTTCCAGTGACTGTCTGCTGGAGTGGGAGAAAGGCCAGAAAGAGGATCAAAGTTGGCTGACTGACTTTGTGACTAGTGTGTCCTGTGCTGCACCCCTTTTGGAAGGGAAAATGGTAATTGACATACTGCATGCACATGACTCCCTATGTCTGGTGGTAGGCACAGATGATTCCAGAGATCTACATGTGATGGCTGTACACCATCCACAAGAGACAAAATTTCTGAGGTGCCCTGGATTTTGAGTCGTTGTTGGAAAAAACTGGAAATGGCTCTAAGAAACAAATTGAATTAGTGACTTGTGGTCACGTTCATGTTGGGTGGGGACAAGAGAAGTGCATGTATGCCCTTTGCTTTCAAGATCTGTGTTAAGTGTGTTGAAGCTTTGCTCGAATCCATATTCTGTGGATTACTTGGTTTTTTAAAGATCATAGCTGAAGATCACTTTGAATCTATAGGTAATATAATTCCACATTTGAAAATTGGACTTCCAGGCTTCTGGAGCCCTTTTTGCTATTTATTCATATTGAAATACTAAATAAAATCAATATTACAAATAATAATAAAAAACAGAATCATAAAATTCAAAACAAATTCAGAACTCCAATTACATAAAATGCCAGTGAATGGGACCAAAAAAAAAAAAGTCACTGAAGCCCTGTCAAAACAAGCAAGTATGTTAAGGCCTTCTGAAAAGCCTGAAGTGTAGCCACCTGCCACAGCTCTATAGAGAAAGGCTTGGAGAAGCCCCAAGCATCAGTGGTACCCTCTTTTCAGTATGTATTGGGGACTTCTGCGTGGAGATGAGTCACTTGTTCTAAAAATGACTAATGACTGCGAATCATTCTGAAACAACTCTCTTTTGGTGTGTGTGTGTGTGTGTTAGGTAACAGGGAGGCTGTTGGGCTACAGAAAATCTCTCTATGCAACCAATAATATTTCTTCTACTGACAACTCTTGGGCCACTCTTAACAGGCTGTAGCTCATCCTTTTATTAGTGCTCCAGATGTGATATGAATTACCTGCTTCTGGAGATCACAGAGCATGAAAGTGTTCTCTGCTCCCACCACTGCTCTTTGGCATTTCAATCTGTCTGATCTTGTTTGGCCTAGGGGCACTGCATGGTATTATTATTATTATTATTAATTAAATTTGTATACCGCCCTCTACCCGCAGGTCTCAGGGCGGTTCTCAATATAAAATCACAATATAAAAACACAAAACATAATAAAAACAAGAACAACCCAATAATCCCTCCCCAACACATTTTAAAAGGGCATTGGATGTCAATAGCCAAAGGCCTGGTTAAATAAGAACACTTTTTTCTTCTAAATCTCCCAAAGCTTCTTTGGTATGTCTCTTTCAATATTTATTAAAATATTTGTATGGCATCTTATTCCTATGAACAGCATTCAGGGTGGCCACTGACAAGTTACTGTAGGCAAAGCTGAAACAACTGCAAAAGTGAAAGCAGAGCTAAAGCTTTAGATGAAACAAGATGCACTGTTTCTATGTTTCTGTATATTAATAAAATGTTTTCCAAGCCCTCCTTTGCTTTGTGTATCACCTCTCTCCCATGATGTCTGTTAATTGGCTGAAGAGATGGGCATGTTCTCCTTGCTTCTGAATCAATTCTATTATCAGTTTTGTCACATTATTTTATTGTCTCTTGAAAATGTCTGAAAGCTATACATGTTATGTATCAGTCTTGTTGGGCATGCAAAATAAGGAGAGTGCTAACTATGGAAACTCCCCCTCCCCAACTGGAATGGTATTGTGTGATTTTTATTTGGTCTCAGTAAAAAAACCATTTAGGACATTTTAATCTACATTTTGAGTACCACATAACTCTTCATTTTGCTTAATGTTAAAACATAAGAGTTGGGGGTGTTAAAATAGTTTGTTAAAAGAGGGCAAGAGCATGATGGATACTCTTATCTGCAGCAGAGGGTATCGCCGCATCCTTCTTGCAAAATGTCTAGGTTAGCTTGTGCCATTGCTACACTGAAGCAAAGAACACATAGTAGCAGTTCCCACTCTGTTTTTGCATGTATTAAATAAATGACAACTACTCAGGTCTGTCCACTCACATCCAAGAAAGTGTGGTTTTTTAACTCTGTCTTTTGAATGGTTTTGTCAGGTTGGCCAAGCAAGTTCCTAGGGTGCTTGTTAATTCCCGTGTGGGAATTAAAATGTTGCAGTGTTTCTAACAGAGTCTTCCTGTTCACAGTTCACCTCTAGCTAGGCCCTCTTCCAGGATACTCCGTTCCATTCCATTTCATGCCGCCTCCCAGCCTTGGAGCTGGGAAGGCATGGGGATGGATTTGCTGCTACAACAATGCCTGAAAGTTAGGGAGAAGGCTAATAGCATACCATGCTTTCCAGAAAGCAATGTCACAGTTTCCATGACAGAATGGGATACAATTCATAGGCTTGTTATAGGGATAACACAGATAATCGGTGTTCAATCTGCTTTGAACAGTCTCTTTTATTAAAAAAAAAGTACAGTGAATGTTGATAGGAAAGGCAGGAACTTGATGAAGAGTACCTCGTTGCCTGTTTGCCATACATCAAAATTTTCCTTTAGAATCTGGGATTGAACAGTGCTTGTGTTTTATGTGATTGAGCCTGCAGTAGCAAACTGGATGAGAATCTGACATAGTGACCTTTCGCTGCTTTGGAAGTGCTTGGTTGTCAGTTTTGGTTAACTGTGAAATTCCAACCTGACATCGCAGAAGGCAAGGTAGTGCCTCCTGAGCTGGTATGTAGTTAATTGTCAGCCAACGCAGGGCTGGACATTCACACACCTCATATGTCAAGTGTTTTGCTTATCTGAGTGTTGCTATGAAAGAAGTTTGTAGAGGAGAGACTAATAAGCTTGGGAGGGAAAAATCTCTGTTGAGGTTCTAAACTGATTAAAACTGGGCTCCAAGATTATGAAGGGTGGTTAAAGAAATGTGGATTGCGTCTTTCCCAGCTGTGAGGCAACATAGATATGCTGGAGTGATGGTAAGATCTACTTAAATTGCTAAATTGTCTTGGCTAGTGAGTTGGAATAGTCCTCATAATGACAACTGTGTACACAGAGTGCCACTCCAGTTTTTATTTAAAAATATCCTACCCAGAAAATCTCTGTGTTTCAAGCATCTAGAGAAGACAAACCAGTAGAGCCAGCACAATAATGCAGAGTTTGTAAATACCCTGCCAAAATTGGTACCTCCAGCACTCATGCACTAAAGCAGGCAAGTTGCTTGTTCTTTGCTGCTTCTAGTGTCATATTTGCCTCAGGAGAGGCTGGCTAGGCTTGGCCCTGCAGCAGCCTAAGCTTCGCAGAAGAATGGAAGATTAAGAGACCTCCAGAAATGTAACTAATTTGTGTCTCCTTTTTTTGAGAGAGAAAGAATGAAGCTACCAAAGTTAAGACAAATGCAGGATTCCCAACATCGTGCTCATGAAGTTAGTAGTGTTTAATTCAATGCCTATCCAATCTCAGCAAACTCTGCTGTTATCCCATCGCTTCCACAGCTAGGCCTCAAGATTCAGATAGTTAAGCCCCCGTTTCCTGATTTGACTCTGACTTCCAAATGTGGCCTCTCCCGGCCCCCATGAATTTGGTAACGTGCTCTGAGAGGATAGCATGTACCGTATTTTTCGCTCTATAAGATGCACCAGACCACAAGACACACCTAGTTTTTGGAGGAGGAAAACAAGAAAAAAAAATATTCTGAATCTCAGAAGCCAGAACAGCAAGAGGGATCACTGCGCAGTGAAAGCAGCAATCCCTCTTGTTGTTCTGGCTTCTGGGATAGCTGCGCAGCCTGCATTTGCTCCATAAGACGTACACACATTCCCCCTTACTTTTTAGGAGGGAAAAAGTGAGTCTTATAGAGCAAAAAATACGGTAGTTCTCCTCCCAGAATGACTACTAAAACCAAAGAATATATTTTAGCATGACAGGAGGAACACAGGGAACTGCCTTATACAGAGTCAAACTATTGGTCCATCTAGCTCAGTATTGTCTACATTGACTGACAGCTACTCTCCAGGGTTACCGGCTATGATTTTTCTCAGCCCTACCTGGAGTTTGAACCTAGGACCCTTTGCATGCAAAGCAGATGCTCTGTCCCTGAGCTATGGCCCTTCCCAGTAGCTGGCTTCTGGGTGCCATTGTGCTGTTCTTGTGTGTCTAGCCTTTGGCCATTCACAACTATTACTGAGGCTTCTCTCTTGATGAGGGCATCTTGCATTGAAGTCCAGGCTATCGCAGCTCATTTTGACATGGTAAAAGGCAGCTTCATGCTTTCCTTTGTAAGAGAAGGAAAGCATCTGTATGTAACTTCTGGGCAGTAGATTTTTATACTTGGCAGACAGACACCACCACTCTTTGATTTCTTTTCTTTTAATAATTTTTGTTAGTACTCCTAATTAACATCTACTCTGAAGTCCTGTTGAATTCAATGGGGCCTGCTCCCAGGGAAGTGGGAATAAGATTGTAGCTTTGGTATCTCAAGATGTTCCAGTTAATTGCAGTCATTTAGTATTTAAATCCCAGATTAAAACTGGCCCTGGTTCACTGATGATGTGAACATCATGCCAAAACTTGGCACTCTTGAAGGATCTGCCAGCAAGCAAACCACAGAGGTCCTGGTATTTTGCTCCCTGCACCAGCATTGATGGATGATATTTCAGCAGTGGGTTTTCTTTCCATTCTGCATCATTTTGCCTTTTAGGGTAACTGCTGTGGATTTCTTTTCATAATAAAAGCACTGGCAGCTTAAGGTGATGACACTGCCTGTCAGTGGCTGCATTGACGTAGGTATACCCAAGGAATGTATGGTGTGCATACATTGAGATTTTGGATATGATTTCTAAGGAGACTCTTGTTTTTCAGAGTGGAAAATGGTTTGTGCAGTTATCTAGATCTTATTTCCTTAGTGCCAGTCTACAGAGTCATTTGCTCCACTGTCTGCATACCTTTTTAAACTTGCATCTCCTACACCAGGCATAGGAATCCTGTGACACTTCAGATGTTGTTGGACTCTAGCTTCCATCATCCCTGACCGTTAGCTATGTGAGATGAGGAAAATGAGAGTTGGAGTCCAATAACGCCTGGAGAGCCACAGCTTCCTTGTTCCTGTCCTGCACTATCCACATCTCTCAGCCTTGTTTATGAAGTCATCTAGGGTTGCATCCAGTGTTAATTAGAGTTGGTTCTTTGAAATTAATAAACATGACTAAAAAAAGATAGCATTCTAACAGTGAGTGGTTACTTGTGTAAGATCTCTTTTTTGCACTGAAACAAGTTAAATGTGATGGCACCAGGGAATGCTAATTCCTTTACGTGCACATTCTCCCCAACTGTTTTACTCCTAGTGCGGGTTGGTACAGCTTTGGAGACTGCAGCCCAGCCACGATAAAAAATAGCTGACAAGATGTGGCTTTGGGTTGGGAAGAGGGCAAGCTAAAGTTTTGAGTACTCCTTTCTGCCCTCCCCTGTGCATTCTAAAATATTCACTTGGGGTACCTCCGGATTGTCAACGTTTTCTAGGAGGAATTCAAGGAATACTGTGAAATGTAGGTTTATTAAAGTGGATTAAAGTGATCTGTCCTAGCTCAATAAATCCACTTTAAAAAGAAACAGGCCTTTTGTGGTTAGGAAAGTGATGGGGAAATGAATTGAAAAATGTGGAGTGAACTGATGGGAAGGTGTATAAGCACCTTGCAAACAAACTGGGGTGAGAGAAGAATGAACTTCCTGAAGACAAATCAGAAGGAATACACAATGAAGACCAGATTGAATCTAACCTTTGTAAGCTTTGTGGCAGCAAACTGGCATGGATGTTCAATTAATAGGTCATTTGGAGAAGCTCTTAGTGGCATCTTGCATCATGTTGCCCCAGTCTGCTGCCGCTGCGTTTGGCTAGGGTCGAAGTGATTTTGCATAAGAGAGGTTGTCTCCTTCCATTCCTCAATACCTGTTCACCAAAGCTTTTTTCAATATGTATATTTGTAACCTTTGAATCTTTTCTGAATCTGCTAAACAGACTAAAACAGACCAAAGGACCCCCTAACTGGTTGGCAGCCCTAAGAGTGTCCTTAGAGTGAGATGAAGGTATAGAAAGATGGCAGGTCACAGAGCAGGGGAGAGTCTTGGCCATCCAGAACAAATGCCAACGAGGCAGGAAATCTGTGGGGAAAGCAAAGTAAATGTGTTGCAGCTTTTGCCATGGCAACAAACATACCCTGTTCCTGTCAGGGAGAGAAGAGAAAAACAAAGCAGGTCAGCCACACGGAGGCCGAGGCAGGAGAATGACTTTGCCATAGCTTTGAAACTGTACTGGCAACCAGGGACCTTCGCCCCCTTCTCCAAGAACAGAGTTGCTTCTGCTGGCTTAAGAACAGTGAAAAGGCAATAGGGGTCAGGGGGTGGTGGGCTAAATAAGAGTCCAGAGAGAGATCAGAGCTGCAGGGTGTGAAGGCTTAGGAGACTGTCCTGTCCTAATAAATGTAGCGCAAGTGCTGCCGCCAAATTGCCAGTCGGTGCTCATGAACTTTCCATAACCTCCGAGTGGCACTTGTCTGGGCTCTGGAAACTGAAGCTGCAGCTGTATTTCACGTTGTCATTTGTGCAATACAGATCACAGAACTGAAGAGGCATTGCTTAAGTGTTAAGAATCTGAAAACTTCCCTTGGCTTCTGGAGTGCTTCAGATACCACCGTTGTGTGTGAGTGCGTGCATGTGTGCTCATATATTTATATATTTGTGTGGAGCTACAACTGCTGCAAACGTTAGTGGGAAGTTCAGCTGTCTTGGTGCTGCATCTGTGCTGACCCGTAGATGGTTGCCTGCATTTGCACACCCTGCAGTTGGTGGCAAAAGTACAAAGACGTTGGTCCCAAGGCAGCTTGTAGCACTCGGAACACTCTCAAAAAGCCGTTACCTACTCACATGACAGAATTTTGCTTGTCTACATTTCCTAAAGCGTATTTCTCATCTACCCAGGTCTGATGCAGATGCCTCACGGTGGTGCTTGATGCTGTATAGAGGCATCATTTTTGACATACAGGCCCGCTTGAGGGCCAAGCAAGCTACACCAATGGGTTGCAGTTTAGAAAGGGAGCAGCTCTGTTAATGCTTAGGACAAAGGTGGGATCTGATATGGCAGTGGGTGCATTGCTTGTCACGGGCTGCGACTGCTTCCCAGGCTTGTGGAACAAAAGTGGAGCGTGCTGGAACAGATCCACAGGGAGGCTTCCCGGAAGCTTAGATAGGCTTATGGTCTGAAATGGATACTGTTGTAGTTCAGGAATAACAACCAGTGCCTGGGATTAAGAGGCCCAGGAGAGCTGCTCAGAGCTGAGGAACAAAGCAAAGTGAGTGTTCATCTATTCCCACCCCCCTTATTAAAGACTCCGTTCTGCTTCATGTAAAGAGAGATGCGCTTTACAGTGCATTGTAGTTGTTTGTCGGTACGCTCTGCCCCAAGACTGACCTTGAAAACAAAGCTAAAGAGTTTACTAGCCCACTTGCCTTCATGTAGGGGTGTGTGTGTGTGTGTGTGTGTGTGTGTATGTGTGGTGGGGATCTTCATGAAACTAGAACTAATATTTTTAACTCTTCTGAGATGAGAACTCCTTCCAAGCAAGTGACTAAAAGGCCTGGCTTGCAGTGCTAGCATTCTGGATAGGTGGATTCACAGCTGTTTGGACAACCATACTCTAAATGCTCACCAGTGGTTCCTCATCCTACCAGAGGGAGGTTTTGAGTGGAATGCTGCAGACATCTGCTGTGGTCTTGATTCTCTTCCAACGTTTTTATCAGTGACTTTGATGAAGGTATGGAAGAAATCTTCTGAGTCTTTCTGTTTTGTGGATGACACAAAATGGGGAGGGACTGCTATACTAAGGCCGCTGAAGAGGGGAATAACATTTAGAATTACCTTGATAGAACAGAAAACAGAGCTGAAGCAACATGAAACTCAACAGAGAAAAATGCCATGTTCTGCATTTAGGCAGAAAGAAAAATAAAACGCACAGGTTAAAACATGGGGGTTACTTAGCACATGAAAAGGATTTTGGGATTGCAGTTGAACATGAGCCATCACTGTGCTATGGCTGCAGAAAAGGCTACCATGATTTATAGCCTGCATTAATAAAACCATAATTTCCAAGTTACAGGAAGTAACAGTTCTACTTTATTATGCTCTAATTCAACCTCTTCTAGAGAACTGTGTTTTATGTCTGGGCCACTCTTTCAGAAAGTTATAGGCAAATTGTGATGCACTCACAGGAGAAGGATGAAGATGGCTGTGCCCAAATTATTATGCACTCAAATGATTTTGTACATTGGCTGGTCAAAATGGATGGCATAAGTCTGTATTTTTTGTTATTACCCCCTTATTCATTGACATTTTATGGAATTTTTTTGATTGTGAACTGAACCATCAGATAGGAATACTGGAAGCTGCCTTATATTGAGATAGACAATTGTTCTCTGCTCTCCCCCTGCCCTCCCGGGTAGGTGTAGATGTAAGGGACTGAAGTTGTTGGAGAACATGTTACAGTTGAACATTTAGGGAAGCGTCTTGCTGATGAAAGCAGTTGGAACAGTGGAAATAATGACCACAGGCAGGCTCTGCCTCATTGGAGGTTTTCAAGCAGAGGTTTGGCTGCCATCAGTTGGAGATACTCTAGCATTGGGTATTCTGCATTGGGGGCAAAGATTCCTGCTCAGTCTATAACCCTTTCCCTTGCAAACCTCAAATGGAATGTTTGACAGCTTCCCTTAAAAGCACTAGTCTTGTGCCAGGCTCCCACTTTGGCTAAAGAGCATGGAAAATCAGCTCTGTTTCTAATGGGGCCTGTTGTGGCTTGTTTGCAGCTGGGGTCCGCTCCACTGACCAAAAAACCTTGCTCGTGTGCAATGGCAGCATGCTATAGCTCCTGTACGGCTTCTGGCTGCCTCCATCCCTCTTGGTAGTGGTTGGCTGCTCTCCTTCTATTCTGGTGTATGGTTCGAGCTCTATCCTCCCTGTGTGATCAAATCCTCCTTTCTTAGCAACAGTAACCACTGCTCCATTCAGGGGAATTGGAAACCCAGTCAATAAAAAACATCACCATGTCTTCAGCTGCCCAAACTTCCCTTTTCCTTCTCCTACAGTGGTTGCTCACATAGTGCTAAGTGTGTTTCTTCACTTCAGCTCTCCCTGCATGGTTCTTCTCTCTCCCCACCTCCCACCCCCAATTTGGGTGATTTATTGCCTCTCCAGGAAGTCCTCTTCTTCTCCTTTTATTTCCTTGAATGTTGTTGAGACAGACTTCTCCAGTCCACTGACCACCTCTAAAATGATGACCTACTTGTGCCCGAGTGACATTTTGGTAATCTACAGAGAGAAAGGAAAATATGGTGGAGGAGGCCTGCAGCAATGGAGCCCTTGTTGTCTGTATTAGCAGCTGAGGATAAACCGGGGTGGGGGCAGGGGAGACGCCTGGCTTGCCTTGTTTGGGCTGTTCTCCTGCTTTATGTTTGCTTTGCAGGTCATGGTGCAAGTTCAGCTGAATGACTCTTGGGCAGCACACAGGGAGACAAACTCACCCCACTTCTGTACTTGCTTGTCTCATTTTAACAGCTAAACTGGATGCAAATGTGTATCCACAGCAACACACCCAGAAGAGTTTCCTCAGACTTTGTGGGTGTGGTTCTCTTCCCACGCTGCCCCTAGGGATGTGTGGGCAAGGGCTTTGGAATGCCACTCTTTCCTATTGCCCTCTTCAACTACTAAAATGTGAATTTCTGTCACAGTGAGGCCGTGCAATTCCTTATACTCTCCAGCACATCAATGCTGTAGATTTGTGTAATTGCTCAAACAATAAACACGAACATGTGTGCACCCCCCAGCCCAGAGAGAAATACTGTTCATTTCAAATACTTACCCATTTTAAGTTTTCTGTGTAGACAATAATGAACAATAATGAAATAAAAAAGACAGCACTGACCATCTCCCATTCAGAGTATTCTAAATTGAAGGGCTGAGCTCACATTTGTGTTCTCACTAATGAAAAATACCCCATTCTGTCCTCATTGCTTTAACTTAGGGGGCTGGTGGAAAACATAATCACAATTGTGTTTGCCTAGGCAAGCCTTTTGCATGGGGGGGGGGGGGAGCAGAGAGAGCACAAGCAACAGTGAGGGTATGGGGGCAGAAGATGGATCTGTCCATATTATCATGATGGCTGAGCTGGAAATCTGTTTTAAGGTTTGTTGTTAGCCTCCTTTTGTGGTCTGAGACCCACTTATAACTCTCCTCCTTCTGCAATAAGTGTTTCACTTTGACTGTATTGCTTCTCAGCGCTCCCCCCCCCCATTTTTCACTTTCACTTAAAGAAAAGGGACAATAACAATGGGGGATGTGGATAACCCTGACCCACTGGTGTGTCTTGCCCTAGTAGCTGAAGACCAACACCTTTGATCTTTGTACATTTTTTGACTTGGGGAGAATACATAAAATGATGGGTAAATTTGCTCCAATAAAGAGAAGAACAACACCATGAATAACACAGATACAGACTCTAGTGGCACCCACACAACTTCCTTGGAGGGCTATAAGTCTCAATGGAGTTGATCCTACCAATTAAAGTGTTAATGCCTGATTTAAGCAGTGTGCTAGTTAATTGGAGAAAGTCACCGGCCCTGAAGAAATGGCTTTTCTTGTATTCCACAAAGATACTCTGTCTTGAGCAAAGAGCTCAAAGCAAATACTCCCCCCACGGCTGTTCCCGCTCCCAGTTGGGGGAAAACTCCATAGATATAATGTGACTTTGCACGCTGAAGGGTCCAAGTTCACCCCTAGCATCTTCATTTGAAAGCACTCCCAAGTAACAGGGCTGCAAAGATTGCCTGAGACCTTGGAGAGTTCTTACCAGTCAGACAAAACTGGGCTGAATGAACCAATCATCTGACTTGGTAGAAGGTAGCATTATGTGTTTGTCTGGTATGTTCAAGGCCTTGTGAAAGAGTGCTGATGGCAGTACTGATACTGTGAGCTATGTTGACAAACATGGCTGAAGAACACAAGCTGCCAGATAGAATGAAATGTCTAAAGCATATCATCCCAGAGCAGCCTGGCAATGAAGCTCTCCCATTTCTGGCAAGTGCTCCTGATTGAGAGTGCTGCTACTGCAGAAACTGCTCAGGTCACCCGGAAGGATGACCTGCACTGGGAGAAGAACAGAGGAGTGCAATGGGGGAATATGTGTAAATGCCTTCTATACCAAGTGGTATAGAAATGTTACAGAAAAATGCTTCTAATTCTCCTGGGTCTCTCAGGTCACTTACAGTACCACTAGCCATGGTATACTTCTAGGGACTCACTGTTAAAACCGTGTTTATGGAAGACAATCTTACTCGGCTACAAGTGATCACTAAAGAAGAAGAAGAACTTCTAGGGAGGCTCACTGAGTTGGAGAGTCAGGGGTTTAGTGTTTAGTGCTTCTACTTCTAAAGGAGCCCAATTCCCGAAGGTGGTGGTGGTGGGGACTTCTGCTCATTCCCATGACATCTATGACATTGGGTCCCACAGAGCTCCATCTTTTCCCCTGGGCTTCTCATCATCTACATGAAACTCTGGGATGAATTTTGGGTTTTGGTGCCATCAGTCTGCAGATATCACTCAAAACAACTGAATAAGAGCCATCTTAGAAGATGGGATGGAGTGCGTGGTTTATCTGTCCAGAGACGTGGTGTTCAGCATCTTGTGGGAGAGTTGGCTGTCCTGCCAAAGTAATCGGTTTGGAGTCTGGGTGTTTCCCATCCACCTCTTTCACTAGAGGCCCAAGAATCTCATTGGCACAGTGTCTTTCACGAACTTAAGGATTGTATGCTGGCTGTAACCCCTCCCAGAAAGAAAGAGAGAGAATGGCTACACTTATCCGTGCTCTGGTAACTTCCATGTTAAAAAGGTAAAGGTAAAGAGACCCCTGACCATTAGGTCCAGTCGTGACCGAGTCTCGGGTTACGGCGCTCATCTCGCTTTATTGGCCGAGGGAGCCAGCATACAGCTTCCGGGTCATGTGGCCAGCATGACTAAGCCGCTTCTGGTGAACCAGAGCAGTGCACGGAAACGCCGTTTATCTTCCCGCTGGAGTGGTACCTATTTATCTACTTGCACTTTAACGTGCTTTCGAACTGCTAGGTTGGCAGGAGCAGAGACCGAGCAACGGGAGCTCACCCTGTTGCGGGGATTCGAACCGCCGACCTTCTGATCGGCAAGTCCTAGGCTCTGTGGTTTAACCCACAGCGCCACCCGCGTCCCAACTTCCATGTTAGACTGCTGCAATGTGTTGTATGTGGGGCTGCCCTTTGAAGACTAGTTCAGAATCTAGTTGATAGGCTATGAATCAGGGATGCATCTTGCCAGTGCTTCAAGAGTTCCACAGGCTTCTGGTCTATTTCCGAGCACAATTCAAAATGCTCGGGTTCGCTTTAAAGCCCTGCGTGGCTTGGGACTTGGGTACTTGCGGAAACCTCTCCTCTCACATCAGCCAGGGAAAGCACAAAGATATCTCTCAGAAGCCTTCCTCTGGCTGCCTCCCTCAGCTGATGTGAGGTACATTGCTCCGAGAAAAGGCATTTCCACTTTTCAGCTGTGGTGTTACTTTTTCTCTCTTGACTCCCCTAGCATCTTCACTGCTCTCTCCTAGACAACAGGCAAATGCCTTTTTGATTTTATTGGTATTGAACACTCTGTGCTTCTCCTGCCCCCCAATTTTGCTGTGACTGGTCCTAGCACTGCTTTACTCCGTTCTTGGTGTGTTTTGTGTGTGTTGTAGAAAACTGCCCTGGGAAAGGTGAAATGTGTTAAATAAATAAAAGCCTGTTTTCTTGGTATTCAGGAGGGGAACTATATCTTTCTGACTCTGAAGTCTGCACTTGAGGTACTCTAGGGCACAAAACCTCAGGCTTTCGGGAGTGAGTCACACTTCATAGAGGCGCTGGAGCCAGATGGTCTAGTTGAAACAAGTGATATGGGGTGGGGGGAAGAGACACATCCAAACTATTATTTGCTTTCATTAACACAGCTAAGGGGTGTGCACATGCATACCTATTCGATAAGTACTGTTTTACCTTGGGAGCTGTGTGTGATGGTTTGGGTTTGAAATTAAATCAGGAATACTCTTTACTCTTTGGAGAAACTTTCCATAACAGTTCCTTGCATTCAGTAGTTTAATTTAGCAATCTAGTACTTTGGGGGACTTAAAAGCTGTGCAAGGATTGCAATCATGTTAGGCAAGTGAGGTTACGCCTGGAGTTTGTGGTATTATTATTATTATTATTATTATTTATGCCCTACCCATCTGGCTGGGTTTCCCCAGCCACTCTGGGCAGCTCCCAACAAAATATTTAAAACACAATAAAACATCACACATTAAAAACTTTCCTAGCCATTTGTACTCTTGGAAATCCTACCTTTATTCTAGTTTAACCTACAAATGTATTTAGAGCCCTGCTATTAATCGCAAAGCTACTTTACAGACTGTATCTAGTTGAGCAGGTTAAGACTTTGGAACATCAAATGCTAGCTAATTAAGTTAACTAGAATAAGCTGTGTGGTGGCAAAGCAGTGCTGACTGGGACCTGGGAGACCAGGCTTCAAATCTTCCTAAAGCTCACTGGGTGACCTTGGGCCAATCACTGCCCAACCTATCTCACAGGGTGGTTGTGAGGATTAAATGAGGGCAGAGAAACCATGTATAACACCTTGAGTTCATTAGATGAAAAGGTGGGACACAAATGCAGTAAATTAATACTAATGAATACATTAAATAGGAATCCATGGATATTCCTTTTCATGAGGAAAAAAATATTATTCTAAACAGAAAACAGGGCATTCTAAAGAGCCATCAGACATTTTGATTCTGCTGTGAGTTCCAAATGTTTTGACTTGGGATGTAGATAAAGAACAACTCACCTGAGCTCTATGGCATGTCGGGAGCTATCATCTTAAAGCCTGTAAGCATTTCTAGGAAGCACTTGGAAGCTGACAGGTGAGATGGATAAATGTTAAATTTTATGCTGTTGTATAAATTTTTGTTGGCATCCGTCTGTCTTGACTTTTGAGAGACAATGGAAAGTGCTTCTGGGAGTGAAGTCAAACCACTGGAGAATCACAGCGCCTGTTGTGGCTGCAGAGACTGGTAACTTGTAACTGCTGCCTCCTGCATTGTTTTTTGCTGCGATAGCAGCACCAAAATGACCCCTTGGGGCGCAAGCCTGGGCAGTGTGTGTGGAGGTCCTGGGCTGCCCAGACAACAAGACTCCACTTTCGGGCTCGCTGATGTGGTCCAAAGGAAATACATTTGGTAGCAGCTTGGCTTCAGGAGTTGCTGGAAGGAGCCATCCAACTGTCTTAGGGACTCTGCTCCTTAGCCTTTTCTTCTCCCAAAGATGTCTCACAAAGCAGCAAGTATGAATTTTTCTTCGGGGTTTACTCCCAAAGCCCTTCTCACAAATTAGCAAGGCAGCAGAGGTTTAGGACCAAATTTTTCCTTCTCCTAGATGAGCCAGCTTCCCAGGTTGACAAGCCCCATCTGCCCCTTGTTTCCCTCTACATCACATGCAGTAACTGCTTCCTTGACTGTTGGACCCACTATTGGTCTTGTTCACTCAATCTGCCAGTCTGTTTCTGCAAACAGGGGAAGTCCCTAACGCATGGAGGATCTGAGACTCATTGGCTACCCTCACTCGGTTTAGCTGGCCCGTTGAAGCTGTTTCCCCAGAAGTGGCTGCTGTTACATGCTGACAGCTTCTAGAAGAACTGAGTGCAGGATGGGGTCCAAAGGTGGACAGACTACCCCAGGAGCATGGCATGCCTCCCACCAGAGGTACTGCCATTCCCTTAACACTCCACACACCCCTGTATAAAATAGAAACTCAGTATCTGTGTTATGTTTTGTATATATTTTGACATAGTGTTGTCAACTGGTAAACAAAGAAAGCATTTGCATCTATTTGCTATATCCTCCATGGCCCCTTTGGTAAAAATGTATGTAAATAATGTTTTATGAGTGCTTACATTTTGCTACATCTCCTTGTATGTTGTGCATGTCAAGTGATTTGCGGTGTGCTTTTAATCTTTTCTCAACACTAACCCAAGTTTTAAAGGACCTGTAACTGCATCTGGCCTTTTCTCCCTCATCTTATTTTCTCTTTGCCTCAGTTGTTTCTCCTACCTACTGTTGCCTAAGGCGCAACTACAGGTGACACTGACTGGATCACCCAATATTCTTAAAAGTTTAATAACTGCAGTGGTTTGGATTGGAACTGGGGAAGGGAAGTTAATGCGCAGTAAGGAAACAGTGTCACTCATTGGTCTGTATTCCCAGTACATTTCAAAAAATCATCTTTTTCCAAGAGTGAGGGGATATTTTATTCCTAAAACATAAGAAATACTTTTTAAAAATCCTCCCCTATAGCAAATTTTGAGCAGTTTTTACTGTGTTTCCTAAAGGGGGGAAAAAAGGACTCACCTAGGTTTGGAATAAAGAACAGTCTGTCTATCTTCTTGTGTTAACTGTCTCTATCTCTGCAATCCCAACTCATACTCCTCCCCATCACCACCTCTGTTATTTAAGCAGAAGGATATGAGTAGGAACTCCTCTGTTACATTATTTTGGATAAGCTTCTTGTGGGCAGAAGCCAGCCTGTTTTGCAGTTGTAGTTTGGTAAGGTGCCATATATCCTGTTGACTTCTTCTTCTTCTTCTTCTTTTTTTTTTGAGGGGGATGTACCCTGATAGAGCTAAACACTTTCTAAATTGGCAGCAACAGCCTAAATTCATAGCAGCAATGGCTGCTAGTGCTGATGGCTGTATTACCACTAGAAGCAGAAGCAATATGCTTCTGATAATGCCAGTTGCTGGGGATCACAGATAAGGAGAGTGCTGTTGCATTCCTGTCTCTGCTTGTGGTCTTCACATAGGCATCCCAAGGTGTACAGAATACTGTTTATAGATAGGCCTTTGGTGTGATCCAGCAGTGCTTTTCCTATGTTACGTTTTCAGTAAGACTCAAGCTGTCAATTTTTCGAGAGTTGCCTCTAAATTGGCCAGACCTCTGTGATCTAACTTACCCCTGCTCTGTCAGCTGATGATAGTTCTACCCTTTGGAAAATTATGCCTTGACTCTCAGTGGTAGCTCTGTGATGTATCCGGCCTGCTCTCCAAATCAATATAGGCTGGAGCTCCTCTCTATTCACCCATAAGAATGCACTGAAACATTGGGAGATCTTCCCTCTTGCAGCTCTTTACTACTTCGATTGGAAGTATGATAGGAAGCCTGGGGTGCTGAGAGTCATTATTCCTCGCACAGTAATCTTGACTGTTTGTGCTGGTGATTGCCCACTGCTGGCTTTACCATCCAAACTCAATGGACAGTAAGTCTGATTATTTTACACTCTGCTAAGTAGATTGAGATGAAAGGCATATTACCAGAAATGCAGCACACGGAAGGATGGATAGATAGAAAGGAGCTGGCAAGTTGAGGGCTGCTGTAGCAGCTCTTCTACTTCCTTGGAGCTTCCTTGTAATGTGTGAAGATTCTTACCATGGGGCATAGGCATGTCCGTCCATTCTTCTCCAAATAGGTGAACTCTTGAGTGGCTCAACCTTGGACCCTTTGCCTCCTTTCTTCAGTGTGTGTGTGTGCGCACCTGTAGCTGCCACTTGCATCGTTGCCAGATGTTCTGACTGCAACTAGCTCTTGCCTGTTCAGGGCACGCTCTTGTGAGTGAAAGTGTGCAAGCTGTGTGGGGGGGGCACTCCTTTTGTACTGTGAGGCAGGGAAAACAAGCCCTTGACTTCTTCATGAGTCAGTTGAATCATTGCCCAAAGTTGCAGGGTGGGTAACAAAGTTAACACCTGGTGTTTAATTCTACTGCAGAGGAGGCCATGAGAAGGAAAATTTCATATTCACAAATACACATTCTTAATGCTGAGGAGCGTTAAGCTTTGAGACTAAGGAGCTTCCTTTTGCTTCATCTTGAGGTTGCCAAATCACTGCTGCTGCCTTGACAGCGGTCAAACTGGGTTTTTTTTTACATAGGATATGATTGTTCCTAAGCTCTCACTGTGTGAATATAGGTACACTATTTAAATCTGAGCAGCTCTCATCTTGGAGTGAGCTTGTTGACAAAAGCTGCAGAGATGGCAAAACCAATGGAAGCAACACATTTCCATCTGGAAGGGACCTGAATGGCAGAGTTTTGGGCATCTATAACTCACATGTTCGCAACAGGCCAGTGATGTGGTGAAGTAGCTCAGCTCTGATCTGTTGCATCTTCCCTCAGCCTGTTGTTTGGTAACTATAATCAATGAGAGCTGCTAATACTACTTAGCTTAATTTTTCCACCTCTTCAGTGGAGTGTAGCTGGAGCAATGATGAGTAATAGAGTTTTTGTGTGTGTGTTCTTAAGAAATGCTGCTCTAACCTTTTTAAGCTTGGATGGGTAGATTGAGCATTTTAATCTCTAGATTTTTCCATTGCATTGGAGTGATGGAGCATTCTTCTCAAGTGAATCACTCTTAACACATAGAGCTTTTTTTTTTTTTTTGTAAACTGAAGTCTCTGTAGGAAAGTGACTTTTTACTGTGAATCTTGGTAGCTGTTTATGTCTCTTGGGCTGCCTTTTTGGCATTGAGGACAAACCTGAGTGTTGTACTGGTCTCTCTCTCTCTCTCTCTCTCTCTCTCTCTCTCTCTGTCCTCATGCTATCTCAGTGCCCTTTATCATCCTGAACATTCCAGTGCTGAGATGTGATTCTCCCACACCCGCCTCCCCCAATTCCTTTCCTGCAGGCCTGAATAATTTTGCATACTTTTGGTCACATAGAGACAGACAGACAGGCCTCCCTTAGACAGACAAAGCCAAGGGTTCTCAAGTGAGAGGAGGAGAGAAATGGGCATGGAACTGTGGCTGATACAGGGTTACTATAGAAACCAGCTGTTCTTAATAGTGCCCTGCTGCTATTTTGTGGTTGCTCCAGTGGCCTTGGTGTCTTCTGCAAGACCAATGAGGCAAGAAAGTGCGCACCCCCTTACAACCAAAAAGAATGGTGCAGTCTCTTTTTCTTTAACCTTGGGACTTTGTTCAGTTCTTCAGGTGCCTCAGCATTTGGCAGCTTGGCACTGAGTGGCACTGCCAACTGGTCTCTGGTATTCTCTGCCAAGCGCAGCACAGGAAGCACTGCTAAGCCTGTGTACAGTCCTGAAAATAAGCGTTCAGTAAACATATGGTTGAAAGGGAGACTCATGGAGCAGAAGAGCTGAAAATGCAGGGGTATCTAGTGCTCTCTTTGCCAGGCCTGGAAGTGTTTTGAGAGGCAAGGACCCTAGTGCCTGGGAAGGCATACCCTTCCAGTTCTGGCTTTGGGTGCTTGTTTGCCAGTAATGCAACTTGATGCAGAAAACTGCCTTCTCCTTGATGATGTTTGTCCAGACATTTACCCTTCTTTCCACAGTCTGATCTAATCGTTGTATCATAAACCCCTTCATGGTTGTGTGATATTGGGTATACTAAGCCTTCCGTTTTCAGGAGGTGTAAAGCAGAAGGAAAATAATAATGCTTTCCCCCCTTCTGCTTATTCATAACTGGTATGAAACATTTATCTGTGGGCTGGCAACAGCTGGCCCTGCCTTCCGTGACATCAGAGGACTCGATTCCTCCTCAAGCTTCTTCTGTTGGCTTTGGCGCTCTTACGTCACAAAGGGGTGGGGCAGCCAATGGCCATGCAGCTGAACTTGAAGCATGTTAGGGATCCCTTAAAACTGAAATCCCAGTTTCAAGGAGTAACTTTTGCTCTCATTGTAGAAGATGACACACCTTGATGCAAATCAGCTGTTAGTTTTGGGAGGCCTTTGGTGGCAAAGCCTATTAGCCATGGGTAGATGCTGCTGCCTATGGTTGTGATTATGTTCATTTTGCTGCTTTCCGTAAAAAGCAGTTTAGAAAAGGTAACTTCGATTAAAGCCAGTGTGTGCTTCCCTCATTCCTATCCCTGTTTCCTCCTTGCTTTCTCATAGGAGGGACTCTAGCCCAGTGGTAGAGACATGCTGCTTTGCATGCAGAAGGTTTCAAGTGCAGAATCTCTCCATATTCAGTCTTGGTTAACTTGGCTGGAAAGGTTATTTCTTTGCCTAAGGGCAATGGAGAGAGTTTCTTTGTCAGTCAGTAATATTTGGCCAGAGCAGGGGTAGAGGATCTGTGCCCCTCCAGATGTTGCCATGCTACAACTCCCACCTTCTCTGTCCCTTGACTGTGCTGGTGGGCTACTGGGGCTACTGGGAGAGCCACCCCTGGGCTGGTTACCAAGCTTATGCTGGCAATTAAGCAAACACATGTAATAAGGGATCTCTGATTTTAAATGTTTTCATGGCTTTTGTTATGTAAATGTATATTTGTTGTAAACTGCTATCATGTTGTTTCATGAACAGCTGTGTACAAATACTTTTAATAAACAAATAAATATATGCAAGGCCTACTTCCCACCAAGAAACATTCTCTTCCAGCACTCCTGATGCTGGGTCCTGGCAACTGCTGACACACATGCTATGTCTGCTGCTTTTCAAATCCATGGACCAGCTATCATGAAAATGCATAAGCGTCTTTTCACTAAAGCTACTTTCTGCTTTAGGGAAATAGGTTGGTGCCTCCATGCTGGGGGCTTACTGTGCAACTGAACTTCAGCCACAACACAAGGAATCTACTCTTGTTTTTTTCCCTGGCATTTGGGGCGGCTTCTCAAATTCCTGCTGCTTCTATAAATTCTTAATGCTAGTCAGGGAAGTGGTTGGGCACTGTCTGCCTCTGCTAGTTGCAAAGGGTCAGCTGAGTATCTTCAGCACAGGTTAGGCTGACCAGTTTTCAAGAAGTTTGTTTGCTGAACGTGTCTGAACCCTGTGATCTTTGATTGGCTGCAAATTTGGCTCTTATTTCCTGGTGTTTGGCTCTTATTTTCATGCCTGTGCATTGGGAACATATTTTTTGGAATAAGGAATGCTTGTACAAAGTTCACTTTAAAAACGCTGATGTCCAAGAAGTTCTTCTGGGTTTTCTTGCAAGGTGAGAAAGGAAAGTGGGGCAGAGGGGGAAAGATGGCTTAAATACTGTGAAACAGTGAGAAGTGAGACATGGAATACAAACAAGAATTTGGGCTGGGCGAGAAGTGGCCTTGCAAAAAAAAATTCTGCATCCTATTTGTGGGGGATGAAATGGGGTGGCGGGGGAAGGATCCATTGAATTCTCCAACTGCGGATGGCTGAAAAAAATATCAAACTTTATATTCTAGTAAATGTTGGCTCTGTTCATACTGAAATAAAACTGTCTTCTTTGGTTCATACTAGTGTCTGAAGGAACCAGTGGACTCAGAGGAGAGCTGGAAGGAGGAAGGGGCCAAGTTCATACTTTTTTTCAGCAATCTTAAAATAATAAATATTAAAATATAAAATATCAAAATGGGTCCCACGCATGCACCCATTATTTCCCAGGCAGAGGCTGGAACTGGACATTTCACCAAGTATTCTCCAAGGGCCCCTGAAATTCTCCCAACAGTTTGCAGGGAGCCCATAGAAATCTTTTGTTGAAAATTCTTCAGCCCAACCATACTTTCCAAGGTAAGCCACCTACTTAGAATGAGGGAGGCCTTTAATTTTTAGGGATCCCTTTTGAAGTCTACTCACTCTTTGAAAAAACAACCTACCTGCCCCCATAGTTTAACCTCTGTGCAAATGCTCTCTACTCCACCTCTCTACCTCAACCTCCTGTCATGCATTACCATCCCTGAAGCTCCCAGGCTTGTGATATGCATGAGTATGAATAATGGCACCCAAAGCCCACAAAGGGGGCTGAGTCTTCAGTGGCGTTTTTTCTATTCACAAAAATAGATACAGCTGAACTGCTTGTGCTTAATCCTACTGTTGTCATCAGCTGGTTGTGGCTTGGAGCTTGTGAAAGGAGGGTCAAGCACTGAACATCCTGTGCGTGTGAATCAGAGAGTGCTCTGGACCAGGACTGTGGGAAGGTGACTTTCTACAGTGACGGCAGCACGGGAGTTTCTGCTGACGGATGGCAAGGCAGCATTTAGCTTCCACTGACAGATCTGGCTTGTGTATTGTGAAATGGGATCTCCTGCAAAGTAAGCAGCCAAGAAGCCTCTCTACCTGACTCAACTGTTTATTGTGGTTGGGTGGGGGCAGATGAGCTCAGCTGGGTATCCTAGGGACATTACCCACCCACCTACTAGGGGAGATAGCAGCAGCATGAAGGAACTCACTGTCGCAACTGCCCTCTGTGTCAAAGAAGGAAGCGCTAACAATGCCAAAGCCAAGAGGCAAAGGCCTCAGCTACACTTCCCATGTTTAAAATTATTAAACGACATCCCAAGTGATAAAGCTGTGTTTGGCCTTATTCAGGTGGGGTTGGTTAAATGGAGTCTTGAGGTGGCTAAAAAAATAGGGTTGACTGCTAGTGACCATTGTGTCGTAGCAAGTGATTGGTAATGCTATTACAATCTCTCGGACCAGGAGGGACAAAGTTCAGGTCCTCTTTGCAAGACAGCTCTGGTGGTGGGGCTTCTTAATGTGCAGCTTCCACTGCTATAAACACTGCCTGTCACTGCTGTCGACATCCTGGTAATGGTTCCCTCTGGAGAACAAGGTCACAGCAAAGGATTCCAGTGAATGAGCAGGGAAGAACAGAAATGTGGTCTGAAATTCCTTCTAGCTGGCTCATCCTGCACTCTTGATGTGCAGGGGAGGGACATTTGCGTCACTGTGCCTTGCATAAGGACATGGGGCTGCAGCTCTGGCAGTTGTGACAGTCTTGGAAGGCTGCTGCTAATTGGCTGTTTGTGTGCCCAGTGGAGAGAGGCACAGCAGTGTTTTAAGCTAGTTTGGCAGAGCTATAGAAAGCTCTTGTTTTTCTGAGCCTGTTATCATCTTCTGAGAGCTGGAGCTTTAGGAGCATCTGCCCCTTCTATCAGCTTCAGTGTTTGATGCAAAATGCATATGCATCTCCTTCAGTGATGCTAAACATTTGCTGCCCTGACAGTATGGAAGTAAAATGTTTCTGTTGGTGGGGGACAAATGTGTTTTGCCTTAGTTGTTGAATTCTCCCACCAGTGGCAAGTCTTCTCCTCTGTCCAGAGGCAAATGCTGGTTTTCTGTTCATTCCCTTACATTACAACAGAATGTGGTCCCTTTGGGACCATTTTGGGTTCAGAGAGCATCAACCATTAACCTACTTTGTATTTATTAAATGAAACCAAACCCAGAATAGACCCAGCAGTGGCTCCTCATCCCAGTGTGTGGTTATTAGGCTTCCTTAGCCTAGTGCCTCCAGATGTTTTGGACTACATTTCCCATCATCCCCAGCCAGCGTAGGCTAGGGCTGATGGGAGATGTCCAAAACATCTGGAGGGCACCAGGCTGGGGAAGGTTGTTCTAAAGACAACTGCCTGCTCAACAGTAGTGTTCCCTCAGCACCCTTCTCCATCTTAAGAGTACAAGAATCGCTTTGACTTAACACACTCCCCCTGCCCCAATAAAGGTTTTAACAATTTAAGACAGTAGCAACTGGTCTCATGGCAAGGCCATCTGTTTTTGGAATAATTGCAGCTCAGTCCAGAATGTTTATAGTTGGGAAATTAGGTTTTTTTTCCTGAATCAAGGAAGAAAAACCTAAAGGGTTAGGCAGTAAAATGCAGTCTTAAAAATAAATTCTGAATTGATACTTCACAATCCCCCTGCTGTTGATAGGATGGGATAGCTTGATGAGACACAATACCTTTTTGATCACGGTACTCTCATTACCAACACTCAGAGCTGTCTTGAAGTTTCTTGGACTCTGAGCCCAAAGACCAATATGGTAACGAGAGCAAGAAGTAGGACAGGGGAAACAATTTGGGCATGGATTGGTCAAAGATCTAAGGGGGAACACATACCACTTGGGTCACAGTATCAACCCCAGCATTGTAGGTTCCTTTCAGGTGTCTCTTTACACACATGTAATTGGAGGGCAGGAATCTATCTGTGGTTAGAAACAGATTTTACAAAACTCCTGAGAATGGGTGAGGATATATAACAGGCAACACAGTGGTTCATTGTTAAGTATAAGGTGGGAACTGTTTACTTCCAGGAGGGATTGAATCGGCTAAGGCAAAACTAATGGTGATTAAAAATTCGTTTTCTCACAGCTATTTCTGTGCTGCTTATTTTTTTAAAATGTATTTATTACATTTATATACCACCTTTTTTCTTCCAAGGGGTGGTGAGGTACACGGTTCTCCTTCCCATTTTATCCTCACAATAGCCATGTGAGGTAGTTTAGGCTCAGTGATTGGTCCGAGGTCACCCAGCGAGCTTCATAGCTGAGTGGGGATTCGAACCCTGGAAGACAGGTGAAGAAAACAGAGGCATGATTGAACAAAAGAATAACTGAGATGGATTTTCTATAGATAACAGGAGCACATTGCAAACACGATCATATGCATCATTGTACTCTCATTGAATGTAACCTGGTCAGCTTCCATGTTAAAGAACAAATTCACTCATTCATTTATGAATTTTATTATCACAGAATTGTAGAGTTGGAAGGGACCCTGAGGGTCATTTACTCCAACCCTTTGCAATTCAGGAATTTCAGCTAGATCATACATGGCAGATGGCCATCTAAGCTCTGCTTAAAAACCTCCAAGGAAGGTGGAGATTTGGAAGAAGAAAGACTACTGCAGAAGCTATTGTTTGTTTGTAAAAGGGGCACCTGCACCTGAAGAGGAGATCTATAGCCTTGGAGGTTTCAGCTGCAGTGTGATAGTCCAGGGATGCCCCTGCCTCATTCCAGTGTGTGGAATTCTTCATATTGCAAAAAGCTATAAGATGCAGAGCTCCATTGCTGCCTGTCTCCTCCCAGTCAAACCTCTTTAGTGAGTGTGGAAGCCTTTCCTGTCAGGCTTCCACACTCGCTAATTCTCCTGCCTTCCAGACTGACCAGTACTCCCATCCTAGAGGAAACAAATTTGGGTCTCTAACATGGATGCCAACTAAGAGTAGTTTTAAGTTCTCTTTCTCTTGACTTCCTTAAGTTGCCCACGTGCTGCATTTGAACACCGTGTGTTTCTTGCTCCAAAATTTTGGCCATGCTGGTGATATGTTATAGATAGCCAGTGTTGCACTTGAATCTTGGATTCAAATCTCTGCTCAGCTATGAACCATTTTGAGCAAATCCTGATCCTACAGGGTCCTGGGTCCTTAGAGAAAAAGCAAGACAGAAGCACGTAAAATAATACCTGACTGAGAGAATGGCTTTATCCTTTGAAACTCATAGGATTGCTTGTGGATTGATGGTATCTTGGATATGCATTCAGTAAGTCTTGCTAGCTGGTATCTGTCAACAAATGCTTGGACATTTTTTGTACCCAGCTTCCAAGCCTTATCTGCAAATTTGATCAGTATTATATTGTGTAGTATATGCCAAAGGAGGTGTATTTTAAGATTTATTTCCTGTATTTATAGACTGCTTTTGCCATAGATGGTCACAAAACAGTTCATACAACAATTATCTCGATGACAGGGCAGGGATATAAGGAATCAAGCAACCCTTAAGACTGCATTGATGGCTTAACTGTAGCTTTAATGGCTCATATGAGAGTATGAGTAGTATGGAAGTGTAAAGAGGGAGATGAGAATTTTGGTGCGCAGCCATTCATACAGGTAGACCACTCCTGTGACCTGCTAAAATGTGCTCATAAGGGGCTGACTGTAACAGTTAGCCTTCTTGGGTTTCTCCAAGGCAGGGGTGCCCAAACTTTTTTCAAAGAGGGCCAGATTTGATGAAGTGAACATGAGTGAGGGCCGCCCAAAGTTTTTAGGATTGAAGTTGTTGAGCTTTTTTTACAGTTTTACCCCAGGACATATACTGCCATGGGGGCCAGATTAAATCGACCAGCCGGCCGGATTAGGCCCCCAAAATGAACTTTGGACATGCCTACTTGAAGGAGATCATTCCTTCCATCCTGTGATTATGTGTGTGATGTAGACACCTCAGTGAATGACAAAACAAATGAGCCTCTTTGCTGATTTTAGACTTCTTAAAAATTATATGATTGATCCGAGAGGGTTGTAAAACGGTTGTCTGATACGTTATTATGATCTGAGTTAGTGCAGGTTGTATGAAGCCCCTGAAATGGCTTCCTTGTTGGGAATGTTGTCTTCGGTCTCTCAGCAGCTTGAGCAAAACTTCCATTCTAAACACAGTAGTTGCTGCAAGTGAAATGTGCAATATGGGAACTCTCTGTGTTTCTTGGCCTATCCTTTCTCAGGCCCCAAGTATACCGGTACTTCTTTGCCACCAGTTCACCTCACTGCTATTTACTAAACAGCCTCCTCCTACGTGCATCTGTAAATGGGAGAGCGCAAGTCATCCTGCCCCTTTGCAAATCCCAGCCAGCTCCTGTGGAAACTGTGACCTAAGAGCTGCAAGTGCCTCTAACAGACCAGGTGTCGGCTTTCTGAGTAAGATCGTGGCTATAATGCAAGGCTAGCAGCCCTTGTGATTAAGTAGCAAATGTCACGCTAGTGCAGATAGGATAACATTCCACGGCTGCTCAGCACTAACCCAGGAATTAGCTGGTGATAGCATTTCAAGAATTTTCTGGTCGTTCTTGGAGAAACAAAAGGCTGTCTCTTGGATAGCGTCCTAGTCCACAAATGGCAAGACCAGGAGTGTTTTAATATTTTCCTTCTTTGATTGCATTTATCTGCTAAATTATTTAATTTTTGCCCATTTGAAGAAAATGTGTTTATGTGGTACTCTGACCCAAATTTGTATAGAATGGGGATGTCAGCTAGAAGTCGTTGACTGCCAACACGACCTTTCCGCTTGTCTTGGAAACTGCCTCGTATCCCATTGCTAGGCATTGTGAGGCCAAAGCAGCTGGTGGTTCAGTTCCATGGGCTGAAATGGGAATTTAACACAGCCCCCCAAATGAGAAAACTTAACTTGGCCTCTGAATCTACACATTGTTTCGGCTTTGGCTGCCTTGGAGACTTTTGAAATGTTTGATCAGGAGAGGTTGTGAGTGTCTCTTTGGGTAAGTGTTTTGGAAGAGATTGGGGGCAGGGGGTAGCCCTGTTCTTGTGATAAAGTGCCTGGAGGCTCATTTTTGTTCCACTGGAATGCCATCTTTTTTGAACATAGGGTTAGATCTCAGAAATATCCCCAAAAGAGAGAAATGAGAAGCCATTGGAAAGTGGTTAAAATGTTATCCCCCTCCCCCCATTAGATATCTTGCTAAGTTTATGTGAGGGTTCTTCTATGCTCTACTTCTGGTATAAAGAGTGGCTATTGGAAGTCTGTGTGGTGCTCTTGGCCACTGATTTGCAGTTGTAGAACTGAAATGCTGGAAACTACCACAGTTTGCAAGAGCTCAAATGGTTATTTTACTTTACTGTGGTTCCCATAGAAACTGCTGGGTGATGGCAGCAAATAGAAGATGCTTGTCAAGAAAATCTTCTAGCTTCCTCTCAATTTCTCACATCAACTAATCCAGAGATTAGCCCTGCAGATGTTGTTGGACTTCATCTCTCATCAGATGCAACCATGTTTAGCTACTCTTGCTGTCATTCTTTCCTCGAAGGGTCATATTTAAGTGGTAGAGCTTTACATGGAAAAGGTCCCAGACTCAGTCCCTGGTGTCTCCAGGTGGGACTGGGAAAGAAACACTGCCTAAAACCTTGGAGCTGCTGCTAATGAGTGTACCTTTCTCTCTTATTAGTTCAGTCTCACAGGTATTTTATAGGTGACTACATTTTTCTACTGTTTCCACTTCTTCCTATCTGGCAATGTTAGCATGGCCTCTTCCTCTTGTGAATTATGTAGGGGGGAAAGCAGATAAAAACTGGGCAAATAAATTAATAAAAACCCCAGGTCTTTAGAGGGCTGAGTTCTTTCATTTTAGATAGGCGGAGGAGCAGTTTTTCAGCACCACCTTGTGGAATTGACCCTCAAGGAATGTCTGGAGATGCCAAAGTGAGGTGCCCCAACTACAGTTCGGTTATGTGCTGTAAAAGGATCCTATGGTAAAGCTACTCAGAGGTCTGAGAATTAATAGAGATGTACTCCTCTTGCCTATCTCCTGGTGCAGGTCATCCACCAGGGCAGAGATAGCCAACTTAGTGTCATCCAGATGTTGTAGCCCAACTCCTATCATCCCTGAACATTAGCCAACAACATCTAGAGGGCACTACATTGGCTTTTCCTATCCTAAGGTGACCGAGACAGTTTCAGTCCTGAAACCAGCTCAGAAGCTAGACTGTAAATGATAGCAGATAATCAGCCTCATCCAAGAAAGTTCAGAATTGGGCCATCACCACCACATTCTCAGGCACCTTGCTTGAGTATAGCACATCCAAAACTAGTCCAGTGAAGGCTTCCACAGAAGGGATTACACAGTACTGGGGCCACACTTCCCCTTAGGCATTATTAATTCCCTTGGTATCTGTATAAAGGGTGTTAATGACTTCTTCTTTTTTGGTAATTATTTTTATTGATCAATTTCCACATAACAAATTATCAAACCATATAATCACATACATTATTCCCCCCCCCCCGGACTTCCCTCAGCTCCTCTCCCTGATTTCTCTTCACATATTTTCTCTGCATATTATAAAATTGTACATATCCTTACATATCTATCCATCATGTTATCAACCAATAAATTTGTGTGTGTTTATTCAAAACCTGCCAAGGAGTCCAGTTCATTTTGTTGTCTTTTTAAATAGTTTGTAAAAAGTTCCCATTCCTCCTTGAAGTCACAGTTGTCCTTGTCTCGCAATTTGTAAGTCAGTTTGGCCAGTTCTGATTGTTCATTAATTTCTCTTGCCACTGTTCTTTCGTAATGACATTTTTAATGAATAAATAATCCTGAGCTAGATGGTCCAGCTTGGTATAAGCCTGCTTTTTGTGTTCTTCTAAATGCATTAGAAAACCAATTTGGGGTTGCTAACTTCCAAGGGGCAGCCTTTCTAAGAGAATTTCCACCCAAGCCAACCCTTGTCAACTCCTCTTGGTTGTGATGATTGTTTTGTGTTTTGTGCATGCGGCTGCTGAACAAGGAATTATTGGGCCACGCTCATAAGTCTTGTTGCAATTTCATTTTGAGAGTCCACTTCCTTGCTGCAGAGAAGTTTGCCCTCCTGGTTTTGCTTCTGATCTCCTACTCCTGGCTGTCATGTGTGAAAGGTGATGTGTGTGCACACTAGATTTTGTAAAGACTTTTACAAGTCTTTACACCAAAAGTATATACAGCAGCCTTGTATATATTTCTATACCCGTGTGTGTGTGCACCAGTCTTGTAAAGAAACATGTCTAGGCCCATGTGTGTCTTATTCCATTGCCGTATCAAAACTACCTACCCGCAACCTAAAGTGAAGTGGCAATTTGACAGAGATGCCTCTGCCTGTCACTTTGGATCATCTTTTGTCTGCTGTTGCATAAGGCAACCAAGAGGGTGAGGTCTTGTTGCCCTGAGCTTAGCTGTTGTGGACTGTTACAGCATGTTAAATCCTGCATGTGCTGGGGCCCACTGGCCTCCACTTTGAACATGGGGAGGAGGAGACTTCAGTGTAACAGCTCAGCCAGAAGCTGCTGCTAACAATTTGCTCAGCTTCTCTGGCTGGAGTTGTGTAAAAGGAGCTGTTGGACGTAATGACAGATTCCTCTGGAAGCTGCTGCCAGTTGGGTGCATGAGCCAAGCCATCCCACGCATCATCTCCTCCTGGAGGCCATGTGGTATAACTGGTGCTGTGCTTTGGGAGGTGCTGAGCAACCCTCGGGCCTGTGGCTCTAAGAGCAGCACGCCCTGGGCTGTGCGCCAGCTTGCTTGACTTGATGGCAGGAGCCTTAGTTAAAATACTTGGCTTTGGGCACTCTAGGGGTGAGCAGGAAGAGGAAATGAGGAGGTGTCCAAGAGTGAAAGCTGCTGTTGCTCTTGCTTTGCGATTGTCCAAGTTATTGTCGGCTGCCTTCCTCAGAAGCTGGCACTTGGAGAGCCTCCTTGGTGGCACAATGCTCTTTCAAGTGTGATGCTAGTTTCTGTGCATAGTCTGACCCATATGGTGGAAGCACAGGGAACCCATTTGCAGAAAAGTATTTATTATAAGGTGGGGAGTGATAAACACTTCTGGCTAATAGCATTGGTGGTGATGCATCTCTCCTGTGCATGCAGCCAGACAGGCCTTTCTTTTAACTCTTCCTCACCAAGTCACCTCCTGTGAACTCTCTTGAGACAGTTCCAGAGCTAGGCACGAATGCTGCTCCGCCTTTCCCAGCACCTCTGTCCAGCTGCCTTGGGTGATTTTGCAACCCCGCACCCCGCACCCCTCATTCCTTATTCTGTGTTTTAGCAGAATGATTTCTCAGAGCTTGTCAGTCAGCAGGCTTATTGGCAGTTCCTGGCATACAGTGTTCTCAAGGCAAAAACTGCTGTGACAACATGTGATTCTCCCAAGCTGCTAAACAACTCTGCCTGGCGTTCCAGCTTCTCTCTTATGTCGTGCCAGTGCGTAGCAGCTGTACTGGGCTCCAGTGCCTCTGGCAGCAGTGCAAAGCCTGGTAATCTAAGAAACACGTTCATTAAGGGACAGGTTATCTCGTGAGCAGGTCCCATAGCTGGCAGAGGGAATGTCTTGGCCAGGGTAGCAGCAGTGTTTGGCACGGACGTTGCTACCGCTGCTGGCTGCTGGTTCTGGGTGAAGTAGCAGGGGCTACTCTGTGATTTCATGGGCTGCACGCCTCCATTTTATGAGAACACATCACTTTTAATATGGTATTTTATCGCTAAATGTTTGGCAGCCTGACACAGTTGGACAGAGACTGCCTTTGGTTTTATTCTTGACTCCTTGGCAGTTGTGCAATGAAATCACTTTGTGCTCGTGAAGCACTTTCACTGCAAGTGGTTGAAAATGTTTATGTGGACATGCAGCAGCTCTCTTTCTCTTGTAACAATCCTGTAACAGGCTCTGCTTCCAATACCAAGAAGAAGACAACCACTACTGCTGCCAGTGTACCCGCAGCTGCACAGCCATTTTTTTATGTTCCAAAGGGGTTCTTTAGTGGTTCCTCTGCAACTTGCTCAATAGACTCCCCATGCTGCCATCTCCTTCTTGTCTTTTAAATGGGTCCATTTCACTTGTTCTTGCTGTGCTTCCAAGTAATTTAGCTGCAACAAGTTCACTGATGTGGCTACGTATGCCTATCTGAGATTTGAGTCAACAAAAATCTAGCCAAACAAAAAAACTTTTGTATTAAAAGGAGATGTGGGGGGTTGTTCCAGCTTTATCACATAGCTGGTTTCTGAAAACTGATACCAGTTTCTAGGAACTGGACATACAGTTCCACCCTTCCATTTGGGCATCTCTTAATTCCACACACACAATATGCCACAGGAAGGAAATCTTACCAATCCTTCAGCTCTTGCATTCTCTGCCAGAGAATGCACATCCAACCCCATGCTGTATCATTGCACGGTTGGTTGTATGGACTTAAATGTTACCAATACACCCAGCTGAGCTCCCTTAATTAGCACCCATGTTAGCTCTTTGATCCAAACTCTTGCTTGTGAAAAGCGTTTTTTGCTCCTGAAGAAATGGCTTTCCCTTTTCCTCTTTGGTTTCCAGGCAACCTGGCCTTTTGCAAGATCACAGCACCCCGATGACGTCTGTGCTGCCCTCCCCCCTCATTCTTTCTCTTTCTCCCCCTCGGAGGTTCAGAGCTGAACACATGTGAGCTGTTTTTCCTCTTCCCTCCCACGTGCTATGGTACATGTGTGGGAAAAGGCAGCTTGGAGGACGGAACAGCTCCGCTTGGATCATCTGCTTTGTGCCAGGCCTTTCTGAATTTGTGTTTCCTTGATTAAAATGGTTGCCTCATGAACTCACTTCAAATTGAGCTTTATGCTGCTCTTCCTGGAGGACCGAGGATGTGCTGCTGGCAATCTTTCCCCAGAGCATCCTGTACAGTCATGGTGGCTAGCAGGGGTGGTTTTGGCATAGATGGAAGCAGACTCTCTGAAGAGGTGACATGAAGGAAGTCCCTTCCAGGAATAAGTGGGTGTGGGATCTGAGCTAGCCCCCAAGAAAGCGAGGCTCTGATCTGGCCAGGAGCCTGGTTGGAAACTCTGTGCAAAGGCAAGGTCACAGGGAGGCAAGGTTAAAAGTAGCAAGGACAGGGATGATCCAGAAATAAGCAGGGCAGAGATCTGGGGTTGAAGAAGCAAGAATTTCCTGGTAATGTAAGCCTCTTGTTGAGTCCCCAGAATATGTGTGGGGTTTTGCAAGTAACGCAGACTGTGTGGAAATGCAGAGTTGTGGGCATGTGCAACTTGTGGTTGACCCCCGTGCTGAAAACTCATACCATTCTGCCAGGCCAAGTCAGATCCTCCCAGGCAGAATAGCAGGGAGCTCACTTCAATATATTTATCCTTTTTTTCTCCCTGCTTTTCAATGTGCCCCTGCCCCCAACAAGCCTCTGACATAAACTAAGGTTTTTTTCTTTGGCACACAACTGATTTCCTGGCATTGAAGGCCAAGGCAAACATCTTGGGGATAGGTTATCTGCAACTTTCCTCAAACAATTAGGATAAAAGTGCAGAGTTCTGGTTAAGAGCCAGGTTTGGGGTTCCTAAATGTATATCACCTTTGTCTTCCAGTTTAGAGCTTCCTTTCTTGGAGACAAAAGAGAAAACCTTGAATCAGGAGACCAGCTAGAGATTTCACTCCAGTCTCTCCAAATTTGTATTTCATTCATTCATTTGGTTAAAGTACTCTTACTCTACACTTCCCTGCAAAATGGTTCTCAAAGTGGTTACAAAAATCAGATGCAATACAGTCCCTGCCCACAGTCTACAGCAGAGCTTTCCAAACTGTGTGCCGCGACACATTAGTGTGTAGGTGTGTCGCGAGAACACTTCCCGTGCTCCTCCCAGCGCTGGAAAAGGGTTAATTTAACATACAGTTTGCTAGTAAAACTGAGTTACTGTGTCACAAAATGATGTATGTCTAAAAAGTGTGCCACCAACATGAAAAGCTTGGAAAGCTCTGGTCTACAGTCTGAAAGACATGGCACATAAGGGAAAAGAGATGGGGAGGGAAAAGGCAAGTTTGGGCACCAGTTCTGCAATGGAATAGTTCAGGCAGTCTGATGGAAAGATGGCTGCTGACTGACAGGTGGTAGAAAGCCAGAGGCAGCTTGTCTCCCAGCACAAGCGATGGCCTGCTTCCAGATGGCATATGGTACGACCTATTTCTTATAAGGTTCACACAAATGATTGAAATTGCAGTAATAAGAATGTGTAATTTTTCCTTTGGGAGGTGGTGGCGGCAAGTCACATCAGGGGATTTCTGCGGGGAATGCTGCGACTAAGCTGCTGTGAGTTGCTGCTGTCCCACTGGTGCTCCTGGTACTCCTCTGCTGCCATTTCCTAGCATGCCATTGGCTCCCCAGGCAAACTGGCCACCTCTGCAAAGCTACAGATTGGAACAAAGACTCTAAGGATTGGCGTGCCAGACATCTGGCAGATCCTGTCAAGTGACTGCCTAATATTTGATGGCAGCCAAATATTGTCAACTATTCTCTGAATCCAAGAATGCCACACTTTTGCTAGTGGCTTGCTTGTTAATTTCCTGGTGATGTCATTTGTTAGCCAGGGCAGGAGTGAGAGCTGTTTGGCTCTTGAGTTGGCAGAAGTCAGCGCCAAGCGTCGTAGCACAGGAAAGCTTCTCCTGCTGGCCGCCTTCTAAAGATAAACACAAGGAGTCAGCAGTAGTGAAAGGGTAAACTGCAATTTTTGTAAAAATTGTAACTGTAAGGCAGCCTTCCCCAACCTGATGTTTTGGACTACAACTCACATCATTCCTGACCATTGGCAATTGTGATTGGGACTAAGAACATTTGAAGAGCCCTAGAGCTAGAACAGACTAAAGGGGATCATCTAGTCCAGCTTCCTGTTCTCACAATGGCCAGCCAGATACCCTAGTGGGAAGTCTGCAAACAGGATCTGAGTGCAGCAGTGGTGTCGTAGCAGTTACTATTCAGAAGCATACTTGGCAGTGGAGTGGAGGTAGAACATAGTCATTATGGCTGCAGTGTTCAAATTTTGCCAGGCACATTTGTGACCAAGTGAAGATGCCTAGGTTCCAGGAAGGCGCCTGACGTCTCCACCATCTGGAGGTGCAGGCTTGGGGATCCTTGGACCTCGACTGTTTTCACACACTAACAATACATCCTGTAGAATTCTTGTTGTTGTTTAGTCTCCATCTGCAGTGATCAGCGAGCCCAAAAAAGTAAAATCTCTCACTGCCTCCATTTCTTCCCCTTCTATTTGCCAGGAGGTGATGGGACCAGTGGCCATGATCTTCGTTTTTTTGATGTTGAGCTTCAGACCATATTTTGCGCTCTTCTCTTTCACCCTCATTAAAAGGTTCTTTAATTCCTCCTCACTTTCTGCCATCAAGGTTGTGTCATCTGCGTATCTGAGGTTGTTGATATTTCTTCCGGCGATCTTAATTCCGGCTTGGGATTCATCCAGCCCAGCCTTTCGCATGAGGAATTCTGCATATAAGTTAAATAAGCAGGGAGACAATATACAGCCTTGCCGTACTCCTTTCCCAATTTTGAACCAATCAGTTGTTCCATATCCAGTTCTAACTGTTGCTTCTTGTCCCACATAGAGATTTCTCAGGAGACAGATGAGGTGATCAGGCACTCCCATTTCTTTAAGAACTTGCCATAGTTTGCTGTGGTCGACACAGTCAAAGGCTTTTGCATAGTCAATGAAGCAGAAGTAGATGTCTTTCTGGAACTCTCTAACTTTCTCCATAATCCAGCACATGTTTGCAATTTGGTCTCTGGTTCCTCTGCCCCTTCAAAATCCAGCTTGCACTTCTGGGAGTTCTCGGTCCACATACTGCTTAAGCCTGCCTTGTAGAATTTTAAGCATAACCTTGCTAGCGTGTGAAATAAGTGCAATTGTGCGGTAGTTGGAGCATTTTTTGGCACTGCCCTTCTTAGGGATTGGGATGTAGACTGATCTTCTCCAATCCTCTGGCCACTGCTGCGTTTTCCAAATTTGCTGGCATATTAAGTGTAGCACCTTGACAGCATCATCGTTTAAAATTTTAAATAGTTCAGCTGGAATATCATCACTTCCACTGGCCTTGTTATTAGCAGTGCTTTCTAAGGCCCATTTGACTTCACTCTCCAGGATGTCTGGCTCAAGGTCAGCAACCACACTACCTGGGGTGTACGAGACATCCATTTCTTTCTGGTATAACTCCTCTGTGTATTCTTGCCACCTCTTCTTGATGTCTTCTGCTTCTGTTAGGTCCTTTCCACTTTTGTCTTTTATTATGGTAATCTTTGTACGAAATGTTCCTTTCATATCTCCAATTTTCTTGAACAGATCTCTGGTTCTTCCCATTCTGTTGTTTCCCTCTATTTCTTTGCATTGCTCGTTTAAGAAGGCCTTCTTGTCTCTTCTTGCTATTTTTTGGAATTTTGCATTCAATTTCCTGTATCTTTCACTATCTCCCTCGCATTTTGCTTGCCTTCTCTCCCCCGCTATTTGTAAGGCCTCGTTGGACAGCCACTTTGCTTTCTTGCATTTCCTTTTCACTGGGATGGTTTTAGTTGCTGCCTCCTGTATAATGTTACGAGCCTCCATCCATAGTTCTTCAGGCACTCTGTCCACCAAATATAAATCCTTAAACCTGTTCCTCACTTCCACTGTGTATTCATAAGGGATTTAACTTAGATTGTATCTTACCGGCCCAGTGGTTTTTCCTACTTTCTTCAGTTTAAGCTTGAATTTTGCTATAAGAAGCTGATGATCTGAGCCACAGTCAGCTCCAGGTCTTGTTTTTGCTGACTGTATAGAGCTTCTCCATCTTTGGCTGCAGAGAATATAATCAATCTGATTTCGATGCTGCCCATCTGGTGATGTCCATGTGTAGAGTCGTCTCTTGTGTTGTTGGAAACGAGTGCTTGTGATGACCAGCTTGTTCTCTTGGCAGAACTCTATTAGCCTTTGCCCTGCTTCGTTTTGAATTCCAAGGCCAAACTTGCCAGTTGTTCCTTTTATCTCTTGACTCCCTACTTTAGCATTCCAATCCCCTATAATGAGAATAACATCCTTCTTTGGTGTCATTTCTATAAGGTGTTGTAAGTCTTCATAGAATTGGTCAATTTCAGTTTCTTCAGCACCAGTGGTTGGTGCATAAACTTGGATATTGTGATGTTAAAAGGTCTGCCTTGGATTCGTATTGAGATCATTCTATCATTTTTGAGATTGCATCCCAGTGCAGCTTTCGCCAGTCTTTTGTTGACTATGAGGGCCACTCCATTTCTTTTACGGGATTCTTGCTCACAGTAGTAGATATGATGGTCATCCAAACTGAATTCGCCCATTCCCGTCCATTTTGGTTCACTGATGCCCAGGATGTCAATATTTATTCTTGCCATCTCATTTTTGACCACATCCAACTTACCCAGGTTCATGGTTCTTACATTCCAGGTCCTATGCAATATTTTTCTTTACAGCATTGGACTTTCCTTTCGCTTCCAGGCATATCCGCAACTGAGCGTCCTTTCGGCTTTGGCCCAGCCGCTTCATCAGCTCTGGATCTACTTGTACTTGTCCTCTGCTCTTCCTCAGTAGCATGTTGGACGCCTTCCAACCTGAGGGGCTCATCTTCCAGCGTCATAACTTTTATATGCCTGTTGCCTTTGTCCATGGAGTTTTCTTGGCAGGGATACTGGAGTGGCTTGCCGGTTCCTGCTCCAGGTGGATCACGTTTGGTCAAAACTCTCCACTATGACCTGTCCATCTTGGGTGGCCCTGCACAGCATAGCTCATAGCTTCTCTGAGTTATTCAAGCCCCTTCGCCACGGCAAGGCAGTGATCCATGAAGGGAATTCTATCTGTTATATTTTATCTGCACAATCAGAATGAATCTCAGGAACCAAAAAGTCATACTGAAAAATACAACCTTTGAGCCATCTGGCCTCAAAATGGCAACTGTAATCCTGGTTTAAGGAGTCATTTGGTGCCCAGCTTATATATCTGAGTTTCTAATACTGTATGGCTGGTGGCTGTTCATATCCCTATCCTCTATGGTAGCTGAGTTTAACAACATCTGGAGGGCACTTTGTAGGGAAAGGCTGCTGTTGGGTGATCAAAGCCAAAGGGGAGAAGAATGTTTCAGTGAGTCACTTTTATAGAAAACTTTCCTAACATTGGTGAAAGTTGGTGAAACATTGATATTTTTAAAATAAAAAACAAGGTTAACTTTTGTAGTGAAACAATGAAATTAACTAATCTCTTGTAAGTAGCATAGGCATCAAATAATTTTATTATTAAATTATTATTGCTGTACTAAGCCTATATGCAACTCCCCTCTATTTTATCTGTCCTTGTATCAAGGTTTATGTTAGATTTGATTGTGGTTTTATTGCATATTTAGTGTTTGTTGACGTTATGGATGATGTCATGGCCACTGGCCAGAACAGTAAAAGTATGATTTGATTTCATTTTGTTGTGCTAATGAAGTGATTTAAAAATATTTAGCCTGGGCATTGTCTCTTGGGCATTGTCGGCCAACTGGTGCCAAAGAAGGACAGAACCTTTTTCATGTATGCTACAACAGCAGCAAGAATACTTATCGCAAAGTATTGGAAGACACAAGATCTACCCACTTTGGAAGAATGGCAGATGAAGGTGATTGACTACATGGAATTGGCGGAAATGACTGGCAGAATCCGAGACCAGGGAGAAGAGTCGGTGAAAGAAGACTGGAAAAAATTTAAGGACTATTTACAGAAATATTGTAAAATTAAGAAACTTTAGAAGGATGCTGGATAGAAATTAAGAGGTTTTTAGCTGTAATGCTTTAAGAGACATGGAAAAAAAAGGTTAACAATTGGGTAAAAGATTAATGGTAAGGATTTGCTGAACCAACAAACTGAATTGGAATACAAAGAAGGGAGGTATGAGGAGGTCTGGGGAAATAAGAGTAAGGAAGATAGGTTATGGAACACTAGTGTGTTTTTAACTGTTTTATTTTGTATGTTTTTTCTTACTTTTTGCTTTTTTGCTGTAATTTATACTTTTTTCTTTGTTTTCTGTATTTTTGTGAAACTTTAATAAATATCATTTAAAAAAAAAAATATTTAGCCTGTTTAATTTGTATCCCTCACCTTAGCATAAATTGCTAACAGAGCAGTAAGAAGCAGAACGAGTGTAATTTATTTATAAAATAAGGCATAAAACTAATTCAGTAAATTAAAACAATGAAGTAAAACTTCAGCTGCCTATTCAAATAGGAAAACTGGAAAACTGATCTACTCTAACCTAAGATCCCAACAGTAGCAATTCTTAAAAGCTGGGGAAAACAGAAATAGTTTCCCCTGTTACCTAAATGTTTGATAATGATGGTGTCAGGTAGACCTCTGAGAAGGACATTCCAAATGTGAGGAGACACCACAGAAAAGGTTCTCTAGTGACCATTCAGGAAAAAATTCTCTTGCTCCAGTCACCACTCCATGAAAGTCCTCAGATTACTCTGTCAGTGGATGGGCTGATTGATATGGGGAATGGTGATTAAACAAATATCTGGGTCCTTAGCCATATAAGATTTTAAACCGTAAAAGCAAGCGCTTTGAATTGAGCTTAGAAACTGACTGGCAGCCAGTGGAGTTGTTTCAATACATGATCCCTTTGCCCAATCCCTGTTAGCTATTCTGTCCACAGTGTTCTATACTAGCTGTAGTTTCTGAACTGTCTTCAAAGGTAAAGCTATGTAAAGCGTATTACAGTATTCCAGCATTGAAGCTAGTAAGGCATGGATAACTGGCTAGGCTACTTCTATAGTCCGACCCCCATTGATAAAAGACCCCTTGTGACACAGAGGTTGCTTGAGCCAGAAGAGTGAGAGATTAATAGCACTCCCAGATCCTTTAAACCATTCAAATGCCCAACCCTATGAGTGCTTAAGGGCCTATATTCCAAACATGAATGTGTCTTTGGGGCCTGGGTGTTAGGAACTGCTAAATAACAGATACTTGACATTTTGGATTCAAGTCCGAGGGAGCAGGTGGTTCTGTGGTCTAAACCACTGAGCCTCTTGAGCTTAACGATCAGAAGGTCAGCAGTTTGAATCTGTGTGATAGGGTGAGCTCCTGTTGCTCTGACCCTGCTCCTGCCAACCTAGCAGTTTGAAAGCATACCAGTGTGAGTAGATAAATAGGTGCCGCTGCGGCGGGAAGGTAAATGGCATTTCCGTGTGCTCTGACTTGCGGCAGGAGAGTAAATGGCATTTCCATGCACTGTGGCACTTGTCACGGTGTCTCGTTGCACCAGAAGTGGTTTAGTCATGCTGGTTAGTGTTAGAAACTGAATTATGAAAGCTAGGAGCTAAATGGCACCTTAAACCTAGGTTATGGGCGCAACCACGGAATGTCTAGGCACACTTTTTTTATAACAAGAACACAAAGCTGAAAATGAATGAACTGCAGCTAAAATATTTTGTTAATTTTTCACATGGTCTAGTCCTTTCCCTTCCCTCCCCCCTAATATTCTTATGAGGATCTCTTCTCTAGTCTTCAGAGAGCAGGTGGAAGTGGGGAGGCAAAAAAGGGTCCTCCTTTCCTTCCACTCCGCAATTTTAATCTGAATTTTTAGGTGCAGTACTGTGCCCAGAGCTCAGAAACTGCTCACGTTAATGAAATTCCCTGTCACAAAATGCGCCTAGAACAATGGGAGTTTTGAACACTGATGCTGGCCACATGACCAGAAAAGCTGTCTGTAGACAAATGCTGGCTCCCTAGGCCTGAAGCGAGATGAACGGCACACCCTATAGTCAAGTTTGACTGGACTTAACCGTCCAGGGGTCCTTTTCCTTTACCTTGACCTACCTTTATCCCCATGAGCACTGATGTTTAGCTGTGTCAGAATGCGTTCTCTTCTCTTTCCCTCCAGTCCCATAGTTTAGGTGGATTGCTGCCTTTTATCCATATTAGTTCTCATAGCAATTGCTATGGACTGAAGTGAGGGATGTGTAGAGAACTTTTCTTGGGTGGTTGCCTCTGGACCTTGACAGGGTGACTAGAATGAGGAAATGCAGGGGTTCATCTCAAAGAAGCAATCATTGGAAGATGTGCACATTTGGCTTTCCTGTTTCCTGCTATGTGATGCAGAAACCTTGATTGCATTCTGAGGATCCTCTTCAATGACAATGAAGTTCTTGGGAAAGGTTTGGGTGGGGAGAGCCTTCCCCGGGGACGACTTCTGGTTAGAGTTGTGAATTCTTGAAGCTCCTCTGTGCTGGATGGGAATGCTTACCTCTGAACCTTTTCAGTTCTGTGCTCTCCCCAGTGAGCTCTGCCTGGTGCCATCATTAATCCCCTCCTTGCTGAATGTCAGACACATGACTGAGATTTTTCTTGTTCTAGCAGACATTTTAAAGTAGTGTTTGCTTTTATGATAAATTTTTATTGTTTCATTGTCCCATTTTCTGTGAATAGTTTTTATGTACACTGTTTAGAAATGTGAATAATTAAGCAGTATATGTCTTAAGTAAAATAAAAATAAACATCTTTTTGGCACCAGGGAAAAACTTCTTTCTTCTTGCAAGCATTTGATGGATCATGATGATTTTGTTGCTGTTTTACTGACTCTTTTCTATGGAAATTAGTTTTGTTATAATGTATTGCTGTTTTTTTGATGTTTATATTCTGCTTTATGTTTTTATAGTTTTTAAAGTCACTTTGATATGCTTTACATAGCAAGCAACTAATAAATTGAATAAATCAAAAATAATAACTGGCAGAATGCAGCCAACTTAGTATGTGTGCGATGCACCAGGTCACTGAAGTGAACTTGTCTTGTCAATTACCAGCAAATCTGGGTTCTGCTATTCAGCAACAGGTGACAGTTTTTCTCCAGAATTAAATTACATCAGGTAGGGTTGCCACATGGTCAGGAAAACCTGGACATGTCCTCTTTTGGGGGTGCAATATCCAGGTGTATTTTTACATTTTAAAGGAAGTGTCTGTTTGAGGGGGGGGCTCAGGCTGCTCTGAACACTGTGGCCACTGCCAGTCTGAGCCAGGGAAAGAGGCGCACGGGCATGGTGACATCCCCTTGTGCCTGTGCACCTCTTTTCCTGGCTTAGGCTGGCAGCGGCTTGGGCTGTTTTCTTTTTTGCTCTTCAAGATATGGCAATCCTACTTCAGGACTAGTATAATCAGAAGTTTGAGGGAAGGGAGGAATGCTTGTGTTGCTTGGAAGGTCAGCTTGGTATCTCTTCTCCCAGAGCAAGGAGAGAAAATAACACTGAACTACAATGTCTGTTAGCGACGCGGGTGGCGCTGTGGGTTAAACCACAGAGCCTAGGACTTGCCGATCAGAAGGTCGGCGGTTCGAATCCCCGCGACGGGGTGAGCTCCCGTTGCTCAGTCCCTGTTCCTGCCAACCTAACAGTTCGAAAGCATGAAGTGCAAGTAGATAAATAGGTACTGCTCGGGCAGGAAGGTAAACGGCGTTTCCGTGTGCTGCTCTGGTTCACCAGAAGCGGCTTAGTCATGCTGGCCACATGACCCGGAAGCTGTACGCTGGCTTCCTTGGCCAGTAAAGCGAGATGAGCGTCGCAACCCCAGAGTCGCCTGCAACTGGACCTAACGGTCAGGGTCCCTTTACCTCTACAATGTCTGTTAACCTCATACTACTTTGGCCGTTGTAGACTGTGTGGTGACTCCTACAGCTAGCTTTGGGGCCTCTCTCTCCAACCGCTTGGCATTGTCAGTATTGCCACCTGTACTACCAGCCACGCACAGTGACCTGTTCATAGATGGTGGTGTATGTGCAGGAAAGGGAGTTGGTCTAGGATAGCACTTTTCTCTGCTCCAGTTTGCACTAGGTAGCTTTTGCTCTTTGCTAAAGGCAGACGAGAACATTGGCAGCCTGGGGGTGACTGGTACAAGAGGATAAGTATGCAAATACCCCCATTGTCCTGTGTTTGGAAAGCATTGGCGCTTAACAGAATTATTTGGTAATAAACTCCATGGCAGAGAGATTTAGGTGTGTAAGGGTCAAATGCAAGCAAGCCCCAGGGCTTTACTGAGACTGCCTTGACACTGTGGACAACTTTTCCCTGTATCTGGAAATTGCAGGCTTACAGGAAGTCTGACAGTGTGAGCTGCGGCAGGCATAGGAAATAGTGGCTTTGCAGTTGGTACCTTTTATCCAAAAAGACTCTGAGTCTGTGCCTCTCACCCTCTTTGTCACTAAATGCACCCAACCCCCACAGGGGAGAGCACCAAGGTTTCGGGTGGGCTGCCTTCTCAGGAGGTTTACACTTGCCACTACTTAAAATGCAAGCTCCCTCTCTTGTCAGTGTTGGGCTCTTTCTCCACCACCACCCCGACAATGAGGAGTAGAACAGAGCTCTAAACTCTTAATTGCCCTCAAAAGAATCCTATTTGTGTAACTGGTACAGAGTCGGGATACGTCATTCCTTTTGAGAATTGAAAAGAACCCCAGTGCTTTTACAGGAGAGCTTCCACTAGAGCTTGCAAACAGAAGCAGATGGCAAGGCCATGGCAGGGAGGCATGGTGACTGAGAGAGCAAGGGCACAGTGGTGATGCCACCTTGCCTGACTTGAATGTGCACAAGGACCTTGGCACGTGGTCTCAGGCAGGGCGTAATGACAGCATGCTTGGAAGCCGTGTGCTGCGGTGTGATCCTGAGAGCTGCCCAATGCTGATGGAGGGTTTGTTATATAAGGTCACCAACAAAAGCGTCTAAGTTCAGAGCCTTGTCTCCAGCTGAGATTTATGTGCGTCTGCCAATAAAAATGGGCTCCAGATGTGAGTAAACGGCTCAGAGCTCTTTGAATGGCTGCATTTTCCTCACTTGATCTGGATTTAATTTGAGGCTGCAGAGCAGCAAAAGTGAAACTTCCAGTAGTCGCTTAATACTATGGCAGAAAGGCAAAAGGCAGCAGCAAGAGGCTTACCCAGGTGGTGGTAAAATAAAACAAGCCACAAGACTCTCCCCCTCACAGTAAGGTTGCTGAAATTATTTGCCCTAAAACTCTCTTTAGCTTCCCCACCCCCAAAAGCTGCTGGGCCCTGCCACTCCCCACCCCAAATGTGTGGCAATTTTGTGTCCTGATATTCTTGGCCTGCGGAGTGCTTGATTTGGATTTAAAGTGTTGGTTGTTCATCAGAGATGGCAGTCTTGACTTTTTATGCTCTAGCTTCCTCTGTGACTGTGACAGGCAAGCTGTGGCCCCGGGGTAATTTTGTAAGGCATTTTGGGCTTGGAGAAGAGAGCTCTGGGGCCAGAGAACTGGCTTCCCATGGCAGTCTGGTTTTCTGAGACAATGGGTGATTATTGTGGCGTTGATGTCCACTACTGCCACCTATTGGCTTCTTGCACACACAATGGGATGGAAATGCTGCTTCTAGAACCCTGAAAGACCAAGCCTTTACTGGCTTTCACAGGACAGCTTAAGGGGGAGCAAATTTCATGGAAGGCGTGATAGCTTGCAGCACTCAAAATAAGAATCTACTTTTTAAGACATTGTAATTCTCTCCCTTCGATTCAAAATCCCCACAGTGGTTTACAGTAATGAACAAAAGCAGGATAAAGTAATGAAAGGCAGTGTTCAACAAGTCTCACCAAAGGGTGTAGGGAATACAGAGGTTCAACGTGAAAAACAAAAACGTCTTTGCCTGCTGCCTAATGACTGACTCCTAAAAAGGCAGATGATATTCACACACCAATAATTAGGCATTTGTAAGTCCTGGGCCCAGACTTTCACCCCATTCCGGTAGGTTAAAAAAAAGGCAAGGATGGCAAGGATCAAGCAAGCATGTTATAAGCAGTACTCCTACAAGCATTTTGTCCATGTCTACAGGCCAAAGAAACTGAAATACATGCCTTAATATTAGATGGTACTGTACTCTGGACCCATCCACAAACTGTGGTGCTGAACTTGTGGAGTCCAGGTTGAATGGTTGCTGCTGGGCATCTTTTTCAGAATTGCAGTTGCTGTTTTAATAGGCTTCTATTGGCCCTTTTGTGACCCTTGGGTGGCACTTAATTGAGCAGACACAGGGCATGGAAGTTCATCTGCATAGGCATTTCGGTCCCCTCTGCTCCTCATTTACCTGATCAGTTCCCAGCTGATAGGGAGAGAAAAACCTGTGTCTGGGCAAGTTGTTATACAGTTGTCTGTGGTGGGAGAACTGTGAGCTTTCTGGGGAGAGAAGGGGGAGCTTCTGTGGAAAAGATGGAGCAAAGAATCAATGGGGCAGGTAAGTTCATAATGTGCCAAAGGGCTGCCTCCTTCCAAACTGGAGTCCTTTGTGCAGCTGACCTACTTCTGTTTGTATGGCTGCTGCTGTCATAGTCTCTGCACGTGTTAGACAGTGGGATGTCTTGTCCAGTCCTGCTTGGGTTTCATGTTGCTTGAGCAGGAAATATCACTTTCTACAAGAAGTAAAGCTGCCCGAGAACATTGCATTTTTTTCTGCTGTTCCTTGCTGCCCATCTGGGATGGGCTTGATGGCTTCAAGGCCAGGTGACATGGAGGGCTTTTGCTTTCTCATTTGGAAGCATCATTGACGTGGAAGTGCTGGGGGGGGGGGACGACTAAATTCTGCCACCCCTTTGTATTGGCATGGATTTGGTTTTTGTTCTAGCAGGTAAATACAAGTTTCAAGGAATCCTGTCTGGATGTTACTCCCACTTGAAATTGATAAACAGGATGTTTTCATTCATTCCTCATTGTGCCAAGTGGGTGTTGCCTTCCGTGTAAAGAGATTGATGTTGCCTCTATGTGCTGTGTTTTTCCCCCCTCGTACGCTTAACTCACCTCTGTTTTCCAGTGGTGCAGCAATAAAACTGCTCGCACATTTGCAAAGCTAAGCAGGGTCCAGTATGGTTTCAAATCAGATGGGGAACTGTGTGTTGAGATTCCTGCATTGCAGAGAATTGGACTAGATGACCCTTGGGGTCCTCTCCAAATCTCCAATTCTATTATTCCGACACTTTAGCTTACTAAATAGCGGCAATCCAGAAGCAGAGTCAATCAGGATTTTCCTTGAGTAGTGCAGGCTGTTAATCTAACAAATATTTCTGGATATAGTTTCTTCCTTGTGTCTGTCAGGCTGTGCAGTTCCATGGCCTGTGTTGCCGTACAACATTGGAACACAAGCCTACAAGGTTGTAAGTGCATTGTAGAGTAGGTAAGAGCAGTCCCCCCTTTTCTTTCTTAGAGGGACAGTGGCAGTGTTAGAAACTGGGATAGAAAAGCACCGGGGTTATGGGCACCAAAGCAGAATGTCTAGTCGCCTCGGGGGGTGGGTTGGTAACACTTTTTATTATTTTGATAAACATGAATTAATACGCAATTCACATAAGTGACACAATGTTAATATCACATTTTTAGCAGAATTATTAATACATGTTTAATTTGGTGTTTGCAATAAAAATATTGGTACCATTCTTCAGTTTTCAAAAACTCTACTCTTTATTGTTAAACTCCTTAACATGCTTTCTGTCCTTAACATATACTTCAAGACATCAAAGCATATACATTTCAGTAATCCTTGAGTACCAGCCAGGTGCAAAAAATGGCACCCAGACTTTTTGAGGTGCTCGCAAATGGGGGATCTTTAGGTACAAAATGCACCTGGCACCCTGCTAATTTTGAACCCTGGACAGTAATATTCAGTTACAGAACCTTGAGCAATTTGGGAGCAAGCAGCACTATTCCACAAGTCAGTGAGGAGTGATCCTGTGCCTCTTGTGACATTTGGCTGGGCTGTTCTCTCTTCAATGAGCCCCAAACCGGCACATGTCTGTAGCTTTCTTCTGCCTTTCAGACTGTATATGTTACAAACATGGGGAGTAGCAGAGCTATAGGGATGAGTGTTCTCACTCTGCAACTGTCACTGTTTAAGCAACCCTTCATGAGTTGGAGGGCACTTTCTGAAGTGAGGAGTCTGTTGGACTCATGTTGGTGCCCCCCCCCATTTTAGAACCCTGATTTTTCCAGGGTTCTAGAATGCGCAGGGCACCTCCGTAAGCAGAGGAAGGCTCCCTGTTTTGCAAGGTCACCCTCCATGAATTGGGAGGCAAATGGAATAGTAATGGTAAGCTCATATTCTCATCCCCACAACTCCCCCTGTATGTTTACCACATGCACAGTCTCAATGCCTGTTTTATTTTTGACATGGGACTACTCTTGTGCATCACACTCCTGCAGGCATTATCCTTTCTCAGTGCAATATAGGAAGGTTTCATGTGCACGTTTAGCACCGTGGAAGCTGCAAGCCCTCACTGGAGGAGCTGCTTCCAGGAAATTGGCACTTGCACGTCTCTTTTGGAAGTGAATGTGCTTTCAAGGGGAGAGGATTATTTTCATTAAAATTGTGTGGTGTCAACTTTGGAGCCAGGGTCTGTTCTACCCAGCGCTCTTTGTCCAAGTTGTGCTGGAATGGGAATGGCTGGCTGGCTTTCTAATTAGGAGACCTTTCCTGCCTAGCAAAGTTTCCAGTGACTATTAACAGGAGGTCTGCAGAGTGCTGGCTGCTGGTCTGAGCCAGAGGCATTTGCACCCCGTGGAATAAGCAGACAATACTGGAGTTAGTCTACAACCAGCAATTTTGTATGCTGGAGCAGTCTAAAGAATCCCTGGCTTGCTTTGCAAGTGCTTCAGAGTCTTTGTTCCAGCCTTCTGGGTGAAATGGCACGGTGGTAGAAAAGATGCAGCGTCCCACTCCAGGGTGTCTGCACTGTGGCGTTATTGAAGGCGGACAAGCCCCATAGTTACACGCCATCCTGACCTACTTTGGGAAATTGTAGGTCAAAAGCCAAGGCATTTTAGCTTCTCTGACTTTTTGTTCCATAACGATAGAGGATCTTGGAACTTGGGAGCAATGCAAGATCAGCCAGAGCCAGCAGTCATGCAGTCCACAATATCGGGTACATTGGAGCACTTGTTTCTGGCTCAGATGAAATTGTTTGCTCTTGGAAGACAGCAGTGCTCTTAAACACCCCAAATCACTTTCTACCACAATGTCGTAATAATTCAAAACCAGAGTGGTGCAGATGCAGGAGATGAAACAGGTGGTGTACCTAGACAAGTGTGTGAGAAGTTCCACCAGGGCTGCTCCTCACAGCTCTTTGGCTGTTACTCATAGCATCTTTTCAACATAAGCAGTAGACCTCTCTTTGTCTCTTGCTTCAGCAAACTTGAGAATTGCAAGATGAGGAGCAGGGGCCTAAGAGGTGGCACACTGGCAGTTGGAGGGTAGGGACAAGCCTCTTCTGGCCTGGATTTTAGCCCCCTTCTCCCTCTAATCCAGGGGTAGGCAACCTAAGGCCCAGGGACCGAATCCGGCCCAGTCGCCTTCTCAATCCGGCCCATGAATGGTCTGGGAATCAGCGTGTTTTTACATGAGTAGAATGTGTGCTTTTATTGAAAATGCATCTCTGGGTTATTTGTGGGGCATAAGAATTCATTCATTCTCCCCCCCCCCCAAAAAAAATAGTCTGGCCCACCACATGGTCTGAGGGACAGTGGACCGGCCCAATGCTGAAAAAGGTTGCTGACCCCTGCTCTAATCTATGGGTAGGCAAACTAAAGCCCAGGGACCGGATCTGGCCCAATCGCCTTCTAAATCCGGCCCTCAGACGGTCCGGGAATCTGTGTATTTACATGAGTAGAATGTGTCCTTTTATTTAAAATACATCTCTGGGTTATTTGTGGGGCATAGGAATTTGTTCATTTTTCCCCTTCAAAATATAGTCTGGCCCCCCACAAGGTCTGAGGGACAGTGGACTGGCCCCCTACTGAAAAAGTTTGCTGACCCCTGTCTAATCCCTGCAGAGGGGAGAGCACCACCAGCTGGGCTCCCATAAATTCATTGCTGAGCAATGCAGAGGAATGTTCAACTATAAAACAGCACCACTTATGAATTAGCATTACTTGCACTTGCTCCCAGTGGAGCTTTGAACTCTGTTTCAGAATTATGCCCTTAACTTCTCCCCAGCAGTGTGTTGGGTAGTTCTCCCAACCTTGCTTCTCAAGCATTGGTTTCTCAAATTGCGAGGTTGAAGTTTGGACAGAAAGAAAGGGGAAGGCAGCTTGGATTTTGAAGCACTTCTAATTGGTGGCAGCATGAGTGCTGGGAGCTGGCATAGTTCCTGCAGATGCTACACGCTTTGTTAACGTCACATAATGGGATTGTTAATTTCCCTGGGCTTTTGTTTTGGAGTTTCACTACTGAAGGGATTCTGTTTATAGATTAGTTTGACACTTAATTGTGGCCACAGTCCAGTGGATTGAGCAGAATCTGGGTCAACCTGTGCATGAACTTGAGGCATCTTTGGAGTATATGGGGCTGACTACCCTGAGCTTACTCAGCTGCAGTTGGTGGAGACTGTACACCTCATTGGTCAACATCCCCAGCCAAAACCTTGAATTGAGAAGCTCCTCCAGGGTTGAGTTGATAACACCTATGGCTTCCACTGAAAGTAAATGGGTAATACCGATTGAAGTATCAGGAGCCTCAGAGGGAGGTTTGCCAGTGGGTATACACTTCATAATTATCCAGGAAAACTCACTTGGTTAATGTTCAGATGAGCTGGGGGTTACATTAAGGCATATTTTAATCCTTTTCTTCCCCAGTAACAGACTCAGGGGAAGCACACCAAGTTCTCTGACAAATCTTGCTGTTGAGGCTGCAGCATCCTGCTGATCTGTCCCACTGAATTTATAATGGGAGCAGTCATTTGGATTGGAAGATGTCTGAATTCTAGAGGTGTCACCTAAAGGCAGCTCTTTTAGCTTGCTCTTAGAGCTACAGCAGATTTTAACATTGGCCATTTCAATGGCAGACCTTTGACATGGTCTCTTTGCCAATGCTTACTGTACACACATGGCTGGTGCTGGTGGAGAAATTAGCTCTTTTTGATCAGCCTACCAATATTCTATACCACATGTTGGAACACATCCACAGCCACATGTGCTTTGGACAAAGTAGGCCAGCTGGCTGGAAGGGAAGGGGTCTTTGCCCACCTGAAAAGAGCACTGAAAAGAGAAAGAGGAGGAGAGAGATGCATCAGTGACCTATGATTCTGCATTTCAGGGAAGGGTGGGGTAGTGGTGAAGATTTGACTGGAAAAACATTTCGCTGGCTGAGCCGCAAGACAAGAGAGCTGCTGTGCTCAGTCTACTTCCCTACCCGTGAAAAGGCTTTGCTGCAACATTTGTGCCAGGAAGGCAACAGTGACTTGGGTTTCACGTGGAATTGGACATCTCCATGGGGACGGGTAAACAGACAGCTTCAAACACTGTGGAGCATGCCTCAGTGAGGACATTTGTCAGTGTGGAATGAGACACTTGCTGTTCCAGGCAGAGCACTAGAGGAAGCAGTAATGAATGGGCTGGGTAGAGGACAGCAGCAGATTCCTCTAGGCAGGTGTCGCTGACTAGCACTTACCACTAGTAAGCAGGCAATAGTCCTGTGTGCGCTGTTTGCATGCATGCTGAAATAATTCAAGTGTATAGAAGACATTCCATGCTATGAGAAATAAGTGCACGTAACATGAATAGAGTGGCCTAGATCTAGGAAATCTTGAATATATCAGGGCCTAGACAGGATTCCCTTTGATTACATATGTCATACTAATAAAATGGAAATATACATGTTGGGCTGCTAGCAATCTGGACTCTGTTTTCTAACTATTCCACACTGTGATGGTGATGCTTTGATCTTCAAAGGACACTGAATTGGAGTTCTTTCTCTCTTTTTAAAAACTGCTTTGGAGATCTGATGCTTTAGGCTTGCTTGTGTGGGTATCGCGCCAAAGGGCTACAACCAGGAGACTAGTCCTGGTTAGAACTATCCATGTATCCTGGAATTTAAGATGTTAAAAAATGGTTGCTAGGTGACCTGCGTTTTTACAGCTGGAAAGTGGCCCCATGAGATGCAACTAATTTCTGGTCCACATCTCTAGTAAATGGAATGTTTTGGATGTTTATGGTTTAAAACAATCTACTCCTCTGGGGAGAGAGAAGCTTTACTGGGATTGCTTATGTTTCTCTACATTTGTGGTAAACTTCAAAGTGCTTGGAGCTGTCTGTAAAACCTATTTCCTTTTCACCTCTGCACATAAGGGGCAAGGCTGCTTGATGTGAGATGTTGCAGACATTCTGTGGAACAACTTTCTTGACCCAATAAATAGGACATAGGTGTGTGTGGGGTGTCATAGTGTAATGTAGAGCATGTGGGAAGGCTAAAGGTTCAACCTTTGGCACTTGCATCTTAGGTGTTGAGATTGGGAAAGACCTGGGCAGCAGAAATGGAGGGTGATGGGCTAGATGGACCAGTAGCCTGACTTGGTATTAGGCAGTTTTGTGCAAATCCCCAATAATGACTGTGCTTTGATTGGTGCGATAACACCTTTCTAGTGAACAGTTTGGAAACTGACACTTTTGCTACAAGAGGCAATATTGTTTCTGAATTCCACTTGACCAGTCTGAGGTTATGTTTTCTAATGGCCTGTCTTGCTGGCCCCTTTCAGGTTGCCATAAAGATAATTGATAAGACTCAGCTGGACGAAGAGAACCTCAAGAAGATCTTCAGAGAAGTTCAGATCATGAAGATGCTTTGCCACCCACACATCATCAGATTGTATCAGGTATGAATGCTGTGTGTTGGTGTCCACTCTGAGGATTCACTTGTTAGTGTCCTTGAGGTTTGGGAGTAAAGACCATGGGTGGGACTAGGGTGGGACATGGGAAACCACCAAATTCAGCTGTTCAACAGGCATTAACAGAGGTAGGCAGCTTTTGCAGTGACTGCTGCTGGAATGAGGCCTCTTAGCTTCTTGAGAGAACCATTACCGTTCTCTTGCCTTGATTTTTTTGCTTCCAGCCTTCCAGCCCACTTCTCCCCACAATTCACTGTGCCCTGCATGGGGAGGATATGGAGTCCCTGAAACTTGGCCTTCAGGGAACTTGTATCTGACCAGCCTCTTTTCCAGGAGTTTCCCTGATACATCTCCAGTGGTCTGAATGACATGGTAGACAGTGGCTTTGTTAGCCTATCTACATCATTTACGCAAGGAACCAAGGTTATTTGGCACAACAAGAAGGCTTTAATTGAGTGCATTTTTTGCCTGAGACCTGTCAGATATCTGGTCTGGATTAAACAGAATGGAAGGGCCTCCAGAGTGAACAGCCAAGCTAGTTACCTCTGCTGTTGAGATGCTTGAATTGCTTGTGGGGTGTTCTTTGCCCTTTCAAAGAGACACTGCTGCCTTTGCTGACAAGTCTGTAGCTACTTGAGTGTTTTAAGCTATGAGGTCAATGATGGAGCTTAGCTCCACCTCTGAAAATGCTTTAGAGCATCGCACCTGAATGCTTTTGAGGAAAGCAGGGTGTATGGGCTGGTCCTTTTTGCTGGCTGAAACATCCATCAGGTCATTCAGATTAAATGCCTTTATATAATTTGAATTAAAATGACAGACCCATCCTTATAGGCTTCAGTTACCATATTTGCAAGTTGTTGTTGTTCTTAATTACCCAAAGGCATTCTTAGCATGGCTTGTGGAAGTACCTTTAGAGTAATATTGGCCCCTCAGAATCGGAAGTGTAGGCTCTTTCAGCTTGGAAAAGGCTTCTTGAAAACTCACTTGCAGCATTTTAGCCTGAAGTTTAGCCTGTCTTGCTTGCTTGATGTTTGGGTCCTTAACAGACCTTGTGCACTTGAGTGCAGCCGCTGGGTGGGTGCTTCTAATTTGTTGAGTGTGGCTCAGTGTATTTAAGATGCAAGTCACAAAAAGTAAGGTCCAATTAGCGCCAGCTTCCTTTTGTCCTAGGCAATCTCCTTATCTGTCAGTTTTCTGTCCTTGTGCAGGTTATGGAGACAGAGAGAATGATTTATCTGGTGACAGAATATGCGAGCGGAGGGGAAATATTTGGTAAGTACATTTATTGCATTCTTTAATCAGATAATGTACTTAGTCAACTACAGTAAACTTAAAATAGCTGCCCCTCCTCTCCACTTTCAGCTGAGTGATGCCCTTCAGGTCTTGGAACTTTCCATTGATCAACGTATTTGGTGGGAGGACTTGCAAGCTGCAGTGAACTGGCTTTGTTGCCTTCCTAGGGAGGAATAACATTTAAAAATGAGGGTGCCTTTCATAACTAAAGGCCTGAAATGTGCAACCTTGGGAAAAGTTTTGCCAGCTTCAAATTCATTTTCAAAACTGGTGGGTGCATTTGAGCAGAGCAAAGCTGTTCTGAGTTGGCTTCTCCTGTGGGAAAGATGGAGCTAATGATCTACTGCAGCTTCTGTGAAAATTAAAAGGGGGGTTAGTTTGATAAATAGTTACTAGTAAATGGTCCCAATGCATTTCTGGCTGGAAAATTGCATTTTCCAGTGCATAAAACTCAATAACATCTTGGGCAGGCTTGCTAAATCTCCAAAGCTTCTGTGGCTTTCTATTGTGGATTCTGGCTAGCAGCATGCATACATAAACACACATGCACAATACATCCACATTCTCAGGGCTTTCGTGCCACCTGAAAACACTTTGCCCCCCTTATGGTTTGGGGGTGACATGTTTTGCAAAAATGGTTTGGGTGAATTCTCATTCTACAAATCTCAGCTCTCTCCCATGACTCAGTAACAAGGGTAGGGAAGCTGTGGTCCTCCAGATGTTGAGTTTCAACTCCTGCCAGCCTCAGCCATCATGACAAGTGCCTTAGTCACAGTGAGGTTCTCCATCCCTGCTCTGCAGAATTAACCTCTGTGGGGCAGAGGAGGCAGCATCTGATTTCCAGTGGGGCAGAGCCAGCCATTTCACATTCTCCAGCTGGTTAAGGGTTTTTTGTTATTTTTTAAACTGTTGATAGTATATGATATGTTAGTGAAAAATGCACAGCTGAGGACTGTTGCTCTGCATTTTTCAAGAGTAGCTACTTGGGACTGTTCAAAATGCTCTGGACAAGCACTTTTCAGTCGGAAGAGAAAGACAGGCCACCAGTCTAAGTGTGCCACTGCAGAACAGGACCATTCTTTTGCACTCAGACCCTACACACACACACACGTCTGACAGAGATTAGCCCCTGCAAAGCAGACTGCAAAGAGCAAGAGCACCTTCAAAGATGGCTCAAGCAAGCGGGCCAAGTCACAAGCGTAGAGTGGAAGTCATCATTTTAAAGGAAGCCATAGGCACTTCCGGTGAAGGTTTTAGTTTTTATTTCTTTTACTTGGTGATATTTTGTTCTTTTATGTAAACTGCTTTGGGGGCCCTTGCTAGAAATGGAAAGTGGTATGAAATGTTTTATAATGACATAACTGAAGAAACACTGCTGCATATGGAGCAACTGCTTTCAGCATTTTTAAAGACAGAGTAATGTAAAGAGTTCGCCCATGGAAAGCTGACTTTATAGCTGGCCAGACTACTTGCCCACCTAGCACAGCGTTGTCTGTGGGGACTGACATCAGCTGTCTGACAAGAAGGAGGGGGTCAGGGAGAACTGTTTCAATCAATAATCAAGAACATTTTGACGAGATCTTGCCTTTTGGACTCTCCATGGGAGACCGCATGGCCTGTGGTTGCCTTGTTCTCCCTTTTGGTTGGGAGATGAGCTGTCCAGTGGAGGGAACACAGAAGCATGAGCTCTCTGCTGGATACACCTGGGGAGGTTTGACTGGTCAGAAGCAAATTGTCTTCAGTATCTCTCCTTTTCAGGGAGCTCCAGCTTCTGTCCCTTGCATATCTAGCCTGAGCCGAGCAGCCTTCCCTCCAGCAAGCCGCCCTGTGTGAGTTTGATCAGGCTTCTTCTGATGGTTACTAAAATAACCTTGTTACGTGCAGAGTGGATGGAAATCTCCCCATTGCTTTTGGAAGCCCTTCATGCTGCAGTAAATTCAGCTCGTTTGGAGCAGCTGATTTGCTGCACGCCATCCAACCCCCGTGGCCTTGCTTGCTAGCTGAGAGCTGGCAAGCCTAATTGTGGAACCCGCTTCTGTCATCTGGCCTGTGCATCTTGTTTACCTCCATCATTCCCCAGCTGTCTTCAGCCGCCACTCAAGATCTACTTTAGCCCTAAACCCCTCATCTGCTGGAGAGTGAAACCAGAACTTCCTCTGTGTTTCCTAGTGAAAAGCTTCTCAGGAGCTCCAGAGAGGAGGAGGAGGAGAGAGATTTGTTGAAGGAAGCAGAGGCCCAGTGTTTCTCTCCCTTCTTGATAACTTCCACCCCAAGAGGAGTCTCTTCTAGCTGCTGGCTTGTTTCTGTGCTGAAACAAGACAGTTTCAGGCAGCTCCCTTAGCTGGCCACATGGCTGCCATTCAGGGTCTCTGTCTCTGTATGGGTGACTTGTTCCATTGGAGTCACTGGCTGCACTGTGAGCAGCTCCCAGAGCGGCTTCCCTGACTGCAGCTGTGTTAATAACGCCCTGTCGCTTGTTTACACTGCAGCTACTGTAAAAAGGAACTTGACATTTAGGGGGAGGGGGAGGAGACGGCTTAATTTATCCAATGTTTAAAGTGACTTTTTAATTTCCGTTGGTAATCTGGCCAAAGCTTGCGGGTAAGGAGCTGGAGCACTTGCAGCCCTGACGTGATCCAGAGCGCTGAGCTACCCTTTCCGCCGCCAGCCCAAGCAGATCATTGTCACTGTTGGCTTCAGAACGGCCTGCACGTTGCCTGGAAAAACAGCAGCAGGAGTTCTGCTGAGCAGAGCTGCTTCCAGGCAGTTGAACGCTGCTGGGCCTTTGTGGTGTAATGGCAAGGGGTTTTCGATTCCTCCTTCCCTTCTTGGCTGGGCCACCCATATCGCATCATAGTGGGACTTGCAACCTGCCCCTTAGGTAAAACATAGGTGCAAATGTCAGTCTTCTTTTTGAAGGGGATGGCTAGTGGCGATGGATGGTGTTGCTCTACCTTTTGCTCTGACAATCTTCAGCAATTTCAGAGGCCTTCAGAAGGAGGGGCTGGGTGGGCATGAAGCATATGTTACAACTGTAAATCCTATATAAAGAGTGCGGGTAGGATGCAGTAATTTTCATTACATGGGAACAATAACTGCAGGAGATTGGGGAGCATGTTTAGGACTCTCTAGAGTGGAGCTGCTTATTGGGCAGACATGATCCATACCATGTGTCTATCGATCCTAGCAGTGTAAGCAAATTTCTCATATGGTCCATCAAAGTTCCCCTAATTGAATTAGGCCAGAGGTAGGAAGCCACAGGCTCAGGGGCCAAGCGCAGCCCTCCAGGCATCTGTATCTGCACACCCCACCCCCACCCTTGTGCCTGGCTGGAATGTGTGTCTGAAGTGCAATGATGTCCCTTTCTTACCTGAATGTGTGGGGTGCAGATGTGTGGGGTGAGGGCAGAGACCTGTGGCTTGTGCACAAGTGGGATGTAGCCTACTGCACATGTGTAGTCACATCCATTGCTTGGCCCATTTTGTGCCTCTGGACCCATCCACCCACTACTGCTTTGTGGCCCTGGGAGAGTTGAGCAAATCATGTAGTCTGGACGTGCTGCTGGGATGACTTTCTAAGGGTGTTAGTGGAGCAGCTGGCTGCCACTTTAGCTCTAGGTGAGCAGAGTTGATACTGAGTGACCCCAACCAAGAGGAGAACTGATAGCTGCTCTGGGCATGCCATTCATACCTGATATTGGGAGCTTTCACTCAGGTTCCTCCCGAGATATATTGTCTCCAAATGACCTGGTACCAATGACCTGGAGTCTGGCAAAGAGCTTTTAGAGAGAACTCATTTATTTGTCATTAACCTAGGGAAGTGTTTACTTTAGAAAAACAAAACAGAACACCAGTTCAGGTCCAAGAAAATAGACACAAATCTCTGTGCCTTTGCAGCAAGGTTGATCCCTGGCCATTCTTAGAAAGCTTTGATCCATTTGCAGGAAGGCTTTGTTGCTAAACATGTGCTTTTTTCCTGGGGCAATCAAATGGCTCTTCATAACATTGTTAATTGTAATAAAAAGTACCGTATTTTTTGCTCTATAAGACTCACTTTTTCCCTCCTAAAAAGTAAGGGGAAATGTGTGTGTGTCTTATGGAGTGAATGCAGGCTGCGCAGCTATCCCAGAAGCCAGAACAGCAAGAGGGATTGCAGCTTTTGCTGCACAGCGATCCCTTTTGCTGTTCTGGCTTTTGGGGTTCAGAATTTTTTTTTTCTTGTTTTGCTCCTCCAAAAACTAGGTGCGTCTTATGGTCTGGTGCGTCTTATAGAGTGAAAAATACGGTACTTCTGTTGCTCCTGTCAGTGGAACAAAACCATGTAGACTTTATCCCAGCTGGTAACTACAAGCAGAGCCAATGGTGGCTGGGACTGCTGGAGAGATCAAGTCTTCAGCCTGATCTCCTAATGAGATCCAGGCCTCTTTTGTGGACAAGGGAGCTGGGATGGAAAGGGAGCCATTGCCTGGTCTTGCTAGAGAGGTGGATCAAAGTTGGAAGGTGCTGAATGGTTTAGAATGGGATCTGAGCTGCTTCTGACTACATCAAGCAAATCCTTCTGGTTTTACCCAACTGTTGAGTAACAGAGGAAGAGAGGGAGATTTGCTCTCATGAAGGACCTGCTCTACTGTTCACATGGAGCACATGCACCTGAGATGATAGCTCTCAGCTGAGAACAGCAAGATATGCCCACCCCCATCACCATTTGGGTGCCTGCCAAGGGCTGAGATTCATCCAAAAACATTGACCTAGTTCAGCCTTGTGCTTTAGGAACTGTTAAATTGCAGCGGGAAAGCCAGTGTGTGGTATTGGGAACGACACCACAGATGCATCCAAGAAACCATTTCTTCAGAAGGAGCCTGCTGCTTTGGCCTCAAAGGGGAAGGTTGGGCAGTTTCAACCTGCTTCCCTTCATAAACTGTATTAATTATAGAGCGAAAGATGAAAGTCTGCTTTAGAGAATCAAAATTAAGCTAAAGTTTTCCCATTAGGTGGTTGTTTTGGCCAAAAGTGCCCACTAATTAAAATACCCAGGCACAAGCAGTTCACAGTAAATACTAATTACACAAACACATCAAAAGCCTTCTGCCTCTCCAGATAAAGAGCAATTTCTTTCTTTTGATGTTGCATTTCTAATATATTTTGATGGGGCTTTCAGCCGGCAAGCTTCTTTTCCTTCCCTGATTAAATTTCATTTATAATAAAAGATACCAGGTGCAGGCAGTGAAGTGGGTGTGTGGTAAAGTTGCAGAGGGTGCCTATACACACTTACTAGGAAGTAAGCCCAACTCAGTGGGACTTGCTTCTAAGTCAGCATGCATAGGATTGTGCTATTGTTCTTCTTAAGGAGCAGCTGAGGAGGTAGAGTCTTGGGTTTGGATGCAGGAGTGAACATTGCAGCTTCTCCTGAAGCCTCCCTAGTGTCAAGGCGGGAGTCAGGAACAGCTCAGCAATAACTCACAAGGTGCCAATGAAGTTAACTCTTTATTCAAAGAAACAAAACACAAACACATTCTAAAACACAAACCCTCCTGGCCTCTCTGAGTGCACACATACATATGCCCCTTTCTTTCTTTCTTTTAGCACATACCGGGCAAATATTTCTTTAAGCTGAGGTGTGAAATTTTACTGCCCAGGTAGAAATGCAGAAGAGAGAGGGAGCCCACCTTCCTTTATGGGTTGAAAGATGGCTTGTGGGCCTATCAGCTGCAAAAATGCTGCCAAATTTGTGCAAGATTTAGAGCAAAGAGCAGCCTGTTGGATAATTCTGTATTTCACAATCTGTAGATGCAAGCTACCTCTGACATTAATCACTAGAAGGCAGAAAGGCCTATGATACAAAGCTGGTTACAAGAGAAGATGGCAAAAAGGCACCAGCTTTTGTCTCAGAGACAGAGGAGGTGAAATGTTTGTAACCTTCCTCCAGGAGATTACGAACATGGTTTGGCTCTTGCCTCTGGAGCCCAGTACCTATTTACTGAGTAAATTATTCTTTTATGAATACTCAAGAAGCAGTCCAAATGAACTGTGAAGGGAGGAAAGGAGGAAGCAAGCATGAGGGAGTTGCTTTTGATCCCACCTGGGAATGTAAGAAGGGCTTGTGGCCTTGACTCTTAAGCTCTCTGGGCCAGAAGTGAGGTCCTTGAGATATAGCTTGAATCCATCAGGGGCAGCATGGCCAGCACTCGGAGATGATGGAGCTGCAGTCCAGCAGTATTTGGAGGGCCACCGTTTCTTTCTCCCCACCACCGACAGAAATCATATTGCTACTTTTACTTCTTCATAGCAGGAACACTCTTAGCAGAGTGAGGCCTCAATTCCCTGTCTATAAAATGACTTCACTGTTCTGTGGGATAACTAGCCTCATATAACCCACATGCTTAGGTCTAATTAGTGCATGAAGGGGTTAATGCCATAGAATAAACTGTCCTGCTAGGCTTAGCTAGGTCACTCCCCTGCAGCTTGGGAGGAAGGTAGTCAAGAGTATTATTGTACCTCAGTTAAACATAGAAGCTCAACATGTGAGGAGGTCTGAACTGATTGCTGCAGTTCAGACTGCATGGCTCGTCTAACCAGCCTCCCTTGAGTTCCTTTACCCATAATTTAGGAACTTTTTCACCCCTATAACTAAGCCACATTTGCTGCCTGTGCAACTTTTCTGATTGCTGTCTGGAAGAGCACATGAAGCTAACATTTGGAAAGTTTGTAAGGAAACTATTTTTAACTTACCAAACATGTGGCCTTTTCCTGTGCTAGGAGAAGTGAGGAACTTTGGAAGGAACTTGGAAGGATATATTTTAAAGGTCTAACAGTCACTATTTCCATGCTTTGCTTTGCTGCATATTTGCTATTTTGAATCTCTGCTGGGGTTCTCTCACTAAAGCGAATCTGTCCCAAACCTAGAACTTGACATCCAGGGAATTTTCCTTTTATGCTTACATTTTTCTCCTGCACCAACATATTCTGCCTGTATTACAGATAGGAAATTGTGCTTCAGAAGCTATGGAAACTCTAGGTTCAAATCTCTGTCAGACAGACAGACAGGCAGACAGATCTACTTTAAAAGGTGTTTATGTAGCCAAATCTTGGGAGGAAGAGTGGCATATACATATAGCAAATTAAAGACAATACTTCCCATAGCAAAATGCAATAATGGTTCCATGCTTTATAATTGAAAACTGTTGTTCCTCTCTACCAGAAGCAATAATAGAGCGCAGCCACACTTTCACCTGACCCATAGTTTGATTTTATTGTGTTCTGATTAATTCGTCTGGACCAGGGAGCTTTTCTCATTTTTCTGTCACTGTGGCTTGCAAAAACCTGGTCTTACCCCTTAATCTAATGCTCAGTTAAGCAAAATCTCTCTTATAAATGATATTCTGCACGTCTGATAAGATCCAGTTCAGCGGGTAAGATTGGTCTTTTGGAAGACACAGCTGCAGAACAACAAGGAAAGCTTTCGGACCTGTGGGGATTCATTGACACACCATATGATCAAAATATGGGTCAAGCAAAATTGTGAATGAGCCCATACTCTCCCTGGTGCATCCTCTCCCCTTTCCTCAAATGATGCTGGCCTGAGACGGGGCCTTCTGCCTAGACACATGATTGGCTCACCTAGCTCAGTACTGCCTGCACTGACTGGCAGTGACACCAGGAGCTCAGGCAGGAGTCTTCCCCAGCCTTACCCAGAGATGCCGGGATTTGAATCTGTGACCTTCTGCATGCAAAGCAGATGCTCTACTCACTGTCCAATGGCCCTCTCATTGAATTCCCAAATGGTTAGCAAACAGGCTCTCTATCTTGACCCAACCATTCCCCTCCCTCCACATTAATGTGTAGGAATTTATAATCTCCCCCTGCTTTTTTATTTCTGCCAGCTACTTCTTGTTGTTCAAGCTGGGCAGGCATCATGTGATCTACCAGTCCCACCAAAGAGCTGCGGCCTATTTATCCGTGGCCGCCTTCTGCAGGAGTTTCTTTTGTGACATTTTCTAAATAACCCATTGACAACTGGAGGTTGCACAGTGTTCACAGTTTTCAGAAGCAGCAAACAGCTAAAAACAACCTTTGGGCCAGTTTCCTGCTTGCCTCTTTATTAAAAGAGCTATTGTCAGGGTGAGAAGGCTGGAGCCAACAGCTACTGTCACAGGAAACTGCCCTGCTCTGGCTGCTGCCATCATCCCAGAGGCTTCTCCCTTGCTGGCACTGGGGTTTTGTCTGAACTAAAAGGGGCTCCATATACCACCCCCCCACCCCTGTTCTGGGGGCTAAATCAAAATCAAATCAAATCTCATCTTCACAAAGGACACTTGGCAGAACTTTGCCTTCCCTTCAGAGCCTCAGCCTTTTCCTTTTTTCAGGATCCATCATATTGTACACACATACTCCCTCGCACACTATTTTTTTCTGCACCCCTTCAAAGGTAGAGGTCAGCTGTTCCAGGGACATTTCTTTCACTTGCATCTCCTCTGGTTTCTTGCATATGGAATGTGAATCTCGTAGGCCTCTTTCCCCTTCTGGGGCAAATTTGCCCCAATCCCTGTAATTCTTCATGGGAAGGTGACCCCTGAATATCCCCTGTTACTCACTCACAGTGCTCAGCATAATTGCAACAGCCTTCATCTACAGCTGACATCTTTTATCAATCATGGTTGCTAAAATACAATTGTGTGTCACTGGAACATTATACTTGCCCAGAGAGGCATTTTTGCTCTGGCATGGAGACTCACCAGAGGCTGAGTCTTAGCAACTTGCAGAAGTATTCTAAGGCATTTAATTAGGGCTGGTGATAGGGGTACCTACCACCATCCTCAGGTATAGGGCAGACTTTGAATCCGACTGAAATAGGGAGAGAAATATGCCCAAATATGAAAGGAGCTCTCCTGCTGCAGACCTAGAGAGGTTAGCTTCTGTGAGCTGGGGCATGCTTTGACACTTTACCTGGCAGTTGTGCCACCACCTCCTTGGGCTGTTTTCCCAGCAACAGATGAGCTAGATAGATCCATTCTGGGCAGTGCAGGCCTTCCAAGTCCTGCAGTAAACCAAAGTAAGTCTATACTGATCCAATAACAATGGTTATGCTTTCTCTCTCTTCTCCCTCCCCACCTCATCTCCTTCAGATCACCTCGTGGCCCATGGACGAATGGCTGAAAAAGAAGCCCGGAAGAAGTTTAAGCAGATAGTGGCAGCTGTCCATTTCTGCCACTGTCGTAACATTGTCCACAGAGATCTGAAAGCAGAGAATTTGCTTCTGGATGCAAATCTGAACATCAAAATAGCAGGTCGGCCATTTTAAAAGATGGAAGCATAGACTACCCAAGCAAAGCAGCCCAGGTCAAATCCTGGCAGCTTGAGGTTTCTGACAAGTGACAGATCTTGCTGCTTCTGCTCCTGGCCACCAAAGATGGTGTTCCACTGCCCTGCCAGACTTTTAGGGCTTAGTTATTCATGATTCTGCACCTCCACTTGGGGCCAGCCTTCCCTGCTGCTGTTGCACTGCTGAGCTGATCCAAAAGAAATGATTAGAAACCTTTATAGAAAACCTATGATATTGGGTGGTCTCTGAATTGCTTCCCTCCTGTTTGTCTTCCAGATTTTGGATTCAGTAATATCTTCACGCCTGGTCAGCTGCTGAAGACCTGGTGCGGAAGTCCCCCCTATGCTGCCCCTGAACTCTTTGAAGGGAAGGAGTATGATGGGCCAAAGGTGGACATTTGGGTAAACCATCAAGAACCATTCTGCACTGCCAGCATTTCTCTTTGCAAGGGGAGGGGGAGGGGAACGCTGCTTCTGGAGCACACTGAAGCAGCCCTTTTGTCACTGTATGCATTTGATCAGTGAACCAACTTTTGTCATTGTCCATGTGCAATAATTTTAAACTTTTTAAAAGATATAAGTGGGACCTTTTTAGAAAGGGGCTCCTCTGATCGGGGGCCCTTTTCTTAAATAGATTTTCCTTACTAGGGCACTTGTTTACTTCATGCTGCTGTTGCCACCTAACGTTTGTGCCCTCTTCTCTTGCAGAGCCTTGGGGTGGTGCTCTACGTGCTGGTCTGCGGGGCCCTGCCTTTTGATGGGAGTACGCTGCAGAACCTGCGGGCGAGGGTCCTGAGCGGGAAGTTTCGCATTCCATTTTTCATGTCCACAGGTAAAGGCTCTGTGGGGAGATGTCCCCTTCCTCCTCCTCCTCCTCCTCCTCCTCCTCCTCCTCCTCCTCAGCAAAGTCAGCAGCTACAGGTACTGGCTGACATCAGGGGTTCAGTTTCACACTGGCAACTTCTTGAATTTGAGGTCGCCTCACTTGGGACAGCCATGCCTGGCACTCTGATCTCTTTGAAATAAAGAGCTGCAACAAAATCCCTTGTAGACTGAGTAACTGCATTTCACTGCCCAGCTGTTGAGGACGCCAGGTGATTGCAAAACTAGGAACTGCAGAGGATGTCAGAGAATTTGGATGCTAGGTGGTCTGGGCCAACACGCTAGACAAGAGTTGTAGGTTGGGTTCTTTTGCCCTCTCTTTTCCTTCTATGTGCTTTGAGCACTACTCATATGGGAGCTGAACCCGCCTCCTCATAGAAAGCTAAATTCATGGCTATGTTAAAAAGTGGATTTTCAGTTTCTGGTGTATTTCTTTTCCTGCGGCTCAGAGAGAAACTGCTTCAGCTCGAAAGCTGAATGGCTGAGGTTCTCTCTCCCCAGCCACCTACTGCAGTGCCCTTTCCAATGTGCTGCAGGCAGACATTAGTAATTTGAGAGAGGTCTCAAAACCCACCCGCCTGCCCAAAATTCTGCTCCTGGAGCTGTTGGCAAAGAGGAAGATGGAACCCTATTTTTATGCTGGCTGTATCAAGCAGGGAAAGCCTGAGCCATTTTGAGACCTTGGGAAGAGATGGATGAGGGCTGTCTAGAGAAGACTCCCAGACAGCTTGCATGCATTGGTTGTTTGTGCTTTGAATCAGTCATGAGAGACCTTCAGCTGGACCTTCCTGCTCACAATGCAGCAAGCCCACCCAGTGAACCTGTCTCCTTCATCTTCCTGTGAGCAAAGGGCTGTTTTCTGACTGTCCACATTTAACTGGAGGAAAATTAATTTTCAGCCTGCTGCAGCACCGTCTAGAAATGACTGCTGGCTTCCTGTTGGCATTGTTAATTGGAACTCATTGTGGCTTAATGACTAGTGATGCAGTGTGAGGCTTTTATCAGTTGGGCAGCAAGAAATCCAGTTGATAGCTGAAGCCCCAAGCAGAAAAGTGTACCAAGGGGTGGGACATCGTAAGTGTACCAGTCGTATGTGTGGTTTGGTTGAGACAGTCCATCTGTTGTTCAAAGGGCTTGAATTGAGAGATCTCTCTTTACCAGCTAATTTTGCAAAGTCTCTTGTTTCACACACAAATGGTTACTAGAACAACTCTCTCTCTCTCTCTCTCTCTCTCTCTCTCTCTCTCTCTCTCACACACACACACACACACACACACAGAGAGAGAGAGAGAGCGTGCAAAGTGCTTGTGTGTCCTGTCTTTGTGGCTGGTGAATCCAACTTATCTTGGGTGTCCTGAGACCCCTCCCCACGTAGCTTTCCCTGGTAGCACTACCTAAGACCTCCAAAGCACTCCAGGACTAGCAGTGCTGCAACAGTGGCCCAGCCAGTTCAAATGCGAGAGCCATATTAGTTTGATGATGACCAAACAAACATACAAAACTGTTTCCAGTGAGCAGATGCATCAGAGACTGAACAGTGTGCCTTCTTTCTGTTTCCTTCATTTCCCTTCTCATGGCACTGAAGCCCCTGACTAGAGTGTTTGTCTGCACTTTTATTGGAGGCACGGTGGGATGTCCCTTTCTAACTCCCATTGACTGACCAGGTCTAACTTCTTTGGAGTATATTGATACACCAAAACTCTCTTTCAGAACTACAGTTCTTGCTGCCAAAGATGTGGCATGGCTGTCTCTGGCCTATGGAAGAGAATGATTGGCTGCAGCTGAGGTGTGGAGTGTGGGGCCAAGGTGGGGAAGAGAGATCAGTGAGGGGCAAGTGCAGGAGAGAGACCCCTGAAATGTTGCTGTGTTGTGGAAGGCAAAGCCCACCTTTAAAAATTGAGCACTTGCATTACAAATGGGTTGCACAGATATGACTGTCTCTCTCAGAATTGTATGGAAGACAGGCAAGAGCTTTGGGCCTGCTGCTCTTTGGGCACACATCCAGTTTGGGCAGTCTCTGTCTCCCTGCTATGAGCTCCTCCTTAGGAGAGCTGGAATGAGGTTACTGCCTGCACAGCTCCGGTTGAAACGTTTCAATAATCCAACCCTGTTTCGTTCCATAAGCCTTTTCTCATATAGTGTTGGCCTCCCCCCAACCTTAGTGAAGGAGCTGGTATGAAGCTTGGGGGTACTTGTGGGTCCATTGTTGTAGCTTGAGGCTCAGGTGGTGCAGAGTGCCTTCTATCAGCTTTGTTTTTGTTTTTTTTTTAAATAATATTTATTGAAAATTTTAAGATTACAAAAAAAACAAAGAGAAAAAAGAAGGAAAAAACAAATAACAATTCAAAAGCAAAAAGCAAAAGCAAAGCACATAATACATCAAAATCAAAAAGCAGAAATAAACAAAAAAAATTTAAAAACAGATCCAGTATTCTCAAATCCTTAACTGTCATTACCTTATTTCGTCGACCTCCTCACACCTCCCTTTTTTGTATTCTAGTTATTAATTGTCTCAGCAAATCCTTTCCATCTTTCATAATATTCTGTCATTAAATTACCTTGATCTATTTTAACCTTATCTTACCATAAAAAACCTTAAAACTTAAAACTTAAATCTTATTTATACCAATTTCTCATAACCATAACATATTCTTACATAATTCTTTTTAACATTTCTGCTAAAGACAAATAATTTCGTTCCAACATTTCTCTAATACTCATTAATTTTACGAAAATTTTCCTAAATAAATTTTTTAAAACTTTCTTCCAATCTTCTTCCAACGTCTCTTCCTCCTGGTCTCGGGTTTTGTCAGTCCTTTCTATCCCATCCATCTAGTTCATCAACCCGGTAACCTTATGTCCGAGGCCCTTAAATCTCTTCCATGTCCCTTCCGCAAGTCTTCTTCATATTTATACCTGTACTTTACTTTGTCATCTGCTCCTTTCATTCGTGGAGACTCCAGCTTGACAATATTTTTGTCCCTTCTCGACAGATCAGCCCCTTTTCCATAGTCAACACTGTACTCCATGTGGTATTTAAAAGCATGTTTCAAGGTCCCTCCAAAGTTAAGGGCCCACACAACTCTGAACTCCTCCCGGCCCAAAGCCAGACTTGAAAGGTCAAAACATCCCTGCATAGGGGGGTCTATCCAGCCCCCCATCTCCAAACCAAACCAGACTCTATCTCTCCAAATCTGGCTTTTTCCAGGTTCATTCGTCAGATCCAACAACTCATGTTCCTGCTGGGCCACAGTTCCCTCCATCTCTGCCTCCCGAGGTCCAGCAACAACCTCCTCCCTCATCTGATCTTTCAGATCACACTCCTGGATTAATTCCTGAGTGGGTTCTATATAGATACCCGCCTTCTATCAGCTTTGGTTGGTAGCCCAACTGCACCCCTATCTGGACAGGGATAGTCTAACATCTGTCATCCATGCTACGATAACCTCTAGGTTAGATTACTGCAATATGTTATACATGGGGCTGCCTCTGAAGACGTTTTGGAAACTTGAGCTGGTGCAGAATTCAGAAGCCAGGTTGCTTACTGGAGCATATAACCCCCATTCTGGCCTGACTGCACTGGCTGCCAGTTAGTTTCCGGGCCCTATTCAAAATGATGGTTTTGACCTATAAAGCCTTTAATGGCTCAGGACCGCAATACATCAAGGATTGCCTCGCCCCATATGAACCAACCTACGGTCATCATATGAGGCCCTTCTTTGTGTGCCTCCTCAGTGAGAGGCTCGGAGGGTTGCAATGGGCCTTTTCTGTGGTGACTCCCCACTTGTGGAATGCTCTCCCCAGGGCGGATTGCCTGGCACCTTCACTACATATCTTTCAGTGCTAGGCAAAAACATTCCTCTTCTTCTAGGCCTTTGGCTAATTAAACAATCTATGGCCTTTTAAACTATGTGTGGGGCAAGTATTGTTATTGTTCGTTATTATGGTATGTATTTTTGTGGTTTTATATTGTAAACCAGCCTGTGATCTTCAGATGAAGGGCAATATAGACATGATGATGATAATGGTGATGTATTATATCTGTACATCAGTTTATCAAAGCCCAACATCCTTCTTTGGTTTCTTGTGGGAAGCCCAGTCACCACTAAGCAAAAAAAGTAAATGTGTGACTTAATGCTAGATTTCTGCTAATGGAATACTCTAACCTAGGGATCGGGAATATCTGTGGAGGCCCTTCAGATGTTGTTGTGGAATTCCCATCACCTCTGATCATTGGCCATGCTGACTGGGACTAGTGGAATTGTGGGGGGGGGGGGAGTCCAGCAACACCTGTAGGGCCCCCACAGGCTTCACACCTGTGTATTTAAAAAGCAACTTTGCTTCTTGGAGTCTTGTGGCGGTCAGCAGAAGCCACACTTGGTTTCTCCAGTGGCCAGATCCTAATGAGCTGGTGGTTTGTGTTCTGCAGCTGTTACAATAAGGGAGTAAGATTTGTTATGTAGAGACTTTGTGGGAGGTGGGGTTGCATTGTGTGCAGCCAAGCCCTGCGGGGTTGTAGGAGCTTAACGGGGTTTTCCTGATATTTACATGCATCCTGGTGATGTTTAGAAGTGGAATGGCTCCCCTCCATGTGCTGAGGCGGGTGTGGCTGGTGATGGCTCCCTCTCTCGCCAGTTCCTCAGCAGCCTCTTGCTGTTGTCTTGCAGAGTGTGAGCACTTAATCCGCCACATGCTGGTGCTGGAACCGAGCAGGCGGCTCTCCATGGAGCAGATCTGCAAACACAAGTGGATGAAGCTTGGGGAGGTGGATACGGAGTTCGACACGGTGAGCCAGCACAACTCTCCTTCCTTGGTGGCTCTCCATCCAGGCAGTTTACTTGCCTCCTTTGTCTTTGTTTTCCCAAGGAGTTCAGCATCTCTCAGCTCTTCCTTGCCCTAGGAGGTTGCTTGGGAGAGTCTGTGACCAGCTAGCCCCAAACCTTGTGCTTTTCCTTGTTGTGAAAGCTACAGCCGTTGAAACGCTCTGTTCTTTCCAGTTAATAGCCGAATGTCAGCACTTGAAGGTTGAGAGGCAGATGGAACCGCTGAATGAAGATGTGCTGCTTGCCATGGCCGAGATGGGGCTGGACAAGGAGCGCACCCTCCAGGTACTGGCTGTCTCCAGGCATTCTGGGGTAGAAGTAGAGCGGCTTGCCTTGGGTGTGAGGCTGATCATTTTGTTGTTTCCTTGCTTTCCCAGTCATTAAGGACAGATGCTTACGATCACTACAGTGCAATCTACAGTCTGCTCTGTGACCGTCTAAAGAGGCATAAGAACTTGCGCATTGCCACTCTGCCCAGCCTCCCACGGACCATGGCCTTCCCAGCACAAGCCAGCATCCAGGTTAGTCTTCTGTGAGGTGCAGCTCTGTTGCTTTCAGATTAACTTACACAATGGGGCAGTTCCAGAGGGTGCCTGGCTAGCAGCTTGCACTGTGCAAAAGGACGATTCATGCAAGGACAATTGCTATTTCTCTTGGAGCTGGAAATGACAAACTCTTGCCTGTGTAGGCAGATGGCCTCTTTAAAATATTTCGGGGTTTGTTACTTTGAGAAGGTGACTGACAGGGCTGCCTTCAGCATCCCCACAGGTGCCCACTCAGCCTTTCTCTTCCACCTTGGGCAGCTACTTCTGTTGCTGGGCAGCAGGAGGGTCCCACAGTAGATTATTTCAATTTCTTACCCATAATATGTCAAGGCCTGCAATATAAATATAGCAATTTAAAATACAATATTAAAAGCAGCTTAAAACAAATCATAGTAATAAGAATTGGGTGTGTCCTGGAAATATATATATCAGGTGTCGAAGGCCAGGGTAAATATCTGCCTCTGGTGGTGGCAGCTGAGCAAGAGGAATGGGACTGGGCTTTCCATGGGCTTTCTGCATTTGGTGTTCACAGTTTGGTTTGGTGTTTGCTTTGCAGGCAGAGCAGGCGGGCAACCCAGTGAGCATCAGTGTCCCACAAGTGCAGCTCATCAACCCCGAGAACCAAATAGTGGAGGTAAGTTGTTTTTCTCTTCCAGGATCTCCCCTTGCTAGTCACAGATGCTTCTGCATTTCTCCCCACAAACCACCTTACGGTATGTGTTTCTGCCCTAGACTGATGGAGCAATGACTCTGGATAGCGACGAAGGCGAAGAGCCGTCCCCTGAAGCTCTGGTCCGCTACCTCTCCATGAGGAGGCACACGGTGGGAGTGGCTGATCCTCGGTGAGTTTTGCTGCCTGCTGCTTCTTACAAACAATCCCAGAGCCATCAAAGGGCGTTGCAAATTTCCCTCATTGCAGCCCTCTGTCCTAAGAGGGACCTGGCTCCTGTCTCAACTTACAGGCAGGTGTCACCTCTGTAGTGACACATTATCTGGCAAGTTTGGCCTGGAAAATGCTGGCCTCCCTTCTGCTGCTCCTAAGTGGTGGGAAACAAACTTGCAGCCCAGAATGTGAGCAGAGAAGCAGGGTTGCCTGGACCGTCTCCTGAGTTATTGTGCATGTGTTTGCAGCACGGAGGTGATGGAGGATCTCCAGAAGCTGCTACCTTGTTTCCCACGCATCGCACCCCAGGCCCCCTTCCTGCAGGTGGCTCCCAACATGAACATGGCAGCCAACATGCTTCCGATGCAGCACCTGCAACCAACTGGTCAGTTAGAGTACAAGGTATGGCAAAGGAAACACTTTGGGAACTCTGAGCATCAGTCCTCATTCCTGTGAGATTACCAGCTACCATGGCTTCATGAGCCTGTTGAATTGGACCTGAAACCAAATTAAGAAGACACCCACCCTCCCTCCCACCCACCCACCCAGCTGTATGACATGGAGACCCTAGTCATCACTGTCCTGGCTGCCAGTCTAAGGGGATGAAGTCTCCACTGCTAATTCAATGCCTGCTTTTGTGTGATCATGGTTCTCCCATGCCCATCAGACCCTGCTGTTTCTCCTGACTCTTGAGGTATGCAGCCAGGGTTTGGTAGAGATGCAGAATTTTCTTGCAGGAGCAGTCCTTGCTGCAGCCCCCAACTTTGCAGTTGCTGAACGGAATGGGACCCCTTGGACGGAGGGCGTCAGATGGAGGAGCCAATATCCAGTTGCACGCACAACAGCTCTTGAAGCGTCCCCGGGGCCCTTCTCCACTTGTTACAATGACACCAGTAAGTAACTGAAAGATGGGTGGGGTGGGGTGGGGTGGGGGTGTTCTGGCACAGCACTGTGCCCACTTTTCATAGTATTTCACAGCTCCATGGATATGGACCAAGTGATTGCATTCTGCTTCTTCTGGGCTTACTCATGGCAGATAAAAGTGGTGGCCCTGCCACATGCAGAGTGCCTCTCTCAGCTGGCCCTTCACCCTTGCTGGTGTAACATGCATCTTCTGGAACTCAGTTTTTCTCCCTAGTTTTCCTACTGGCCCTTTCCCCACCTGAGACTGCCTGGCTTGCTCTATGTCCATGGTTTTTTTTGGGGGGTGGGCAGGATCAAGTGCATGTGACGAGATGGTATATCTCAGATCCATGGCCTAACTCCCTATTCCTTCTGAAGGATTCCTCTTTTCAAAAACAAAAAACAAACCCTATAAAACCTGTTTAGGAAATGTGGCCAAGGCAGACTTTTTATTGAGACATTCATTGACACAAACTAAGCAGCCCTGCCAAGCATGTGCCTCTTGACTTAAGGGGCATTAGGATGTGTCTCGCTTGGGGAAGAGCTCGGCCTCTTAGTTCAGAATCTTTCTTGGGGTATCTTTTTCTTCTGTGGAAGCAATGAACTTCAGGTGGGGCTGGCTCTGGAGTGGGAGTGTGTGGGGAATGGTGCCAAGTGTGGAGCACCTGGGTGTGTAAAAACCTTTCTGCAGAGCCAAGCCCCCTTCCCTTTCTTGTCCTTCCAGGCAGTGCCCGCCGTGACCCCTGTGGATGAGGAGAGCTCAGATGGAGAGCCAGATCAAGAAGCTGTGCAGAGGTAACACTCCTCCTGCTGCTGTTGCTGGTGGTGGTGGTGCTGTCTTCGGAGGCACCCTCTGGTGCCTGGCAACTGCTTTAGCCATAGCTAGGCAGCAGGTTGGCTTGTGGTTTCTGCTTTGCCTCTGCTTCTCTGAGAACTGGTGTTTCATGTGGCCTCTGCTGCAGCTGTGACCTGCTCCTGCTCCCTCCCCTGGTCTTCCCACTAACCTCCCTGGGTAGGTGGATCTTCTAGTATTTGGGGCCTCAGCTGTTAGTATAGCTCTTGGAAGAAGATGCCTACAGTCGACACCCTGGCTACATCTGTTCTCGCTGATGGGGGTCCAAAACGGTCAACTACAATTCTGCTGCTGAAGCCGTTTGCTTTAGCATGCTTCTTTTGATTCTCCTTGTAGCCTGTGTCCCAAGGAAAGTCTTGCAGGCTGCCGTGGTAGCAGCTGTGAACAGCATCTACCAAGTAGCTTGCTATTTAAACAGCAGCCTTCCTGATTTCCAGGCAACTACCTTTGCTTGTAAAGAGCTCAGAGTTTGCCTGGAAAAGATGCCTCCTTGAAGATTGGGGTATCTGTTCCCCTTTAGAGACAGACAGAAACTGGGTATAAAGGTTGGTTGGTGAGGCAGTTGACGCTTTTTTAAAGGAATGAAATATCCATGGAGCATTCTATCAGCGATAGCTGTGGTTCCTTATTCCATGTATCTGGGGGAGGCTTTCTAGTGGTTTCTCTTTCCCCTCTTCAAAGCTCTTGGGAATGTAGTGTCCTCTCCATTCCTAGTGTCCATTCTCCAGCACCCTCACTACTTTGGTGAACAACAGTCATTGTATGATGGGGCAGAGCTGCGGTATGTAAATCAGATGACACTGCCTTTGTGGCATGAAATCTGACCCTTTGTGATATTCTTTATAATGGCTCATGGAACTTATTTTTGCTGAGTTGATACAGTAGCTCCTCTAGCCTGGAGTAGTCTAGCTGGCAATGCATCTAGAGCCCAGCTTATTGGTTCATGGAGGTTTTTGCCTCTGTTCCCTTAACTGGAGATTCTGGTCACTGGACTAGGATTCTTTTTATACATACACCTGTCTGCCTGAATCTGTTTTTAAACCGAGACCACTGCAGCTCAATATTTGCCAACTTTGACCAGTCATGGCTTTCCAGGATCTTGGGCAGAAAAGCCTCCTTCCCATGACCTGTTTCTCAAAAAATGGAATAGGAGATGCTGTACATGGAACTTGGAGCGCCTCCATGGCAGACAGGAGCTTTGCCTGTGAACTATGTCCCCTCCTCACTGCCTTTGGGCTAGGACAGATGTCAGTCTTGCTGGGCAGGTTAATGGAACCAACATACTTGAGTCAAATCACCTCACATACTGGGATGAGACTACATGGCTAGAGAATATGGTGTTGCCTGCCTTCCCACTTAGCGTTGGCTGTCACACCATGCCACGGGCTGCCACGTCTCAAGAGTCAACATCCTTCCTGCAGGGGTGGGTGCAAATATTGACCTTCATAGAATGGTGTTAGCTTCTCTGCTTGCAGAACCTTGGAGGGGACCCATAGGCTGGCCTCTTGCCTCCTGCCCTGGGTTTGTTTGAGGTACCTGACCTTGAATTGCAGCTCGTTGTTCTCTTTCCCTCCATAACTGCTTGATGTAGTTAAGGGAAAGATTGGTCTCTGGGATATAGAAATGAAACACTGTTAGCAAGTGGCAGATTTAGAGCTCTTCAGGAAATGACCTGATCTCCACCTGAGATGCTGGCTTGTTCCCACAGCACTAACTCTTCTCCATCCTCTTAACTCTGCTTTCCTCCTGTGTGGTGGTGGTGGCAAATAGCTTTAATTGCTGCTCCTCTTTGGTCACAACGTAATTGGCATTAAAATCTATGAAGTCTGTACAAGTATACTATAGCCAAAGCTCACTGGTTTCCCTGAATAAAGTTCCTCACTTGCCTTTTAAGTTGGCTTTGATAAATGGATTCAACACTCTCAGAAATGAAATTAGGAGAGAACTCAGGAAGCCATGTTGTAGCTTACTCATCTGAGAGCCCTGTAAGAGCTGGTCCCTAGCACAGATCCAGAAATTGTGGGGTCAACTTTCCCTTCCCTGGAGGCAAGTGAGCCTTTCAGAGGCCCAGGCTGCCCTTCTGTCTAACTTTTGCTGAAACATGGCAGCTTTTGCATACATGACCTGAACAATTCCTTTTGTGTTGGACATCCCCTTATTCTCTCCTCTTCTTGTCCAGGTGCACCTGGAAGTGCCCAAGAACAGAGTCTAGGTGGCGCTCTTGATGCTTCCTTCTAGCATCGCTTAGACCAAGTGCTGGAATGGTTGGATGGCCAGAGGGCCCTTGCTCCTTTAAGAGTGGCGCAAACGAAACCCTTGTCACAGCCATCATTTACCCCATCTCGCCATGTTCAGAAAGGCTGCACCAGTGGAAATTCTCCCCTCTGGGTAACTCTTAAAGGCTGAGGGGACTTGCCCCGTGTGCAGTATTCCTGGTGCGTGAGGCCTTGACTTCTGCTTGGGAATCCTGTGTCAGAATGAGCTGCCTGTTTCTCCAGGAATCTCGTTAGCTTCATTGGCCCAGTGCCAGCATCAAGATAGCACCTTCCCCCACAGTCCCATTTTCCGGCAAAAAGGGAGCCCTCCTCCTTACACCTGCTGCAACCTTCTGAGCCTGCTCTTAACCTCCACCAATGCTTTGCTTGGGTTTTCTGTAGGCTGGTGTTTCTGCTTTCTCCAGAGTTTCCCTGGGCCCCGAAAGGGCGGTCTTTCTCCCACCCCCATTCCCATTAAAGAAACTCTTTTGAGAAAGCTGGGTGGTTGGTGCCTCCACTGCCTCGCTGTCCCCTCTCTCCACCCCCCTCGCTCCCTCTTTGGAGCATTCCAGGCACAGCCCCCACCCCTCCCTCTCACCAAATGTGCTCCTGCTTGTTGCAGATACTTGGCCAATAGGTCAAAAAGGCACACACTGGCAATGACCAACCCCACTGCGGAAATCCCGCCCGACTTGCAGAGGCAGCTAGGACAGCAGCCCTTCCGCTCCCGGGCATCACACCTGGCACCCGACCAGCACCGGTGAGTAGGTGGCACCGGCCGCTTGGGCAGTTCTGCACCAGGGAACCTGTCCTGGGCAGAATGGCACCCCCTAGCAGAAAAAAAGAAAAAGGCTTTTTTGGATCAGGCACTTGAGGGGGCTCTCCAGGCCCTCTACATGCAGGAGAGGATTAGACAGGAGGCAGCTGTCGCTCAGGCCTGGGCATGGCATAGCAAGGGTGGGACGCTTTGTTACTCTGTTGGGGAGCAGGAAACCTCTGTAAGAAAGGATGTGTCACAGCTGTTTCTGTCTGACCAACTGCTTGCCTGGAATTAAAACCCAAAACTCCACTTGACCCCATTTGTTGGAGGGGTGGAAGTTAGTTGAGAGAGTGTCAGCAGCTCCTCCTCCTGCCCCCCCCCCCCGGACAAAGCTCTCGACTTGACTCTCTTTCACATCATATGAACAGCGACCACGTACATAGTTGCAGGATTGTTAGCCTTGGTGGACAGGGTTCACACAGCATCGTTTGAGTGACCTGAGGCTGTTGGAATAGTCTGATAGAGGTATGGGCTGCTACCTCACCATAACAGCCCTTAGAGGAGAATCTTTGTTTTTTGTTTTTTTTAAATAATTTTTATTAAAATTTCTATAAAAATTAAACAAAAAAACATAAAAGTAGAGATACAAAAACACACAATACATAATCCAAAAAGAGAAAAAAAAACACAGAAAACAGAATACAAAACAAGAACTAAAAAGAAACAGAACAATTAAAAACGATATCACTTTTCCATTTCCGTTTTTGAATTTACTTATTTTCTGGACTTCCTCATACCTCCCTCTTTTGTATTCCAGTCCAAATTGTTTGTCCAGCAATTTCTTTTCCACTTTTTTAATCCTTAGAGGAGAATCTTTGAACCTTGTTTGTGTCAACAGCTCTGTCATGGGATTGGCACCACCAGAACTGTATGTGTTTGCCTGCAATGTTTCCTCGCTAAAATTGCAGGGGAGGGGGGTGGCTCTGTGGCAAAGGAACAAGTGCGACCTTTGACTGTTGCGAAATGGGCTCTACATGATATCACACACACACACCCCTGGACTCCTGTTGCAAGTCTGTCCACATATGAGCCGTAGCCCTTCACCCCCTCCCACCCTGCTGTCCTCCTGTCCATTTAGTCCTAGGTGTGAGCTGCTGCCGCCAAGCCCCTTCCCTGACCCACCTTGCTGCGGCTTGCAAGCCTGTTTTGTAATTGTCATCAGGATAGCTTCTGAGCTGAGCAGTGACATCGCCAGCTGGAACAGTTGAACTCTGAGCTGGCTGAGGCCATGCTGGCGCCACGCTGGAACCTGAGGAAAGCAAAGATAAGCTGTGCTGGCCCTGGGTAACTCCTGGTTAAGCTCTGCTGCAGGACAGGAGCACAGTCCTGTGTGACTCCGACAGGGACATCATGGGGCTGAGTAAACAGAATTCTTTGGCGGAGGCAGCTCTGAGCCCAGCATCTCCCTCCACCCAGCCTCTCAATGTGTTTTCCAGGTGTCCAGTTCCTCCTGCTGGCTCAAGGAAGACCACTGCAGGTCTCTCTCCTGGCATACCTGCCCTTCTCCAGGACTTACACCAGGGAAGGTGGGAAAGAGATAAGAGCTCTTTCTGCAGCTCTCTTGGCTCCAGGTCACTTCAAGGCCTGAGTAGCTAATCACTGTAGACTTTGGTGTTGGCACGTAAACAGGCTCTTCTTGAATCCACCAATGATTCATTGTCAAAGCCCCTTTCCAGCCACCCACGACCGGCACAACATTGCAAGGAAATGGTTGCTGTTTCCCTTGAAGTTCATTTAACTGGTTGGTGGTGGCATCAGAAGTGGGTTTCCTAGGCAGGGCACATGGGTGAGAATGAAATGCAACCGGTTCTGGAGTTGCTGAGAGTCACTTCACCCTGGAACATGGCCAGTGGAAAATCCTTTGGGTTTTAAGAGGGGTTTCAGCAAGGCTGCATCTTGTCTGATGCCTACCAGAGCCATGATTTATATAGGCTGGGCTGAGCAGCCTGAGCGCTGCTGCTCCTTGGGAACCACCTCCTCTGCTGGAACACAGTTAGAAACGGCACTGCAGAGCCCATTTCTGTTGTCCACCTTCCTGGGCTGCCACCCCAAGACAATTTGCTTGGATCCAATGTTATGGTTGGGAGTGGAGAGGTGGGACTTGTTTGGCGCTGCTTAATTCCTAGCGAGACCATGTGACCTGCACTGAGCTATTTGGAGGAAAGGTGGGATGTAAATAATTCAGGGAGGGGGTCGTATACTCTGCACATGCTCACCCTACATTCTACAGTGAGCCATTCCTGTCAATCTCTTGCTTACATATAAAGAAGGGCAAGCCTAGCAGGGTTTTGCAGCAGGGAAGGCAGAGGCTGTGGACCTGCAAACCCATTTCCTTCTTCTAAATTTCTTTAGCGCGGGACATCTGTGATCATTGCAGCTAGTACCTGGGCCAGATGTGCTTACTGGGGAAGAAAGGGTTCTACTGAAGCCAGGCTCTCTCTGAGGTGGAGTCCTTTGCTGTCCTTTGACCTTTGGCTAGCACTGCCCTCCCAGCCATCATATTTTCATGTAATATACTGTCAGCAAAAGGGCAAGAGTGATAAGAGGGGGAGAGAGACAAGTGGCAGCATGCCGGCTGAGAGGATCTTCGAGCCTGCAGTGTTTAGGGGACTCTGGGTCTTCTCACTGCTTAGTCATCACAGGCTGCCTTTCCCAAGTCTGTTAATACTGTGAACCAGCTGGGTAACCAGAACGAACAAGGGAGAGGAGCAACACCCCTATGAGGAAAGGTTACAGCATCTGGGGCATTTTAGTTGAGAGAAAAGGGAGCACACGATAGAGATGTAGAAGGTGATGCACAGTGTGGAGAAAGTGAACAGAGAGAGTTTTTTCCTCTCTCTCGAAATACTAGGACTCTATCATATTCATTAAAGCTGAGTGTTGGAAGAGAAGACTCAGGAGAGATGAAACAAAGAACTTCTTCACACAGCACATAGTTAAGTTATAGAATTGACTCCTGCAGGAAGCAGTAATGGCTACCAACTTGGATGGCTTTAAAATAGGATTAGACAAATTCATGGAGGAGGGGGATATGGCTACCAGCCACAATGGCTACCAGCCACAATGGTTATCTTCTGCATCCAGCTGGAAATCACAGCAGGGGAGAGGCTCCTGTGCTTGGGTCCTGCTTGTGGGTTCCCCACAGGCATCTGATGGCCACTGTGAGAACAGGATGTTGGACTAGATGGGCCACTGGCCTGTTCTTCTAGCAGGCTTTTCTTATGTTCCTCAGGACACCACACTTCCAATCTCTTTTGCGCACAGAGCAAGTTGGCAAGTTCCTTTGCCCAAACTGTGAGGGGTGGGCGCAGAACATGGCCAGGCTGCTGGGAACATGGCTTTGGTTAAGCTGGTGCCTCTAATCCCACCTTTTTGTCTCCGTGCATGCACAGCTATGTCTATAAAGACTCCAACACACTGCACCTCCCCACGGAGCGCTTCTCTCCGGTCCGCCGTTTCTCAGACGGGGCTGCCAGCATCCAGGCATTCAAGGCCCAGCTGGAGAAGATGGGCAACCACAGCAGCATCAAGCAGCTGCAGCAGGTAATGAGAGGGGAGAGCAAGGGCGGAAACCAAGCCAGGCAAGAAAGGGAGCAGCATGGGCCAGCAATCCAGGCTCCTGGCAGAACTGAGCTCTGCAGCTCCCAGGAAAAGCTTCCTTCCTTATTCAACCTGCAGCCGCTTTTCACCTAGCATCCCACCGTTGTTCATTGCATCCTCCCTGTATCTTGCTCTTAGGCCAGGTTGAATAATAGCTTTGTCTCCTGCTCTGCGACAAATGTAAAGCAGGGGCTAGGAAGCCTTGGAGTCCTTGCAGCACTAGAGCAGCTCCCAGTGTCTTGTAGAAAAAGATGTGATGGTGAATAAGATGCTCCCCAGGACCTGCCCTTGAGATTGGTGTGGTGGGGAGGGAACACTCCAAGTCCCAAGAGGACTTTCTCTTGTCTTGCCTCCAGCTGGCCCCATCTGGGGCTTTTGCCCCCTCTGGCTACTTTGCTGCTGTTGCCAGCAGCGCCTGAAGGAGCAAGTGCTATGTGGGTCTCTCCTCCTGGTGCCACTGAAGCAATGAGCTGAAAACCAGAGGGAGCCACAGTGGCCAGGCTGCCTGTGAGCCTCGCCTTCCTGCCGCGCCCCCTCTGGCTTTCTTTATCCAAGAAGCAGCAAAAGGTCACTTGGTGGGTTGTTTCAGGAGTGTGAGCAGCTCCAGAAGATGTATGGGGGCCACATGGACGAGAGGACCCTGGAGAAGACGCAGCAGCAGCACATCTTGTACCAGCAGGAACAGCATCAGCAGATCCTTCATCAGCAGATCCAGGTACTGGCACTTCCAAGGAGCATCAGGAGGAGGGCATAAGTGACTAGGATGTCTCTGCTTTGGACTGTGCCATGCTAGCCCAGCCCCCTTTAGGACATGGCTCCAGCCCAGTATTTCCCAAACTTGGGTCCCCAGCTGTTGTTGGACTACAACAACTACGCTCTGAGCCCGGCCTTGGCTGGGGAGGGCGGGGTATAAATAAAAATTATTATTATTATTATTATTATTATTATTATTATTATTACAACTCCCATCATCCCTAGCTAGCAGGACCAGTGGTCAGGGATGATGGGAATTGTAGTCCAAAAACCCCTGGAGACCCAAGTTTGGGAAACCGCTCTAACCCAATGCCACTGTATGCTTTCCATACAGAAGGTTCAGTTCCCAACAGCATCTCCAGGTTGGGCTGGGAGCGACTCCTGTTGAAAACAGGCGCTGCCAGTCAGTGTATAAAAGAGACTGAGCTAGGGAGACCAAAGATCTAACTCAGTAGGAGTCAGCTTCCTGTGCCTCCCCCCACCCGACGCCCATGAGGTGTCTGTGTCAAGTGAAAACTCTGTCTTGTCAGCTCAAGCGCTTCCACTGTGGTTCATTGGGGTGGGTGGGGGAGAGAGAGAGAGAGAGAGAGAGTTGTCTAGTGCTGAAATGCTCCTCCCTATTGGTCAGTATCAGGAACACAGGAAGCTGCCTTACAGCAATTCAGAATATTGGTCCATCTAGCCGAGTATTATCTACACTGGCTGTTAGAGGCTTGCCAGGGTTTCAGGCAAGGATCTTTACCAGCTTTAGCTGGAGATGCTGTGCTGCCAGAGATTGAACCAACTCCACTTGGCCCTCTTTCTTTAGATAGGGCAACCTGGAGAGTTGCAGTTCCTTCCCAGGTAGTCCTTCTGCCCTTTCAGCTCTCCACCCCCCCCCCCCCAGTCAGCAGCAGCAGGCTCCAGAGCCAGTAAGTGCCAGCAGCCTCTCTCTCCGTTCCTGAGCTTCAGCTGCCAGCCCTTTGGGCCAATGTCTGACAGGTTGCTTTCTCTGAGGCAGCCAGGAAGAGAGTTGCTTGAACGCCTTGGCATAGCTTGGCTCCATGGGGCTGCTTTGCCCCCATTTTGCAGAGTGCTCTCAGAGTGTTCTGCGGATGTCGCTGCTCACCAGCACTCTTCTTTGTTTCCTCTTTCCTGTGTGGTGTGCAGGATTGTGTCCGCCCTCCTCAGCCTTCTCCGCCACTGCAAGCTCCTGGAGAAAGCCAGCCTGCTTTGCTCACTCACCAGCTTCAGAGGTAAGGAACAGCTCCTGCAGTTGGTAGGCCTCAAGCCTTCTCTGTGCCTTGCAGGAAAGTGTTGGCACCTTCTTGCTCAAAGGGACCCAGTCTCAGCTTGATCAGCCTAGGCGCTTTGGCCTGCTGTAGCTGCATTTGTGAAGCTGAGAGGCAAAAAAGGAGAGGTGCTTAAGTTTAGATGGAAAACTCAGAAAAGCTTTTTTGTTTTTGTTTTTAGACAGACAGGCGCCTTCTCAGCTGGGAGGTTGTCTATTGCATTCTTTTCAGGAAAAGGTTGCAGTCCCTGCAAGGACTGCCTCATAGCAAAGGCTGGGGAATGACAGGCCTGTTGGGGCATTGGCCAAGTGAGAAAGCCCCTTTCCCAGCTGCTTCCAATGTCAGTCCCCTACCCCACCCTTCTTCCACTTCATGCTATAGGTAAGCTTTGACCAAGGCTATGGTGGTGTGTTTTGCCTAGGCCTGCTCTTGCCTTCTCACTTTCTGGCAACGTAATCCAGTGTATTGTGCAATATAGCCTGGGTGCTGATATGCCATAAAAACTTACAGATTGCCTGGCTCGCCCTTACGTTGACGCCATTAGGCCTGTGCTGGCAATTTTCTATGGTGACATGAACATACCTGATGTGCTTGTGTGTGTGTAGGTTACGGATCCAGCCCTCCAGCCCACCTCCAAACCATCCCAGCAACCATCTCTTCAGGCAAACGGACAGCAGCCCCCCTCCAGTCAGCAGCAGCATGCTCCAGAGCCACAGTAAGTGCCATCAGCATCTTTCTCCTGCCGAGCTGCATTTTGGTTTTGTCCCCATCCCCGCCGGGGGTTGCTTGCTCCAGCTAGCTGGGAGAGTCCCAGGTTAGGCAGTCTGCCACCTTCACCATTAGAACTCAGTTAAGGGATGAGTGAGCAATCACAGTTGTTTCCTGAAATGGTGGACAAAGAAGCCTTCCCCCCTGCTTACACAGAGAGTAGCCATTGTGAATCCCAGCCAAGGCAGTTAATGGAAAGGCTTCCATTTCGCAGGTGCAGCCTCGCCGTCGCAGTTCCAAGGGATGCCCTCTCACAGCGCCATCTTCCAGCAGTCGGGCAGTTGCTCACCTCCCCCCAATGTGGCCCTCTCCTGCATGGGCATGCCGCAGCAAGTGCAGGGGCAACCGGTAGCCATCCAAGTGCAGGAGCCAGGAGATGGGATGGGCGGCAGCCTCTTGCAGGCTGGGCGGGGCATGCCCACCCCCGCCAGTGCCAATCAGCTGCAGATGCACCATCGGGCCAGTCTGATGGCCTCCCTGACTTACGGGCACAGGCCCCTCTCCAAGCAGCTCAGCGCGGACAACGCAGAATCGCACAGGTATGGCTATGGCAACAATGGGGTAGTCTCGGGGTGTTATGTGTGCCAATTCACAGTTGGCCTGGCTAGCAGCTACGCAGAGTGTGAGATTCCCAAGTGGTGTCCTCCCTGGACCGCAGTGCTTCTCTCCCAGGCTAGGCCTGGTCCGTTTGTGGGGTCTGCAGGTGGTGATGACATCTTGCTGAAGTAGGTTTCGAAAAAGGGTTGGGTAGATGGGCAGAGTGGCAGCTGAGCAATGATTATTAGCCAGGCTCTCTCTGAATGGAACTTTTTCTCTGTCCTGAGGCTGGATGATGTGGGTTGTGGAAGTGATGAGGTCATCTCTTCTTTCTGGGCCAACTGGCTGGCTGCTGCTGAAGACCAGCCCAAATCCTCCTTCTGGGCCACAAAGCACTTGAGGCACAGTTCCCTAGAGTGTCTTCTGTGCTCCTAAAGTGCTTCCTTCCTTCCTTCCTTCTCTCTCTGTCTCTCAATCCGCACAGGTATCCATCAACTGGCTACGACCAGGTGCACTTGCACCCCCACCTGTTTCCGGAGCAGGCCCGTGTCCCTCCAAGCAGCTACAGCCCAGCTACAGCAGTGGGCTTCCCTCCGCAGGTGGAGCAGTTCCCCAACTTCTCCCAGAGCGCTCATCAGCAGCAGCACTACGCCACGTCAGCCCTGCAGCAGGCGCTGCTGTCCCCCACCCCGCCAGACTACAGCCGGCACCAGCAAGTCCCACACATCCTGCAGGGCCTGCTCTCGCCCCGGCACTCACTCACCGGCCACACGGACCTGCGGTTGCCCCAGGCCGAGGTGGCGCAGCTCATCAAGCGGCGGCAGCAGCAGCAGCAGGAATTCCAGGAGCTGATCCGGCACATGAGCCAAGGGGAGAGCGGACATGTGGCTACCAGCGTGGCCCAGAAACTGTCAGAGCGCCAGGCTCTGTCTTTGCCTTATCAGAACACTGACACGTACCACCACCCTCACCATCACCACCACCACCACCACCACCACACCAGTCCCCAGCACCTCTTGAAAGTGAGGGCGCACGAATGTATCCAGCAGGCGCCAGCCTCGGTGCCGGCCCACGGGTACGCTCACCAGCCCACCTTGGTCCACTCGGAGAGCATGGAGGAGGAAGTGGACTGCGTGTGTGAAGGGGAACGGGACAGCTTCCCAGGCAATAAGACCAAAGCTTGCCACGAGGCTCCACTGCTCTTAAGTGCCGGTGGTCCTGGGGACCCAGACGCTTTGTTTGGGACTGCCAAGCAGGAGCAGGAATTGGGAGCGCACCACTACAGGCACCAGCCAGCCACCACCTTCAGTCGGAATAAGGTGCCCGGTAGAGGTAAGGCCAGGCCCTGCCCGGGACACAGAACAGGGCACTGTTGGGTGGCCGGTTGGGTGGGGCTGGCCTGGATGGGCAGGGGGCAGAAAGAGGCAAGAAACTCTGAGGAATAGGACCTGGGTTGGTGAGCAGGCTGCCTTCACATGCTGCTCTGCAAGTGGCACCTGTCTTGATGGAGGATGGGCAGGTGGGAGGAGAGCAGGGCAGGCTCCCATGGCTTACGGGCATGGACAGGGTGGTGGTTGGAGGGGGGAATGGGGCTTATTCGCACCGGACATCACTAATTTATGGAATCAGCTGCCACAGGGTGTCATGATGGCCCGTGGCTTTCAAAGGGGGTTAGACAAATCCATGGAGCCTGCAGGAGAGGAAATGCCAACAAAGGGAAACCTCAAATTTAGAGCCTGCCTGCCTTCTGATAATATCTTCTGAGGAGTAACAGCAGCAGGGGGCTGTTGCCTTCATACATTCCTTGTGAGATCATTAAGAGGCATTGGGACCAGAAGAGTCATTGCCCTTGTCCAGCTGATCTCTTCTGATCATCTAGGGCCCTCCCACTTGCTGCTTGAGTTAATGGCAGTTCAGTGGATTGGCTCTGGGAGAGGCAGGCTCAAGGCCCAGCTGAGCTGGGAACTCACATGGATTCTGCGTTGAGCCACCATCCTCTCTTGCTCTTAATCATTCCCATCTGTGAAATAGGAGGGCAAGCAAGGTAAATACCACAGAGCCATTTTCCAAGTTGGTATAGAAGGATTGACCTTGTGTGAATGGTGGTGCCTTGCCCCACCCCCCCACCCCAGTTCAGGGGATTAAGAGTACAGGCAGGTCGGCATTCTGGCAGCAAGCAAATGCTTCCAGAAGTATTTGTGGCACAGGGTTGGTATGGGGGTGAATTTGCTCAGGAGGAGAAGGATCTTCTTGGTGCTCTCAGCGCATGGGACAGTGGCCCAGGGGAAGGAAAGCAAGCAAGCCAGGCTTCACATTTGCCTCCTCAGCCGAGCTAAGAGCTCATGTGTGTTGCCTTCCACCTGCCTGGCTCCAGGGCTGGATGAGAGCACCCTGATCAGGACCCTATTTCTCTTCCTTGCCTTGTCCTGCTCTGGCCAAATATGGCCTGCTGCTCATTTTGGTGGTGGCAATGGGATGCTGCTGCAAGATCTAGCAGATGTCAGGGGCAGGCAGCTGGTCATTGGAGGTCCTCCATTTGGAGGAGCAGCAGGAAGGAGGACAGAGGCCTCTCTGGTGGCAGAGTCGGCCATATTTCCCCTCTCCTGCTGAAGCATCCTCTGTTTGTTTTTCCAGGAAAGTTAAACTGACTCCAGCTTTGCAGCTTCATATAGAAAGAGTGGTGTGATAGACGGGAGTCCTGGGTACTCTTTGGGATTGTGAAATCCTGGCTAAATATTTATTTAAAGTCCTTTTTTATCCTCTCTCAAGCTGAAAAGGCTCCCAGAGCAGCTTACAGATTTTTATTTACTTATTTATTTTTTGAAAACCCACAGCCACTGCCCCTTGCATTCTAAAAGGCACAACACAAAAAAAGAAAAAGGGATAGGGAGGGAGGAGGGGGAAAGTATGCTTAAGCACCAGTTCTGAAAATTTAAGAGTCCTTTAAAACAACAAGCTGGGCTGAAAACAGTCGGGGGGGGGTAGCCCAAAAGAGTGTTTCCCCTCCTGTCCCTGTTTTCCATACGGAATCCTAGTTCTGACAAGAAGGCCACCTCCATGCCTCCTACTCATTGGCCAGAGCCAGGGCTTGTTGCACCTTAGGCCCGAGGAAAGAGCTTTGGGGGAGACACAGGTGAGGACGTTGTGCTGTGCAGATGCCTCCCATCTGCCTACAGCGCTGCCTGCTAGTAGCCCTTTCTGTGCCCTGTGGGTGGTGGCTCCTGAGGTGATAAAGGACAGCCTTTACACCCTGCAAGAACAACAGTTTTGTCAGCAGTTGATCTTTGGCCTGGCCCCTTTGGAACGAGGAGCACCGCCCTTTGGAATCGTTCCACTGCATGTCTCCACTGTGTGGAAATGGGGGAAGGTGGGCCCATGCCAGGAAGCAGGCTGTGCCTTGTGGGCCTGAGCTATGCACTTTATGCCTGTTGGGGAAGGATCTCCTGCACAGGCTCCACTGCAGGGAACAGGAGCTGCTTGTGGGTCTTTGCACAACTGTGTGTCCAACAGCAGGTGTCCCACACATGAGAGAGAGAAGGCTGCCTTTTTTGTTTTGGGGTGCTGTGTAGAGCCCACCAAGGAGCTGCAGTTGGCTCTCAGCTCCTCTCATATCCAGGGGCATCTCCACAGGCTGTGCCGCAGAGAGTCTATGCAAAGCGTGGTTTCATACCAGGAAGTGGCTCTCCTGCTGCTGTTGCTGAGAATCAAAGAGGAGGGTGTGTGTGTTGTGATTGGCAGGTTGGCTCTGAGCCGGCTGTGCTCTGTCGCAGGGCCATTGTGAGGATAAAAATGGGGTAATTCCCATGAATGTCTTGATGGAAAGAATGTGCAGTGAATGAGAAAGGGGAATGAAAAGGGGGTTCTCTTTCGTTGTACTTACGGCCTGAGCCAGAAGGATTTTAGGGTACTTGTGGTTGGGGAATGGGTGCCTTTGAAGGGACATAATGGTCTTTCCCCTCCCTCCTCTTTTGTCTCTCTCTCTCTCCCTTTCCCACAAAGACTCCATGGCCACAGGTTGCATGGAAAGAAGCTCTCCTGGTCACGTGGAGATGCCAGATGCAGATGGGCCAGAGGGTTATCCCACAAGGCCGATTCCTGGTGTGCATCACAGATCCCGGCCTTTGCAGAGACACCACACCATTCAAAACAGTGAAGATGCTTACGTATGTTGGGGAGAGGGGTGTTGGTGGGGGTGGGGGCCCCCTGTGTCAAGGTGACACACCTGTTCTATGGTGTGGTGGAGGTGAAGGCCCTGGTCCCACCTCCTCTGGCCAGCCTCTTCCTTCTCATTCTTTAGCAGTGCCCCTTGCAGGTCTCTGAGCCTTTCCTTTCTGCTCCCTGCAGGTGCAACAGGACACTCTGCCGGGCATGAGCCTAATGGCAGGGAAGGCGCTCAGCTCTGCCCGCATGTCCGACGCTGTGCTCAGCCAATCTTCCCTCATGGGCAGCCAGCCGCTCCATGATGGGGAGAGTGAAGAAGGTGAGTGCTTGGAGCCTCCAGCGCCGCCAGGTGGTGCCTCTTTGCATGTCCAGCCAAAGGCATCTGACTTAGGGCTGGGCAGAGGGACCCGCTTGCTTGGCCTGGCCCAGGAAAGCGAGACGGAGACAGTTCTGGATTTGAGAGGTGGGGAGCATCTGTGAGTGCTCTGTGTCTGTGGGCCTGGAGTGGGAACGGGCACATTAACAACTCCACCCTTCTCGCACTAGGAACCAGGTTGAACATCTAGATGGGACAGCGGGATCCTTTGTTAAGCTTTCCGGGTTGAGCTGCAGCCCTCTCTCCCTGGGGCCTGGGGCATGCTGCACTTGGCATGCCCTGTGGCTCCTAAATCTTGGAGCCAAACGCACACTTCCAGACCTTGCCTGAGCTCTCACTTCAGCTTCCCTTGTCTTTGGTTTTGCAGACTGTGGAGAGAACTTGGAAGGTCAAGAGCACCTGAACCTAGCAGACGGCAACCAGCATCTAAACACCTCTTGTTACTCTTCCACGTGTATTACTGACGTCCTGCTGAGTTACAAGCACCCAGAGGTGCCCTTTGGGATGGAGCAGGCTGGGGTCTAGAGATTAGGCAGGCTACAGTAAGTAGCATTTGAGTCCAAACCTGTGCCAGGCACTGGGGAGATGCATGGACCCCTTCCATGAAGGAAAAGGGATGGGGGGAGTACCCTCCTTTTTAATGTTGGTCTGCCCACTACCTGGACATGCACTACACCGTGCTCACTGGGGAAGCAAGCGCCACATCCAAAGTTTCTGCAGGGGTGGGCCTATCTGTTTGCTGCTGCTGCTGCTGGAGCTGAGCAGAGCTCTCTCTGGACCAGCCGCAAGTCTCGGGACCTTGCAGGCAGAAGAGCCAGGCATGAGGAAATATTGTGTCTGCGTCCCTGGGGCATCCGAGGTTGGGTGTCGCATTCCTGGCTCAGAGGCCAAGAGGCTTAGTAGGCTCAGAGTGCGAAAGGTGCACTGCTCACTGCTGCCCTTGGGAAGGGGCAGAGCTCTGGGCTCTCTCTGGCTTCCCAGTGAGCTGTTCCTGCTCCTGAATCCATTACCAAGAGGGCCTTGCTAGGCTAGCCGGTTTTATGCCTGGCAGCGGGAGTGTGGAGCAGCGTGGGGCACAAGAAAGGCTTGGTGAAGGTCCTCTGTGTAGCCATGTAGGCAAGTGTCTAGTATTCCTGCCACCCACTCCCCTCTCTTTGTCTCTCTCATTTTCCGGCAGGGGTATGTACAGCTTTGAAACAAAAAGGTCCATTTCAAACCAACAGTATCTCGCAGCGTTGCGCCAAATGGCCGTCCTGTTTCTCCTTGACGGAAATCTTGTGGCGGCTCCTCCTCCTCCTCCTCCTCCTCAACCTCCTCGTTGGTTCAACAGTGTGCTTGTTCCTTTCGGATGTTCATTATTGCCATATTTGCCTGTGACGCCAGCCATTCTGGAAGGACCAGAGCACCCCCCTCGCACAGAGGCTGCAGGGGGCAGTTCGAGGGCAGCTGCCGGCTTGGAGGGCCCCCCCTTCACAGTCAGTGGCAGGTGCCGGGGGAGGGGGCAGCCAGCCTTGCCTGGAAAACCTGATGGCAGAAGGGGAGAGGAGCTCTGCCCACCCGCAAGCAATAAGCAGCTGTTTTGGACGGTGCCTCTTCATGATCTGCCTTTGCAGTGGCCCCTCCAGGCCAGGGGGCTGGTGGGGGTGGCGGGGGCTGTGCTTGCGGAGGGGCCGAGAGCCAAGCCTCCACGTCTGCCTTCCATGCATCGCTTGCCTCCCACCCCTTGGCCATTTGCGCCCCCCCCCCACCGCAGTGGTGCAATATTGCTTTTGTGTGTCTCTCCTCTGTCAGCCTTTCTGTTTTAAATTTTGTCACTCTGTCCTTTCTTCCGTTTCTCTTTTTTTGTACATCTCCCCCCCCCCCATTTAATTCCATGTGCTACTACTTCTTCTTTTTTCCCCTTTTTCCCTTTGTTTCGAGAAAACCTGGTTCTTGTTTTTAACTTGCTTTCCCTTCAGATCATGTAGGAATTTGTTTTGGTAAATGTTTTATTATTGTTGTTGTTATTATTATTAATAATAAATTAATTGTTAATAAAAGGCAGGATGCATTTTGCCCCTCCCCTTCTACCCCGCCCCACGTTGCTGCTTGCCCCTCCCCCATCTTCCTCCCAGTATTGGCTTTTCTCCAGTGTGGCAGCGGTGGTGCCCCTGGCGTTGCCGCAGAGACCGTCTCTCCCTTGCTCTCAGCCCTTGAGGAACTTGTTTTCTGTGACTGGTCCAGGGTCTGGGGCACCTCCAGCGGCTGGGCCTCCGGGGAGTCTCTCGTGTCATCTTTTCTGCCTTTGGAACTTTTGACAAAGCTGCAACAGAGAATCCCTATTACTGACTCTTTTTGGAAGAATTTTTTAAAAGGATTAAATATATACATAAATATATATATCAATGCAGCCCTCCTGAATTTGCACAGAAGAAGTGTGAGACCAGCATGGCTGAGGTTCTTTTGCTATCGTCATCATCACCATCATCATCCTCCTGTTCCTCGTTCTCACCTTTCCAGCAGCATCTGTATACCAAGATGTGCAAGCGATGGTGGGGGGAAGCCTCTTCCTGCTCCTCCTCCTCCTCCAGGCTGGATTGTGGCCGCGGTTCCACTGAGGCAGGGGACTCGCTTACCAGGGAAGAAGAGTGGGCCATGGAGGGGCAGGGGGAATTGAGGGCTGCTCACTGCTCCCTCCTGCCACTGGGAGGGGCCAAAAGGCACCGAAAGCCTCCTCTGGCCTGGCTTTGGACTCTTGCTTTGGTTTTTCCTTCTGTTTACATGATCCTGAGAGATGACAGCAGCATCAGCCGCCCTCCAAGCAAACCGCCGTGCAGGGACTGGCCTGGCTATGCTGTTTTGCAGTATCACTTTTTGTTTTTGTTTTTTTGTTTTTGCAGGGGGGGGATTCTTTTGTTTTTAATCATTGCTTTGTATTGTAGTAATCAATACTCGCAGTATATGTTGAATGTATCATATACTTTGCTATTATTTCTGTTTTGGGGGAAATGTCCAAAGTATTTTTTCTCATTTATGTTGGACTGAAAACAAGAACCCACACAAACAAACTCCCCAGATTTTCAGCAAAATCTTAGTTCAGTTTTTTTCCGTTTGTTTGTTTGTTTTCGGTGGGTCATCTTGCAACTAGTAACTTAGTTGGACGTGGGATCATGACAAATAAACCCATGATTATGATTGGCTCTCAGCAGCTCTGGTCTGGCTTTTCTCTTGCTGTTGTGTCCAGGGTTGGGGAGTGGTGGTGCCTTAAACTGGGATTGTCCCTGAACAAGTGGCAGTGATGGCTGGAGACCCTCCTTAGGCAGAGGACCCTTTCGTGTTCTGACCATGTGCTGCATTGGTAGCAGCGCAAGCCCATGTTTGGGTCCTTGCATACTTCAGGATCAGTAGAGCTTCAGGCGAGAGGGAAGGGACTCAGTGACAGAGCATCTTCTTTGCAAGCAAAAGCTCCCAGCTTGAATTTTCTAGCACAGCGTTTCCCAAACCTGTATCATCGCAGGGCCCCACCTGCCTCCTCCATTGCATCCCATCACCAGGGTTAGTATCAAAAGACCCTCCTGCTGCACGCTGCTCATGACCTAGAGGAAGGGGGCATAGAATGCACCTTGGTGTGTATCTGCTTAGCATCTCCCTTTGAGGGGGTGCCATAATGTGAGCATTTTTGTCTGAAAATGGCATGCCAAGGAGTGATTAGCTAAGGTCAGGTCCTGTTGAGAGTTTTAGTCTGGTGGCATCCAGTGGCAATTTGTGCTCCCTGAGGAGATATTTGCTTCCACCAGAAAAGTTGTTTGTCCTTTAAAGCCAAGCTGGCTGATACAAGAGCAGCATTTTTGTCTTTTTGATAGTCCTGGGCTTGGAATCCAAGCAGAGCCTCCACAACCTCAGTCACATTTCTTTGGGCGATGGGCTTGCAAGCGAATGGGCTGGTGTCACCATTGCTTCATTCTCCTCCTCCCCCAGTGAGTCCTGCTGATTCATTCCCAGGGTGGGAGGCTAAGAATGGAGCACAGTGCCCAAATGGGTTTACTTGGATTTCTCTTCCAGAAAGTCTGGATAGGGGGTTCCTTGTATGCATCTTGTCCTTGTCTGAGACATTGTAGAGCTGCTGCCAGCCAGTGCTGACTATATGGAGCTGGCTGGACCTTAAGGGGCTGACTCAGTAGAAGGCAGCTTCCTATGCTCTGCAGATGATGGAACTACAGCTGCAGTCCTCAGTAAGGCTGCTCTGATGTGTATGGGCTTCAGCTAAAAGGCTGGCAGAGTTTTCCTTGCTGTTATCTCCTGTGTCCCCAGCCTCAAAGGTGCCATAGATATCAAAACTCTTGATGGCATGGCAGTAAAGGGACACATGCAAAATGGTGCTAGCTGATAGGGATTATTAGTCTTTATGGTGCCCTTAGACTTGGCTTTTGCTCCAACAGACTAAGACATGTCTGGAAACAGAGTCAGGATGTGTTTCTCGTCTTCTGGAGAGTAACTCCCCCTCCCTCTGGAGACAGGTTTCCTGGCACTGTGAATTCTAAGATGAGTGGCAGCCCCACTTTTGTGGAGGTTTCATGTAATCAGGCTCCGCCCTCCCCTGGCAGAGAAAGCCATGCCCAGAATTTCATGCATTCAGTTGCACCACACAGTCACCAGCCTTCCTATCTGATGTAAAATCCAGCACTCTCAGGGAGAGGCTGAGGTTTATTGGATGCATGTATTGCTTCACACTGAATAAAGTCCTGAAGTGATTTGCAACTAAGTAAAACATAACAGTGATACAATCACGTCAGCATATTAAAAACAGCACAATACTGTATCATTGGTGCTGCCTCAATGCCCAAGAAAACAAAAGGATGGCAAGGTTGGCACCAGGTGGGCCTCCCTTGGGGGAGCGCATTCCATTAAGTTGGGAAGGCAATTTTCAGGCCTTTCCAACCTTGAACAATGAGATGGAATCTCAAAAGTCGTGGGATGGGTCATAACTCTGGCTGATCACTTGCTCTGCCCACAGTAGGTCAATCTCTGGTATCATCAACTTCGAAAAATGATCAGAAAGACCCTTGCCTGCCTAAGATCCTAGAAAACCCCAATCAGAGGACACCAGCCTCCTCAGTGTTTTGGACAGTGATTCCCATCATCACCCTTGACCTTCCTGGCTGTGGCTGATGGGAGTTGCAGTTCGACAACTTCTGGAACATCTCAGGTTGGGGAAGGCTGGAGTAGACCGTATCACGCCATGACAAAGTCTCATCTGGTATAAGGCAGTTTTTTGTGTTAAGGAGACTCCTGTGTTAAGGAGACTGTGTTAAGGTCAGAGGGTGGGGCAAAGATAATCCACATTATCTCCCTGGGGCCAGCAATCCAAGAATGAAGTAGGCAGAATGAGCAAATGCATCCAAATGCTTGAGTCTGCACAATGTGTTCAGATTGCAGTTACTCTCTTAGTGGAGTCAGGAGGTTTTCTTGGTGTAGATAGAGCCTCAGACATCTTTGGAACAACCCTCTATGGCTGTGGTGGTTCTTCCCATAGAGCTGCTTTCCCTAACCTGGCTCTGTCCAGATGTTTTGCACTCCAAAGAAAAATAATCAGGCACTTTAATAAATATCATTAAAAAAAAAAAAGAAAAAAGAAAAATAATCAGGCACTTGCTGGAAGCAAGAGCCCTTCTCCCCAATAACTGCCCATTTGCTGTGTGCAAAACCCTTTTTCTTCTTCTTGTGTATGGGGAAGCGTTCCAGTGTGTGAACCCCCACCATCACTTTCAGCCAGGCCCAAGTCAGCCACTTTCTCTGATGTTTGTCCTTGTCAAGAGAGGTGAGGTTTCGCCTGGGGAAGTGGGGGGCTAGGATAGAAAGCAGCTTACGGTAGGTACAACTTTCCTCGCACGCTGGCTCCCCAGCAAAGGAGAACAACCCCAGTTATTGGCCTGTTGTTAAAGGCTTGCCTGGTCCATGCTGGGAGGCTTCAGGTCACAGAGTTGTTCTCCTGAAGTTATTGCTAAAGGCACCGAGGACAGAGTCCTCAAACCACTTGGGAACAACAACAGGAGCCTTGCAAATCTCCTTCCTTGGCGGCTGCCCAGCTGAGCGGAGGGTCCATGGGGTTCCTGTTCTGCCCACAAGTGCAAATCTGGGTCAGAGAGCTGGCCCCAGGCCCAGCTTCTGTGTTTGTTCCGGAGTCCCTTGCCAGGCCCCTGTTGCTCCTTGATCGTGCGCGTTCCCCCTGGGGATGTGTGTTTGATCCTTGAACTCTAAGCGCCACATAGTCACGACTTGGGAGTGAATTCCCCATTTACAGCTTTGACTTATCTTCAGCAATAAACAACCACCTCTGGTATAAATAGCCACCGCTGAGAAGGATCGGTCACACGAAGCAGCAGACGCTGAAAGGACTGGTAAGAATCTGGGCCTCTCCTGGTACTATGGCTTGCTTCTCTCTCTCTTTCTCTCTCTCTCTTCTCTCTCCCTCTCTCAAAGCTCTTTGAAAAGACTTTGCTTCCCCTGCAGAGAAGTTGCCTCTCCATTTCTTTCTTGATCAGCCTTTGCCAACTCCCCGGTGCCCACCCGATGTTTTGGACCACAGATCCCATCAGCACCAGCTAGCACAGCAGCCTGAGCACATCAGGAGGGCACCACCAGGTTGGCAAAGGCTGACTTGGTTGTTCTGCCTGGGGCTTCCTCTTGGATATATCAATGGATACCTTGGGGTGTATACCTTGGAAGGAAAGCTCATTGGACTCTTCCAATGAGCAGGTGCCCCAGCTTGGGAAGCATCTCTGGGCATCTTGCTGCTGCTGCTGGGCTAGGTGGACGTAGCAGATCTTGTGTGCAGCAATTCTTGCTTAAGGGCAGAAAGAGCTGCCCTATGGGGTCATGCCAAGGGGAGCCCACCTCACCTCGAATCCGGCTGCTTCTCAAAATGGCCAGCCCGGTGCCTCCAGGGAAGCCCACAAGCAAGACTTTATGGTAACTAGTCCTTCTGTGTTGCTTGCGAACTGGCAAGATCCGCTGGATCTGGTCTTCCCATTGGCTCTTCTGTTTAATCTTCAGCATGCCTCTTTTTCTCCTCACTTCCAATTTCTCTCTTTCTTGGTCTTGGGAGAGAAAAGCTCAAGAAATCCTTTTGTTGTTGTTTTTCTACATCTTTGTGGATTCTTCTGGCCTGACGTGATCCCCTTCTGCAGTCTCCAGGTTGGAACGCATTGCAAGATGAAAGCCATCACAGTGACTCTGGCCCTGGTGTTCCTCACAGGTGAGTCCCCTCGACCCTGTGCTCACGGGCAGGGAATGGCAGCTCTCCCTGAGGCAGCCCAACTCCTGCCCAAGAACCTTGGGGGGGATGAGCTCTGAAGGACATGCTCCGATCTCCGCTAATCTCTGCTTGTGGGTGGAGGGAGGAGTAGCCGTAGAGGAGTGGGCTCTGCCTTCGCAGGGCCGAACTGGGGAGACCTGGCTCGCTTCTGACTGCCCCTTTCTAAACACTCTGCCCTTAGGCTCTAACCATTATTGCATTTCTAATGCAGGAACCCAGGCCCGCCACTTCTGGCAGCAAGATGAGCCCCAACAAACCCCCTTGGAGCGTGTGCACGACGCTCTCACTGTTTATGTAGAAACCATCAGGACTGGTCTCCGTGAAGCCATCACTCAGCTGGATAACTCTGAATGGGGCAAGGAAGTAGAGTGAGTAGCAATTTAGGGGCAAGCAGGGAATAGACTGGCAGGCTGCAGGCTTTTGGGGTGGCCAAAGCTCCTTCCCCTTTATCTCCTCAGGAGATGATGCTTCTGCCTCAGGAGGGCTTTCCATCTGTGCAGTGAGGGAGCGGGGGCAGGGAGGAGTGGCTGGCTGGCTGGCTTTGTGGATACCTGTGGAGGCCTTTCCAAACCCATGTCCCCCAGATCTCCATTCACCCTCATGGAACTGTGGTGCAGCACCGACCTCCGACCTCCCCCCACCCCGGCTAAAAGCCAGATATGGGGGGGGGGGGTGCCTTACATCCACTCTGATCTCAGGGGCCTTCCCTGGGAGGGACAGCCCCACAAAATCTAGAGGAGCTGGATTGCATGACCCGCCTCACCCCACCCCGGCTGGGCTACTGAACAGCATCACAAATTCATAGCTGAAAGAGGAGCCTCAAATATACTTTTTAAGGCAACTGCTAAATAGACATGCCTTGTATGAACCCTATAAACAGATTTTTTAAAAATGAAATTAGACAACTGAGGTGTGTATGTGACAGGGTGGGGGGAGGAATCCTTTTATAAAGGATGAGTAGATGCCATATTTTTATCGACGCAGCCTTGGCTCATGTTGGCTTCTGCTGCTGCTGCTATTGGGCGAGGAGGCAGTTTTGTCAGGTCTCTGTGTTGGGTTCAGACAACACCGATGGCCAGAGCAGAGGGTGGCTTCCTCGCTTCTGCTCCACATTGTATAAAGGGGTAGCAGAGACCCTGACCTTCCTTAGCAGAACAGGAGGTTGAAACTGGCTGGTGCTTCTGGAGGAGAGGTGCTCCTTTCTTCTTCTGGGCTGGAGCAAGAGGTCTAGGCACCACCTCTGCCCTCCCTTCACCCACTAACTTGGTCTCCCCATCCTCTCTCTGTAGCCTAAGCCTGGTTCCGAAATTGGACAAGGCGCACCAGATATTAGCTGAGTTGCACAAAGAAATAGCCCCCGAGATGGAAGAACTGAAGCAAGAGCTGAAAGTGCACTGGGAAAAGGGGATGGAGGAGCTGAAGAAGCACTTGGAAAGCGTGAATGCCAATATCCAGCCCTACTTTGATGAATTCAGCAAGAAGTTCCACCAGGAATTAGAGGCTCTCCGGGCCAAGGCAGAGCCCATTGAGCAGGAGGTGAAGCAGATTGTGCGCCAGAACCTGGAGACAATTCAGGAGAAGGTGAGGCCAGTGGCCGAGGAAGCGCGGGACAAGCTGCGGGACCACGTGGACGAGCTGCGTGCCAAGGTGGCCCCCCACGCCGAAGAGATGCGCCAGAGGCTGAGCCAGAAGCTGCAGGAGCTCCGGGAGCAGGGCGCCCCCAGGTTGAGAGAGTTTCAGGCCGAGGCCCAGAAGCACTTCACTGCCCTGCGGGAGAAGATTGGACCCATGGTGGAGAAGGTGCGTGAGCAACTGCCCACTAGCGTGGAAAGCTTCAAGACCTATGTGGAGGGCCTCATCGCCAGTGTGCAAAAGGCCGTGGAGGACGAGATGAAGAAGGAGCAGCAACAGCAGGCCGCCTAGAGAGAAGCATGGCAGCCCCTCTCCTTCCAGGATCCTGCCTGGACCTTTGGGCCTCCCTCTTCCCTCTGATCAGGGTTCCTCTGAATAAGCACTGCCTCCCCACTTTGGTATTTATCGCTGACCTTTCCCACCCCACATTTTGGCACCACAACCCTGGGTGGGTTATGGGGTGTGAGCAGGGAAAGGAGGGGTTGCAACTCCTCCCCACGCCCTTAAGACCCCAGCTGGAAGACCTCAGGCTGGAGTGGAAGAAAACCTAGCTTCTCTCCCCCTCTTCTTCCCACCGCCATCCCCACCTGCTCAGTCCAGTGCCTCTCTCCTTCTCTTTTGCCGAATAAAAAGCAATTTTAAGAGATATGGCTATTGTGTGATGGATGTCTGCTGCCGTGAAGGGGGCTGGGAGCTGTAGGGCACAACTGGGGGGGGGTCAGAAGGGGGAGGGCAGTGAGAGGTGGGTAGGAATTGAAGCGTTGGCATTTGGGGTGAGGGTGGGGGTTCCTTTTGCAGGTTTTGCCAGTCCAAAGGTCCCGTTTCCTCCTGGCTAGTTCTGTGGGTGTCTCCCCACCATGCCCAACGCCTTTGTGGGGGAGGGAGGCCTAGATTAAGAGAGGGTGGGTCCTGAAGGAGGGAGAGGAGGCTGCTTCAGGTGCCAGATGTTTCAGGGTTAAAAGATAGAGGGAGTTGTCTGCAGGCAAGGAAAGCTGCCTCAAAGAGGTTCAGGCCATATAGACCTCTGGATGAACTTGCTAGGGATGCAGTAATGCCCCCATGCAACAGCACAGCTGCCCAGTGCCCCTGCACCCTGCGCTCAGGGAGGCCCCTGGCAATCTCTTGGCAAGGCCAAGTGGAAGAAGGGCTGCCGCCACTGTGTGAGACAGATTTGTGGGTCTTCAGGGTTGCTGCTGTTTATTCCCAGCTCTTGGAATCAAAAATATATTGGGACTGGGAAGAACTAGAGGGAGTTTGGGAGGGGGGCAGAGCCAGGGAAGAAATCCCTGCCATTTGAGGGCAAAGAGATGGGCCTTACTTCTCTCTCTCTCTCTCTCTCTCTCTCTCTCTCTGTGTGTGTGTGTAGCCCACCACAAAAATGTACACTCAACTCAGCAGTTTGTTTAAAAAACAAAACAGGACAGCTAAACCTGAAAGTGAACAAGTGCCTAGCCAATTATTGTCTTGGCCATTTGGCCTCCTGGTGGCAGTGGCTGCTATGCCAACTGATCTTTGTCCTTAGGTAGCACAGGGCAGAACTTTTCTCAACTCTCCTGTGGGTTGTGCTGGCAGATGGAGCCAGGAGGAGCTGCAGGAGACCCCCTGGCTAGGTGAAGATGCCTCTCCCTGCTTGCTTGCCTGCCACCACCAAACCCACCAAATCTAGGTCACCACGAACACATCAAGATTCTCTCTCTCCCTGCCCCTTCCTCAGATTCAGGCCAAATTCATCCCAACTGGCAGCAGGAGGGAAGGGATTAAGCAGGTGCCCTGATAGGGCGAAGTCTTGATTCTGGAGAGTGAGTTTTAACTGGAAAGGGTCTTTACCCAGGATGCCTCCCCCTGCCCACTTACATAGCTGCTCAAGGAAGGGGATCCCACCCACATCTGGAAATGTGATTGTTTTGCTCTTGGGTGTTTCTGGTGGGAAAACACTGAAAGCCTCCCAAAAAGTCTTTTTGAAAGTGTCCCTCTTGCTCCACCAAGACCTCTGACCAGTTTTCTTTGTTGGTTCACAGCAAGAAACTCAACCATGCAAAGGGTTTGCAAGATTTAATGGGGGGAAGTGCCATGCTTAATGAACATTGAGATGTCTGAGGGAAGGAGGGAATGAAGGAGTGACTAGGCAGGGCAGGGAAAAGGAGAAACAGTGGCAAATGTTGAAATCCTTGCCCATCACTGAGGACAACTTTAGCACCCTGCCGCTGTACTGGGAAGGGCGAGAGATCCTCCTGGAATTGTGTGGAATCAAAATTCCATCATGCTGCAGGTGCCGGCGTCTTCAAAAATGTGGCAATCTTCTCCTTTACACGGCCAAAGTATTGAACTGCATTTGCCCAGCCATTAGTGATCCATTCCCTAAAAGGCAGTAGGGGTGGATTGAAGGAAAAGGTGCATTTAATTGCTGCGGATCCCTCCCTAAAGGGTCACTTAGTGCAGTGTGGCAAGTGAGAGCTTTTCTTGGTTTCATAAATTACCCCACCCCAACCCCTTTAGGAAAGTAGGAATTCCAAGCCCCCTGAAAGCCTGGCTATTGCCAGAGTTCTACTACGCCCACTGTGTGTTGCAAGAACCTTCCATGTCTGCGGGCCCAGAAGTAGCCACCTCTGCCCCACGTGTTGTGACAGGCGCCAATAGCACCTTTGGGGTCTCAGCAAGAGGCCGCTGCCCCAGGGGAGACAGTGGGTGGAAGTGAGTAAGGGGCGCTCAAGGCTTCCCTTATGCCAAGGAGGGGATTCTAGGAAGGGGGGCAGGTTCAGGAGATAATCCTGTTTGCTGATACGTGCAGCCCCACACGGCATGCATCAAGGGTGCCATCTCACCCACAGGATCGTGGGTGCCCACCACCATAACACAGATGTGCAATGTCACATGCACATGCCTGCATGTAGTGTGTGTGACGTCACGCATTGGATTTTTGGAAGGGGGCTCCTCCGAAACCACAATGCAACATTGTGCATTGTGTGTGTGATGTCACACACACTATGTGCAGTTGTGTGCATGTGACATCGCATGCCCATGTTGTAGTGGCCATCAGCTCTGCCTCCGAATTTGAGCCCGAACCTCGGAAACAGGTGACTCACTGGCTGGCTGCAAAAGGCAGAGCTGAACTGCTTCTCTCTGAACTGCTTCTCTCTCAGGCTGGCTGGCTGGCTGGCTGGCTGTCTCTGATTTTGCTCATTGACTTTGTGGCTCTTCTCATTATATTATTGCGGGTGCCTAAGCACCCATGGCCCCCTGGAGTTGGCTCCTATGGCATGCATCCACCCCCCACCCCACCCCAGTCCCTCCTTCCCTTCTGCTGTGTCCCAACTTTTCCCCTTCCTTGAGCTTGGAAGGCCTCCCCCACCTGGCCTGCTGGGCTGCCTCCGACTCTCGGAGGGTGGTGAAGCGCTCCTGGGTCTTTTGGATGGCTTGCTGGGCAAAGACTTGCATTTTGGCCACCAGGCTCTCCTTTGGGGCATCTTGAGCTTCTGGAAGACAAAAAAGAAAAGGGGGGCGGGATATGGAGCAAACAAGCACTTTCCCGCTCCCCTCCCTACACATACACTTCCCCCTCTATTTTGGGGGAGAGGAGGACAGAATCTCAGCCACCTTGTTGGTTGATTCCCTATGCCAAAGAAATAGGGGTGGGGACCACATGGGTTGTGTGAATGATCTGTTCTTCCAGGTGCTTCCTATCACCTTTGCCCCTAGCTTCAGCCAAGGAGTGATGCTCATGTAAGCTAGAGAGCCCATGACACCCAGACCCTCCAAGTCTCCCTATTTTCCAGGGTAAAGGTAAAGGGACCCCTGACCATTAGGTCCAGTCGTGGCCGACTCTGGGATTGTGGTGCTCATCTCACTTTATTGGCTGAGGGAACCAGCGTTTGTCCGCAGACAGCTTCTGGGTCATGTGGCCAGCATGACTAAGCCACTTCTGGCGAACCAGAGCAGCACACGGAAACGCCATTTACCTTTCCACCAGAGTGGTACCTTTTTATCTACTTGCACTTGATGTGCTTTTGAACTGCTAGGTTGGCAGGAGCAGGGACCGAGCAACGGGAGCTCACCCCTTCGCAGGGAATTTGAACCGCCGACCTTCTGATCGGCAAGTCCTAGGCTCTGTGCTTTAACCCACAGCGCCACCCGTGTCCCATTTTCCAGGGACAGTCCTGGATTTACAGAAGCTGTCCTGGTTTCTCATTTGATCCCTGAATGCCCTGCTTTTCCTTAGGACGTCCCCTATCTTCATCGGAGCAATGTTGGATGGGATGGTAGGATAGCTCTAGTTTCATCGGAGAATTGTTGCAGGGTACGGGCTTTCAGTTGGTGGCCCCAAGGGGAGAGATCCCCCTTCCACCTTCCTCTTCCCACCAGGAGCCAAGTAGCTGACTGGATTTCAGTTGTGCCCCTTGCACCCTCTTCCACACAGGCAGGCATGTGTGAGAGCAATACTGTTCTGGCACTGGGGTGGGGGGCATTTCTTACGTGCAAACGCAGCAAGCAGCGCCAGAAGGACAAAGAGCAGTGGAAGGGGCCTTCTCATTCTGTCGCTTGGCTGGACCTGTGATGGGAAGGAAAGGCAGGTCAGATCACCATTGGCCACTGAAGGCCCAGAAGGCACCATCCCCAGTAGTCTGGGGCTGAGGCGAGGCCTGCACTAGACTAGTGCCGGAGCCATTATTAAGCTGTGCAGAACAGTGTGTTTAGAAGGAAGGCCTGCTGTAGCCCAGGGGTAGAACATTGGTTCTGATGCAGTTTTGTATCAGCTTTGCATGCTGAAGGTCGCAGGTTTGGTCGCCGCTTTCCAGCGACTCTATGTAGGGTTGAGAGAGACCCCACCTGACAAGACACTAGAGAACATCTTGCTGCCAAGCCGTGCGGATCATAGAATCGTAAGGTTGGTCTGTGTTGGAGATGTAAGGTATCAGAGGGATCCTTATATCATGTATAGTGGAGATATGTTAAAATTAATTTTTTTTGCGGAAATATACACGAGGAACTGAAAATAATGTTTAAAACAACAATTGGTAAGAAGCCAGAAACATTCCTTTCAGGAATTATAACAAATGACATCCCCAAAGACATGAAGAGAATCTTTTTATATGCAACAGCTGCCGCAAGGTTATTGATTGCAAAAAACTGGAAATCAGAAGAAGTACCAATATTGAAAGACTGGCAATATAAATTTTTCGAAATGATTGAATTAGCAAAAATGACGGCAACAATTAGAATGCAATCTAATCAAAATCTCAAACAGGAATGGAAATGTGTAGAAGAATACATGACCAAAAGATGCTCCAACAAGAACTTATTGATATGTATAGAGTGTTTTCACAAAGTCAAGTCAAGTTAAGCTAAGCGGATATATAAGATTGAATATTTAATTATTAAGATACAAAATTACGATCTCAATAATAAAGTTACAAAATAATAACAAGGAAGTCACACACGGGTGGAGGGAAGACACAGGGCAAGAAATAAGAAATGGATAAATGCTGCTACATAATGAAATGTGAAAATGTGAATTTACGACTATAATGTATATGTATCAATATGTAAAGATTTCATATATGTATTGCAACATTAATAATAAATAAATTAAGTGGGGAAAAGAGAGAGCGAAAGAATTGTAAGGTTGGAAGGGACCCAAGGGTCATCTAGTCCA